CCCTGCAGACAGCCTGTGTCGGGTGCCTGGAGCCGTCGGTGAGGACGTTGGAATCAGACGGTGGGAGAGTGAAACGTGGAATCACGTAGCCAGTCTTATAGTACGCTTCCGCCATCCGTCTGGAGTTTCAGCCTGTGTCAAGCTGCCAAGTGATGCTGGTCCTTTGAGGCATCGAGGGATGGATAAGTTCTGAGAGTAGCCACATGACCAGGATGGACTGTATACATCACTAGGCGGCAATTGGATTGTATCCTGGTTGAGAAAGAGTTGGCTCGGATGTCATTGTAAACTCTCACTTCACCATCTGAACATAGTGCCACACATTGAGGATAGGTACATAGCCTGTCTAGATCTTGAAGGACGATACGGCAGCAGGAAGAGGAGCAGAAAGGTGAAATTTGATCAAGAATAAGAGCCGACAAAGAAAGGAGCAGGAAGGCTACGGAAAAGGGCAGGGAAGATTGAAGGATAAAGTGGTGGCAGCAAGTGACGGAAGATAGAAGTCTAATTCTCTCGTCGTCGTAAGGTCTCGACACCATGCTCACTCAAGAATCGAGCTGCTTGTTAAGGACCTCCTCACCTTTACCTCGGCTCTCCCTAGTTACAATCGCATATTGGACGGTGATTCAGTGGTAGCAAAGCACTACCATTCTCTGGCAATCCTCTGCTTCCTATGAGATGTTGGTGAGAGAATGGCATACCTGCAAGCAGTACAAACGGCTTCCGGCCAGGGAGCTTCTGCCCCATTTGGGGAGCCTGGCAGGAGGCGCTTGGACAATTATTGCACGGCACTTTTGTTGTATGTTGTGCGAGTCCTCCTCGCACGCTCATCTGCAAGAGGTCAACATGCATACTTGTTTACAGGACACGGTGAGTTTCAGGGTGTGACAATAGATTCAGGGGCGTCACACTTCAATTTGTATAAAGAAACCAAAATAGGGAGCGTATGGGTCTCAGAAAGCAGGGCACAGCAGCAAAGGGGCATTGGCAACGGTATAACCAGATGTGGATGGCAACAACCATCTCGTGACTCCACGGATCTTTTAAGACTCACTCAGCATATACACACGTGTAAGCACCTTGACATGGTGGAACCGAGTACTGCGCAACGTTCAACTTGTCCCACTATCCATAACAGCCCTTCTACGTTTCAACTACCGTACTGCACGATGCAACTGAATCACACAAGCTGCAACTGGAAACCCAACTCAAGCTTTCTCTGGTTGCTGAAAGCTGTGTCTCGGCTTCATGGGTCAACTCCCGAGACAGGTATGAGCACCGACGACCAGAAACATACATGGTGTACATCTCTGTCTCAAAGTGAAGCAGGCCAAGTCCACCAGACGGGCAAGATGGAAAGCTCAAAAAACTAGGTTAACTATCTTACGACCTGCATCTCATGCTCAAGACTGGACCTCGCCGGCCTTCACAGAACAGGAACATCAACGGATACGTACAGCAAGCGATGCTAGGACAGCCATGAATAAAGTGGGCGCACAACCAACAACCAAGAAGTATCGGCGGATATACTCGCGGGAGTTCATAATATTGTTTACTTAGTCAATGGTCACCACTTGTTGCTGGGGCATACGATGATCATGCACACGACTTACGTTAGCCCCAAGCGAGGAGAAGATTGCTCAAGCAGATGCCTACCTTTATATATCGACCTGGGAAACTGATCGAGACTTCAGGCAGGTGTGCACATGACTGGAAGGAGGTTGCACAGTGCCAGATTTGGATGTCCCTCTACAACTGCACACTCCCTCTGCATCTACCGACGTATCTAATGCTTCTCGGGGCATCGAGTTGATGATACGTTAAGCAGTGCCGTTCAATTCTCTTACTCTGATCCACCACCATCTGGAACGTTATAAGGATTACGATGAGGTGAAGTTGCCTTGGGTATACTCCTTGACACATACAAGACTTTCCCAATCCCGGAACTGCGTGGAATGCAGCATGTAGCAATGCGTGTGTGAGACCAGTAATGTGGAAAAGAAAAGTCAAGCAGCGAGGACTCTACAGCCACGGATACACATACATACATAGGCATCTTAGAAAGACCACCTAGGTACGCTACAAATGCTCAGCCGGCAACATTAACAGCACATACTTCCAGGCTCTCTCGCAGTTCTTCTTGCCTTACAGCACGGCGGATACGTGCCTGCAGTACGGTGTAAGAGCAACACGCCACAATTGTCGACAGGAAGCTGCTATATCCAGGGGTAAACGGTGCCGGGCTGGTCAAGACTTTTACTATTCCATGCGAGATCACGTCATAGCAAGCCAGGCAAGCAAGGTACTAAGTAGGTAGGTACTCCGAGGCTCAAGGGCACTGCGACTGTCATTTACGAGCTCCTTTTGAAATTTGAAACGCACGCTACTCGGACTACTCAGGGGCGTGCGCACCTGCAGGACAGCATCTGCACCTTACTAGTAGTCACAAATAGTTTTTCCAATGCCAACTTCCTCGCCCACTTCCCCGCTGCACACCCTCCGCTTCTGGCTGATGGAAGCGGCCAAGACAGAACGGATGCCGTTCACAGACTTCGACGCCGGGGGAGGATCCTCGTAAAGTGATGACGAAAAGAGTAAATAAGCTAGCAGAGCCCGCAGCCATGTCCCCGCTTGACTTCTCGAGATCTAGAACTGGGCTATCAGAAGCCAAAAGCAGTATATCCCACGACAATTCAAAAGCGACGGTACATACATCGCTCCGATATAGAGCATGCCCCGTTCTGCCTTGCTTATTTCAGAACGTGAGGGTAATCTGTATCCAACTCCTTCGCATACCATGACATCCTTTCTCCACATTGGTCATCACCATGCCGCATCTTTCTTCCTCTTCCCACCACACAATTAGCTATAGCCAATACTACGTGATTCATCGCGCAATTGTGTTGCCTTGCAAACACCCTCTACGGGATGTATAAGCGGTGTGACAACCTGTAGTTGCCGGGCATGATGCTACTGCGAATTTGTAAGTGTAGATCGGCAGCTTTGTAAGGCGCCTGCATTATTTTTGGGGGGTTGGGGGGCGGGGGCGGCCGATCACATGTACGTAAGGTAATTCATCTACCTACCTTGTTACGTATCAGGTATCCTAGTTCAGTACATGTATGTAGACTCTGACGCACAAGGAAACGATCCTCGATCCGTTAGCTGTCTGCTTGGTCAGTTAGGTTGTGAGTCCAGTGTGTCCATGATTCTGTAATCAAGTTCGTGAACCAAACCCAAAATAACCAAGGCCAAATAATTTCCTTCCGGTAGTCTAGAGTGAGGGGCAAGAAAGAGGAGAGAGATGCCGAAGCTGGAATGGTCTGAGGTAGCATCGCCCGTCCCACGACCTTGGGACACTAATCGACGTAGGTATCGAAGGATCTGCCGGGCCGGAGTTGCAGCTAACAGAAAAGCGCGATGCAAGGATGGGAAAGGATTGGAAGGTCTCTACACGTGTACACCGCACCACAGTATTGCGGTGAAGAACCAACGTTGGCCTAGAACAGGGTACAAATAGAGGGTAGGGGAATCCTGACCGGAAAGGACAGAAACAAACCACCTCAGTTATAAGTTGCAGTTCTAGCCGAACAAGCCACCCGCCCGACGGGAGGATTCGCACCTACTTAGAAAGCGGCAAAAAGCCAAAAGAAGCTGAGGCAAACGTAGAATGTCTGAACGACGGGGACTTTAAGGTGCAGGTAGCCAAATAATAAACCTGGAGGTCCTGCGGATGCCTGGGTTAAAGTGCGCCCCACATCATCATGACACTGGCACCTCACGGTACGGAGACAACTCCGCCAGCCCCTCTCCGGCCCCTCCTGTCCCCACCCCGATCGGATCGGCGATGCAACCTCGGAGCCACTCCGGCCTTGGTCCCGGAAAGATACCTCGTGAGAGATGCAGCACCGCACAAAGCAATAATATGGTCTATTGCGGCTGCTATGCGGAGTTGAAAGCACCCTGGCGTCTCACTCATTGTCCATAAGCACTTATTAACTAGTCGTCAGAGGGGAAGGCGTCTGCGGATCTCGTCTTCCTACATAGCTTATTGATGACCTACCGAAGCAGGAAGTTCTTGTTTCCCACACACCTCTTGACCCCACTCGGCGATCTGATCCGCACTATTGTACGCAGGCTCGTGCATGTAGAGCCATCCGCATCTGGATTAGGGCCGCAGGATACTACTTGTACCTAGTTGGCCCGATACGATTGCATACATGGTACCTGTTCGATCGACTTAAACCAAGATCCTGACTGTCCTGGGGTTGACTAATCGTGCTAATGCAGTAGATTAGTCGCTATCACGCAGATTCTGAACGTAGAGCGCTGTATGCAGCGAGCTGAATCGCAGCACAAACAAACCTGGCTTAGATCTTCCGCGTCATACGGAGCTGGAAGAGGTGATCGGCGTGATGGGGGCGCCTGTCTCCTGCAATGGACGTCACTGGACCCGACTAAGATGGAAAGGAACGCCGGTTGTCGTCCTAAGCGAAGAGTCTAATGCGGGGCTCGAATCTGAGGTCAAAACATAGTAGGAGAACCTGGAAGGAGATGAGTATTCCCTGCATCGCTAAGACCGATAGCATCCGGGAGCTGCCCCCCCGGGGTAGAGCGCTGCAGAGCTGCATCTCTCCGCAGAGTGATGGCGCTGCGTTGGTTGACGGCAGCTCGGCATGCATACACTGCTGGGCCAGATACCACAGTTCGCAAACATCGCCAGATTGTTCGTGTCAAATCGTGTCAAGCAAATCGAGTCACGGAGGCATCATCGAACTGTAAAACGCAGACTTTTGAATCATTATCCTCTCCGTCACCTATGGTGTCAATCCGTCTTTTGTTCCCGCCGTGACCAGTCGATCGCCGTCCCAAGAACTTATAGCAAGAGACTAAAGGCGAATAGTAAAAGAAAAGATAGATAGAATCAAGGTAAGAAATGGTAAATTGAGCGCCGCGGACCCTATCCCTCGACTAACGTTGTTGGTTGGGAAACGAACGTATCACATACAGAGAAAGCACGTGACGGAGTGACAAAGTACGTTGATGACGATGGGGAAGATTGAAGTCACCGGGTCCGTTCAATTAGGATAGCGGCGCATCGGGAAGAAGTAGGGAGGCATCGGCTCCACGTGCCACTGCTTGGGAGCGTTGTCGTTGAAGGCCTTCTCCCACTCGGTCTCGAGCTCGCGGGGAATTGACCACCCCAGATCTCCGCTGCGAAGGCGCATACGCACCAGGTGACGCTTCGTGCTCGGAGCCTCGCCGTTGACAAATCCCTCCCGGCGGTGGAGGATAGCCAGGTTGTTGATAAAATGCATGTCCCCAGCCTGCGTCTGAATCTCCAGTTGGGTTGCCTGGGCAATGGTTTCGATTGCGTCCAAGGCCTCCACCTGACGGGCCGTGAGGGAGGGCAGGTGCTCAGGGCGGGGGTGGGCCTCACTGCCCATGAGAGCGGCGCGGCCAAAGTTCATGATGAGCCTCGACCCCTGGTAGAAAATGACCGGACGGCATTGGAATCTGGGCCTGCAGGGAGAATATCCAGTCAGAGCACGGCTCCGAGTGCCAGCTAGGGAGGGTGTGAACCTACATGGCAAATGGCCAATCAGACCGAGCCAGAGTGCGAATCACATCAGGACGGGTGGCGGCCAGAACGTTGTAGATGGTGTAAGCCGAAGCAATGATGCATTTGCCACCCGCGGCAGCGGTACTGCGTGTCAACCAGCTGACAACATCGCCGGATTCCTCGTTGTGGAACGACTAGAGATGATCAGCTCTCGTCCTTCTACACTCGCGAACAGTAGGCAAGGACTCAGGACTCACGATTGCCTTGGTAGAGTGGCGGTGATGTTCTGCCGCCATCTTTGTGCTGTTGTCGGCGACAATGTGCACTGCACCGGCGATCGTCAGTCGAATCACTCGCCAAAGAAACCACTTTAGCTCCCCGGTCACTCACCGAGCATGTTTCCGCGCTTGTCTTGGCGGCCACGCTGTTCAGCGATGTACGATTGGACGCCGAGGTAAACGAGCGTCAAGTCCTCAACAGAGTACGTAGCAGGATCAATGCCTCGAATGACACAAAAACCTCTGCCGTCGTGCACATCCCGGCTGAGCTCTTTGAGCTTCGGGCCCAGAGTTGGGAGCGGGAACCTGGCTGGCTCCACGAGGTCACCGTCCTGGTCAAGAGCTGTCGAGGCGGTTAGCAAAATCAAAATAGGTAGGCGTTACTGGTATGGGCACACTCGCATTTGAAGCTTTCCAGAGCGGCCTTGATCTCCGCGTGGTGGACGTCGTCCAAGGTCAGAATGTGGTCGGACGACTTGGCGAAGTCCCGTCCCGTCCATGCCAGTTCGTCCGCCAGGCGGGCAGGGAACCCGGGAGGGAGGGCCGCAACCTCGGTACTAGCTTTGGCGGGTGAGGCCAAGCTGGCAGTGCCAATGATGGGGGCAGTAGTTGCAGCCGACATCGTAATGGAGGATTCCTGTGTTGCGGCTCAGTACCTTGCATCAAAAGCGGATATCGTTCAGGCGAGGTGCGTTGGCCCTCGAGGTCAGTTATGGTCAAACTTACTCTGAAAGAGATTCTTAGGTGTGGACCGAGAGTAGTCGAGCTTGAAGAGCAGAGTTTGGTGTGCCGAAAGACCTAGTGAAGCTGAAACCCACACAGGGCCAAGCGAACCGTAGGCCACGGGAAACGGGAGAAAGAGGAATGGAACGAGTGTTGGTGGAGAGAACGCGGAAGTCGATGCCTTAGACTGACTGCCACGAGGGAAACCAGGTCGAGGCAGTCATATATAAGTATCTGTCTGGCGAGGAGCCTGAAGGTTCGAGGAAGGCAGGAGAACTCGAGTCGGTATGTTGAGGACGACAACTGTTCGCCAATGTGTCCCTTCCGTACTTGTCGTGGTCGTGGTGGAACGGTGTACACCCGGCGGACCGTAGCTGCCCGAGATGAACAAACGAAGGAATGTGACCGTTGAACGCAGAGGACCGAGGCCGGTGAACGGGAGAGCGAGTGAGGATGACGCGAGGCGTGGCACAACAAGACTATCGGCAGCGAGCATCCACGAAGACGGGCCTTGGCTTCAACGTCTGGAGCGACGACTGTGCTAGTAACATCCGCTCTTTCTCCGGCGATGAGCAGGTAGCCGGCGAGATCGACATAGGACGCCGGGCTTGGCCGGTTAGCAGAAAGTTGAGTTCGGGTGAGGAAAGAGGCAGCGACGAGAGGGCGGGAGGAGACATGAAATCAGCAGTTTCCGTGAGCTTTGCGGAAAGACGCACCCATAGCTCTCGCCAGACTGGTGGACTCATACGACGTCACGGTATGGAAGCTGAGGTGACCAGACAAAGCGGCAGCTGCATGCCGTCGCGTAAGGTCCAGTTGCTTCTCTGTCGCGGAAGGAACTCCCGGCGGCGCGGCAGGAGACGCAGGAGACCCGGGGTGAGTTGTCAGCTGAACTGCAGTGCCAGTGCTGCAGACAAACAGAAACAAGCAAGCAGGCACGAGCAACATGGCGGGGCCGACGTGGAGAAGCTCAACCGGAAGTAGCGACCTACATGAGGTAAAGCAGCTTCCCGCGGAGGCATGGCGGAGATCTAGACCCTCCCGTTCATCGAACGGAGCTAACCGAGATCGTACCAGTTCGTGCATCAGGGACTGCAGGGACACAGCCGGCGTGTATTAGAGCCAGGTGTAGGAGACGGTGGCAAGAGCCGGGACAAATAATATGTGGAAGCGGCACAGCGAGCGGCATCCCGTTGATGGCACCTGTTGAAAGGCCCGAGGGGAAGTTGTGGGCAGTAGTTTTAAATAAACTCATGGATTGCGGAGGTCAAGAGGAACCACGACCCTTGAGGCGCTGTGTGAAAATACAGCAAACAGCTAAACGTGCCGCGAGTGGCAGGAACGAACGACAACACGACGTAAGCGGCTGGGGCTCAAGCTGGCGGGTCGCTCTGTCTGCGGTGCAACGCTGGCTGCATCTCCGACGTCGAATGAAGGAACGAACTCAGAAAGGGTGGTGGAGCGAAGCATCGAGGGCAAAAACTGGGGCATCATAATGAGCTTTTGGAAGAGTCATGCTCCAAGTCGATTTGGAGCTGAACCATTCCTGCTGAGACATGCCGTGCCGAGAGGAAGGAGTTAAAAAAAGCAAATGGAGAGGTTTCAAAAACCTGGTCAGATCCAGGACTGCGAGGGCAAGAGGAACGAAAACGAGGGGTGCGAATGTGACTGGTCTCTTGCAAAATCACATCGCGCCACGGACGGGACGGGAGTCTTCTTACCCGGATGCCCAACCTGCAGGACGTCTGTATGCACATCCCCAGTAGTGTACACGTACAATCTGAGCTCAGATTTGGCCCAAAGGCACAGAGCTGAGACTTCCGCATACATGCACTGCGCCCGTCTGGTGCATTGCGGTTGAGGTTGTGGCTGCTCGCCATCTCGGGCATAACAGCATCGCAAACTTTATTGCTTTTCGTTCTTTGGCTGCGCCACTGCCTGATTCCGGGGGTGAGAAAGATGGCAAATCCAATCGTCAATCGATCTTGGAACCGGTCCGGCACTTGACATGTGCGTGGCTTGGCCGGTGAAGGAACCGGTCGGGAGACGGAAAAGAGGAAATGACTGGGTGGCGGGCATGTACAGGTCCGTACTTAGTTGTTGAACCGCTCACAGCCAGCTCTGTCGGCTGTATGCCGCCGCAGCCCGTTCTTCTGGCTTCCTGTGATTCATAGCTCTTGGTTTCCTCCCCGCTGCGAGGTCCCGTCCTGGCCAGCCATCGAAATGAATAAATCGGATCGGGTCGGATGCGATAAGCTGCATTGCAGCCAGGGAAGGATCACAACCAGCAGTCGGCACGGAAGAGATCTGATCTGTGTTCCCTCAAAATGGGACCCTTGGACTTGGGATCGGAAGGTCAACTTTGTTGCGGCAGGTGGGAAAGCTGGCGCGGCGACGATCTGCAGGTGGGAATCCGCTCGAATGAAGACGCCATTCCGCGATTGGCTCGCTGTGGCAGCTGCATATGCATGCGTTGAGGAAGCCAGAACTGCAGACGGAAGAGCGTGGTGTCAATTATCACCAGACAGCTTTGATTGGGGAAATCTCACACGATTGCCAACGCCCACCTGTTCTGAAGAATCGAAAACGGGTTGGGGCGCAAATTGAAAGCCTCCAAATGCCACATTCTCCGAGTCCTTTGCTCTCCTGTAGCCATCGTCGGGCGAGCTTCGTGTCCCATACAAAAAGTACGTAGCCAGAATACCATCCGTAACCAAGTCAATCGCTTCATTCGTAAAGAGCGTCCAGCTGCACTGGGCCCATCCCTCTGTCGTCGTAGAGTCTCCAACGAACCAATCAACCCGATTCCCAGCGAATGATCTGCCCAAAATTGACTCCTCCTCGGGTATGTCTATTTCGTGAACCTGCATCAAACACTGCGGTTGAGACCGAAACCTGCCGCCTGCGCGAGCCGTAAAACCCCGCACCAGAGAATGCCTAGGCCATGGTCCGAGGTTGCCAGTTGGGCTCGAATAGTTGGCTGACGTAGTAGAACTCGTTTTCGTAGGCGTCTAGAAGCCACAAATCCTGCCATTCCCTTTCTGAGCACACGAGGAACACACTAAGTTAGCATTGCACAAGCGTCTGACTTCGCATGCGAGCGTCGGCAATACGAATGCATCGGCATCAACTTACTATTCTGAGCAACGACACGTCTGGTGTACCTGACAAACGAGATGGCTTCATCGTTGAGCTCCGCCAACGTTTGAAGGTCCTGATCCTTGCACTCGGTGGAGAATGGGTATATTGCTTTGTTGCAGTAGTGGAAGTAGGCGAGCAGCGTGTTCGCGCCTGGAGGTACGTTAGCCGCGAGTTGCAGGCAGGCACACGGCAGTTGTCCACCTACCAATATTATACTCCTTGACATGGGCCTCTCTTGCGAACCGTCTCTGTATTGGCCAGTGTCAGCCACCGTACTTCTCCCTACTCGGGATTCCACGTGCCACAACTTACCTTCAAACCGTGCTTCTTAGCGTAGTCTGCATCGTGCTTGGTGATCAGGGCAATGTTGTGCAACAGGATGAAGGTGACCAGGTACGTTGTGAGCCACGTCTTTTGCTTCTTCTCCTGGGTCATCTTCTGCAACTCCTCAAGTGCCTTTCGGCGAAGTCGAGGTTGGATCTGGTGGATGATCACCGAATCGATCTGCGCTCCCATCACTGGCGGGATCGGAATCTTTCCGTGGAGCGGATTGTCCTCGTCTTTGATGATGTCCCGTGGCATGTCCAGCGTATCGTCGCCCACAATTTCGAACGACTTCGTCGTCAAGCGAACCGACATCCAGAGATCAAGAGTGGAGACGAGTAGACTCCTCTCCGATAGAGGTGTCGAGGTGTCATGCGCGAGTTTGATGGCGAGAGTATACGTCCTCCAGAGCAGCTTGTCCCGCGGACCGAGAAGGTAGTCGCAGCAGTTGAGCAAGCCGTGTTTGATGTACTGGTCAAAAGCAGCTTTGGCTTCGTCCAGATTGACAATGGCAAATGCCGGGATCTTGACCGCTCGTTTCGCACCATCCTTCGACACCCATTTCCTCTCGAGGCTATCACCGGGCAGCGGCCTGAACTGTCGAACCTGCAGTCGAACCGATTGTCCGGTGTAACCCTCCGTGACATATATCGTTCTCACCTGAGCCGACTCCCAATTCCCGATGTCGTCCATCACGCTGTCTTTCCACCGATTGGTCCATTCTTGTCCTTTGACCTGACCGGGCTTGAAAAGCCTCACGTCTGTGATCTTCAGGCGCAGGCAGTTTAGCCGGTATACCCTAGTGGTACTGGCAATCTTCTTGCACGATAGACAGGGACCTCTTTCGTTGTCCGGGTCAAGGTTGCACTACATGAAGGACGTTAGAATACGGCTTTCCGTCAAGTGTTGCTCTAGGTGGTGAGCACCCACCCTGATTCGTTGCATTCGACAACGAATGCAGCTGCCCATTTTCCTGGTAAGCGCAGTTTTCTCCCGAGAATCTTGATCCTTAAAGGGGCCACGTTTGACAGGGGTCGTTCTCTGCGTAGGAAGGAAGTCTTCCTGGACAGCCGTGTTCCCCGCTCCTGGTCTCACATCACAAACCTGTGCCGAATGGAAGTGTGATGGTAGGTTCATAAGAATGCCGTGGCCATCCAGAGGCGAACATTGGCTTCCAGCAGAGCATGTGCCCGATGCGGCGTCTGCCTGCAGGGATACCTCAGTCAGGTACCCCTGGGCTGAGAGGCTCGGGTAGACCATCTCCTCCCTACTAGCAGCAGGCTGAAGGCCCAGGACCTGAGAAGGCTGCAGCGGTGGATGGTTCGACATATACTGCGACATCAACGCGGGATCATCACAGGGGAAAAGCCCCGTAGGCTGCGGAGAGACGGGGGTAGGAAGAAGGGAGCCTTGAGACGGAGTTTGCACGGATACCATGGTAGTATCCAGGGCCAGCGCCTTACGGTCATGATAGTCATACGGAGGAGGTGTAACAAGCGGCTGGTACGCTGAGGCGGCCGTTAGCGTATCTTTCTGGGACCTGCGGGCAGACATGACGGCACGGGAACACATACATGGTTGAGAGTCAGACGTAGCGCACATGGAAAAGCTCGCGAAACAGTCGGCCAGTCGCGATCCAGTCCACCCGCCGAAGAGCCCAGGAGGCTTGTGGCTAGGAATCACCCCAGCACCGGGCTGGCCACCAAGAGGAGGCTTCTCCTGGCCATCCCGCCTATAGAGACCGTCAGAGTATGGTGTCGGCATTTGAGCGGTTGGGTCCAGGCGCGGCTTCTTGTGGAAGTGATCTTGATCACTGACATATGGGTGTTGCTGGTTGTTCAAATTGAGGAGAGAATCCAAGGGCTGGTTGAGGAGAATGGCGGCTTGCTCCAGGATAAACAGGTGAGTGTCCGGGAAGTTCGGGTCTATGTAGCTGGACGGAAGCACATGCGACAGAGGCGGCTGCTGCAGTATATACTGGTGATCGGCCGGGAAGTTAAGAGTGGCATGGCCAGTTGGCGACGAGTAAGTCAAGCCATGGAACACCGGCTCTGCAGGCGCCTCCTCGGGGCAGTAAGCCCGCCTCTTTCTGACGTTGGTTTCCTAGAACAGCGTTGTCAATCCACCGCATATGTGGCGAATGAGAACATGAGCTGAGGAATGGGGCGCGGACCGGTGAGGCAGTTCATGATTAGGCAGGGCAGGGGAGAGGAACCGGAGAGCTGAAGGAGGAGTGTTTAAGTGACACGAGGATGGGGGGTGCATGAATGCTCGGAGCGACAATCGGAAAACATGGGTGGCTTTTGGGGGGAAAAGCAGTCACGGGGGAATGGACGGTGAGTTCCGCCGTGCAACCTGCCGCCAGCCCTGTAACTATGAGAGACTCCATTCTTACCATGTTGAAGACGAGCGCAGGATATGTACTGTGTTGGGCGGGTCCGGAAGAGAAGGCCCGGTGTGCGTTTGATCCGGGAGCTGCCCGGTATGCAAGGGGGCGACAGGGAAGGTGGGTACCACAACCGGAGAGCGCAAAGAGCGACGAAGGCGTAACGTGTTCCAGGGATAAAACCGTACGAGGAAGGGAGAGGCGGGGGGTGTGAAGGCTAGAGCAGAGAACTCAGAAGCGCGCCATCACCATAAAGGACGAGACAGCCCTGCGGAAGCGTGGGAGAGTGCTGCGGGTGCGACCGAATACGGTACCCGACGCAGCAAGGAGAGACGCCACGGGTGGGGGATGACAAGACTGGGAAGAGGATTGATAAGGGAGGAGCAGGGGGGAGCGAAGTGACAGGTCAGGAAAACCCGACAGCCGGGTGACGGAGTCGCACAAGTGGCGACTTGAACACCTGCCACCGCCCCCAGGTTTCGTTCAGTGTTTGGGCCTCCGTCCGCTCTTCGGTTCGTTCGGGATCCGGTCCCCCGGCGTCGTTGCTTGCGGCGTTCGTGCCGGCACGACCCGCCGACGTGGCCGGGAGCCGGTTGAGGTGAGAGCTCACGGGGGACTGCGGACAACGAATCCTAGGATGCACGGCCTGAATTCGGCTGACTGACAGGACTCGGGCAGCCCTCTGGCGCTGTTGCCAGTATGCTTGACTGATGGCCAGCGGCGTGCCTGTGCTACACGCTGCTCCCCCAGGGTGGATGCGGCCGTGTTTCTCGTCGCGAATCCGTCGGCGGCGGGGTGCTGCCCTGTGCTGTCCTGTGCTGCCTCCGCTGCCTGTGCTGCCCGTGCTGCCCAATGGCGGCAGGTGCTACGCGTGGTGTCTCACGGCACAGACCGATATGGGCCTGCTGGTTACTTGGTGGAGTCCTTGAACAGCCGGTGAAGAATGCTATTGTCCCGTTTGCTGGTAAAGGAAAGAATCGGTGAGAGTCGTGACAAGAGGAAGAGAAGAGGAGAGATTCACCGGTCGTGGGGAAGGCGCGGCCTGACCACTTCTTGCGCCTTCACCCTTGCCTTTTCCTGGCTGATGAGTGGCAGAGGTGGAAGGAGCACCTGGCAAGCAGAGCAGGGGAGGGCAATTACGGTAAAATGAAATGCGACGGGACCAGATTGAGAGATCCTTGGACGCGAAGGAGCTGGCAGTCATCACTGCATCGGGCCACAGACGAGGGAACGTGCGAGCACCCTTGAGGATAAGCTGCTTGTCCCAAAATTAATCCCTGTCTCACAGGTCCTTCGTGTCGCACAAGAAGCCATCATTCGCATCCATCATCATCCGGGCCTGCCTCATCAGAATTGACAGCTCGAGTTCGCCCAGCCCGAGTCCAACGACCGAGCTGCCGACTCAGGACACGCATGTCATACCGGCATACATATAACTGCAGAAAGCTATACCCACCGTTCAGACCCGTCCAGTTGCGTCCAGGCGTTCTGAATGGGCGCGTAATGGTCATGCCAAGCGAACAAACTGCGGGTTGCACCTCGCTGGCCAATCGCCAGTTACGGAACCAGAGCCAGAGGGTTCTAGCGTCGTACTTTTCCTGGTCTGGGCTTAGTGGACTTGCGGGTTCGAGTGCCCCGCTTTTATGTGAGACCTCCGGCCGACGGCCGTGCCTTGTGTACATGGCTTCGGATTAACTATGGGTCAATGCCTCGGGCTTCGACTCTTGACTTGGAACCGGGTTTGGACGACACGACATCAATCGGACGAGAGACACGGCAACTGTGCGAAGCCAGAGCTGTTCGTCTTCGGGAATTTACGTGTAGGTACCGAGTTAGCATCAACTTCGCCGCGTGCAAGTCGAGCGGACTTCGCGTGGCAGCCACACCGCTTTCACGCGAAGAATTCAGCCAGCCGTTCAACGTCAATGACTGACCTCCTGATCTTTGAACTGCCTGCTGACCGGGTCATAATTGGCGTCGATGATGCACAGGTCTGACTTGCATATCAGATCCCGTCGTTGCGTCCATCTTACTTGACCCTCTCCGAACCGAGAGCCTATTGGCCAAGGCTAGACGGCGCAATACAACCCACGCCGAAAGGCCAGACAACCCACGGAACGGGGGAGTGATACAGGACGCCGGGGCGAGCCGACTACGAGGAATCGCACATCCAACGGTCCAACCTTACCCGCCTCCTGAGCCCGCGCAGCGTTGCAAGTCCGGTATTCTGTGGCTAAGACCCCGCAAACATATGTTAGGTGCAACTGCTGGTCGTCTCCGGCGAGTCCCCAAGCTTGACCACGTAAAGATAGTTCGGGCATTGGAGTTTTCCTCCGCAAAGGGGACCGACGGGCCGCATCGGAAACGAGGCTCCTGGGTCTTGTGCTCTGAATGGGAGAAGCACAGGTCCTCATAAGGTCAGTCTGAGCCTAGATCCCTAGTACTAGTATTGTTTCGAGCTGTCCGTTCCTGTTCCAGAGCCGTGTATCCGTAGGAGTCAAATCGACAATACAAGGGCCGTGATCCAAAGGCCTTGGGCGTCGGGGCAGGCCCAGATTCCAGAATCGAAATTCATTGGCCCTTTTCTCGACTCTGTTTGTCGACCCCATCCTGGCGGAGAGGGGTCCGAGACCCCTGCTCACCGGTCAATATAGCCTTGCAGATGTAACCACTCGGCAAGAAGCTAGTCTGGCGCGAGTTGTCAATGACCACCACCTCAACCGCACTGGTCCTCCAACCCGTCCTTGCAGTATCGGACTTCTTGCGACATTCACTTCTTTCTCCCAGCCTGGTATTTCCTCGGCTAAAGAAGGTGGAACTTACCTCAGTGAGCGCCCGAGAGGTGCTTTTGATACCGTGACTGACGCTGAGTCATCGACATACTGACGCAATCTGCGGTATGAACCTTTGACAGGACACCAAGGATACTCCCGGGTGGCATCTGCGCCTTCAATCCAACACCTGCAGCTGCCCGCTTCCGGCTCTTGGGTTACAGTTGTGTGATTTACCTAAGCCTGCGGTGAGACGTACTGGGCAGTCATAGTTTCTCAGCTACTGCTCGGTACTTGAGCTCGCCACCCTAGCTCAAGTGCTCAACCGAGGTACGCAGTTCTATGCAATGTACTTAGCGGCCTCGGTTTGCGTCGTGAGGGAACTCAGATTGACCCTGCGAAGTATATCGGGTGGCTTTCTTTTTCTAACAACATGGGGAGTTTCAGGCTGACCTTCTTTAGGCTCTGGATCATTGAATAACAAGCCTTGTGCTGGAATACCATGCAGTGAACCCCTTACGGTTACAGACGGCGGCCTACCATCAATGTACTCAGGGCTGCTTAGACTTGATGGCGCAAGCCGCCATCTTGAGGTCCGCTAACCAAAAAGAAAGGATCCTTCAATGAACAAGTCTTCGGCCCACGCGGGACGGCAAGGCCGCGCCGTTCTTGGGATGCGCCGGTCGTTGACTGTAACCATGTCTTACGCATGACCGAGATTGCCGCCATAGCCTGTGAAGTTCTGAGATAACCGAGCTATGTGTACAGACCCCGTTATGGAACTGTTGGTGCAATCCTTCTTTCGGTGACATCACACCCATTGTCAGGCTGAAACCCTCATGCCAGGAGTTAGTCCAGGAATCTCCGACCCGTCCCAACGTGTCCGGGTCTCCATGCTTGCTGACATATGAACGGGGTGATAGAAATAGGCCATTCAGCGGGGAAGGTAAGGTAGCAGGTTGCCCTGGCCCGGCAATGGATGCCGTAGTTCAAACCTTCAAAGCCGCACGCTTCTGCAACGGTCCCTTTATCTGTTACCTCTCCCCAACAACAGCTGGATCGAGTCGAAGCGAGACAACTGGAAGCCAAACAAACTTCTAATCACGAAGAGTGCACGCCCTGTCGTGTGCCGACTACGTATGGGCCGTCATTTATGCCCGCCCTGCAGAGTCTTGGGAAGGAAGCAACCTAGGCAAACATTCCACCCGACGGACCTTGTCCATCACTTGACGCCCACGTCACTTCAAGTTCTCTCACAGTGCCCTGCATTTGCGATGGCGACTCGGATCTCTCGCCTGCCTGCGCGGACGCATCTTCTGCTTCTACCATACTATCGAGCAGCCTAAACTTCAACTCCAACCTGGTCTGATGGTGGCTCGCTGCTTGCTGAACATGCAGCAGCAATTGCAGCTCGCAGTCTGACTTGGCAGCCCAACCGAACCCATCCACTGCAATGCTTGTTATTACTTCAGTCGGGCATCCAAGCGAAGGTGGAGCGGCCACCGCCACAGCCCCAGGCTGCATGTCGGCACTGAGACGTAGCCTGATCGGACCGGCCGATCATGCCATGGAAACACCGCAATCAAGGACAGTCGGGCACGATGTACCGGAACGGCGGCTTTCTTCCCGGCATTGGATCTTCCCCTGAAGCCGTTGCGGCTTCCTCCAGCGCCAACCTCCGGCACGACCATGTCCCCATCCATCACCGATCGCGTACGGCGAGAAGCGCAGACAGCAGCCAATCAAAAGAGTTAAATGTGCGTCAAGCCGGAAATGGTTTCTTGCAGCGAAAAAAAGAAAAACAAATTCTTCAGGTATGGCTTGCGACTGCAAGTCCTTCGGCAGTCCTTCCAAGAAACAGCCGACTCGCCCTGCTTTCCCGAGGCCGCAGTCTGCACACGCCCGGGCGGGAGCTTCGAATGGCGGGCACGGGAAGCCCACATTTCCGCCGCCACGACCTGTGGAGGAAAGTTCGAGGGTACGCGTTGGCTAGGAGGAAGGCGCGACCGCCTCGTCGGTCACCAACACGGATGGGTCACGGTGTCTTCGCGGCAAGTTGCAGCCGGTGAGTGTGAGCGCCCAGACGTTGTTACTAGGAAACCGCCACGCACCCCCGGGTATGCTGGATGACCTCAGCACTCCCAGCGTTCAAGTTGTGCCAGGCCGATTCCCTACGTGTGATCAGAGCCGTGTCCAGTTGATTCCTATCCTACTCGTCGCTCTTTCTTCAACAGCGTGCGCCTGCGGTTTTGTTCCTGCGGCTTTGTGATCGAGACTCCCAGAAGTGCTGCTTGATACGGGGTCGCCTACCCGGTGTCGTCATGGACCTCGACTCGGCGGCAATACGTGATGCCATCCACCCCACCGCTGCCACCATCCCTCCGGATTCCTTCGCGGAGAGTTCACCGTTGTCCGGAACCCGGGCTGTGGTAGAACCCGAGAGCTCCCCGTGGGACAAGTCCCAACTCAACCCAAAGAACCGGATCGACAGCCTCGACCCTCCCCTCGATCCGCTTTGGAGAATTGACGGCTGTACCGGTCTGGGCACGCAGTTCTATGCCACGCCCCTGTTCCTTAACGATGTCCCCCCGATGCGTTTCGACGTTTTCATCCCAGAGGAAGTTCAAGTTGCCTCCCCCAGGCTCCGCGAGCTGTTGGATCTGACTGTCGCCTTCCACACCAAGGACGCCGTAAGGCTGGAGCGACTCGGAATCGCAAGGTACATTGTACGCACACTGCAGGCATGGATCACCAAAAAGGGTCGCGACATGTATTCGGATATGTGCAAAACACTCCCTTTCGGCTCCCGCATCATCTTCGAGAACCTCGAGGCCAACATCCACGCGATCAAGCTTTCCATCGTGCCGACTTATTACGTGGAGAGGCAGCTTCTCCCGCTGGCAAGCTTGAACCACGCTCTTGGCCTTACTCAACCGCTACCCGAGGCCATCGATATCTCAACTCTGAGCGTTGTGCAGCAGCTCGCCGACAGCGCGTGCCTTGTGCGCATGAGGGGTGGCAGAGCAGATGATGAGGGCGGCAAGCTGTGGGTTCTTAAAGCTATGACGAGCGATACCAAGTATCTCTTCGTGGAGCTACGTAATCTTCTACAGATGGAGCCGCACCCCAATATCATTTCAAGACCCGAGTATCTCGTCACCAAACAGTGTCGATTTGGCGGCAAAACGGCAGTTATTGGCTTCCTCATCTCTTACCACAAACCGGGAAGCCTCCGCGACGAACTGCCGCTACTCCAGGTCCACGGCCGCCTCACGCTAGAACGCCAGCTGAAATGGGCGGCACAGCTCACATCCGCCGTCTGCCACGTCTGGGAGCAGGGCGGCATGTTCTATCCGGACCTGCGGCTCGACAACATCCTACTCTCCGCTACGGGCGACATTATCATGGTCGATTTCGAGCAGCGCGGCGTGTGGTGCGAGTTTGCCTCGCCCGAGGTCAACGCCATCGAGTATGTGCGCATCTTAGCTAGTGACGAATCCGACGACGACGCCGGTCGCGGGCCGAGTCATATCGCTTCCGAGCGGATCCTTGACGGGTTTGCCCCAATGTTAGAGCAGCTTCTACCTGGGTGGCATGCCCTGCAGGCTTGCGAGAGTTATTCTTCTTCTAGGCCGCAGGCGTATGCGAACTACAACATCCCCTGGCTCAGTCTCGACAAGGCAGAGCAGGAAGCTTCCATGGTGTACATGCTCGGGCGAGTGCTGTGGTGCATTTTCGAAGGCCAAAGCGCGCCGCAGACGGCGGCAGTCTGGCAGTCATACCGGTACGAACCGGACATCGAGTTCCCCGCCTACCAGTTGACGCCGCCCGGGCTGAGAAACCTCATTGATTGCTGTACGAGAGGCAGGCGTGAAGCGCTGTCGAGTCTGATTGTTAGACGGAAGAGCAAGCTGGTACTGCGCGACCAGGAGAGCAGCAGCCCCGAGGAAGTGCGCGAGTTTGCTCAGATGTGGTGGCAAGCTGAGGTCTCTGCCATGTTGGAGTACATCAAGATGCGCGGAGAGCAAAAGAAGCGCGGAAGCTGGGATGGCAACCATTTCGGGCGGCCCAAGCTGAGGGAGGTTCTTACAGAGTTGGAGCGTTTTCGTCTACAGATGGACGCTGCCGCCATTGTGAGTCGATGACTGATTTAGCATGTTGAGGGCGGACTCAAAGATGAATGGATGCCAGAATCAGACCATCCAGCGCAGCCAAGACATAGCCCGTCTAACCGCCGACGAGGAGGTAGCGTCAATTCCAGAATAAGATTTGCTAGCCTTAGAAATATGTGCCTGCGACTGTCCAAGGAGTGCGGAGAACTTCAGTAGACTCTCAAACTGCGGACTCTGGAGTTCTTGTCAAATGTTGTAGGTAATGTTTCCTTCCAATTTCGTCAAGAGACTTGCCCACGTCTGTCCTCGACGCATCTCCCTCGTCCTGCAGTTGGGCCCTCACCAAATACTCCAAGGTCGAATTCCCCAGAAGCCTTCCTATCAGATGGCCGAGAGTAGTGTCCTCGCCAGAATCTGTGCCAATCGGCTCTGGCCCATTTGTGTGTTGGGAGGAACCATTCCGGGAATTCGGGACCGGAGCCCGGAATTGCGGCGGTTGAGCCGGTGGTGTGGAGCTCCGGGAATCATCGCTGCAACGTCCGGTGTGGGTCCCGAAACACAACAAGGTACCTATTCGGGTAATCGCACCGTACGTAAGTAAGGTAGGTAGGATAACTGAGTATCTAGGTAAGGTATCGTTGCTATTCTCCCATCACTCTGGCTGAGGCGTTCAATGATTCTAGCGGCTAGCTATGAAAGCATGTACCCTCCTACGGAAAGTCGTCAGTTGTGGAACGGAAACGGCGGACAAGGAGAGACAGCAGGCCACTCCGTACCGCCTTTGAAGCTTGAGGAACAGTTGTACGGCTTGGGAGGATGATGGTCCCGAGGGAGTCGAGGATGTCGGAGAAAGAAGGATATACACACCTTCCGTGCACATACATACATTGGTACAATACAAGTACAATACATACATCACACAGGGCAGAAGCAAGCGGTTACGACAGGCAATCAAACGGACCGGAGCGAAAAACGCCCACCACACGTCACGCTCAACAAGGAAGACAAGAACCTGAACCTCATACTCTTGTATTGCTGCATTCCCGAAGTGGACAAGCTGAACCCAAATGCTACAGTGTATCCCGGACAGAATCCCATCACTACAATGCAGCGCATTAGTTCAAACAGAACAAGCGCCACAGCAGACCAACCGCCGGCCAAAACATCTCCATGCGTCCTGAAATCCCGTAACACCAACAAACAGTACACAACCATGAACATAGCCAAATCAAGCCGGAGAAAAAGAAAACACAAACTCCACCGTCTGCTCCTTTCCTTGCCTTCGACACAGCACCAACGCTGTCCCATTCGCACCAACGACTCCCATACACCCGTACTGCGAAATCACCGCTGGGGTGAGGGTCGAGATTGGCGTGGGTCGAGGGAGCGGCGCAGAGGAGTCATGCAGTAGAAGGGAACAGATGAACGAGGGGGTCCGAATGAATGGGGGTATGGTATTGATGTAAGAACAATCCCTGCCCGAAGATGCATGCATTATATGCGATATAATGAACACACTCGCCGCCATGAACCCCTTAAGAGCAGAAGAGGCGAGAGTAAAACTCCTGATGTTTCCCCGCAACGCCAGGCATGCAGTATGCAAGCACACAACGTCATCGAAAGAGCCCAAGATCCAGCCCTCCCGAGCTGCATCCCCCAGTTGGTGTACAGGTAACCCAAGGGCCGAGACAATCCTGAGAAACACATTGAACTTGGAAGAGAAAGGTGGTGGTTGGTCATGTCGTCATAAACTCATCAACATCGGAACATAAGTCAGTCGCCGGTGTAACACAGGACTGAGCGCGAAACGAGACAAACTCGCGCGCCGGTCGTGTTAATGCGTGCCGCTTATCTTCCGTGCTGTCGGCGAGACCTGACCAACGCTGCCAATCCGGCCGCTGGTCTTACGAACACCAGCATCCCGAGGCGTACCGGCAACGGCGCGCTTGGGGCTGCTGCCCCCGCGGGTCTTCATCAGGACGCCAGAGGCGGAGGTGGCTCTTTGGACTTGTTCGTGCGATTTGGCTTTTGCGACTGCCATGCCAATGTTCTCAATGTCGTTGGACGCGTCATCGTCGTCGATGACCTGGTGGATGGTTGTGGACGTTGTGGTCGTGGTGGTCTGGTGGCTGACTGACCGTTCTCGCCGCCCCGGTGAGACGGAAGCCGAGACTTTACGGTGTGCGCGCATCCGGAGGTGGTACTCCTCGTCAGACTCGTTTCCTTGCGTACGGTGCATCGAAATGACGTCTGTTTGGAGCTCTTCCTCCACGGCACACTCTTCTTCGACCGTTGGTACCGCATTTGTGCTGCGGCCGTATGGATGGTGACGATCGGCGGCCAACCGCTGAGTCTTTCGGGGTTGGCCTGGCGTTGGCGCTGGGAGGTAGTCTTCTTGCACACCGATGTTGTTATCCCGGGGGCGGTCCGGGTCAATCTCTCCGAGCGGCGTCCGGACCGAGCCCCTGTTTGGAGGCGTCGACGTCCCATTCTTACTAGCACTGCGCCCAACGCCGCTCTTCTGCATCGCGCGAACAGGCGTGCTGGGCTGCTGGTGCCCATTGGCCTGAGCAGCAACGGCGGCGGCCAGGGCTGCCTCTTTCCGCAGCTTACGCTCAAGACGCTCCTCAACCCACCATTCCCGGAAGGTTCCCTGGTTCAAGTGAAGCCAGTGCTGCTGGGGTCCAACGACCATGCCCGGGCGCATGAACCGCATGTAGGAGATGATCTCATTGGCGGTGAAGCCATGTCGGTAGATCAAGTAGGCCCCAATCAAGCAGCCTGTGCGACCTAGGCCGGCCTTGCAGTGCACTGCGATGCCCTTCTTCTTCACCGTTATCATTTCGTGCGCCATGCGAATGAATTTGCGCACCATGGACAGGGGTGGACAGGTGCCGTCCTCGAAGATCATGTCGATGTGCCGGATGCCGAGCGCCTCAAAGTACGATGCGTCGTACAGAACCGAGTTGAGCCGCACGACAAGTCCAATGTTCCTCTCGGTAAAATGCCTCAGGACGTTCTTGAATGGCTGTCCAAGCGTGGGATGAGCATCAACTTCGGACAATGTCTTGGGTAACGCCCTCCAGGCATCAGTTCCCTCGGGTGTGCGAGCCGGAGGATTGCTTTGCGGCGAAGCAAAAGCGAGGAAATGGGGAGTGATCCAGTTGAAGTCGCCCTGCTCGACGCGCTCAAACCGCTCGTACTCGTCGAGGTCGAAAGTCTCCAGCACGCAGCAGCCCTCCTCCTTCGCCTTCCAGACCCCATATACCACATCTTGCACCGTGATGCCGTAGTCAGCTTGACTATAGCCGGCGTCTCGGAAGGGCATCAACGGCGGGTCCACCTGGGCCACAGGTGCCAGTGCCAAGTGAGGCGGCCACGACTGTATTAGGACCATGTAGCATGCTAACAAGCAAGAGGCATTGGCGCGGCCTAGCATCGCCATCGCGGTCAGTAGGGCGTGCTACTACAGAAGGAAGGATATCACTCCTGGGTAAGGGAACATACTGCGCGGGTCTGCTCTGCTCCAGAAAACAATCGGCCTGTCCTGGTTCTCCTTGGCTCCCAAGATCTCGTGAAACTGCAGCGCGAAGCGGTAGAGATGGCCGATATGCAGCGGGCCAAAGTCGTGATGGAAGGCATTGTAGAGAAGAGTATCGTCTACCGTGAAATAAAATGGCTGCTTCCGGGTAGTCTGACCCTCGGCGTTGCGTTGCGACCTCTTACTCGGCGAGCGCGGAGGATCCGGGTACGGGAAGAGCGTGTTCGCATCGGGAGCTTCAAGGTAGGACGCAAGGTAAAGACGGTCTATCTTAATGATTAGCGCCGTTATTCGGAGAGGGGCGGCGCAAGGCGACGTTTCGTAGCTCTGCGATGGCGTCCCATTGGTGATGGTCGGTGGAAACCACAATAACAAAACACATCCATCCATGGATGCGATGCGAGCAGGGGAACGTTAGCAGCTCTGACGTACCCGGAATATACTCGATAATCTGTCCCAGATTACTGTGAAGGCGGGCGGAAGGAGCCATCCCGTCCAGACTCAGCGTTGCCGACGGAGGATGTTTGGGGAGGACTTGGTGCTGCGCACGTGGCAAGCACCGTGCGATGGGAAGCTGCTAGCGTTTGAGTTGCTGCGGGTCAAGCCGACGCCGGATTGCGAAGAATGAGACGCAAGCACAAACAATACAAATTGCCTGCACTTTCGACCTTGTTGTTTGCCGCCTTCAGGGACGACGCGCGACCATGTGAGGATGTTGAGGGAGGAAGGAGAGCTATAATCGGCAACGATGCTACACCAGCGTCCACGAACTCAAAAGATCGGAGCGATGAGGATGCAAACGGGCGTCAATAGCGAATGCAATGGGGAAGGAGAGCATGCGGGCATGCGAATGGCGCGAGCGAGGTTTTGTAATGGCAAGACAGATGTTTTTGGTTGCTATTGTTATGGTATTGCTTCTGGGCCAGGGCAGGTTTGAGCCAATCGGCGGCCTCTATTCCCATTCTGGGGTCCTGTTGTCATGGCAACAGAACTGGGGACGAGCGAGGCTCTGTGGCTTTCGCTGTGGAGCCTGTCTGTAAGACCGGGATCCTTCCGTGACCGTCCCATCCCGCAACCGTTCCAAACCTTATCTTATCGAGCAAGCCCCTCGATCTGCAACCCGTCCGTGTTCGTTTGCATTAGGATCTGAACATTGTCATCATCAGCTGTCAGACACATCAGTCCAGAATCGCCAATATTCAAACTTGCTAGTGCCAGATCAGCCATGGCAGTGGAGACACCCGTCGAATTCCCTTGCGCCTTGTAAGTCACCTCACGAACCAGAACCGGGCTGCGCAAGCTCAAGCCGGTACCCCGCTTACCATGCGCTATTCCCAGGACTCTCGACGTCCCCTTCCCGGATGCGCGACTTGCTGGAATCGCGCTCCGGGTACTCAGGGTGGATAAAGAACTTTCAAACCTTGTAACACGAAATCTGTCAACCGTCGCCAGCGAAGGTTCATCAAAGCAGACCGTCTTGCGCGTCGAGTACAGGGCCGCCACAAACCGGATGCTGCGCGTCGCTGTCAATGCCTTTCTTGACAACGTGGCCTTGGTGACGGAAGTCATGGGAGGGCTAGACGAGGACGTGATAGATGCACCGCAGCCACAAGGCGAGAGCGGTTGAGGATGGGTGGCAAACAATATGCCGGCACAGGGCCTCCTTTGGGCTGCGCTGGAAAGGATCGCAGCGACGCCTACTTCCCGTACAGACCGGGCCAAGCAGATGCAGTCCTGGTTGGCGGGTAATTCATCTGCGATCAAGGGCCCGGTGGAAGTAATCATAAGGAATGGGTGGCGCTTCGTGTTGCGGTCGAGGATGGAAATGGTATCATAATGCATGCTCCAGGATGCTCAGGTAGGATCTAATGGTCTAACATATGACCCTGCCGGGGTCACAGCTGCTCCTCCTTAACGTGCTGTCTAGGGGACTCGGCTTCGGCTTCAACCTGCCGTTGCAGCTCGTCATCGGCCGCAGCAGCATCAAGAGTAACACCCTCGCGTGCGTAACCATTGGCGCCGTTCACGCCATGCGCTTCGTCGTCCTCCCGCTTCAGAGGTCCGCCCCGTGCTCTATGCCGGAACACTTTGATGAGACCATCCTGCCCGGCACTCACCATGGTGCCCCTATGAACATCGACCCAGAAACACACCCCCTCATGCGCCCCCTTGATTCGCTGCAGCACCGTCTTGCTTCCTACATCCCACATGACGATATCTCCGTCCTCGCTGGCTGACACTATGAAGGCCTGACGTCTGGCGCTGCCATCGTCTCCATCTTCCTCTTTGGTGCCCTCTTCGGCTCCGGAAATCACGCCGAAACATCCACCAATCGAAAATCCCTTGTTCGTGTGGCCCTGGTAGGTCTTCTTGACGGAGCCCGACACGTAGTCCCACAGTCGGATGGAGCTGTCGAGGTTGAATGCCAGGACAAATCGGCCGTTCGGGCTGAAGCACACGTTGGTGACGGCGGGGTTATCCTCGTGCACCAGCGTGCGCAGGCACTGGCCGGTGGAGGTGTCCCAGATGCGGCTGGAAGAGGCAATAGATCAGCCATACACTTCAATCGTGTCTGTGTGAGGAAGGGCCGGCGGCACACTTACATCAACCCATCTGTAGAACAGCTCACCACCAGCGTTCCGTCCCGGCAAAAGTCAATCCCGCTGACCGGGTCACTGTGCGCCGGCAGGCTCCTCATAAGTCTTCCTGCCCTCACATCCCACAGAAACACGGCCTCGTCATAGCTCCCGCTGGCCAGGATGTTCCCTTTGGGCGAGAAAGCCAGGCAATAAACATAGTTATGGTGCCCCAATAACGGGCCGCGGCCGGTCCGGCCGCCTCTCACGCCCTCCCCAGGCACACCTGTCCGCGCCCTCCTCCCTCCTGCGCCCCTCGCTGCGCCTTTTGCCGCTCTGAGTAGTGTTTCCCCAGCGGTCTCGCGATGCCCAACGGCATGCGCCGGGCTGCCGGTAACGCGATCCCACAACCGAATCGCCTTGTCATCTGACCCCGTCGCGAGCGTGTTGCTGTCGGGTGACCAGGCAAGGCAGGACACGCCGGCCATGTGGCCGACCAGCGTGTTGAGGTGGGCGCCGGTGGCCGCGTCCCAGATCTTGGCGGTGCCGTCGGCCGAGGCTGAGGCGATCCAGCGGCCGTCCGGGGAGATGCGCACTTGGGAGACGGCGCGCGCGTGTCCCCGGAGGAGGAGATGCGGTTGGTAGTTGGGACGGATGGGTGACGAATTACGAGGGTTCTGATGGTGGGGTTGGCGGGTGGCTCTTGGTTCGGGGCGCGAGGTTGATGAGAGGCTTCGGCTTCGGCTTCGGCTTCGGCTTCCGGTTCGGGAGTGCGAGCCACTGCGGGAGATGGATTCTGTTCGCGTTCGTGATCGAGAGTCTGAGTAAGAAGGGCTTCGAGGGTGTGAACGTGATGGTGATCGGCGGCGACGGCGGGAGCGAGAGCGCGATCGAGATCTCCTCGACTGGGAGACTGATGGCGAGGAACGATACCGCCTTGTGCTGTCGTCGTCATCCACTATGGGACTTCTGTCTCTGCTTCTGCTACGGGAACGGCTGCTTGGTCGTCCGCGCCGGATGGAGAGCTTCTGATCCGTAAGGTGACCATTCGTTGGCGGGGAGCTGGGGCGTCCACCATCGGGCGACCCGTAGCGCTCTGGGGAATCAGTACTGTCATCGCGCACCCTGCGCCGCTTTGACGGCGGCTCTGCGACAGGAATATCTGCTGTAAAGTCTGGCTCTGACATGATTATTTTTGGTTATGTGGTCAGGTGGACAGGTCGCAGCCCCTCAGGTAGATAGGGTACTCCTGGACCTGGTCGTCGCGGTTGAGGTCCAATGCGTGACGACGTCCATGACGGTAACGGGTGCCAAGTGGTTTAAGGTAAATTTAAGCGGGCCCAGACTTGGCACTGCAACTGGGCCGCTCAGCCGCTTTGGGATTGACCAATGGAATGACGTGTATGGAGCTGAAGCACAGGCCCGACTTCCGCGTGTCTAGGGGTCGAGCTCTCATTCTCAGTATGTACACGAAGTGAATCTGCTACTTATTGTTCAAGGCAGGTCAACTTATATATCGGGGGAGTGGTAGGTAGCTGGACGTCATTTATGCCATGTCAAATAATATGAGTTCATACATACCTATATAAACCTTTTTGCTTTTCAAACGAAGTGTCTAATCGGCCGGTAGATCCGGAGGGTCTTCGCCGAAACATCCCAGAAGCAGATCACAATCTGATGCAGAGCAGCTGACAACAACCTCGTAGCTAGGTACGCAGCACCATTTTCTGCTTCCTCACTCCGCCATTGTCGACCTATTCTCACATCGTCTTAACACAAAATGCATGACCTACCCGACGAGATTAACCTCGTCACCCTCAACTGCTGGGGCCTCAAGTACATCTCAAAGCTGCGCCGAGAGCGACTGGCTGAGATTGGCCGCCAGCTCGCCATCGCCGACCCGCAGCCTCACATCGTCGCGCTGCAAGAGTGTTGGACGCAGGAGGACTACAAGAGCATTCGCCGGCAGACCCGCTTTATCCTGCCCTATGGCAAGTTCTACCACAGCGCCGCGCTCGGCGGCGGCCTGGCCATCCTGTCGCGCTGGCCCATCGAGGAGAGCACCATGTATCGCTACCCGCTGAATGGCCGCCCGACGGCATTCTGGCGCGGCGACTGGTATGTTGGGAAAGGCGTGGCCTGCGCCAAGATCCGCTACGGGCCGGCCGCGAAGCAGGTCATTGAGGTTTTCAACACGCACACTCACGCCCCTTACGAGGGCGACAAGCCAGACGACTCGTACCTCTGCCACCGCACTGCCCAGTCGTGGGAGATGGCCAAGCTGCTGCGAGGGGCTGCCGAGCGGGGCCATCTGGTGATCGCGATGGGCGATTTCAACATGATCCCCATGTCGCTCGAACACCAGCTCGTCACAGCTCTTGCCCCCGTTCGCGATGTCTGGCGGGTTCTACACCCTGGCAGCTCGGTGGGGCCGGCCCATCACCCAGCCGAGAAGGCGCGTCAACGCCCGGTTCCGACAGCCGAGTTCAACATTCAGGAAAACGGCGCTGCTTCGGACGGCCCGTATAACACCTGGCGCTGGACCAAGGCGCAACAGAAGCTGTTGGGGCCAGGGAAGCCGCCAGTGACAGTGCCCCCAGACACTCTGGGTATGTCTCCTCTCTTCTCCGGCTCCGTTGTTACTGCCCCAGTACTGACCATCTTCCCAAAGACTACCTCGGGAAACGGCTAGACTACATCTTCGCCGGCTCCGGCGACATCCGTGCTCTCGGCGGCGGCTGGGTAGTCAAGCGGGTCAGCGTAGGCATGATGATGCGGCACCCCGAGCTGGGCTGTTCTCTGAGCGACCACTTCGCCATAGAATCCACACTCGCCTTCCACCCAGTCCGGCACTCCCATCGCGAACACGCACCACCGGAATCCGACTCCAACCCAACCACCACCGTCCCACCCTCCGACGACTCCATACCAATAACAACAAGAATACCAACAACAACAAACTCCCCGATAAACTCCAAAACCGACTCAGCCCTCCACAAAGGCGCCTACCTGCAACTCCAATCCCCGGCCCCCAGCCCAACCCCTGACACCGACCCCTCCACGGCCCCTGCACCCCCTGCCTCGCAGCTCCAATCCTTCCTGCACCCCTCGCCGGACACGCTGCCGGCCAATGCCTACGACGAGATCCTCTCGCTGATCAAGTCCTACCGGGCAAGGGAAGAGAGCCAACTGACCTGGCGCGGCCGGCACTTCTTCGCCTCGGTGCTGGTCACCGTCGCCTGCCTGGTGGCGGTGTGGTTCAGCCCGGGCAACTACGTGGCCTTCGTCCTGATGCTGGTCAGCTCGCTGGGCCTGGCGGCGGGCACGGTGGACGGCCTGATGGCGCTTCTGTTCTTCCGGAGCGAGCTGAAAGCGCTGCGCGAGTTTGAGTGGGAGGTAAGGAACGCCAAGGGGTTTATTTTGAGTGGCGCTGTAGGAAGAGGAGGAGGAGGAGGAATGGGGAGGGATGAGCTGGAGGAGGAATGGGCGGAGTATTAGATGGGTGAAGGGGGGAAAGGGGATATGACGAGGGTTCGGGAAAGGCTGCTCAGTCAGCGCGCATTGGGGTATCTCAGTTGATCACTTGGCAGTGGACGTGGCCGTGTGTCTGTAATATCCAGGTATTGGTTAGGCTAGAAGAATTCATGTTCTATCTGATCTAGCGAGCTTTGCAGAGGAATGGTTGACCTGGTAGTTTTCTTCTAAGGGATAATTGGCTTCATTCAGTTACTAGTTGTTATGAATAGAGATGTGAACCGCCTTATGCGTGTTACATCACAGGAAGAAAAAAAAAGGAGCCGTGATGTTCTCGAAGGGAATGTAGCGAGGAGCTAGTATAAGGAACGTCTCGTGTGCAAGACGGCAGGTCGGCGCCCCTTCCAGAGAACGCTCGGTCAACTGGTATTACGCTGCGACCCATCGAAAGTGACTCGACCCTGAAAACTGTTCCATGCGCGGTATGGATGGACAACGGCAAGTTTTCGTAGACCGCCCAAGGATTAATGTTCAACACCTTTCTAGACCTTGGCTGAGCATCCTTTGACCTCCCTGGTTTCCGCTGCAATAGGTGCACACTGTTGATCAAACAGAAGGTAAGGTATGTATGATTCCCGTGTACATACTTATCTCCGCGTGGCGGCACGCACAACACCTACACACACGACTACCTACGGAGACAACGTTAGGCTGGGATGGAAAGTGTAGACACCCATCACGGGGCCACCATAAACGCGTCATTGGACTCATCAGGTATCCATGGATGGTGCCAACTCCACAAGTTTAGTGAAGCATCAGCAACGCTTTCGTCTATTTTGACGGTAGGTAGAATACTCCGCTGTGAGGAGCCGACTACCGGATGACAGGCAAAGACCATCACCTACATCACCACAAGACCCTCGTCGATCTATAGGGGTATTTCATAATGAATATGCCAAAAAAAAAAAAAAAAAAAGAAAAGAAAAGAAAGAAAGAAAAAGAAAAGAAAAAGAAAAAAAAAGAAAAAAGAAAAAAAACGCCGTATAATGCAATCCCCTCTCCCAAAAGTCATGCCCAGATTTTTGATGCTCAGGATACCACACACACACACACACACACACACACCACACACAATAGAGTTAATAATCCAAAATCCTCAAGACGAACTGCCACTTGTATCCGTCGCCTCGCCACTATCCGACTTCTTCGGCTGCTCACCAACAGCAGGCAGCTCATTGCCGTCCACCTCGGCCCTGGCCTCGACGTTTGCGATCGCGCTCTGCAGCGCACTCGTCAAATCGACATGGAACAGCGGCCTGTTGATGCCGTGCACGGCCACCGTCCGCCCCGAATTCAGCGTACACCCAGCAGCACGCGCATGCGGCGCCGCAGCGCTAGTGCCATGATACTCTTCCGTCGCTGTCGCTGTCGCTGTCTCGACGGGGCTGCTCTGGTCGCCGCCCTTCGACAGCCCGGCCTCGAGGTCCGGCGCGTGCGACTGGCGGCGGTGCAGCGACTCGAGCTCCTTCTCGTTGTCCTCCAGCTCGGCGGCCGCGGCCGCGCTCTGAGCGCCGCCGATCTCGGCCACGCTGAAGATGCTCTTCCACCGCAGGTGCGGCACGTCCGGGCGCATGGTCGGGTAGCCGAACCCGGCGGCGGCCAGGGCGCGCTTGGCCCAGCGGTTGCTGATGCACGCGATGTGCCAGTCGACCGTGTCCGGCGACGCGTACCGGTCGAGTTGGTTGCGCACGTCGATCAGCTGCTGCACCGACGTGATGTCGACGTGGTTGACCGAGCTGAAGTCGAGGATGATGGCCTTCAGCGTCGGCTTGCTCGTGTCGACGTCGGCGGTGGCAGCATTGGCGCCGGCGGCCACGGCGGCCTTGAGTTTCTTGCGCGACGGGCCGGGGTCGTTCCACGGGCGGTCGCCTTGTCGTTCGAAGTGCGTGAGGTTGGTGCGTCGGGTGTGGGCGAATATGTACTCCGTCATGTACTCCAAGCTATGGCTAGCGTTGGTGTAGTTGAAGCCTTCGGAGAAGCGGTAGATGAAGATGCCCGGATACGGATTGTCGAGCTCCACCTCCGGGTTAGAGCCGTCCGCGTGGGTGATGGGGAGAAACACGTTGCGGAAGGGTGCCTCGGGGGATCCAGTGAATGTACCATAGGCGATCGGCCGGAAGTCGTCGCCGACAACGTGGTCATCGAGCACGGATGCCACCCTCACACGGCCCAAAAACCGGCCCTTAGCCCTGAGGATACGGAAGAGAAGCATCGCGGCCGAGAGGCAGACCGTGCAGTAGATGCCGTTCTCGATGGTCGAAAAGACAGTAACGATGACACCGACAAAAAAGATAAACACCTCCAGCGGCGAAACGAGCCAGAACTGGTAGATGGTGTTTGGCGGCGTAATAAGATCACCGACAGCATGGATAATGACGGCCGCGAGCGAGGCATTCGGGATGTAGTAGAAAACGGCTGGCAGGGCGTAGATGGCGAGGAGGACCACAACCGCGGTGATCACACCAGCAAACGGAGTTCGGACGCCGGCTTTCGACTTGATAGCGGTCCGGCTGAAGGAGCCGGTTGCAGGATATCCGCCCAAAAAGGGGCCCAGCATGTTGGAGACGCCAATGGCCACCATTTCCTGCGACGGGTTGATGGTGTAGTTGTTCACCCGCCCAAACGACTTGGAGATCGCGATGTGCTCGATCAGCAGGACGATAACGGTTGCTGGCAAGTAGCCGGCGAGGTGGCTGGCGATCCGCTGATTCAACACGGGAACAGCCGCGTGCTGGAAGCCTGTCGTACGACGGTTAGCGTTGGCTCACGCAGCACGTTTGTAGGTGGAACCCAACACATACCTCTCGGAACGTCCAGCAGAAGCTTGAACTTGATCTGATCCTTAGGCAGGCCCCGGTTGACCAGCCAGCTGATCATGGTGTAGAGCAGGATGACAAAGACGGTTCGTAGCGTCGAGAGGAAGAAGATCAACCGCTGGTGCTTCGGCCAGCGCTTCGCAGAATACGAGCACACTGCCCTGATCGCATAGAGCATCGTCAGGGCGGTGAGGCCCATGGCAGCATCCAGCGTCGTACGCGGCAGGCCCTGAAGGGTGTGGATGAAGACGAGGTAGGGCGCGTCGCGAGTCGAGAAGCCGCTGATGCCCATCATGGCAGGAATCTGGCCAACCACGATGTTGAGAGCCGAGCCCGTCATGAAGGCCGAGAGCGCAGTGAGCGAGATAACGTCGACAATCCACCCGCAGCGAATGAGCCCGATGAAGAGAACAATGGCGCCGGCGAGGATGCCAAGAGCCGAAGCAATGACATGGCCCGGGTATTCGGGCAGCGTCTTGGCCAGGTCGGCGACAATCCCGCCGGTGAGTTGGGACATCACGGCCACAGGGCCAATGGTGATGTCCTTCGAGGTCGCAAACAGCCAGTAGATCAAGACGCCCATGAAGGACGAGTACAGGCCGAACTCGACCGGGAGGTTGGCCAGCTTGGCATATGCCATCCCCTGCGGGACCACCACGGCGCCGATGGTGATGCCCGCAACAAGGTCGCCCAGGAACCACTGCGCATTGTAGTGGCCGATCCAGGAGACGAAGGGGAACAGGGAGAGAACATAGTGATAAGATTCTTTCCTGGACGGGACAAGGCCGGTCAGGTATTCAAGGACCTGAGGGGACTCCTCGACAAAGGTGTGGTCCGTTCGCTCGGAGAACGTCGATGCTCCTGGCTTCTCAAGATCCTCCCGGAGGTTGATACCCAGCGCCTTGGCCACAACGTGGCGGGCGCGGGGTGCCATTCTGTTCGCGCCGATAGAGGGTGGAAGAGAGGACGGCGACCAGCGCTGCGCGACGACGAGGGGAACTGGCTGGGATACCTGGAAACCTTTGCTGAGATCCTGAGAACGTCGTAACCAATCTGACTCTAACCCGTATTATGATATTGGAGGTGTCGAGGTCGAATGCTCAACGTCGAATGCTCAACAATATCGAGCTTGAAGGGTAGCACGTGGACTTCGTCTGATACACGCCACCTAAGAGATATATGACGGCATACTGAACGGAGTCCCAATATGGAGATTGTGTACAGTAAGAAGCAAGACGGGGAGGAGGGAAATTTTCGGAGGGGGGGATATAAGCACTGACAGCCCCCTCAATTCTCAATTGCCATACGATATCCATACTGCCCAGCTGTCAGCAAGTTGTGGTGTATATACGGTAAATGTGTTGTAACTCTGCAGGGAAGCGGACCTGGCGGAACCTGGAAGGTGCGGAGGCCGGCATCTAACAACGATGGCGCAATCGCTCCACTGCCTATCACGGCTAGCAGCCGCAGAGACCGAGTGGACAGCGTAGCTGCGAAACGACCAGGCCCCAACGCGACCTCAACGTGTCGATTACTCAATCATCTATTGGAAGTGGCGATCGGCCAGACGATGTCGGCATGGTTAGACGCCGAGCACCGAGCGTAAAACACATCCATGCGATCTCATCCCTCGGCCGTCGCTCCTGAGATCGCAGAAGGCTTTTCCATAACAATACCTTTGTAGCTGTTAGAGCATAGATACCGTGGGTTTGGGACCCAATGAGTGCGTGGAGGCGCGCATCATGGTGGGCAACCGCCGTTCTAAGCAACGAATAACTGTCCGCGGCGGCGATGATGCAATGGGCGCCAAATTGATGTGCTTACCAAGGTTTGTAGCCGCAAAGCTTGACCCCACCACCGGCAATGGAAAAACTCTCGGTCGTAGGAGGTAGCCGGGCCGGAGTCTTGTCAACCCGCTTCCAGCTGCTCCCAAGCTGGTGCCCAGTATACTAACCGCCAATCGGAACAACTGGCGGGATAGACCACTACCAGACTTCAACTGAAACTATACACTGTACTGTAACCGCATCTTGGATGCAGCACAACGCCGGCCTCCAAGGGTAGTCAGGATTATCTAAGGAACGGGAGGAAAGACGCGTGATGCCGTAAGCAACGATAACATGCTCGGCCCCGCTACAACTTGAAGCTTGCATCGGTAGGCTCTACACCTGACGGCCGACACTGCGCTGCGAGAACTTCCATCGGGCAAGTGGCAGTCGGTGTCAAATATGGATCTGATGTTCCCTGTGTAGAGCTTCACGGTCGTGTGGAGGATGCACTATTCCAGGCGGAAACAAGGCTGCCGAAGAAAACTCTAGGCAACTTCGGGTACCATATACGTACAGTACATGTATTGTACAATGAGTACATACAGTAGGAACTTGCGATGGCCTACGGTGTAGTTATCTTCACCTACGATATACCTAATTCCTTGATCCTTATCTCGATAGAACGGCCTGCAACTCAGGCACGAGTCAAGTTGGACAATGGAAGCACATATGCGTCCTATAGTGAGATCTTCGAGATTCACTTGGACCAATCCCCGTTCAGCGGACATCCTATTCGGGAAGCTGGTGGGGACAATGGATGAATGGGACAAAGGGTTAGGATAGAAGGCGATAGCACTCTGTTTCCACCCTGCTCATGGACCGAGCCAAACACCTCCTCACGCAAGTCCAAATAGCAGTGCAAATGAGTTCAATCATAGGTACCTAGGTATAGAGACTTCACGCCCAAGGGAGATGCTCCCCCAGCAGTTGCGGGTGGTCAAAATCCTACCAGCAGGTTGTGCTAGTGCTTACCCGTAGCATTGACTTCTTGGCATAGAGCAACCCAAAAACTCGACACTGGCAGCAAGGAGAATTTCCGATGAGTCTTCCATGCATGTTGCATGGTTGATATAGGAGACCTTGACAAGAAATTCAGAACCAGCAAAGAGTTCGTTCAGATAAGATAAGATGGGCAAAGGTTTTCTCAGGGCTTACTGTGCACGGCACCCTTTCAAAATGTGGAAACTCTCTCCGGGATGGGGCGTAACCGAAAACATGGCTGCAGCTATGGGAATTAACGGCCAGATTGGAAAATCCCATCCAGCCAAGCGAAACCAGCAGAAGGATACCTAACCATCAGACGAGCGCGGGTCCAAGGACATCGATAACCACATGTGGTAATATACACTAATGGCTCGGGCCACGGGAGATTTTACGTGGAGTCCTTGGTTTCGAGTTCATGAAGAAAACGAGTGTTCTGCAGACCACTAACCCGAGTGCGCATGCAATGTGGTTCATTGGCCGAGTTCAACGCGCTGCAATGTGGTGTCGCGAAATGCACACGACCGGATGGCTGGGACTGGGCTGTCCGCAGCCAAGTTGCAGGCGCTTGCATTCAGGCTCTCACCCAGTTTCCCCTCCACTGGGAACACCAACCTCACGCTGTTTGACACACGTAGCAAAGGCGCCAGCATTGCCAACGTCTTTGTTCCAGAACTTCAAAACTTATGCATTCGAGAAGATTGAACAGCCATGACACCCCGAGATCTGAATCAAATGGACAGGATGCCGAGCTCCACCAAGGAGACCCCCGGCCCGTCTCCGCGAGGCGCTCTTCCCTCTTTGGCGACGCAGCTCCACCCGCCTCCGTCCCCTGGCACTCCCCGAACGCTTAGGAGATTGCAGTCGGCGCATAGCCTTGGAGCAAAGGCCGCAGCTCAACCGTCGCTCATTTCGCAGCAAAGGCTACAGATACAACGCCAGCAGCAGTTCCAAAACCTGAACCAGCACCTCCAGAGACTCCCTCCTCAAGCCCAGCCGAGAAGTCATGCGAGCATCAACCGCTCGCCACAGAGAGGACGCGCCAACAGCGACGCACCGCCGATTCCCAACGTTACCCAGCTCAATGCTACCATGACCATGACCGCAGCAACAGCAAGTAGGCGCTCCGTGCTGAGCAAGCGGTCGCTCGCCGCCGATGCCATGTCTCTCGAGAGACTGCTTCGCGAAGGACCGCCCAACGGCGACGTCGAGGGTGCTCTCGAGAGCACGCGACTTAAGATTCTCGACCAGGGTATCAAGTCGGACAGCGACGGGATGGTGAGCACCAATTCGGCAGATACCTGCTGTAGAGCGTCCAGTATAGCTAAACTTCCACCACAGTCGTCACTCCGGATCTACGTGTGGCTCATATTGCTCAATGCGCCGGTGCTCGAGACCGACACCTACCTGGCCCTCATACACCGCGGCGCGTCTCCGGCCTACTCCAAGATCCGCAATGACACTTTCCGCACATTATCGACCGATCCCCTTTTCCGACGCCGTGTGAGCGAGGCAAGCCTTATCCGACTGCTAAATGCCTTCGCGTGGACACTCCACGATACGCGTGAGGAGCGCAATCGGGAACCAAGCATAGCCAGCAGCTCGCGTCTGTCGCTAGACCAATCCAGTAGCCGACCAGGAACGGCCTACGGAAGCGATTACGGGAGCCCAAGTTCATCTCCCGCGGCGAAAAGAGCACGTGCCCTGACGCTCACGACTGAGGGCTCCGTTACGAGCATGACAGCGGAAGCGGGGACCTACGTCCAGGGCATGAACGTGCTGGCGGCTCCCTTCTTGTACGCTGCGCGTAGCGAAGCCGAGGCGTTTGTCGCCTTCCACCAGCTCCTGACGAAGGAGTGCCCTGGCTACATCCGCGGTGCCATGGACGGCGTACACAAGGGCCTGGCGCTGGTCGACAAGGTGCTGGCCATCGTCGACCCAAAGCTCAGCCTGTACCTGCTTTCCAAGAACCTCTCAGCCGAAATCTACGCTTTTCCCTCCGTGCTGACGCTCTGTGCCTGCACGCCGCCTCTGCCGGAGGTCTTGCGGCTCTGGGACTTCCTTTTTGCATACGGCCCGCATCTGAATATTCTGTGCATTGTTGCGCAGCTGGTTATGATCCGCACCAAGATCATGGAGTCACCTAGGTATGGCTGTCTCCTGCTTCTGTTTCTCTGGACGCACCATCTAACACATGCCGCCAGTCCCAATAAGCTCCTGAGATCCTTCCCGGCTCTTCAAGCGGATCAGATCAAGCGTACGACTTTAGCGATCATCAAGATGATACCCAACGATGTCTACGCTGAGATTGTTTCTCACGCGCGGTAAAGCGGGAAAGACGCTCTGACAAGGCAACTGCTGCTGCTCAGCGCAGATCATCGAGCGAGAGGTCTCGGCAAGCCGCGCACGTAATGATAATCTGGAACATCCCCGGTTGGATGCATTCAAACCCAAATCGCAAATGTCAAGCCGCTATCCAGACGTTCTAGCTGTCCGCTTGCTTAAAAGAGGCGAGCATCGGGGAGACCGAGCAATACTTCGGCAGCCTGCTCATTCAACCTGTTCCTGTTCTACATCATCGCTCCACCCACAAGCTGCAGGGAACCCATGCCGCGCGCTGCATACTCTGCCTTCAGTGCGCCCATTCATGCACGCATTTCCGGTTTATTCGTCGCGATGATGGCCGGCCGGGCCACCCTCTATAGAGGATGGCTGTAAAGCCCGGAGATCTGCCATTCGAACGGCAATAGGGAAGAAACAAGAATCCGAGTGCTCGCGGAGCCCATTTAGCCGCTAATTTGCGGCATGGAGATGGGAAGGGCATCATCCAGACGCCTGCTACAGTTGGAGGAAGGCAAGCAACGGCTTCACCAGGCGGTAATGCGAACTAGGAAGGATGAGATTTTCGTCCTCCTGCCTCCCATAAACGGAACGAAACAAGCCCGTCACGCTCAGCTGTTTCAACTCGCCACGACTTGCACGTCTACCAACGAGCAGATCCATAGAGGTTGCGCACCGGGATATCCTCTACTAAGCGCGCGTTCCTCACGTCATTCTTCCCCGGGTAGCTGAGTCAAGTCCTATAGTCGAATCTCGCTTGTGTGGTGGCATCGCAGACTACCTACCTACCCCCGATCCCGCATGGAATCTCACTTGGGTACTATACCTGGATGCATACCACCCACATACCTACCTAATGCAATGCGCTGCGCCAGCGATGCCGACCAACCGGTGTGGTAAATGCGACCATACGGCGATGGATGGATGGTAAATCGCCGGATGGGGACAAAGTCATACATGTGAACGGGCGTTCTGGCGTTTTCGCTTCTTCCCGGTTGCTCGGATCAGGCACCGGCCAGTGGCCATGAATTGACGAGTATATTAGCCGCGGGTGTGATGTGTGGGTGTGTCTATGTGCAATACAACTGTGCCAATTAATCGCCCTTCCCCTTGCAGATATATGTTGTCTTGTGTTGGCACCCATTGCTAGACGGCTTCACTCTCCACCTCGACTGTCTTGTTCATACTGAGTGGCAAGGTATTGTATGTGCTGTGCTTGTATTGTATTGTGTTGTATGTAGGTACCTGGTCTCGCCACTCTAATAAGATCTTCACCCTCAGAAAAAAGCCCCCAATCACACCTGGCTCTTCCTGCAAGGGCTGTCTTGATAGTTACCCCAGATCGACCTTCCAGACTCTCCAAGGCGGGTTGATTAAGATACATAGATGGTTAGAGGTATTAGCCCGCCGCTGTGTGTGTGCTGCCTGCGTTGTTAGGTTGTGCACGGGTGTTCGTTAGCCGTGCTTCGCTGCTCCTACTACGTTAGGTTGTAAATTCAGAAGAAAACTACTAGTATCAAAGATCTGTAACTGCATGTAGGACAACCGCGTTTTGGCGGCAAGATGTCATCCCTAGAAGTGTTTGTGTGTGTGTGTTTCTCCATTGGTAACCGGAATTCCACCTCGCCATCCCTCACTGCACCCGTGAAACACAGGCCGACACGTGGTTGGCGGGTTTTTGATGCGGCACTGGCCGTTTCGTTGCTGTCCCGCAGTAATAAGGTATGATACACTATGCCATGCCATGCCATGCCATGCCATTGCGGCAGTGATATTATGTGTCTCTAAAGTGGAAGCATGTATGTATTGTAAGGTATGTACCTGCATGCCCGTGCAATGCATCCCTAGGTTAATTACGCTGTCACTTCCTCTTGGTTCCCTCTTTATACCTATTCTACGACGGTCTATCAGAGTGATTAATTAAGCTACCTAGTTACTCCGGCCTGCCCGTCTAACTCTTGTCTAAGGTCTAGATAGTCTATTGAGTTGTCCAACCCAACCAGGTCCATCACCGATTGCTGCAACACGCACAGTCCATTCCTTTCGCCATCCGCATGCCGCACTCGCGCCGTTCCGTCATATCCTTGGTGACGCCCCTTTTGTGACCCGTTACGCTGCGGCTGCGACTGCGACTGGCACGAGCATTACTCAGTGGTGTGGTGTCTCGGCGCTCTGCTTTAAACCCCTCCGCTCGCCGAGCCCTGGGTATCAACACGCTCCTTCCCACCGAGTTACTCGCTTTCAATTTGATTCGACTCTCGGTAAACTCCTCGACCGCTATGTTCGAGCTGCGACAACCGCCACTGATGAGAGCCTAAAGTTTGAACTGCCGGATGCGAGGATAGGAAATCTCCGCAAAATGCGTTGGCTCACTCTCGTCTCCTTTTGGTCGGCCAGCGGGGTGCTCGGGGCGGCGGTGCCGAGTGGTTGGGAGCTGGAACAGAAGCCGCTTGGCCGCCTCGCACCGATTTCGACCTCGGCTACGCAATATCTGCCGTGTGAACAGACATATGGCAAAGGATGGGAGAACTGCGGGGACGTGGTATGTTCCCTTGCCAGTCAAGCGAGGGAGTGTGATTGCTAATGCGTGACACAGAACATGAGATCCTGCTACAGCCCAGCTTTGGGCCAGGTGAGTCGGGCATAGCCCGTTCTGGTCTTAATTGACTGATCGCTGACCCATGGCGCAGTCTTGTTGCGAGGCCGATAACGTGAATTACTACTGTGATGCGGGTAGTTGGTGTGCGCCGGTAGCTATGTATTGCTGTTTCGACGTGAGGCCGTTCATAGCCCCTGTGGAGGAGGCAGAAGTGCTGACCGACAACGCAGACCGAAGACCTCGAGTCCTGCGCCAGGAATGCAGGTTTCACGCTGCCAAGCAATGAGACGTCTGCCAACCACGCGACAACCGCAGCCTAAAGCTCAACATCAAGGACACCGACACGGATGCCGGAAACACAGGGGTCCGACAGAACCCGGTGTAGCGCCCAGCTGAGGATGCATGGCCGGGTATCAAGGGGAATCCTGGGACAATTCTGGCGCGTAGAGGGCCGACTATACTGGCGTAATGCAATAGTGATTGTCCGCTCCGCTGGCAAACCAGTCGGGCGTTCCAGCTCAGTATGCGGTGCAACCGTCTTTGGCGAGGATGAAAGCTTGCGAGAAGAACTCTTGCATGGCCGTGTAGTGGAAAAGAATGCCCCCGAGTACGGCGATGTGCCAGAGGTTGTGGCTGCCTCCAACGTAGTCGAACATGCCAGGGAACCACCGCTCAGGGACCTTGCTGGCATAGACGCAGGCGCCGAGAAGGTAAACGAAGAGGGACTTGGCGATCGGCGTGTAGAATTCCAGGGCGGCTTGGGGGCTGCGGGTCAGGGAAAGCTGCAGGATTGGTAGAAAGCCCGTGGCCGAGAGGCCAACATAGAACGCGACCCTCGCCCAAGCCATGTCCGCTCCATTAAATCGCGGATGCCATGGGAGGATGACGCCCCCGACTCCCAAGAGAGCAGTGGTCACCATGTAAATCCAACGGCTCACGGGCTCACAGTAGAAGGCGGTGTATTCGGTCGTCATAATGGACGCGGCGACAAGCAGTGAGATGCCGGTGTAATCGACGCAGGCGAACATCGAGATGAGGTTGACATCGGCCACCGAATTCATTGTGTGCCAGATGGTGCTGCAGACCAGGCATTGACAGGCCGCGAAGAAGAAGACCGCCGCGACAAAGATATCGGCGCTTGAGCTCACGGAAAAGGTTGTGCTCGTGGGGTAGAAGTAGAAGGCGACGGCCAGGACGAGAACGAGACCAAGAGCGTGGGACCAGATGTTGACAAGCTCGTTGGAGAAGCCAAAGGCCGATCTCACGCAGGCTAGCTTGGTCTCGGAGAAGCGGTAACCCTTGAGGATGTGAGGATTAATTCTCCAGGGCACCGGCAGCTCCTCATAGCGGAGAAGCCCGCGTTCTTTGGCGCGAGCGATGGCGTACTGGACATGGTCTTCGAGCGATTCGGCTGCGCGGATGGCCCTTTCGATACCTTCATCGACAACGCGGTGAGCCTCGGCCTTGAGGCTCTCGGCGGCATTGGCCAACCCTTTCTCCCGAAATCTGGCCGCCTGTGTCTCCATGTCCTGGAGCATCCCGTCAAGCAGCTCAATACCAACTCTCGCCTTTTCGTTCAGCGAGCCCGCCGCAGCCATGGCATCATGATAGCCAGTCTCCAGGGTCTCCACCATGACATGCAGCCTCCTGCGGCCCGTGTCCATAACTTCCTCCGAGACCTGCGAGCATCGTGTTCGGACCGCCTGGAGGGTGGCGAAGGCGGCAGAGATGCTCGAGTCAAAGCTGACTTCCCCATAATTCTCCCAGTACTCAACCCGCCGCTCCAGCTCAGTCAAGAACTGATCCAGCTTGAGGAGCAGACCCTCCTCTCCGTCTTTGATCTGGTTGACGATGGACCGCGAGTGGCGGCGCCTGCGGGCAGCGGGATCCTGCACCTGCGCCCCGGACGACAAGCCCTCGTGAGAATCATCGTGGGAACGGCACGCAACAGCAGCGGAACACCCCATGTTGGACGGGACGTCCATGGACAGCAAACACATAGATATCCAACGAACCGGAATACCGAACAGCGTCCGGTATTACCGGGAATGGACCACGCCGGCGATGAATGAACCGCAGTCCGGTAGAACACCAACTTCCGGTGTCTAACCCCTTAGACAACACAGCCTTGAGTCTGGGTGCGACGGTATCGTAAAGGGCTGTGGGGGAAAAGTGATCGATGTTGTGGATTGTGCGATCTCAAGAAGAGGGAGGAGGACTTCCAGGTTGAGATGGAAGTGGCAAATGTGGAGGACCCGGGAGCGTACTAGGTAAGATACAATCTTAACCTAGTGAAAGCCGCCACAACGTGTCGGATCTGCGAGCTCCGTACGGATCAAGTTCTGCTTCGATGCTTCAAGTATGAGGAGTGAATAACGTTTGAGCGAGAGAGGGAGAGCGAGTTGCGCAGTTTATTATTATGAGTGGGTTGGATTTGCCGAGCCCGTCCCGGGCGTTGACCCAAAAGGGATCCGAGAGCGCCCGCTTGCTTCCTTCATCAGCGTCAGTGCAGCCAGCTCTCGCCCGAGCAGGACCAATTGATGCCGTCAGTGCCGCCATTTCCGCCCACATCTAGCCCCACAGCCTGCAACGTCCGAGCCCATGAGAAAAGCCAGCCAGCGCATGCCTTAGCGCAACGATCACAAACGTTGGGGTTCAGCTCCACCTGTTGACAAAAGCGCAGCTCAACAATGAACTGATCGCGGCACCAGCCATCGCAGTCCACGTGCTGCGGAGTAAATGCAGCTGTTCGATGCAAGGACCTAACTTCAAAGCGCCTCAGCCATGACCATCGACACGCACATCACCGACGCCGCCCTAGCCTCGGTCCTCGAGACGTCGAGAGCAGCGAGGGAGCAAGCGCAGACCCTCGTCGACCTGGTCGATCGAGCAACCGCTGCCAACGCCAACGGGCCCCTTCCCGCCGACGCGCTGACCGAACTTTCCAAGCAGCAGAAGCTGCTGAACACCACCCTAGCTCAGCTTCGCGGTCTGCATCGCGCCGCCCACTTCCGCGCGCGCGAGACGAAGAGCCTGACCGCCGAGGCGCGGCACGAGGTGGACGTGCTGCATCTGCAGTTGCAGAATTTGTATTATGAACAGCGCCATCTGGAGGGGGAGATTGCGGCTTGCGAGGGATTCGAGTAGGGTTCTTCTTTACTTGCGTGTTTCTCCTTTCCTTTGATGGACGATAGGACGATGTTGACAGAACCTCACTCCGCTTATAGGCACACTTACCAACTCCTCCCACTGATCCCCGTGGAAGAATTTATCGCAAGGCACCCCGAGCATGCCGATGCTGACGAGAACGCGCTGATGGTGGCGCGCATCAACCACGAGCGCGCGGAGCGTGAGGCGCTTGAGCAGCAGCGGGTCGAGCTGCAGAAGCGGAAACAGAAGCTCATTGCCGAGAACAAGAAGCGCAGAGACGATCTCGCCAACTTGGACAGGGATCTGGAGAAATTCATTGACGTAAGCTGGCGCTGGTGTTGGATTATTGTGAGGATACTGGCTAACCCGATGCTTGCCAGGCCGCCAAACCTATTCAGAAGATGTTTGAGAAGGTGGTTTAAGACCAGTTCGGGGAGATACCGTTTGGCAGCTAAAGCTGGGTTCGACAACTTAGCTCCGTCGCTATTCCGAGCTTAGGGACGTTGGTTCTCGGATTGCGTGCAGTATGCACATTAGGACACAAGGTTTATAGCTTCCTTCAGTTACCAAGGCGGTTTTACATGGGACGCCGCTGAGGAAGACACGACGAGGCTCTTCAGGCTCCGTTCCAACCCTCGCTTCTCGTTGGCATAAGGAGATGGTTCGGGAATTGGGATGGACACATGGTGCACAGGACAAAGCGAGGCTGGATTACGGAAGCGAACGGCAGGGAAAGCGACTCGCTGGAGACAACGGCGACAATGGGCGAAAGTTGGGGCGGGTCTGGAAGGGGAGGCCGGAAGGCGCAAAGCGGGTGAGATTATCGGGCCGGGCCTGGCCGGGAGGATGGCCGCGCCCGGTGGTCTTGTGGGGTCCAATCCGGCGGATTGATTCCGAGCCTCCATCGCTCCGTGCCACCCAGCCGCATCAACGAAATCGAGTTGTGCCTTGGCAAGAGGAAACACCTAAGAGGGAACACCTACACAGTATCCGTAGTGCAGGTATGAAAGGAAAGGAGGCAGAGAACGACTCTAGTTCGCTTTGCTGTGCTAGGATTCAGCGAACCTGAGCTATGAATGCAACCATCGCCTAGCTGGATGATGCTCCTCCAGTGATATACATGGGATTGGCCTTTCGGCCGCTGAGAACGGGAGCATAGATGGTTCTAGTTTCCTTCGGCAACTTGATCTGGACACCACCATCGGCCACCAGAGCTTCGCAAGAACCGAGGAATTAACTTCTACTACTCCGTATGATAAGCAATCTGCCTTATACGGGACCATAGAATGGGCCAGTAAACATCCAGCGCTTGCGGAGGAGTAAGAACCTGGGTTGTTGCAATGCGACCACTAAAAGCCTGAGGGAGCGCGTTCGCGACACGATGCATCACTGCAATTTTGATGGATCGCTCTTATTGGTGTGACGAGTTGAACAACGGCTGCCATCACGGACCGTAACCCCTGAAGTCGGAACCGCTGCGGAGCGGGTGTCGGTTATGGGAACCCGGGTTGACGAGGCAGAATGCCCGTTTTTCAGGGTCCAAGCTCCCCACCGCGAGGCAGTAGGTGGTATGCGTATAATATTGTATGTACGGTATCACACAAGCATCCATCCCTACACTAGTCCGTAGGTCGTCAGCCCTCTGCCTTGTTTCGAAACCTATTCCATTGCGCTCCTGCGGCGAGCACGGTCAGATGGTAGGTAACACGAATGATCTGTCGGGTTCCGGGAAGGCGCGGGTTCAATGCAGGCTTCCGGTTCCTGAGGCGCCCGGATGGACCCCTCGACGTTGCTCGAGCCGTTGCAATGTCTCACGTACTGATTCAGCGACTATCAAGCCATACTGAAGTAAAACCACCAGCTTAATATGAATCAATTGCCCGGTTGACGACCGGGCAAATCGCACTTTGTACGTGGCTATTACCGTATAGGTAACTGCGCGATATTCGGATACTTAGAGAGACCCCCAGATTTCACCGGGCTGCCAAACGAGATGATCCTCCACAAAATCGCAACGCTGACAAGAAAAAGCTGCGAGGTTTTACCTCCGTACTCCGTATGTAGTTTTAGCTGACTTCGCTGTTCCTTTGCCCATGTTGGGGTTAAAGTCCGGGAAAAGATGACGACGGTCGTACAAGCCAATAAGCATCTGTCACATCCTCGAGTGAAATGAGATGACGGATCGTGCAGGTGCTGCCGAGAACCAAGAGCTGATCGTGCCCAGCCAGGCGAGGCCTCCTTTGTTGGTACTAGTAGTCCGTACATGTTCATACGTGTGGTTACCATAGCTACCCAGCCGACTGGCGCGCCATTATTCCGTATCGTTAGCCTTACACACCTGATCTGACCTGCGGTGAAGAGCACCTGAGTGTTGTCCGATCCAATTGATTTCGCGTATACTACGTGTTTATTATATGCTACAGAGTTGTAGTAGCACACGCAACGCGAGTTTGCAGCATTGCGCAGTCAGACCCGAGACAGCTTTGTGTCAGCCCCATGAGACAATCTGCATCAACGGCGAAGCCTGTCAGCCCAAGCCTGTGCAAATCTGACACGCCACACAAGTAAGTACCGTACCGCATACGTACGGATACACGGCTCCGGACATTCTATTGTAAGGCAAGTACTAATGCGTTACAGCTCTTACCAATAGTGGAGTGACCTCGACTACCTGTCCAATGGCCAACTTACGCGGAGGAGACCCTCATCATATGTAATTTCCCCAGTGGCATGGCATGCCTTGACCCGCCCCGAACAAGGCAGCGGAAAACTGGCCCATGCTCTCAGCCGGCAAGGCGGAGATAGGCGGGCCGATGAGGGAGCAAGTGTAAATATCCATCGTCTTCAAGGCTTCCTCGGCCCCCAGTCCTAGCTTACTCCGGTGCGGAATGCGAACGGCATGTACCAACTGCCGACTTTAAATGTAGTTAATTCCGCTTTGCCCGATGACTGCCTCCTTTGATGTTTTGCGGACAAATCCACAAAGTTGTGGCGCAGGGAAACTGGGGACTTGGGATGATGCGGATCATCATGCTGTGCGCAAGCTTCAGACACAGAAGAACCCCACACTTGCGGTTCGTTCCCCAGCCACCTGGTGTCTCGATTGGCCCGCCGTGCTCGAAATTGACAGTCTGGAAGTAAGATTCTTTCATCAACCACGACGGCGCCCTGATGATGGGCCACCTGACAGTCGATCGACGTCAGGAGCGATGCGGCCGGTTCAATGCTACTGCATCAAAGACCCTGATCAGATGCCAATGGTTGCAGGTGGTGGGATACACCGCCGTCGCGTTTGTGGAGTTGACCTCAAAGTTGATCCCCACGCGTGTCTCGAAGAGGCTCTGTGGTTGGCTTAAGCTATCACGCCGGGCCTGCGAGATCCCTCCTGTTTTTGGTAATATGGTAACATGCAGCAAACGACAAGCAATGGTTGGGACTACCTCTTCTTGGCAGCGATTTTGGCCAATCTTTGACGCATCAGGCGTTTTAAGCAGCGCCGTTGCGATATTTCTACCACCGTTAGGTGTAGGTTATCTGTATAGTTACTACGTGATGAGCTGTAGACCCAAGGAAACAGTCAAAGGTGTACGAAGGACAGTATGGATACAGACACCCGCATCCATCATATGTGCCTTCCCCACGATTTCATGCCCAGGTGGGGTAGAACTTTGGATGATGGCTCCTACCACAAGACCACCGACACCACCTCACGCTCAACCTTGGCTCTGAGCAATTGTTCCTAACAGCTTACCCAAATGCGACAAGCGAGAAATAATTGCCAGGTAACGTTGATACGGTTGATTGATGGGTGAGGCTAATTCCACTAAGGTGGGACCGGCCCCTGTTCCCTGGCCCCTAAGATGAATAGAGAACCCTGGTACTGTTCATCGCGGGCTAGCACTCGACGCGCAGCCTGCAAGTCCCCCCTTTTTTTTTCATTGCGCGTGGCTTGTCCCCCTTCGTCGTGGTTTCATCGGCAGGCTAACGTTAGTTTCTATGCCCAGCTTTGAGCACGTTCCCCTACGACTCAGCCGCCTTACGGGTGCCACTCCGCCCAATTTTTCCTCTTTCCTTTCCCTTCCCTTTTTTCCCTCTCCTCCCGCAGTCCCTTCCTTCCTCCCCGACCTTCAAGCTTGCGCCTGTGGACCTGTGGAAGTGTTTCGCCGGGCGCCTTTCGACTCGACTTCCCCTCTGTCCACAAGGCCTCACACCCTCTTCGCTCTCCGTCAACCTGTCGGTTCCTCCCGTCGCCTCGGCAATTCGACGGCGCGGTCAAACTTGACAGTCAGCGACAGCACTCGGAGCCATTCGCCTTAATCCGGCTCCCGCCAAGTCCTTGAAGGTGCCGAGATGTCAATCTTTACGTGGTGCAGCCGGCGCGCAGGCGGCTTGGCCATGTTGGCTACCGTTGGGCTATCCTACTGGGTCATCTCGAGCGAGCTGGATGCGCAACGATATGTCTACAGATATCCCTCAGAGGACAGTCTTAATGCGCCGCGTTACGACGCGAAGAGGACCAGCAGCTGGGTCACGGTCTTTTCTTACTACTGCTTGCTCATTCATGTGCTCGTCTTCATGTTCCCACTACGCTCCTCCTGGGCCGTCTTCACCATCACGAGAAGCCTACGCAAGGCTGCGCGCGCGAGGGCCCTGAGAGATCTCAAGTTCGGCCACCGCCGCCGTGGCTCGTCGACTTCACTCTCCAGCTCCGAAACCCTGACTTCCTCACGAGACCTGAGCTCCACCTCCAGCAGCGAAGCCGGCGACTTCGACCTCGACCCCGAATCCTTACTCGACGGCGACATTGCTCCCGATCGCGTCATCCATGCCATCGTCATCCCCAACTACAAGGAGGAGAATGACACGCTGAGGGAGACGCTGGAGGTTCTCGCCTCGCACCCGCAGGCGCGCACAACCTACGATGTAAGTCTCTTTTGTTAGTCGCATCCCAAATGCGGCAACGCTTCGTTGCCAACGCCCGCTCCTGGCTGTAGTGGCCAATTGGTGGAGTTGTGATCTTCAGGGGATGGTTTCCAGTTTTGTATTTTGCCGCAGAGCTTCGGACTGACAACCTTGAACACACAGGTCTACCTTGCGATGGAGCAGAGAGAGCACAATGCCGAGAGCAAGGCTGCCGGGCTCGCGAACGAATTCTCCAAGAAGTTCCGCTCAATTGACTTCACAATGCACCCGTCCGACATCCCCGGCGAGCTGGCCGGCAAGGGTAGCAATATGGCGTGGGCGGCACGGAAGCTTAGCGAAAAGTACAATCTTGGGCAGCGAAAAGACGTGATCGTCACGGGTATTGATGGTGGGTGCTCCACTACATGGCCTGGATCTGGCCAATTGCCCCCTTAATAAACTCTGCACGTCAGGACGCGCTAACCCTTCTTGCCCACTGCAGCCGACAGCCACCTCTCATCCAATTATTTCGCTCTGCTCACGACCATGCATATGACGTATCCCGATACGGCTAACACGACCCTGTACTCGGCTCCGATTGTCTTTGACCGCAATGCCCACAATGTCCCGGCTATCGTCCGTGTCGCCGACATTTTGTGGTCCGCTGCCGGCATGTCCGGGCTGTACAAGGGTTCGTCGGTCGCTCCTCCGACGTCTGTCTACTCTGTTCCCCTTGAACTTGTCGATCGCGTTGGCGGCTGGGATTGTGACTCGGAGGCGATTGGCGAGGACTTGCACATGTACCTCAAGTGCTTCTTCGCTCTCAATGGCAACTTGACGGTGCGAACTATTTTGAGCCCTGTCAGTCAGACAAACGTTACGGGCGGTGGCCGCGGAAAGGGAGTTGCTGGCATCATCACCGATGTGCGCGCCCGATACAAGCAGGCGCTTAGGCACATGTGGGGTGCTCTCGATACCGGTTATGCACTGCGCAAGCTTGTTGAGGTGTGGAAAGAGAGGAAACACACCTCTCGGGCATTCCGACCTCTTCACACGTCTCTGTAAGTCTCTCATACCGCAAGAAGTTGGGACCCCACTGGTAAGCAGATAGCTAATTGGTAATATTCAGGAACGACTCATCCGACAACTATGTGCCGCAGGTGCAGATCGACGGCGTAGATGCCGAGGCAACTCCCGAGAGCGGTATCTTCTCCGACGTTGTGACGGACACCCTCAAGGAACCCGACTGGGAGCGCATCTTCATCTTGTTCCACCGCTTGTTCGAGGCCCACTTCCTCCCCGTGCAAATGACCATTCTCGTTGTCGCATCGACTCTCTACATGTGGATTACCGATGGCGCTCCCGATGTCCACGGCGTCGCGTGGATCTTCACCGTCTGCAACGTCCTCCGGACCGCCGGCGTCATGGAGGTCGCCCTCTATCTCTTCCTCTACGAACGGTTCCACAGGATATGCGTCGACTCCCGCGAGAAGGAGATGGGCGATGCCGGGTTGCTGAAGGGCATGCACTTCTCGCGAAGAGAAGTCAAGACGAATTACATCGACTACGTGATGGTCCCGCTGGTAGCGCCGGTTTTTGGTTCGATACCATGTGCGCAAGCGCAAATATGCCATTTCTGGACGCTAGATTTGGTATACACGGTCAGCAAGAAAGTCACCCGGCGCAGAGGGAAGTCCGTGACAGCAGACGCTTTGGTATAATGATCGCGGCATGGATTTACGTCTTTTCTCCAACGCCGTCTTTATCTTTCTGCGACCTTACCTATTTATTCGCGTGTCGATTAATTCTTCTCCCCGGACTCGCTGCCGTCTTTCAAAGTGGCTCCTGGCCTAGAGCTGTGCCCAGCACGCCATGTTCCGAGCGCCGAAGCCCGTTATCTTTTTTTTCTTTTTTGGGAAATTCTTATTTTTCTCCTGCTCGGGCGACAGGCGCGTGTTTTCGTCTGTCCCGACCTTTGTTTATAACACGGCTTTGAGAAGGCGCACATGTGTAAATCAAGAGGACATGATGTTGATATGCATGGCATGGCATCGGCATTTGGCATCTAGATATGGGGCCCTGACTTTTTGTTATCTTTTTTAGTCCCGCTTGCTCTTCTGGGCTGGGCGGCTTCTCTGGAGTTCTCGGAGCAGGACGGGGTGAGGAACCATTATACCGGCAGGGCCTTTGGGGGCATCAAACACGAACGGATATCCCGCCTGCTGGCGCCATTCGCTTAGAAATACAGGACAGGCCGGAGGAGAAGAGGTGGAACGAAATACGGCTTTTCAGGCCCGTCGAGCGGCCCGCACACACACTTATGACAAGAGCCGACTCGAAAGACTTAAGTGACGACGACGACGTGGCGCACTCAAGGAGCGAGAAAGACGACAGGTTTCACCTCGGGCTGGGATGGGCTAGGCCCAGGAGCGGCACGAACACATGATGAGGACGGGGCCCCATGATCCGTGACTGGGGCGAAGCAAAACGACCCAGTGGGGTACCCTACAATCAGCATTCTAGCCCCTAATATTTAATCTTACAATGTGTACATACCAAAGAGGAGGGACGGAGGGAGGGTGGGAAGAACGTCACGGCATCCGCAGGTAGTGGCGGGTGGGGGCGTGATGTTTGACCTGGACCGGCAGCAGGCGCCACGCTATCCAAGGGATTATTGATGTATCATCTTTGTTTATCACCTCTTCGGGAGTCGATACCCAGAGAAGAGGGAGCATCAGTATAGGGAAAGGAATATATTCATCACGCTCGCTTACTTGCTTGGCCTGCACAGAGTTTCACTGTATATCGTGGACAGGGCTTTGCTCATTGTCAGTGTGGATGCTCGGGTACTGGTTGGTTGGTCTTGGTTGTCAACTAGGTACCGTGAGGGCGACCGACTGACATCCATGGAGCTATGAAAGCTGCATGGACACCGCGGGCAACACCAACAAATTTTGCCGGAAAGGGATACGATAGTCTTGCAACGTCGCCCATCCATGGGTCCATATACTCTCAAGTCGCCGTACTGAAACAGCATGTCAAAAGATAGGATCCCTGATGTCTGAACCAACCCGTGCCCCGTGGCTTCCGAGATAGCCATAGCCACATCCCTAATTTGCATCAACTCCGAACCTGCCCGGAGAACACGTCTACGTCACGTCAAAGCCAAAGACGCGTAAGCCGTATATACTACACCTGTGAGCAAGGCATAACTACCCGAGGTACGTAGGAGGAGGCACTGCTGGGCTGCAACGTTCAGGATAGATAATGCGCCAATTCTGCAGAAAGGGCGCTGCGCCACACGCTTTTCCCCAGGCGAAGCCAGAGCGCTGAGTCGCCAAGTGGACCGTGTGTGAGTTTCGAATCCTGCGACTTCAGAAACGGATTCTCCTATCCGTACGGAGTACCTTACGTGGATTGAGCAACACTTTGCAGAGCATAGTATGGAAATCAGTCTGCAGACAACGAGTGAATTACTAGAGATACCTTACTAGCGCTATAGTGGCTATGTAGATTTTGCCATACCCCATGTATGTTGGGACGAAACCTCGAAAGATCTGAGTGTGCTGTGGCCTAGAGTCGGGTCTAAGTTGATCAACCGTTGAGCACGGAAAATTACAACGCCGAGTTACCAACATGCTGTCGAGAGACTTTGCGCTTGATTTGCATGGGTGTGCTCCGAGCTCACCGCAATTGTTTACTGCGAAGAATCAAGAAAATCTCGATCTAGCCATTATTGGGATGTAGCCAGCTCATGATTGAATTCCCGAGTCTGTTCGCCCTCTCATGCCGAGTGCCTTCGGAGGTTGAGGCGGAAGTGACCAATCAGCGCGCACACCCGGCCCCAGCCCGGAAGGCCGCGCCGGAGTTGACCGGCCGGGCCGTGGCCTAGGTGCCGGTACTGCTCGGGGGGGAACGGTTGAGCATATGCCAGAGCAATGATACTTAAAGAAGAGCTCTGGTGCACTATCCTCGAGAAATGGTCCCCAAGAAGACAGTGGGACATCCGATTTCCAAGAGCTGTTATTAGTCACCGGTGAAAGATTATTATTGAAGTGTTTCTCTAGACATCTCATATCGTATACACCATGGCAGCTGCTACCGAGTCCCGCGACACAATCCGCATTGGGGTGTTCATCCCCTTTGGATGTCAACTCCTGGACATGGCCTGCGTCGACGTCTTCGGCACCATGAGCTACGAGTACCTCTCGGTGGTAAGCGAGCTGGTTCCGGCTCCGATACTCGAGCTCACCCCGAGCGTGAAGATCTTCTGTGCGCCTAACCTCCCTTTCCTCTTCATCCCCTCCTTCATAAAAATTAAAATAACAACTAACGAAAGTACCACTATGTGATTTAAAAAAAATAACAGACATTTCTACCGTCCAGCCCGGCTCCCTCATCGAGCTCACTTCCACGGCCCAGCTGGCCTGCACCCACCACCTGTCCGACCCGGCCGTGCAGCCAGGCCAGCTCGACATAGTCATCGTCCCTGGGCCCGACCCCTCCCTCGACTGGACGACGCAGGAGAAGAAGGAAGCGCTGGACTGGCTGGCGGCCCACGCGGCGCAGGTCGAGAAGACCGACATCCTCTCGGTGTGCACGGGCATCTACCCGTGCGGCGCGGCCGGGCTGTTGAAGGGCAAGAAGGCCTGCGGGCCGAGAGGACTGCAGGCTGATCTGACGAAGAAGTATGAGGGCGTGGATTGGGTCGGGCACGAGCTTCGGTGGGTGAGGGACGGGAATTTCTGGAGCAGTGGTACGTTCCCGTCATATATTCCTCCTTCCTTGGTTCATCTCAAATTTCTTTTTTTTTTTTCCCACTTTCCTTTACTAAATTGAAAATGCTGTGTGAAAAATAGGGGGCGTCACCAACGGCAACGACCTCGCGGCCGCATATGCGCGAGAGAGCGGCCGATTCCCCGGACCCGTCGCCGAGCTGGCTCTGCTGATGGTCGATGTTGGCGACCGGCCGCAGCGATATACTACTGGTAAGGCCGCCGTGACGCTGGGAATGGTGTGGCAGGTGCTAAAGGCCGTGTTCATAGGGCTCGGGAAGAAGACCGCTTGAAATCACGGGTCTGTTGGCAGGTGCATGGCAGGGCAAGACTATATATACAACAAGGACAGGTTGTAGCATAGATGATGGCCGGCAACATGGAAATATCAACCACGGAATTGCCAACGACAACAGCCACCTGGTGTGGCGGTATGTTGAGTGCTCGTATCTGCTACACGGTAGGACACCAACGATCAATGCTTTGCTCACGCAACTTCGTAGCGAAAATAGGGGCTACTTCAATTCCTGCGCTGAGAACAGGCGGCCACTGCAACCTCCAGTGCGACATCCTGGGGTTGCGAGTGCTATGACATCGCCGCTCCGTTGGCAAAGACTCGGAGGGGAAGAGTCCGAGGGACCTGAGAATAGGTTAAGTGTTGGAGATGACTGAAGTATCCAACATACCCCCGTCTACGGCTCCATGGCGTACGTACGGCTCGTTTCCTTCCTATCATTGGAGGTCCTTAGTTCATGCAGGGATGCACAGACAGCTTGAAGGTATTAAACCATCTCCCTATTAGTTAAAGCTCGCACAAAGCTTACTTATACACCAAGGCACGGTAGGTGCGCGTAGGGGGGCCGAGGTGGGGGAGAAAATGAGGGAGCCAAATATAAAAGGGGCAAAAAGAGAAGTCGTCGATTTTAGAGATCCAAAAAAACCGATCCACCCAGGGGTTGAACCTGGAACCTCCTGATTCGTAGTCAGACGCTCTGCCATTGAGCCAGCGGACCTTGGAATGCAATTGTATGTATAATATGAAATATTGGTACTTAAGGTAGCGATACCTCAAAATCAGGTCAACTCGGCTTACAGACGTATGTATGTATCCCGTATAATACATTACATTACATCTTGGAGATTTGGTATGTGACATTAATGCCGTTCTGGAGACAACACAACATCTCCCTTCCATGACTACCTCTCAAGACCTGCTCCGTATGATGACAGTTACTAGTTCCCTTGGTTTTACTTGACGTCAAGATGTCTATATCACCAACACCTCCCAAGAGACACCGGCTTCGACCCTACAACCAATGACGGTCAGACGGGCAAATTAGCAGGCGATCCAGGTTTCCTCTGTTTGCCCCTTCAGTTGGGAGATGGTGATACTTTCTATTGCTACTCAAGTCGGTATCGTACTGTACTATCGATGCCTCTTCATCTATGCCCCTGTTACCCCGGACTTCTGTCATTTTTCTATCCCGTCTTCGAAACTCGAAAAATGCCACCCTCCTCACTGCAGACTCCACGGGCCGCTGTGCAAAGCCCGTAGCAACGCAACATCCCCTCCCCAAGCTTGGAACCCGCCGCGGCGGTCGCGCTGCTGTAGGATGGGGTCTGGGCTTCGGCGATCACCGGTCGTGACACCCACAGTTCCCTCCCCATGGGACGGCGGGACAATATGTGCGTTCTCCCCTTCCTCCGCCGGGAAGACGACACCACTATCGTGACCATCATGGTTCTTCTCCTTGAGCTTGCCCCAACCACCAGCAGCAACACCAGCTTGGTCGCGGACTCGAGCCCCGAGAGGAACCGGAACCGGCTCCTCTTCCACAACACCAACATTCCCCCCACCCAGCATCCCCGTCCCCGGCTGTAGCATCGCCAGCTCATCAACCTCCTCCATGCGGCGCCACTCATAGCCGAGAAACGCGGTGCGCCTCCTCACCTCGAGCGCAATCCTCTTGGTCCCCGCGTCGCGCAGCAGCCGGTCGCGGGGCCGTTTGCGCGGGCGCCACCCGACCGGGCGACCGCCGAAGCGTCGAACAAACTCGCGCAGTCGGTCCTTCTCGGACTCGTCCGTATTCGGCAGCTGCGCCATGCAATTCTCCAAGAGCGCTAGTGCCTGGGTGGGGCTGTGGGACTTGCCCACTCGCCGCGGTGCCGTGACGGCTCGGACGTTCAGGGCCAGTTCCTGCAGGAGAGGGCACAGTGGTCGGAGGTAGGCAAGTTCTTCCTTCGTTGGTGGCGGTAGCGGGACCGGAGTTTCCCATGGCGACAAGGGATGGGGACTCGAGTATTCGTCCTTCGTGGCGCTTCTCGACAGGTCAGGCTGCTGGAAAAGCTGTTGCTGATGAGGGTGGGCATGGCCGGTTGGATGGTGTCCCGCGACGGTAAGATGACTTGTTGGAGGCCCCTGGGTCGGGCATGGCTGTCGGACCCGGGTTAGCTCTGTGTTCGCGCCCTCGATAGCTTCCTCTAACAGAACGCCGCTGTCCTCTGGGTCACTCTCGCTCGGGTCGTCGCTGACCGACACCTTTCCAAAGTAGTGCGTATCATCGACAGAGCAGAGTTTGGGTACGAGCGGAGGGTTCAGCTCGTGCAGCCGCTCCCACGGAATGTTGCGGAACCACTTGTGTGCCTTGATGTCCTCGGCATCGTAAGGAAACACATAGCGGCCCGCGAAGTCGCGCACTCCGCGGCCACGCGAGCTCGAGTTCGAGCCAGGACGCCGGATTGAGCGTCGGCCGGAGGACTTGGACGGCGAGACAAGATCCTTCATGCGGTAGCGCTCGGAGCATAGCCGGTACTCCTTCTCCGTGATCAGTGAGAGCATGAGATGCTGGCACCGGCGGGACACGGCCGGGCGTGGTGGGAAGTAAAAGGTCTCCCGGAAATTCACGATGTTGTTCTTGGTCTCGTGCCGGTCCTCGGACAGGAAGGGCGTGTGGCCGTAAATGCATTCGAACAGGATGACGCCGACGCTCCACCAGTCGCACCGCGCATCGTATTTCTTTCCTTGGATCACCTCCGGGGCCATGTATTGACTGGTCCCTACGATACTCCAGGCGTCCTTGCGGTTCCCGCACCTGTTGCGCCAGTTCAGCAGAGGTTCGCCGTCGCCCAGGTCCTTCTTGTGATGCCTCGTGATGCTCGCATTGACACCGCTAGACCGCTTCTTTTCCGGCTTCTCAGGCTTGCCAGCCTCCTCCTTGTCTTCTCTGTCGCCGTCAATGTGAATGCCCAGCTTCTTCACCAGGCTCTACCGGTGACTGGTGTAGTACGTCGTGTCGTGGGACCAGTGCCCATCGAATGCTAGACCGAAGTCGCTGATCTTCAGGTGGCCCGAGGCCGAGACGAGAAAGTTGTCGGGCTTGATGTCTCGGTGAATGCACTTGAGCGAGTGCGCCGCCTCGACGCACAGGACGATCTCGGCGATGTAAAAGCGCGCCACTGACTCATGTAGTATATTTTCCCGCATCAGGAGACTCAGGAAATCTCCACCGGGCATGTACTCCATTACGAGGTACAGATTCGACAGGTCTTGGAAGCTGGCGACGAGTGGAACGATCCTAGGTGGCACGCATGGTTAGCAAGATGGTCAGTTGCGCCATCAGGCAGGGACAAGCCGTAAGGTAAATGTGCCTAATGCTCACCATCTAGACCCCTCGCTGGCCACCAGAATGTCCCTCTCTGCTCTCAGATGCCCTTCTTGGCTTATCCTCAGCGTCTTGATTTTGTTGATCACTTTCATTGCATAGAGCTGGCCGCTCCGGCAGTCCTTCACCAACCTCACCACACCAAAGCTCCCTTTCCCCAAACTCTTGAGCGTCTCGTAGCCCATCACGCGACCCGCTTCTCCTGACCGAGCGAGCGCCCTGAGACTTCTCGTCTTCATTACCCTCAGTTCCCGCAGGTACTCGCTTTCGCGCCGCGAGAATTGGGCCCGGGCGGCCTGCATCTCGGCCGCAGTCAGGGGCGTGCCTCTCTTTCGGGCGCGGTTGAACAAGTCTGTTTCGAGGATCTGCTGTCTCATCTGCCGTGGAGAAGGCCCAGAGGCGAGAAGCTCGTTGAAGTATATCTCGAGGTGAACTTTGGCGGCCGCTGCGCGCTCGACCGTCGCAATGCCGGGAGACCAGAGGCCGAAGGGCATCTCCTGAATGGTGCCGAGGTTGTTGTCCGGAGGGGCACAAGGAATACTGTTCGCTTTGGGGCCGGGGCTTCGGCGAAACCGCTGTACGTCGGCGTTTGGGCCCTGTTCTCGCGCGCCTCTCACTATGTTAGGACTCTTGTTCTTCGACACCGAAACCGCAGAAGTCTTAGCCGTCGAGTTTGAGCTCGTTTGCGCAGAGCTGCTGCTCTTGGAAGTGCTGGCGCTGTTGGGGCTGGTATCCGAGCCCGTCGTTTGCATCTGCGCGGACACAGTGCATATTGCTGCTTGCAATGGAGCTGCCGTCTGGAAGGTTTCCCTCACAATGGGTCGACCTTTTGGTGAGGCCCTGTGGACGACCGTTGGCTGCATTGGGCCGCGGAATATGGCGCTCGACACCTTGTGTACGCCGAATCCGAAGGCCGACTTTATCAGATGTCCCCCGGGGGCTGTGCTCAACGCATCCGTGGCGACAGGCTGTTCGCAAGCTAGCAGCAAACTTAGCTCTCGAGCATTGCGCCATGGGGGATTGAGGACTGCTTACAGCCGGTGGCCAACGACTTGAGGGCTGAGACAACCTTGTTCCCGTGCCGGCGGAGTTTAGCAGAGAGCGACGAACTGGACTTGGATGGAGCAAGCGAGTGGGTGCTGCTGGAGATGCCTTCCAGCGGGTGCTCAGGCGCCCCGGGGAGGTCGCCGGTTTGACTTGGCCCTCGGAGAAGGTGGCTGTTCATATCGGTGCGTCTTGGGCATTTGCATGGAATTAAGAACCTGATGATGATGATGCTGTGGCCTCTTGTGTGATCGAACCCCCCTGGAGCTAACGAGAGTCGGGTGATTGAGAACAAGTGGACTAAACTAATGTCGAGAGCTTTGAAGATGTCAACGTGAAAATGTGGTGGAAATCTGGTATGGGAAATCTCCTCAGTTCTGTTGTGTTAAGACCCGACCTAGTGAGCCGAGACTCTGGGGTTGTCCTTTCTCAGCCCGTCATCTCTGACGCAATTTGAAGGCGGCTACGGCAGGAGCGACCTGCCGTCAACACGAGAGGCCAGGGGCTAGACAACGACTTGAAGAAGGACAACTGCATTTGCTTAGGCAGGCACGGAGCCTTCTTCTCATTGAAGCTGCGGTAGGACGAGGAAAACCGGATGATAGTACTTGATCAAAATATATCCTCGAAACGTCCAAGATACCATTGTCAGCAGCTGTGAATGAGACAGCGCCACAGAGCAGAATATAGACGCGATATGTAAAGAAACCGTCCGAAAAGCTTTTCCGTTCGCCGACCCTATGCAATGCAGACCTCGTCATCCCGTCAAACCGTTCGTCTGCTCCCCAGCGAGCAAGGGATCCTCGCAGACCACGCCAGGTCAGAAGTCTCCACGCTGCTGTGTGTGTTCTCCCGCCACGGAAGCAGCAATGCCAAAGAAAATTAAGGCGCCTCGAGGGACGCAGATAGAGATAAGAGAAACGGACGGGAACCGCCTGAGAATACATGAAACCTACAACGACCGACGCCGCGCTCAAGATACCTAGAGATGGCGGGTTGAGCTCAGTCGCTCATAGGTGCTCATAATGTATGACCAGATGTTTACTTGATCTCGAGCAGCTTGACGTCGAAGATGAGGGTGCTGTTTGCCGGGATTTGGGGCATGGAACGGCTGCCGTAGGCGAGGTGGGCAGGGATGGTCAGACGACGCTCACCACCGACGGACATGCCGACGATGCCAATGTCCCAGCCCTTGATGACCTCGCCCTTGCCAACCTTGAAGGTGAACGGCGCACCTTTCTTGTTCGCTGCAGCATGCGGAGTTAGCTGTGACCGCCCCAAGATATTGCCGTCACGATTACTTACAGTCAAAGACCTTGCCGTTCTGGAGCTTGCCAATATACCGCATGCCGACCTTGTCGCCAGACTTGACGGTACGGCCAGTGCCGAGCTTGCGGTCGTCGATGGTGACACCCTGAACGACCTTAACGCCGAGAGTGGCCTTCTTGTCACCCTTGTTGTCGGCCTTTTCCGCCTTGTCCTTGGCAGGACCGGTCGGGCCTTGCTCCAAGTTCTTGGCAAACTGAACTTTCTTATCACCCTTGGCGGCCGGGGAGTCCTTGGCCTTGGCCTCAGCGGTGACGGCCTCGCCTTGGTTGTTCTTGAGCTTCTTCTGCTGCTTCTTGCTCAGCTTCTTCTCGTCTTTGGCCATCATCTCGTCGAGGTTCTCAGCCTCCTCCTCGGCGGGCCGCTTCTTCCCCTTCTTGGTGTCGACAAGCTTAGGCGCCTCTTCCTCATCCGTGTCGATCTCCTTGATCCGCTCCGCACCGTCGATCTCATCCAGCTCATCGCTCATGTCATCCGAGTCCTCGTCGGCCACGTCGTCAATGCCCGGAGGGAGGTCATACCCGTCATCCGAGTCTTCTTCATCGTCGTCCTCCTCCCCGTCGGCGGGAACGACGTAGTTGCCGGTCAGGTAGATGGTGTGAGTACCCTTGACGCCGAAGAATACCTTCTCACCCTCGGCGATAGTAATGTCAATAGGTTGTTGGTAAGTCTAGCGAAGAGGTCAGTTGACTCCAGATCCTAGAGCTCAGTAGTGTTCGGGATTAAACACATACGCGCTCAGTGTCGAGAGTGCAGACGACGAACTGCTCCATGTTGACGTCGTCGCCCTCTTCACTCTCCTCGTCACTGTCCTCGTCCTCGTCGCTAGCCTTGGCCTTGCCCTTGTTCTTTGCGCCATTGGGCTTTGAGTCGGCATCCTCCATCTCGTCATCAGAGCCCTCTTTAGTAGCTTCAAGAAGCTTTTTGATGGCGGCCTCGCGGCGCGCCTTCTTGGACTTGGACGGGTCGCTGGGGCCGCCGTTGACTTCCTCATCGTCGGAGTCGGAGTCCTCGTCATCATCGTCGCCACCCCCGAGGAGCCTCTCTAGATAGTCCTCGTCCTCGTCTTCATCAGCGCTCACCTTGTACAACTTCAAGGTCGAGCGAGGAACTGATGGGACATTGCCCTGGCCGTCAGTCTCGGGCTCAGCGGCGGGGTCGATGGCCGCCATGGTGATGCGGATCTAGATGAATTGTGAGCAAAGGCGCTGGCGCATTGCAAAATAGGGTCTATTTTGTCCATACAGTTGCCGGGAACTCGATCGCAGCAGGGACGAGGACGTCCCCCGGAGGGACCTCCAAGCCGTACACGGCGAGAGGCAGGAGCGGCGACATGTTGAATGCAAGTCTGATCGATCGAGTAAAGATGAAGAGAAATGCTTGACGAAAACGATAGAGTATGCTCTCCACCAAGTGACTGACTATGTAATCAGAGTAATGGTATCTGGGACGCCGCGATCGATCTAAGCAGCTGCAGAATGGAGATGCGAAAAGATGAAGAACAGCGATGGGACGGCTTGGTTAAAAGGTGGTTTCTGCAGCAAGACGGTTAAGGCGGGCGGCTCCAAATTTTTCTGCAGCTCGGGCCCCACAAACTTGCCTGATAAGAGGTTATCGCCCCGCTAGCTTCCCGGCCAACCGAAGTGGGCCCCTGTAAATCATCACCGCCTACTGTTCTTGGCTTAGCGGACCGCTGCAGGTGGGCTTTCCATGAGACCCATTGGAGTGGGAAACTGGATGTCTCACTGTCCGCCGCTTTTTTCAAGCGTTCAACCACTTCGCTCTTCCCACTGAGTACCTCACCCCCTAATGCCATGTGTTGAAAGCCACTGCTTTTTCATTCTGTAGAAACTTTACGTAGATACTATACGCGCTTCTCATTACATCATCCTAGGACATGATAACACTCAATTCTCCTGATGCATGAATACCTACCCCCAAACCGCAAATGCAAAGCTATCACATCAACCTGAAGCGCCCCAAAAAGCTCGCTGAATTCCATCCATTAATAAGCAGTTCGTTCCCAACTCAAATAGTCTCCCAGCCCCCGTGATTGATATCCGCCTCCAGTTTCCTAGAAATGAAGCTCGGCACGCCATGGCTCAGCCATAGGTTCCTCAGCATCGAATCATAGCGCTTCTGATGCAGGAACAGCTGCCTGCCGTAGCGCAGGCCAATGTCCGTCTCGCCGTACTTGTCGATATACGGTGCATGGCTGAAGGAGCCGGAGACGCGCGATAGGTAGAAGACGCAGCACTTGCGTACGTTGATGAAGAGGCCCATGTTACCTTGGCACCTTTACGAGACAGACACATTAGCAGCTGTAGGGCATAAATCGAAGTAAGGGCGGAGGGGAAGGGGAGACAGAGGCTTACTCCATCATATGCTGTTGACACCCGCCGATCTTGAGGACCTTGTGCCTGCCCTCCTTGACCTCTTTCGCGCAGCAGACGGCCTGGCCACAGAAGATGTCGCCACAGAAGAGGCAGATGGTTGGGTCATTGACATCCCCGCCGTTGGGACAGCGCCGCCGCGTGCACTCCTCGATGAGCGTATCATAGTTCTTGGGCAGGCCTACCAGCTCGAAGATACCCGGGTGGCTGAGGATGGCCGATTGCGGTAGGTCCGCTTCGTTGCCGTTGTACGGCCACAACGCCTGGTGCTTGACCCAGCCTGCGACGAGTCGGGGGGTAGACGCTGGCCACCCGTGCTGCACACCCCGGTCGGGCGTCAGCGCCGTGAGCATCTCCCCGAGTGAAGGCACACGGAGCGCTTCGGAGAGCCGCTCGAGTTCGGGCTGCTCCGGGTTGGGCGAGACGCGGCTGTTGAAGTCGACGCCGTACTTCACATGCAAGAGCACGGCGCACTTGCGAAGGAATGTGAGGGCATACTTGCGCAGGAGGGTGTACCACGATCCCTCCGCGTCCAGGCCCGGTTGGTCGAAGGCTTTGTTGTCCCATCTCGGGAGGCCAATGCCGGCGTGGGGATCCGCGGAGTATTCGACGTCGATGTGGCAAAGCGCCTCACAGAAAGCTGCAAAGTTCGTGATGTCGGAATCCGTGTTCGGCTGTCGAGAGATGAACTGGAACCAGAGCGTTGGCCGCATGTTCCGAGCGAGGTGGTATGCTACCTTTGTGATCTCGGCCAGGTAACAGAGGCGAACCATGTGCGCGATCTCGAACCCTTGCGCTGGGATAACGCCAAAAACGCATTCGCAGAGGAAGATGAACGGATCTTGGCTGAGAAGCGGCGGGTACGATTTGGCCGGGAACCGCGTGTTTTCTGTCTCCTCATCCAGATACTGCATGATGAAGAGCTGGCAGTGCTGACGCTCGCTATCTTTGCGGTACTCGGTGTCGATCCTGTTTTCGCCGGACTCGCGCAGGCCGCCGACGGCAATGAACGAGGTAACCGTTTCGCTGAGGATGCGAAGCTGCGTGAGGACCTGTTCCGGGATCTTCTCGAGGAAGGTCATGCCATACTCAGCCTCGACGCCGCGCTGTTGGATCTCCACAGCGGAGATGGAGAAGCCGACCGATCGCGCAAGTGCGTCACTGCCGTAGAGCTCATTCGCCTCCTGCTCGCGCATTTCGGGTTGATGGCGCGACGTGATATCGTTCTTCTGCAGCGTGTCCCTTAGCCGCCGATATACATTGACCAGCTCTCGCATCGCGCCATTCGCGTCTGGGGTGGGACCGCGAGGGCCCAACTCCGAGGCCGACACCATCGAGAACGTTTCACTAAAAGGCGTCCCCGTTGAGACCGACTGCGGCCCGACCTCGACCCATGCATCGTCCAGCAACTGCGATGACTTCTCCGCGAGGTTGTTGACCATATGACTAGCGGTGTACGAAGCGAACGTGTTTTGTATCTGGTCCGGGGGGCGCGTTGCTCCCAGCGTGTAGTAGGCAGAGTGCAGCTGGGCGTCGAGGAACGACGAGAACGAAGTCGATGGCACCAGCGGTCCGGGATATGACTCCTCCTGTCCTTTCCAAATGATGGGCAGGAACGCGTTGCCCAGCGCCTTGCATAGTGGACACAAGAACTCGAGCCTGCGAGTGTCCTCTGGAGCGTGTCGCGCAATCTGTTGGTGGTGCCGTCGTATCGTCGCGTCAAAGTGAGCCTCGAAGCAGCTGTAGTGCATGATATGACAACATCCAACCGCCACCGGGCCCCGGCGAGACAGCTTCGCCGGGAAGCCCTTGCCAATGACCTGGCGCTCTGTCTCGAACGTCTCGCCCTGCCGGTTTACCTTGTGGACGATGTGCCGGTTCTCGTGAGCAACGCCGAACGGCCGAATGGCTTCGGCGGACCGATCGAGATTGTCGGGGGTATTGTACGCCTCCCTCACGAAGTCGGCGTCCTGGAAGTCCGTCTGCCGAAGAATGTTGCTCTCGGTAAAGTAGGCAAAAGTGCCGTACAGCCGGCGATTGTCGGTGTCCTCTTGGCACAGGATGCACGTTCCGGACGGGTATTTCCAGAACTTCTTGTGCTCCTCCATCGGCGGCATGTCCTCGTCGTCCTCGAGGCCCTCCATTTCGCCCCAGTCGATGTCGCCCTGCTTCTCCATGAAGCTCTTCTGCTGGGCCTGGAACTGTGCCATGACCCGAGCCTGGCGGTCCAATGCTGCCCGCTTCTTCCGCTCTCGCTCCTCGTCCGCGCCGCTCGTAGCCGGTGACGTTGCTTCCATGCCGTCCACTGAGAGGCCGAGACGCTCGCGGCTGGACTCGAAGACCCTGGGCCGCTTCTCCCGCATCCTGCGGAGGATCATAGCTACCTTTGGGTGACACACTTTAAACTCATCCTTGGAGGCTATCAGGTTCAGTAGGGCTACGATCGTCTTGGCTTGCGGCGCATCGGGCATGAAGTTGCTGCGGGCTTGCCGCGAGAGTGCGGTGGCAATGAACGATGCCTGCTGCGGCTGGTCGTCGTTTGATTTGTCCTCGGAAATGGCGATGAGTACCAGATGCAAGACGACCTGGAGGAAGGTCTCTACTCGTGTCGAGGGGACTTGGGGTGTCAGTCCGGGGTACACAAGGGTGTAGAGCAACGAGTAGTAGATGATCTGCGCGAACATGCCGGTGCTGGTGAATTCGCCCAGTCCAGCAAACACCCCCGACGAGATGGGCCGTAGCTTGGGCTCGTAGACGACGTCTTCTACCGGCTTTCCGGTCTTCTTGGCCACGCACTTTCGCCAGGCCATTTCAGCCTCTTCCCGCTGGTTCTTGTTGTAGTGCGCGATGTACGGGTCGACATTCTCGACGTACTCGGGCTTGAGCTCGAAAATGCCAACATCGCTGAGGCCTTCGGGTGGTTTGTACGTTGTCATTTCGTCCAGTAGTCTGTGGAAATCTTCATGCTCCTGAAACTTCTCCGGGAGCCTCTGGGTCAAATCGGAGAAAGAGAGGGGCTTGAAGCAAAGGACGTGCGTGATGTCGCGGCGCATGGATGCAAGGTGCGGGCCCTGTTGATCATCCGTCGGCTCGAGCAGAGTCCTCTCGCTGACGAGGACGATGAGGAGGTGGATCATGTCCTCAACGACATCCAGGTGCTGAGTGTCATCCTGAGCCTTGGCCTTTTGCTCGAAGAGGCCCTTGATCCACTTTTCCATACCGTACCGGTCGACGATGGAGGCGAGGACGCGGCTGGGGTCGCAGACGACCAGCGCCGTCTGCAGGAGAAAGACGTCACGCTGGTGCGCAACGTCTCTCTGGCCAACGCCACGATAGGTGCCGGCCTGGTGGCGCAGACTGAGGCCGTTCCTGACCCACATGCCCGCCTTCATCTGGGCGAGCCATGCACAGACCCGGAGTGGGAAGTCAAAGGCCGCCAGCAGGTAGTCCTCCGGACCATACTCGCCGTACCGCGGCATTGTCTTTCTGCCCATGGAACGCGGCTTCATGGTGAGCTCCTGCGTCGTGAAGCTGAGGAGGGCCCTCAGCTGCTCAACAGGCATCGCTTTGCCGCACTCGATGAGCCACGACAGGGTGTAGTGGAGTGCGTGATGGAAGCTGATGGGCTCTTCTTCCACCGTAAACCTGACGACATCGAAATCGCGTTCTGGCGCCTCGAATTCAAAGTCGCCGAGAGTCTTGAAACGGACTTCTTCCTTGATCTCCGCCTGGCTGAACCTGTGCCGCTCCGCTCCGATCGAGTTGACGATGACCGCCTTCGCCGCGAGCCGTATCACCCTTGACATGCAGAGCGAGTCTTGTTCTTTGAGGTTACGGAAGGCCTCAGCAAACTTTCTGCAGAGCCGATTGATCTCGCGCGTAACGAGAGAGGCACTGATCCAGCTGTCCCCTTCGAACTCGACGTGCTCGCCCACGGCCCTCACATTAGGGCAGATGCCCTGGTGCAGCTTGACAAGATCCAGGAACTGCATCGTGTACCGCTCTTCTGTCCTGAGGCGTTCTTGGACGTGCGGAGAGCTGAAGAGATACTTCAGATCGAGAAAAAAGTGATACATTCTCCTATTCGTGACAGACCCGGTGTCGAAGGACAGCACTGCATTCGACGCCACATCCCATGGGTGGCCAACCTGACGCGTGGTAAGGAATGTGTACAAGATAGCCATCAGACTGGTGAGGAAGTTGCCGCGCTCGACGATCTCGGCCGTGATGGAAGGTGTGGTCAGCATCTGCAGCGAGATGTTGATGATGGAGTGATCGGGTTCCCGGTCGCTGATGAGGTACAGCTGCGCAAGGGTAGTGTAGAGACCGGCAAACCGCAGCCCAAGCACGCGCTTGAACTCTGGGATGGTGACCACGGTCGAGATGTACAGCGAGCGCAGATCGTTACGGACCTTCTTCCACATCCGGAGATCGAAAAGGATCATCCAGTCAAGCCGGACCCGCTCAAAGAGGTTTTCCGCGACCGGAATGTCGTCCCGTTCAACATAGCCGGCGGGCGTAACCAGCCAGTAATGGCCGGGCTTGGGAGGCGGCGCCGTCTCGCCCTGCTTCAGACCCGGAGTCTTTGGTATCTCCAGATGGGCTTTCGCGTACAGTGTGGGAGCAATGAGGGGCTCTGCCGTATCGGAGTCAGATGGAGTGAGTTCGCGCTCTCGCGCATTCCGGCGGCCAGCCGGAGGTGGCGGAGGCGGAGGTGGATAGCCAGCCATTGTGGCCTCGTCTTCTTCCAGCGCTTGGTCTTGCTGCCAGTCTTGCATGTGCACATCCTCGTTTCGGCCGTCAAGCATTAAGACGTCGTCGTCGTCGTCTCCCTCTTCATCCATAGCGCTTCCAATACTGTTGCCATCACCTTCGTCTCCATCCTCGTCCCCATCGTCGCTCGCGCCCTCCATCGCAGCCTCTCGTTCAGCTTCTCGGGCAGCTAGACGAGCTTGCAGCAGAATCCTGCTCTGCTGCATGTAGAAATCGTTGGTCTCGATATCTTCCCGGTCAATCAAGTCTTCGTCATCGATGCCGTCCTTGCCTACGATAGCGTGCGCAGCCGGGCTCCCCTTGCGCCATGGCTTGAGCATCTCTTCGCACACAATCCGCCTCAGGATATGGTGGTCTTCGCCAACGCTGCAACCAGAAATGTCCTGGAGCCACTCGATCATAGTTCCGCACATCTCTTCTCGAAAGGTGTCACGAGCAGAGCGGATCGTCACTGTCACCCTAATCTTCTCGAGAGTCGTCGCAACCTCGATGAGCTTCTCGATGCTCTTGTGATACATCAAGATGCTCCTGCCGATGCTGTCTGTCTCATGCGCCTTCCGGAGCCCATTGGCTAAGGTGGTGCTGCATGCGCGAGCTACCTGGTCCCGGACATCGATGACGGTGTGCTTCTCATCGTTCCAGAGGAGCACGGCGTACTCTTCAGGTGCCTCGGTGTCCCCGCCGCAGTAAGTCGACGATAACCTCGACATCCTTTCGTCTTGCCTGATGGCCTCGACTGTCTTCGTCTGGCGCAGCTGCTCCGGGGCGCACGAGATGACGTCGCACATATAGTCGAAGACGCGGCCGATGGTCATTCGTATGTTGGAAACTAGGTCTTCTGGTACCGCAGGCGCCTCCTTCCCCTTCCCCTTCCCTTCGCCCTCCCACATTGAGTGAATGGTACAGAACACGGGCCGGTTCCATGCTTCTGGATCTCCGCAGTCGCAGCACCCACTGTTCCCCGGCGAGATGCTGATCCGAACCATGTGGCCGGTGTGATCTGTGGCGTCAAAGCATTTGCTGCACAGACAGCATGTGTCGTCGGCGCTGCATGTCCTGCACGCATACGAGGCCTCACCTTGCTTGAAGATGTGTCCGCAGGCCTTTCCACGGGCAGCTTCGGTGTATTCGGCGCCCTCGACAGCGCCCTGAGCTTCTCTCATCTTCAGGGTTCCGTTCCGCGCGGGCCCGCCCGTCGGGAAGAAGAGGTTCATGTAGGCAGTCTTGCCGCCAGCCATGCACCAGAACAGAGCCGTCAGCAGCTCGCGGGCGGCTTCGTCGGTATAGCGATAGCGGTGGCGAGCGGGCAGCTCCAGCAGAAGCTGGCAGAGCTGCTGCTCCTGCGTCGACATCGGCGGCGTCTCCATCGTCGATCGACAAAGCGATGCGTATTATGTTGCTGTCATGTGTGTAGCACGGTTCGGAAGGACGTCGTGGATGGCGTACAGAAGTCGGGAGGATGGAAGGCAATCAAAAGGTTGGGTGTGTGGTTGCTTCTTGCCTTATCGGAATTTCTGGTTGCTGATAGAAAGATGACAGGAGGTAGGAGGGCCCACGGATTATCGTGGGGTTCTCGTCTTATTGACCAAGAGCGGCAGTGAGCGGGTATTCCTTGCGTACAAGTTACGTGCTTTGAATCGCTAACACCGGGCCAGTCTAATCAGATTATCAGAGAGCTTCCTGTGTGGCGACTCTAAAGGAAACCAATGCTTCTTTTTTGAACTAAGACTTCGATCGGAGGATAGGTAAGTTTGAAGTTGCCCATAACACAAGCTCAATGCAGTGAAACGTAAGGTACTGTACGTAGTTCTTCTGGGCAGGTTGATAAACCTTGCAGGGGTCGACTGAGGTCACCTAACTTTTGCGCCTGGAATCAAACACGAAGGTATGTACTGTATTGTACGTGTGACATTACGATCAGACTCGACCGTCTAACTTCAGATGGTCCTAGCACCGTAAGTATTCAGGTAAGTTGTAGAACTAGCAAGGCACTGCACTGCATAAGGTACCATCCCAAAGATTGTGGCAGTTCATGGCCCGAAGAGTAAAGGTCGGAGCCGTTCTGTCAATGAACCCTTCGAATTGCTGTAAGCAGATAATGTCTCCGACCGATGATCTATTCTCTACCAAGCCCTCCTCCGTACAACGAAATGTACACGGTCGAAGCATCCAGACCTCGCTCTTCAACCCAGTTTACTCGCCGCTTTGTGGTATCGCCCAAGTCTGCTTATTCCTCATCATCCCCACCCTGAACGTACTTGTGTCGAATGTCCTTCCATTGGCGCTGTTCTCTGCCGTCAGCATTTGAGCTAGCATATGAAAAGAATAGTCGAGCATCCATACCCCGCGGTTGATGTTGTCCCAGACCCTGTTCATCATGTTGTCATAGCCGCTGCACATGCAGGTCAGTACGGCAAACCCCCCCCCCCCCCCCCCCCCCCCGGTAGTTCCAATTCCAAGTGGTAACGTACAGCTCAAAAGCGAAAGCACCGGCGAAGACGACGCCAAGCATGACAGAGTTCCTTCGGAAGAAGGCGCTGGCGGAGCGGGTTAGCTTCGATTAGGTCGGCTGCATTGGTTCGGAAGGACTTGCTCGTAGATTGTTTTGGCGACCTGTGAATGCGCTGTCAGCGTTGGGTTCATAGAATGCTGGCGAAACTGGGAGATCCCAGCGTACTCACCATCTTGAAGGTATAAACGATCCCAGTTGAAGGGCAGGTACCGCGACCGTGGTGCGTGGGATAGGCTGCAAGCTGTTTCCGAGTGTTTGCACTGCGAGCAACGGAGCAAAACTGGACCACTGATTGAAGCCGGAAAGGCCGCACGGATGTTTCCGGGCATCTTTAGACCCAGCTCCTGATTGGTTCAAGCATTCCGAAGCCCGAAAGCCTGGGCCTGCAACCCCCCACCAATGTTTCCGGAGCTCACCTTCATCTTCAGTTGTCCAAGCAAACATCCCGCGCTGATTACGCCTTGAAAAGGCCAGCTACCTGGCTCGAGGCTATCATCGCAGGCCAATGCGTTAGATCCAAGACAATAAGTTCTAACGGACGTCTCACAACTCATTGATCAAAATAAACGGCTGCGCTAAGGTTGAAGCACACTTCGGAGGACTTCACTTCCTTAGCTTCACCCCGACCCCGCATCAGCCCATCATGCCCTCGCAACCAACCGCCTCAGGCATCGTAACCGACGAACGGAGCGGCGAGCGCCACATTCCCGAGTCCAAAAGAGCCGATGGCAGCGTAAGAAAAGCCATCAAAGTCCGTCCCGGCTACCGGCCACCGGAGGATGTCGAAGTCTACCGAAACCCAATCGCGGAGAACTTCCGCAACCGTGGCAAAGGCCCGGTCCCTGGCGCCGAGGGTTTGAAGAGCGACAAGCCAGCGCAGGCATCCTCCGCAGCGGTCAACAAGAACGCCAAGCGTCGCGAAGCACGTAAGAAGGCCAAGGCAGCCGGGGCTACTCAATCAGAGGAGGCACCTGCAGTTGAGGTGAAGAAGGAAGAGCTGGACCCTGAGGCGGAGAATGAGAAGAAAGCCCGGACTCTTAAGAAGAAGCTCAGGCAAGCGAAGGAGCTTAAGGAGAAGAAAGAGGGCGGCCAGGTGCTGCTGCCGGAACAGATCGCTAAGGTGATCAAGATCAGCGAGCTGATCCGGGAGTTGGATGCCCTTGGCTTTGACGCCGAGGGCGAGCCCAAGACTGCTGCCGCCCCTACAGAGACATCACCGGAGTGATCGACTCACGATTTTGCGGACTTCATTTTTTTGAAGATTTGGGGCGCCAGCCTACCTCGATCGGCAGACGAATGATGCTGCTGCGACCTCCTAGGCCTTATCGTCTCGGCACCAGAACGGAGCCATACCAGCGGCATGTCTTGGAGCTCGTCTTGCTACCTACGAGACGTTAACTCCGAGTACGGTGACCGATGGTTACGAATCCCAACGTTAGGCAAGACACTCCAATGGGCTCAAGTGACCCGGCCAAGCATTCAATCGAGGCAACCCGCCAGCAGCCATGCCGATACATGAAGGGGCGCCTCGGGCTGGGGAATAGACCTCGACAAACCCAAAGGAGGATGGGTAATCGAGGAAATGAGTTTTTCGCGGGCGGCTGATGACATATTACGTGCCCTGAGCTCACCGATGCGTGCTGTAGACTATGCACAGGACCATGTCACAACTGGTCCATGATGGCCTTCGGTGAAGTCACAGGTCTTGGGAGGCGTCCAAGGTCGTGCCCAAAGCGGACAGTTGTCATGGGAGATCATGTCTCGAGAAGGATTACGCAAGCAAAGCGTGACAGTGTGATGCAAGGGGTATCAACGGTCTATATCATGACAATATCTTACAATGTAACCATACAGTTAGTTAGTTGTACTACAAGACCCATTCCCCATTACCTTACGCCGGCGTCCTTATTGTCCCCTCCGCGGAGGGCTGTTCGGCCTCAAATGTCCGGGGGATCAGGCCCTCCGCCATCCTGATTGCACCCTCCATATCACCCTTGTTAAACTGGAAGAGGCCCTGAATGGCAGCAGTAGAGGTGTGCCTTTTCGGCACGCCCGGTTCCCGGTTGTCGCTACCGAACAGGCCCAGCTCATCAAGCCGCTTCAAAAACCGCTCCCGGCTGGAGTGATCCTGGTCAATGTCGCCATAGTAGCGATCCCACATCTCAGCGGCCTGGTATCGCGTGGCCTCGCCAATGCGCACCATCATGTCGACACGCCCAGGCCGAATCAGGGCCGGATCCAGCCTGTCAATGTGGTTCGTTGTCAGGAAGGTGATCCTATCCTCTCCAGCAGCCAGTCCGTCCAAGGCGTTCAGCAACCCCGAGGCTGTCACCGTCCGCCCACTGTAACCATCCGGATCCCGCTGACGACGGTTCACCAGTGCCGCATCGACATCTTCCAACAGCAGGATGCTCTTCTCAGGTAGTTGCGTGAGCAACTGTGCCAGCAAGTCGTCCGTCATCCCGATCTCGCTCAGATTTATCATAGCAACGCTGTAATCCAGCTCCCCGGCCAAGGCTTGGATGAACGACGTCTTACCCGTCCCGGGGGGACCATAGAGCAGATATCCCCTGCGGTAGGGCACTCCACGATCCGTATACCACTGTTGCGCTTTCAAGAATTCTTTCACGTCCTCGACCAACTTCTCCTTCACCCCCTTATCCAGTATCACACTCCCAAGCGGTCGTTTCAGCCTCGGCTTCCCGAGAACGGCCCACTCCATTTTCCGGGCGGTGTACACCACGGTCTTGCCCTGCTGGAAGCTCTGCGCCAGCGCGTGCGCCTGTGTGAACACATCGGCCAGAACATGCCGATGCATCCACAACAGCGTGAGCGTGAGCGTTTCGTGCGGCTCGCCCGTCGCTGTCGTCGCCGTCCCGGCCTTCTCCCTGTTCACTGCGATGTACACCCCCGGCGCATGGCGCACGATGTGCCTCCCGAATCCGGGCTGCACCCTGAAATCGGCATGGATCTTTCCCGCGCCGTCATCACCGCCGCCTCTGGGATTCATCGACCGGGTGCTGGTGGTGATGGACAGGTTCCGCAGACGGGTCAGACGCTGCGCGAGAAAGCCGCGGTTGTCGCGCGGTTGGGCGAGCCAAGCCAGGACCCAGTTGTAGGAGGGGTCCCGCTTGCTGATCTCGATGTTAACGAGGAGCTGACGGCGGAGGAGGCCCGCGCCCGAGATCAGCGCGCGCCGACCGAAGGCGGCGGCTGCGCCGAGCCCGGCTAAGCCAATGCCGCCCGCAAAAACAGGATTGTTGAAGAGCGCATCCAGGCCGAGGATCGAGGGCGGGGATGATGTCGTGGTTGCTGCGGTTGCGGTTGACAATTCGGCGGCTGACCTCGAAGCTGCTTGGAACGGGAGCGTGGGCTGAGCAGGAGTTGTTGGGACGGTGGGTGATATAGTCGGTGACATTGTTGGTGGTTGCTACATGCTTTGTATCGTTCTGCACCGTTGGTTGGTGTAAGTGGCAGGTCCAGTGATGGCGGGGGCGCTTTTGTGGGATGCCGAACGGAGCTGATATTTTAGTGGGGCAACGCCGGCATCTCGGGCGACGAAACACCGAGACCTCTCGAATAACGTCCGGTGCCGCGCCTTCAACCCAGCTGCAAGCATCTAGAAGCCCGTGCCAGCCACTCAGTTGTAAAATGCAGTTGGTATTGACAGGCAGACATGTGTAGGCTTCGCTCAAGGTGCGCAGTGAGTGGTTCGAATAATTGTTTGCAGTATAGTTACAGATGTACACGAGCATCGGATCCGCGAATCCGTGACCTCCACCCAGCCATCCGGCGCCATATATGCCCCCTTGGATTCCGCAAAGGCCAACCCACCACTCATCACGCGCCAACTGTTTAACCCAATCTCCTCTTTCTCTTGCTCCGGGTGCCACCAAACTTGAGTCTTGTCGAATCTGACACCCGCACAATCTTACCCCGCAACAGTTTGCCCTCGTTCCCCATAAGCACCTTCACCACAGCCTCTCTGCCCGCGCCGAAACCTCGCAAAACCACCTCGAGCTTATTGATCTTCTTGACCAGGCCTTTCTGGTGCATCTTGTCTATGAAATACGCGCCCAGTTGGTACGCCGAGTCGTAGTGCTTGCGCCCGGATTTCTTGAAGCCAATGTTGCCGCACGACAAGGAGAGGATGGCGTCCCGGTTTGGCTTGGTGAGCGTGATGTGGGTATTGTGCTTGTGGCTGTAAATGTGGAAGTGGTAGGGCTCGTGGCTGTCCTCCTCCTCTTCAATCGGCAGCGTCCCTGTGACATCCTCCGCGAGGTTCGATGTAGCCGAGCGCCCGGCCAGAGCGCCTCCCATGACGCTCTTCACGAGTCGATGCCATGTTTGCGCTGGTGGGGCACCGTTTTGCTGGGCCGATGGATGTTGAGGAGGGTTCCAGCCGTCGCCTGCGGGGGAGGATTGGGAGAACAGTCGGGTCCATAATGGGACGATTGTTGTCGTCGTCGGGTACACAGTCTTGGAGAGAGGTCGGACTAGGTCCGGCGCCAAAAGGCGGCCTATCTTAAATTGACTCATATCCGCCAGGCGACGGTCATCAGGGTGACCTCGGTGCCAGAGGAAGGCGGGGAGTGGGCTTGGCTTTCGGGCCGGCAATTTCGCTCACAGGACAGTCGAAGGTTGCTACTTCGGTGGTCGATGACCGCGCCAATTGGAAATTTTGGGAATCGGAACATGCCGTCAAGTTTGTTCACATTCAGGGTGGGCCTTATTGTAGACTCTCGCTTGGCCAATCCGACCAATCAACTTCAACAAACCTTTTGCCCCACCGGCGAAATTCAGCAACTCTGGGTCGCCCGCCATCGCGCGCAAAATCCTTATCGACACAAGTTCCCGTCCCGTCTTGTGCCGCCGCCGCCCCTCCGATCACCCATCCTCCCCTTCCTGCTACATCTGCCTCTACTGACCAGGGCGGCTTTGACTCGTACGTAAACATGAATGCAGCCCGGCAGGTCCAGAGGTTCGCGCCAGGTGCCCCGTCGAGGGTCACAGGCTTGCGAAGCACCGGTTACACACCAGCACCGCATTACCGTCTCCTCTCCTCCAGAGCGTCGCAGCTAAGCATCTCTGAGAACACGGCATGCTACGCTTCTACGCCAGTCCATCAACAACAACCACTCCTACGCTCTACGCTCTCCCTACATGCCATCAGGCTAAGTAGGTTGTCACAGGGCACCGCGCGCCCATTCCACGCTTCGATCCGGCTACGGCAGAAGGAGGCCGAGGGCACAGGGGCAAATGCACGGTCAAAAACAAGCGAAGACGGGAAGGATAGTGAGTCCCAGTCGAAGGAAGAGAGGACGGAAGAGGCTAAAGAAGGGAAGAAGGGCGAGGAGAAGGAGGAGAAAGAGAAGAAGGAGAAAGAGAAGAAGGAGAAGGAGGACCTCCCGCCTCCGCCGCCCCATGGAGACAAGACCCCGTGGCAGGTGTTCCTAGACACCATGCAGACGGAGTTGAAGCAGTCTAAAGAATGGAACGAGTCGACCAAGGCCCTCGCATCCTCCGCGACTGAGTTTGTCGAGAGCGAGTCCGTCCGAAAGGCGCGGCAAGCCTACGAAGCCACGACAGGTGCTGTCAGCTCTACGGCTGAGAAAGTCGTCAAGACCACAGCGGGCGCCATTGCCAAGGGTGCTGTTTATACTTGGGAGACCCCCGTGATGAAGGGCGTGCGAAAGGGCGCGAACAAGACGGGCGAGGTGCTGGACAAGGCGACCAAGCCGATTCGTGAAACCGAGGCGTACAAGAACGTCAAGGAGGTTATCGATGACGGGAGCAGTTCGAGGTACGGCGGGTGGGTGGACAAGGAGGAGCGGAGGAGGCGACGGGAGCTGCGGGAGAAGATGGGACAGAAGAACGGAGAGCAACAACAGATCCTTGAAGAAAACCCAAAGTACGCTGCCACCTGCCCTACACAGTATGTTTTATCGCAATTCGGCTGACCCCGTTGTAGTGCCGGAACCAGCGTAACCCTCCACAAGGATGCCGCGTGGAAGGAGGCCTGGAGGGATTTCAAGGACTCCAACAAATTCGTGCAAAGCATTTTTGGCATGAAGACGGTGTATCAAGAGTCGGAAAACCCCCTGATTTCTACCGCCCGAAGCATCACCGACAAGGTCGCCGGTTTCTTTGCAGAGAACGAGACAGCGATGGTGATCAAGAAGCTGCGCGCCATGGATCCATCATTCAAGTTGGAGCCCTTCTTGCAGGAGCTCCGCGAGTACATCCTTCCCGAAGTGCTGGATGCCTACGTCAAGGGTGACGCTGAGACGCTGAAGCTGTGGTTGTCGGAGGCGCAGTATTCCGTCTACGACGCCCTGACGAAACAGTATCTCCAAGCTGGCTTGAAATCCGATGGCAAAATTCTCGACATTCGAGGAGTAGATATCCTCAGAGCACGCATGCTCGACCCCGGCGAGATCCCCATCCTCATCGTCACCTGCCGGACACAGGAAGTTCACGTATACCGCAACGCCAAGACGAACGAGCTAGCGGCGGGCATGGAGGACAAGGTCCAACTTGTCACCTACGCCATTGGCATCACCCGCATTGCCGACGAAGTGACCAACCCGGAGACGAGAGGTTGGCGGCTGATCGAGATGCAAAAGAGCGGCCGCGATTACATCTAAACGAGCTGTGTTTTACCGATCGCCGTCCAACCATCCGACTCCCAGCGGCCAGTCTCTTCTCCATTCATTGCGTTTTACTGTCACAAAACTGTATCATATTGCATCCGGGATCTTGTCGCCTAAGACTGCAGGGAGTTTTTGGGAAGTCCATGGTACATTATAGAGGGAGGCGGAGCGGGGCGCCTTGATGCATTTTCACGGCCAGCACCACTCTTCTGGAGCCCATGTGAGAGGGCGGCCATGACACAATAGTCCACAATGTACAGTACGATATGAGGAGGAACAAGGCATCAACGACCACTGTGATGCCACCAGTGAGCGTTTATCTACAATAATACCCAAGCAGGCATGACCAAACTTGACAGCCCCATGTTAGCTCTGCTATTAACCGTATCAATCACTACCTTACCCAACCTGATTTGAAGACTCGATGCTCCATAGGTGTTCTTCCTTTCCATTGCCTCCCTCATACGTCCCCTCGAACCCCTTCATCACTACGCTTTCAGTCCGTATCTGCCGTGGCTTATTGTCACTAGGGAATACAAGCGGGGGAAGACATTACAGAATGATATGAAGGCGCAGTGGAAAAGCAAGCGAAAAGACACCCGTGGCTATCGAAAATGGCAAAATATGAACTGGAGGCACCGCGGATCGAACGCGGGACCGCCTGTATGGCTGGATCGAAAGATCAATGCAAAACAGGAATCATACCACTAGACCATACCCCCAGAGTCTACCGTTAGAACGGTCCGCCCGCCAATCATATAAGGAAGAGGTCAGGCCGACTGGGCGACTTCAAAGTACCCAGGCACTGCCAGGGTTAAGGTTTCAAGAGTTTCCTCCTACTTTTAGTTTGTTTCTTTCTGTTTCCCTTTCGTCGACTATTTTTCTTCCATTTCATTTAGGTTCAGGTCTATTTCTTCGCTTTTGATTGGAATATCTGGGTGAAGCGCTTTGTGTACCTGAGGTATGTATACGTACATTACGGCCCTTTTGCGCGGACATAGCAAGTTCGAATTTACCTACTATATCACATTAACCTGGAAGCTGGAGCCCGTATACCAGACATCTGAGAGCAGTGCCTACGGAAGCCATAGCAGACACCCTTTGACCTACACAACCCCATGCAATCATCATCAATAGGCTCTGCCTCGATTTGCGAGTTGGCTAATGCAACCAAGCAAGAGCTCGCCTTTGTCAGTCATAGCCGCGCCACCACGTCAGCCATAACCGATCATAACCAATCCGAGTTGCCTTCTGAGTCACCGTATGCGCTGGTTCATCCCATATAGTGTAGGCACCTACCCGAGCACAAAGTTCTCGCTCGTCTGGTTAAGAGTAACCTGGGACCTACCAAGCGAGGAACCCTCGAAGACTCCCGGTCCCCATTGACTCAAGCAAACGGCCTATCACTTCTCATGCCTCCTGTCGCTGCAGAAGTCATTATCGGTCTCAGCCCCGGGCGGCGGCGGATGCCGAAATTTACCCCGTCCGGAATCCCGAATCGGTGCTTCCGAATTAACGAGGAAGCATGGGAATCATCGGTTGCCTGAACGTCAACTCCATTCTCAGAATAAGCAGGCCGCCGTATGCTTCATCACGGGGAGCTGCATCACATGATGGCCGATCTTACACCTGCAAGGCTATGGCGGCCGTGGTAGGGAGTAGTACATTCTTAGGTAGTAGTAGGGTAGCCCCCATCTGTCTGATACCGATCGGTTTCGTAAACTGTATGGAGGTATGGAGGCGCCGACGGAGTAGTATCCGTCGCACAACATTCGCCAATCAGGCTACCCGAGAATTGACGCTACATACCATATTCCGTACAGTAACAATGGGCGCATGTCCGCCGCTGTGGAAGCAAATCAGGGGCCGGGATTTTGATGTTTGTTCTGCCAGACCTTCCTTCTTTCATCTGAACTGGGAAATGCCGGACTCGGCCCCGGTAGACAACCGGCGACAACCTGCAGCCTGCAGCCTCACCGCCGATGTTGATTCCGCATTTGGCTGCGAGATCACCCTTTGTCTGCCTTCTTCTCCTCGTGTGCTATTCAAGAGAGATGACGACAGGGGTTTCCCAACTCACTGCAGCCAACTCCCGAGCGCCATTCTTGGCAGCTCAGGGGTGTAAGAGCCGGTGGCGGCGAGCGAGAGCGGTGGGAATCCCTTGTTCCTGCGGCTAGCTTGCTCTCACCGTCTCTTTTCTGCCAGGCCCGAGATGGATGGATCACGAGGGTTACGAATTCTGCCACCGCTAGTCGAACGCCGCGAGCGTGCCTTTCTAGTTGGGCTGACGGAATCACCCCCAAAGTTAACAACCACATTTGCCGTTGCCATCGCCGCTTGTGCTGACGTTAACCCGCTGAGTTGAGCCACGTTCATGTGGTCAGATTCCTGGCGGATACCGAACCCGGAACTCTGGGACGTGGCGTGGCAATGGGACCGCCGTGCCACTGAACACCACAATCAGGCAGTCATCATTGACTACCTATTCTTGTCCTCCTTGTTCCACTGTCTGCTATGACTGGGTTTGGCGGCCAGGCGACATAGACCACCAACAGTCCACAACCAACATCACCTGCACATCGCGAAGTAGTCCTGTGACTAGACTCGGTCACCCCGTGCCCTGCTTTTGGAAGCCCTACCCGTTGGTTGCGAGTTGCGAAAGGGAACGATCCGCTGCCACAGAGATTCCATTTGCGTCTCGGCCTGTGTCCATTCTGAGATACAATAGGCGCATTGTTCCCGGTTCCCTGGCTTGTGATTTCCAACCGTGGTGCTCGGGTCCGGAGGGTAACGGCAGGTAACTACCGCAGCCCTTATCCGACTCGTGTATACTGACACCAAGCTAGCAATAGTCGATTGGGCGGTTTGAGTGTAGGTCGTTACTCTAGGTGGCCGGTCCCGACCGTGGCAAGCAGAAGACCGTTCGTGGAACGCGCTGTGGAACTGTTGATCGTTGAGGTAGTTGAACGGCAGGGTCAAAAGAACAACATCCGACTTGTCGCGACCTCACTCGCCGCGTGAGTGACCAAACAGAGCAAACCCAAGGCTCTGTCCTCGGCGGGAAGGACACTGTTTGGTCTTTGCGTCCCGTCGCTGCGGTCCTTGTTTCTTCGGCCAATTGCTGCTCTTCTCGCAGCTGTCAGAAAATTGGCCTGTCGTTAGTGGGAAGACTGCAAGCCCAGGCACGTGGAAAGTCCATTCTTGCCTCGGATCATCGTTTGCTATCCTGTTACAGCCCGCCGTGTTTACTACCTTGGGCGCGTGGCAATCGCTCCTTCCACGGGGGGCAGTCCAACTCTCCCTCCGTCGAGAGCACCAGCTTGGGAAGGAGCGACCACTTGGCACCATTAGGGTCCATTGGCACGGAAGGAGACGACCTTTTTGTTGCGTCAGATTGGAGGTTTCAGATCACTCCACCTTTGAGCCGCCAGCCCAGAACAAAGCCGGTGAAACTGTCTCGTCGGTTTACATGGGATACACTTGTCCGCGCGTAGGGACCCTCAAAAGCAGCAGACTGGGCCATCCTCGCATCAGAAGAGACGGCCGACATCTTTTGGAAGATTCAAGATCTTGAATAGACCTTGTCGACGCATCTGCAGCCTCGGGCCATATCCCTAACCGAATCGGCCGGAGAGTATCTCGATCATGGCAGACCCGTACGACACAGACATGGCCGACAAGATGGCCGAGCTGCCGCTACGGCAGGCGCTGACAAGCCTCCATTACGCCTATCCGACTACCGTCTTCGTTTATTACATCCTCACGTCCACAATCGCCGTTTGCACCCTGCAGACTAAGTCCGCGGAACAGGCTCACCCGCGTCGGCGCGCCATCACATGGCTCCTCACGTTTGTGGTCTTGACCTACTTCGCCCAGCTCATTGCCCTGGGAATACAGGGCCTCGTCAGGAACATGTTCCCTCTCGCCGATCAGGATACCATCATAGGCCTCATGTCGTGCGCCTTGGCCTTCGGGGTCGTGTTCGCCGGGCTCTCGGACGCAGAGAAGCCGGTCTGGTACCCGTACATTGGATCTTTGGGCTTGGCGCTGGTTTTCGAACCCGTCGTAGAAACCCTGTCGCTGATGGCGCGGCCTACGGAGCCTCTCAGCTTCGTCGGTTTCTTTGACATATCGACCGTCGCTGCCAGGTATCTCGCTCTCGTCCTGGCTGTGACCTTTTACTTTGAAGGGACCCGCAGCGCCCGTCACGAGAAAGGATCGGACTCTGAGCGGCAGAGTCTTCTCAAGGCGAACGGCGATGCCAACCACCATGATTCTTCCGATTCAGATGACCACTCCGCGAAAACGCAGCAGAACGGATATGGAGCGACCTCGGATGCTTCAACCGACAGCAACCAGTCTTCTTCCTCGTCGTCGTCCTCCTCCTCTTCCGAGAGCGGCGACGACGAAACCCCATATGAGAGACGCCAACGCCAAGCTAGCGAGCAGATGGAGAAGAGGCTCAAGGAAAAGGGGAACTGGGTCACATATGCGAAGAGCTTCCTCGTCTTTTTCCCTTACATCTGGCCCGTAAACCAACGCTCGCTCCAGGTCCGTGTCGTGCTTGTGGGCTTCTGTCTGCTTGCCATGAACTTCGTCAATGTGCTCATTCCGCGCCAGCTGGGCTTCATCATGGACAGTCTCTCCGGTGAGAACAGCAAGAACCCCTGGACCCAAGTTCTCATCTTCGCCGGTCTCAAGCTGGTGGCTTCCGAGGCCGGTCTCTCGCTTCTGCGTCAGTGGCTCTGGATCCCTGTCGAGTTCTATTCCTTCGATGCCATCAGCACCGCCGCCTATTCCCATGTTCTCAACCTATCGTCCGACTTCCACGACTCAAAGAGCTCGTCCGACATCATGATGGCCATTTCTTGCGGCCAGAGCATCTCCAATCTTCTGGAGTCGATCTGCTTCCGAGCCGTCCCCATGCTCATCGACATGACGGTTGCCTTCTTGTACCTCTCCGCGACCTTTGGGCCGTACGAGGGCTTCATCACGATTGCCACTGCTGCAGTCTTCATGTACATTGCCACACGGATGATCGCGGCGCTCAAGACGGCTCGCAGGAACGAGGTGGGCGCCTGGTACAAGGAGCACTACGTCCGACAGGCTGGAATCCAGGGCTGGGCGACGGTCGCTAGCTTCAATCAGATCGGACACGAAGAGGACCGCTATGCTGTGGCGGTCAAGGATCGCGTGGCTAAGACGCAGAAGGTTTACTTTGGCTACGTGTTGGCCTACGCCTTTCAGTTCCTGGTGCTGCTCTCCGGACTCCTCGCCGGAGCCTTCTTGGCCGTCTACCAAGTCACTCATAAGCAAGCTACTGCCGGTCAGTTTATCATGCTGCTGACATACTGGGCACAACTGGTTTCTCCTCTTACCTTTTTTGCCGGCCTGGGTAAGAGCATCTCGAGGGATCTGCTCCAAGCCGAGCAGCTTCTGGAGATCATGCAGACCAAGCCGAGCGTTCTCAGCAAGGAGGGAGCGCCGCCGTTGCAGTTTACAGCAGGAGAAGTAAAGTTCAACAACGTCTGCTTTTCGTACGACAAGAAGAAAGACATCCTGAAGGACATCAACTTCACCGCGACGCCAGGCATGACGGTGGCGTTTGTCGGAGCTACAGGCGCCGGCAAGTCCACTATACTGAAGCTGTTGGATCGCTTCTACGACGTCACAAAGGGCTCCATTGAGATCGACGGGCAGGATATTCGAGATGTCGATCTTTACAGGTAAATGGTTCCGGATCCCTGAATCGGTATCTGAAGCGTGTGGTAGGCTGACCTTTTGGCAGTCTTCGTGCGCAGATTGGAGTCGTACCCCAAGCCCCTATCTTGTTCGACGACACCGTCATGAACAATGTGCGCTACGCCAAACTCACTGCGACTGACGAGGAGGTTTATGAGGCTTGCAAGGCCGCCAGCATCCACGACCAGATCTTATCTTTCACGGACGGTACGTCTCTTCTCTGCCTACTTCACCCTGTGGGTTTCCACTGACGACGAGCAAGGCTACCAAACCCGAGTTGGAGAACGGGGAGTCAAGCTTTCAGGAGGCGAGTTGCAGCGAGTGGCAATTGCGCGAGCCATTCTAAAGCGGCCTTCGATTGTTCTGCTTGATGAGGCCACCAGTGCAGTGGATACGGAGACAGAGCAGAAGATCCAAGAAGCTCTGCGTATCCTCTGTGAGGGCCGTACGACCTTCATCGTAGCACATCGCCTGTCCACCATCATGAACGCTGACCGTATTATCGTTGTTACCGGAGGAGAGATTGTCGAGCAAGGCAGCCACGAAGACTTGATTCGCGCGGATGGCAAGTATGCAGAGCTCTGGTCCAAGCAAATATTTGTCAAACCCAAAGATAAGGGACCACGCGAGGACAACAAGCCCGCTGCCAAAGGGCGGAAAACCCCAAATATTCTTAACGACCTGAGCGCCGAGGCCACCAGCTCAGAGCTGGCCAAGGTCAAGTCGACTCCCACAACAAAAGGCGAAGCTGTCGATGGCCAGACCCGGCATTCTACCAACGGCACCGCAACAAAACAGCAAAACGGCCAGTCGGACACATCGGGGCAGACCGGCAAGAAAGAGGTATGAGCGACGAGAAACTCCGAAGCATGATATGTATATGTATTATTATCCAACAACATACACCACATATTACATACATACTCCGGCCGTTTCTTCCCTCAGTCTCCTCTTCTAACCCCGGCAGGTGCCACGCCCGCAACAGCTCAACCCAGGGGCGCCGGCCTTCACGCCGCGCTCCTCGGCCTACATTGCTCCTTCAAGCCTACCAATGACCATGCAGCAAGAACAAGAACAAGAACAACGACCACAACCGCCTCTCCCGCTCCTCAACTCCATCCAGCCCGACAACAGCCGATCTCCGACCCTCCCGCCTCTGTCCCTGTCCGGCCCTATATTCGCCCCGGTGCGGCCGAAACAACCACAACTGCCAACGCCAACACCCCACGTTCAGTTCTTCGCCACTACCGCGCCGGTGTCGGTGTCGGTGCCAGTGGTCATGATGCCGTACGCTCCCGTGTTTCATGCCGAGCATACAACGATGCATTGGGCGATGCCGATACCGGCTAATTTGTCCTCGTCTTCACCTTCGCCGCCCTTACCGGTGGTGAGGGGAAGACGGTTCGAGAGTAGTGCTGAGTTTAGTAGTAGTGTAGAAGATGGGGGACAGGGGACCCATGAGCCATGCCTAGCGCTAGAGGAAATGAAAGGGCTGGAGCGAGGAGGAGGCAACAACGAGAAAGGTGGTGGCGATGAAGAAAGAAACAATAAGTCGAGGGATTCTTCCACTACGATGAGTTTCTCTTCGAATTTGCTTGCAGGGGAGGGGCTCAGATACCCTGTGTATTCGAGAAGGGTACAATCCAGGAGCGAGCCGGTCGCATTTGCTTCGGGGTCTGGCTCCTCCTCCTCGTCTGGGTCGCATTCAGGAGGTTGACCCGTGAATTTCGGGTATCGACTGCTCTGGATTCTTTGGCTTTTTATCCCGTTTTTTTCTTTCCCCTGCGGCCGATTAGGTGATAAAGATGGGATATTCTTACTCATCATAACTGTTACTGTCATCGATACAAGTTTTCGGGGTGTTATCTGGTTTGCCTTCACAGTCTATCCCTGGTTCGGCAGATACATGATAGAGGTTGACGAAGTAGATTAGATGTCATGATGATGAAAGAAATGGGGTGAGCAAAATATGTAGACTAGACAGGCGGAATGGGAAAAGTTTATGGGCCTTGTTATGAGAGGTGACGGTTAAAGGAGGGCCACAGGGCAGATTGGGTCTTGAAACCGAACATGGAAATATATCAGTGTGTCAGAATGAAAAGCTTTGTTGATGACCATCCCATGACGGATAATCGGTTCTCGGTATTCAGTTAGATGTCAGATTATCTTAGTTACGAGGAATCGAACAGGTCACAGGAAACGACTCAACCCTCGGAAATACCTCTAGGGATTACTAGTCATACTACCTACTAGTACTTGATAGTCAATCGCAAGTTAGGGTACAGGTCCTGCACCTCAAACGGTGTATACGCCATTCAACAGCGCAACGGGATATCATCATAGGGTCTCGTCCAGGCGCCCCCAGGATCCCCAAATCCCCATCGCAAACCCGCAAGAAACTCGCGGGGATCTAACGGCCTATCCATTACATCCGCCTACTAGTTGACGGCCTTCTCTCCGCTGCCGTGCGCCCCACTGTCACCAGCACCGTCTCCCTTCTGGCCCTTCGGCTCCGTCACGCCAGTGCCCAAGTCCAGTTTCTGCATGACCTCGACAGCAATCTCGTTCTCCTGTCTCATCTTCTCTTCTTCCTTTTGCTGGGCAGCTTGTGGCGGTGGCTGGTGTTCTTGACTCCCGGAGACGGGGGCAAGCCCAGCTGTCCCGGAGCTGCCTCCTGATATTGACGCTTCTTTTCGCTCTTCCTCATCCTTCTTTTCCCGCGCTGTTGTTGTTGGTTCCTGTTGTTGTGGCACCACGAGCTCTCCCGCGCCGCTCCGCGTGCCATGATGCCCATGCGTGATCCTCCCCAGCGCATCCTTCGCCGATTTACGGACCTTGATGTACGTTTCCAGCCCGACCAGCACAGCGTAGCTCTTGCTGAGGCGCACGCGGCTCATGTCGACGCCGGCTTCTTTCAGGGACTTGACGAAGGCGCGGAAGTTGCTCGCTGGCGGCCGGTAATGGCCCGAAAGCGGGGACAGGGACGTGAGACGGCCGTCGCGGATGCGGATCAGCCCCGCGGCCGAGATGCGGCTGCCCTGCAGGAAGGACGAGTGCTGGAAGGCGCCGCTGTTCTTGATGCCCACGTACAAGCGGAACGACGTGTCAGCGACGAAGATCCACGTGTTCTTGCGCACGGTCTTGCGGAGGAGCTTGTTGAAGAGTGTGGCGCCCGACAGGTGGTGCGAGAGTTTCTTGATGCCGGTTGCTGGGGTGGCGGAGTCGCCGGCGTACCGTGCCGCGTCGGCGGAGGCGATCGAGGAGGATGAAGAGGACGAAGGGCGGGAGGACATGGCCGAGTCGGTCGTCGAGTCACCGAGCAGGGCCGTTCGGTTACCAGAGACGGGCGCATAGGCCGGCGTCGGATCGTCGCTGGGGACGATGCCGTGGATCGAGTCCTTCCATTTCTCGGAGGTGTCGATGCGCGCGCCGTTCTTGGCCCAGCAGAGGCGGCCCTCGCCATCGACCTTGACGAGATAGTACTGGCGCTCCTCGCGCGAGAGGTAGCGCACCTGCTCCCGCTCGAGCTGTTCGCGCGGACATGCCTCGATGTCGAGGTTCTTGCCCTCGCCGTAGTCGAGCCAGTAGAAGAAGTTCTCCTTGGTGTCGGCGCGCTTCCACGCCTCGTGGTAGACACGCAGGTTCGCGCCGTAGCGGTGCTTCAGATCGACCATCTCAAGAAAATACTGCAAGCCCATCATTTTGGCTTCTTGCTTGCGGCGTGCCTTGGCTTCTTCCTTCCGTTTGCGCGCCAGCTTCTTCTGCTCCCCCGTCTTTCTGCCGCTGCCCGACTCAGAGTCGGAGGACGACGAGGGAAGCGAGCCGCTGCTGCTGGTGGAAGAGCTGTCGGCATCCACGTCGCCCCCGGCGTGGCGAGCAATTGTCGATACCTTCTTCCAGTTCTGTCGCGCTGCGGATGATCGGCTACCCGGCCTTCCGGGATATGTCGGTCCGTCGGCGATCAGCCCGGGTCTGGCGCGCGGAGTGGTCATCTCCCTCCATTGGGCTTCCCTGACCGCATGTATCCAACGGGTGGAGGCGTCGATACCCAGTCCCTTCATCTCGCGGCGGGCGCGATAGCCACGGTAGGTGCGCTGAATGACGGTCGCCGCCTTGGCCCGGACACCGTCTTCGCTGGCGCCGGTACGGCGGCCGAAGCCAAACATATTGGTGAGCGCATTTTGAGGGTGCCGCTGGTTTTGCGACGCCGATGCGACCTCTGATCGGACGGTAGCGTCCAGGCTCTGTCGCTGAAGCTGGCGCTGGCGGCGTTTCAGCTCAGCCTCCCGCTCGGCCTGCACCTCGGCGATGTGGGCGATTTCATCCTTGGTTGGCACTACTAGGGAGTCCAAGTACTCTTGGTGGCTCTGGGAAGACCCTACCGAGGCGATCGAGCCCTGCGAGGTAGGCCGCTTTGCATTGGCCGGTCTTGCGTCTGAACCTCGGTGCTCAGTTGATGACGGCAGCGACAGCGGGGTAGCCATCGCCGGAGAGGTGACAGGCTGCTTGTCGGCTGCGTCCATCGCTCATCCGATCGAAGTCATTGGAGAGCAGTAAGACTATCGATATTCTCTTGAGAAACAGAACATGGGGTAATAAACTAAATTTGACTGCTAGTCATCTTAATGCACTGCCCTGATCGCAGCTCACATGAGTGCAGCACCACATAGTATGTGCGATTATGCGTGGGCCGAGAGGGGCTGTGACGAATGAGTGCATAAGCCTATCGGACTGGACGGCAGACACCACGCGGCCTGTTGTCCGGTGAGACGGATCCCAACCTTGGAGCCCACATTGGTCAGAAACCGAAAGCTGGATGGCGCCAACGTCTCGCTTCTTCCGCCGTCGGCTCTACTAGCCGCCTTGACTGAGGCTAGAGATGTTGTCCGGGATATATAATCCAGGAAGATGCACGTCTCCTCTTCCTTTCGATTCCCGTGCGTGCGATGCAATGAGACAGAACGGGATGTGTTGCCCCATCCCGAGCTTGATCCGCCAAGGCGCTAGCACTGTTAGTGCAAAGCTTAGTTTCAGATGACAAGGTAGTCGAGTCAGGGGACCGCCGAGGGTCAGTGGAGCTGTCGGTGGAGAACACGGTTGGAGGGTGTTTCGGTCCTCATTCATGATTCTTGCTTTCTCGAGGCCATGACACTTTCAACTCGAACAAGCGCTGCAGGCTGCTCCATGTTGAACATGCTCCGGCGCCAATTGAGATTTAACGTATAACGTGTTGAGTAAGCGGGTAGCTGGCCAGGCCGCTTTGGGAGCCCCAGCGAGTAGCTCATGTTCCGCCTCTTAGACACCTACCGCAATATGTTGAAGAAGATCGTACTGAGACAGATCTAGAGCAGCACTTGCCCTTTACGGTAATACCTTTCGAAAGCCCCAACAGCTCTTTCAAGTTCTCCGCCTGCGCTTTAGTCAGATCAGAGAGCTTATCAACAAGTCGAAGTTCGAGCTCTCTAGCTGAAACAGGCTCCTCTTCGGTACCTTCCAGGTTAGTAGCTACAGCATCAGAAACGCCACGTTCACTTAAGGTGATATCCTCGGTCAGCCCAGACTGCTCTTCAACGGTGGTTACAGCATCGGAGATGCTGTGCCACCTACATATTCTCGGGAACGCTCTGCTGGCCAGAGCTTGGTGCCGCTGAAGCGGCGCAGGCGCAGCGACCTGGCACATTCCTCCATGGCTGCACGGTTCCAGAGCAAAGTTTTCACGGGTTTCGAGGCCCCAAGGCTACGAGCTGCAACTCTGGCGTAGCGCTTCCATCGCTCAGATATGTGCAATTCCTATATAATTAGCTCCAACTCCTTATGCGCAGCGAATAAGCACTCACATCTTCGAATGGGAACGGATTCTGGACTGCATCACACGCTAGAACCGGTCTAGAGAAAGGTACCGGACGCCTCCCTTCCACAGATCGGTTGCGCTCTACTAACGCCTTGAGGCCGAGAAAACCTCAAATTGGGAGATCCGAAGTGAAACCCCGTTGGTAGTGATGGTGATGGATGAAGATGAAAACGGGAGTGAACTCTGTAAGTTACAGCAATCAGCGTTACAGGATACCTTAGCTCTACACAGCACTAGTACGGGTTTACAAACCCACATTTCATCAGCCTAAAAGTGCCCGTCACTTGAAGTGTCGGACGCCGGTGTGGTAAGGTACAATGCAATACAGGTACCGTACCTTACGACTTACGTATTAGGTATTGAGTAGTAGTATAGTTTTCGCTATCTGCATATCTCGCGGTACGTAATATTTATCGTGCTGAGCGCTTGGGTTTACCGTAAATGTAACTGTGCCTTGCATTACCAGTTAGCCTATGCAGTGAAATATTACACCTGAACAGATACCGTGAATTCCATCCAAAGCAGCTTCCAAGATAATGTTACTCTGTACATTTTGCTGCTTGCCTCAACAGTCAACTTGTATGTCACAATGTCCATGCAGTGACATGGTCAGAACGTCAACATACAACTAAGCATTGACTTAGCAGCCATGCAAGATATGATCTTGATATCTTTACCCAAAACGCAAACTGCTGGACGCAGGCATCCTCCAAAATGAAAACGCTCTTCAGCTCCCTCCTCCTCCTTACGCAAGCTCACCCATCTCTCACCTACAAACCCCTCTCCGACCATACCCTCAAGCATCTCATCTCCCCAAGCATCGACCCGACTACCTCCTCGACGTATCCGGACCCGGACTTCGACCCCGTCACCGGCGCGCTCCTGTCCCCCATCCTCGTCCCCCGGGTCCCCGGCACCCCCAACCACGCACGCGTGCAAGAGCACTTCATCTCTTTCATCCGCACCTACCTTGACCCATCCTGGACCGTCGAATGGCACAACACGACGGCCACCACGCCCGCGACCGGCGCGAGGGGGGTTCCGTTCCAGAACCTGATCCTGCGGCGCGATCCGCCGTGGATTCGGGCCAGGGGCGCGGAGGGCGAAGGAGAGGTGGCGCGGCTCACGCTGGCGGCGCACTACGATAGCCTGTACCAGCCGGAGGGTTTCATCGGGGCGGTGGACAGCGCGGTGCCGTGCGCGCTGCTTCTCTTCGTTGCGCGGGCGGTGGATCGGGCTTTGACGAGGCGGTGGGAGAGCATGGGCATGGATCATGATGCTGAGGAGGGATTGGAGGAGGAGAAAGGGGTGCAGATTCTGTTGCTGGACGGGGAGGAGGCGTGGGAGCGGTGGAGTGATGAGGATAGCTTGTATGGGTCGAGGTGAGCGTCCTTCTCTGGAGATTTTCGCCTCAGAAGGCAAAAGGGGAAGACGAAGTGGCGTGCTGGGGGGGCGGGTTGCTGATATACCGACGACAGAGCGTTGGCAGAAGCCTGGGAGAACACCAGATACGAAGCGGGGAGTAACTTTGCTACGCCGCTCGAGGCTATCAGCCTGTTTGTGTTGCTGGATCTGCTGGGAGCGCCAGAGCCCAACATTCCGTCGTACTTCCCGACAACTCACTGGGCATATCAGAACCTGGCACGGGCTGAGGAGAGATTGCGGAAGCTGGGCGTGCTGGAGACGAGACCGACGAAACCCTTCTTGGCGGAGGGCGAGAAGGAAACGGTGCACTTCTATCGGGGTTATGTGCAGGACGACCATGTCCCGTTCATGCAGAGGGGGGTTCACGTTCTACACATTATCCCCACACCATTTCCACCCGTGTGGCACACCATGGACGACGACGGGGCGCACCTCGATGTGCCCACCATCAGGGACTGGGCGAGGATCATGACTGCGTTTGTGGCTGAATGGATGGACCTGGAGGACTATATGCCGGTGGCAGTGGGGAAACCAGAGAGCAGATTTTATGAGAAGGAAGAGTTATAGTTAGACACCTGTGGGCTGTGGCTGATATGTCGGCCTGGAATCTGGATATCCTGTTTGTTGACATCAGACTATGCATCCCCTGTCGTCGAGCAGAGCTTTTGTCTTCTCAATCAGAATCTAGAACCCGTTAGGTAGATATAATCTTGAAGCTTGGATTAGTCATTAGAGGTAGGCTATGATCCCTTCCATGCCGTAATCGGAAAGCATATAGGTGATTTCCAAGATTTACGGCCCCACTATAGTGGATGTACAGTCGGACCCCTGAAAGTTCGTTAGCGTCTTACTTGAAGACCAGGGTTAGCCCCAAACTCTCAATCTCAACCTTAAAACGGTCAATTTTTCTCCGAAAAAAGCGTACCCAAGGACTCAGCCTTTTAGATTATTACAAGACGCTCTGTTTCTTTGCGTTGAATCAGCTCTTTTCGTGGTTTAAGAGTGTTCTTTCGGGGCTGAGAAGAAGACCCCTGTCGTAGGTTCCGCGCTAATAATCTTTCACGGGTCGTCCTGTAAGTGACCTGATTTTGGAGTGTACTGTACTAGTATTATACAGTTTATGTAGGGCCCTAGATACGGCAGCTCGTATTGTACAAGTACATATAAATACGCAGTGGGGCTATGCTTGGGATGACGACAACGTTACGCATGTAATTTACTCATGTATCCCTGGATCGTTTCCCGAAACCTTGCCCAAACCGTTCGTTGTTCGTTGTGAAAAACAACTACATAGTATCAGTAGTTCTACGATATCAACTGAGCTTCACCATTGCGAAGAGCATTGTGCGACGTACATATTTGACGTGCGGCTTTATATACTTGCGGCAATAAGCCTGCATCTGCGAACCTTGACAACCCGAGACAAGTTGCGCTCCGTATCCGACCTCAGAAACTCAGACTCGCCACTATCGCAACAGTCGTAAGCCGCTGCGCACGACTTCTGGAAGATATCCCAGGCCCCGGGGAGCTTCATGAGGGAAACCCATACCTCGGACGGCCTGAATGGCGTTAGAAAACGAGCAAGTACAGCACCTAGAGCATCTGGCGCAACACGGGCAGCAAAGCCCTGAGAGCCCACGCAACCTGGACAATGGCAGCGAGGTCTCGGTGCAAGATTCCGATGATGCTCTAAGACACGAGATAGCAGCACCATCCACTACTCCTTCCTACGAGACCGTACCCGGACCGCGACCCCTCTTGTCCACCAGCGACGACAATGCCTCCGAGACGTCGAACTCCTCCGACGCTTCCTCGGAAGAGGCAGCGTCCCCGAGCGTCTCAGTCCCGCCCTACTGGTCGCACACGAGCACCCAACCGCAAAGCCAACTACATCCCCACGGTCCGCGGCACACACGGGCCGTTTCCAACGCCTCGGCTGAGTCGGTGCTGCCACCAGGCGCCATTACCCTACAAGACAACGAGCGCGATGACGACGACGTTGCGTACGCTGGCAGGCGCAGCAATAGCAGTGAAATATACGGGCGGGACCGCAACCGGGCGTGCTGGGCGCGCAGCGTTCAGGTGACGGATTTCGTGATGGTCAACGGCAGCACGACGAATATCGGGGCGTTTATAGTGTGGAATATCAAGGTTGAGACATTGAATGTGTGTATGCGCCCGACCCACGCGCAGAGAAAGCGCGACGCCAAAGAACGCATGATACTAACTGCGGTGCCCAAGGGTTCTCGCATGAATATCCGCAAGCGCTACTCCGAGTTCGACGACCTCCGCAAGCGGCTCATCCTGACCTTCCCCAACTTCGAGGCGGCTGTGCCGGCGCTGCCGCCCAAGAGCGTCTTAAAGCGCTTCCATCCCCGATTCCTCGAGAAGAGACGGGCCGGCCTACAGTATTTTCTCAAGTACGCAACTTGTACCAGCGGAAGTCCCAAGCATCTTGCTAACCCAACGAAGCTGTATTCTCCTCAACCCCGAGTTTTCAGGCTCGCCTGTCCTGAAGGAATTTCTCTTTTCATGAAATGCAGTTGCATGACATCTCACATGCTCATAACGCAGTAACGAAGATGCGATCTCTCGAGTAATGATAATGATGGCTGGTGGAGGCGGTAGAGACGGCGGCAACAGCGAGGAGCAGCTCCGGGTGCAAGAGACTCATCCTTGTATATAGGAGTCAATCGCACGCCGGAGGACCCCTTTGGGTCGAACGGAGCTAGACGGCTACGGACTTCACTTAGGGGAGGATGTGCTTCGCTCAGCTTGTGAATTACCTTAGGCTTCATGTACTGATTCGCCTACTACTGGCTCGAGCGCACGACTGCCCTTTGGCCGCGGACGCGTTATGATCATTCTGCTACTTGCCCGCCTAAGGTGCCTAGTCGCGGGCTTGAAATTGAACTGGTGCCCTCGCATGTTTACCCCGATCAGTCTCCAGCCTAAGTAGTGTTCCTGCAGATTGGGGACGGGAATGCGATATTAGAACGGAGGTTGTGGCGAGGCTAATGACGTGAACTGCTGGTATAACTAGGTACATAAAGATAATTACTACGTACTACTACTTTATCGTCGTCTCCGTCTAAGGTCTCTATCTATATTATCCAGACAAGCGATGACATATCTGGGAGGTCAGAAACAGCAAAGCCGAGGCTCTTCACAGGAAGGGTCGTAATGCCATCAACGTAAAATGACAGCCCGAAATGCATAACGCCATGCCCACGATGTAAATCCCAATGCCAATGAACCCAATCCTGCAGCCCCGGTCTCCAAGTGACTCTAGGCGCCGAACAATTAGGCCAATGCCCACTTCCCTCCACCCTCTATAGCTTCGTTGCCGTGCCACAACAACCCCGTTTTTTTTATTACGATCCCGTCCATTCGCCGCCTATTCCACCTTCCGCCCATTTGCTTCCCCGAGCGTCACCATCTTCGCCATCATCGTATTCTCCCTCTGCTTTTCGGCCGGGATGGTCAAGCAGTTGATCCCCAGATAGCGACAGATGCTCGTCGTGACCAGATAGGCCCACCTGAAGTAGGCAACCGCCGCGAAGGCAAGGTATGCTAGCAGGTAAGCGTACTCCATCTGTGGCGTGACCGCGGGCAGCCCGAAGCGCGGTAGATTCCCCAACACGGCGCCGCCTACGAGCGGCCAGAGCATAACGGTCCAGTAGGGAAACGGCTGGCGCGTGAGGTGCGCGAGAATCATCTTCGTCGTCATGCGCCCAAACACGAAGCTCATGATGACGCAGAACAGCACGAGGTGGTTCTCTGCGCAGACAGTCGAGTAGGGAGAGTACAGCCAGGCGCCGATCGACAGCGTGTACACGGCCATCGGGGTCCACTCGAGGAAGACGGGGGCGACGGGGAGGCCCCTGGCGCGCCGCGCCTTCACCACATTTCGGATGCAGAAGGGCACGTGGGTGAAGAGCAGCGAGACCACGATGACAGTGACCCACAGGTCGCGGATCGAGAGGTCGGCGAGGCAGTCGTCGGTGAGACCGAGCGCCGTGCCGATCATGGCCATGCGCCCCGGCCCGAGCAGCTTGACGAGCGGTTCCGTCCAGATAGCCGGCCCGTAGTAGCCCGATATGATCATGAAGGCGCACGCGAGGAGCAGACCTTCGGTCGGGCCGTTGATGACGCCCAGGTAGAGGGTGTGGGTATGGTAGGTCTCCCACGTGGAGAAGAACATGGGCAGACAGGGGCAGAGGGCGGTGAAGACACCCGACTTGGACGTGCCCAGCCCCATGGCGGCCGTTTCGAGCAGGCTGGCGAGCGTGCAGTTCAGACTGTCGATGCCGTGGTCGAACAGCTCGCCGAGGCCGCTGGACGTGCCGGTGCGGCGGGCCTGCTTACCGTCGACATTGTCGAAGGTCTGGTACATGAACAGGCCAAAGGCGAAGCTGTAATAGACCCATGGTGGCGCCTACAGCAGGTCAGCGCGGACGGCAGGTGAGCGGTATGCCGGCAGAGCCTTACTGGTCCTTCAAGATCCGGCATCATCACCACCAACAGGCCGACGTTGAAGATGATGCACATAAACCCTAGAAGCGTCACCATGTTTGGCGCCAGCCATAGCGGTAACAGCTCGACGAAGGCATTCCACTGTGGTGTGATCTCAGCTGAGCTCTACGCGGCAACGGGGCGGGGGAGGAGGGCAGTGCTTACATATGGCCTCAGAATGTAGTGTGATATCGGCGACTTGTCGACGGCCGAATACTTGTATGACTTCAGGTGGCTGAGTGCCTCCTCGGATACGCACTCGGCGGCTGCTTGCTCTGTTGCGGAATGGTTAGCATAAGGTAGGTCCAACGCCATGGCAGCCAAAAGGTAGTGGGCGGGCGGCGGAGCCTCTGCGTACTGCTGTTGTTGGAAGCCATAGTGGCGTAGGCTGTCGGACGGAGGCGACAAATGCCGCCTCGATATCTCGCCGTCTAAGGATCTGATGGGTCTCAGGAGACTTTGCGATGGATTTTGTGGGTCTAGGAAAGCCAAGCGGAAGCTAAAAGTTGACAGTCGCCAACGCGATTTTCCTCAGTGAACGAAGGTTGCACAGTTCGTAGGTTTGAAAGTGGAAGCTCTGCAGATCTAGCATTGCAAGCGTAGCTATACGTCGGGCATACGTAACCCGGATGGCCTGTCTCCGTCTTTTCGACTTTGCCCCGGTTCAAGTTTGTTGAGAGCCTGAGCACCAACAATTAAGCTTCGCCGGGAGGTCCACACCCCGCTCAATCACTCCAATGATCTTGACCTTTGGATCTGACACGTGAAAACGCCCTTTGTGGGTGTGGCCTCTGATTTGTCCCTCGCGTTATTTCATCTCATCTTCCCCAGGGCCATGGGCTTGGCTTGACGTAGCGCGTTCGTAAGGGTGGAAGCAATGGTTCCCGAGGCACAACACATAGTACAAAGTACCTACCTACCGTAGTGTAAGATAAGGTACCTAAGATAATAAACGAGGCAACAAGTCAGGGCCGTGAAACGGCGGCTCGAACACTTTTCTCAATTGTCATTCTATAAACGATAAACCCAGGTGAGCAGGTGATCTCAGACGAGGCTAAGATGCAAAAAAATCCCGTTTCTGTGGACCCAAGACCGAGTTCGCCAAACAGATACTTAGACATTAACGATACCGAAGGATTAAAGCTGTCCCGCTCATTGCAAGCTACACCCCAGTCGCACCCACGACGTGTTTCTTCAGCTTCTTGAAAGTTGAGACTAGACCCCCAGTCTTGTCTGAAGCCCCGTGACCCGCTCCTCAAAGCAGCATAGCGAACCCAGCGAACAGGCTACCCGCTACAACCGCGAGACCGTACGAGCTGCCGAACCGCAGCGCGCCGGCGGCATTGTTGTTCCCAATATTCGAGCCATCAGCCGCACCATCGAAGACCTGGTTGGTAGGGGTACCGGTGGCCGACGACGTCGCTGTCGTCGAGGTTGCGGTCGTGTTGGCGCGCGGCGGGTTCTGGGCGCCGCAGGGATGCTTCTCACGGCAGTCCGAGGCGCACCCGTTGTTGCTGCCGCAGTCCTTGACGCATTGGTTGCCCCACTCTGTGCACACGTAGTACGGGAGCGTCAGAGTGTACTGGGAGATGTTGGGCTGCTTGCCGTCGCTGCACACGCAGCCGTATGTCAGGGTTTCCTGGCAAAAAAGGAGGTGTTAGCGAGGGGCGAATATATTCTCATCTGCCGGCGAACGGGAGGCTCATCATACGGGATCGCATGTGTTCACTTCCGGCTGGCCCGTGCTGGTCTGGAGGCAGATGGTCGGGCAGCTGCTCCGCTGGTCGTTACACCACGCCTCTGTGTTGTTGTGTTAGTCTTTGCTCCAGTGTGGTACGGGAACAACGAGCCTACTTCTGCTGGACATGGGAACGCTCTCGGGATCAATGTAGTAGTCCGCCGAGACGGCGACAGCGCTGGTAAGCGCCAGGAGCGTCAAGCGGAACGAGACCATTGCGAATGATGCTGGAGCGCTAGTATAGGGTTCGATGTTGTTGTGGTTGCGAACGTAAATATTATGGAGATGAGATGGCAGCAAACTAAGCGATATGTGAGTGACTTGAGTGCCAATGCTTAACAACGGGCATCGGCATGATGCTTGCCGCAGAGACGGGCCTGCATTCCAGCGGGAGCACAACCGTGTCGACTTACATTTGTGGGCGGATCCGGGTGATCGGGCTTCGGAAAAAGGGGGAGATTAGGTAGCAGATTAGGTAGGAGAACTAGATTATTACAGCAAAACAGACGAGACAAACGAAGGTGAGAACGAGATTTAAATCCCCAGTCAACGAACCCTGCCTCAAGCGAGTGGGAGCACGGTGCCGTTGTGGAATCGAATATTGCAAGGACGGCAGCGGAGGAAAAACGCGGACTGGCATGATAAAAGGCCCTGACTCCAGTTCGACCCAGTCCCCTTGGCGGGACGCTATGGCAGCTCCCGATGCCAGAAACGGCATGCATTGGTCACTTGGCTGCTTTCATCTCCAGAACACCGCCATGATAGGCTGGAGCTGAAAATCCCTGTCCTCCTCGCCGTGTCCACCCCCACCGCCGCAAGGATCCGCGGCCCAAGCTCTCCGCGATGCTGTGCTGCATGCAAACTGCAACTCGGATGTTTAGGAGGCTGGATGTGGAGCGGCGTTTGCGGCACGGCTTGTCATTCGTCTCGGACAATGGCCAGAATAACAACCCGATTGCATATCAACAAGCTCTGTTGGCACCATCAGACAAACGTGAACAACCGTTGACATTCAAGAAGTGCCCTTAGCACAGCAAGCTCCACCATCACGGACTAAGAGCCCGACCGCTCATCCCGAAAGTGGAGGGAGATCCGATCCGGACATACAGGTAGACGAGAAGTTACCAGTGTGTGTGCCGAAGATTTCTGCCTACTGTGGTATGCGGCGGAATCTGCGCCTCATGGAAAGCAGGAGACGACAACCCCGCCTGTGTTGCCAGATAGTGGTGAATGTGCCCCGTATGGGACACCTCTTCGCATACCTGGTGAGGCAAGGTAAGCCGAGGGATGCCATCTGATACACGGGGGCTGGCATCCCTGGCCGATGAACACCTGCCTAAGGTAGTTTATCCTGTGCCATCATAACACCGTTGCCACAGCGTCTGCGGTGGAATGAGACGGTGGCCGCATCGAGGAATGATAGCTGCAGTTGACGCACTTCCGGTCTGCATGTTTCGATGGTTATCTTTGATACTCTGCTGACTGGCCGAGTGTTGCATCGAGACTTGCATACGAGAAGCCCCGCCGTCCGAAGCTCATGTTCAGGTTCTAGATGGAATCAGACCGCTCCAACCCAGCTCGTATTCCTTTACTATTGCTTCGCCACATGCCGCGTCCTCCGGCCGATACTATTGCATACTCTAGTACCTATGCCGATGAGATCGGGCTGTCATCAAGCGAGGAGTTAGTTCTGGCGACGGGCGATGCCGCCTGTCCGTGGGGCTGATCGCCATGGACGTCGGCCCCCGCTCTGAATGGCGGGGAAGTTCTTGTCGTTCGGACCGGTCCAAAGCAACTGGAAGCTTCCTGGTCATACTGCAGTAGTACTGCTTTGGGGTGAGCGTGCCGAGCCTGCCATGGTGAGCTCAGGTGAGGTACTATGTTCATGTACGTCTACTAAGAAGCAAAACAGGCGTAGCCGTGGAGTAGACGCTCAAACGTTGATTCCGGAGACTAGGTATTTCCGTGCAGACGTTTCCGGGGTAAATCATCAGCCCGAGCATATTGCGGCGGTTGATTTGAAGAGCTTCCTCGATCCCGCCATCAAGACGCACGGTGTATTTGGAGCTCCATCGTAGGACTGCGACGCCTGACTGCGACGCCTGACTTCGACGCCTCGTTTCCGGCTTTTCGTCGCCGCGTTAGTTAATGTAATATTACCTTACGGGTCAGAGGTGATCCTTGATATTAGTAATAGGTACCTTAGCTAAGATGCATGTATTGTAGTGTACCACTTTTAGTAGAGGTACTTGTACATACTATTCATAACGTTGACGTTCTGATCAAAATGTGGGGGAGTCTCTTTCGGTCTGCGCTCACCATTTGTAACCTTGAAGTGGGGCCATCCTCAGGTGGTCGTAGCTTCTTGGCAACGTCAGCTGGAGCTAAACAAATGTCGGAACAAGTGTCCAGAGCTTCGGAAGCAACCGTCAGCCTTAGGTTGTCCGCCCACCAGCTGCTCTCACCACGGGCAGGCAAATATTTCCACGACAACGACCCAAGATGCGGCTCACGCAGTCAATCATCCCGTCGCTTTTGCTGCTTGCTGCAGGAGTTGCCCAGGCCGCTTCAGCTTGGGGATTTGACGACGGCAACCTCTCAATTGTCGCGAAGAAGTCCGGCGAGACGATCAAGGAGAAGTACGCAACCATACCAGGGGCGAGGAGTCGGACATCCTGATAAATGTTAACCCCATCTCGCTACATCCAGGCTCAACCACAAGGCTCCTCTCCAGAAACCCGTCTCGCTTGGAAGCTCCGACACGCTGAAGCTAAGCTTGACGGCCAAAGACAATGGCAAAGGAAGACGGCCACACCAGGCGTTTTTGGTCCTGCAAGAGTCAGAGTCAGGGCTTGAAGCACCCTTTCCCCTCACGGTAAAAGAGAACGGGAAGGCGGCGGCTCAGATTGTAAGGGGCTCGTTGGCCGTCCCTTAGGCGCAAGGTTGCTGACCAGTGTACAACAGTCCCACAAAGATATCCCCGTCCAGTTACTCGTTGCTAAAAAGCCGCTTAAGGCCTCGGTTGTTCTCGCCTCCTTTGGCTCGGCCCAAGGCCTCAATGCGCCGGTCTTCGAGGTCAAGATCGAGACAGACCCGACCGTTCCGGCCCCCGCCTACGAGAAGCCCCTGCGCTACGGCAAGAAGCCTGAGATCCATCACATCTTCCGCCCCGACCCCAAGAGCCCGCCTAAGATTGTCTCGCTCATCTTCACGCTGGCCGTGATAGTCACCCTGCCCGCGCTCCTTGTCGGCGTAAGTTTCATTCGGAGGCTTTATTCTCGAGCCATGCTGACATCCCGCCAACAGTGGGCCATCCTCAGCGGCAACCTCACCCACCTATCCAAGGCTATGGGTACCGCGCCCCTGTCGCACGCCACCTTCTTTGGGTCGATCTTGGCTCTGGAATTCGTTTTCTTCATGTACTACACCAGCTGGAATCTATTCCAAACATTGCCGGTCATTGCGGCAGTCGCTGCTGTCACAGTACTCAGCGGGACCAAGGCGTTGGGAGAAGTGCAGAACAGGAGGCTTGCAGGAGAGCGCTGACGGGAAGGGCACCTGGTTGATGGGAAAATGCATCGGAGAATATGCTGAGCACGTCTTGATTCGTAGCTCTCGAAGCAATGATGCTTTGTATTCGCATACCGGTCGAGGTCGGCTATGACGTGTAAGGTGGTCTACACAAAAAGGGAACATTCGGGTCACGCAGAACATCAGCATCAGTTTTGGTATGGTAGCTACTAGTAGTAAAGTGCGCATCGGAGCCAGCATGCGAAGGTATGGCCCGGCGCTCTACTGTTGGCCGGCTACGCATAGCAAAGCTTGATACGGGATCTACCTGCCCGGCCTATAAATGTGCCTCCGCTGCACAGTACCTCACCTCTTGTCTCGTCGGGCAGCAAGGTGTGAATGCTTCGCATACCTGCAGCTGCTGTAGGTGGTGATGATGCTGGCCAGAAGCACTGCCAATCAGAACGTGTGCTCCAGCTGGGCTACCTTGGTCAAGGCCCCACAGCGCCGGTTGATGGGCCCACAGCATATTATTTTGACCCCTGTAAATAAACAAATGGGTCTTCAGATCGCGTTCCCTCCATCCGTCACTGATGCCCGCAAGCTTGCTGCATTCCTCTGTCGACTCGTGGTTTCCCATTGACCGCGCAACTCTCCCGAAACCACGCGTAGAAATTCACAGCACTGCAATTGTAACCGGCCTAACGACAACCGCGCTTTCTCGGCTCGAATTGTATTTCGCCAGCCCATCGATATCGGCGCCCCTCTAGTCATTAGTTTCCGGTCGCACTTGCTGCCATTCTCGAAGTCCGCGAGGGCCATCGCGCTCCACGCTCCGCTCGGCAGGTTCGCCATGAACATCAACAGCAATAATAGAGGCAACCATGCCACTACCAAACCAAAGCATATTTCTAGACTCAGAAAAGAAATGTTGCAGCATCGTATGCACCACAACCCCTTCAGCTCACCGCCATCTTCCACCGGCTCCCACGACACGGTCAGCACCACCACCGCAGATTTAACCCAAGACTTATCCGACTTCTCTTTTGGGCCCGACGGTGAGGGCACTCGCCAAGACCTTCAGAGCCCGTCTAGAAGATACACAGCCCGGTCAGGCCGCTTTGGCTCCAAGCAAATGCCCGAGAGCGTCCTTAACACATCGGCAATTGCTCGCACCTTTCCCGAATGGACCGGCCTCCTGGCCGAGGACACCCGCACCGCCGACATGGCCGCGCTGAATAGCAAGCCCGTTTCTGCCTCCCCGGTTGGGAAGGAGAACATGCCCCCGACGCAGGAACGTGCTAACGAGAACACGTTCGAGATCGTGGCTGACGCGAAGAGGAGGCGCTTCCGCTCTGATTTGCAGGCTCGCGTTGAGAACGAATCAGATTGTTCCACTATTCTCTCTCTCTCGCCAGCCAGGCCCGGTTCGGCTGCTCGCCGCTCCCGTTTCGCAGCAACACAGCCGGACGCCACGGCATCTCCCGACGGGCTTAAACGCTCACTGCAGGACATGGTCTCCAAGATCCGGACGGAGAAACAGACGACAAGGGGTGACACTACTCCAAGGCACTCATCAATAGCACAAACCAATCACCAAACCCCGGCGCAAAGCTTAGCGGTGGACAACAGCATGGTCACCGCTACCAACCGGTCCTTCTTCCTGCCATCTTTCCGGCATCTTCCGGACTGGACGTCTGGCACTCTCAAGTTTAGCACGACCAAGAACGGTGTCCCGGTCTTTGTCAAGTCGGGCAAGTCAGGCGTCCGCCTTGACCAATATGGCAAGGAGCACGGTGAGATTCACGCTGTCGGCATCTCGGAGGAGGACGAGGAAATCTTTGTCTCGATGGATAAGCTCCAGGAGGAAGTCCGCGAACTCCACGATCACGACGCAATGCTCCAGCAGGAGGCAGAGAAGCTGCAGCGGGAAGTCAACCTGCTCCAGGCTGAGCTTAAGAGGCTCAGGAGTTCAAAGCTCTCTGACAGCGCCATTGGTTCAGAATCCGAGTCCTCGTTCAGGCGGAGCGGCGGACGTGACCAGGAACTGGAGCATGAAATCGCTGAGCTGCGTGATCGTCTTGACCGGGCTAGCAGGCAGGTCGGTGTCCACGATATCCACAATGCTGCCCTCGCTGCAGAGCGGGACGAGGCGTTGCACCAAGCCGCGATTGCTCGTGAGCGGGCCACAAAGCTTCAAGCAGAACTGGAGGCCTCGCAGAGGGATCTCGAGTCCTCTCTTCACATGCTGCAGGAGAAGGAAGCCTTGCAGCTTGAGAACGAGTCCTTGTGTGCGGAGGTCGAAACTCTCAAAGAACAGCGTGATGCCGCAATCAAGAAGAACAAGGCTCTTACCGCCGAAAATGAAAAGCTTCGTCGTGAGCTCAGTGGGGTCCAAAAGGACCTCCGTGCGGCCCGTGAGGAGCTTTCCTCGGTCCGCAGGCAGTGCGAGACTCTCCAGGAGGAGAAGCGACACCTTGCGCAGGACCATGCCAGCATGGAGCGCAACAATGAGAACTACTTCAAGGAGAACAAGAAACTGCAGGCACAGGTAGCTGCGCGGGACCAGCACATTGCTGATCTCAAGAAGGGTATCAGCTCTCGAGACAAAATGCTTGACAACATTCAGGACTTGAACGCGGATACGGAAGTGCTCGAGCTGAATGCTGATCTCCAGGCCGAAGTGGAACGCATGCAGCAGAAGCTGGAGCAGCAGACGGCCGAATTGCATCAAAAAGATGACGATATCAGCACAAAGGAAGGCAGGATCCGCTCCCTCAAGGAGCAGAACCTCGATCTCTCTATCGACAACGAGCGACTTCAGGAGGAGAACCAGCGCCTTCGTTCAGAGCATGAGGAAATCAGAGCCCAGTGGATCGACGAAAGGCACAAGGTGGCTCGGTTAAACCAGCTCCTCGGCAAAAACACTGCCAGCGAGACCGCTGACGGTGGTGTCCGCTTGGCCGACGATTTGAGGCAGACGGAAGCAGCTCTCAGGGAGAAGCTCGAGCGCCGAGAAGCAGCTGTTAAGAAGGTCAAGCAGCTGTCGAGCAAAATCAGCGACATTGCGGAGAGGGAGTTTCTCGGCAAAACAACCAAAGTCACCCGCATCGTCGAGCCAAAAGATATGAACAGTGGTACAAACGAGGGGACCGGAAAGAGTATCGCTACCAGTGTTGACGAGCACACCAGAAGGGAGCCTAATCTCACTGACGACTCTGATTTCGCTAGCGTCATGGAGGACGAAATTGCCAAGCTGAGACATAACTATCGGGCACTTCAGAGTCGCGCACGACAGGAGACGGAGAATACCGATCATTCGATGGCGTCATCCGCGCCGATGCTCCAGCGCAGCAAGTCCGACAGCGGCGTCGTGCCTTCCAAGTCCACCCAGCCGAAGGCCCAGCTATCCGGAATACTTAAGAAGACTAGCCAATTCGCTGTTGAGGAGGACACCGGCCGCTTCAGCGTGAGGTCTGCGCTGAGCATTGTCAGCGAGCACACAGAAGACGAGGCCCTCATCACCTCGCAGAGTCAAAAGTCCTGGGCGGGCAACACCCAGGGCGAGCTTCCCCGGCCGCAATCCCGGATGCGTAGGAATTCCGAGATTGATCGTGACATGACGGAGCCGAATATGACCTCGGCCTTCTTCATGCCCGACATCACGCTGGAGGGCAGCAAGCAGCACGCCGCGCAGGACCTGCCGCTCCCATCCCTTAGCAAGGAGGCCCGCCGGGTTCTAGACGGCATTTGCAAGCACAACTCGGCCAACTGCAATGTGTGCGTGCGCATCGCTAGCCACGGCGAGAAGAACGCCACGTACAACTCCACTCTTACCACGAACAAGATCCTCATCACGGCCGAGGATGTCAGACGGGGCAAGAAGACTGTCTCAGTGGAGAAGCCGATCCCGGTGTCAGACCGCGTCGCCGAACAGGCCCAGACCCACGCAGCACAGCAACAACGGAACCAACAGTTCGACGATGAACCTACCATGCGGCCCTCCATGTCGCCTGGCGAGGCCCTCGCAATCCTGATCAAAGAAACCCGAGACGAAATCAACCATCTCCAGATTGAGTTGAAGGGGGCGAACGAGGTGTACTTTGCCCTGGACAAATCCATGGGCATGCGCGAGCGGAAGAAGGTCATGGGCGAGATCAAGCGCCTGCAGGGCGAGTTGGAGGCCAAGAGCGGACACCTATACCGACTACACGATGTGCTAGAGGGGCAGAAACAGGCGGGGCAGCTGATGGAGGGCGAACAGGTCGATGTTACCATTCTAAGTGGCCTGTTGAGGGCCGAAATGACTGGGGAAAGCAGAGCGGAAGGGATAGAGGAGTGGAATGGATTTGACTGATGGAGTATTGGACGAGTATAATCGGGTGTGGACTGCGGTGTTGGGAGGGGCTGACGGAGGTTTGTTCCAATGCGGTACTGGTACGAGTATTTGGCTGGCGCACGCGAAGGAAGGGGGCTGACTTGGTTGTCATGGTATGTTTGTTGGGTGAGGATCGCTGTTTGGAGTATTGTCTGTATGGGATTGGGTTTGCAAATTGGCTTTGTTGGTTTACGATTCAGGTTCAGGTTCATTTTCAGGCTGCAGACTAAACGGGATCCGTCTGGCTTGCATATTCGGAGCAACTCTGCAGGGCGTTCGAGGCTGGAGAAGAATAACATTGTTCTGGTTTCCTGTTCATCCGTGCGTCGTCGGGCTGGCTTCCGGTGTTGGATTGAATGATGAGGTTTGTCTCGGTGTAATGCAAGTACTGTGCCGAACCGCACGGCCTTCCGGGAGGGGCCTATCTCCCAATCGTTCTTCGAACTCCAGCAGGAGTATAAGAGAACTGCTTGAGGAAGGAAGTGGTTTTGCAACCGCTGCCTGTGTCGGTGTACTCCAGCGTTGACGAAGTCTTGCCCTCCGTTTATGGCATGAGCGAGATAATCGAGCACCGCCTCGTATTGAGCCAAAGCGGCCCCAAATCTCGGCCATTGTTTCACACAATGACAAAGTACACTCTAATTGGAAGTTCCCATATCCGTGGCCCCGGAGCCGATCAACAACTTAGTGGCGGTAGAAGCGGAATGAAAGTTATCGGCAGAGCATTTTACTACTAGAGTATGTAGTTACCACGGATATTGGGACTGTGTTTAACCCCTTGCGGAGTGTGCCCCGCCGAGCCCCGCAGGCGGCCACCGACTCCAATAAGAGTTCATCGACGATCTGAATACTATCTGAATACTATCTGAATACTATCTGAATACTATCTGAATACTATCTGAATACTATCTGAATACTATCTGAACCCAACCACAGAAAACGCAAACCATCATTTACCGAGGATCTGAATATGCACAGGCACAGATCTGCGCACAGACACAGGTGTGTGCAATTTTGTACGAGGCAACAGGCACATGCACCGATACAGATAGCTGCGCGGCCATAGGCCTTGGTTTAGTGTTCAGGGCACTGATACGATCACCAAGTGCCAGGCAGGTAGGCCTACATCATAAGCATGCCATGCACAGTGTGTCGAGCGCGGAGATTGGCATAACTAGCAGTACTAGCGGCCCAAGAAGCTCGGAGGTCTGGGCGCCTTCATCACCAAACAATCCCCACCCTCGATCGCGCCCCGATCGAGGCAACCATCGACGACCTTACCTGAATGCTCAATTTCCCGGATATTCTAGCTCGAAGTGGGTGAATCGAGGAGACATCCAGTATTTCTGGGGTCTCTCCTCTGATTGAAGTGTCGTTGTTCGAGACTCAAAGCCTCAACGTCTCTATTTAGTAGTGAACACAACTGCTTGATAGAAGCTTGGCCATCTACCAGTGTGGTATGTGTGCCCCGCGTGGGAAGCAGCCTCCAGTATAGCTTGCCCAATCGGGGCAACTCTTCGGTGGCCTTATTATTAACGTAAAAGCTGTGACCACAAACAGATGCCGGGGGTGAGAGTTCAAGAACCGAGCTCGGTCACCGGCAGCAGTGGCTTGCCCGTGAGGGCATGTCAGACGTCACACCAATCCATTCACCAGACCTCGGATGACTTTATTATTTCTCCGCAGCTCATGACGTTTCTCCCTTATTACAACCATCACAGTATACACAATACCTCCAGATAGCTACGGCTCTTCCCTGGGGTTACAGCTTGTTGTAGTCGAACGGAGATTCTTTCGATCTACGTCTAATAAGAGAACCACGACTACTAAAGGGATCAGAACCCTGACGAGGAACTCTTCCGTGGGAAGGTATCCTTCCTGTCTTTCAACATCCACAACATCCCCATCGTTATACGTAGTGGTCTTGGTACCTACCTACTCGGTAGGTAGTCAGACACAACTTAGGTAACGTATTCATGTAATTGTGCTATACATACTAGTACTGTGCGAAGTATGTCATCACGGGCCTAGACTCTTCCCATCCTCACCTTTGGAACAGACCAATGAGCCAGCACGGCCATTCTGGATCGAGCATTCGCTGATATGCCAAGCCTCTTTCATCGAACAAAGGGCGAGGCCCAGGGAGGTCTCGAATCCTCAACTCCCCGCTCCCTTCCGCCACAGGGTTGGAGGGTGAGCTAGTCTAAGTGTAATGATCGCTTTGCTGGCAGAACGGAGAGCCTGGGATATAGGTAGGTAGCTGACAGTCATCTCGGTCTTGTTGTTGGCATGCAAGAGGAGCCGGAGTAGCGACAGTCTGACGTTACAGTGCATGTATGTGATCAGCCTTGCCGATGGACCGTGCTCCAGCGTACACTACATGTAGATAATATGGCTGCTGAAGGACTGCTTGTAAGTTGTCGGGCTGAGCCGAAGGTCTCATGATGATCGCGTCCTTTGTTGCAGACTACGCTAATGGTTAGCCGAGTCTCGAACAAAGCGACTTGTGGCCACATCCGTGTCCGCATAGCTGTCCCTGTCTGAGAGTCGGGGCCGGCCTTGTGGCTTTGAAGCAAACCTGGCGCACAGCTCTCACCCTCCCTCCCTCCCTCCTGCTTTATTAGACGGCACAATCCGCCCCCTCCGCCACCCACGACTGCAGCGTGCCACCACCATCGCTGTGATCAAACCAAGCCTCTACAACACCATTTGCGGAGGCGCTCGATCTCGGAGTCGTTCTCCCTTTTCCACCAAACGCAACTTGAGGCTGTGAGAAGGCAACATGACCTCAGAGGCCTCATCGAATAACCCGGCGTGCGTCGAATGCAAGCGACGCAAGCAGGGGGTGAGTATTCTCGGCCTCTTGGTCGGAAAACCTCGCAGCGCCACATCGCCCGTTAGCTCCTTTTTACTAGGCTTCGACTGACACTCGCTCCAGTGTGACCGCCATTTCCCCTGTGGCCACTGTGTGAAGCGGAAGGTAGCCCACCTCTGCACCTTCAGGGCAAGCGATTCCAGAACCCCTAACGACCAGCGTTCAAATGACAGCCAGTCCAGGTTAGGCCCACAGGTCCGACACTGTTTCTGCGTCTCCGCTGACAATTCTGCCGCGGTCTCCCCCCTCAGCACGCATGGGAAGCGCAGGCTCGAGAGTCAAGACGATGTGGCCCCTCCTAATGGAGACTCGGAGCATGATGATGCTTCGGATATCAACGTTAGCGACGCCCTGAATTGCCTGGGCTACATGCCCTTTCATCACGCCGTGGTGCTGGGTCAGGGCCCTGGACCAAAGGTTAGTGCGGTGTGCGGTGTGCCAGGGGTCGGCGAGGTACCGTGCACTGACGGCGTAGCAGACAGGCAGAGATCTCGTCGAGGAGACCGACGTTGAACAGTCGGAAGAACTGAAGGAAACTCTGCGTTTGATGCCCAAAAGAGGGCTCATTGGTAAGCCTCAACGACCCCGTAGCCGACCGTAGCCTTGCGCGGGGGGCTGACTAGAAGTAGACGTTCTCGTCGATAACTTCCTGGACGGCGCGAACTATCATTACTACGCCCTATACTCGGAGGCCTTTAGGAACCAGTATCGTGGTTGGTGCGCCAAATCGCAGGATAAGGTGACGCCCGAGCTCACGAGCCTCATCCTGCGTGTCTGTACCTGCTCCCTCCACCTCATCATCGGAGATCGCGTCAGAGAGCAGTTGGAAGAACTCCAGACCGACGTTCTGACATACGCGAATCGGATGCACGTCTTAGCCCAGAAGCTAAGTGCCAGCATTGGCCCAGGAAAAGCCGGCCTCGTCCACATCCAGCAGCCCTTCCTCACGGCTTTCTGGTTCAAGTCGGCTTAGAGATGGGTAGAAGCCTGGCATGCCCTGGGTAGGGCCGTGCATTCAGCAATGGAGATAGGTAGATTCTTCTCCCTTCTTTCCCGAGCCTATCAAAGCTCTCGGCGCCAAGCTGATATCGCCAAGGTCTTCATAAAGACTCCTTGTCCGAAGGTATGGAGGAGTTTGACCGCGAGATGAGGAGACGGATGTGGACGATCCTGTATCTGTGGGATTTGTGAGTAGACCCTCTCGGCTGTCGAGACCGTGGGCTAAACCGTCGCCATAGCTCACTGAGCGCTATGTTGTCCCGGTCATTCCATATCAACCACACCGAGTGCAAAGCCGTGATGCCCACTTTGGCCCTGGAAATCAGCCCGGATCGCCCAGGTCAGCCGTCGCCGTTCCGGCATATGAATCTCCACTGCCAGCTTTGCATCGACATGGGAGCGCAACTTCGTGCGCCTTCGGATTCGGACGTGGAAAAGGCGAAAAAAGCCGGGCGGGTAAAAGACGTGGTTGATGAATGGTTCGCGAAGATCCCAGCCGAATACGCATTGGAGAACCCGGACATGAAATGGGATGAAGACTTCGGATGGGTCGTGTTTCAGCGGCGCTATCTGCATCTGATCGGATATCTGAGTCTCCTTCGTCGCGCACAGCACGGCCAAGCACAGGTCGGACCTCGAACTCGACCTCCTAGCGGCGGGCGTCGAGTCGGCACTCGGTCTGATGCACCGGGCTTGGATCTTTTTCGAAAACCTGAAAACAATGGGGGCCAAGTTCCATTATGCTATTTTTTGCATCTTCGACACGGCAACCGCTCTGTACTGTGCCCTTCACAAGGATGAGGCTCGCAACCTTCCGCAGCGCGACGCCGCCGTCGACGCTGTCTTCAAAGGATTGAGCCTGCTCCAAGAGGCGGGCAAGGAGTCCAAGAACACGCAGAAACTGTACCGCATTCTCGAAGGACTCCTTATGAAACTCCCATTGAGCGCCGTTGAACAACGAGCGATCGGAGCAGCGAAACGGGTGAGAACCGAGACAATCCGATGTCGACAAACAGTTGGTAACGCCAGCTCCGGCAGCGAGTCCCCCAGCGAACGTTCTGGGTCGATACCAGAAAGCTATCAAAGCTTGAATCCCCAGGTTTTGTCTGGTGCTGCTCATGTGCAGACGGACCCCGATTTAGCATCCCCAACAGGGGTTGCACAAGGCGTCCTCAACGGTCTTCCGTCGACCACCCCGTTCGTGTCGTCGTCGGCTCCCACAGATCCGCCTATACCAGAGCTGGACGCCAGAAATGACCGCCATGCCGCCCATGCCCTCCACAATTGCCGTTCAGCCGAACCCTGTTTCCCTCAGTGAGGCGCCTTGGCAACAGCCATCATATGGGCTGTTTCCTGCAATCAACGGCCTGGACTACGGCCTCGACAGCGGCCTGGATAACGGCCTGGATAACGGCCTGGACCACGGTACCCTACCAGGGTTCACGGTGCCGTCGGTTCTCCAGACGTGGGACTGGCAGTGCCTCAACCTCGGACACCCCATGGAGTGGATTCGAAACACCTATACGCCCCGTGTCGGCGATCAGAACGGGAGCCCCACTACCCAGGCTGGCGTCTCGGGAGGATTCCGTGGCCCAAGTTTGGCGAACGGTGGCGTTGTGAGTCCGGATAACGAAGATCTGAGCCAGTGAGGCACATCGACAGGCACTGGCTGTCGCATTGACAGGAGATAGAGCATCTAATTCACCTTTCTTCATGACTTCCGTATTGATTGCCCTTTTCGACGATTTAAGGAGACTTTGCCTCATTGGATTTCCTAACTTGCCCAACATGGGTGCGTAAGGGAGGGAAAGGAACCGCGGGGGAAGATATTTGCGGTTCCTGAGATTGAAATGGATTAGTTTGTATGAAGGGGGTTTGGGGCCTTCATCTTCATCTGACCTCGATCGTAATGCAGAATGATAATCACAATCCACGCTGAAGCTCTCGTCATTGCTAGGTTGTGTCGTTGATCGGGGCATTTTCACCTTTGCGGTCATGAACACCACCCTTCACAGGGACAGTGAGGGATTTCAAGGTGTGTGAGAAGGTCGTTATTTATAGCCCCTGCATTATTGTGCTCCCGCAAACGAACGGCAGTGGATTATGCTAATTCTTAGTCAGTGTCGCGAGCCCCGAAAACCATCGGACGCGTGCTGTGGCGACTGTGCGCCGCTTTTCGTCACACAGCTTTATCACCTACTGTGTAAGCTCGGAGCTAAGGTACAAATGCGACATTCCTAACTCGGGATTGGATAGGTGGCGCTACAGCGATCAATCCGCGTGGCTTGCTGGGTGTCTGGTACTGCCACATGAGAAGAGAGGTTCTGGTTTGGTTGTTGCTGGGCTCTCGCGGGCGCAACGCTCCTGGAGGTGAGAATCCCGGTGGAGTCGTGCCACTCAATGGGGACCTTGAATAGTTGCCCAGCCCAGCCGTCGCGATGATGGATCGCGCGACTCGCACCTGCCAGGCTCACAGCACGGGCAGTGCAACCTGGAAACTAAGGTACCTACCTAGGTACCTATAGGTATGCAGACATCCCAGGTTAAAATACGACCTTTTGTTTCTGCTGAGGGTTTGAACGGCTAGAACCACCCAGCCGTGCGTTAGGTACAGAGGTTGCGCTTTCATCCGGTAAGCGTCGGCGACCTCGGCCCCTTCCGCGCCGGGACGGGTAAGGGACTTGACGGTACACCCAACAATGCACCTCCGTCAAGCCAGGCTCGGAGTCATATCGGCCTCGGGAAGGTGGAGGGGCACCGTGACAACTTCTCGACCCCGCGTTTCCCTTTTCGAAAATAGCACGCGACAGCATCGGCGTCTCAGACAGCCATTTTCTCTTCCGGGCTCGGGCTCCGCCTATGGTACATCATCACCACAAGCTCACAAGATGTCTCAAGCAAATGGATATACTCCCAAGGATGCGGGCGCTCCGAAGCATAATGCCTGGGTTGGCAGCGCCGGGGCAGCCGGCACGGATCTCAGAAGTCAGCTGCCATGAACTCGGAATGGTTCCTGCAGGCCAGTGGTGCTGACAGCGTCAACAGGCGACACGATGACGACGCCAACGGCCTCCATGCTTGCCGCTATCCAATCATGCACGCTGTTGGATGATGTCTTCAGCGAAGACCCTACGACCATTGACCTGGAGAGCCACTGTGCGGCCCTGACTGGCAAGGAAGCCGGGCTGTTTGTCTTGTCGGGCACCATGGGGAACGTCCTGGCGCTGCGGTCTTTGCTGACACAGCCGCCGCATGGCGTGTTGTGCGACTACCGTTCGCACATTGTGAGATATGAGGCTGGAGGGTGAGTCAACCGGGGTTTCCGCGCGCGCGAAGCAAGACTCACTGACGCCCGTCACAGGGTCGCCACACTAACTGGCGCTCTCGTCAAGGCGGTCGTGCCAAAGAACGGTGTCTATCTCACTCTGGAAGATGTCAGGGCAAACGTCCATCTTGATGATGACGTTCATACATGCCCGACGCGTGTCATCAGTTTGGAGAACACGCTCAATGGCATGATTATGCCGCTGGAAGAGGCGCGACGCATCTCTGCCTTTGCCCGGGAGCATGGTCTCAAGATGCACTGCGATGGAGCACGGCTCTGGGAAGTCGCCGCGTCGGGCGCCGGCAGCCTGGTTGAGTTTGCTTCGTGTTTCGACACGGTGAGCCTCTGCTTCTCTAAGGGCCTAGGTGCCCCAATCGGGAGCGTACTGGTCGGTAGTGGGGACATAATCAAGCACGCACGCTGGGTGAGGAAGTCCATCGGCGGCGGACTGCGCCAGTCCGGCGTCGTCACGGCCGCTGCGCGAGTTGCCGTGGATGAGACATTCGGTAAGGGGCCAAACGGCGAGGGCGGCCTGCTAAAGACCACGCATTCTCTCGCACAAGAGATAGCAAAGATGTGGACGGACCTGGGCGGCAAGCTCGTTCATCCTGTGCATACCAACATGGTCTGGCTTGACTTGGATGATGCTAACTGCCCGGGTGCCAAGTTTGAGGAACTCGGCAAAGAGGCCGGCCTCAAGCTCATGGGCGGCCGACTGGTCATCCACTACCAGATCTACCAGAACCGTGACTTTGTCATCCCGAGGCTAGCACGCATTTTCGAGGCGGTCTTGGAGGCCAGAGCGCGGGGTAGTTTGGCCGACAAGAGCGGTGACGGAGAAGTTTCCATGTACCGCTCGCAATAGGGCGAACCAGCTTCGCTAGACAAGCGGACGATAACTGTTTGCGCTGATCCAACAGATGCAACATACGAGAATAACAGATCCTACCGGCCTAATAGACCGGGCTACTTGGCGTTGCCAAGTGATCGTTGACATCGGCGTCAAAATTTTTCCAGTCACGCATCGACAAACAACGTCTCTGAGCCTCTGGACATCCCCAATCCCGCCCTTGCTCGTCTGGGTGCCCAGCTTAGTGTAGCTCCTCCAGTCCCCGCCCTGCTGCAAAGAAGGGCCGACAACCCGGGCCGAGCAGTCAACAAAGTCCCCCGGCTGGCCGTTGAATAGCCCACTCGAGTTGGGCAGGGCACCGGGCTGCACTCCGCCGAACTCCGCCGGGTATGGGTTGTGGAACCGCAAAGAAGCAAAAGAAGCCATTCACGACGCGGGTTGCCTGTTGTATTCTACTGTACACACACTACCTTACACTACATACATACCTCCATCCAGCCCCGATACGGTGGTAAGGCGTACTTCTGACTGAAACAACCAGTAAGGTACGGTGTAAGCCAAAGTAGGGAGCCCAGGGAACGATACCATGAACGTCAAGCCATGCGGATATCCCGGTTGAGTTCGTCCCAACGATGACCTGTCTCGAGCCTCTCGGATCCTGGCGGCCCAGCCTGCCCAGCCACGGGTTCCAAGGTTACACTTTGAGGAACCGGAATATCTGGAACCTGCGGTGAATGGACAAGGAACAAGCATCTGCTGACTGTCAGTTGGGGAGCTCACGCTAATGCCCCGCATTACCCCTGTCTCTCCGCATGTAGCCCTGGCCTGACGTCACAGCAAACTTGGGGAAGTTGGCGAATGACCACGCTATAAAAGTTTAGCGAGCGGGCCAATGCCGGTGGGATTGAACTTGCAGCTGCGGGGAATGCAGTTCCCAATGCATCGAATTCTCAATCCTTCTCACCGAAGTGAATGAACTGTGACGAATGCAAACTAGAATGCGCCTGCCGAGGGGTAGACAGGCTCGTATGAGGCGCGAAGCCGAAGCATGCATCCGGACAGGGACTTAACTAGGTACCTGTAGGTACCTTGCCTTATGTTTCCGGCGGAATCTGAAGTGGTAGTGAGCTGAAGCTGCTTGCAGCGATGCGTGCCTCCTTTTTTGCCAAACGATCAGCGTCGCCCGAGTTGGCGGCAATGATGGTCGAACCAGGCCAAGTCTACACTAGATCCGGCGTGACCCTGCTACCCCAACATGAAGAGCTGCACTTGCCCTGTCACCATGGTTACACTTGACTTTGCTGCATGTGGAGAGCTTCCAGAGATTCCAGGTTCGTCTCCTGCCCAAACCGGTGGATGCAGACTTGGAAGCTACACTGTACCGAAGGTACCTTCCATCCGATTTCCGGGCTGCATACCTGCCTTGGCCGGTCATCAGGTTTCCGTCGCTCATCTATTTGAGGGCGGCAGCTCCCTCGTTTAACCGAACCTTCCTGCCGCCATGTCCCTCACTGGCACACTCCATCGACAGTCCTAGGCACCTTCACAACCACCACGTGCCGAGACCTTCGTAAATGGCACCGCGACGCCTCCTCGGGGCAGCGCTTGCTGGCCTAGCCTCAAGCGCCTCTGCGCTGTACATCAATGGCTCCGTGACGGCGCCATGCGATTCGCCGCTGTACTGCCATGGCGAAATCCTCAAGGCGATTCAGCTTGCTCAACCTTTCGTCGACTCCAAGACATTCGTGGACATGTAAGTCAGAAAGCGATCTGCTGGGTGCATCCGCGGTGAGACATGTGCTGACTTACATTCCCGCCAGGCCCACGATCAAGCCGGTGGAAGAGGTGATTGCAGCTTTCAACCGACTCAGCCAGCCGCTGAGCAATAACTCGGAGCTCAATGCCTTCCTGGCCGAAAACTTTGCACCAGCCGGCGGCGAGCTCGTGGAAGTGCCCAAAGAGGAGCTTCCAACCGACCCCCGCTTCCTAGACAAGCTCGAAGACACCGTCATCAAGGAGTTTGTTGAGAAGGTGATCGACATCTGGCCAGACCTTACCAGGCGGTACGGCGGCCCCGGAAACTGCTCGGAGTGTGCCAACAGCTTCATACCCGTGAACCGGACTTTCGTTGTGGCTGGTGGTCGCTTTCGCGAGCCTTACTACTGGGACTCGTACTGGATCCTCGAGGGCCTGGTGCGCACCGGAGGTGCCTTCACCGAGATCTCGAGGAATATTCTCGAGAACTTCCTTGACTTCATTGAGACCATCGGCTTCATTCCGAACGGCGCGAGAATCTACTACCTGAACAGGTCTCAGCCCCCGCTCCTGTCGCGGATGATAAAGACTTATGTTGACTACACCAACGACACGAGCATTATCGAGAGAGCCGTGCCGCTCTTAATCAAGGAGCACGAGTTTTTCATGAACAACCGGAGTGTGACCGTCACAGCCCCCAGCGGAAAAGCATACACTCTGAACGTGTACGTCACGACGCGGGACCGGACCGTAGTGAATCTGACGGGCTGACGTCTTTGCTTCACAGATACCACGTCAACAACAACCAACCGCGCCCAGAGGGGTACCGGCCGGATTACATCACGGTTAACAACGGGTCCTACTACGCCAAGTCGGGTATCATCTATCCCGTAAGCAAGCCGCTCAACGAGACGGAGCAAGCTGAGCTCTACTCCAACTTGGCCACCGGCGCCGAGTCCGGTTGGGATTACACGGCCCGATGGCTCAAGAACCCCATCGATGCCGCCAAGGATGTCTACTTCCCGCTGCGCTCCCTGAACGTGATTGGCACGCTCCCCGTCGATCTCAACGCGATCCTGTACGAGAACGAAGTCATCATCAGCCAGTACCTCAAGCAGCAAGGCAACGACTCTGAAGCGGAGCGGTGGGCTTATGCGGCCCGCGAGCGCAGCGAGGCCATGTACGAGCTGATGTGGAACGCGACCCATTGGTCTTACTTCGACTACAACCTCACCAGCAATTCGCAGCACATCTTCGTCCCGCTCGACGCCGACGCTAACGACCTCGACCGCGCCAACGCCCCTGCCGACCATCAAGTCATTTTCCACATCGCGCAGCTCTACCCCTTCTGGACCGGTGCCGCCCCGGCTCATCTGAAGGAGAACCCCCTCGCCGTGCAAAAGGCCTATGCCCGCGTGGCTCGCATGCTCGACGAGAAGGGAGGCGCCATCCCCACCACTAACTTCAGGACGGACGAGCAGTGGGACCAGCCCAACGTGTGGCCTCCGCACCAACACGTCCTCATGGACGGCCTGCTCAACACCCCGGCCACCTTTGGCGAGTCCGACCCGGCGTACCAGGGCGTGATGGACCTCGCCCTCCGCCTCGGACAGCGGTATCTCGACTCCACCTTCTGCACGTGGTACGCCACGGGCGGCTCGACCAGCCAGACGCCGCAGCTGCAGGGCGTGTCGCCGGGCGCGACGGGCATCATGTTCGAGAAGTATGCTGACAACGCGACCAACGTGGCCGGTAGCGGCGGCGAGTACGAGGTGGTTGAGGGTTTCGGATGGACCAACGGCGTGCTGATCTGGGCAGCGGATGTGTTTGGGACGAAGCTAAAGAGGCCTGACTGTGGTAACATCACGGCAGCGCACACTCACTCTAGCAAGAGGAGTGCGCCGGCAGATGGTGTTGCCAGCTGGTCGCGGCCGCGGAGCGCGGTTGAGCTGGACCCGTGGGATGCCAAGTGGACCAAGATGTTTGGGAGGAGCGCGTTGAGGCACTCAAAGAGGGAGAATGTGAGGAAGTCATGATTGTGATGGAAATTAATAGGGGTAGGAACAAGTTATGACTCCGATGTTACATACTTTTAGCATGACTTCCTTGCCGGACCTACCTAGGAAGCGTTTCTGCTTCCTGGCAAAGGCCGCATGCGCCGCAAGCCTGAAGGTTTCGTCCTGCAGGCTAGCCGGGTACGGCAGAGGTCCCTGCGAACGATAATCTAATGGCACACATGGGATGACAACTGGCTGATGAGGTTGTGAATATGGGCATGCTCAACTAGGGCATGACACTATACCACATCCTGTACTTCCATGCAAAGTGGCGTCGACATCTTATCTAACATGTTCTCATCGCATTACATTGTCGGGGGCTTTTCCAATTCCACATGGGTTGGGATGAGCTGCCACCGGTTCCTGTCTGCATGGACTAGACAGTCGACTCTTTGGTTTTCGCCAACCCCTACAAAGAACGGCAGATTGTATACGGACGTTCATCTCTGCCGTCTACGTTTATCTCGATTCTGTAGCATCCTTATTCGGGGCGTCGAGGGAGTCCCTTTCAATTTCTGCTAGCCAATAATTGCCACTGGCAGTGTTTGCTAGAAGGCTTCAGATACCGTTGGATCTGTCCCACAGTAGCTCGCTCAGGCCCCTCGGCATCATGGTTCACGCTAAGGTAGGTAGCAATGCAAAAAGCGCTGAGGCAAAATATCCTCCGAAGCGAGCCACAACAAGTGGAATTGACTCACCCGCACAGAACGCCAGTACCGCCCAAACCCGCCATCGCATCGTCGTCAACGCCGATAACAATGCAATCTAAAACCTGGTCCGGCTGCATGCGCTCTTGCCCCTCCAGGCGGCCCGATCCCGATTCCTAACCCGAGCCGTCCGCAGCAGCGCCTGTCGAGTCAACGCCAGCCGAAACCTCGCCAGTCTTGTCCCTGTCAACGCCAGCCAAACCCTCATCCGCAATCCTGCCGCCACCCCGGCGGCGACCGCGGCCCGGAGGCCTACCCCGGCGCCGTTTGGCCATGGGCTTATCATCTTTCGTGGCCGCACCTTTGCCCTTTGCAACAGCGAATCCCTCCTAAGAATTCTCGAGATGCGACCACTCGGGTATAGCCCTAATCTGCTGCCACATGAACTTCTCAAGCTTATTGGCCGACTTCGCGTACGACGTCGTTTCGCTGTTGTACTTGCGGCAGTTGTCGAAGATGAGCTTCGCGTCGCGGATGAAGTCCTCGGGCGTGTTGTACTGGTCCGCTTCGAGCTTCGTTTCCATTGTCGAGAGGTCCATTGGCTCCTTGATCACGTCGTAGTAGTCTAGCACCTCGTCTTTGTTGACGGGAACGAGGAACGGCCAGGCGGAGGGGTGGTTTTGTAGATCGTTGAGCAGGTGGAGGAGTTGGTTGTAGTTTGGTCCGTGGCGTGGTTGTCGCGCCAGTTCGTCCATGGCCGGTGACCAACCCGAGGCGCGGATCGCTTCGATGGAGAGGGGATCGATGGGGGATACGCCATTCTTCTGCCATTGTTTTGGGGGCTCGTGGACGATGTGTGATTTGGAATACGCCCGGATCTTAGCCTGGACGCATTCCTTTTGCTTGAGCAGCATCCGGCCCACTTCGAGGTATCGAATACGCGGTAGCATGGTACATTGCATAATCGTTCCGCCCTCGTAGTCCTTGATATAGCCCATCCAAATAGACTCGGGGAGCGTAATTTCTTTGGTAAAACCCTGTTTCTTGAAGTAACCAATCGCATAGTTGTCGGCGTAGGTTAGGAAGTGCTTTACATCGGAGGTCGCCTTGACATAGTCCTTAAGATGGGACATAAGGTGAGCGCCATAGCCCTTGACTTGTTGGTCGGACGAAATAGCACAGAATACTATTTCGGCGAACTGGCGCCCCTTGAAGGGCCGATATGTGATGCCGCCCACCACCTCGAGTGGCTTCTTCACGATGGCGATAGACAGGTGGGTGCGGTCGTAGACCAGGCGCGCGATATAGTCCTTGGGCATCTTGGGCAGTTGCTTCTGAAAGAGGCACTTAAGGCCGGTGAGAATGATGATGCTCTCGCGCTCGCCATCGTTGTTGACCACTCGAAACTCGATCTCGCCATTGCGCTCTTCGATCACGGCTGGCTGAGTGCAGGGTGTCGTTAGACAACGCGCTCTATGCAGGAGAAGTGGGAGCCGGCGGGCTACAGGCTCACCTTTTCTGGAAATGGTATCGCTGGGACTTTGGCGGGCTGTTTCTCGGGTTCGTCTGAAGGATCGTGTTTAACGCGCTTAGATGCGACAGGCGACGACGGCTCGTCTGTTGCCTTGCGCTTCCCGTCTGGCAGGAGTACGCATCAGCGAAAGCCATACACACAGTAAAAAACAAGGTCAGCCCATCAAATGCACTTACTCTCGTCCTTCATAGTGATGGACTATGGCAGCCTTTTGATGGCAAGGTTCGCGCCGTGGAGTGCGATGTCGATGGTTCATGACGGAGGCGGAGAAGTGGATACACAAGCGACAAGGGCAGGGGGTCCGTTGCACAGTGCACACAGTGGTAGCGCCAAGCTTTGATATGAACGGGGAATTCGAAAGTTGTCCAATTCCAAACTGGAAGACTTGCATCGCCAACATTCGCGTCTCCGTACCTTGTGGACGCGTAAGTCAATTCACGCATTCTCCACGATTTTTGGAGCGCTTGAGCTTGTATCTTGAGGGGATCATATTCAGAGCCTCCAAAACTGCAGCACATGGATTCGACACTGCATGAGGTTTGGCAGGCGGCAGCTGGCTCGCCCTTCATCCCCACTGTTGGCAAGGGCAGTCAATTCTGGGTCGCCTTCGTTCTGCTGGTCATTGGCTTCTTCCTGACCGGCGCTTTCGCGCTGAGTATGTCTGGCGCATCTATTATGGCTGTCTCTTGCTAACCAGCCGGCGACACAGACCGCTCACTCGTGAATTTGCCCGTCCTCGCTGTTCCAGCGTCCCTGGCACTTGCGTACGTCGTCCAACACCCTGTCGACCACTCAGCTGGTTTTAACAGAAGTCGCAGGTTTGGCGTGGTTTACATGTTCTGTGCGGTCGGAGTCTACGTCTAAGATACCCCAGCCTCTCGCCAATTCTGTAGCGTAGCGTTATCTGAAAGAAGTCGCTTTTGCGCAGTCTCAAGCAGAGGTCCTCCTGAACCTTTGATATCTTCTCTCTACAGGCGTGCCGCCCCGAATCATCATGGAGCCCGAGGGCTCTGTTCCCGCTCCTCCAATCTTCCGAGCGGTTGCCAACTCGACAAGGCCGCTGTATCAGCTTCTCAAGGCGATCAACTTCACAAACAAGGTGCATATCGATATCACAGAGAATGGCCTGAGGTTTGCGGCCGACCATGCTCGAGTGATGCAAGGTGAGTGGGCCTGCGATCCCCAACGTCTGGGTAACGGTTCGATGTTGACTTGGATTATCAGGGGTCGCGCATTGGAGCAAGAGCCTTTTCACAACCTACACCACCAATATTCCTTCAGGCCCCGCCCGGACGTCCCCTTCGGCTGAGGATTCGGAGAAAGAAGACGAGGCCTCGCCACCAACCTTCCAGATCTCTCTTCCCGCACTCCTTGAAACGCTCCAGATCTTCGGCGCTGCCGACGCGGCCGCCCGCCAAGCCAAGGCCGACGCCGACCCCTACCGCAGCAACCTACGCAACTATCGATCCGATGCCTTCTCCAACCACACGCTGGGCATGGCGGGCACCTGCTCCCTCTCGTACACCCAGGAAGGTGAGCCCTTCAGCATCGTGCTCGACGAGTCCGGCGTCAGCACCACCTGCAACCTCACCACCTACGTGCCCGAGACACCGGACGACATCCCCTTTGACATTGAGGACCTGTCGTTCAAGATCATCACCTCGGCTCGCTGGCTGTTGGATGCCCTCACCGAGCTGGCTCCGACAAGTCCCGAGAAGCTGACGATCGCCGCGTCGAAGCGGGAGCCCTACCTCCGCTTGACAAGCTCGGGCGGTCCGCTCGGTTCAAGCAACGTCGACTTTGCCAAGGGGCGGGATCTGCTCGAAACATTCTCGGTGAGGCAGCGGTGGGTGCAGACGTTCAAGTTCGACATTATCAAATCGGCAAGCGAGGCCATGCGCATCGCCAGCAAGGTCAGTCTGCGCGGCGATGGCCAGGGCGTGTTGAGTATGCAGTTTATGGTTGAAGTGGAGGGGTCTGGTCCGAGCTTTCTGGACTTTCGGTTTGTGCCGTATGCGGTTTGCGAGGATGAGGGGGAGGAGGGGGAGGAGGGTGAAGGGGAGGAGGGCCCGGAGATGGAGCGATAGGCATTTCCAAGGGGCTGATCCCGGATCTCCTGCATGTGTTCTGCCAACATTGATCCAGCCAGGAGTTGTGGCGATGAATTCCTACAGCTCGCAGCCGACAGAGACTAGGTAACCATAGCTGCTGCGCTGTATCGATGCCTCACTCCACTGCTCAGGGCTGCAAAAAACTGTTCACGTTCGCAGACACTTTGACATCGCACACATGTACCTTGTCCGCATGTATGCCGACTTTAGCTAGCCCGAGAACAAGGCTTTGAGCTATTTACCAAGGCCATGATGTGCCGAGATTTAAGCCGCATTTCCCTTCCGAGACCCGACTTGAGACCCCGGAGCATTTAGAGGAGGGCGAAGAACCCATTGCGTTGGTCGAGGGCCTTGAAGCTGCAGACGCCACCAGAGCTGAAGAGACGCTAGGGATGGACGTGTGACTTGGACGAAGCAGAACTGGCGGAAGGGATCTTGCTTCCTTTGGAGAGGGGAAGAATGGAATGACGCTCGCCACTGGCATGTTAACCAGTGGTTCCTTGACCCATTGTGACCATTTTCTCTCTCCGTTATACTGAGAGGTCTTACCTCTACTGCCGTGTTTTAGACGATCAAGAGTAAATCAACATGCACCTTAATCCCGTGAGGAATGTGGGAATGTCAGAGGCCAGAGTTGGTGATTGGCCGCTTATTACTCACGAAGACAAACGAATAGGTACCAGGCACTTAGCAATAGTAGGCATGGAAGACTTCTTATCATATTCCTCGCTCTCAGCCGTGCCACCCCGAGTCGGTGGTGGCGGGTCTGACATTCGACTGGTTCACCGGGTCAGTGAGTCAGCCGAGTGTAAGCTGACCCAGATTATCTAGATAGGTACAGTACTAAGAAAGTAGCTTAGAAGTCAGCTCACCTACTACGCTACCCATGTGATCGAGTTTCGATGCATTCTCTGCACAGGCACAGCATTGCGGCGACAAGCAGCCGAGGCAGGGCAGGCCGATAATAATCCGGGGAAGTACAGAGAGTTAGAGGCATTTGAAGGGAATGTTGACGATGACCGATGGCATGCGTTTCATAGACCTCCATTTCTCCATGCGAATGCATACAAGGCGCTTCCGCATTCCCAACGGGCTGCTGTTTCTGCTGATGGGCTTTTCGGCGTCTGTGTGCGGCTCCGAGTGCCTACATGATTTCTAGGGCCCTTCGTTACCGACCTGCCGCCAATGGAAAGTCGTGAACGAGGGTATGATGGTGTCCTCGCCCACGCCTCGGCGACGTCCTAGAACAGGCTGATGGCGTGGGAAGACGGAGGCCGGTCCAAGTCGCCACACATATGCAGCTGGGGCCCAGCAATGTAGGTGTGGTAGGCTCCTCCTCCTCCGAGCCGCGAGGAATGGATCTTCTCGATGTCCCTGTGAAGCGGGCCCTTATTACTCCCAAGTAAACCGCGAGTCTCTTTAACACTCTCTTTCACTCCCACTCCTAATCAACGGCGTCCAGCTACTTCCCTCTCTTCCTACCTACCTATCCCTTCTTCGCTCTCACCTGCCTAGGTAGATACTCGCCAAAATGAGACTTGAGGAGCACCAACTCCTAGAACAAAACGAAGGAGGGGAACAGTGCTCCCAGGGAGAAACCAGCTGGAGGCATTACCAGCCCATGGTCCTGCTCAGATCGTCTCTCTCCTTCCTGTCCCGCTGCTGGCGCCCCGAAGAAGTCCCGGAGGACCAGAAAACAAAATACACGCACACGCCAACCAACGCGGCGACATCGTTCCTCAAGACCACCACGACGAGGTCCATGCAGAAGGCCAACGAGATCCTCTGACCTGCTGTGCGTGTGTGTGGGATCTGTGTCTTTATCATCCCCAGTGCCTTCGCCGCCGTCGTCAGCAAAAAAGGGGCGGCGGCTGTTGGGGATTCCTAAAGCAGAGACCGTGAAGGTCAACAACCCCGCCGAAAGAAGAATCCCGGCCCCGGCCCCGGCCGCGGGACAGACGGATGAAACGAAACAATGGTCCGGACTCGGCTGGATGAGGGAAGGCAGGCCGGCAGCGGTGGCCGAGTTGTACCTGCCGGGCCTATAACAAGCAGCCCCGAGACGGGGCACAGCTTCTCGGTGCGAAGATCCGGCAGGAGTTTAAGGACGTTGGTTTCACCGGCTTTGTGTACGAGGGCAACCCGCCGCCACGGCGCTGGTAACGGCCATGGTCGTCCCGGACTCGGCCGCGGCGCTCCTTGAACGCGGCCTACATAGTGTACAATACATGCATACGGAGGGGATCGGGGAGGAGGGGGCGTCGCTCGTGCACTACCCCACATCTATACATAGTAGCTGGGGCCGCGACGGCCTAGTGCATAGGCAACCCCGGGGTGATGCGGAACATCGTTGTGCGGGAGCGGGTTTGGATGGGGAAGGGTGTGCGGCTCCGTATCAACACCTTGGGTTGGACTGCAGACAGTGAGGTCGCGTTTTCGGGCCAAAAGGTGTGCCTGTTGGTTGGGGTGACACATGGAAGATCGACGGGGGTCCTGGGATCCAGAACCGTGGGATGGAGTCTGATAGGAAGCCATTCACGGTCTGAGAATGGTGGCAGCCGCATAAATGGATCCAACTCCGTCCGGGGATTTTCCGGCTAGACAATTGCTGTGCTCTCCCCAACCTCCAGGTCCCGTTATCTGAAACAGCCAGTGCCATGATGTGGCGTGGACAACGATCCCGTCAGAACTGTGTTGCCAGGCTTGAGCTGAACGTCTCAGCTAAACGTCTCAGCAACTAGGTACATACATACAAACAGTATGGTGTATCCATGTCTGCGTCGCATCAGTCACACTGTCAACCAGAGAAACATCTCATTGTTCTCTCAAACAACATGTTTACATACTGTGTAAGTAGGTGCTTTCAGGGCATTCCTTTTTGCGCGGGGACGATGGATTGTCTGGTGTTTTGCTAATCCTCTGAGCTTGGATGAGACGGTTACACAAGCGACATAGAGTTCGAGACCGAGATGAAGCTGACAACGAATACATACCAGCCTACCAGTCGTCTACTTGCACTGCTTCCCAGCTTACCTTGTGCGGGAAGGAGCCCTAACGTGAGATCATCTCGCCCGCGCCGCTGAGAACTCCGGGCGGGCCCGTTATATCTTCCATAGGAGCCTCGGTAGACAAGCGTGACGGCAGCGCATCGCGCGGAGGAGCTGAGTCGTTGGGTGCGACGCCAAAAACTTCACACTCATTTGCATCCCGTAACCCGTTCGTCCCGTATATGATGAGGGAGCGCGCGGATGAGGCCCACGTGCAATGGTTGCTTGCGGAGTTGATCGAGGTCCCCTCGCATGATGCATCCTATCACGGTGCCATGCCGTGGCATGCCATCAGGCTGCCCCGGCCGACGGGAATCGAGAGTGGACTCGGTGGAGAGGACCGAATAGCGCCGCCAAAAGGATGACGGCTGCCATGGGCAACAAAGGCGTGCACAGGTCAGGAACAGAACGCTCTGTCGAGAGACGCTGTTCCTGATCTGGCATGTGCTCAGTCAAGACGGTGCGTGGTTGTGGCGAAGCTTCCCGCTTTTGCTCTCGCTGCCCCGAGCTGCGATTCCGGTTGGCCGGGGTGTACTCATTGCAATGCACTATCGCGGCAGCTGCAGTTGAGATGGTGTGCAGCCGACGTAAAAATCCCTGCAAACGAGCGGGCTTTGGGCTGGATGACTTCCATTAGCCGGGCGATGCTCAGCTTGATTTAAACTTGTTGCCTGGAGATCGCAGCTGCCGGACAGGCCTGCAGAGCGGTGCTTCCCGTCTGTGAGAGAGCCGACAAAAACCCATGCATGAGTAATCCGTACGGAGAGGGTCGTGTTGGCCGAGGGTTGCAGGTTTGCATCGCACCGGGGCCGTGGAAGAGGGATTGGTGTACACGCAGCACATAACGTTAGCTACCTACCCTCGCCTAGTGTAAGCGACGGTGAGATTCGTACACTAAGACCGCCCTGCACAGGAGCATCTCCTCTCGTTGCAACATAGGACCTTTCTGTGAGGGTTCGCATCATGGGGCGTTTCTTGGACCGAGCCTGCTCTCCTGTCGGCGGGAAGGTCGGCGACAACCCTGCCTCCCTTGCTAGACAGTGCTAGTTAACCCTTGTGAAATAATCACCCGCCCGAGGGAGCTAAACTAGCGTCTGAGGACCCGCTGCTCCCACAAATTTGAGCGGGCTCGCGGGATCCCTTCCAGGTTTGTTTGCTGAGGGAGGTAAGGAACTCACCAAAGCATTGGCCAAGCAGGTTTTCTTAGCGTACCGTCCACGTGCGGGCTAGGAATGGTCTGATCAGGGAGGCCTGCATCTGTGTTGCGCAGAAACCCTCCGGTACCCAATTGATCCTGACTCCCGTCAGGGCAACAATACCGGTATTGCATCGCGCCAAGATCGTTGTCCACTACCCATACTCCGCGGAGACTCGTGCGGACGTGGTCGGCGCTCGTTAGCGATACGCTGCACTATAATACCTGATATAGGTGCATCTTTTCAGTGAGTTTGCATAAGTGGATGTGTCTTGTTTGGTTTGATTGTGTGCCTGGGGATCGTCGGCGGGCCTCCGAGCTAGCTAGGTAGAGTGGATTCGAGTTGCAGTTTAGCTATGGCTCGTGTGTACAGTGCGCCAACGGCTTGCTCGGAGAGTAATTCGGCTAACAAGGATAGGGGCACGGCAGGCACTCGATAGCGTAGGGCTCCACCACCGATGAGGATCTCTAACGGCGAGTTTAACTAGACAGTGCGCGTGCCTAATTGCGAGATTGCGCACTGTCAGCCCGGTGCGGGGCATTCTTACATCGCTCCCGCGCTCATCCGAACATCGCAGCCAATCCGTTCATTCCAAACCTGCGTTACGCAACGACGGATCTGATGGAGCTAAGCCGCCCGGATTTGCACGTTCTTTGTTTCCCTTGTTATATCCTCGCAATTCCATTTTCTCACCGAGTCTAGCAGCCGACCTCGAGCCCCTCTTTGCAATCGACAGGAACTGCAAATTGAGCGCCGGGCCTGGTGTTGGTGATTCAGCCGCAGGTAACAGCATGCGGGCAGTTTGCCTCGAGCACAGCTCCCCTCACTGTGCCCTCTCCATACTTGGGGAAGCAGCATCCCCCTCCAGAAGCTGTGTGTGAAGGGCGCCAACTGAGTGATCAACGGGCCAACACCTGACCCGATTTACGTATAAGGAGTCTTGCTAACTGCTTGGCCCTCACCTTACGCCAACGCGCTGTTTAGGAAGCGCTCATCAGTCTGATGACCGAGAGTGCAGCTCCCCTCTTTTCTCGCTGGAGTCGAAGTGTTCCGCTTTGCAGATAAGAATGGCCCCTCGACAAGGGCATAGTGTAGACGATCGTGAGACCCACCGTCTCACATTAGCCCACTTTCTCTCCCCCCGTTCTTCCTGTTGCCTGCGGGCTGTCTATAGTGTATCCGACTCAGTTCCAGGTAGACGAGGGGATACACTACACTATGGTCGAGTCCATGGTGCAAAATACTTGCGCGATCGTAGCTTGATCGGGGCCAGCATCGCAAAAGCTGGGAGGATTGATCCCAGGATTGTGCCTAGGATCGGACCCAGAATCAGTGCCGCTTGCCGAGTCGCGCGTCGATCACCAGGCGATTGCGCTCCGGGGACATTTTGGAAGGATCTATTCAGCACGATGTGTTTCGACACTTCACCGGACAGTAATTCGGCACCGTGGACGACTTTGCAAAATCAGCTCTGGGTATGGCTGACACACCGTGCTCGCCTGCCTGTTCCGCTGTCCAGCACTGATGAGAGACCAATATTCGTACAGGCCGTCAGCTCGCAAAACGGTTGGCCAATTGCGGCACTATGGCAACGGAAACAGGGAAGCCGGGGGTTGATGGGTGAGAAACGACGGAGGGGTCGGTCGTTCGCGCCTCGCACCCCATGGCCCGGCCTGTCCCTCGCTTGTCGCGGATGGAGATGTGTGCCCGCCCCCAGCTCGCTTGGCAACCAGGGCCCCGGTCTTTGCATTCTTCACAGGTTTGGCGATGGTCAACGCCACACTCTTGGTGCAAGAGTACCACCGTACGTAGCACACAGATGGGACCGGATGCCAGTCGCAGGGCGAGCGGGCCCGGACGGTGCGGTACCCCCCATGGCGTTCACTGGCATGCTCTACGGCCATGCGCCGTTCCGTTTAATATTACACTAGTTACAGCACAGCACAGCACCACCGCATACACCTACCCTCTATCCCCCGCGCCTCGGCCCTGCCCTCTCCCGGCGAGTCTGGCCTTTCAACTCCTCCCTACATACATCCGTTACATGTGTGTAAGCCTGTTGGTTCGTTAGGTCACACGAACAAGACGGCTGTGGGAATGCGGTGGCCGTCAACCTAGCCAACGCCTCGAAACCCTCCTCACTCATATCTCCGTGCCATGTGCTTCGTGCTACATTCCGGCCCTTTCCTTTCTTTCCTCCCTTTTGTCCCCACAGACAAGCGCCATGTTCAGCATCCGGAAGAAGCTCATTCCGAGTCCTCAGAAGAAGCCGGATGGCCCCGAGGACTATGAAGGGTCATACTTCTACCACGACGACGATGAGATGGATACGTTGAGCCGGATCAGAACATGGAGACCGCCGATGGGATTGATGAAGCGGTCCAAGCCGAGCATCGACATCCGCCGGAGCGAAGACCTCCATCGCATCATCTGCATCCCCCCGTTGCCCGATACGCCGCAATCATCGACCACTTCTTTGTGCAGCATTGACAATGGTACCGGCTATGTTGTGAACGCGGGCCCGAGCCCTCGCGCCTCGCCTCCCCGCCGTCCGGATCGAAGTCCATTGGGAAGTCCCCTGATGGGGCCCCAGAGAAGCCCTCAAAGGAGTCCTCAAAGGAGTCCTCTTCTTCTCCCTCACCAAATCGACGATCAGCAACAACAGCAGCAGCAGCAGCAACAACAGATATCGCGAAGCAGGAGTCCAGCGTCGACGCGCTCACTCCAACATCCTCAGCTTACGCCGCCGTCATCACCACCCCAGCTCTCAGACATGTTCCCGCAATTCCCGCACACGCCCGCAGAGACACCGGATACTGTTCCCACCACGCCCGAGACCAGCACTCACCCACCGTCTCTCGAAGTGATCACTGTGACGCCACCGCCTGAGACAGCAGCCGAAGGCGACAAGGCGGGCTTCTCCCCAGAAGCCCAGCAGCTCATGCACGAGACGGACGAGGCATTCCAGCTACGCCAGCCCGTGACCGTGGCCGACGCAAGGCTACCCGACCATGAGCTGGACAAGTTTCCCAAACTCAAGGACCCTTCACCGGTGTCCCCTCCAGCACGGAGGAAGTCGCAGCGGCGCAGTCAGGGCTCCGTCAAGTCGGTCAAGTCACCGACAAAGACATCGATGAAGGATCCTTTGTTGCCAGCCCAAGCCCGCCTTCCCTCCAATTCGCGGCCGAAGCGGGCCAAGTCAAAGAAGTCGCGGCGGCGGCCACGTGCGCCGGTGAGGCAGTCATCCATGTGGCAATTGACGGAGAGCGCCAAGGAGTTTACGATCCGCATTTTCCACCGCGTCGAAGTAGATGAGATGCTTCCCGAGAGCACGCTGCGGGAAATCAGGAGGAGCAGAGCCGCGCACTGGACTCAGTCGCCCGAGCTGGGCGTGACACACATCAAGGACGGTAAGAAGAAGGACAAGGACAATAATAAGAGCGCCGCCTCTACGCCGATCGAGCCGTTGAGCCTCGACAATTCCCTCGGCGCGGTAACAGAGGAGGAGGATAACGTGGTGACGCCCCGTGCCTCTGTTGTGAACAATCAGGAGACCGAGATCGGCCAAGAGGATTGCAAAACACCGACACTGGCGGCTCAAGAGCAGTTGAAAGGGACGAACCAGGAGTCTGACAATGGGCCGGCACCGGTGGCGGAGCTGGCGGAAGAAGAACCGGCATTGCCGTTGCAGCAGCCCGACTCGCCAACCACCAAGTCTTACGACGGGGATGAGGACGAAGGGTCTCTGCCAATCATGATGGTCGAGGATGCGTCGGCGGCAGAAGCCAAGCCAGTCGAGGCCAGCCAGCCAGCCGCGTCGGCCATGCCGCCACCATTGAAGGCGTCTCCCATGCACCGCCGTCTCCCGAGCAGACAACTGCCACCACTCCCCACGATTCCCGAGGTGATAGCAATAGGACCCGAGGAGGCCACGCTATCGCCGACGTCCGCGCCGCTGCCGCCCGGATCCGCATCCAAGGTGAACACGGACGACTACGTTTTCTTGGACAGTACGCCTTACACACTGACCATGCCGGCCTTCCGCCATGGCCAGATCCGCCTGGCCAAGGCCGATCTGCCGATCGGCACGCTGGCCGCGGCGGTTGATGACACGCTTGACTGGACAGCGTTTCAGATGGCCATTCTCGGCGGCGCCGGCGATTTCTTCAGCGAGCCGACCGACTACTCGCGGCCGTCCGAGGCCGAGCTCGAGCAGCTCGAAGAGCTTGCCTCGTGGTTTGGCAGCTTCGGCTTCGACGGGCCCGGCTCGCTGATCGGCCCCAGCGAGCCACGGACTCCCACCCAGGGCTGGACGCCCGTCCTCCCGCGGACGCCCGCGCTGACGCCTCCCTCGCCGACCTCGACGCCCGGCAGCAGCCCAAGCCCGCGGACGGTGGTGGGTAGTAGCACCACCCGGAGCCCCGGCTTCCGGCGGATAGACCCGCCGGCGCCGTGCGAGGCCGACGACGGAAGCAGCAGGAGGCTGGATTTCGGCGACTCGATCGCGGGGCGCTTCTTCCCGACCGTATCTCTCGGCCCGCCGGTCGGCAGCTCCCACAAGCCCGGCGGCCACCGGCGCAGCGTCAGCAGCACCACGTTCGGCCACCAGCCGCTCATGGCTCCGCCGACGCTGAAGCAGTCGGCCTCGTTTGAGAGCCGCGGCCGCAACCACGCCGGGCTGGCCATCGACTCGGCGCGGCGGCCCAGCGTCGACAGCATCCAGAGCCTCCCGCAGAGTCCCATGATGGATCTCGTGGTCAGCCACGACGTCGACGGGAACGAGTACATGGTCCCCATGGGCTTCAACCTCAGCCATGATCTGGGCGATTTCCTCACCTGGCATGCCGAGCACGTGTCCGGTGCTGGGTTTGCGGCGCCGGATGGGAGCCATATCTGATTCTATTTTTACTGCAATTACTATACTCTCCGTCTGCCTCTCCTCCTCTAGGCTTTTCTCTCCCCCTTTTTTTTTCTCGTCCTTGCCATATCCTCTCGGTCTTTCTACATTTACCAGGTGTTTTGGTAGCATCCAGGCAGGCGGGGACACAGCGGCATTTTTCTTTTTCTTTTTCCCATCCAATCCATCCATCCTCATCATCTCCTTTGCTTTTCTTTTCTTTTCTTACTTTCTTCCTTTCTTTCTCCGGCCTTTGGCGGCGGCGTTCAAACGGTCATTAGGCATATCCATATCTAGGCAGCATCGGGAGAGGGGCGCAAGGAAGGGCAGGGACACGTTTTCTTCTCATTCTTGATACCACCTTCCTTTTCTCTCCTCGGATATCTTCTCTTCTTTTCTTCTCTTTCGCACTATTCTTCTTCTACTTTTTCCGGGTGTGAGGGTATTCTAACTCGGTGTCTTCATTTGGGGCAGCAGCATGTGTTTGGGAGGGGCAGATGAGCGGCCAATAGGGATGGATGGGATGGGATCAAGGGCGAGGGACGAAAAAAGCGCATGCTGTGTTTCGCACCATGATTGTCGTGCTAACGGGGGGTAAAAGATTCTTCTACCTCTTTCGTGGGGCAAAATGCAAATAACTATACGTTAGGTGTGAGATTGGAACAAATACAGGTCTTATTCCTGCCACTATCTTTGCTTGCATTCAACGCATCGGTTTGGTTCGCTTCTCTGCGCGACCGTCCAACCCCCCGGTTTCCCACGTACACCGCATACAAATCCATACTGTGTATCCATATCAAATGCAGCCTAGAGCTCGACTGGCATACCTACTCCGTACTATCCCTGGAAACTCCACTTGGTTCCCGCTAGGATTTTGCATTGCAAGAGAGCACAAGGCCTTGGACTTCCTCCCGCTCATACATGGCTTGATGGGATTGTGCATGCGTTGAGCATCGCCCCGCTGTCAGGGCTGCTAAATAACCTACGTTACCTGCAGATACGGGGTGGAGGCACGCGCGTGCTTAGGTGTTTGTGGGTAACGTAACTATTTCCACACTGTACGTGTATGTATGTATGTACTCACATCCAATCCAATGTAACTTTCCAGTCCAGCGCAGAAAATATTGGAACCTGTCAGCCTGGCTACTAACTGGGCCTGCGGCTGCAGCAAGTGGCTGTGGAAGGGCCGAGCCATCTGCGAGATCCACGGAAGTAAGCGGCATCATCAATATCTCAGATTTCTTTCTCCCGTTCCTCACATCTTTCCATGTGTGCTCCTGAGTCTTGTAGTAGGGTAGGTTGTTGGTTGGTTGGCTGACCAAGGATAGCTGCAGGGAGGCTGGTACATAAATACGACCAGCCTACCACCTCACTACCCAACTTCCAGTAACTGGCTTACCAAGGAGTGTAGGTATGTACTTGTACAGTAGGTAGTTTGCGTTTGCGAAAGTCATGTCATACAAATTCTATACCTAGTCTAACTTTGCACGCTCCTACTAGAGAGTACAGAGCTTACTCGCACTAGGCATAAACGTCCTTCTCGATCAGATTGATCCACCCGCAATGCAGGTACGAAGTTCGAACAACAGCGGAAGCGTTGTCTTGCAGTAGTGCGGAATACGCCCCGCGCTGCGGATGAGGCGGTGCGCAGCCTTTTTTGCTGGTTGCTGCGGTGCATCTTGTGTCTTTTGCGGCGGTCTTTGCCGCGCGTTGCCGCGGCTGCGCTTAAGTGTATCGACGTAAGACAAAACGAAACGAAACAATGCGGGGCCGTTGGCTCGGGCCCCGGGGGGCGCATGGAGCGCACGGTGCGGGTGCGGAATCGGAATCCTTGCGGCAGTGGTGCCTCCCAATGTTTCATGTTGGCCAGGCCGCGGGACGGGCAATTTACATAACGTAAGTTTCTAGATATATTTCAAACGGGGTTATGACAGAAGGGGTATAAAGATGCATTGAGGGATCTGACCGGGTGGAGGCCCGGAGACGGGGGAAGGTCTTGTTTTTCTGTTCACGTCCTGGGAGACTGGTTGCCTGACGGGATGTTGCTGTGCCAGGCCGGCCGCCGGGCGAATTGTGGACTGCAAGGATTTGGATGCGCCGATGCAAGCAGTCAACCGCCAGTTCTCGATCGCTGACTGTAGGCGGTACCGCCAAGCAGAGACTTCCATCATGTCTGCAGCAGGTTAGTTTTCAGGATCGCAATAATGGCTGCTTGTTGTCTATACGAAGGTTGGTCTTTTTAAGTTCAAGTTGCTTACACAGTATTCCGTATTGCTCCTGCTTTGTTATGAGAAGATTGGGGCTCACTCTGGGGCTGACCATCGGGACCCCGATGAAGTGGGGCCGACTGCCTCCGGAGGAGAAGATGAGCCGGCCGCCTTTCAGGATAGGATGCGCATATGGATATCGACTACAATTCCCACTTTCATCTGGTTCTTCTCAGCAAAATCTGCTGTCAATAACACATAACATTAGAGCCCGTCACCGAGCCCTGTTGCATCATTAGCAAGGAAGTGGCTACGAAGTCGCTTTCCCCTGGGTTGTTTCTTGATTTGTTGATCGGTTAAACCGGGGTGAGTTTGTTGGGATGGGCAAGTCGGACCTAGGCTGGAATCATACGATATGGTGCGCCCACAGGCAATGGACGAAGGGTGACACGTTAGAGTGATAAGTACAGTAACTGGCTCATATACTTCCTAGACGTTAGGGTTTTCTATTATGGATGCAACTCTACTGTGTAAGCCATCCCACATCCCGCTTCTCCTCTCTACCTTCCGTCGTCATGGTAGCTTAACCCAAACGGCTCCAGTCGTACATGAGTTGCGAGGTATACTGACTGATGGCAACGGGGTAACATGCGATGTGCTCCCTCTCTTTTCCCGTCACTCTTCCCCTCCCTTAATCCACCCATCCGTCCGCTGACTCACAAATGCCTTGACTACCTTACCTTACCCACCACCTTCTTCCTCTTCTAACCTCCGCAACCAATAGGGCCGTAGATGATATGCCTTCAGAAGCACGTATGTGCTGTACAACAGTACCGAATAGATGCGACAGAGATCCTGCAATGCCGCTGTGAATCTTCCCCTCCCCACTCCCGCGCGCCATGCTATGCTTGTAGGCAAGCAAACATTTAGAAGTCAACGATTCGCCAAACACGTCCTAACCCCCGTTCTCTCTTTCCCATCCATTCCCCTGCCAGGGCAAAAAGTCAAGTCAAGCCAAGCCAAGCCAAGCCAAGCCGAACCGCCTTGTTGTGCAGCATCAACAACAAAACGAACTCCGAAGCGCTTCATCATCCCGACACCTTTAGTCATTTTAGGGAGAGCAATACCGTTGAGTCCTCAGCGGACTGGCGTACGCACGGGCGGCTGCAGAGCCTCCTCCAGGGCGGGCACCATGTCATACTTGATGACCAGCTCCTCGATCTTGGGTATCAGCTCGGAGATGCGGAAGGGCTTGGAAATCACGCCATCCTGCAGGGAGAGCCAAATTCAGTACATGATGAGACAACCGAGGTACTGACCATGTAAAGTGGAAAATGCGGAGGGAAATCTTACCACGCCAGCGGCCTTCGCATTCTCCACCTGCTCCGGCCGCGCATATGCCGTGACGGCGATGATGGGGATGTGGTGGGTGATGACGCCCGCCTGCTCAAGCCGTCTGATCTCGCGGGTGCAGCTGATGCCGTCCATGACGGGCATCTCCAGGTCCATCAGGATCACCGAAATGTTTTTCATGTTGTGGTCGTCGGCGTTGTTATTGTTGCTGCTATTATTGTTGTTGTCCTCCTCGCTCCCGTCCCTGCTCGCGCTCCCTTGCGAGTCACTTCTCGGGAGCGGCGACGGCGGCGGGACCATCGGCTGCCCGGCTAGGGGGGGTTCGCTCGCCATGGTGGCGGCGCTCTCGTTCCAGAAGCGGGAGCGCCTCAGCTCTGCCAGGGCCTCGCCGCCGTGGTTGGCGACATACGTGTTGTTGCCCGAGAGCTGCAGCTGCCGCTTCAGCACCTTCTGGTTCACCAGATTGTCCTCCACAATCAGAACGTCGAGGCTGCACGTATTGGACTGTCCCAGGGGCAGGGATGGGGGCGGCGGCAATGCTTGGGCTGGCAGCGCAGTTGGTGTTTGTGGCGGTGGCGTGGCGGGTGCGGTTAGCGACTGCGTTTGCTGTTGTTCATCCCCGAGCGCGCGGAGCAGAGGGGACGGCCAAGGCGATGGACCATCGGGGGTGCACGTGGTGGCCGTGGGCGTAGGCGTGGGTGCGCGGACTGGCGACATACCCCGGGGGCGATCCGACTTCCGGCTCTTGATGTAGAAGGCAAAGGTGCTGCCCTGGCCCTTCTTGGAGTGTACCGCAATCTGGCCACCCTGCAACTCGGTCAAGATCCGGCAGATGAAGAGGCCCAGCCCGGAGCCGCCGTACTTGACGTGGGTTCTCGGGCTGGCCTGGCTGAAGCGTTGGAAGAGGAGTTGCTTTTCGTGGTCGTCCAGCCCCGAGCCCGTGTCGGTGATGGCGAGATGGAGGAAGATTTTCTCGCCGTTTTCCCAGTCGGCGTCGTCTGTGAGATCCTCCTGGTCCTGCTGCCGCGCGGGCACGTAGGACAGTCCGTGCTCTTCCTCGCCCAAGTCCGTGGACGCGCCGAGGCTGATGACGATCTCGCGCGTCGGCATCCCCTGCGTGAACTTGATGGCATTGGTCATCAGGTTGATGAGGACCTGCCGCAGGCGCGAGGGATCCAGCTTCACCCAGTCGATGGCCAAGTCTCGGTAGGACTGCTCGATGCTCAGCCGGCTGTCGATGTCGTTGGAGCGCAGTTCGGTCTCGAACATCTTGAGCACGTCCTGCACGATCCGGACCGGCTGCACGTCGACGGGCGTCACGAGCAGCAGGTTCGAATCGAGCTTGGACAGCGTCAGGATGTCGTCTACGATGCGCTTCTGGTGGCTGGCGCAGAGCGAGATGATGCTGGCCGCCTCGACGCAGCTGTCAATCAACATGCTCAGCGCACCGGGGATGTGCGCCACGGGCTCCCCTTGCCTGTACCGGGTCAGGCTTGTCGAGATCTCGTCGGCACACTGCAGGATGGCGCTCAGCGGATTCCGCATTTCGTGGCTCGTGATGTCGATGAAGTTCTCCTGCTGGCGCTTCAGCTCCACCGCCTCGTCCCGCCGCTGCTTCTGGAAGTCCTCGGCCCATTTCTGCTGCGAGATGTCTGTCAGGCAGCCGATGATGCTCTTGAGCTCGCCGGACTCGTCCCGCTCCGGGTACGCGCTCATCAGGGCCCAGACGTCGACCGAGTGGCCGTCCATGAGCTCCCTTGACCCCTTGAACCGGAATTCGTGGGTCACGGCCGTCTTCTCTTCCACGAGGCGGCGCCAGGCCAGCTCGGTGCCATGCCGGTCCTCGTCCCGAATGCTCTGCATCCACGCGGCGAAGGTGCTGGCGTCGCGCTGAAGTCCCGAGATTCGGTACCACATGTCGTTGCAGTAGTTGATTTGCCCGTTGCCGTCGGCGATGAACAGGCCGACGGGGCCAAACTCCGCCATCCGTGCGAAGCGATACTCGCTCTCGACGGCCTCCTGTGTGCGGAGGTGAAGCTGCAGCGACAGCTCCTGCCGGTCCAGGGCGGCCAGCTTGGCCGCCCGCTGGCCGCGCCGGATCTCCTCCTCAAACAGCACCACCGAGGCCAGAGAGGTGGCGAGCTGGCGGGAGAGCAGATTGAGGAACAGCTGGTAGTCTTCGTCGTACGGCCGTCTCGGGTTCACGCCCAAGACGATGAAGCCGACGACCGAGTCGCCCGCAGTGGTCGGGTGCACCGGGAACACAACGACGGTGCGGCACGGATCTCCGTACCCTCGCCATGCGAGCCCCTGGACCAGCTCCCTCGGCAGCGTGCCGTCGTCCTCGCTGAGCACCACCGAGCTGGTCGGAAGCGCCATCGACTGCCTCAGGTACGGCGCGAAGCCCTCGTCGCTGTACCGCAGGTCGATCGAAGGGACCGCGCACGGATGGCCGTCGGGAACGCCAATGGCGCCCTCGAGCACAATCTGCGGCGGATGCGCAAGGCTCCCCGAGGCCATGGACGACACTTCGCTCTCGCTGTCCTCGGCGACCGAGTACAGGAGCGCAAACGGCACGTCCAGCTCGTTGTACTCCAAGCCCTGCGCAAGCTGGCTCCAGAAGCTCTTCACGTCTCGCGCTGCTGCGGTCTTCATGCCGATCTCACGAAGGGTCAGCATCCTCCGCTCGTTGATCTTCCGCCGCGTGTTCTCGAAGGCGGGATTGTAGAGCGCCACCACGGACCCGTCGCCGCCGACAAGCGGGATCGTGGCCCAGTTGAAGAAGGTCTCCTCGGTGAAGCCGTGCCGCGACAGGAAGAGGGTGTCGTCGTGCTTCATCGTCGCATACCCGCTGTTCCACGCGGCTTCGAACTCGGGCCGCACCTCGTCCCAGATCTCGGCCCAGCAGTCCTGGTACCGCGATCCCATCAGCCGGGGGTGCTTCTTTCCGGCGAGCGAGATGTAGGCTTCGTTGTAGATGACGGTATAGTCCTTGCCCCAGTAGAGCGCGGCCGGGTGCGGGCTGCCCAGCACCATGGTCGACATGATGCGCAGTTCCAGAGGCCACGTGTCGATCGGACCCAGCGGCGTGGATGCCCAGTCAATGGATCGCGCAAACCGGTGGTGAGGAGGAAGGTTGGGATCGTCAATGGGGATCTGCGTCCAGTCAAACGTTGTCCGTAGCGGCGGAGGAGATGCGAGCACGAGATCATCGAAGGGCTCTACAACAGCGTCGGTAAAGGAGGAGGTCCTGCGCCGGGGTTCCGAGTGCGCGCGGGTGTGAGGCTGGCTCGTCAGCCCGAAGTAGTCGCTGCGTTCCGCCGGTGCCTCGGGCTGCTGGCTCTGCGTGTCCGTCCACGGGCCGCCGCTGAATCCCAGGTCAGTCACCGGCGAGGATTGTACTTGTATTGGTGCCACTACTGGCGCTGCCTGGATCGGCGATGTTGGCGTGGAGGAGCTTGTGTCCTGATAGCCGCGGATGACTCGAAACCGTCGCTGGAGCGTCGAGCGAGTCCAAGGAAAGCCAGAGTACTTGAAGGACGAAGCGGCCGCGCCCGCGACCTTCGGGTCATGCAGCAGCAAGCTGACCGCCCAAGCCTTGAATTTGAAGAAATCGTCGTTGTCGCCCAACTCGGCCGGGCCGGTCTGCAACAGTGTCAGCAGAGCGGGCGCTGTCCTCAGCGCATCATTGGCGTAGAGCAGGTGTAGGGGTCCGTCGTCGAAGTTCGCCGGGTCGTTGAGGTCGATGATGAAGGTTGGCCTCTCGTCCTGCTCCAGCAGCTCGACGACCCCTATCCCCCGCAGCAGGTGCACCGCCAACGGCTGTGGCCCGTCGTCGGGACTACACGATAGACTGGAAAGTTCGGTCGACGGCCGGCTATGCGACGTGCTCAGAGACCGCGACGTGGAGGTGACGATGGTGGTATTCGTATTCGTGGTGGTGACTTGCCCTCTCGGCAACCAGAGCGTCGTCACCCCGTCGGGATTCTCATTGCCGGCCATCATGGACAGGGGCGCCTCCGGCGTCGAGGCGCTGGGCGGGTAAGGAATCCCGTGCGTTGGCGAGACCGAGAAGAAGAGCGGAGATGCTAGAGCGGAGTGAGCGGGTGTGCTTTGGTCGTCGCCCGGGGCCAGCGGCGGCGGCAGGGAGAGTGACAGGTCACCGGGAGCAACCAGCCGGGGCTTCTTGGTGGGCGACTCCTGCGAATCTAGCGGCCGTGCCACGCTCTTGTCCTCCGTCCCCGTCACCGAGTGCCTCTTATTGCCAGCGGGTCCTGTCCCTGCTGGCGGCGGTGTTGAGGCTTCGGGGATCGGCGGCGGCGGCGGCGGCGGTGCCCCCGGTGCAGGCCACGCCCGGGCTCCGGATGCGAGCGGGCCGGATCCAGACACTTCGAGGGCTAGCAGTGAGGATTCTCCCAGATCATACCGGCTCGTATCATCAGGCATCCGCGTCCACCCGTCGGCGTATCGTTGTTCACGCTCGTTTGCCGGATCAGCGCCGCTGTTGCTACTGTTGCTGCTGCTGCTGCTGCTGTTATTGTTGTTGTGCGTGGGATGTTCCGCGCTGCTGTACAATGGGCCAGGCGAAACAGAGCGGAAGCCGGCCTGGTGGGGGGAGCATTCGGGTTGCGAGCCCAGAGCAGCAGCCGCTTGCCGAGGGGAGATACAGGGCTCGGTTTGGTCCTCCAGTCTCATGCCCGGACACGATGGAGCGTAACGGGCGCTTTCCCAAGCCCAACCGGGGGGTGCAGCGAAGGCACCTTACTTATCCCAGAACCAGAACTATTGCACTGCTACCGTGTCACAGTTCGCCACACCGAATAACCCGAATACCTGGGAGAGCACGGAGAGCTGCGACGGCAAACTTGCAAAAACATACGACCACCCGTTATCAGCAGGGAGCAAGGACTCGAGCAGCGCGCAAGACGGATCGAGCAGTCCAGCAGTCGCGCCCCATTGACGAGAGAAACGGATACGGATAGAAGAGATCTATGAGGATTCAGGGATTCCAGGGACGCACGCAACCGGTCGAAGTCGGCGAGCCTGGGCGGGCCTATGATGAGGTGTCACCATATATGACAGTGCTCCTGCCGCGAGGCGTGACCGGAGGGTAGAGGAATGCAATCAATGGACTCAATGCACAGGCGGAGACCTGCCGCTGAGCACGAGGTGGAAGCTTTTCGAAGGCGGGAAGTGGGCAGTCTAACCTAGCTTGGCGTTGTGCGAAATGGTATCGGTCAAATCACTCATTTCACTGCGATGACTCTGCACCTCCTTCGCTGGCCCGGACGAAACAGTCCTTCCAACCACAGACCAGGCAGGGGCTGGTAATTCCCGTCCTGCTGCATGTTCTGTACCGCAGTACGGTGTAGTGCGTACGTTACAGGTCAGGTAATCCTCTCATGCCGTCACCTCCACGTATACTTAGGTAGTAATAACTCACGTCCTCGGTGCCAGTGCCGAATGGAAGGCGCCGGCCACAAAACGAATTCGCGTGGGAAGGAGCGCAAGAGACAGGGGTCGAAGGCCGATGGAGGTCTGGAGCTTGCGGTAGTGGGGCCTTTTGCGACTTGCGACCCCTGCAGTTCGAGAATATCAGACCACCCACCGCGCCGCAAGGTGCTTAAGAAGCGTCTGTGTTCTCGATCGCACCAAAGACATCACGGTAATTACCTGCGTGTTGATTCTCATCTCCGATTCCTCCCAGTTTTCGAGATCTCTCGGAGGCCATTTTGGTGTCTGGCTTCGGTTTCGGCCGTCTTGACCAATTTCCATTTGTGTGGATCTCGGTGGCTCCCGGGAGGAGGAGGCTGGAGCAGCACACATCCACATGCGAAAGAATTTGTCTGGAGGTCTGGGGAAAGCAAAAGTGGTGTGCGACGGCGGCGCACAGTCTCGCGGTCTGGAACGGCCGGTTTTCTCACCGTTGAACTCCGACGACGACGAAAAGAATCTTGCACCACCACCGGACCAATCAGCGAGCGCCGAGTCCACTGACACCTCACAGCAATCCCATGAGCTGCGAGGCGGCAATCCGCAATTCCCATGAGCTGCATACACTACTAATACGCTACTGTGATGTACAATACGAATATTGGGGCATACCGTGCAGTCGATTACTCAGGGAGGCATCTGAAAGCAAGAGAATCGACAACAACAACGACGAAGGGGTCAATCCTCAACAATGCCCGGCGAAAGCTATGGAGGTTTGGAGGCGGCGCAACGGCGTGCCTAGTGTGAGCTAGTGTAGCTAGTGTAGGTAATCCCGCAACGGTCTCGGCAGAAATCAATAACGGGGTTGAACTGTCGACTGACTCGACTTGTCCTTGGGATTCGCTGCTCCATCCCGCTCTGCGATCGGCTCGTCTCGATCGGTGAGATCGTGTCCTTCCCCTCGCAGATCGGAGTTTCCACGCACTCGGTTCAGCTCTCCACTGTCCACTGTGGCACGTCATCTGAGCCTTTCCTCGGTTAAATAAATTCGGTAAGTCACACACCTGGAGACATGGTGCGCCACTCCAGGTGTTTTGGGCAGCCATAACCAGACTTCGTCGGTGTCGTGGTTTTAATGGGTTAGTTATGTGTAACGCAGCAGCGCGGCGCGCAGTCTGGAACTGGGAGACGCTTGAAGCGTTGGAATCCAGGGCCGATCGCCGAAAAGATCTCCCGCGCGAACGCGCCCGCTCCCCAGTCACCAGGGACCCCCACCGAAAACCCAACCGCGAACCAAATTGATGAGATGAGAGTTCATCACACTGGATGGGCGGCCTTCTCCTTATCTCTGCTCCTTCGGTCTTCTTTTTCCCCCTTCTTATTTTCTCGGGAAGTGCACGCCCGTACTCAAGTGGTCCAGTCGCGGTCACGTTACTCTGAGAGGTCGGAGGCGCCATATTGCATGGATTATCTTATGTACTGTGACAGTATTCCGTACACATATAGTTGGGGTAAAGACAAGAAGCAGGAACTGGCCCAGCCAACGCCCTATGAAACCACAGCATGGTGTCTTCCGTCCGACGACCTCCGGGACTGTACAAAATGGCCACTGGGTCGCTGGCGACGTTATGCAGTCGGGCTGGCACTGCGTAGAGCGTCTGCCGGCCCGGCGATACTTGCCCCGCCTCAGGCGCATCGCTCCGGGATTGGACGAGGCCGGCGCTTACACGCTGCCAACCGGACCAGTACGGCGCTCTCATTGGGCGACGAGCTGTGATCAACCTTCCGCCTGCATCTTCAGGCCGCTCGGGATGGGCTGCTTTGCCAGTCGCGGGCGGCAGCATGGGAGCACAGGAAGTGCTTGCAGCTAGCTCTTTAATCGAGGCTGACCCCCTCCCTCGCTGTTCCGGCGTTGCGACCCGGACAACAACTGGAGAGGAACATCGCGATCATTGCTGTCGCCAACGACGGAGGGTCGAGATAGTAGGATCTCTTGACCGGGATCTCGATGTGAGCCGCGTCTCCGCAGCAGCAGCCTCCCGGCACTTCACCGCGGACCCTTGACGGCCATCCGAGCGGCGCGCAGATACCAGGCACAGAAGTTAAATTAAGACCCGGCAGAAAGCGAGCAGAGAGAGAGAGAGAGAGAGAGAGAGAGCGAGCGCGAGCGCGAGAGCGACACCGAATAACACATTTACGCGACGGCCGTAATGGGTTCCTACAGAATTCTGCGTCGGCCATGGAGGGCTAAGAAACCGCTGTACTGGGGCATGGTTCCCGAACTGGCTGGCACTATCGCGTGTCTCGTCCTCTTCGCCGTCCAGCGACCGGATGCCTTCCGGACCATGTTCTGGCGCATCGGCTTCGAGAACGGCCTCAACTCCAACCCAAACATGATCATCTACGCCTATGCGAATTTCAGACCATTGCCGAAAATCCCGTTCGTCTGGTCACAGACGTAAGTGTCACTACCTTACCTGGCCAACCTGGCGCTTGGCAGTATCACTGACTGACCCCGGGGCAGACTGACTGACTTCAATGTCGCCATCTCTATCGTATCTCTCTTCATCCTTCTGGCCAAGATGATCGCCACTATCATGAAGGTCTTCTACCCGATCTTCGGCGTCATCATCGGTCTCTCCATGACGGCCCTCTACGCCACAAGCGTTGGCGGGCAGGCCGGCCCCGACTACGCCGACGCCCGCTACCCGAGCCCGGTCCCCTGGTACATCCGAATGAGCTGCGATATTGCAAGGCCCTACGGTGCGGCCAAGAGCTGTTACTTGGCCAAGGGCGCGTTTGCCGTGACCGTGTTTATGATGTAAGCCGGCTGCTGTCCTACTCTCTCTTTCCCCGGTACTTGAGTAGCTCGGGTGCTAACCGAGCCATAGGACCGTATACGTGTGCCAATCCGCCTTCGCCATCTGGGCAATGCTCCCCAACAAGGAGCTCGACATGGAGGATGATTCGGATGACGATGACTATGGGCCCAGCCAAAAGGGCAAGGACAAGGGCGTGGCGGTATCCGTCGAGTTGCAGCCGACCCCGCCGAGTCAGCAGATGCCGTTTACGCCCCGGACGCAGGCATTCCATACTTTGGACAGGAAACTGCCGCTTCGCTACAGCTGAGGCGGCCGTAGGCTGTTGTGTACGAGCATATTTTCTTTTTCTTTTTTGAGGGAGCGTTCACAGAGCTGTGTTGTGCCGCTGCTCTGCTGGTCGGGGCAGAACCTCGTCGCCCTGGGAGCAACATGGAGTTAAGGCTGCTGGAATATCCACAATGCCCAGATGGGCTGTAATAGCTGGACCTCCTCGCTCATCTCCAAGGGTCATTAACTAGTTAATTTGGTGGGCGCCTACCAGCTTTGGGTTCACTCGTTCTCAGCCACGAGGAGTCGGGGGTTAGAATGACATGACCAGATGATGACCTATTTCATTCAGTGTACTTGATACACTCAACACAGAACACAGCTACCCAACCGAGCCTTTCCGTCCTTCCCGATCATTGCATTTAACATACAACATTGACTGTCAAGAACAAAAACACTACACCATTCATCTATCATTCATCATCAGCCATCAACAACATGAGAGTATAATACCTGAGCCGAAAACCCTTCTGCTTTCACTCTCTCACCTCCCAGTCCTTCAACTCAGTCACCACCCTATTCCGTTAATACCACCATCTCCTCCTTGCCTTCCCGCTACCCTCCGACGGATGAACCTCCAGAAGTGCGGCACTCGAATCGGGCACGGTAACCTTCACCACCCCTCCGTCCCCGACCGCAACCCTCTCTCCAACCTGCGCCGTCATATTCCCCAACCTCACCGGCCTTCCACGGTCCAGGTCATAGTTGGAGCTCCACCCGTCGTAGGCGATGCCCCGTGATGGCGCCGCTGCCGTTGGCCATGAGCCGCTTCACGTTGAGGACCGTCCCCGCGGCGGAATTGGGTTTGCAGCGGACGATTGTGACAGGATGGCCTCATACTGGGTGACGTGGGCGTCGACGGAGCGTTTGGTAACTCATGGTTCATGAGCGTCCCCCTGGAGGGTCACCACCGGAGAGGTTGCACCGCTTATGTAGCTGGGACGGTCAGTGTACTGCTGGTATCTACTAGTACTTAGAAGGAGGCAGAAATGGCGAGAGCACTTATGAGTGGAGGATGGTTTGATGCTTTTGTTCTCGGTCAAGCCCGCTGCCCATGCTGCAGGGGCTTTCAGGTGGTTGCCGACACCGGCATGGGACGGCGCCATGTAGCCGTAGACGTTATCGAAAGCAAGCTCGGGGCAATGCTTCTCAAGGAGGGATCTGATCGTCATAGTGCCATTCTGCTATTGCGAGACAGTAGGTGGCTTCGTTCCAGTCCGACGATCTTACGAGTCCTTGGGCAGATGACGGGAAACAGATCTGGCTCGTTCCCGTGTTCCCAAACAAAGAGCTTCTGGTGTCCCCGAGTGACTTGCAGGCCAAAGGAACAGTATCTAGGAGGGTCTGCCGCCCGCTGGACCGATTTGCACCGAGACCGCGGTTGGAGCCGTGGCAGAACTTCACGTCTTTCCGGGTGTTGTAGGACTCAAAGTAGGACGGCCCAATGGTTATGGTTGTTGGTTAGTCGGGAGACCGTGCCGGGTCAACGGTGCCGTTGAGGGCGCAAGGAAGCGAGGCATCATAGAGAGCATAGGTACTAGTAGTCCTGGGTGTTGCCGCCAACGCGAATGTAAGGCTTGGTACTAATGGTACGTCCAATGTTCTCCAAGAGGGTGTCCGAGTAGGTGTCCGGGTGCGACTTGTTCCCTGAGAGCGTCAAGCCAAGCTCAGGGGTAGTAATTAAAGTAGTGCTTTGGGTGCTATGCCTGCAAAGTCCGGGAAGCTCGAGAACCCGATGGTGTAGCTCACATAGCCATCCAAAACATCATTCTGTTGCACTGTGCTTGGCACCAGATACTCGGATCTGACTCTTGTGAGCCAAAAAGCGGATTCCAATGTTCTGGAACCTGGGACGCTATTATGCACGGTAGTATACGTACGGCTTACCCTATGACTGTCCGACAATATTCCGTCCGGGTTGTGCTCGATTCAGCCAGAATGCCAGTCATCAAGGAATTCGACGGCCTGGCGTTCCGTCGTGCTGGGAACATGCCGTCGAAGTCATGCGGTAGGAAATGGGCGATCAAAGAACTTTCCACTAACTCTCAAGAAAAGGGTTATCAGAGCCATTGCTGTCGAGGGTACCTTGAGTTTGAGTGGGCTGGCGCCACGGCGGTCCGGCGCTTGGGGACCCCGCTGCCGTTCCCGACCTCGATGCTAGGCGTCTCCACCATTGGTAGCCGCCAGAACGTCTGATTATCAGACAATGCGAACCGCGGTTCGACGGCAAGTCGAAGCCGGAACAACGACGTCATCCGAACGTAGAGGCACTAAGTAGCGAGCGACAGGACAGCAACAGCTTCCCAACCATCTTGTTCAGTTGATCTCAATTGACTCAATTTCATCCCGCCCAATAAATTCACAGTGATACAAATAACGTGAGTGTCAACAAACAGTCAATTGCACCAGGTTGAAGCCGACGACTGTCCGATCTAAGACGGCTCTTGGCATCCCCGTCGTACCGCCGTGCCTCGGGCCTCCGCACTTCCATGCGGAGTTACCTCCTTATTGCACGCAATCCATTGCCAGGTCCCGTCGTTCTGCACCCCTCGGGATGGCTTTCGTACACAGAGCTCTGTTTTCCGCCTCACGGGCAGCCGCAGCAAAGTCTCAATTTCGGCGGTCAGCGCTGCCAGTCATCGTAGCCAACCCTTTCTCGCGCCTCTCATCCACCATGACTCCCAGGGTACCGCATGCTCGCCGCATTCTCTTGTCATACATGTCGGAATTCTGGTGGCTGACACTCCAGCCAGCTCAAGGACCCATCCCTGTTTAAGCAGGATGTATGTTATGTCAATGGGGAGTGGGTGAAGGCCAAGTCTGGCAAGACATTCGAAGTGCACGGTAAGTCACTCCTTCCGGGTTCGGCCGGATTCGATGCCCTCCGCTCACACCCGACGACAGACCCAGCCACGGGCCAGCTCATCGGCACCTGCCCCGAGTTTGACGCCCAAGACACACAGAAAGCCATTCAAGCAGCTGAAGGGGCGTTCGAAGAGTTCCGTCACCGGACAGGGCGCGAGCGCTCCAAGCTGCTCCGAAAATGGTACGACCTGATGGTCGAAAACGCCGACGACCTGGCAACCCTAATCACCTGGGAGAACGGCAAGCCGACGGCGGACGCCAAGGGTGAGGTGACGTACGCGGCCAACTTCTTTGAATGGTTCAGCGAGGAAGCCCCACGCATCTATGGCGACACAATCCCCTCGTCCGTCCCGGGGAACCGCGTGTTCACCGTCAAGGAGCCCGTCGGCGTCTGCGGGCTCATCACGCCTTGGAACTTCCCGGCCGCCATGATCACCCGCAAGGTCGGACCGGCCCTTGCCGTCGGCTGCACCGTCGTGGTCAAGGCGCCCGGCGAGACGCCCTACACTCCGCTCGCCCTCGCAGAGCTCGCCCACCGCGCCGGCATCCCCAAGGGCGTGGTTAACGTCATCACCGCGGCCCAAAACACCGCCGAGGTGGGCCAGGAGCTCACCACGAACCCGACAGTCCGCAAGATCTCCTTCACCGGCTCGACGCCCGTCGGCAAGCTGCTCATGAAGCAGTGCTCCGGCACGCTCAAGAAACTCTCGCTCGAGCTGGGCGGGAACGCTCCCTTTATCGTATTCGACGACGCCGACGTCGACCTGGCGGTCGCGGGGGCGGTCGCGTCCAAGTTCCGGTCGTCGGGCCAGACGTGCGTGTGCGCCAACCGCATCTTCGTGCAGCGCGGCATCTACGACGAGTTCGCCGCCAAGTTCGCCGCCAAAGTGCGCGAGTTCAAGGTCGGCAACGGCTTCGACCAGGGCGTCACCCACGGCCCGCTCATCCACGCCCGCGCCATCGACAAGGTCGAACAGCACGTGCGCGATGCCGAGCAGAAGGGCGCCAGGGTGGTCCTGGGCGGGCACAAGCTGCCCGATCTGGGGCCCAACTTCTTCCAGCCGACCGTGCTGACCGGCATGACGACCGACATGGCCATGGCGGCGGAGGAGACGTTTGGGCCCGTGGCCGGGCTGTTTCCGTTCGACACCGAGGAGGAAGTAGTGCGGATCGCGAACTCCACTCCGGTCGGGCTGGCCGGCTACTTCTTCTCGAGGGACCTGCACCGCGTGTATCGCGTGGCGGAGCACCTGGAGGTGGGCATGGTGGGCGTGAATACGGGGCTGATCTCGGACCCGGCGGCGCCGTTCGGCGGCGTAAAGGAGAGCGGATTTGGCAGGGAAGGGTCGTTGTATGGCATCGGGGAGTACCAGGTCACGAAGATGATCACGTACGGTGGGATGGGGAAGCCACTGCAAAAATGAGCATGAGGTAGGATGGACGATGTGATATCGCGACGGGAATGAGCGATTGGGTCTGTAAATATACCTTACCTGAGTGTTGTTGGCTCGAAATGGAAGATTATATCAAGGTGACATCTCTATATACAGAGTACCTACCTGTATTTTACTTGGCATTACCTCCCCTTGTAAACATTTAAAATCGTCACAGCTCATTCCAAGTGTTAGGTACGCTTGCGCGGGTTGTCGGCTACAAGTGACATGAGCCAAGACCTTAGGGGTTGGTGAGGTTGGAAGACTGAGCTTAGGACGGCCAGACAGCGCATGCGTGAATCCTCAGCTCTTTTCGAGACCGATCCATCGCATCCTTTGCACGCTGTGAGGTACGAGTGTCTAGCTAAGGCTTGCTGTGGGCGAACTCAACACGCGAGAGGTATATTTATTAGCTATTAGAGAGTTTGCTTGGGTGGGCCTCCCCCCAATTCTCGCCTAGGGTGGCGATAATGAGGATCAGAACACCCTTCGATGATTCCTTTCACCAGCCCCCGTCCCTCTACCATACCTCCATTTTTTTGCTGTTTTATCTTTATTTCACCCCCCGATTCGCACCGCCCTTCTCAGTCCCAAAGCCAACCTAAACGACTGTGCCTTCTCTTTTCTGAGTTGAGGATAGGCAGGGTATACTTTGGGTATCAAAACACTGAAACAAGAACATCATGTACCTCGCGAGATAATCTCGAGTAGCGCAGAGGGAAAAGCAGAAACAGAACCAAGCGATAGCAACAGCGCGATAGCAGAAGCGTGCACGTGCCACGCTGAATATTGATGTCGCCGCGCAAGCCAAAAGCCGAGGGTATCAGAGAACCAATCTTGACAGGGTATCTCGAAATGCAGATCCGATCCCGACCAAACCCGAGGGTGAAGCTAAAAAGGGGGCTGTGGTGCCTCTCATGGTGGCGCGCGTTGATGGGCGATTTCGCTCTAATTATTTTCGTGGTAGTTCATCTCCCGTCCGATCCGATAGCTCATGATCATGATATGCCGGAACCTAAAACGGTCAAAGCGCGTCGCTATTTAAGCGGCAGCAGTCACAGCCGGGGTGGCCTCCAGGGGCTTGGCCGGAGTCTCCTCCTCGGCGGCAGCCGGAGCAGCGGTGGTGGCCTCGGCCTCGGCAGGCTTCGCAGCCTCCTCGGCAGACTCAGTGGCCTTGACCTCTGTCTCGGTCGCTGGGACGGCGGGGACTGCGGGCGTCTCCTCGGTCTTCTCCTCGGCCTTCTCAGGCTTCTCAGCCTTGCCCTTGCCCTGAGAACCTGTTAGTCATACGTCCTTTCCTACTTGGATCAACAGAGTTGCTTGTGCATACCTTGATAGTGGCGCGGAGCTTGGAGAAAGCGGACGGCGACCTCGGCTTCTCAGCCTCTTCATCAGAGGTGGAGCCCTCCTTCTTTTTGCCGAAGGCGAAAGGCAGTGAGCTCTTGCGCTTCTCAGTCTTCACCTCCTTCTTGGCCTCGCCATTGGTGGCAGGAGTAGCCTCAACGGTCTCGGTGGGAACGGTAGCAGGGGAAGCCACCTCGGCGGAAAGAGGCTCGGTGGTTTCGACGGCGGGAATCACCGGAGCGGTCTCAGCGACAGCCTCAGTGGTGGCGGGAGTCTCCTCCTTGGGAGAGGGCTCGGTAGGAGCCGCGACCTTCTTCTTGCCGAAAGACAGGCCACCAAAGATGCTACAGGTTTTTGTTAGCAACACATCTATTGGTGGACCGTTGGTGATCAGTCTTACCTGGTGCGCTTGATGTGGGCCGGGCGGGCCTCAGTCACCTCCTTCTTCTCTTCCTCCTTCTTTGGCTCCTCGGCCTTCTCCTCAGGCTTAGCCTCAGCCGCAGCTTCGGTGGCAACAGGAGCGGCCTCAGCGGCGGGCTCGGGTGCAGTCTCAGCGGCGGTCTCGGTGGCAGGAGCAGCAGGCGCCTCGACAACCGCGGTTTCAGCCTCGGCGGGCTTGGCCTCAGTGGGCTCGGCAGCCTTCTTCTCTTCCTTCTTACCGAGCAGGTTGCCGAAGATGGAGGTGCGCTTACGGCTAGCAGAGCGGCGCTTAGGCTGCTCCTTCTCCGTCTTCTCCTCCTCCTTCTTGGCTTCTTCCTTGGCGGGCTCGGTGGCCGCAGTCTCGGTGGCAGTAGCAGCCTCCTCAGTGGCGGGAGTGGCCTCAGTAGCGGTCTCAGTAGCGGGCTCAGCAATATGAGCCTTCTCCTCCTTCTTGACTGGAGCGGGCTTCAGGCTCTCGAGGGTCTTCTTGTAGGTCTCAGATTCGGTGACTGTGGCAGCAAGCTCCTTGGCCTCGGCAATCTTAGCCTTCAGTTGAGCGACCCAGTTGTCACGCTCAGCGGCGCTGGAAGCCTTGAAAGTGTGCTTGTGGCCCTTGGCGGTGAAGTGGAACTTGTTAGAGCCCTCGACAGTAGGCTCTGAAGCCTCGGCCTGACGATGCATTAGCTCCAGATCTTAACAACCCTTCGAGTCGTCCAACTTACCAGGTGGATGGCGCCGTGGGGTGCAGCCTTGTCCCCCTTTTCGCTGTAGAAGAGAAGACCCTTACCAGTCTCGGCAGCCCACGAAGTCACATGGTGGGCAACCTCGGTGACCTTGTCCGCCTTGAACGAGCTGATGGACTTAAGGTCAACGGGCTCAGAGCCGAACCAGAAGAGCTGCTTGGTGTAGAGGAAGTTCCTCGGGAGGCGTTAGAGCTAATTACCCAAGATCGACAGGATGGGACATACTTGGGGAAGTTGGCACCCTGGCCCTTGTGCTCAAGGTGGCCTTCCTCGACCGGCTTCACCTCTTCCTTCTTGGCTTCCTCGGCCGGAGCGGCAGCTGTCTCCGTAGCGGCGGCGGCCTCAGCCTCAGCTGCAGGTGTGGCCTCGACGACCGGGGCAGAGACAGCGGCCTCGGTAGTCTCAACGGCAGTAGTCTCGACGGGCTTCGTCTCGGCGACCGGCTCGGTGACGGCAGTCTCCTGGGGCACCTCGGCAGGCTTCTGTGTGTCGGCCATTGTGGAAAATTTGGGTTGCTTTGTCGCAGGGTATCTCAAGAGGAAAAAAAAAGAAAATGGGGTATCGGGTATCACTGAGAGGAGAGAGCAAGAAAAATCAGGAGCCTTGATCGATGTTCAATTATCGCGGCGTGTCCTGCACTGGTTCTTGGGGTATCGCAGAGAAATCTCGGTGAGGAGATGTGCGGGTGCGAGAGAGAAAGAGGGAGAGGGAAATGGAAGGCGCCGCCTCGTGACGAGCTTGGGGGTACTTATTTCGGCACGCCACGGTTTTGTTCTGTGTGAGGGAAGGGGGCATAGAAAACGGCAGCGACCCGACACCCTTTCGGGCAGGTTCTGCTTCTTGCATCTGGGCCCTGATTGGCGAATGGTCTAGTACACAATACGAAACGGAAGCCTCTACGGCAGCCAGTAGCTGACGGAATCTCTATGACCATGGAAAAGCGCTGGCGCCGGTGCCCCCGCGACAAAGGGGTTGCGCAACAGTTCGCCAATCGCTCGCCCAATGAGCCAAGGTCGAGTTGCTGGAGAAAACGAAATTGCTGCAGACCGTTTTCGACAAGGATGCAGCTTCCCCTGCACGCGCTCTTGCTGCAGCTCGCGGTCCACAACGGCTGCAGCTCGATGGCCAGTGCGACTCTGGGGTCCTTGTCAGCCCACTTCAGCAGAAGTTTACCTGGCCTGCAAGTACCGGCATCCTCGCTGCCGCTCAAGCAGCGCTCTGCAAGCACAACACGACGAAATCCACTGGTTCCGCCGGTGATCTAGAGGTGCCAAAGGTGGACTTTGGCTTTCTGCCCCTGAGGCAGGCCTGTCCTGGCTTCCTGCCGATCAGAGTTTTCAGGGTTGCACTAGGTACGTATGGACGAAGGTCCGTTTCCTGACCGCACTCTTCGACCTGGTTGCTCTCCGTCAAAGCTCGATTCCATGTCACTCATCGGGCAACCCAGGGGCCGTCTACATATATCTGGCGCATATCCGACAGCCAGTTCGCATACGATTTGGTACGAAAGGCTTTCGCAGGCTTCTCAATTCAAAGATCACTCCTACGAGGTGTACTCCTATCTTGCCTACACAACCCGCAGAATAGGCGAGGTCTTTACTCCGTAATGCACGTTCTTGCTCATCGACTCAACCATTACCGGAATCCACAGCTCCACCTCTTAAAATTTGGCTCTCGACGTTTTCTGGATGCAATCAATAGAGGATCCACCGATTTGCGCCGACCCTTTGATGCCCTGACCCACCCGACATTCGGAGGCAAGCCCGACCCATGTGGTAGCCACAAACACTCCGGTTGTGCAACAATGCGCGAGGCAACGAGCCTCAGCAAGCTTCCCGGTGAGGACGAGGAGTTCAGAATCATTCAAGAATTACAGTTCCTTCCCTCAATCCGAGAGTCCAGCTGAGCTGCACGTTCCTGCGTCAGGCGCAAGTACGGCAAGGTCGAGCAGGACTTGAAACCAAGGGTTTAGACACGAATAGGGGGTGCGAGACGCTACGTTATTGGTCTGCATGGGTCAGATCATCGGCAGAACATTGGCTCCACTTACGTTATCGCACCTCCCCGCCGTCGACGAATTCAATGTGTTCAAATCCGCTGGCCGACTGCCAGAGCCTTGATGAACAAGATTGCCTGGTGTAGATTGTTCGACGGAAATCGACTCGAGTCAACAAGTTGAGGCAATCTCCTGTAATGTGGTAGGCTTCGAGTGAGGAGGCCAGTCTCTGATGCCTTTATGCTACCTTAATGAACCGATGGGTTGATTGACAAACGAGCAGTGGAGCTTGAAACAGCCCTACAATGTTGCATTGGCTTGTCGAGCTGTGTCAGCGACATTGGCCTTGGAGCCTGACACCGCTCTCGTTTCGTCAGTCAGCATCTCAACATTGTCTTGCACTGCTATTTGGAAGAACTAGGTACGTACAAATTCCCATAAGGTAGTAGTGCACTGTACAACTCGTCTTTAGCCCTGTTATTGTTACTAGAGTAGTAGTGTATCAAACCCTGCCGAGGTTTTGCGGCCTCACAGTTGCAGTCCCCGAGGCCCTCGTGCCACCCAAACTCGAGTCTTTAAGGGGCGCTTGCCTTGGGCTACGGTGGAAGTTGATAACTAGCGAATTCATCATGTATTTCCAAAGCCCGCAGTCTCACAACTTCGCAAGTCATTGCGTCGTCCGTTTTATTATGATGAGCTCGTTGGTAACACAGTGACCTTTGTTGACTCAAACCCCATACTGTCAGCAACCTTCACCGCCCACTCCACGTACTATCTCTCAGGCTTCAATGTACAATAAGTGATCCAGTGCAGAGTGACTTCAAATGAGGGTTAGAGTCCTGGCGTAACTTCAAAGCATTCCCCGTGTCATCAGTCCCTCATCCTGTGCATTCATAGATGTGTAAGGTATTGACAATGAGATCCTGACCCGTGTCTTTTGTGTGGATGTACTACACAGTATACGTAAGTCGGCTTTGCACCATCTGTCAGTATTTCTTCGTTCTGGAAAATGGTACTGTGTCCTCCCTTATTCTCACGCATGCTTCCACCGAAGCACCTGTTCACTGTGCATGGAGTGAGCTGACAAAAACAAGCAAACATCACCAATTCTTGTGATGGCCTCCAGGAAAAGATTCGCGATGTCTCGGGGCCAGCAACGCTACGCTTCTTATGGCTAGCGTCTCAGATGCTTCAAATTCCAGATCTACGACATTTTCACTTGTGACTGGTGGGGCCGTAGTGTACGGACGACAGCCAAGGATATCCCTCCGCTCATTCATTGACCCCGCCTACAGGTGACCTGACCATGACGGTATCGTGGCCCAGGCTCTCAGCCAGGAAATCCTTATTCTACCAAATGGCGACATCAAGGGTCGTGGTGAAGTCTTTGTTCAGCAGAAGAGCAAATCGCATCATCCTTCAAATACGCTCTGATCCAACAGCTCACATGCCTCTCACTCCCCCTCAGCACAGACCGTGTACCCCCCTTTTCGAGTGGTAGCTGCCGATCCTCTCCGAGGTATGGACATCTCATCCTCCTCCACGACCCGACATGACTGCATAAACCTTCTCATATTCCTTGGCTGCGCAGGGCATTCGACCAATTACTCCCGAGGTACAGACTTTGCAGTGTGAGTGCAGTGTGGGGAGGCACCCTCCTCTCACGGCCACCTGACCCCGATTCATGCACGTTGCTGCACGACTGCAAGATAACACATTTTTCCAATACGGCATGTGCTCACGACGCACCAGTTTTTAGGTATTACTCCTCCTGGCAGTCTGTTCGCCCTCTTCTCCAGATAGTTACGGGTAGAGCTCAAGGCACCGATCAAGGATCGTGCTATAGCCGACACATTTGCTCATTGGTTGGGTCACTGCTGGATCGCCCTAAAGCCTCAATCCCCCTTTGACCCTCCTATCTTTCACTCGTCTCGCGCATGTTCGATGTCGGTCGCGTGCTTGCTGCGGGCTGCGCAACTGTTCCATCGGTCCTTCACTCGCTAGTATCGCTTCTGCCGGGTAGGGAAGGCAGAACGAAGCACGGGGAAAATCTACAGATCGAGAGCTTGAGCTTCGACGCAGCAGGCACATGCCGCACGGTTCTCCTATGCTCAGCAATGGTTCTGTTATGGTATCGCTTTGAACATTCTCTATCTCATCTGGAAGCCAGTGCTCGAAGTTTATATATTAGGAGGGAAAGGTGACTCTCGTTCTCGGATTCATTTTCTCATTCCCTTCCGTTTATATTTTCGTGGTCTTTATCTGGAGGAAGACACTTTTCCCTACTTGTTTGCCTCAGATGGTTGCGGTCTCGTCTCTTCTCCTCTTACACCCCGAAACTGCCATTTTCCGTCCCCCTGTTTCTGTCGCAACGGGTGTATTGTTTGTTTCGATGCCGATTCAGGGGTAACATCAAAAATGTCAACACCATTCTCCAAACTCGCCCGGGGATTTCTCGACTTGCTTTATCAGTGAATGAACTGGCTGGGCTCAGCCGCACGTTATTCATATCACTCTTTACCCTCTTCGCGCCTCATAACTGAGGGTTTGAACGGCCCTCTTGTTGTTTCGCTCACAGCGTGCCCCTTACTGTTGTCATAGTCTAGTACTCAGGAGTATCTCTTCGTTTTTGTTTCTACAACCATGGCATACCTCAGCATCAGTTCCTTCAAGCTGTCTTTGAACCACAGTTGTCACATGGCATTGGTTACTACAGAGATCAAACTTCAGGCGCTTCGCCATGCTGTCCGGTTCTACGCGGATTCACGGTGCCTACGGTGGTCTTCGATTTGTGATCCCCCTCGTCAAATCGGACGCTCAGGGTTATGCCACCGTCAGTCACATCTCGGAACCATGACTGTGCATGCTCCGAGGCTGCACGGGTGTGGATATCTAAGTCAGCTCTGTCCTGTGGTGAGCCAAGAGAGACTAAGCAACGCAATGAACCTGCGGAGTCTTTGGAGTGCGCAGGCGTGCGGGTTTTACGGCCGGCTTGAAATACATTGGACTGACCGTTCACAAGACCCCCTTCTCCTGCGGCATGCTTTGTTGTGTGGTGCTGTCATCTAGTTATTTGCATTGGACTGCCCTGTCTCCGATGTCGATGTGCGCCAGTGACGATGCTAACACCGGCAGCAGATCCAGTCGCCCAGGTCCATGGTTCTCCTACAGCATGTCCAACCGTTGGAGTGCATCTTGGGAGCTACGTACAATACATCACTTAAGAGACACTTACAACCCAGGACCGACATGTAAACTCACGTGAATCTTTCCCATGGCTCGGGATACATCACTGAGGCCGTACGTTCAACGGGCAGGCCGCGTCACCACCACCGGGCGGGATGATGCTAGAGTATGGCACAGGGCCATGCGTGAGCTGTCAGAACCTTGAAATCACCACAGGCGCGGGCGCATAATAGGATGAATGGGCCACCAAGCTATTGCTCATGAACACTCCTATTGTTCTGCAAGCTCAATAGAGTGTTCAATGGGGGCCCGGCCAACTTTGACCGCTCGAACATTTTCCAGCCCCCGAGTTCCGACCCAGGAAAGATATTTATTCTCTTCCCTCCTCCCAGACTTCTTCACCTCACAACTTTTCTCCCATCAACTTTCTCTCCATCACTTTCTTTCGTGGTCATCTTCCGCTTCACCACTCTTGTGACCATTCATCACTTAAGTTCCCTAGCAACGTCAGGCTGGCCTGTCGTGAACCGGAGCTTCCCCAGCAGCCAAACCTTCCCTACCATCGATCCCCGAGGCCTGTTCCCCGTTGACAGGCAGCGACTCGAGGTGTAACAAGCCCAAGGCTCTCAGCAGACACAACAACAAGTAGACATCGGTGAGTCTCCTGTTCTGTTTCTCGCTTTCCGCCGATATCAACAATTCCAAGCCCATATCAAGCTCATACTGCGTTGTTGTTCCTTCTACGGCCGCTCTCGGATTCCGGGGTACAAGTGCCCTGAGTTTTCTTCTTTTCGTTCCTTCGGCCCCGGGCGGGTTTGGTAGGATTGCGCCTTCCTGTTCGGATCTGGGAAGACCTTTACCCCACAGATTCCGGATGATCTCATGCGCAGTTCTGTTTCTTGTCCTCGTTTCCGAGATCACGGATTCCTACTCCCACTCAACCCAGCGCACATCCAAGATGTCTCGCAGAAAGAAAGATAACTCCCAGGCCAAGAATGCTGACTCGGATCCAGCCTCACCGCTTGGGGAACGACAGCCCCTTCATTTTCAGTCCCAGCAGCCCAACCCCCGGAGGGCCAAGAAGACTGTTGCTAAGCAGCGCCATCAGGGGCAGGACAAGACCAGCGGCATCCGCGTGGTCAAGCTTACCGCTGGATCCGACGAGGACCTCAATAATACCAAAGCACAGACCTCGCAGAAAAGACCGCAAAGGCACCAACGCAGGATGGCTCGAAACGGTCGCCACACGAACGGGCCCTCCCAAAACCCGGGACCTCGTCGCCAAACCCAGTTGGAGCTGCCCGACTGGGTCCCCCCGAAGAATCAGGCAAAGAATTTCAGACGGAAGAATCGTAGCAATGGAGCAGCCAAAAATGAACAAGCTCCTCCGCCGAAGCCCTGGGAGATGGATGACATCTTCGTGAGTGAACGTCCAGAAGGCACTGCCTTCGTATACCTAGTGATGCTAACCCCTCAAAGCCGGAGCCCGTTGGCAATCCTTGCACGTTTGAATACGACCGCACCTGGCGTTCACTTGAGAAGGTCGACGGCGGCGCCAAGGAAACGATTCAAAAGTATCTGACTCGAGGTCGCCGTCAGCAGCTACCTCGTATATTCCCAGACTCCAACTTGTCTGAGGATTCCGAGGAAATGAGGAAGGTTCAGCAGAAGTACTGGAAGGCAGGCCAGCCCGAGCTGCTTAAGATCAGACGCGGCAATGTGAATGCCCCTGGTGCGAAGCTGTTCATCGCCGTAAGTCAACCAACATTCACGGTCCCATCGCCGCCGACTACAACGGGCTAACACTGTCCCCAGTCGTCTATCGTCGATGATAGCCTCGCGGAATTTGCGAGGCTGGAAGCCGAACGCGGCATCAAGGAAGATGAGAATGCGTTCTTCAAGGTCATGCGGGTAGCAGAGCTTCGGCGCATGATCATTGATCTCCTCCTTCCCAGCATTGGCGACATCACAGCGCTGGCGGCAACTTGCAAAGGCGCCGCTATCCAGATGCGGAATGCCTTTGATTATTGGGACTTCAACGCACCCCTCCCTGAGATTGAGAGCAACGATGGAAAGCCTGGCGCTGAAGAGAAGAAACGGAAGCAGGAGCGGGCTGCCATCGACCGCCTTGTCCAAGCGAAGACCGTCTCCGATGTCCCTCTAGTCATCAGCCCGATTTCAAGCGAGCTTCGCGATCCGGAGAATCCGTATGCCTTCGAATTCAGGAGCCTGAGGTGGATCTTTTGCGCCATTACGGAAATCCCGTCGAGCGTCCGGACTGTCATCGTTGACCAGATTCCGTTTTTCAACGTCCGCCTTTTCGAAATGATGGTCAACTCCATGCCAAACTTGGAGACCGTCATCATCACCCGATGCCCCTTGCTCGACGTCACCAAGCTCAAACCATTGCTGGACGTTGTTGAGCGCCATCCCCGTGCTGGACCCGCCAATGCGCCTAAGTACATCCGGCTCGACTTCTCACCGTTCTTCTTCGAGGGACCCAACTCTTGCAACCGCCTAGGCTCCTACGGCGTTACGTGGCATGAGCCCACCTTCAACATCCCGAAGGCCGTCTTCGCGCTCATCCTGCGTTGCTGGGATCTTGCCCGGAAGGTCGGGATGGACTTGCTCAGCGAGAGCTCCTCGTTCTGGAGCTTCGTGCGCCGGCTGCCCGGCCCCGACGTGCTATGGGCGGTGAAGGCACGGGAAGCCCTCATCACGCGCGAACACGAGCTCGCTGCACACAAGAAGAGCGAGAATACCATCAAGGCCAACTTCGCCCACGATCTCGCGGCTGCCCTGGTTGGGGATAACCACCCCCACCCACAGCGTCCGTCCCGAATGGCGGCACGCCTGCCTGGCCGCGGCAGGACATACTGGCTGGATTACATCGAGTGCGGCATGTGCAAGCTCATCTACCCAGCCGGGGTCTTTCCTCTGCGGAATGATGGCTGCTGGGGCTGCAAGATGGCCCGATTCGTCGAGACTATGGAAGATAGCCATATGCGGTTCTGGCAGGATGGCGTTACGACCTGCTGGCTATGGGGCTTTACGCCAGCGTCATCCACTCTCGAGCAACTCCTATTCAGCAGCAAACCGTCGAACGTGGCCCAAGCCGAGACGCAGGTGTGGTCGATGGACTGGACGTGGAAGTACTGGCTCAAATATTTCAAACCCATGACCGTCGGTGGCTGGCCGGACGAGCCATTCTGTCCCCCGCTGCCGAACGTGACGAAGTACGAGGCCGCTGCGTTGTCGCGATGGCGGTTCAAGAAACACCCGGTTCCTGGACCCTTCGACTGGCGCAAAGGCGGCCCACAGCACGAGCATCCATGCAAGGTGCCGCTGTCTGGTTCGAACCTCGAGGAGGGGTTCGGCTCTGAGAGCAAGGCAAACTTCGCGCGGCATTGGCAATGGACTAGCCGGACGGACAAGTTGTTCACCGAGAATTGGCTTGCGAAGAATGGTCCTGCGAAGAACCGTTCTGCCCGTCAGCGGGAGCAGGACCTCCGAAAGGCCTTGGAGAAAGCCAGGACAACGGAGAGCATGAAGGCGGCCTATCTCAGCGCGGAGTGGCACGAGCGAAACGAAGCGGACAAGCAGGTTCATCGCTGGACCCAACCCCGGGTCGAGGACTGCATTTACTCTCTCGGGACTCCGGACAAGAGACCCTTCAACCTTGACAAGCCTGCCCTGGATCCGGTCCGGGACAGGGAGGAGTATAAGAAGGCTATGGAGGCAGAGATGTTCCGGTCGGGCCCGTACACCTTCGCCAGCGCAGTGAACACCAGCTGGTGATCCCTGCCACGCTTCATCGTCAGACCCGGGGGTTCGTCCTTCATCGCGGGCAAAACAATGTGGCTGGTTCATCAGCTCGTCGGCCTCGGCACTTGCTTTGGACCGGTACGCTCATTCAGATGACAACTCCCAACTACCGGAACAGATCGATATTTTCCCTTTGGTTGGTCTCTTCTCGACTTTTACTTTCGATGGATCACATCCTGCAAAATGACTTGGGGATAAGTCAGCATCCGTCTTGCATCGACGCTCACTCCCCACTGCGCATCGTTTGGCGCCTTCTCCTCCCCCAAGAGAAGAAAACCGGCAGTGAGGGCGGAGTGCAGTGCACATGCAATCACGGAGGAAGATCCGGCAACAATTTCCTAGCATTTTCCGATCTAACTTTCTTTTCTGGGGTTTCTTACGGAGCGGCAATGGGCACTATTATCAGCCCACGCAAGTCCAGCTTGGTCACATTCCTCGCTATTCTAGGACAGGCGTCGCAGGCACGATTTTATTTCATCACGGAGCGCGGAATGAATGGCATGGCATGGCATTGGCAACGGCACGGCGTTGGAATCTTGAGATTGGGCAAACATGGTGGAAGATGGAACCTAACTAGGCCTTGAAGAGACAGGCTGCTTGGTTTGATGAGAAAAGGATGGATGAACGAACGAATTGCCTCGGAGGGTTTGCCACAAGGGTTGCCCAAGTTTGCTTGCCACCGCTCACAGCATACTGAACTTAGACTTTTTCTCTCATTTCGCATTAAGCTTTTCCTTTTAATTTCGTCATAGGCAATTCGTTTTCTTAAGTCACGATATGATTCCTCTGCTGTGGCTAATCTGTAATAAGAATGTGATGGTCTCAACTGAGACTCCGAGAGATCACTTGTGACTGATGCCTACCGATTGCTTGGTGGCTTGGCGTGGCAAGGTAAGCTCATATGCGTAAGGTACCTCTGGCTGAGGCGACCGGAGGCTGGCTATCTTTCACTCCAAAGAGTGCCCCCAAGAGTCCGTGGTCAGAGTTGAGACGAGTACACGCCTTGGTGTAAGGGACGGTACCCGCGTACTCATATGCTGTCGTCCTCCAAGAGTGTTTGAGAGCCGTCATGGCTGGTCTCACCGTCTTTCACTCCGTACGACCGTGCGTTGTCTAGGAGCAGACCCACGCCTTCATGCGGAGACACCGTTTTCCATATACAAGCCCTCGGTACGAAAGCGAACTAGGGTTGCCAATGCATCTTCCGATCTAGTTTATTGGAAGAATCTACCAGATTGCTAATGCAGGTCCGGGGGGAGGGGGTATCAAATGTTGTGTATGGAGAAAGCCCGAAAACCCATTCATCTGCATGTCGATTTCCCGGGGGAGCCTGTAATCAAGCCGAGACACTGGTCATTTGCTGCGACTGTTATACAGCCCAAACCACGGCGCGTACGTAAGGTAGCATGTGAGATCATTGCTTCTCCGAGTCCGCCACGATCCTGTTGATGAACTCGGCTACGGCCTCGAAGTAGCCCTCCTCCAGAACACTGGAGTTGTGATCGCCCCCTGGGAGGGGCTTCCAAACTTTGAGAGGGGCCTTGGACAGGTCGTAAAGGCGCTTCATGTGGATTGGACTTTTAAATGATAGGTAACGTCAGCAGCCGACTCCAGTAGGATCCGTCAAGAGAAGTGGGAAGGGCCAACCTACGGGACTATCTCGTCTTGGAGCCCACTCAGAAATAGCGTCGGCACCTTGATGCTCGGTATCAGGGTGTCGCTCGGCCAGACCTGGTGGCATAGGAAGGAGAGGTATTTCGCGGGAGGCATGACACTGGGAATCAGCTTGCGCATGCTGAGGAAGGTGTTCTCGAGGATGAGGCCGGCGATGTCTCCCTTCCCCTGATTCTTGGCGACCAGGCGTATACCCACGGCGCCGCCCAGACTCTGTCCGTAGACCACGATCTTGTGGTCGCGCGTCTCGGCGCGGTCACGGAGGTAGTCGATCGCCGTCTGGGCGTCGATATTCAGGCCGGATTCGTCGGGCTGGCCTGTCGAGAGGCCGTATCCCCGGTATTCGACCATGAAGACGTTGCAGCCCGCGGCCGCGATCAACATCCGCACCAGACCCAAGCGATGCCCGCAATTTCCGGCGTTGCCATGCCCTGTTTTGTGTGTCGTTGGACCGTCCATTAGCCAACTGTTGTCTGTGACCAGTATCCGGACAGTGCAGCTTGTGTGGCTTACAGAAAAGCACCGTCACCTTCGAGTTCTTGCTACCGCGGGGACCACGGATGTAGAAGGCCGACAGCTTCTCGCCATCCTTGGTCGGAATGATGAGCTCCTCATAGTCCTTGAAGCCATACTGACTCGGGCGCGGGACGTCGGTTCGCGAATTCGCTGGTATGTGGGACGGATAGATCAAGGCCCTGCGCGAATGTAGTTAGGAAACGTGGTACGGGAATGTCTGGTCGGCGGGAGGGGGGAACTGTTTACTTCTGCTTGAAGTACAGCAGGGCCGTCAAGAGTACAGCGACACCCTAGGATAGCCAAGAGAAGCGGTCAGCGGGCTGCAATGCGGCTGCGACCCCGAGGCTGGGGGAGCTTCGGGCAATCTGCAACTGGAACTTGCCCCCTGAGCCAGTCGGCGTGGTTGGCGGCGCAGCCATTCAGGCACCGGGCTGGACGAGCAGAGGTGTCGGGGCATACAGTAGATACTATCGCTGGCACGCGCATGTAGCCAGCGATGCTGCTCATCAGCGAGACAGTCTGGTCCAGGAATGGGTTGCTGGCTGACGGCGACGTCGACATGGCGAACAGCAGAGGTCTAGGTCGAAAAAGGGCGGTAACACGGGACGTATCCGGAGATGGATGAAGTCCCACTGTGCACAATAGCCGGCGGAGTGGAGGAGCCAAGCAGATGCACTGCAGGCAGCCAGGGGTGCAGCCGACAGGAAGATCGATGTGCCGGAGAGCAGTTGTGCGTGGTGTCACTATTTTTGATGAGTCTCGACACTTCCAAGATTTGATTGCGAGATTGCGAAGTCCCCGAGTGCTTGGGCGGGTCCTCAGGTTGCTCTAGCGAACACTTGGGAACACATGCAACTAGGGACCTACATAGTAGGTACTACTTCGTACCATACCGTCGTCCATGGTTGATTGCAAATTTGGGAAGTTCGATTTTTACGTACTACTATGCTGTACTGAGAGTTGGGGAACTGGTGTTGAATCAGTAACAGCAAGCATCGTAGCCCATTCGGCCAGCCTAGGGCTGGCCATTTACTGTGTATGTATTCCGTACTTTGCCCGGCCCGATCGCGATCGACAAGCCGAATCGGTCAGCTGCGAGACCTGTTATTATTGTGACCTTCGAAATATCATGGACTGCAGTGACAGACCGTCGATGCTCAGATAACGTTACAGGGAATCCCGACGGGCTAAGGAAAGACGCCAACGGTTCCTCATGCGGTAATGGCTCAATGCGGCTGGCCCTCTGCTTCATCGCGGCAAGTTGGGAGACCGGAAGACTCCCAAGACTGGAATTCATCAGTAGTCGCGCGCGATGGAGACTGTCTGCATTGGATAGCGCTGCAGCTCATGCAATCCGCTGAGGATGCGGACCCCATCACACTGGCTTCCCGCCGGGCCATCAATGCACACAGGACGAGAGTTGGAACATTGGCCAGTCAGCTGGAAGCTGATGCGCAAGCTCTGAAACAAGGAGACGGGGGAGGAGAGTTGCACCCCTAGTGGCGTGCCCCAAAGAGAGCTAGGAACCAGCGAATAGCGTTGCGGCAAACCTTGTTGCAGGAGAGGACAGCCGCTGCCGAAACGCTCTAGAAGCTCCAGGAGAAGGTGATTCGTCTCGCGACTGCATTGTCTGCCCAGCGCCTCGGTTGGGGCCAAAGACATTCAGTCGCGCATTAATGAACCTAACCTTTGTCGCGGAGGTCAATTGACTCTCCAAGCAAGTCTCTTGATCAGATCGCTTTAAAAACGTCGGGTAGTCGCAATAAGATCCGAGTCTTGAAGCGACGACGGCCGGATGCTGGCATTCTGTTTTAAAATAGGCACGCGCTCGTTTGTCTTCTGGCCAATCAGAGACGCGCTTCACCCGATTTTCGTGTCAATGAAGCTCTCGGTGGTTGCTGAGCCGCTTTCCCCACCTTTTGCCCAATGCGTGACCTGTCACTGGCTGTCCGTCAGCCCCGGCCAACTTGTTTGATGCACATACCGGGGCGACGGGACTCTCCGCATGTCATCCCGTTCTGTGGGATCCACGCCCCGCCATGGGATGGAGGGGCTGCGCGTGAACGATGCAGGCCCGGCAACTGGCGAACTCTTCTGGTGGGGTTCGAGACGCATCGGAGCCCAAAAACACATCGCAGATCTCCAGCTTCAACTTTTCCATGGCCGCACGGCAACAATCCTGTCAGTCACCAAGCCCTCCTTACGTCGACCACCTGACACGACGAGCTGCCGGGATCAGATCTGCAGTCAAAAAAGCTAGCGGGTCCTTTTACTACTGTGTACGTAACGTTAGCTCCCCGCCGTTGCTGGCACGTTGTCTGCTCGTCAGCTCCGAAGCTCATTCGTGCCCAAAGGCGCAGCCAGCCCACTTGCGCCAGCGGCTTTTCCAACCTACCTAGTCGCTCAGTCGCTCTCCAACCGCGATATTCTGGGTCCTGCTTAAGCTCCGTGCCGCCCAACCCACCCGTACCTGACAGAAAAGCGCTGCTTAAGTCTTGTCGCTTTGGCTCTGGGACTATTACGCCGCGCTCTCTTTGAGGTCGGGCGAAGGCGCAATCCAGTCAGAAAGTCAGGAGCTGGGTGAGGCTACTCTTGGCAGCCATTGTTGACAAGCCGCCTCATTTGTTGCATATAGCGCGCCAATTGAGGTGGGACGAACTGCGAGTTTGGACGGGGTCTGGACGAACTAGGCCGACCATGGTTTCCTTCTCATGTGTAAGTCAGGTCCTTGATCTCAATTATGCCGTCCAAAGGAGACTTGCTTTCTTTGGTATGGTCGACGACACTCCGGCATTCTATCAGAGACATTCTCATTCTTGGGAGACTCGCGTCTCTCAATTCCAATACTCCCGTGTCACCCTCCCTCGACTGGGTCTGGTTTCGGCAACCCCCCATGACCCCGGAGGATTAATCCAAACTGACATCACACCTCACACACCCACCGCACACCACTCCCCACGGGACACAGCCAACAGGCCGCACCCGACACACCACCCCTCGTTCCCGCGCACACCCTCCCCCTTCTGATGAAGCTGAAGCTTCCCTGCTTTCAGTCTCCCGTCACTCTCCCGTCACTTCTCCCTGTTTCCTCCCTATTGTCACGAGAACACCACTTTGCCTTATTATCTATCTGGGTCACCCCACATGACGGCTTGGGCTTTGAGAGGCCGGCACTATCTGACACCGTTTTCGCATTTTCATATAGGAGGCGTGCGGCGACGTCTTAACCAAAAAGAAGCTTGACCCGCATCGGAATCGCTGTCGCGGTGCCACTTTCACCTGCATCGATTGCATGGTGACATTTCCCGGCATAGAATACCGCTGGCATACGGTGTGTAGCATAGATAAGCCGCTAATCATCTTGAGGGCTGGCCATGCTGACCGCATCCAGAGTTGCATGACTGAGGACCAAAAGTACCAAGGCGCCCTCTACCGCGACAAGAAGAGTAACACCAAACCAGCGCCGGCCGCCACTAGTAGCAGCCACCCGGTGCCGAACGCTATGGTTCAGGCAGCTTATGTCGAGGACGTCGCGGAGGATCAAAACTCCTGGCGCGATTATGAGCAACGAAGCGATGACGACGATCGGTCCCCCGTCGACCTTCTTCCAGAGGCTCCTACCCCTCCCTCAGCCGTCGATGCCGAGGGAAATGTCAATGTGTTTGACTTCCTCGTCGCGAATCCAACACCAACCGCTTCCCAGGTTAACCTACCAGCCACTGCGCCGATCCAGCTGAGCGAGGACACACAGCTGGTACGCTTCGATCCAGAGGCGAACGGCATGGGCGATTCCCTTGGAGACGACTGTGCGATGGTTCAATACGGCAATGGCCCAGTGCCAGCTCACTTCGATACGCCGGCGCCGAAGGCGGCAAGGAAAAAGGCGAAGGACGGGGATAAGGAAACCAAAAAGGGCAAGAAGCGGAAGGGGTTACACATCGAGACAGATCATATCATGACCGATGCGCCGCCGGTGCTACACTCCGGGTTGACGGGTGGTATTGACCGGTTGATGTCTCGACACACAGTCTTTCCGCCGTCGCCCGATTACTCCGGCGTGGACGTAGCGGAGACACCAGCCAGCCCCCTCAAGAAGACTAAGTCGAAGCACCCCAAATCCAGCCGACCGGCCGAGGCAATCAGCAACAGCCTGATGGCTATGATCTCGGCAGGCTCCAAGCCCAAGCCCTCCTCCAAAAAGCGCACCAAGACGAAGCCGAGCTCAAGTCCATCGAAACCCAAAAAGAAGCACAGCACCAAGTCCCTCGAAGCTCCCAAGGAACCAAAACTGCTCGAGTTCAGACCGGAATCCAAGGACGGCAAGGGGGAGAATGGCACGCTGGTGGTGTACAAGCCTCGGGCAGAGCACTTCCTCAGCTTTGTCAACAAAGGTCCCGAGAGTGCGCGCGGATGCAGTCTCAACAAGGCCCTCAAGCGATATCATCGCGAGAGGAGTGCCTCTGGGACGGCCTTGAACAAGCTGACGGAGGAGAAAGAGTTGTTCAGGTCGCTGCGTATGAAGAGGAATGAACGTGGTGAGATTGTACTCTTTTGTATCGATGATTGAGTGGCACGGTGGGAAGGGTACTGGCAGGCATCATGGGAAGGAGCATCTCATCAGCGAAGGCGGGTAGCGGTGGATACATCGGCGGTAACTAATGATGTGGCATGTGGCATATTCTTCTATTCTTTCTCTTTTTCTCATGATACCTTTGTCGTCTCTGGGCCCTGGGCATATGCGGGCACAAGGTTTTTTGGTTGGTTCCGGTTTCTTGTTTCCGATGTCGAGATGCAAAGTCGCAGACCCATCTTGATCTTTTTATTCTGCCGTGTCATAGTCTTATTCTCAGCAGGAACTTCTTCGATTTCGCTTCTTTGCCTCGCCGCTTCTTCCACCCTTGGGCTGAAGCAGCGAGGGTAGTTTACTTTGGGTGGGTTTTGTTTGTCATCAGGCAACTGGACCGGGATGATGACCGGGTGCTAGCCTGTTGGCACTCCTAGCAGCACTGTCTTGGGTCTCTTTAGTTCCTGGTAACCTGGGGGTTGGCTGCTCTTGGTTTACTGTTCTTTCTTTTCTGTCGTTTGTCGTATTACCCTGTACAATTAAAGGGTTGCCTGTAGGCGGAAATTCTGGTATAGCCGGGTGCTTGTCCAATCTTAATCTTGTTCTTTCGTCGCGCATGAGGGTCCGTCGTCTGCCTTAAATCGGCGGCTGTTTTGTAAACATTTAAGGTAAGGTAGTATAGGCTTGATGATACCCGTTGACACAAGCAGCTATTTTAGTCTCTGAAGTGCTCGATTCATTACTCATGCCCCTGTGTGGACCAAACCACACTGGCCCCTCGCTCGACCCTTGAGTACACAATACTCTCTTGGGCTTTCTACGCGACGCGCAACGGCAAGATATGCTGCACCATCGCCTCCCGTCTACATAACGGACACTCGGGCTTCTCCTTTACCCAATCTCCTATACACGCCCAGCAGAAAACATGCCCACACTGCGTCGCCGCAGGATCCTTCAGCTCCTCCAGACACAGCGTGCACTTCCTCTGCTGAGCCCCCTTAATCCACCCCATGATCTTCTCACCGGACCCCAGATCATACCTCGGCCTGCCCCCTTTCGGCACAGGCGTGTGTGTCGCGGCTGCAATCTCCGCCAGCCCTCTCTGCGAGCTCGACCCGGCGCCCGCCCCTTGCAATCCAAGCAGCTCGTTATTACTCGTATACGCGTTCTCGCTGAGACTGACATCAACAAACGCCGCCGCGCTGGGCCTAAAACCAGCCTCCCTTTCCCTGAACAACGACCCATCCTCTTCCTCTTCCCCAGGCACTACATAGCTACCCGCAGTAAGCTGCTCCCGAACATGCAGATACGCCCGCACAGCCATCTGCACAACGAGCAGGACCCCGAGCACCTCATACCCTCCCCTCCCGCCCTGGTTCTCCTCCACCCGCTTGGTGAAGACATAGCGCAGCCCAAACACCCGCTTCGAGAGCGAGTAGTATGCGCCCGTGAAGTAGAACACGGCCAGCGTCACGGCGTGGAAGTGCGCGCCGCTGGTGAGCGGCGTCAGGTGGGCTAGCAGATAGCGCAGCACGCGGTACTCGGTGCTGGGCCGGCCCGACTTGTCGCGCTTCTCGTCGCGGCCCTGGCGCGTCAGGGCCGCTAGCCGGGATTGGAGCCGCTTGCGTAGCGTGGAGCGCAGGCGCGGGAGGAGGAGCGAGGCCAGGTAGGGCAGCAGGGTCGATGATAGGATGGAGCCGAAACGCCGCGGGAGGGAGGGTAATACCGGGCCATCTGAGGAGGAGGAGGTCTGTGGGAATGAGGTTGGTGGTTGTTGCTGTTGTTGCTGTTTGTCTGTGCTGTTGCTGCTGTGAGGTGGTGCTTCGACCTGCACGAGGTCACAATACTCTTCGCCGAGGGTGCGGTTGCCGAGGAGCGTGGTCAGGCAGAGGTAAAGGGCGTCGGCGAAGGTGCGGGTTTCGGTGGCCCAGGCATGGGCGGAGCGGGCGCCGCGCAAGCGGCGGTGGAGGTCGCTGAGCTGGTTGCTGAGCACGCCTTGGAAGTAGGCGTCCTTTTGGTTCGCGCGGATGATGTCGGGCGCGGCGGCGAAAGGATACGGCGACGACGTGAGCGGCGGTGGCGGGCGCGACTGCGGGGGCTGTGAAGAGGCCATGATGTTGCCTGAGAATATTGTTGTGGCTTGTCTGTCAGTCACATATCAGTAGTCAAAGCAAGGCGGGAATTCCACCTCGTCGGGTTGTTTGTTGAGTTAGTGTTGCGACCAGCGCAGCACAAACTCGAGGTTCGGCCCGTGAGTGGACTCGGCATGCAGCTGCGCTGAACCTCGGGTCATCGAGGTGCAGGGGTCCACTGATGGTTTGTTCTTTTTGGCAGGGGTGACCGGCGCCAAGCTTTCTTGGGGGCTGACGTCGTTCCCGGCCAATTCCCCAAGCTTGGAATCTTTTATTTGTTACGGATACAGGGGGATGGAAACGCACGAGAACACGACTCCAATGCGTCGCATCCTTTCCCAACTCCAGCACTGCGCGCAATCGCCTTAACACCGCCTGGGACCTACGGTCGCTAGTCTTCGATGACGCCACTAACCACGGCCGCAGCACACAGGCACGATGGATGGCGGTGACCCTGCAGTCGAGCCCAAGCTCGACTCGTTCAGTCTAGCATTTCCTCTGCCCTACCGAGTCGCCTTCATCGTGATTCTGGGTGCGTCTCAAATCCCAGGACAGACCTAACTTAGCAAGCGATGCCCTTCTGACACTCAGCAGCCGTCTGGGGATGGGGTGCCAACCTCCACTTCCTCTACCTCCGGCGCATCGACGTGCCCTCCTTGATCCGCTACCCGAGCCGGTCCAACTCGTCGCAACCCACCCACCACCACTCGACCTACCGGCTCGCGTCTTTCCTCTCCATTGCCTCCTCCCTCTCGATTCTCACCTTCTGGCTCTTCACACGCCGCGACCCGCGCCGGGTGATCGACTATGACTGGCTGCCCATGACCAACCTTCTCGTGCTGGCCGTGCTTTTCGCCGTGCCCCTCCACCGCCTCCCCGTCTCCTACACGGGCCGCAGTCGCCTGCTCCGGACGCTGCGGCGCGTCAGCGTGGGCGGGCTCGCCGAGGCCAAGGACGGCAAGTTCGGCGACATCCTGCTAGCCGACGTGCTGACCAGCTACGCCAAGATCTTGGCCGACCTCTTCGTCTGCATCTGCATGTTCTTCTTCGAGGGCCGCGACGGGTCTGCTACTGCCAGACCCGACCGCGCCTGCGGAGGTGCCGTGCTCGTGCCCCTGATCATGGCGCTGCCGAGCGCCATCCGCCTGCGCCAGTGTCTGATCGAGTTTGTGCGCGTGCGCCGCGCGCCGTACAGGGAGGCCACCGGCTGGGGCGGGCAGCACCTGGCCAACGCGGCCAAGTACTCGACGGCGTTCCCCGTCATTGTGCTAGGGGCGATGCTGAGAAATCGCAAGGACGGGTCGTCGGGCTTATACGGCGCCTGGGTCGCGGCTTGCCTGCTCAACTCTCTCTACAGTTTCTACTGGGACGTGACCAAGGATTGGGACCTGACGCTCCTGACAAGGGAGCGGGACTCGCCCGAGCATCCGTTCGGCCTGCGGAGGGTGCTGCTGGTGCATAAGCCGGGCGTGTACTATGTCGTCATCGCGCTGGATCTGGTGCTGCGGTGCACGTGGATGATCAAGCTGAGTCCAACGGGGGACCGCATCAGCGATTTCGAGAGCTCCATCTTTCTGATCCAGTTCTTGGAGGTGTTCAGGCGCTGGGTATGGATTTTCTTCCGCGTCGAGACCGAGTGGGTCCGGAATTCGTCGAGCCTCGGGCTGGATGAGATGGTTCTGTTGAGTGATTATCAGGGGAACAAATACGAGGACGAGGACTAGGAATGGGTCGACGTTCAGCGTGACGTTGGAGTGCTAGAGCGGTTCGGCAGTTGCATGCATCTAGATATAGGGGTTTGTGGCGTGGGGTGGCTTGTCCGTGGGTATTGGGAGCGGGCGTTAGACAGGGCGTCGGCAGAGGTATGGAAAGTCAGTCCCCTAATAGCTCTGAACCTGTAGACTAATAGGTTCGGCCCTATAGAACATCCAAACATATCATCCACTCCACATCCCATGCGCTGATGTTCCTGGCGAAAGGTCACAGATCTGCCGATCAGCGCAGCTGCCAACGATACTAGGGCGGCTTGCAGTCGCAAAAGTCAGAAGCTATCGAATCTTCCGCTCGCCTACCATATCGGACAAAGCTCTGCTCCGAACCAACAGTGTGGCTGCCGGGGGCGCTTTTATCGCTGCCAATGCGGACAAAGGAACACGTTCCCGCATGTGAGACCCCCTTTTGGAAATGCTCGAGTAACCATAAAGGGAGGAATCGGTCCGGAAGATTCTTCGAAGATTCGTCTTTGTCTTCGTCCCGTCACCAAAGCGGCCACGTTTAGCAACGTGGCTGGACGGTCCCGAAAATGCCACAACGCTCTCGCCGACGTCCCCTGGCAGCCGTTCCCTCGAAACTCCGCGTCTAGAACCACCCGAGGACGAGCTTGACGAACAGCAGACACTTACCGTTCCGTCGATGCGTCGGCAAATATGGTTCTACCACAGAGCGCCGATGTCTCCAGCTCGACGCTGGCACTTTCTAGGACGGGATCGCCGTCGCTCCAACCTCTGTCCCCTCCCCCTCCCAGGGAAGTCGAGAAGTACGAAAAGAGAGCACTCCCGCCAGTGCCGCTCAAGAGAGACTCAATCGTGTCCAACTTCAGCAAGGAGGTTGATGAGGCTCTGGCCACGCCCGACCCAGTGGACACCCCTGAGGGTAGTATCGTCCCTTTCATTTACTGCCCACCTCTGTCTCCCAGGGCTGCGCCAGAAGATGGAGACGCTGAGTTTGTCGAAGACATAGACTATCCCACGGACAGCAAGCCGGGAAGAGGTGATCTGAAGCTCGCAACGGGTGATCTCTCTGGCGCAGCGACGGCCAGTGTCATTTCCCCAAAGGTCGCCAAAATATTGGGGGTGGGGAACCCCCGGAAGAATACGCCGTCAGGGCACGAGTCCCCCGAAAAGGTGAAGAGACTTGTAGGCTTTGAGCTTGCGTGCGAGGGTGGCAAGGCGCAGCATAAGCAGCACCGCTCGGAGCAGTACGGACAGCTTCACGGCGAGGTCTCTCCCCTGAGCAACGCTAGCAGCCCCTACGAGCACGACGGTCCCAGGACCGCTGTCTCCGACGTAGACGCCGAGGCGGAGGTCGGCGGCAGACAGTTCTCCTCGGCGCCGAGTCCGAGCGATCTTTCCAACCCTGAAAGGCTTCATCGACACAGTACAGGGTCATCCCCCTTCCCCAGTCCTTTGCGCATCGTGAAGCCTGTGAGGCCCAGCCGTAGTCCGCATAGGAAGGGGACGGAGACCCCCGGGGCCTGCTTCCAGGGCGACATGGACTCAGGTGCCTGGTCCGGCCGGCCTACGCCTAGCGACAGGCCTAATTCTGATCTGTACCACGAAGCGGCGAAGCAGCTGGCCATGGAGGATGCTCTAGCAGCGCAGCGCGCAAAGCAGAACGCCGCCAGGCAACTCACCATCCAGCAGCTCCTACAAGAGGACAGGGAAAGCAGCGCCGGCGGCTACCACAGATCCAGATCCACGCCCACACAGCTGCCTGCTCTCCCGCATCAGTATCAGCCGTCTCTTGCTGACACCCGGCCGTCACGGAGCACCGAAAGACTGCAACCCATCTGGCGGCCGCCCAACGCCCAGCAAGATTGTCCTCGCGCCGTAAGCGCCAGCACCTTCGGCCGACTCACTCCCCGCTTCCACGTCCAAGAACGCTCTGCCTTGCCCTACCTATCCCCCGAGCCCGGACCGCGCAGCGTGTTCGAATTCGACTCGGACGATCACGGCGCTGGCACCGTCGGCACTCCTGAAACAGGCGGGTCCATCCCCCTCTCCATTCCATCGAGCGGCGGCGACTGCCCCAACTCAGCCTCCCGCCCCCGGCACACCAGCTCCTCCATGATGGCCAAGGTCTTCCGCCGCATCTCGGCCAGTCCAACCACGCCGACCCCGCCCGTGCCGAACAACACCCCGCTGGAAGCATCATTCCCGCGTTCCTCTTGCCGCCCACATTATAGGACAGATACCTTTCCATCCATTCCCACCATGTACTCCCACTCCTCTTTCTCAACCAACAACAACATCATCAACAACAAGAAAATAAAAGCCAAACCCTCCATGTCCGCCCTGGCGTCCGCCGCCGCAGCAAAGACCAACGACATCGTCAGCGCAGCCGCCGAGTTTATCGCCAACAAGAGCAGTATGAGCATGGGCATGGGCGTCGGTGGTAAGGAGAGGCAGCGGCAGAGGCTGAAGAGCAGTATCCGGGTACTGCCGGACGGGAGGCAGGTTATGGCGCCGGGTTCTTTCGCTTCAGCTTCTTGTTCCTCTTCTTCTTTTCCCGGTCCTGATACTGGTACTGCCCTCGTCAATGCTCCTCCTCCTCCTCCGGGTTCGGGTAGGAGTCGTGGTGGCGGTGGCGGTGGTGATGGTGGTGATGGCGTCCGAGGCAGAATGGGTTCCGTGCCTGCTCCTTCTGCGGCGCCTGTGATGAGTCCGGACTTTGACTATGCCGGCATGCATGCTGCTGGCAGGGAAATGTCGCCCGGCAGACCTGGGCTTGGATACAGCCAGACGGCGGGGGGGTCGAATGTGGACTTGGGCTACATTCCAATGGGGAGGGAGAGCCCCAGCCTGAGAACTGGGAGTGGGAGTGGGAATGGTGGTGAGAAGAGTGCGAGGAGCAGTCCCGTGCCTGACCGGGGGAGGGGCTGAGGGGGTGAGGGGCTGAGGGGGTGAGGGTGGGTGCATCGACTCCGAGGCTGGGGGCGCCGAGTCCCCGTGGTAGTTAGTTGCCTTAGTCCCCGGCCGAGGAGGAAGGACCGTCTGCTGAAAGGGATGGGGATTATGGAAAGGGGACATCAGGAGCCAGGCGTTGGGTTGGGTTTGGTGTAAGCGGGTAATATGAAGGAAGTGCGTGGTGAGTGAGAGAGTGAGCGGGTTTGAATGAGAGTGGATGAGAGAGTGAGGGTGAGAATGAGAGACCCGTGACGGCAGTGACATGGGTTGTAAGTAAATGAGTGAGAATGCGTGGGTGAGAAACTCATCGCGGAGTATTACCGTACGGGTCGTCCCGTTTCCTATCTCTCGACTAGACCTGTTCCTATACTAGATATTCGAGGCTTCTCTGACCTGAACGCTCACCGAACGCAGCCTGCTATGTTGGTACTTCCGGTCTATGAATCCGTCTGACTGACGGGCTCGTTGGAACAAGACGGTAAAATTACACATTGTTGCTGTCAGAACGGTAATACCCACCTCGCCCGGCTGGTGGGGCAACCAGCCTCTCAATTTCGCCGGGTTTGGGGATCGGATTTTCTCGAGAAAGGCAGCACAAGCGGTCGCCACCTCCCACCTCCCCTCCTTCTCTCGTGCCAATCGACCCGGTTTCATCGCAACCATCGCTTTGCTTACTGTCGCATTCCATCAGGCTTCTATTGCACTGTTGAAACTGCCTGTTTTCGACGATCTTGGCGTCTTTCCACGACGGCACGAGTTGATGTAGCCTCGAGACGACGTGCGCTCACTTCGTTAGCTTCCAGAGCTCCACGCGCCATTGCCCAAACAACCGCAACACGCGTTATCTGTTTACCTCCACAACCCGCCGCCTCATTGCCACCGCCCCGCCGGTCGCGTCGCTACGCGGACGATTGCATCCCTTAGCTCCTGCACATTGCTGTATCATTATACGACTTTGCAATTAATTTGCTCTCGTCGCGACCGTCGCCGACATGTTCTGGTCGGGGACACTACTCAGTGCCACCGGCCCCTTGGCCAAGGCATGGCTCTCGGCCAACCAGGAGCGGAAGATCACCAAAGTTCAGGTTCTGCAACACAATCTGCAGGACAGTGTCGACGCCATCATTGCTCCTCATGACGCTCCCCTCGCTCTCCGCCTGAGCGGCCAACTCCTCCTCGGAGTGGTCCGCATCTACAGCCGCAAGGCGCGTTACCTCCTCGATGACTGCAACGAGGCCCTAATCAAGATCAAGATGGTATGTTCCTCTACTTTCCAATTTCCGTGAACTGGCCTACTAACAGTAAAAAAAGGCATTCCGATCCACGGGAAACCATGATATACCGACTACGGGACATGCTACCACCAAGGAGGCCCTCATGCTTCCCGATACGATCACGCCATACGATAATCTTGACTTGCTGCCACCACCAAGCTCCGAATTCCTCGCTTCACAACTAGAAGACGTGACCGCCACTCCGATAAGCAGTCGGAAGGCTGCTCTTCGGCCGAACAACCGCGATATCAACCTTCAGGAGGATTTCAACAACAGCCAATTTCTCCAGGATACCACCGTGGATGATGAGGAGCTCGGCCTTGCAAACATGGACGACCTCGACTTGGAGCTTGACTTTGGTATGGACATCGATGATCGCCCGACCAAGCTTATGGACACGACTGTGGAAATGGGCAGAGATGCGCCTGCTGCGAGGTCGATCGAGGATGACATGTTCAGCGAGCTGGACGTTGGCGGACCGAACAAGTCTCGCCAGGCGCGTGAGCCCTCCTTGGGGCTCGATCTTGATTTCGGGGACGGGGTCCACATTGCTGATGCCGAAGGGGATATCCAAATGGGCGACGACGATTTGCAGTTCAATGTTGGGGAGGAGTCTGCCATGCCTGGAGCAGCTGGCCCGGATATGAGCCGGGCTCGCATCTCCGAGTCCCCGCTGTCTGATATTGATGAGGAATTTGCGAAGGAGGTCGAACTGGAGTACAGCCGGCACATGAACACCGACATGTACGAGCCGGGCGACGATCCGACAGCCTCCACTATCCAGGCGCCCCAGAGACAGAAGAAGAAGAAGCTGCTCCAACCGGACGATCAGACCATGCTTAGCAACGCGCAGATTAAAGAGCAGCAGGCAAAGCGCGACAACATTCTGAAGCCACAGTCCTTCCTTACGCATGATCCATATATTATCGGTTTGATGGATCTGCACAAGAATGGCGGTTTCGTCAACAACATCCTGTTCGAGGGCCGCAGCGACGGCTGGGCCCCCGAGCTGAAGGGGCTTCTCTCACTCGGCGCCATCCAGCCCAGCCAGCTGAAGCGGAAGAGGGACAGCGGTGTTGCCGACGTGGAGAGCGAAGAGGAGCAGGGCGTGTCCAAGTCACCCCGCTTGGAGATCCCACAAGATGAGTCCATACTTGGCCCTGACGGGACTATGGTAGGGGACCAGAGCGTAGCCGCAGATGGCACCGTGCTTGAAATCCCGGCCGACGACACCGCCGTTTTCCACGGCGAAGAAGAGAATGAGAGACCAGGATCGAGGGGCGGTGCTCCTTCCAGCCCGATGCCCAACTTCGACGATACCACCATGCCAATCGTCCACCCTGCCGACAGCGGACCTGTCTCGATCGGCACCAAGCACGCCGTGCATATCCTCCGCGACCTCTTTGGTGCCGACGCGGCCACCAACGCGGAGAAGCGCAAGAAGACGGCTGTCGTGTTCCAGGAGCTGCTGCCCGAGAACAATACCACGAAAGCCGACGCTACCAAGATGTTCTTCGAGTGTCTCGTTCTCGCTACCAAGGACGCCATCAAGGTTGAGCAGCCCGAGGGCTCCCTTGGCGGGCCCATCCGTGTCCGTGGCAAGCGCGGGCTCTGGGGTGATTGGGCGGAGCGCGAAGCTGGTGGCGAGATGGCTCGTGAGCAGCAGCAGCAGGAGGTAGCCGTGTAGTCAAGATGCGGCTGATGGAGCGTTTTTCCTGCTATGGTGCGATAGTTGCGTACCCTGAAGGGAGTACTTTGTCACATAGTCTTAGCTTGGCGTCCGTTTCGCTGTACCGCATATCGGCTATTATTTTCAGAACTGTGGCGTTGGACGGTTGTTGGTTGGGGCTGGGACTGGATGCGTTTTGTTTACCCTGTTGGAGTGGCGTTGGGCGCTACCGGAAGACGGGGAAATACCACTGATGGAGGGCTCTCGTCGGGCTGGAACAAAATGTGTAAGTGGTTCACGTGCGGTCGAAGGGTTAGTGCTTGTCATGCATCCGTTTGATTACAGGGAGCCAAGGAGCCCTAGTTGTGTCCTCTAGGTGGTATTTGCGGGGAGCAGGACACATGCCGCTGTAGGCAACTACTCTTAGTATAGTATTGAATTAAAATCATCAGGTCATTCATCACTGTTACTACTACATCGCTGCCTTTGCGTGTGCTGGCCTGCTTCTTCTAACCTCACGACAACGTCAAGCAATCAGGGTAACAACCGTCAGGGTAACTAGGTAACCAAAGTACTTATTTCCAGAGGCAACTACCACCCGTGGACTGGACGTTGTATTCAGAGAGCGCAGCCGAGAAGCCATTCGTCGCTTCTTGGACGACCTCCAACCATCTCCAAGAGCCAAAAGGCGAACTAGTAGTACCTCGCTGACTTTTCCCCAGTAAGTCGCGAATGCCGCGCCGCCTTGCCCAACTCCCGGTCTTCCTCTCCCGAGAGTCTGTTCAGCACGCCATGATGAGGATTGCCGAGCTGGGGGCCATGCAAACCCAAGCCATAGTCTCCGGCCCCCTTATTATTCCACGCTCAACCGCGCAGTCTGTTCCGCCAGCTGCTCGTCCTCCACCCCAGAGTACTTGTTGATCCAGCCCAGCACCTCGCGATGCCAGACCAGCGAGTTCTCGGGCTTGAGCACCCACTTTTGTTTTTGTTGCATAAGAGTGCCTTTGTGTCAGCGAATCGGGCCACAAATAAATCTAGACCACGGCATGGAATAACCAAAAAGAAAGGGGGATTTCTTTACATGGTTCTCATCCGGAAACATCAGCAACTTGCTCGGGACCTTCCTCGCCTGCAAGACGTTGAAGGCCGCGAGGCCCTCGGTGATGGGCAGGCGGTAGTCCAGCTCGCTGTGGATGATCTGTCCCGCCATCGAGTAGTCATGTGTGTCAGCCCAGCTCCTTGAAGGCGAAGAGGGGGGCAGGAGAGGAGGGCGGTTTCGGTTAGTTAGTTAGTTACTGACCAACTGCGGCGTGGCCCACTCGCTCAGGAACATAGCGGGATCCCACTTTTCGTAGCCGTCTCTGTTGTCCCAGAGCGTCCCCCCGAAGTCGTGGATGGGGAAGAACAGCTCCTCGGAGCTCCACTGGCTCAACGTCGAAAACACCCCGTCGTGACACACCAGCGCCTTGAACTTGCGCCCGAGAGGCTGGCCCTGGATCCAATCTAGTTTTATCCCCCCCCCCCCATCAGCAAACGCTGTCACATTCACTTTACCAAGTCCCCAGACCTTTCCAAAGGAAAAAAGAATAAAAAAAGGGGGGGAAGAAAAGAGAGAAAACAAAAGAGAAGACATACTGATCATATACCCGCCATAACTCGCCCCCAACGCCACCGCCCGACTGCCATCGACCTCGGGCATGTTACTGACGACCCACTCGAAGCACTTGACGAGATCGTTGTACGGCCTGCCGCCCCACTCCCCCCGGATGCCGTCCTGCAGCGCCATGCCGTATCCCGTAGACCCGGTCGGGTTGGGACACACCACCACATACCCCTGCTCGGCGAACACGGCCGGATTCCACCTAGTGCTCCAGGCGTCGAGCCAGGCGCCCTGTGGCCCGCCGTGGATGAGCATGCACAGCGGGTACTTCTTGGTTTTGGTGGGTTTCTGGTGGTTTCCGTCGTCTTTGTCTGTGTCTGTGTCTTGGGAGAAGCTGGAGGGTCGCATGACCAGCGCGTGCACGTCGTAGGCGCCGGCGCCGCGGAATGTGATGGAGTCGACGCTGGAGCGGGACAGGCCGAAGGACTTGCCTTGCTTGGAGGCGGAGGAGATGACGCGGGGGGAGGAGGAGGAGGAAGGGTGGACGATGCTGTAGCACGAGTTGTCGATGAGGGAGGTGGTGGTGGCGAAGAGGGCGTCGCTGTCGTCGGCGAGGAGGTAGACCGAGCTGACGCTGCCGTCGGGGGTCTGCAAAGGGGTTGGGAGGGAGGTGGCTCTGGAGGGCGCGGACGGGAGTTCGAAGATGAGGGTGCGTGCGTGGTGCTCGGCGGTGACGTAGAGTTTGGAGCCGTCGTGGCTCCAGAGGATCGACTCGGGCCGCGAGTCCCAGCCGCCGGCGCCTTCCGCCGTGGCATAGAATTCCTCAACCTGGTCCGGGCTGCGGATGTCGGGCACCAGGAGAAGGCGCGGCTTGTCTGACTCGTACTGGTTGCTGCGCATGCGCGTGAAAGCCACCTTGCGGCCGCAGGGCGAGAAGACGGGGCTGTTGGAGTAGCCGTCGAGGCCCGGTGTCTTCACGATCCGGGGGGATCCGGCGCTGGACTCGGTAAAGTCTTTCAGGGGAACGAAGTAGAGATCCGTCTTAGTGTAGAGGGCAGGGTCGAGCTCAGGGTCCTTCGCCACAAACACTAGCCCCTCAGGGCCAATATCGAAGTCGCCAGTGCCTCCAAAGGGAGGTACGGGTGATTCCAGCCGCGTCCCAGCCAGGGCGCTGGTGAGTTTGTTGCCACGGAGCGAATACTTGCCGTCTTTCTGCTCGAGAAGCCCGTAGTAGATGGCGCTGGTGTTCTCGGTGTTCCACGTGTCCCAGTGGCGGACGAAGAGGCTGGTGTAGACCCTGGCCGTGGATTGCGGCTTCTTCTCGGCCTTGGGATTGAATATCTCGCCACCAGGGGTGGACAGGGCCGAGCATGCAAAAGCAATGGCGCCATTGGAGAGCTTCTTGACTTTTACGTTGGAGATGGGGCCGTTGATGGAACCAGCCTCGTACGGGTTGCGCCTGGCGTCGCGTCTCAGCACTGAACCCAACATTTCGGCGAAGATGACTCACTCTGAATCGGATTTGATATGTCGAACAATCAGGGTCGTGGTCCCGTTGTCGCCGCTTTTCAGGTGGAGGTATTCCTCATCGCTAAGCCAGACGGGCTCACTAGCACTTGCGTCTTCGACGAGCGTGTATGACGCCGCAGACCCGATAACCAGGACCCGGATCTGGGAAGTTCTTTTATGGTCCTGGAAAGAATATGTCGAAACTGAATACAGGGCCAATTTGCCCGAGGAATTGGGCACTCCTGGCGTCCGCCTAGGGGCCGAGAGCATCACCTCCGGGGTGAACTTGGTTGCCGTCAGAGTCATCGTGAAGCAATCCAGGCGAGTGATATGTGCCAACGACGAACGTTGGTTGTGACAGGTCAGGAGTAAGATATCATATAGTACGCATTAGCAATGGGCACCTTGATAGTCCCTGACTGACGTGACCTGACTTTACCTCTTAAGTGAGGGGCAACAATAGCCCCGCACTTGAGGAGTCAGCTCACGGCGGGTAGAGAGTCCAGGATAGGCAGGAGGTGTGTGCCATGGGGAACCACTGTAAAGCATCGCAGAATCATTGACGCGTCGATTCCCAGGCCGTCGAAGCTTGTCAGATCCTTGATATGTTCGCAAACAAAATGTTTGCACCCAACTCCATAAACCCCTCGCCAGTTACTCCCAAACTCCCCAGTATACATCACCAAAGGGTATGCCCCGATATCTTGTATAACCCATATCAACGCCCTTCCCCCCTTTCCAACCCACAAGCAGAATTGATCTGAACCACGGCGATCGAGCCGCAGCGTATCATATCACTTCCTCGCCCCGAAGCTAGTCCGCACTTTCTTGGTGTCTCTCCCATCCGTCTCACTGTCCTCCGCTGCCGCCGCCGCCGCCGCCGCAGCAGAAGCAGCAGCAGCCGCGCTGCCGCCACTCTTCTTGTTCTTCTTGCTCGCAGCTGCCCTGCCTCCTCCTCCTCCTCCTGTCCCCGAAGCACTCGCCGGCGTGGGCGCGCTCGATGCGCCGCCATCCCTGTTGTTCCCGAAAGTGCTCGACATGGGCGTCGGCGCGTGCGAGGAGCCGGGAGTTTGCGCGTCCTATGGCCCAACTGCGTCAGCAAAGATGCTTTCAGCTGTTGGTGAAAAAGAAAAAACAAAAACGTACCGCCGCAGCAGCGTTGTACGACACCGAGCTCCTAGAGAACACCCGGTTCTGGTCCGTCAGGCCCGTCTTGCGGCGCTGGGCGGCCGCCGTGCTCGTGCCCTTGGTATAATTGTCGAACCCGATGATGATGTTCCCGCCGGGCGTGCTCTCGAGGTATTCTGTCTCTTTGGCCGATATCTGTTCTTCTGTTGCGGCCTGTCACTCCAAGTCAGCATTGTTGTCGCTTGTAATTTCTAGCGGGGAAAGCGGCAAAAGGGGCAACACATACTAATTGCCTTTCAAGCATCCGGCGACGGTTGATTAGGTCCTTCAGATGCTGCCGCTGTTGTTCATAGGCGGGGATGCTCGTTGTCGGGGAGGGCGCGGCCGCGGCGTTGCCGCCGCTGGGCTTTGAAGATGCGGCGCCCGCAGCAACGGTTTCTGCCATTCTTGCGTCGTCCGCTGGGGATCCCCTGGGCGTGGTAGCGTTCAAATTGAAGTGGTCGAAGCGCCTGCCCAGCAGCGCGGTGATGTTGTCCGGGAGGTGAGGCGTACGGAGGCACGTGGGAGGTACGGGTTCTGAATGCCAAGGCTCCATGTTCGCGCTGGCCAATCAGAGTACAGAAGCTGCCCGTCTCATTCTATGCGACGAGTCGACGAATAACGTAGTCAATAAAACACATGATGGATACAAGTACGACGAGATGCTCCCGAGTGCCAGGTTGCTCGGATGTATCTACTAACTCAGACGTGTTGCCCAGACCATTCAGACGAGGGATCTACACTTGGATATCCCACAAGGACTCATTGGAGACGAAGTGAGGAAGGATACTGTTGCTATTCTGGGAAGTTCGTATGGGAAGAAGGTCAATTCCTTCCCAAGTGACACTCTGTATAAGACTATTCTGTGATCAGTGGTGTGCCTATGCGACAGGTAACCAGAGGAAAGTAGACCTCCCAGACAGCCATGGAAGTGCGAGAGCAGTCTGCTGGGTTCCTGGTTCCAGCTGCTCTACTCGGCTAGGTATGCTGCCAAGTGACCTGGGAATCAAGGCTTCAACCCCAAGGCCTCACGGTCCTCAACCAAGCCATTGAATCTCATAGGCATCGGGAAATCGCGAAGAACGGCAGCAGAGCTTCAAGCAGCGTTAGCCTCAACGTTGTTGTCTCCGCTCTTTGAGGATCTCATCTTCTTGATTTTCTCCTTTAGTTCTCTCTGGCGTAGTTCGAGTTCGTTGTTAGCTGCTCTTGCGTCCTGCCAAGTTGTGTGGTTAGCCATCAGACCTTGTTCATCCGCCCCCAGCTAATGGGGACGTACTTGCTTTGCATCTGACGCCGCCGGGTCGTCATGGGAAGATCGCGGTCTGTCTTTGGTGCCTGAACCATCAGCCGATCTGTTCCGTGTAGAAGAGCGTGAAGATGCAGAAGAAGCTCTCCGGTCCCTGTCGTTGCTGACGCCGCGCCGCCCGCCCTTCCCTCGCTCGCGGGAGCGGTGGCGGGGAGAGCGACGTCGGCTACCATACGAACTAGCAGGGCTGGCGGCACGGCTTCCGCTCCTAGTTTGGCTCCTGCTGCGGTATCGCCTCGCGCGCCGGGAGCCGCTCCGGCTGTCGCGTCTCGACCGTCTCGACCGTCTCGGTGGGGTGCGGCTGGGTGATCGCGAGTAGCGAGATAGCCTCGACGACGATGTGGACACCGACCGGCTGTATCGTCGGACTGGCGTTTTGGACGGGCTGCGGCTCGGGCTCCGGCCGCCACTTCGGCTCCGAGACCGCGAATAACGGCGCCGCTTGCGAGGGCTGAGTGAGGCACGGTCTGATGATATCGAACGGGCCCGGTCGCGAGAAGACCGGCGCCGTTTGGGCGCGCCCCGACGAGACACTGGTGTGCGGGACCGAGAACGCGCACGACGTCGTCGTGGTGGACTTGGTGAGCGTGTTATGGACCGCCTATGCGAGTCAACGCTGGGGCTGCGCGAAACAGACCGATACGAGCCCGACCGGACTGACACTGATCGGGTGCGGGATCGAGTGCGAGACGGAGATCGACGTCGTCTATTATCACGCCACCCCCCCCCACGCCGCGGGGAGCTTCCCCGGGGAACGTATGTATCCTTCCAGCCACCGCGAGGTCCTCCGCGACCGCCTCGGTCGCCTCGATCGCGGAATCGGGGCGGCGAACGGGACCGCCCTCGGCCCAGCCCGCCACGATCTCTATCATCGCGGCCCCCGCGCCACGAGTCGCCCCGGCCGGGTCCTCCGCCACCTCGACCACTTCTCCCGCGGTCCCGGCGGTCGAATTGCTCCCGCCGTTGGCGTGCCTCCTCGGCAGCCTTGTCCGCCTCAAGCTGGTTTATCGGTATTAGCCTGCGATTCCTTAGACGTCTCAATACCACTACCCACCTTTTCTTGCATCAACTCCAACTTTTTCGCCTCTAACAGCTCCTTCGGTACACCTTGTGGGCTGGCCTGGGCGCTAAGAAGGAGCTTCCACAGTTCCTTGCAGAATGTCGGTGTATCTTTGTCGAGGAAGCCCGTCAGCTGGATCTGGAGCGATTTGATGTCGGGCTGCCGTATCAATGTCCCATGTCAGCACAGATGCACAGATTCAGGGCAACGGAAAACGATGTCGGTGGAAGTAAATACTGACATGGCGAACGCCCTCGATCAGATTGAAGATGAGCTCAATGACCACATCGTCTTCGTTGCCCAGGATCTCTGTGACGCGGTTGGCAATCCACCTGTCCCACCAAAGCCCCGTTAGCACCGCCCTCGGAATTCTCTCAAGCCCGGGCCCTCGAGTAACTCACTTCTTCATGACCTGCACATTGACCTTCTGCATATCCACCTTCTGGTTGAACTCGGGAGGGAACTTTGTGCTCTTCAAGAGCTTCGCGTCGACACCCGTCGCCATGGTTGTCGACCTTTTCTCAGGCTTTCCCTTCTCTCTCTTACAAGTAATTCTAACAAAGGGAGGGGCGGAAAGCGATTGCGTCAAGAAATATTGGATGAGAAGATGCTTTTTACCGCAGAACTTCGTCTGTCATGTCGGCCCCCTCTGCGAAGGTAAACTTGGTGGAAGTGGATGCGTCTCGGAAGCTTGGCCGGACGTTGCTGTGGGTATTTCGCTAGCCGGCAAGGTGGAGCTTGGTTTCCACACCGTTGACGGGACTGATGACAGGGGTTTCTTATCGATTTGCGCTGGATGTCTCGTGGGCATTATACCTACCATCACCAACCGTTTGGTCGTCGGTTCTGCTTTTTACTTTTACGACTTTTAGATGGGTAACAGAAATCATTGTTATCGAAAGAGTACAACTTTGATAATATCAGGAATACTTCCAGAGGGCAGCCCAGGACCATAATAACTGGTTTGACAGCAGTACACGCGACATCTTCTGCTTAGAGCTATTCAGGCCCAACAGTGTTCTCCTGCACAATTACTATACATTTTCCTATTCAGACCCCAAAGAAAGTCATTAACCACCCATTACTCCCTCCAGCCTTTACCATAGCCATGCAGATTGACCTTACGCCGTGATACTCCGGGTATGATAACCTGAATCGTGTCATACACAGCCTTGTAATCCCATAAACACATTACCAGCCATAACCCATCCTAAGAATCATCGTCGGTAAACGAGAATACGACAAGCAGCAGTCATACTTCCAGCTTCCTTGCCTGCCGGGTCTCGAGACTCCTCAAGAGCTCTTTGGATAACTGTATCTCGAGCCAGTGACTGCATCCTTCTTTTCAGCGTGCACCTGTTTTGCATGCAGGGCATCAATCTTTTCCCTCAATTTGTTTAGAGTCCGGGCGTTGTCTTGATCCCTCAACCTGGCCCGGATGTCGTACAGTGCCATGAGAGTACCCGCGCGATCGACATCATCCTCATACTGCTGGTCGATTAGATGATTAGCACAAGAACACCGGTCAATGACTACTATAGGATGGGGAGCAGCAGTGCCCAACGAATACAACAAAATGTGACAAGAGAGACGTGCCACCCATTGTGTTGGTAGAGAAGGCAATTTCAACTTACATCAGGCTCTCGTCGCGGCGTCCCCGGAATGGAGTTGTACGTCGAGTTGGAACGTGTGTTGGGCGGCGTGATGATGCGCCGTCCGAGCTTGTCAAACTTGGCCGGGGATCCCGTCCGCGACATGAAGGATGAGCCTGTCGACGCGGCTGAGCCAGCAGAACCGGTGCGCCGGTGGTGTAGAAGGTCCGGTCGCTTAGGATGCAGCTGTTCTGATGGCCTGTTCGAGTCGGCAGGCGCTGATGTTGTGGTCGTGGGTGTTTTGTTGGCATTAACGAGAGCGCTGGCGGCCTGCGATTCCTGCTGTAACAGTGTACGCGGTTAGAGATGAATCATGCTCTTGTTCGTTTTGAACATCTGTGGGCCGCGAGACCGCGAGACCGCGATAGTCCGGAAAACACGAGATGGACGGGCAACTTACTATCGCATTGAGATCGCTCAGGTCAGCGAGCATCTGCGCAAGCTGGACGCTCTCCATTATCGACATGATTGATTTCGTTTGCCGCAATGAGCGGTGATGTATGGTTTCGTTGGCTTAGGACGTCACACTATGTGTGTGGTGATAAACGCGTCGAGATCGCCACTAGGTAGTGATGTGCAAGACTGAATGTCGAGGACCAAGATGACGCGTGTCTGTGACGTGGGGGATGGTTAATAAATGGACTTCGTATCCTAATAAGGTTTGAGAAAGCCCCCCGAATTCGCTCGGGATCACGGGAAGGGATTACACGCAACACAAATAGACAGAACAGTCCAGAACTCAAAGTTTTATGATATTGCTACGGGATCACATAGTCCAATAGGAAAGAGAATAGGTATGAACTGTGCATCAATTGTTGGGTGCGCTCCGAAACTGAACGGCAGGGCTGGAGCTCTGGATGCTTTGTGCAACGGAAGGCTTGTCGGGACCGACAGGGGCCGTGCGCCGGACCCGCAGGTTGGGCAGGAGTATCGCGTGGAACCCCGCATTTCCAGACCCACCACCATGGCAATGCGGGGGATCGAGAACTCGGTCCGACGCTCGTTACTCAATGTTCAGCCAGTCTGGTAACTGAATTGACTTACCTACATGTATCAACTAATAACTGACTGATCTGCTGAGTATGGGAGACCCACCGTTGATCATGATGCGAGACAAACAAGCAGTGGGCTGGATGCGTGCGGCTCAGCAGGCTGACGTGCTTCGGCACCGATCAGCGCTGGTTGTTGTGGATAATCGGTTTTAACGTTACCTCCTTCCGTCGGCCGGTCCAGGCCGCCTTGCCGTGTAATTGCCCAACTTCGACATACTGTAGTGGCTGGGAAGGTACAACGACTTGGAAGATCTTGCCAGAAGCACGGGTCTATCACAGTATCAGGGTCACTCATCGACTTTATAGCTCCAGTTGACTAATAAGTCTCGATTGGGCCGAAGCTGTGGTTTAGCGATATTGACTATTTAGCTAGAGTAACTCCCGTGGGCCAGGATCCTATAATGACCGTCACATATATAGAAGTATGTCACCCAGAAGCGATCGCCCAGAAGTTGCAGCTTGCGGTGTGGGGATCGAGATTGCCGAAATTGGGAAAATTGTCGGAAAAAGTGTATTCCTGCTGCTCCCTACGCCCCTAACCCTGGCGCGCAATGCAATCCCACCAAGTTAGGCAATTCGTACACAGGCTTGATAGATTTGCCTTGTTGGGAAAGGCTGTCCAGAAGTGTTGCCGAGCTGGGCGATTGTTGCCGAAGTCGCATTCTGCTGCTGCCGGGATTGGTCACACCTGGAATGGCTGCCGCGTTCGGACCTCAAACGCTCGAACTGTGTGCAATATATATAAGTCGCCGGCAGTCAGCGCGGGGAAGGTATTCATAATGGTACTCATAAGAAGAGGATTGGCTACAATGGCGTCCCTCAAGAGAGCCGGAAAGGTCGTCTGCATTGGCCGCAACTACGCGTGTGTAAACTCTCCTCTGATTTACTTTTGTGCTCTCGGGCTTCATTCTCCCGAGTTGCGCCACGAAACTATCCAGCAGCTGACTCGCACCCAGGGACCACATCACAGAGCTGAACAGTGCCCGGCCCAAGCGGCCGTTCTTCTTCCAAAAACCGACATCGTCAATCCTGCTCCCCGGCGAGGGTCCGGTGATTCGGCCGAGGGGCGTCAACCTGCACTACGAGGTCGAGCTAGCCCTCATCTTGGGCAAGCGGGTGAGGGACCTCAACGAGCAGGATGAGCAGGCGGCGCTGGATGCAATTGAGAGTGAGCTCGCCCTCTTCCACGACGTCTTGCTTGCTGTAGTACTAAGTAGTTGTGCAGGCTACGCCCTCAGCATCGACATGACAGCCCGCAACGTCCAGAACGAGGCCAAGAAGAAGGGCCTCCCCTGGGACATCAGCAAGGGCTTCGACACATTCCTGCCCCTGAGCAATGTCATTAGCAAGGCAGCCATCCCGGATCCGCACAAGATCGAGCTGTACCTGACGGTCAACGGCAAGGTGCAGCAGAACGACTCGACCGAGCTCATGCTTTTCCGGATTCCCCGCATCCTTAGCGACATCTCCAAGGTCATGACGCTCGAGCCGGGCGACATTGTGCTGACGGGTACACCCAAGGGTGTTGGCCCGGTTGTGCCTGGAGATGTCATGCGCGCAGGCATCCGGGTGGACGGCAAGGAGCTGGAGGAGGCCAAGATTGAGGTTGCGGTTGAGGAATCGACAAGCTCGTATGAGTATGCCGAGACATGAGGTACAGTACATACTTTGTTAGGATAGACATACAAATCAGTGATAGCAAGCGAGTACATAACTGCCTGCTCCCTCCGGTCTTTCGCCTGACCTCATCCTCTCAGCCAATGCTGTAATATACAGGTTACAATAACAGTTCGCATCTAACGAGGCAAATGGGTTCGTACAACCTTCGCCAGTTTACACCGAGACCAAACGAAGGATACCAATACGCAGCCGAATCCATGACCTAACCCATCCACTACCCCCCTTATTACTCCAAATTCGGATCCCGAATCGACCCAGGCTTAGGACACCAATCCGCGACCTCGCCACACTTCTTACACGTCCTCAACCCCTCGTCCGCCTTGAAAGCCTCGACAGCCTCCTTGATCTGCGTGCCGAGATCCGTACAGTGGAAGGCGGCCTCGTGCACGACCGCGCCGCACCCTTCCCGCGGGCAGTACCAGCGCATGCGGTCGACCGAGTCCGCGGGCCGCTTCTGCTCCAGCACGATGCCGACCGTGTCGGCGAAGCGCACCGGGTTGTGCGGCGTGTTGGGCGGCAGCAGGAACATCTCCCCTTCGCGGATGACAATGTCCCGGAAGGTGTCCCCTTCGTCGACCACCTTGAGCAGCATGGCGCCCTTGTACTGATAGAACCATTCGGGCGTCTGGTTTATGTGGTAATCTGTGCGGGCGTTCGGGCCGCCGACTATCTGTTATGTGTCAGGGGGGCTGTGGGAGGATGGATGGCGATGGTGATGGCGATGGTGATAAAAAGGATGGATGGGTTAGGGTTGGGAAGGTACCATGACAGTGAAATCGGCGTTGTAGACGCAATAGTTGTTGATGGGTGGCTTGAGGAGGTGCGAGTTTTCTTCCAGCCTGTGTTATCGTCAACTTCTAAGTCAGAATAGCCGACTTCGGTTATTGTGCCAGACATACCACTTGGGCAGGTTAACCGGTGGAGCGAGCATCTTCGCAGAGTACTAATAGGGATTTGCGGGGTCTTGGTTCGAGAGTTCAGCGACACAATGATGTGCCTGGTATCTTCAATTCGGCAGAGCAGGCGATGCTGTAAGGGTTCGTGCGAACTTAGTCCACCTGATGCCTTTGCTTGGTAATGGAAGCCTCGGAGGACTCTCTTCCCCCGCAACTATGGTTCGAATATCGTCGCGGATTGAAAGGGGAGTGGGTCTCTTTCAACGATATCTATTCAGGTTCTTTAAATGCAATATGATCCGAAGACTCTGACTGAGGTCTATTTAGTTATCGCAGTTCTTCAGAGATCATGACTGAGGTTTATGACCAAACACATGATGGCTTTCAAGAGTCTGTTTCATGCCCCGCCAACAGACCCCGCGCCGTTGTACGGGATACATATCTACAGTACACTAACAAAGTTGACGCGGCCGCTCTCGGCTCGCTCGATTGCGGTATTACATACCGCAGTCTCTTACCTAATCCGGATAGGTCGGACCACTAATTCGGGCTCTCGCGTCGTTGCACCATCCAAACAACCCCTGGTTTCATTCTTATCCAGGTACTGTAACTTCGTAGATACCTGCATCTACAACTCGGCGACTGTGGTTGTCCATTCGCTCATGCAATAGACAATACCTTTGAACCAGATAGCGCTGCAGAACTCAACACCTGTTAACCATTCCTATTTTCTCACCAGCCAGTCGCTTCCAAGTTCCGCCCTTCGCGCCATGGATCACTCGTCGCACGACCACAGCATGATGGGCCACTCATCTCACGAAGGCATGGACCACGGTGATATGGGCGGCGGCCACATGTGTAGCATGAACGTTAGCTGCCCTTCCATGCGCTTACCCGATCCCGCATTACACTGCACTGCATTTCATCTCAGTTATCTAGACGCTTACGAACGGCCTCTCAGATGCTCTTCACCTGGGACACGACCAACCTCTGCATCGTGTTCCGCCAGTGGCACATCACATCCAACCTGAGCCTCATCGTGTCGCTGTTGGCCGTCGTGGGCATCTGCGCCGGCTACGAGGCCCTGCGCGAGGGTATCCGGCGTTACGAGGCCGCGGTGTCCAAGAGGGCTGATACGGCGCCGCGTAAGTGTTACCTTGTTTGCTCCTCTCCTTTCCCCATCCTTCACTGTAGAACAGCGCCCGTCGGGTCGACCATTATGTGCATGGCGAACCTGTTCGCTAAGAATTGCTTTGAGTCCCCCGGTCCCTATCGCCATCATCGCCGCGGCGTTCTGAAGAAGCAAATACTGAGAACACCCCCTTATTTGCGCTGGGTACAGGCCAGAACCGGGACCAAGTCACACGGCGGGCACATATCACCAAGGCGGTGCTGTACGGCATCCAAAACTTCTATGCTTTTATGATCATGTAAGTCCCCCTTCAGAGTGATCTGACCTGCCCCGTTGTGAATGGGAGTAGTGCCCCTGACCGACCGCAATAGGCTCATCTTCATGACCTACAATGGGTGGGTCATGATCGCGGTCTCGGTCGGCGCCGGGCTGGGATATCTGATCTTTGGCGGGCACACTCCCATCACCAAGGAGACTGCGTGCCATTGATGCAGCATGATCGTTATCGAGCCGTTTGATGGGGGATAACAGAGCCGCCCACCTAACACGGGGGATGAGCCACCCGGATGCAATATGTACGGAAACAGCGTACACCTGATCATCACCAGGACCATTCTACTACATCTTACTCGTCCCACCCTTGCTACCCCCCTCCATTTCGCGGGATGCTCCAGTCTCTTTAGTAGTGCTTCCCACAATACTCGCCTGCCGCTTCTTCTCCCCCATCCTCCCCATCCTCGCGAGCTGTTCAATAACCTCTTCATCGCCAAAATGCGAGTTGTGCTCGAACTCAGGCTGCTCTCCGTACGCGACTGTCGCGGCATCCACCAAGATCCGCGCCGTCATCCCCCACACCTTGTAGCGCCCGCTCTCCACCGACCCGTTCTCGTTCTCACTGCTATGCTCATGCTCATGCTCCGACAGCGCGGCCAGCCCGCCTTCCCTCACCTTGGGCTTCACCACCTGCTGGTTCGTCACGGGGACGTAGAAGAAGTGCAGGCGCCAGGGGCGGTCGTGCCACGTGGTCCAGTTACCTTCGTACCACTTCCCCGGCGGCAGCTGGGTTGGCTGCTTTGGCTCTCCTTCTGCTTTCGCCTCTCCGATGAGGATTGGTGGCGGCTGCGGTTGTTCGTCGGCAGCTTTCAAGAAATTATGGAATGGCGCAGAGAAGACGGCTGCTACTTCTTTCGCGTCGAGTCGAGGGATGAGCGAGTCCTCTACCGTTGGGGAGGATGCTGGGGAGGCCGGGCCGACGGGGACTGGAAGGTCGTTGGTGTGTAGCAGGGCGACGCAGGGGCGGACGACGAGCTCGGTGCGCGCCAGGTTCATGGGGAGGTAGCACAGGTGCTCGATGCGGAAGGGAGCTGGCAGCTTGGTGTCGTCGATGGGCAGGCCGATTTCCTCCCAAGCTTCGCGGCGGGCGATCTGATCTAAAGTGCCACGCAAATAGTGGTGTCAGAGCAAGGGTTCTGGCAGGAATCATGTATGGGAACCTACAAGGTGTCTCATCTAGCGTGTCCGCTTTGCCTCCAGGAAGGGCGGCGTGGCCTATACAGCTGTTAGTCAGGGGGTTGGGGTGCATGCAATGCTAGTTGTGTGCGCACCTGAGAAACTCCTTAGGCTGGCGGCGCGCATGGTGATGACTACCCTGAGATCGCCCCTCCGGTCGGCGTACAGCAGCAGCAGTACCGCGGCGCGGCGACTCAGCGGGAGCCGGTCCCAGAGGGGGAAGAGCGGTGGCTTGTAGGCCCTCAGTCGGGCAATGGCGGCCTTGGTGCGCATGAGCTGGGGTTGCTTAACCGCGAGTGCAAAATGGCATGAGAGGACGAGGTACTGACCGCCGACGCTGCATTTAGCGGCGCCATGGTCGATGCATCCCAGTAATACGAGCCCGTGTCTTCTTCGTCCTCCGGATCAGATAATTCCGATTGCTCCTCCGATTCGGCCGGCGCCTCAAGAGCAGTCTCGGAGTCCTGGATGCCGTGGATCACTGTCTGGGCTTCCTCTTGGTCTCGTGGCGGGCCGATTTGCACTGGCGCTTGATCAGCAGCTGCGAGAGAACCGCTCATCTTCTGCGACGATGCGGTGTAGTGTCTTCAGTTGGGAACCGATGTTCGGGCTTTATTACCGACTGTGCTTGCACAGGGGCATATGCGGGACCCCGGCGCACCGGCCGGCTTTTTGCGGGGTGCATGTGGGGAAGGGCCTCGGAGCGGCATGACGTCAGGCGCCGATAACGACGGACAAGCTAAGGGGGCGCCGTACATACCTGACCTACTACCTTAGTACTTGTATACGGCGGATTACAGAGTACGTATCCATACTCTCCGGTACTAAAATACAGGTAGGTACTAGTAGTAGTGATCATTTGCAATAGCTAGGTAGCTTCAGTGGTCGAGACAAGGCACCTTGATGCGGAAGCCTGGCAATGGTGATGGATTCGATGATATAGTACTCCGCGTACAACTATAGCCATGTCTCCCTATCAGTCGCATGCCCTCCGTAGCCATTGCCCGAAACGTCTATCCTCCGCAGTTACATTGTCCGATTGCCTGTCTATTCCTCCGGACCGTCCTGCAAGCCCACGGGGACATTCCCGACGCTCACGCGCAGCTGTTGGCCGTCCACTACGGTTTCATTAAGCAACAACCCGTAGTCCACCTTGTGTATAGCTAGACCCGAGAGCAGCCCTGCCCTCCAAACGGGTAAATGTTCACAAACTGGTGGTGGTAGAGGCGAGGGTGTATGGATCGACGGAGCCGCTCTTCTCCGCATTCAGAATGTCGTCGCTGAGGCTGTCAGTCGTCTCCTTCATATACCGCGGGACCCGCGTTTGCCCCCATCTCCGTCGGTCGTTCTCGTCTTCGATGGAGCGTGTGCCATCGTCTTGTTTGGGTATCTCAGAGCGGCGGCGGGTAAAGTAGGTACACAGTGGAACTGGAGAGTGATCGTGGTTGGGGCTTGGGAGAGGACCTTGGATGCGAATCTCGCCGGGCACTGTAGACTCGCGCCTGGAGCGCTTTGGCCGAGTAGGAGTAGAGGGCTCCCGGTGGCTCGGTCCGGCGCGCCGCTGCTCCTCTTGATACATGGCCTCCAGCAGCTGCCGATGTACATCTTCCTCATCAAATCCATCATCATACTTGGAACCCTGGCCGCCCGCCTTGTCATCCTGCTGGCTACGCTCATGATCCTCCTGGCCGCGCTCTGTGCTGTCCTGCTCCTGGTCGCTCGGTCCGGCGTTCAGCCGGGCGTCAGAAAGGATGGCATGCTGCAGCCCCTCATCATCCTCAAACAGCATGTGGGTATCAGGATCAGTCCCCTGGCCGCCCTCCTTGCCATTTTGCTGGCCACGCTCCTCATCGTCCTGGTCGCCCTCATCGTCCTCACTGTCGTCATTGTGCTCCGGCGAGGGCGGAAGGTCGGTATTGGGGTCCAGCATCGAGAGGTTGTGTACTTGGCCAAATTCGCTGATGATGCTGTGGAGCTCCTCGAGTTCTGCGGTTCATCGAGGCCGCTGCCATGCTCGGGATCGATGTCCTCATCGCGGGTGAAGCTGGCAACACCTTGTCGAACCAGAAATGGAGTTGGCCCGGAAAAATACGCTTCCATTCATCTTGAGCCGCTTTGAGGGTGTTAGGTGGCTGCTGAGACATGGTGCCGATCGGTAATGGGAAGAATGAGAATGAATGCCGACAAGGAGCAAGCTGATCGTTGAGAGATGAACCGTACGAGCCGTGGCGGCCAAGGGAGAGAGAGGTAATGGGCGAGAAACTGGGTGATAGCTGGATCCTCGCAAAGCTTGCGCCAGCTGGAGTCTTGTCCATGCCCCAAGAAGCGCTGGGGTAGTGCACCGAGATGGTCGAATTGCCTGCTCTTGCTGGTTGCAAATGGGAAGATGTGCGCCGCTTCAGGATCGCCCATTCCAGAGAGGAGACGAACATTTCCATCCCGCTCTTTGGCCTTTTGTACACCACCGTCCATTGTGCCTATGGAAGACGAAAATCTCCTTCGGTCCGGGATCCGTTGGAATGGGCAATGAGTGGATGTCTAGTCCGGATGCATCCAGCAATGCAAAAAGGAGCGCTTCTCCTAGAACACCTGATTAAGCCACCCGACCTGCAAGACATGGTCTTCACGCTTAGATCGGTGTTGTTGCTACAGTCAAGGTTGTGCCGTACCAATTTTGCGGAGGGGATATTCGACGTGACGTTGCGGGATCAGAGAAGGAGGTGTTGCTGGTTCCGGTATAATGGCACAACGTCGAAAAACGAGTTCTGGTTCCTTAGGTGCGTCCAAGGTTGAGTCGCTCATGTAACTTGAATGTCGAGTTGGTGATGATGAATGTCTATAACGGGGACTTGGGCGCTGACTTTGCCCAGAAACTTGATGAACATAATCAACCTGAAAATGGTAATCTGGTAGAGGGAATTCCGGTACACGTGGGCAACGCGGGATAACTTTGATGCTCTGGGACCCCTTGAGCGTGGCCTTAAGGTCGCCACCCATAGTGGATCGGTGTTTGAGGGACTTGGGGTTTTCATCGGCGGTTGTGAAGATGACTCCTAGCATCGAGACAGCGATACTAAACCTGGTTAGACAGCAGCTGAGGAGGGAAAGAGCAACACTCACGCAAAGAAGCCTTAGATGTGGAACGAGGTGAGTAAACTGCTTCTGCAGCTTCTGGTGCTTCTGCTGGTTTTGCTGCTTCTGTTGCCAGTGTTGCTCCGCATTGAGCTACGTTATTCGCCCACTGAAGTTTTGCAAGGTTCCGTACAAATCCCAGACGAAGAGAGCGTTGCATGAGATCGACGCGTGGAACCCTTAGGATGCCATCCCGCTTTAGGCGATATTGAACCGGGGAAGCTGACATATTCCATTATGGGGCGGTTTCCCTTGATTTGTACGTGGTACCAAGGACCCCGTGAGCGTGGTGTATATGTCTGTACGCAAGGGCCTCACATGTCATCTGGCCCAGCACGTTGTCTGTCAATTGCGCCTTCCCATCGTCGCCGCGAAGATCGTTCTTGGCCTCGAGAAGCGCCGGCCGATGACTCGTTAGCTTGCAACGTCCTCCGTCCTGGAGCTCGCGCATGATCGGTTCTCGGTCAGTAGTGTCAGCACCCTATAACGCATTCCACGAGACGGCCAGTCACTTACTGTCGCACCACTGCTCAGCGCTGTCCGCTGAAGTTGTTGACCATCTCCTTCATGGATCGCGGAACCACCCTGGCCCGCATGCAGCGGCTCTCCTTGACCTGTCCCTCACTATCATATTTCACCGCCACCTTGTAGGTGCGGTACTTGCCCGCCTCGACTATCCGAGTTGAGGCTGCGAGAGCCTGTCCCGTCGTCGTATATCAGCATGAGGTCAACATCATGAACGCGGTAAGGAGTCGTGGTGATAGTGATAGTAGTGACGACGACGGCGGTGATGTTGGCGGTGTCGTTGACGGCTGACATGATGAAGGTGAGGTCGGAGGGGTCCATAGCTTTTTTTTTCTTTACCTGTAAGTCAGTATGTTAGTCCACGTCGGTTCCCGTATATCCTTGCGCCACGTTGGCGCAACTTGTGACATAATGCTGGTCGGCCTGGCGCTCATCTAGCCAGAAGGTGACACACGACATCGACGCCGTGGGCTTCCTTGCGAGCCCGTCCAGCTCTTTCATGTCCTTAAAGTAGTAATAAGTCTAGTGAGGGACAAGGAAGAAGACAGAGACGACATAGCGGGCGGCCGAGGATTAGCACCTCTGAGTGGACGATGTCAAAGATGATCATCTTCCCATGACGTGGTCTAGGAGACCCTTCTCTACATTGCCTTAGAGACCGCCACATTCAGAAGTCTTGTATTAGTCAGTATCTGCCATGGCAATCGTAAGTCGGACTTACATCTAGATACGAGCAGGCCGTAGCCTCGCCATGGATTGCCGAGACATGAGGGAAGCTTCGTCGTAAGTTGTTATTAGAGCCAAGACAAAGAAAAAGAAATGTTGGATGGCTTACGGGTAACTCGGCGAAGCCCTTGGGCGACGAAGTATTCTCGACTGGAACGCATGTTCCCCTGTCTCTACATCCGGGACAGAACTGATGCTGGTGAGCCAAGCAGGATGTACGGGTGGGAATATCGCATGGCCTAAGGGACGCAGAGGAGTCTGAGATTTGGGATGACCTGAAGGGGAGATGAATGTGGCAGGAACGAGACATGGCGGGACGGACGGGAATATGTCAGGTGTCAAGCAAGCAGAGGTGGCAACCAGGAGGTACTAGCAAACACGGCAGGCACGATCATGATCTAGGATTCTAGACATTATGGTAACAAATACCCAAGGTAGTAACATTACCGACTGCTGGTACCTTACCGTATAGCTTACGCTGTTAAGGGGCGCAGGTAGCGGGTAATTACAAATCGCGTACGAGTGTTGCCTCAGTATTACATCTCAATACATGTATTGGTGTTTGTCTCTTTCCACTTTATCCTTCTTTTCTGTTTTCTTTCTCCTACTTCTCCTTCTTACATTCTTCCCACTTCATCAGCAGTGGAGATGCGGCAGCCGCAAAGACAATTTGATCTATTCGTACGATTTCGTTTAGAGAAGTCATGACCAGCATGGGAGCAACTGCACACTGATTTTGTGGACTCGCATTTGGCCACTCGGCATCGTCTGGTTTTTAGGCGCCTAGCTACATTTTCAGCTAGGTAATTGAGCCATATGGACTGAAGATCTGATTCACGGTCTGGACCTCCCGTCGTAATCGATTCAGTGCCCAAATGCGCTGAGATGACAAGTGCATGGCAAGCACATTGTCCCTGGCTCACAGCCCCCTGGGCCCTTGCTCGATGCGAGCGCCCCACATCCCGCAAGGGTCTTAGTCTAGGCCTGAACAAAACACGTTCCACAACAAGCGACAACTCCCGGCTCGGTCCAAAAGTCCATCACGTTTCCACCTCCACCCTGAGTGCCATTGGAATGCCCAAGCAGCTTCCTTGAGCTAGAAACGATGCCGATTCACGCCTGATGTATTGATCAAACTTGGAGTGCCCAAGTTCCCTCTCTTGTGGTCGCATTGTTGCAACCGGCAAACTCCGCCTCCCGCTGCCGCTGTCGCAGCCGGGCCGTTGATGACGCTCAGTTGCTTGATCAGCTCCCCCTCGGGGTTCTTTGCGCCCACGTCCTGCGGTCCCCCTTACGGCTCCTCTGAATCACAAAATGGACAAGTTCATGCGAAAAGATAGCAGTGATACGCTGCCGCTCTATAATAGCTCGGAAGAGCCAGCGCCACCAGGGGTACCTCTAGAGATTTCGCGATCGTGGTCCACTTCACCAAGGCTGAGTCCACGGACGACATCTGCGCAATCTAGAGTATGAACCTAGAGCGGGTTACCCGGAGTGGAACAAGACGGCTAACAAATCTAACGCAGACCGTCGCCGATGAATACGCCTCTTTAACTCCTGTGGAAGTCGCCGCTCGACTAAAAACATCGCTAACACACGGCCTCACGCCGGCCGAGGCTCTCTCGAGGTTACGCGACTATGGGCCCAACGAGATCCCCCACGAAGAGCCCGAGCCAATATGGTTGCGCTTTCTTAAGCAGTTTCAAGAACCACTTATCGTTTTGTTGCTGGTCTCCGCCGGCGCGTCGATCTTAGCGGGGAACATGGACGACGCCGTGAGCATCACGGTAGCAGTGACCATTGTGGTCAGCGTGGGCTTCATACAGGAGTACCGCTCCGAGAAGTCAATAGAGGCGCTCAACCACCTGGTCCCAAATCATGCGCATCTGGTACGAAAGCAGGCGCCATCAAAGGCATCTCCGGGCTCGCGCTCCCCTAACTGGCCAGGGGCTGGCGACAAGACCCTTGAACCGGGCGACAGCTCCGGTTCGCTTACCCCTGAGGAGGAGGTACTGGAGGCGACGTCATCAAAGGTTATGGCAGCGCAATTGGTACCTGGCGATCTGGTGCTGTTCACAACCGGCGATCGCATCCCGGCCGACATCCGCGTGACGAAGGCGTCCGACTTGACAATCGATGCGTCGAATCTCACGGGGGAGAATGAGCCCGTCAGGGTCACCGCGAACACGCGCCCCCGCCGTGGGCTCGCTACGCCAACCTACGGCAGCGCAACATTGCAGTTGCCTCAACCTTCCTTTTCCTTGGCCACTGGTGGGACTTCAACCAGCGATGCCAAGGGCGACCATGATGGAATACACAACATTGCGTACATGGGCACGCTGGTGAAGTCAGGACACGGCCAAGGCATAGTGTTTGCAACCGGGGGCGACACGCACTTCGGCACCATCGCGACCAGCGTCTCCGGAACCGAGAGCCCGCGATCCCCGCTGCAGATTTCCATGGATGATCTAGGATCCCAGCTGAGCAAGATGTCGTTTGTCATCATAGGCCTCATCTCCCTCATTGGGTGGTTCCAGGGGAAGAAGCTACTTGAGATCTTCACCATTTCTATTTCGCTGGCTGTCGCGGCGATTCCGGAGGGCCTGCCCATCATTGTGACCGTCACCCTTGCTCTGGGCGTCCACAGGATGGCAAGGCACAATGCCATCGTCCGCAAGATGCCCAAGGTTGAGACCCTGGGGTCCGTCAACGTGGTCTGCACCGACAAGACGGGTATGTATGAGGAGATGCAACGCGTGAATCAGCTGCGCTAATTCAAATGATCAGGAACACTAACGATGAACCATATGACAACCGCCAAGATGTGGTTCTTTGGGGCCGACGACCCGCTTGACGTTGATTCCGATGATGAGGCGACTGAGACCAAGCCTGATCCTGCCGCGCTCAGGATCTTGCGCATTGGTAACATTGCTAATAATGCACGCCTGGCCCACAAGTACACCGAAAACGGCGCCGCTGCGAGGGCCGTGCTCTCCTCGACCCAAGGGAGGGACCAAACATCGACGTACACGCGGTGGGTTGGACAGCCGACGGATGTGGCCATGCTTGACCTCCTGGATCGATTTAAGGAGCACGACGTCCGAGATTCCATTGGACCTCGGGTGAGCGAGACACCCTTCAGCTCTGAGCGCAAGTGGATGGGCGTCACCATTGGCACGGAAGGAGGGAAGAATGACAAGGAGTTCGCGTACATGAAAGGGGCGATCGATAAGGTGTTGGAAGCTTGCGACACCTATGTCACTAAGGACGGCAGGGAGGTTGTCATGGACTCGACCCGGCGGCAGGAGGCTCTGCAGGCAGCTGAGCAGATGGCTTCCCAGGGTCTCCGGGTCCTGGCTTTCGCGAGTGGGCCTGTCGCGAAGTCCAGAAGCAGTAGGCCCGCCGCCCAGGGGGCCAGGAGCAACACCCCGGGTTCGGATAGGGCTGAGAGCCCGGTCCACTGCGGCGTCGAGGAGCAGTACAAGGGCCTCACCTTTGCGGGCCTGGTCGGCATGAGTGATCCACCACGGCCCGGCGTCGGACGCTCAATCAGGAGGTTGATGCGCGGCCGCGTAAAGGTCATCATGATCACTGGCGATGCCGAGACCACGGCGCTTGCCATTGGCAAGCAGCTGGGCATGGCGATTGCCACTCCTACGGCGCATACATCCAACCAAATCACCGTCAAGCCGGTCCTTCGAGGCGACGAAATCGACGAAATGTCGGAAGAGGACCTCGCGAGGGTACTGGACCACACCACCATCTTTGCGCGCACAAACCCGGACCACAAGCTGAAGATCGTCAGGGCACTCCAGTCCCGCGGCGATATTGTCGCCATGACGGGAGACGGGGTCAACGACGCGCCAGCGCTCAAAAAGGCGGATATTGGCATTGCCATGGGCATGCACGGCACCGACGTCGCCAAGGAAGCCGCCGACATGATCCTGACGGACGACGACTTCTCGACCATTCTCCACGCCATCGAAGAGGGCAAGGGCATCTTCAACAACATCCAGAACTTCCTAACGTTCCAGCTCTCCACCAGCGCTGCCGGCCTCTCCCTCGTCCTGATCTGCACGGCGCTGGGCTTCAAATCTCCGCTCAACGCGATGCAGATCCTCTGGATCAGTAAGTCCTCTTTCAGAGCACCGTACCTTTATAGGGACCCATCTAACCGTGTCCTTTCTGTTTCACAGACATCATCATGGACGGACCCCCCGCACAATCCCTTGGCGTCGAAGCCGTCGACAAGGACGTCATGAACCGGCCGCCCCGCCGGCGCGGCGACGCCGTGCTCACGCGCCCCCTCGTGGCGCGCGTCCTGACGCAGGCGGCCATCATCATGGCCGGCACGATGCTGGTGTACACGCACGAGATGCTCGACGACGGGCAGGTCACGCGCCGCGACACCACCATGACCTTTACGTGCTTCGTGCTCTTCGACATGTTCAACGCGCTCGCCTGCCGCTCCGAGAGCAAGAGTGTGCTGCGCGGCCAGGTCGGGCTGCTCCAGAACGTGCTGTTCAACTGGGCCGTCGCGGGCAGCTTGATGGGCCAGTTGCTGGTGATCTACTTCCCCTGGCTGCAGGAGGTGTTTCAGACCGAGGCGCTCGGGTGGCGGGATCTGGCAGGGCTGGTGGTGCTGTGCAGCACGGTGTTCTGGGCGGATGAGGCCAGGAAATGGTGGAGGTATGGGAGGGAAGGCGGCAGGGGGAGGAGAGGGGTTGGCACTGCATTGGGTGGAGCGTATAGTCAGGCGGTTTGAGATGCCCCTGGTGGCTGATCGGCTTACTTTATGTTGTGAATGAGTTCTTGGTTACGCCCTGGTACGATTAGATGTTGTATGTCATGGGCTGGATTGGGTGCGTGCGGTGTATATGACCGGTACTGGGGGGTTGGAATTGTACTGTACTTACGGAGTACCCCAGTCTAATACATACCTAGACAGCCGACGAAGCCGGCTCTTGTTCATGTGCAGTATGTACATACAATACAGAACCCCTATCAACGTGCGTGACAAGGGCGGGCCAACAACTAAGTGACCTCCGCGAAAGGGGGCGCCTAGGTATCTATGGGGTTATCGAACTCACAGGGCGGCAATACGGGTGCTGCGGCTGAAAGTACCCGGTATCTACCTACCTACCTATGTATAAGGCGGCCGAGAGACGTGGACCGCCTTTACAGTTTAGGACTGCGGTTACACTACATCGGATGAGACAGTTTACAGGGGGATTTTATGCAGCCACCATCATACTTACGTTGGTTGGCGTTCTGGCAAGGCTGCGCGCTCGGCAACGCGCGTTTTGGCCCAGATACCTTAGTTATTGCATTGTGAATGAATTGAGGCCTGCCATAGGTATTTGTACCACCAGTATGGGCATGCGCCGGGGGCGTCTGCGGGCCGCCTATATTTACTTGATCTAGTGAACGACTGCAGCATCTATCTATATTTGAGTACATACCTACCTTACTATGAGCAGGAAGTCGGGTATGGGTTCGGTGTGTGGTGAGGCCAACCTTCTCTCCCCCTGCCGGCCTCCTCGCCCGGCGAAACGGGAGGTAGGTTTCAGGTTAGCGCTCCAGCCTCCAGCTGCGCCGCCAGTCTGCCTACCTTACCTGGACGTTATGCGTATATGCTCATGGGTTTTCGGTAAGGATAGCATGGAGAGCATAGCTACTCCGCGCGCGGGTTGTCCTGTGTCTTGTTGTATAAGAAGCCGAAGATGAAGGCCCGACGGAAGACTCACGGTCACTTGTTGTCCAGCATCTCTACTCATCTATTGGATTTGAACCGCTATTCAAGAACTAACCTCTCTGTTTCAACCCTCAGCGTTTACCCACCTCCCCCTTTACCATGGCTCAGGATACGCAGACACCGCAGCAGGACCTGCTGGTCAGCGCCTCGCTGCTGTGGAAGATCGACAAGCTCCGCGAGCGAAACATCGGCACGCTCGTCCCGCTTCCCCAGGTATGTTATGTTATGTCAAGTATCGCACCTCTTCATATATATATATATATGTATATATATATAGTATTATAATAGACCCGGCACAACCGCTTCCTCCATCTAAGCCTCTGCGGTCTCCGCTAAACTACCTTACCTAACTAACCTTGTGATGCACCACCCAGCTCGTGGTCGTAGGCGATCAGAGCTCGGGCAAGTCGTCGCTGCTGGAGAGCCTGACGGGGATTCCGTTCCCGCGCGGCGTGGAGCTCTGCACGCGCTATGCGACCCAGATCACGCAGCGCCGCGACGACGTGTCCCGCGTCGAGGTCAGCATCATCCCGAGGCCCAACGCCACCGAGGCGCACAAGAAGCACGTCGGAGAATATCGCTGCAGCGCCCTGTCCCTCGAGGACTTCCGCACCGAGTTCCCTGCGATATTGAAGGAGGTTCGTTGAAGCCACGCCGCCGTATTTGTACATGTACATGTACATCTCTCTCTCTCTGGAGACAAGTGCTTGCTAACTAGTAACATGTCTGGGGGGGACATAGGTCGATAAGCGGATGGGCATCCGGATGACGAAGAACCAACCGTCCAGGGCCGGCGTGGATTCCGGGTACGGATCTGACGACTTGGTCTCTGACGGCAGCACATCATCATCGGATGGCGATTCGAAGCCCGGAAAAATGCCAGCGACGACAACAGATAATCTCGCGCAGGGAGGCCGCGTTTTCAGCGAAGACGTGCTCAAGATCGAGATCTTTGGCCCGTCGGTCGACTACCTGACCGTGATTGACGTGCCCGGCATTTTCCGCACGCCCACCGAGGGTTTCACAACCAAGGAGGACATGGCCATGGTCCGGGACATGGTGAGATCGTACATCCGGGACAGCCGCACCGTCATCCTGGCCGTGCTGCCCTGCAACATCGACATCTCGAACCAGGAGATCCTGACGCTTGCCGACGAGTACGACAAGGACGGGGAGCGGACGCTGGGCATCTTGACGAAACCCGACCTGGTGCCGGAGATGAGCATGCGCAGGTCGGTGTGCGACATCATCCACGGGAACAAGAAGCCGCTTCGGCTGGGCTACTACCTCGTCAGGAGCCGCGGCGCAGACATGAGCGATGCCGAGTTCATGAGCCGGGAGACGGAATTCAAGAAGGAGCCCTGGAGCAGCCTGCCCCTGAACAGGGTCGGGGTGCGAGCGCTGAAAGCATGCCTCGCCGACCTCCTGGGCCACATGGCGCACCGAGAGTTCCCGAAACTGCGGAGGGACATTGGGAACAAGCTCCATGCCATGGAAACGGAACGGAAGCAGCTCGGCCCGTCTCGGAAGGATGCGAACGAGCAGCGACAGTACCTGAGCAGCATGGCCCGAGAATTCCAGGAGCTGACGAGAGCCGGGCTCGAGGCCCAGTACGCCGGTAACGGGGCGTTCGAGCACCTGATCCAGCTCCGTCTCATAACGCAGATCGTCAATCTCGCCGACGCCTTCAACAGGGAGTTCCGCCACAAATCAGTCCTCCGCCGATTCGAAAAGAATAAGGGCGAGCGCGAGCGCGAGCTGTGGAGTGCCAACGGGGATGAGAAGAAGATCCGGGAATCCGCCCAGGATATCGACCCGGATGACTTCCCCGAGCTGGAGAACATCATCAGCCACGAGTTTGACGTCGACGACCCAGCGGACGGCATCACCAGCTGGATCAGCGACCTGTATTCGCGCTCCCGCGGCATGGACCTCGTCACGTACAGCAGTGCGGTGTGGTCGAGCGCCTGGAAAGAGCAGTCGGGCAAGTGGCCGAGCATGAGCAAGGCGTTTGTGAGCCGCGTCATCGTGGCCATCCATCGCTTCATCAAGGCCACTCTTGCGGTGGTCTGCGCGGATTCACACGTCCACGCGCAGCTGTGGTCGGCCATACTCGACGAGGTGCTGCGACGGTACGAGGTGGGCATGAGTGCGGCCGAGTTCCTCGTGGCTTCCGAGCGAGACACCAGGCCGTATACGCTCAACTCCTACTTCAACGAGTCTCGGCAGGAGGCCCGCGGCATGCGGGTCGTCGACGAGGTGAAGGCCACGCGCGAGCATGAAAAGGGCGTGTTCCCCGACCCCAGGGTGTCACTCGACAACGTTCGCAAGGCCATCGAGGCGAAATCGGACATCGAAGACGTCGTTGAGCAGATGCATGACGACCTCAAGGCATACTACGACATCGCTCGAGACCGATTTGTCGACAACATGCTGAACCAGGCGGTCAACTACCACCTCCTCTTCGGACCGTCCACGCCGCTCAGGGTGTTCAGCCAGGAGTGGGTGATCGGGCTGAAACCGGACCAGCTGCAGGGCATTGCCGGCGAGTCACCCAGAATTAGGGAGGAGCGCGAGAGACTCAACCGATCGATTGATGACCTGATAGCCGCAAAGGAGATCTTGCGCCAGTAACGTTGCTATTGCTACTGCAGGAGACGTGCCGGAAGGGGGAGAGTAGTGCGAATTATTCGTTCATTTTGCTGTATGCTGTTTGTCATCGATCGTGTGTGATGTATTGTATTGTATTTGCACACACAAGGTACCTTGGCTTCCCCGGAATGGTTTTGCCATTTTGCCAAATCACTACGGTTAGGCAGTCAGCTGTCCAAATAATCAGTAGGAAGCAGGTCAATTGGAACTCTTGCGTTCCCCATGCCTCACTCTCCCCCCTCTCTCTGAGAAAAAGCATAGAGGTCCACCACCACCATCGAGACTTACCGATAAACACGAGGACGGAGTTTTACACTATGCCCGCCCGAAAGGGAGCAGCCAGCTTAGAACCCCAAATCCGTCAAACTCCGGACCCCTCCCACAAAGCTGTTCTGCGGGCCCGGCATGAAACTCTCCCATTGTTCCGTCGCCATCTTGTCAGTGAGAGCCTGCTCGCCCACTTCAACCCCACCCTCGGGAAAGATTTCGTCTGCGCCCTCCAAGCCGGTTGCGTGAGACTGGAGAATCGGACAGGGACCTTCAAGTGCCTGAACCGCTCCAGGAAACCCCTCATGTCCCGCTCCATCCATTTCTATTCCCATTCGACCATGAAGTGTCAGACCATACCTCTCCTCGAAGGGCCGAAGACTTAGGCGAAGGCGCGCCGTCACCAGACCTTGACGTCACTATGAGCGCAGTCGAAGGAAAGCACCGACAGAAGTCTTAAACCGCTCTCTCGCTCCTTCAACTCAGTGCCGGATTAAACCAGCCGCCTAGGCATTGTCTGACGTTAGATATCTTTGAGTCGTAGGAAACAAATGCCAACCCAGCCCGAGGGGTTTCCCTCCATTGCCCCCTCCTACCCCTTCTTTAAATTTTAGATGCTTCAAACAGGACTTTGACCGAACAGTGAACCTCGCAGTTCTGCGGCGTGAAGTGTAGTGACTCTTCCTGGTGGTCCTTCATCCGCCTGCCCATGCTGGCCATATATGCCACAGCCGGGCGGTCGCCGCCTCCCATATCCGTGTCGCTGACCTCCAGGGCGTCCACTCTGGCTCGTCCCAGCGCTGCGGCGTAGTCCGTGGCCTTGTTGACTGCATCCTCGATGGCCAGCTTCCTGCTAGCCTTGCTCATCTCCAGCCTAGTTGGAGTGGTCAGCCGCCACTCGATGCTGACGACAGACACGTGTGGCATATTGGCCAGGTTAGACACGATCTGGCCCAGCCTGGCAAAATTGCCGAACGTGACCTCGAAGGTAGTCCGGGCTGTATACACGGGGTTCCGCTGCTGCTCTTCCCCGTGTTGCGCATCCCAGGGGATGTAGCTGCCGGTGCTCAGGGAGCTCATGCTCCAATGGCTAACAGCGACTTCATCGGCAGACGGAGAGGTGGTGGGCCCCGCACGCTCAGCCGTACTCCTTTCAGACGAATGTGCCTCCAATTCGGATTGCACGAGGTTTGATGTCGTAGTGACCTCATGCGAAACACCAGACTGTGTAGGCCCTGTGCTGGAAACCTCCAGAGTCAGCACTGCCTGTTCCGCTGCCCGACTGAGGGTCGAGGTGCCGATGGTGTGAATCTTGAGGCCCATTGTGACGTCGGCAAAAAAGAAACAGATTACAAGGAATAAGGGAGATATCGTGTAGATAGGTTAGAACGAAGTGGCTCTATTACATTGGGCTGCGTTGGGAGCGTTCTAGGTGGGAAAGGTGGACCACTGGTCATGTAGTGGTTTATTTCCATTTCAGGTTAAAGCACCCTGACGCTATTTCGAAATCTGGCTTAGCGGGGTATTGTTTTTTCTCACCACGACCCGCGGAGCAACGTCAACCGAGCCTCCATCCGACCCTTGGTGTGCACGCAGCAGCAATGCGCCGCCATTCTCGTGAGGGCCATACCAATGTCTGCTCTTCCCAATGGCGCCGCCACGACCCTCACATTGTCAACGAATACCGCCGGCCCGAGTAGCAACAGCAGCAGCAGTAACAAGCCTCCTCCCACCATGACCATGACCACCGCGAACCCATCATCCACCAACATCCCCAAACCCCCCTCCAAAAAGGATGACGGCCCGTCCTTCTCCGCCCTCCGCCATGCAAGCACGCCCTCCGAGATCCGCACCGCCCTAGCAGCCCTCCACGCCCGCGAAGCCGCCCTCACAGCCGACCTCAGCGCCCTCCTATCCAGCCACGCCGACCTCTCCCGCTCGCTCTCCCGGCTCGACAACCTGCGCGCGGGGCTCGGCGCCCAGGTGATCGCGGCGCGCAGCATATCCAACAACATCCTCTCCTCGGCAGCCGACACGGCGGCGCGGCTCTCGGGCCGGGTGCGCGCGCTGGACCTGGAGAAGCAGCGCGTCGAGGACACGCTGGCCGTCGTGGAGCAGGTGGCCGAGCTGAAGGCGTGCGTGGCCGGCGTCGTGGGCAGCATGGGCGCGCCGCAGGACTGGGAGGCCGCCGCGGGCTACATCGCCCGGGCGGCGCGCGTGCCGGACGAGATCGTGCGGGGCGGCTTCGCGGCCGCCGTCGTGCCCACCGTCGAGGTGCCGGATCCGCCGTGGGTTACGCTCGAGCAGGCCAGGGAGAGTCTGTGTAGTTTGTTTCTGAGAGAGTTCAAGAAGGCGGCGGCGGAGGGAGATGCGGCGAAGGTCACCAGGTTCTTTAAGCTGTTCCCCCTGATTGGGAGGGGCGATGTGGGGCTCGACGTGTACGGGCAGTATGTGTGCCAGGGTGTGGCGGGCGAGGCAAGGGCCTCGTTGAAGGAAGGGGCCGGGCAAGGGAGGAAGGACGGCGTGTTCTTCGCGAATGCCCTGACGAGGCTGTTTGATCACATCGCACGTATCGTGGACGCGCATGGTGGGCTCGTGGAGAGACACTACGGAACGGGCAAGATGGTCAGGGTTATTGAGAGACTACAGATGGAGGCTGACGTTCAGGGCGGAATTATCCTTGACTCGTGGAGCGACGACCGGACGGTGGACCGGAGGCTCACCGATGTCAAGAGCTACCCCTTCTCGTTCCTGGTACAGAGCTTCCTGCCGCAAAATCGCGGTTTTGGAGGCGCCCCGCGGGTCAATTCGCCTGCTCTTGGTGGCCAAGCCACCGATGCTCGTAACAGCGAGGACGAAGGCGTCAACATGAGGGAGGTGGATGCTCTGCTGGTCGAGATCGCCGTGATGCTCGAGAAGTGGTCTGTCTACTCCCGCTTCCTTGCCGCAAAGTGCCAGGTAAGAAAGCAATACGGAAGGGGCCTCGTCGTTCAAGGGCTAACAGTTCCTAGGATCCACAAGCGCCCGACGACTCTCAACTCACTGTTCCGGACGTCCTGATTAAGTCGAACCTAAGCCGCAAAGTGTCAGGGAAGCTCATTAGCCCGTATAACGTGCTCACCACTTTCTTCTTCCGGCGGTCCGTCGAGAAGGCATTCCAGCTCGACGAGTCTCCGCCTGGGCTCTCGTTGAGCATGAGCAGATCAATAGACAGCAATCCCCCATTCATCATCTCGGCAGTTGACGTGGTTATGTATATCGTCAACACCGTTATCCAGAGATCCATCTCCACGTCTCAACGAGGCGTCATCGATTCCGTTGTCGCCACCATATCCAGCATCCTCGGCTCTGACTTTGTCGGCATGATCCAGCGCAAGATGCGCGACGAATCTTACCCACGAGCCACCGTTCAGGGCAACCTCCCGCCCGAAGACAAAATCATCTCCTTCATTGTCCTCATCAACAGCCTCGACATGGCCAACGAATACCTCGCCCGCATCGTCTCTAGCTTCCTCCAGTCTCCCGAACAACACGCCAACGGCATCGGCGTTTCCTCTCACACCAGGCCGCTCCAGGACGCTTTCCCATTCAAGAACGAAGCAGGTGAGGTGGCCACTCGCCTCAGAAACCTCAACGCCTCCTTCTCCGCCAAGGCCTCCGAGCTCCTCAACGAAGGGATCAAAGTCCTCTTCAGCAACGTGATAAAGCCCCGGCTACGCCCCGTCCTGACCGACACCTTCCGCGACGCAGACTACACATTAACCGAGGAGGAGCTGGCCGAACTGGCGGCGCAGAACGGCCAGACCGAGGATGACATCCTCGACCAGGTACCACGCGTGTTCGAGCACGGCTGGGACGGCCTGATGCGGCCGATCGCGCGGCTCATGACCCCGCGGACGTACACCACGCTGCTGGACCTGACGGCCGACTACCTCGCGCGGGTGCTGGAGAAGAGGGTGTGGAGCTATGCCGGCGGGAGGACGAGTCCGTACGGGGCGATACGGATGGAGAGAGATTTCGGCGGCATCATCGGGAGCATCAGCAAGGGCAACTATGCAGTGCGGGAGCTGTTTGGGAGGACGGCGCAGATATTGATGGTCGCGAACATGGAGGACGACGAGTGGGAGGAGCTGGCCGCGGAGGAGGGCGAGGGTGAGATGCAGTGGGTGCTGACTGAGGAGGAGAGGAGGCGGGCGAGGAGCATAGTCATGACCTAAGCGGTCTACAGGTGTCATTATGGTTTAAATCTCTTGCGATGCGCCATGGCGGACATTATTAAGGCGCATTGTTGTTCACTTGTTTCATGGGTCGGCATAGCCAGGTAAGATTTCTCGGGAGGTTATAAAAGTGGCAAGGGCGTCTTTTCTTTTCCGAGCAACCTTGGAACGAGTCTTCCGTCTGACGGTCAACAGCCTAGGACGCCATCGTACTAGCGCTTTGCGAGTCTGATATATGTTGTAGCAGCAGGCTGACACCCATGGATCGGAACGTATCCTGACTGTCACTACGTTGAGCGTAATGGTGGCTGTTGCTGGCACGCTGGCTGTCACGGCCTTAGTCCGGGCGATATCCCTACTCTGGCGCTGGATCAGGAGGAAGCTGCGAGAACGTGGCGGTTGAGGGTTGGGATGGTGGAGTGTTGGAGGGGGAAGTGAAGATGTTGAGTACGGGTTCTTGAGCTGGAGGTTTTGGGGGGTTGTAGTAATAAACGACGGAGTGGGGTAGTTCGGAGGGCAAGGGAAACTCGGCCTCTGTTGGACGGCGGTTCCCGACCAATGTCTACAAACTCGAGATTTTCACCGTGGAACTGAGGATGGTGATTTTGAGATTGGATCGTGTTGTATTTCGTTGACGGCTGATCGCCGTCACCCGGAGCTAACTGGGGGTATGATCGCGACCTCGTCGCCTTCCTGTATCACTACCTCATCGGTCTCTCCGGCGGACTCATCATCCGGCACATCCACATACGTCAAGTTTATCGTGACTAGACTGTGGTCGAGCACGCTCGCCCTGATGCCCTTATACCGCTCCTCGAGCGTAGCAAAGAGCTTCCTCAGTGGCAGTGGAGCCGGCAGGGCTTCGACATTCTTGGAGGTGTACGAACCCGCGCTGGCAAAGTACAGGATGTTAAAATGCCCTTTGGGTGGCTTCGGAGTCATCGTCCTAGCTTTTCACCCTTGTTAGCTTCTGGGCCGCATTGGCGAGAGCAGGACGGAGAAAATGAATGGTGCGGTTGTCAGAGATCTTGGTGATTTGAGAACACATCAAATTTGTTTTCAGGTAATACATGCTGTTTGGTGCATCATCCAACCGGGGAGATCGAGAGGTGTTTGCGATGGTTGCGCAACTTACATTTGGTGCTTTGCTGGTTGTTGCGTGGTCGGAGGGGACAAGCCCCTCCAGGAATTTGCAAGCTCTCAAGGTTGAGCTTAACTAAACCGGAGAGGCCATCACGTGCGTCGCCTTACCATAGCTGCTCGAGGCATCCTTTTCTCACAGTGATCAGCCGCCGAGAAAACTGGGCATCATTTGGCGCCCATTGGCAAATGGGTTGCAGAATGAGCTCTCTGCCACTGTTGCCTTTGGTTGTGCGAACGGAGTAGAAAAGTCGAAAAGCTTCAACCCAGCTCGGAGCAATTTATCTTCTGAAGTGGATGCACTTGATTGGTCAAGAATTGACCCACTCAGAAATCGGGCAGCTGCCAGGGCCAGCTGTAAGCTGGCCTAACGACACTGGCTCATTGGCACTGCATTCACTCATTTACTGTAGGCTCCAGCCCAGACAAGCTTGAGATCTGGTCTCGGATTTGAGCGTAGGAAGATGTATATTTTATAATGGCTATGATGGAGACTGTAATGTCAAGGTCAACTTCGTTGAAACTAGGGACTAACTGATCTAGACTAATATGTGCGCTTGGGAGAGCATTCTATTTTCTAGATGCCCACAGTAGTTGCTATAGCGACGGGGCTGAAGACGGTTGTGTCTTAACTTTGATGGCTGCTAGCGTTCGGTTGCCGATAGGATCCAAGATAGGTATGCCATGAAGAATATCAGGGCGAAGTTTTGACGACGAATACAGCCTACTGCCAGTGAGCCTTGTTTCGAGGTTTCGAGAGCAAACCCCCGTTGAGCCATGATTAGGCAGAAGACATCTACTATCAAATAACCTACCTTGGTACCAGGTAAGTATTTACACCAGTGTCAAAGTTACATATTCACCCTCCCACTCCTCAAAAGGCTCCCACCACACCGGGAAGCCCTGCCCGTTCGCCTTCCTGAAAGCGACGACGCCCAACCTCTCGTAGACATTCCTCGTCCCGTCCCGGTGGCGCAGGAGTAGTGACCAGTGGTCGTCCTGCTCCACCATGACGCGGAGGCAATGCACCTCGGCATCGTCCTCCTGCGCCTCCTCTTCGATCAAGTCGGGCAAGTAGAAGATCTTTTTACCCTCGTCGTTCCTTCTCACCTTCCCCAGTGTTGTCGGGACGAGGATTCCCCGAATAGTGACCTCGTTGGCCGGACGCCCAGAACGCTCGTCTTGGACCAGGGTGACAAACGTGTCTTGTGGAAAAGACTGTTGAACAAAGTTGACACCTCCCGGCCAGCTGACACTATACGGAACGCTTGCCCATGACCACGTGGGAAAGAGGTGCTCGTGGGAACTCCAGACCGGTCTCCGCCCGTGCGGACTAGCCTCGAAGGTCCTCGCTGGCGCGGGCCTATGTCGCGGCCCAATCATCCAGAGCAAATCCAACGCGAACGTGTCCTTCCACAGGCCCGCGAGACAGTCGCTGTTCCGCAATGGACGCATGTACTGAACGATGCCTTCCACCGCGGCCAGCTTGTCCGTCTGGTAGCTCAAGGCGGTCTGTGAGTAGGTGTTGATGAACTCGTACCACAACCTCGCGAGCGCTGCTTGCGTGGGAGAGGCCCCGGTCGGCTCCAGGAGCTTGTAATACTCGTCCTTGGCTGGCTGGGCAGGACCGTCATTGCACTCGCATCTCGAGAGTTTGCGGCACCGCCAGAGGAGCTCTGTCTCCCCGAAGAGAACGGTGCGCGGCGAGAGGAAGTACTCCTGTGCCACCCAGCCTCGTTTCATCAGGGGGAAGTCGGGCTGGAAGTGCTTCATTCTCCTGCGGGCGAAGAGCGCATGCGGGATATCGGCGGCCCCGGGCACGCTGATGTCGATTGTCTTTGCTTCGAAAAAAAGCCCGCCGTTGCAGTCGGTAGAGGACGCGGCAGCTAGCGTCAAGTATGAGTTCCGGTAGACCTCATTCATGCGGCCGATTTCCTGTTCCCAATCCTGGTCGGAGGCTTCCTTGTCCTGGTCGTGGTCATGCTGAAGAATGCAGAGGGAGTCGATCCAGAGATAGCGAACGCCCAGTTTCCTGGTGAAGGTGACAGCATGCTGGAAGGTTAGGGGAAGGGAGTCGTAAGAGATCCCTTTTCTGTATTCCTCGATGGTCCGCGCAGTAAGCTTGGTGGGCATGTGGCTTGGGTCGCCCCAGCAGTGACTGAGAGTCACGTACCGTCCACGTAATCCATTGGTCTCCAGAACCTTGACAGGGCCATCGTCGACGGAGTCCAGGCCCAGGTCGAGAACTCTTGTAGGCAGCCGTGAGGCGTCCAGGCCAACGTTGCATTCCGCGTGCTCGGCGAGACAATCCTTGAGTTTGCTGACGATCCAAGCGCGACTCTCCTCGGAGGCAGTATGCGCCGGAGTTGTCCGTGCCTCCAGGAAGAACGGCCAAGGACAAAGGTCGTTATAATTGCGGTACAACTGGATAACCTTTCTGTTTGTGTCTCGAACCTTGGGGTCCAATAACCAGAGGCGCGCATCCGGTCTTGTCTGAGGTTTCCAACCGCTGCAATACATGCTTCCGACGTAGAAGAAGAAGTGCGTTTGCTCCGGGTTCTCCTCGGGGTATAAGGCCCGGACGGCGTTTGACAGAATTTGGCAGGTTTTGCAGCCGTTGTCGGCGGACTCGAAGAGCTGAGCGCATGGCAGGGAATTATCCGCCTCCCGTCGGGCCTGCAACGTCTCCATATGGAAGCTGCAACAAACATTGCACAGCACGGTCGCATATGGTGGCGGGATTGCTTCAGGATTGCTGGTCATCTTGAATAGCAGTACACAGGGCGGTGCACGGGTAGATGATGAGAAGATCGTCAATCCACAGGGCTGAGTCCGAGACTTCACAGCACCAGACCAAATGAACAAATTCTCCAGGGCTAGAAGTCAGTTCCCCATGAACATGAGGGAAAGGTGCGAGAGCATCCATAATATCGATGGTTGAGTGAGATCCTCAGCTGAGGGAAGTGGGCGGTTCCGCGTACGGGATGTCCGTAAGACGCCATGCCCTCTTGGGCCAGCCAAGTTCAGCACTCGAATCCTAAGGCACCATGCCCATAATAAAAGTCCATACATTCAATGTCACCCACCTAAGACCCCCCCCACTGCAGTATTCATCAGTACATATTTGGCGTTGGGTATCACTGTAGTCTGCCGTCTAAGATAACTTCGACATCCTTTCCTCCAAGTCCTTCACCCACTTCGACATCACATCCATATTCCTGTTCATCGTCGCATCACCCTCCCTGACAGCAGACTCCACCTTCTCCAGTCCCTCTCTCCACATCTGAATCTCCGATGACATCTCCGCCTGTTTCTTTTCAAGGCGCTCCAGCGTCTGGGCCGCCGTCGCAGCATCGGCATGGATCATCCGTAGCGATCGGAGACGGTCGAGAAGGGGTGGCAGGAGCGGCGCCAAGTTCTCGATGGTCGGCAAGGTTCCGTAGAGCGCATTGATTTTGGCCATCTGCTCCGAGTCTTCTGGGGCAGCGGCCTCGGATGTTGCCCCTGATCCAGTTGAAGCAAGGGCATCTTGGGCCGCCTTAGCGTTCCGACGTGCCTTCTCTAGACCTTCCGCCTCCTGAGTCAGGGTTCGTACTCTCCGGCTGATGCTGTCCAGCGACGGAACCGAAGCGTCGGATAGGGTCGAGATTTGCTTGTGGAGGTTCTCCAGGAGGGGAATAATGGCCCGAGGTAGGCCGTTCGAGTCGAATTCGGGCATTGCTGTCGACCCGACACCCAATGCCTTCTCTAGCACGACAAGACGTCGGTCGAAATCGGCAGCCTTGGACAGAGCTTGAGTCTGCTCATAGCTCGGCGCATATGTCATCGTGTACTTGGCGCCGTCTTTGGAGTCTCCATGTGCCCTTTCCTCAACTCTAGGTTGTGGTCTGGCAGCAAAGAGAGTACTAGCCGGAGGAAGAGTGCGAGAGGCAAGTGATTCGTCGACTCCGGAGATCTCGTCCAGAAGCTTGCTGATCGAATCGAGCTCGTCCTTCTGGACTTCGTCTTCTTCTGTCGATTGGGCGGCAGCTGCTTTCTGCTTTCCGTACTCCTCCTTGGCTTCCTCAATCTCCCGCTTCAGCCTGGCGATCTTCCGTGTGAGGTTCCCTGCGTCGTCCTCGTCGCTCAGGTCGCCCAGCTCCTCCGTCCCATCATCGAGGATCCGACGTCGCCGGGTCGACGTCCTGTAAGACCTTCGCCTGCTGCTGAGGCGGTCTGAGAAGTCTACATCGCTCGCATCTACCGCGGAGGGCATGAACCTCGCCCGGGCCTCATTTATGCGAAGGCGGGACCGCGAAACGCCAGCAGCGTCCTCTTCATCTTCGTCATACTCATCGTCGGAAGGTGACCGTACGGTCGTCGGCTACAGCATGAATTAGTCGAGTCTCCGACGGCGCGTCGGAAAGTACTCACTGGAACTGTCGAATGGTCGTCGGTGAGCTCCGGCGTCTCGTAGATATCCGGCGCCGAATCCTAGGCGGAGTAAGACCGGTTAGACATAGCCGAGTCGCACGTTTTGGGCCTGCGGACTTACTAGGTCCGGCAATGTTGCATATTTCCTACTTGAAGTCATCTCGCAGCTGTCTGAGAATTACCGGGCACGATCTCCGTCCGCAGCTGTTGTCGAGGTGTGAGTGAGGTTGGGTGTTGAATGTTAGGGGTGTCTGAGCAGTGAGCACCAATCATCGCGGCAGCAGTAGTCGGCAAGCCCCACTGCATCCAGCCAAAACGCGTCGAGCAACCAGCGTCGCGCCTTCCGATGCAAATTGGCTTCCGAACCCGTCCAAATTAGCTTCGTACAGCGTTGACTGGTGGTTGCGTGCATCTCTGACATTTTCACCTTTTATGTTTGCTCTTTGCTTTCTCGGTTACTCGGCTCATGTAAGCTGAGTTGCTGTCCGGGTTCAAGCCGGATATTTTCACTTCATTCCCTACACCTACAGCTCCGTCAGAATGGATAGGTGCTTCTCATTGTGTTGAGGCCGACTTCGTGTGAACCTTACCAGCCGCTGATGCTGCACTTGAACACAAAGGATATTGACTAAGAGCGCTGCACGTCGATAGTGCAGCCTGGTCATCCAGCAAGCCAAGTTGCTCACATGTTTGGCAAACGGCATGTTGGACTCAGCAGCAAGCAATCCGTCCCTCCCCTGCTGAAAATTATTCGCCGACCTGTCACCAAAGACATGAAGGACGTCGACGTCGACGCTCCTCCGTTGAGCAGCTCCGATCTGAGTGACAATGAAGGATTGTCGAACAGGGGAAGCATCCAGCCAAGTCGTTTTCTGAAGGCCAGCCAGCCAAGCTCGTCGTCCGGTCGGAAGAACAAAGATGGCGAAGCGAATGGAAAGGCTACAACATCAGCGGCACGGTTCAAGCAGACCCGGTCATCGACAAGGACGGGCACCCGGGGGGAGCCCGGTTCAAGCCCTAGGGACTCAGATCGGCGGACAGGAGTGACGAAAACCGATAAAGCATCGAGCCCTCCTGCGCCAAAGAGGCTTGAGCGGACTTCTCCGGGCCTGGAAGAGCTCGGCGATCAGTCTAGAGCGGACACGATCTTTTCTCAACCGAAAAGAAATGTCCTGAAGCGATACGGCGCACTGCGGAACTTTGCCAAGAAGAAGCCAAGGCAAGGGGCATCGCCGAAAGGGACTCTCAAGCAGCCTCTGAAGGATTTAACACCGGAGGAGGAGAGCCCAAAGAGGATTAAGAAGCTCCGGATGCCTTCATCCCCGTCGAAAGTTGGAGACGAGGCCGTCTCGCCGCCCCGCAAGCTCAAGCCTGTTCCAGATAGTGACTCTGATTCAACAATGGATGGATCTCCAGTACGAAAGAAGCGGCTCAGGATGCCGGACGACGGGAGTTTGGCATTTTCAGCAGTCTCCGAAACACCAGGAGAATCACAAAGACCCACGTTCAGGATCCCAGATGAGCTTCCGGATTCGTTTGTTGAGGCTGAATATGAGAGGTTGAATTGTGCCGTTATCCCAATAGTGGACACGTCTAATGCATCCAATTTGTTACAACCCTCCTCCTCCCCGTTGACAGATTTGGACTTGATAGTCTCCGATGCAGCTCCCATCTGTCCACTGTGCCGCAAGGAAGTCGACAAGAGCGACCTCGACGAATTCAAAGAGCGATACCCCCGTGTGACAGTTGCAAACATGCAAAGGTTTTGTCAAGATCACAACCGGCGGTCAGCAAGGGAGGCATGGATCCAAAAGGGGTACCCAGACGTCGACTGGCGGCACCTCGACGATCGAATAGCCCGGCACTACCCTTACCTCCGCAAGATCCTGGAGGACGGCGAGCCATCACACTACGACAAGCTGTTTCGGGACACCATCCGCTCCGGCCAGAACAGGACGCTTCTCCGGTCTGATGCCAACCTCACGCCGGGGTATTATGGCATCCGCGGCCTGAGGGCGATGTCGGAAAACTTGATCCGGGAGTTCTCGTCCCTATTGCGTAAAAGGGCGCTACAGGACAGGCTGGTCGCGGCGAGGGGACACACGGCATATTTGCAATCTGTATTAGTACCGGAGCTGGCGGTACAACTAATCATGGAGGATATGAGTGTCGGGGAGGAGGAGGCGAGAAAGATCCTCACGGACAGCTCTGCTGTTGGTGAGCTCCTGAACGATGAAATTGCTGACCGCGTGGTCTTGGAGGAGGATGACCATTCTGAATGACGAGGCTACTGGCCACATCGGTTGGTGGGGAAGTCAGCGGTCTGCTTTAGCTAGAGAGATGTTCCGTGGATCAACATGCGCACGACCCAGAGAGCCTTATATACGTATCGAATCTGAAGTTGCTTGATAGTCGCTGTCTTGATGAGAGACACACGATTGTGCTTCCGCTGATCCATCTTTGGCTTGTCTCGAGCCCAGTCAGTGTCAGGAGAGCTGCGCAAACGCAGTAGGGGCTATTCAGATCTTCACAGCCTGTAGCGGGAATCAGGTGTGAAGGCGCAACCGTACCCCTCGATCTCAACGTCATATTGACGGGGGGTTCTGTGTACGGGGTCTGAGACGACGGAGATTTTCACTTCGATGTTTGCTTCGACGGCAGTTAGCCCCGGCCCCATGCCAGTCACGCTTTTCTATAGGGACTATGAACAAGGCAACTCGAGAGGCAATAGCACACTAGGTTGACTCCTTCCTGTATCGACAACATTAATGAGTTGATTGCGAACTAGCGGCGAAGAGAGTGAAACCTCGAAAGCTTGATTCGTCGGTTCCACGGGCACATGACGGGAGCTTCCCCTCAGTATCTGACTCGCTCTGCATAGGCCTAGATGTGTGCCGACCGAGTCGTTGAGGGTGTGACTGGGAGAACTAAGATTTGGTGACAAACTTAGGAAGACGGGACCGATGGTGACCTCGGTTTTCCGTCAAGGCAAGTGCGCTGCGTGGAGGTAACTGGGTGTCTTACCGCCGAGATCCCAGCGACTGGGCGCAATGTGGTGTCTTCTGACTCGGTGGCATGCTCATGTAAGCTTAAGGTAAACTTGGGGTCTCGAGGCTTTTATACGTTACACAGTCAATGAGCGGGCACATCCCATGTAGAGACGGGAGTTGGCGCTTTTGATATGGCGGCACCGCAAGGAGTCGACTGTTATACCTAGTAGTACGGATTACTCCGATGACCAACCGGAGAACCCGAAGTTAAAAGTTCGAAATAGCTACCTACCTTACCTCACTTACTTACAAAAGAAAGTTCAATAAAGAGCAGTTACGTCATATATATCTCAAGCTGCCAGTGAGGCCTGGAGGTTGGAGTGTAGACTCAGAGTCCAGACGTCCCTCTGTCTGAGTTGCACGAGGTTTGTTGGGACGGGAAGAAGCAAGTTCAAGCAACCTCGCTCGGCAAGCTCTGCTCATTACGCTGACCGACACGGAAGCAGTCATCATGGGATTTGGACCAATCTCCGGTGTGGGAAGCAACACGTTGGGGGATCAGAGTAAGAGAGTGGCAGTTGTTCACTCAGCTTGAAACCCACAAGATAGTATCAGACTTCAAGTTCTTCGACATCTGACCTGTGCTTTGTGTATTTGACCACCTCCGGGAAGCTAGGTATGTTGTACAGAGGTATTGGAGTAGTGGAGGGGAAGCGCCTGTGTACACGGAGTGGGACTTCTAACATTACAACCTGGAATTAGTACCGCACACTACATACGGAGTCCTCTCCGTATTACTAGTCTGATTCGATAATAAGCGAGGACCGGTGCCGTCTCGGCAGCATACTGTATGTACATCCGTACACGGCCCACATACCCGTAGTAAACGTATGTAGTCTACAGGAATTATACGGCGTAATACATCCATATTTTTAGCACACTAGGCTGAACCGCTGAATGGCCATCTGGGCAGTAGGATTTGGCGTTGTTGAGACAGGAGTGATTGGGGTTAAGTCCACGTCGTCTGTGACTGTAGAATTGGAAGCCTGGAGGCTTTTATTCAGAGAGATAAGTCGGCAATGCTGCACATGAATTCAGCTGGAACAAAAGCCCCTTTACGCGGGGGGCCAACGTCGGTTCGGGCCCGAGCTTTCCATCGGGCGGGGCCGTGGTGGCCCGGTTCAATAGGTACCTTACTTCGTAGACATCTTCCATCGTGACACGGATGATTGTGAGAAAGACGACGGATTGAAGACGTAGGAGTAATTGCAGGGCGCTCCCGCAGCGTGATGTTATTCTATGAGACAATGAGTAGGTAGGTATGTAGGCGAGAAAGTTAAACGGCAGCGGGGAAGGGCGAGAACCTTGAACGCACACTGGAAGTTACCTATTTTAGGCGGTAGGTTCGGATCATCGAGCGTCCTACACCAATCACCATGCCCTTGCTGTTGAGCTGCAATAGTTGACTCTTAAGCCAACATCGCCTGCGATATCAAACCAGTCCCCTAATAATCGAGCAACTTCTAATCAGCGCTCATGTGTCCCAACAAAGCTTGTATGGGGCTGGAATTAGTGTACGTTCCGGTACAAGCTCAGTGAAACTGAGGACTCCATTGATTCAAGTTGGAACCTACCGAGCCCTAGCCTGGCTCGAGCCTAGGTCGCCCGGGCTCCACCCGCTTGTTCGGGCCGTTACCTACCTGGGGGCCGCCAGAGGCTGTAACGTTATTACAGCGCTCCGTATGTACTGTACTAATATTGTACAATACATTCGCACCTAATACGGTATGTATGTATGTATAAGAATGTAGCTCTACATACCTGGTAGTACATTACATACCTTACCTACCGCATTTATTAGGTTATCTACCTTACCTAAGGTATGTATGGTCGACGAAAACGCTATATGCGAAGTAAGGGCAGGCGAACGGCTACATTAGTGTACGCACGGCATCCGCACGTTCAAAGCTGACGGTGTCACAGATTCCGACAGGTTCTGGTTGGCGGGCACCAACTCCCGTCGCCCCGGCTCGCCGTTCCAAGCCCTTGCCGTGGGGTTCTCCTCTCCGCAGCCCAGCGGATGAAGGCGGAGCCCTGCAGACCGGCCCACAGCCCCCCAACCTGGAAACCAACCTTCGCCCCAAGGCGGGCACTTTCCGCCGGACCCCCCAAATCCCTGTGGCCATCATCGCATTACCTTATTGTGAGGTGACCCGCATCAGCAGCAGCAGCATCACGACACAAACAGCGAAACGGAAACGGCAAGGGCCCGAGCATCGAGGAGCGCAACCAAGCAATGACCTGACAGACACTGCCGGCCGTCGAGACGTCGAGAGGCACCCGCCCATCGACCTGTCCCTTTGTTAGTGCGCGGGTTACTGGTTCGCAGGTGGTGACAATGCCTCGAGCCGAGGACACCTCCCGCTTTAGCTCCATGACGGGCTCCAGCACCGATAGCGCGAGATCCAGTATCACGGTGAAGCCTCTGCCCGCGACGCCTACCACTCCATCGCTCCCCAACGCAGCCGGTGCGGACAGCAATGGCTTCAGAGTCGTCCCACGTGGATCGCGACGAGCGGCTCCGGCACGCCTCAAGACGGACGATAACGGCAACCTTATACGGTGAGCGGCATCCCGTCCTGGTCGTTCTCCAATTGCTCTCCTGGCCCTCTTTACGTTTTATCACTGAACGTCAACTAATTTGGATGCAGGCCTGTCAAGGATTCCGACGGCCAGATCTCGCCAACCAACGGCTCACGCCGTGCACTGTCTCCCTCGTCGCTAAGCTCCAACGCGTCGGTGCGCGAGCATGGAATGAGCGATCTTCTCGATTACCGCCGCGACCTAGCGATCCTAGACCCCGCCGGCGGCCGGTCGTCGCGGAATCAGCAGACAAACCCGTCCAGCGGCTCTCTCAACCAGATCCCGCCCTGGATGGCCGCCTCTAACAACGCCGCGGCGACGGCTCCCACTTCTGACCCCATGCCCACAACGTTCTACAACGACTCGACCGATAACCTCTCGTCGAGTTCCCAGTTGTCCCCCGGCATCCGGACCTCCATCAGCCGCCCGACGCTTGCTGGCAGCAGCGACTCTCCTGACGCTGCATACTTCACCGACGAAAGGCGCCCGTCCGTTGCAAGCATCACCACAACAGCAAGCAGCCATAGTTCAAGAGCCAGTGGGACAAGAGGAGGGTTTCGGAAGTTGCAAGGCTTTTTTGGCGAGGAGTTTCCGGGGAGAGACTCGTCTGAAATCAGCCTCCCGCACCATGGCACTGCGAAGGAACACCGCTCGCATTCCTACAGCTACAACCGGCAGCATAGGGATCGCAACCTCTCAAATGCTACTGATCATGGACGGGACAACTCCCCGTCTTCGCGGCCTCGAACGCCGGTACCGGCTCCGGAAGTCGTGCCGTTCTTATACCAAGAAGCCGGTGTACGTGCAAAAGACTCCACACATGCCCCCTAGCCCAGAAGGGCTATCCTCTCAATTTCTTCTTTCGGAAATATACCCTGTCAATCATCCAACCCTCCCTATCCCTATTCTGCAGTCTGCGGTCATCCTTCTTTGCTCCCCTTCTTTGAGGTTATGTCACAAGTCGCTCTGATGCTGAACGTAACCTAGGACATTGCGCGTTACGGGGAAGCGCCCGTCCGAGACATCCTCAGCGGCCCGGATCGTGATCGCTACATCACCGACGGCTCCTCAAATCCGCCCAAGACGTCTGGCTCTGGACGGTCGGGCCACTCAATTGTGCATTTGCCTGGGCACCATCACCGGCATAATAAGAGCAACGAAGACGAAAGATCACTGCGACCATCCATCAGCCGCGACGATTCCAACGCAGCCACCATCAAAGAACGTTCTGGCTCGGCCGGAATGTACGGGACAAGGTCGCGCGCCCAGAGCCCGGCTCCAAGCTCGAACAGTAGTTACTGGGGTTCCAAGAACAGCGGTGGTGATGGACAGACATCGCCCGGGCCCCATCCCACGAAACGGCGTTTACTTCCTCGCTTGGGTCGGAAGAAGGAGAAGGACGACACGGCCGATCTCAGGAAGCTTCCTGCATCGACCCAATCGCTGCAATCACGGCCGTCCAGACAGGAGTACCCTTTCAATGACCGACAGCCACAACAAGGATCCGAATGGCCGACCACGCCTGACGTTCGCGAGGCCTACGCACCTCGACCCGGATTTCCGCGAGGCGCGACTTTCAACAACAAGTTCCCCTTTTCGTCCAAAAAGAAGAGTGCCGCAAGACAGCACGATGACCTCGACGAGAACATCGGCCCAACGGACAAGCAGGATAATGGAGGAGGTACGGTGTTCCACCTCGACACAAACCTCAGTGATATGGAGGGGATTCTCAGCAGGCCGTTGCCATTAACCCCGTTGGATTCCGACTTCGTAAACGAATTCGACTTCGACAAGCTGCCCATCAAGCCCACAGATCCCAGCGGTGCGTGGAATGCCCCTGACAGCTGGGCAGTGCGCAAGGGAGATCAGGCATCATCGTCATCCCAACTCCCCGAAGCCGACGACATAGGGAGCCCGCCGAGACCAGAGGAGAAGTTGACCAACTATTGCATCCGCGTCTTCAGGGCGGACGGCACCTTCGCAACTCTCCAAATGGCGCTGGACGCGACAGTCTCGGATCTTACCTCCCAGATCATCAAGAAGTCGTACGTGATAGATGGAGTGGAGAACTACAACATCGTCCTAAAGAAGCACGAGTTGACTAGAGTTCTCAAGCCCGCCGAGCGCCCACTGCTGATGCAGAAACGGCTGCTCCAGCAAGTGGGATATGAGGAGCGCGACAGGCTGGAGGACATCGGCCGGGAGGACAACAGCTATATCTGTCGCTTCATGTTCCTCTCCGCGCGAGACAGTGATCTCCATGACGCGGCACACAACCGAGGATTCGACAAAGAGAAGAAGGTCTACCACGTCGACCTGTCTGGCCTCAACATAACAGCAATCCCGGTCACGCTCTACTCCAGGGCTGCTGATATCATTTCTCTCAATCTATCGAGGAATCTATCCCTGGATGTGCCTCAAGACTTCATCCAGGCCTGCGAAAACCTGCGCGACATCAAATACCTTAATAACGAGGCTCGGAGACTCCCGCGGAGCCTGAGCTGGGCGACCAGGTTATCGATGCTGGATGTGTCGAATAATCGGCTAGATCAGCTTGAGCACGTGAACCTCCGCGGTCTGGCGGGGCTCCTGAAGTTCAATCTGGCCGTCAACAGACTCAAGGACCTCCCTCCGTATTTTGGTGCATATTCGATGCTCCGGCAGCTGAACATCTCGTCGAATTTCTTGGAGAAGTTCCCTGCTTTACTCTGCGACATGGGGAGTCTTGTCGACTTGGATCTGAGCTTCAACCTGATCAGTGACTTACCGGACGCCATCGGGAAGCTGAGAAATCTAGAGAAATTCGTCATCACAAATAACCGGTTGACCGGTCCCTTCCCGGATTCCTTCAAGAACCTGAGCAGCCTGCGCGAGCTTGACATCAAGTATAACGCGGTAACAAACATCGACGTGATTGCCCAGCTTCCCAAACTAGAAATCCTCACCGCCGACCACAATTCGGTCTCCCAATTTGTTGGCACATTTGAGAGGCTGCGGAGTCTCAAGCTCAACTCGAACCCCGTTACCAAGTTCGAAATCACGACGCCTGTCCCGACATTGAAGATTCTGTATTTATCCAACGCCCAGCTAGCCAGCATCGATGACTCGTTCAACAACATGCCAAGCCTCGAGCGACTGTACCTGGACAGAAACTACTTTGTCTCCCTGCCGAGCCAGATAGGCAACCTGAGGAAGCTCGAACACTTCAGCATCGCACACAATTCAATACGCCAGCTGCCTTCTGAGATCGGATGTCTCACGGAATTGCGTGTGCTAGATATTCGCGGAAACAGCATCAAAAAGCTTCCCATGGAGTTATGGTACGCGAGCAAGCTGGAGACTCTGAATGCGTCGTCCAATATTCTGGATGGTTTTCCCAAGCCGGCGTCCCGTGCGCCCCAACCCCCGGATGACGCGGCCAGCACGACCAGTTCCATCAGCAGCAAGCTATCCGGGACGACGCGCGCTCTGTCACCGATGCCGAGCGTTGAGGAACTCAGCGATTCGTCCAGGCGTCCGAGTCATGCATCCAGCACGCTTCTCAGTGTTGGTCCGTCGCCAGTCCCTGGGGCGGGTGACAGAAAGGGTTCAATGGTGTCGTTATATGGGAAGGGCGGCCGGAAGACGTCCGTCGTCTCGCGGAGCACGCAAAGCAGCTCGACCCCCACGATCAGTGTTAGAAAAGATTCTAACCACTCGGCGCTTCTGACCAACACCTTTGCTGGTTCCCTCCGCAACCTGTATCTTGCGGATAATCGGCTAGACGACGACGTCTTCGACGCGATCGTCAGTCTACCAGAGCTTCGGGTTCTGAATCTCTCCTACAACGAGTTGAGCGACATGCCGCAGCGCACAATCAAGAACTGGCCACAGCTCACCGAGTTGTATCTCTCGGGCAACGAGCTCACGAGTCTTCCGGCCGACGACATCGAAGACTACTCCCCGTTGCAGACGCTGCACATCAACAGCAATAAATTCACCAACCTCCCAGCCGACATCTCGCGGGCGAGCAGGCTGACCGTGCTGGACTGCGGTAGCAACTCGCTCAAATATAACATTGCCAATGTGCCTTACGACTGGAATTGGAACCTCAACCCGAAACTGAGATACCTCAATCTCTCGGGCAACAGACGCCTGGAGATCAAGCAGAGCCATTCCGACGTGGTTGGACACGACCGCGAACAGTACACCGACTTCAGCCACCTCACCAATCTCCGCGTCTTGGGCTTGATAGATGTGACGCTTACCCAGCCCAGAATCCCAGACCAGAGCGAAGACCGCCGTGTCAGGACGTCTAGCTCGATGGCGGGGTACCTGCCTTATGGCATGGCCGATACGCTCGGCAGGAACGAACATTTGTCCACCATTGACCTCGTTGTTCCGCGCTTCAACTCTTGCGACTCGGAGACTCTCCTGGGCCTGTTCGATGGCCAGACGCTCCAGAGCAGCGGCTCCAAAGTTGCCAAGTACCTTCACGAGAACTTCGGCCATGTCTTCGCCCAGGAACTGAGGGATCGAAGAGCCAAGCAGGGCGAGACTCCCGAGGACGCCCTGCGGCGCGCTTTCTTAGCCCTCAATAAAGATCTGATCATGACCGCCAACCAATCAACAGAAGACCGGTCATTGACGGCGCACCGCGGCTCGCAGGCCTCGCTGATCCTGAATAAAGAAGACCTGAATTCAGGCGCTGTTGCTACCGTCGTTTATCTCAACGAGCAGGAGCTGTACGTCGCCAATGTGGGCGATGTCCAAGCCATGCTCATCCAAAGCGATGGCCAGTCCGTAATGCTCACCAAGAAGCACGAACCGGCAGATCCCCTTGAACGCTCCCGCATCCGGGATGCTGGCGGCTGGGTCTCACGCCAGGGAAAGCTTAACGATCTTCTTCCCGTGTCTCGGGCCTTCGGCTACGCGGACTTTTTGCCTGCGGTGCAAGCGGCGCCCAACATCAAGCACCACACTATTGAGGAACGGGACGAGACTATCCTCATCGCCACCCGGGAGGTGTGGGAATACCTAACTCCGGAGCTCGTTGTCGACGTCATGCGTGCCGAGCGCGGCGACCTGATGCGGGGCGCGCAGAAGATCCGAGATCTCGCCATGGCGTACGGCTGCAAGGAGAAGATCATGGTGATGGTGGTCGGCGTAGCGGACCTCAAGCGCCGGCGCGAACGGTCGCGGATGCACAGGGGCCAGAGCATGTCGTGGTTCAACTTCCCCCAGGATGACAGGGGCCTTCCGCTCTCGACACGAAGAGGAAGAAAGGTCAGGGCGGAAGGGCCGCTCGACTCGACGTTGCAACGCCTGGACGCGGAGGTGCCTGCGCCGGACGGCACGGTCGCGATCGTCTTTACAGACATCAAGAACTCTACACAGTTGTGGGAGACCTTCCCAGACGCCATGAGGACGGCCATCAGACTGCATAATGAGGTCATGCGGCGGCAGCTGAGAATCATTGGTGGGTTTGAGGTCAAGACCGAAGGCGATGCTTTCATGGTGTCTTTCCCCACGGCCACGTCGGCCCTGCTATGGTGTTTCGCAGTCCAGATGCAGCTCTTGAAGGTAGACTGGCCGACCGAGATTGTTGAGTCCATCACGGGCCAGCCAACGTTTGACCGGGATAACAAGCTCATCTTCAGGGGCCTGTCGGTGCGAATGGGCATCCACTGGGGCGAGGCATACGCCGAGCCGGACCCCGTGACTCGACGCATGGACTACTTCGGCCCGATGGTGAACAGGGCGAGCCGCGTGTCGTCCTGTGCCGACGGTGGGCAGATCACAGTATCGTCCGAGTTCCTCGATGAAATCGTCAACTGGACCAGAGCATATGAGAAACCAGAGGGCACAGGCGAGGACCTGTTCGACGACGACGTTTACACCCGGGCCATCCGCAACGAGCTCGACGCCTTGACCCGCCAGGGCTTCGAAATCAAAGACCTAGGCGAGAGAAAGCTAAAGGGCCTTGAAAACCCCGAGCACATCTACTCGGTCTATCCGCGCGATCTAGTGAGCAGGTACGACCAACACAGCTTACATGAGCGGGCGCAATCCACGACCGACAAGCCCGCCGTGCTCAGCCCGGACAGCGAGCTGGCCGTCGACCCGGACGACATCTGGAGCCTCTGGCGCGTCTCACTGCGGCTCGAGAGGCTGTGCAGCGCGCTTGAGGACGCGCCCGGGCGTGGGCTGCAGCCGCCCGAGACGGAGCTTCTGGAGCGGATAAAGAACCGTGGAGGGGAGGTCACGGAGCGGTTCCTGGTCAGCTTCCTGGAGCACCAGGTTAGCCGGATCGAGGTATGTTTCTTTCCAGTCACGCAAATCATGCAAGGACCCGGGAGTGCGGAAAATGAAAACTAACACCTGCGCAGGCATGCACCGGGACCCTTGCTGTCCGCCATTTGGTCTTCGCCCAAGACCCAGACAGACGACCAAGCGACCTTCGTGCGCCAATGTCGGAGGTGCTTGATACACTCGCCGAGCGGCTGGCGCTTCTACAGCGGTACGAGGCCCGCTTTGGCCCGCTCGAAGGCGACGACTACGGCAATGAAACGTCAGCTTCTGCACCTGCGCGGAAGCGATTGACAGACAGCGATCTCGTCTCGCAATCGGGTTCCAACTCCGATGTGGCCACGCCAGACTCGGAGGGACTCGGTAGGGATTGAGTCCCAGCAACTTCATTCGACCGACGTCCATCAACCACCCTTCACAGAGCCACTTATTCAACGGCGAGCCGCCGCGGCTCAGCAAGATCCGATCATTCTCGCCTTTGCCTGAAGTTTCTTGCATTTTATGTCTTTGTTGGACCTCATGGGGTCTTCACCGGTCCAGTATCCTGGATCGTCATCACCATCATCCTCGGAGCTTTATTACTCCGCATCATCACCACTCTCCTACCGTACCTGGGTACAGACGGGCGGACTGTGGGCTTGTATGCACGTGACTCCATTTGTTTACTTTTTTTCAGGGGTAGGCAGACACGCCCAAGCACACTTACATCCGAAGCAACGATGCTTCCATTCTCAGAGAGTGTGGTGCAAGGCTGGCACGGCGTTCCTGCTGGTAAGGTTCTTTTCTGTCTTTTGGATACGGCCGGTCGGCTCTCGGGGTGTGCAGGTACCGGATGGACTTTTTGGATTGGGTTGGACTGGGCTGGTATCAACGGGTGAAATATGGGCTGGTCTTCTTACGATTTCTTTGAGAATACCTATTACTTGGTGCTCGGGCCTAGGAGCGGAGGGCTGTCCTTCTCTTGGATATGGTGTGCTTATCTAGTTCGTCCTCTTGGAATAGTGAGCATCGAATTCGTGCATGGTTTACCTTGCGTATCCGTATGTGTTGTTATCTTTGCCTTGAGTTTATTCTTTGCCCGGTGCATAATGGTCGAGATGATTCGTTTACCTGACTGCTTTAGCTTTAGGTGAGCAGCCGCTTATTAGACGTCACGGTGTCCCCGAGAGGATAATTCGCTATGAATCGTTGCTGCATGTAGTCGTGTTGCTCTTACGTTGCAGCTACGAGGAGGTACTAGTGGCCGTATCTGCCTAGGAAAGCTTTGTACTCTGCCAGATGGCCTCGAGCTCTGCCACAACACCATTATATACCCTTTCACGAAAGGCCTCTTCATCTAGGCCCTGACTGGCTCCACACCCGACACACCGCTCGACCACTGCTTTATATGCTGGGTTGATCAAGGCAACCTTCGTCTGAAGTAATCTGTGGGCTGTAATGGAATCCCGTATCACTCCGAAATCATCACCCTGGAACTGGATTTCCTCATGTGGCTCACGTAAGCTGTCTATTGTAGAGCCCAGTATGATTTCTAGGAGTAAGATGCCGAGGCAGAACAATGCATTGTGATGCTGGTGGTATGTCGGACTCTCTTTGGCGTCCGAGCCGGCACCTATCGATTCCGGAACCTGCTTCCAGAGAAAGGCCTGTTGATACGCGGGCTGCCCATCCTTGACGAAAAAGTAGACGTCCTCCTTGGTCAATGGCGCAGGAAGCCAAGGCGTCGTGCTGAGCTGGAGAACGCTGGAGGCAATCGAGAGCGCGAGACGGACTTTCTCTTCCAGCCATAGCAGTGGCTGAACCCCTGGTTTGCGCCGCAAGATGTCGTCGAGCGTGACGAGAGACCAAGCCTCGGTTTTGGTGACAGTGTTGGTCAGCGGATACACCTTGAAATGGTGTGTCGGTTGTTCCGGATCAACCAGATGTCCGTAACAGTCCAATAGTGGTGCGCATCGGGCCTTTTTCAGAGTCGAGCAGAGCTCAAGCGGCGCCACGCTCGCGTCGTCTGCTGGTGGTTGTATGAAAGTGATCTCGGTCATTTGTTGAGTCATCTCGGTCACGAGATAAGTGAGACCACCCCTCGGTCTCCCTGCACTGATGTATGATGTTGGATCCCTGGCAAACGCGACAAACTTAGCCCGCTTCTTCCTTGTCGTCATTGGGCCAGAGCTTTGTGTGGTGAGCTCGGGTGGAGCAGTGCTCTTGGTGACGACGGCAAAGGGCATCCTCTTGATATTCACTTCATCCCACAGCTTTCTTCGTTCCGAAGCCCGGTCATCCGTCGTCTCGGAAGATATCGCCACGCGAAAGTGCGTCTCGCTCAGGATCTTCTCGTCTTCTTCTTCGTCGTACCCAATGTCGGCAAACCGTGGCAAGAGCCCGAGTCCAATGTCGTGAGGATCGCTACATTGGATGCTGGATCTCAGAGCTCGATAGACGCTGCGGGAAAGCTCTCGGAGTATGTTGGTGAGCCTGCCGCCCGCCCGCTTGCGTCGGTTGGGCTCGAGGGCAACACTGAGACGGATCAAGACCTCAAGGTCGTTCACTCCTTTCGAGATGACGGTGAGAGCCTCCTGATAGTCCTTCCTGTCCAGGCGATAGAGGAATTTCCTGAACTCGCGCGGCATCCAGCTTTTCTCGACCCATTTGACCTAGGCCCAGTAAGTCACTCATCCGGACGGATTCGAAGAACAGCAGACTATTCGCCTTGCCAAGTCACGCACCTGACCGTCGTCTGTCACGTCAATACGGAGCCTCTGCTGCACCGTTTCGAGCGCCTTTTGGATCTCTAGCACGGTCTCCTCGAAAGAATCGTACGAGTTCCAGAGCCGGCGGCGAATCTTTGTCTTTGTCTGGTCATGCTGCCAAAGCGGTCCGAACGGATCGGCCAGCATTGGCTCGATATCCTTCTGTGGCACCACATCGCCGAGGAGCTGGTCACAGACGTTGTACAATTTCGCCCGCTCGGTGGTGAGCTGTCGGTGGATGCTCTTCAGTTCCGAGGTAATTCTGCCCCAGTCCTTCAGGAAGTTGATGTAGGCCTCCACTGCCGTGATGACAAGGGGGAGTGTGCCTAGCACGACTCCTGCCACCTCGAAGCCAGACATGGTGCAGTGCGCCCAAGTCGGCGATGATGGGATGAATTGATAGGCAAAGTATTGGAGACTTCAGCATCACGAATGTTATGTTACTCCTGTGCACGTCGATTGCCCCGCTCCTTAATTAGGGCGGCGTCGTGCCGCAGGTAAGCAGCGCCTTGTGCGACATAACTGGACGGTACGCATCTCCCCTCTTCACGCTCCTTCCTCCTGATCTCCAGCTGCCTCCTTCCGCGCCAAAACTCCGCATGGAGTCCACAGACCAGGCCACGACAAGGCCCGAGAGCCCCGGTAATAAGAGCAACCGAGGACTCGGGCCCATCGCACGCCATGTGCGATCTGTTCTGCGATCTTTCGGTGCTTTGATAGACACGATTCGAACTGACAGACATCATGACGGTCTCTTTGACGACTCAAGTAGGGTTTTGGTCCCTCTCGAAAATGAAAGGACCCGATTCAAAATGTGGGCGGGAAATCTTGGGGCGCACCAGGGCGGCAGAGCTTCCCTTGACTATCGACTTAGAGAGGCACCTCACTTGCAGGAACAGGTGCTCTACCTCCTGCAAGACGCCTATGAATCGCTACAAGGCGGCCTCGCCACGATTCATGAGCTGGCATCAGCACCGTCTCTCCAGGTCCGGTCCCAGGAGCACATTGAGGAGGGCCAAGCTGAAGCCGCCGAAAGCGACCTGGACGGTGGGAGCGAGAGTAGCTTTACCGACTCCGACGCAGATGAGCCCTCACCGGAGAGGCGACTTTCGACCCTCCACGCGGATATCCGGGAAGTTACCGACTGCCTGCTACGTCTTTCGGTTGCCATCGCGAATCCTGCCCCGCATGAGAGATTCCGCAAGTTTGGTGCCGGCCCGCTCGAGGATATCTCGTATCGAGAGCCTCACGACATTTCATATGTCCAGGACAAGTTTCCCAAAGTGAGCTCGGAGATGGCCACAATGCTTGGGAAAGCCATCACCCGGCGTCGCCAGTTCTTCCGCTACCGCCAAGCCCATCATGATAAACTCGCATCCGGTCTGGGGGAGTCCAGTGTGCTGGGACCGACTACGGAAGAGGAAGACGATGCTCATACCGAGCTCTTCCCAAAGACACAGGCCTCAACCCTGCCAGAGCACATCAAGGACATGTCAGACCTCGACCTTAGAAATGGTGTGATTAATGAGGACAACGGATCCGACACGGCGGCCTCTGTAACTTCGTATGCCACCTCTGCCGGTTTCATAGCCGACGCAGGCAACGGAGCGAACGTGGTCCCGCCCCCTCCGTTGCGCGTGCCGCCTTTGCCTCAGGGTGCAGAGGCTGGAAATTTCGAATGTGCTTTTTGTCACAGAATAATATCCGCCAGCACTCGTGCGGCATGGAAGTATGTACCAACCTCTCCTATTTCTCCATGGTCAAGCTCTGATACAATCTCTTGCTACAGACGCCATGTCTTCAGCGACCTCCGCCCCTACACATGCCTCTTTGAGGATTGTCTTGACTCCAATGCAGATTTCGACAGACGCGGCCGTTGGCGGGCTCACATCTCACAGCATCATTGGAAAACATGGTCTTGCCCCTTTCAGTGCGACGACACTCGCTGCGCCTCCGCTTCAAGCACACCTCAGCCATCGACATATCCCGAATGCCTCCGCAGACCAGCTTGAAGCAGTGGTAGCGGTCAGTGAGGGACAAGCCTCGAATGACGAAACCGTCCGATGCCCTATCTGCCATCATTCTGTGGTCGGCCTGAGGCAGTATACCAGGCACGTGGGCCGGCACCTGGAGCAGCTGGCTCTATTCGCTCTTCCCGCCCTGGAGGGGGACAGAGGGGAGTCAGACAAGGAAGACGAGACCGATAGTACTACGTCTGGAGCCGACGCCGATGGAGGACAGGTGAGTTGACTTGTGGCGCACCCCAGACAACGACAGGACTTACAACTCCGCCTTGTAGACTGTCGGCCAAACTCCGGCTCCCGAGGACGGAGAATCCTCAGCCATGTTAGCCTCCGAGAATCAGCCTACAGGACAAGACAGGGCCGACCGTCCCGGCGCCGGTGTTGCGGCTGCAGGAAGACAACCGATACTCCGCCTGGTTCCCCTCAATGCGACCTTCGAACGTAGAACTATCATGGTACCTTTTTATCCCAAGACGCTCCGCATCGGCCGAAATACAGACACAAACGTGCCCAGCACGTCCAACGGCTACTTCAACAGCAACGTCCTCTCTAGACAACACGCTGAGATCTGGGCAGATCTCCACGGAAGGATCTGGATTCGAGATATCGGGTCGTTGAACGGGACATTTATAAATGGCGCTCGGCTATCACGGCACAACCAGGTATCCGATCCTCACGAATTGAAAGCCCTAGACCACCTGGATCTGGGAGTCAACCTCGTTAGTAGTAGTGAGGGCAAAATTACCACAGTGGCAAATATAGTGGCCGCTAGAGTTGAGCACGCGGGCTTTGTAACCTCAGAAACCTTAGATCGCTTCGTTGACCCGCCTTCTGAACAGCAAACAAAGGATCTTAGACATCACGAAGAAGCAGAACAAGAGGATGAGCAAAGGAGCGTCGAGCACTGGCAGCGCCAGCTAGACTTTGAGGGGGGGAACGAGCTCCTACGCACAACGACTGAGCTAGAGTTGGCGGATCTTGAGGCGGAGAAAGCACAACAAAGATCCGTTTTCCGTGATTCCTCCTATGTCGATCAGCTAATGACCCAATCGGCTGAAGCGTCAGGGAAGGAGGAGGAGCAAGTTCTCGAAAAGAGTCAATTCCGCAAGGAGAGGCATTTCTCCGAGATAAAGCTAGCCAAGGAAGTGGAGGAGTTAGAGAGGAGGGAAGCCAAAAAGATGGAGGAGCCGCCTATCAGGTTCAAGGATGCCGTCGGCCGCAAGTTCAACTTCCCGTTCCATCTGTGCCAAACATGGCAGGTAAGTTGAGACGCAACACCCAGGGTCTTTGTTTCAGTTATCTAATAGAACCTTTCCCATTTCCAGGGTATGGAGGAGCTCATTAACCAAGCCTTCTTACACGTCGATGTCATCGGACCTCATGTCCTTGAAGGCCACTACAACCTGATTGGGCCCAACGACGAGGTCATCCTCCCTACTGTCTGGGAGAAGGTAATTACACCCGGCTGGACCATTAACATGGAGATGTGGCCCAACTTGGATAAGGTGCCCCTCCGAGGGCCAACCCAAGTGCCGCCTATCAGGTTCAAGGATGCCGTCGGCCGCAAGTTCACCTTTCCGTTCCATCTGTGCCAAACATGGCAGGTAAGTTGAGACGCAATCCCGAGGTCTTTGTTTCAGTTTTCTAATAGATACCTTTCACGTTTCCAGGATATGGAGGAGCTCATCAACCAAGCCTTCTTACACGTCGATGTCATCGGACCTCATGTCCTTGAAGGCCACTACAACCTGATTGGGCCCAACGACGAGGTCATCCTCCCTACTGTCTGGGAGAAGGTAATTACACCCGGCTGGACCATTAACATGGAGATGTGGCCCAACTTAGATATGTGGCCCCTCCGAGGCTACCGCGGCCATGTAAATAGGATGGCCGCCAAATCACCTAGTTCGTCGTCTCTCCATTCCTCACTTGGCGGTGGCAAACCGCAGTGGCAAGACTGGTACAACAGGATGGGTGACGCCGGCCCGTCAGCGCCAAACCCCCAACCCCCAACACCCCCCCCCCCCCCACACCCCCCCAAGACGTTGCTAGATTGGCTGGGTGGAGGGAGGCCGAAGAGGATCGATCGAAAACCCAAGGAGAAGGCAGCCGAGGAAGTGATCGCGACCTACAAAGCCAAGGAGGCTGAACATATTGGGTAGGAGAAAGAGGCTACCGAAGCTGGCGAGAAGAGCAAGCACATGTATTATTGGGTTGGCTGCCAGAGCGGGAACTGGAACTCTTCCAAAGTGGTCCAGTGCATGGAGTGCCAGCATGCATGCAGAGACGGTGCATACCGCGGCTGCCATCATGAGCGTCACAAGGCCTTGGGGCCTTTTGAGGAACCGCTGATCGAGTCAGGACTCGATGTGCAGGCCGTGACGGTCATCATGGAAGGAAGAAGGCATATAGCGTGAGCTGGACCTAGAGCTTGAGGAGGAAAAGACTAAGCGCAAGGAGAAGCCGAGGCAGTACTTGCGGTACACTAGTTTCCCAGCCCTGACCAGGATGATTCCAAGGGCTTCAGATCAACCCCTTCTCGGGACAGCTCCTCTAGCAGAAACTGATAGACTAAGAATGTACGGCGATTTTGCTCTGAAATAGACGCCACCGAGCGTAGTTCTCCAGCGACGCCAACCGGGCTTCGCCTCGATCTTAATGATGGGTTCTATCCCATCCTGGCCGAGATCGTCACAAGTCCGGTCCCACCATATCATCAGATTGCGAACAACGGGAGCAGGCTAATGAACGGTTTGTTCGTCAAGAGTCAACAGACTCCGCAAAGCTGAGCCTAGTTGTCCACCGACTCAAATTCGATACTATGTCCAACTGCCGGCACTGTATCAGTGCACTTGTTCACAGAGGTCCACAAACGACACATCTATGTACAGGCATGCCACTTGAACCAGACCGTCAGTGCTTCATACAATCACAGTCGACCCCTCCCCACCCCCAACCGCGCTCTTCCCACCGCCAGCAACACTCCCGGCCGGCCCCTCCTCAACAAGCGTTTCCATCTCCGTCTCAGATTCGTGAGCCATCTCTTCCTGAGCCTCCTGATAGTCTGTCTCATCCTGGGTCTCGTCCGCCTCCGTCTCCGCGTGCTGCCTCCCGTGTTGCTCCTGCTGCCCTGTTGTGGTTGTTGCTACCATGGTCTCGGACTCAACATAGGCAGGCGGCGCCATCTCCGCACCGCCCTCCACCCAGACTTGCTGCAGCTCGCGTTCGATCTCGTCGCGCCGCGCCTTCCACTTGCCGACCTGCGCCAGCCGCTCCCTCAGGTCCTGCAGCTCGCGCTCGACGTGCATCTTCTCGCTCTCGGTGCCAATCCGCTGGAACTCCCACTCGTTGCCCTCCGGGCCGAGGCCGAGCACGAGGTTGTAGGTGTGGTATTTCTTGAGCGAGGCGCGAGTTGAGATGGTGATCAGTGCTAAATTGGACAAGGGGGTTAGCATGGATGATGTGGGGAAAAGCGATTAAGGAAGGAAGGGAGATGGACGTACTGATCCCTTTCTCTTTGCACGTCTCGTACAAAAGACCCTCCACGTCGCTCGACACAGCGCTCGTGCCCTCGTCGATGAACGCATACTGCGGCTCATGGTAGAGCAGCCTCGCAATGGCCAACCGCTGCTTCTCGCCTCCACTCAGCACATCCTTCCACTCCTTGCGCGTATCCCACCCACCCTCGCGCTCGGGCAGGTAGCCGAGATGGGCAAGCTCAAGCGCGCGTTTCAGGTCATACTCATCCTTCCGCTTCTCGCGCATGTCGACCTCTCCATCTGGGTAAATAACCTGGTCTCTGAGGGTTCCGATGCTGAGGTAGGGCCGCTGGGGGAGGAACATGATGCCATCCTCGCCGTTGGCTCTCGGCCGGCTGACCAGGCCGCGGTACACGGGCCAGAGCCCCGCGATGACACGGGCAATGGCGCTCTTCCCAACCCCGTTGGGGCCCGAGATCAGAAGGTGGTCGCCGCGACGGATGATCATCGAGAGCGATTCAATCAGCTCGTCGCCGCCCTTGGGCCACAGAGACGGAGCGACGATGGGGACATTTTCCAGCCGCACACCGTCGAACCCCTTCTGGATCGTGCCCTGGACGTCCGACAGCGAGTACAGCTCATTATCTCTACCCCGGGCGTAATAGGCGTTGGCATGGACCCGGTGCAGCGTCGAGATGAGCGTGTACACGCGGCTGGTGTAGCCTGCTAACTCCGAAAGGTCCTTGATCGAGTACATCATGCGTCCGCCGGCATCCGCCAGCGACAACATGAGCCGCTTGTTGGTGATGAAATCCTTCATCCGCGCTCGTTCCTGGCCGCCCTTCTCGGCGTTCTTGGTCTGCTCTGACTTGCCGACGAGACCGCCCCATGCGGGCAGGAAGACGGGCAGCGACGACAGGAGATAGCCGTAGGCGCTCCAGCTGTACTTCAGAATGAAGTCCTCGAGCATGTTGTACTTGATCTTGAGTATATAGATGCCGTCCATCCAATTCTTCAGGGATCTGAACTCCTCGTTTAGGAAACTCTTCTCCATCGCGGCGCCGCCGTAGAAAGCAATTTCTTCGGCGTTGGCGATAAGGCGCGCATGCAGGCTGCGGAAATCACCCTCTTTCCGTCCCTCAATCGCTTTCAACTTGCCAAAAGGCGGGGAGAGCTTCCTGAGGATGCTCGCGGTAAGGAAGTAGTTGCTGAGCAAGCCCGTGAGGGCCAACGGCCCCAGCGACCGGTACAGCTGGTAGTTGAAGACACAGATGTCAACGAACGGCTTCCCTAATGATGAGTAGAGATTCGCAGCCGCCGCGCAGAACTGAGTGAGATCCTGTGTGATGAACTGGTCCGCCGAAGATGCCACGCCACCGTCTAGATTGTGCACCTTGTAATAGTTGAGATTGTCGTTCAGGTACAAGTCATGGATGTACCGCGTCAACCGTGTCCGAAAGGCGATAGACACCTTCGACTCGAGGTACTTGATCATAGTGTTGGTGTACGACGCGAACCCGCCCAGTCCGCACCACTTGACCAGGCCCCATAGGAACAACTTGCCGTTGCCGGCCACCAGATCCCGGACGATTTCACCGTCGAGGCGGGCAACAATCAGCGACAGGTAGGTGCGCAGCATCAGGAAGACCCCATGGCTCACCAGCAGGCCGGCCTCCTTGCTGTTCCACCTCGGGATCATGATGCTGAGCAGGCTGAGAAATTGGTGGAGGAAGGCAAGGTTCAGGCCGGGCTTCGTGTGTGGCGAAGGCACGGCTCCATCGCCCAAGCCAGACACCCGCGGCGGGTTCAGAAACAGCCGGCGGTGAGCCTCGAAGGTGAGGGGTTTCGTGCTGTGAATGACCACCTTGGAGGCTCTATCCTTATATGGTACGTAGATAGTACGGGAGCCATCCTTATTGTGCAGCCACGAGTTGGTGCGCACGAGTTTGCGGCCCTGCTCTCTTTCGGCGCGTTTGCGCTTCCACCGTCGGCGTGCGCCCTCACCGGCGAGAATGATAGATGTGGCGAGAGCAAGCACGGAGAGTAGACGGGTGGTCTTTGAGGTTCTGCGTAACCTGCTGCGTATGAGCTCAGTGTACTTGTCGATGAAGGCAGCAATCGCCTCCTCGGCGGCCGAGTGCCGCAGCGTAGATTGCACTGCCATGCCAGGCAAGTGCGGCTGCTCAGTACTGCCGCGGAACCGTTGTATGCGTATCCCGAATCTCCGGGATTAGATGCAGTATTCCATCAGCGCCGGTTTCTAATGCGCGATATTGCAACGCGACCACTGCGACGTGTTCTCCCGGATATAGATACCGTCGCTTCGGGCTGCGTGGGAATCGTGGAGTCGGCACCGCGGACCAGGGAGTATCGGTCAATCAGCCCTCCAGATCGTCACCGAGATCAACTAGGATCGGTATTGCAAATGTCTTCTGTGTTCGATGTTGGGTTCTGGACAGGTGTTCTGGCGCGTAAAACAAGTTGCGCCTTTGTCCAAAGTCGTGGTTATCGCGGTCGGCAACCAGCCCCGAGACAGGATGCCGACGGCATGTGAAGATGCAGCAGCCACAGCACCTAGTTAACGTCATCGGCCACTTCAAGCCACATGCCCAGGCCCAAAGTCCGCATTTGTCCAATCAGACACATTTCCCCGCGGTATGGCAGGGGAGCGTGGGTCTTGGCGACAGGCTGCCGCTTTGCAAGTGGAGAACAGTCCGAACTCCATCAACGGAGTACTAGCTCTTGCTTTGCACAGCGAGTACGGAAGTTTCTACTTTTTAGGAACCTTTATTTTATGGGTCTCGTTGCTGGGAACAAGACTCATCGGTACCTAGGCGGACAGCAAGATAAGCGTGTCTGTTTTCCTCAAGCTTGCACTGCTCTGAACAAAGTTCAAGTCAGCTTTTCGGAGCTTTCGGCTAGCTTGAATCAAAGCATACGGCTCGAACGCCGATTGATTCGAATCTATTTTTGGTTCTTGCACAGGTATGGATCGATCTTAATTGCTGCGATAGCCAACCGTTCCTCACTATAATGTGTAAAGCAAAGCTCCGTTCCAGGCTTCGTTCTAAGGGAATGCAGGGATAGCGGGGGCAGTGGGCGGATGCCGGAGCGGGACCGGGAACCCGAAGTGTGAGGGTGTGGGGCAAGTTCCGGGCAAGCCTGAGCGACAGCAGGCTCATGACAGTCCGTCCCCGGCAACAGTGGTGTCTCGTAGGGCTCTTGTGCGATTCGTACAGAGACTTCCAGATCTGTCTCAGTTCACTCATGATAGTAAGCGATTGTGACTGGTTGGAGTCATAAGTCCGGTACTGCTCGTCACTGTCCCGGGCGGTAGCATGGCCAATCAGGAGCGTTACAGCACCATGCGGCGCCCCACCGTAGAGATTCATCGCAATGGCGGCTCTGGACTTTAGTTACCATACGAATGTCACTGCTGTCTGTCCTGCTAGGCCTGATTCAAACTTGGAAGCAATAAGACGTTTGCTATCAGTCCAACCTTGCGCCGGAACAGACCAGCTTAGAAAGGCTTTCTGGCATCCGGTCGCCTCCACTCCTGAGCCTCTCCGATAATTTGCTACTATCTAGTGCCGTTGGCCAAGTCCGTCTCAGCAATGCGGCGCTGTGAGTCTGCGACCACCATGTAAAGCGAAACCACGGCCCAGCATTGAGATGTTTGGCTTGGGCTGCTCGACATTTCACGTGCTACGCCCGGCTGCTCCTTGAGCTGGAGAGGGGCCAGAATCGATGGTCACTCAGTCAGTAGCAGAGGCTGGCGGGCATCGGAAGTGTCTAGCGGGCGCAGGACGGTTAAAATCGCTCAACGACAAGGAGGATGTGTTCTTTATGCTACCATCCCATTTGGCCTCTCGATGCTGTAGTCGTCAACTTCGAGTCTCAGAGTGGCGGCAGCCAGTAGTTATAAGCAGCGAACTTAAGGGCGGTTTAAGTTGGCGACTGGGCGCATTTCACTCGACAATCAGACTGGGCCGCGATGCGATTTGCTACAGGATATCAGTTTAACTGTCTAATAACTCTAATTGGCGTGGGAATTGACCAGGAATTTGGTAGGCGCCAGGCACATCCTTAACATGCAACATCGACATCCCTCGTTCCCATCGACACTGGTAAATGTACCGTACGACCCAATATCTGTACGGGGCGCTGACCGCTTTTAGACGGTTGTAGCATGACAACCGTGACGATACATCCCTATTTTCATCTGTTTAAGATACAGCATATACCGGACGTCTTTCTTCAATACTCCCACCGACGCAGAGCCTAAACCATAAGCCAGAGTCCCAGCCATGAGTTGAGCCGCTAGCTATATCCCAACTCTAGTTGTTACCTAGTCGCTGCCCTAGTTTTCGTGTTGTCGTGCGATGCTCACTCATCCGAAAGCTACCTTACGGCATACAGTACAAATATCAGTATTGTACGGTCCCAATAGCAGCGGCCCGTTCCCATTGAATCCCCAGCTCGTTCATCTCTGCAAGGCAAGCCGCTATTCCGCTCTTGGTCGTACTGCTCACCCCCTGGTCGTCGTCTTTGCTTGAGCAGCCCCCAGTACCTGACCCGACCCCCATCACCTTTTCAAGTCAATCATCTCGCTTGCACTTTCGCGGCTTTCTCAGCCGTCGATACCTCTTCCTCTTATTCTCATTAGCTCGGCCATCGGCCAGCAATCGAGCTCGTCCTCCTTCAATTGCTGCGCTGCTTTTGAGGACCTGCCTTTTCCCTCTCTTTTCCGTCAATTTGCTGGGCCTACTAGGCAGACACACAAAGTCGTGTGTGCTCGGTCCCCTTTCCCGATCTGCCTCGCGCGCCAATTTCCCGCCCTCAACCGACCGCCCGTCGCGGGTTGGCTCAACGTCTCAGCGGCGACAATTCTACTTCGCTCTGGGGACACCTGCTCGGTTTTAGACGACGGGCAATCTGACGGCGAGGTAAAGAAAGGGCCCGGGACAAAACTACTTTGGCGGCCAAACCCTGTTTGAATAGGGGCTGGGCTGAGCTGGGGAGCTTGGAGACCCATCAGGTGGGTTCACCCGATTCGCATCAAGTCTGCTGGCCAGAGTTGGCCCGCGTTCAAAACGGCTGCAGTCAGGGCATTGTGAGCCTTGATAGCGATTTGCTGGTGCCTTGTGGAATACGGTTTGCTCGGCGGCCAGAAAGGCGCCGAAGGCAGTCGCTGAGAGAAGACGTGCGCCAAGGCTCTACCGTCTTAAAACACCGCGAGACGCGTTCCTTGGAGGTGTCACGGGCTGACAAGACTGTCTCCAGGGTCTAAATTCGCTCGCTAGACCCGTCGGCGCCGTATTCGCTTCCCGACATGGCAAGGACTCTGGAGGATAGGCCGCAAGCGGCGGCCGAGAGCTCCAAAGAGATGGAGATGCCCACATCTGAGGACGCAACTTCGAAGAAGGGTCGGGGGCTTCTGTCGGTACCTTCAAGGTCATCCTCCCAAAAAGTTCAGCCTTCGCCGACAGCAACGGGACTGAGTGGCGCGACGGCCAGCGATCCGAGAGACAGCATCGGTGGCCGCTCTAAGGAATCCAGAGGCAGTATGTCACGGTCAAATCCCAATAGAAGCGCGTCAAGTAACCGTTTAGGTGCCGGGACAGGACCGACGGCAACACCGGGCAACTCTGAACCAAATTCCCCTGCGGTGACGTCCCAGAAGAAGAAGAAGGGCGGTTTCCTCGCTCTCTTTGGGTGCTGTGGTGTTCCCGACAGCGCGAACGGTCTCGACACGGAAGCCCCCGTTCCAACCCACAAATTGGAAAAGATCCCGGCACGGCCAGCCACTGCCAGCCGTAGGACGGCGACGCCTTCGGAACAGCCCTCTGGTAGCAGAACCCATCTCGCCGAGAAGGAATCTAGTCAGCCCGTCCCTCTATCGCAAGGGCCGGCGAAGAACGGCAATCGAGTTTCGGGTTCCAGCACACAAGACCAGTCCACAGTCGGAGGGGAGCGGGACAATGAGTCGAAACAGACAACGCTTGGTGGCCCAGGGTCAGGCAACTTCGTCCTCTCCGTGGAACCGCCGCACGCCACGAGTGCGGACACAGAGAAGGTGGAAGAGGTCCCTGCGGAAAAAGACACCGAGGGCGACGTGCTGATGCCGGATGCCGAGACCGCGCGACAGCAGGAGTATCAAGTCGGTACAGCAGACGAGGAGGAACAACTTCCAAGGGTCCCTCCTCCACCCCCAGGGCCGGTACCAGCGGTTCCCAACGCCCCATTAATTGAGAGTCCTCCGGTCTTCGCCCCTGACCAACCCCAGCGATTTCTTCTCCCCCCTCAGAGACCCGAGCATAAGGGCCGGAAATGCCTCGTCCTTGATCTGGACGAGACATTAGTACACAGCTCGTTCAAGGTATGCAACAAAGGCCGACCCTCAACCGTATGCCACGCTGACCATCCTCAGATCCTTCATCAAGCTGATTTCACAATACCTGTGGAAATCGAGGGCAACTACCATAATGTCTATGTAATCAAGCGACCAGGTGTTGACCAGTTCATGAAGAGAGTTGGTGAGCTTTACGAAGTTGTCGTCTTTACGGCTTCGGTGTCTAAGGTGAGCCTATCAAACAACCTCCACGCACGTTCAATACTGACACGGTATCAGTACGGCGACCCGCTTCTTGATCAGCTGGATATCCACAAGGTTGTTCACCACCGACTGTTCCGGGAGAGCTGCTACAACCATCAGGGTAACTACGTGAAGGACCTGTCGCAGGTGGGCCGGGATCTGAAGGACACGATTATCATCGACAATTCGCCGACCTCGTACATCTTCCACCCCCAACACGCCGTGCCCATCAGCAGTTGGTTCTCGGATGCTCACGACAATGAGCTTCTGGATCTCATTCCTGTTCTCGAAGACCTGGCTGGCCCCAACGTACGCGATGTTAGCCTGGTCCTCGACGTCACTCTCTAAACTTTCATTCTGAGTCTTGACTTCGCACTGCTACACCTACCGTTCACCGGCCACCGCTCCGCCTCGGAGTAGGAGAGCATTCTCGATCCAGATGCATGAGAAAAAGGCACAGATGCATCTGCCACTTCAGTGCTTCGGCATATGGCATCGGTAGCTTCTCGCTGCCCTGTCGCCACCCACACGACCCACCTTTCACTAGATGTGAGAGATCTGGTCCACTGGGAGCTAGGTGCCTTCGATCAAGCCAGCAGCGAGACAAATTCGGGGCGGGAGTTACTTGTTTCCCTAGCCCACTTCAATTTCGCTCGAACCAGAAAGGGCTAGAACCAGTGCTGGGCTCAAACCGACGCACCATAAAATGATTCATTGGGTTTTTCGGAGTATGGTATATGTTCGGGGCACGGAGCTGTCTACGTTTCGCTCTCTTTTATCTCAGCGGAGCGACGAACGAGTCCCAAACGTGAAGGAATAGGGAGAAGTCAACATCGCCAGATATCAACCTTTCTGTTTTCTCTTTGCCTCCTTTTCTTATGTACGCAACTCGGAGAGAACTAAAACCATACCTCAACCGGGTTCTTCGCTTTTAAACCGTACCCCGGCTTGTCATACCCCTACCCCTACCCCCTTGACGGGTGCCGTCTATACTTCGTACTTGTTCCCGTTTCTTATGTTGGCTGATTCCCCGTTTCCATATCACATTCTGGGTTGTTTTATTCGCTTCTAGCACATGCCGGTATAACAACATTCGTCTTTTTGTTTGATTGATTGGAGAACCACTATACCACGACATCGTATTTGTGTATATTTGATCATCCCTTCTTCCCCTCCTCCCTGTGAGTGGCGTGTTTTTGATCTTTCTTAAAGAGATGGAATAAGACAGGATGGGGCAGTTACAATACGGTGCATGCAAACCCTTGCTCTTGGAGGAGAGAAACTAAGCGCGGTGAGGGAAACCATATGAGCAGAGCCGGTTGGACAGCTGCTAGCTTGAAGGGCGCCGGTGTGAATGCGGAGGCCGGCTTGGTAGCTAGCTTGACCGATGCCCAACCTAGTTGTAGTCAAGTGAATTGAGGCATTGCCAGGGCGAGCAGTTCTTACTGTTCACTGACGTGAGAACGGTGTGCTTATCACAGCGCAGCGAGACTGAGGAAACAGTAGGTCAGTAATCAGCTCAATCTTCCTGCCCGAGTATACACAGTACGTCTTCTCTAGGTTGGAAGGTAATTCAAAGAAGATGCATGCATCATCTATTGCTCGTCCTCGTCTACCTGCTTATTCCTCTTGCCCTCCAACTTGCATTGTATTTGGACTGCCTCGTCCTTGAGTCCTTGACCTCTTTTTGTTGTTGGGGATGGAAGCTCTTGGCATTTTGCACCTGAGGTGCCTGGCTCACTCCCGGCCTAACAAATTTGCGGCCCGCTATCCGTAAGGTACGGCTCCAAGCTGTCCGTACAGGGGTCTGTGACTTCGTGGCCTCAATTGAGAGCACGGATCAATCGCCAAATCCAGGGGGCGCGAACTGCATCCCCAGCTCATTGCCAAACCTAGCACACGACCGATCAACTCAACCGTTTCGATAGTTACCCGGCGTTCATTCTCTCGCTTTCTCAATTTCAACTGGGATCTTTTCCTCTAAAGCTTTTCCTAATTCTATACAATGGTACGCTTCTCCCCATTCACTACACACCTTCGAAGCAGCAAGTAGCGGCGATCATGATGTCCAATGTCACGGACCACCACTCTTCCAGGTCTTTCGCCAGCCAGCCATGCTAACATTCCTCCCTCAAACCACAGTCTTCCCCACGCGCCGCATCCCCTTCCTCGCCCACGGCCGCGGGCCAAGCAACCGGCTCCAGCGCCCGCCCTTCCTCCCCGCCTCCTCCCGGCGGCGCACGCACCGCGATTCGCCGCCGCGCGGCTGCCGACCAGAAGGAGAAGATTGCCAATGCGCGGCCGAACAGCACGCGCGCCGCGGGCGCCGGCGGCTCCAGCAGCACCATGCTCCGGCTGTACACCGACGAGAGCCCCGGGCTGAAGGTCGACCCTGTCGTGGTATTGGTGCTCAGCTTGGTGTTTATCTTTAGCGTTGTTGCGCTTCATAGTGAGTTGACGCTCTATCTATCTGGCTTTTTCTATGATTGCGAGTGGTAAATTGATGCTAATGGGACTTTTGTGCAGTTATTGCCAAGATCACCCGCCGGTTCTCCAGCTAGATGGCTTGACCACAACTGGGGGAGGAACTGGGAACCAAGAGATTCTACGGGGATAGATGAGGTGGGAAACCCGTCGTGAACGTGCCAACGGTGCCAGGATTATAGCAATGGGACGGGACGGTCGGCCATTGCGGTATAAGACCCGAACCGTGCTTTATCCGTCATTTTTCTAGGATTGGTTAGGGTCAGATATCTGGGGGAAACAAGCTGGGGATACAACAGCAAAAGTCAAACACACGAGATGAACCTGGTTGGTGCTGTTCTCTTTGCCATCTCGGTTTAGACCGGCCAGCGCCTGGGGTGGGGTCCCTTGGTTGGATTGCTGTACGATATGGTTTTGATGGGTCCAGTCTGGGAATGCGACGCTCTTCCTGTTCATGGATAATATGGCTTTTGTTTCACATGCATTCCGACATCCATGGTATGTGACTCCCTCTCGAAAGATATGTGGGAGTGAGGCAGATCCTCACGCATACTTAGATGCGCATTTGCTTGTCCCATCAAACCGGGTGTGGAAGATTGGCCCTTGGGAGGTTTCCGCATAATGGTTGGTCAGAGAACACCGGCGAAATGAAATCCCACTGCGAGGGGAAACTTACCCACTTGTTGAGGCCATCAGCAATGATACGGTGTTGAAGAGTTCCATGGCTACGGCCTCCCAGTCGTGCAAGTGCTACGGCTCCGAACCATGTTTCTCGTTTCGACCTGTGGGATGAGACTCGTTCATCCGGTGACTCCAGTTCCGTTGCGGAGGGCCACAGCTAAGTGCAAGTGGCAGAACAGCATGTGGCGTGCATGGTCACTCTACCTTGTATGCGAAAGTGATAGCTATGAGCTTCACGTCGTACCGGCTTCTAAGTGGGAACACCGGTGAACACTGGCTGTTGATCACTTACGATGGAGAAGGGCTGCGGAAAGGAGCCGACGGAGTTTAGTGTCTTGTATGAGATGTGAGACTTACAGCTGGGACTTGCCTTGTACAACTCGATCGGCGGTGTGTGCAAGATACCGTGGACATGTGGGTTTATAGATCTACACGGCGTATTCCAGTCACCCTCAAGGCAGTTCCTCCGGTGAAGACAGGTCATTGCTGGAGTTTCGGAGTTTGCTACGAAGATGCTGGGAGCTCTCAGCGTTCCTCTCCCTTGAATGCGATTTGTTAGGGGTTATACTCTACGGAGAGCTCCCGTGGACGTCCGTTGGCGTGGTCGACCGAGCGATAAGTGTCTCCAGACTACTAGTAGTAGTTTGTATTACGGATTACACACACATGGTCAAACAGTCAGGTAGTAGGGTTAAGCTCGTACTCTAGACATGTATTGAAACAGTGGACAAGTCTCGTAGTACGACACCGTTCGGTGCATAAGTTGCAAGACAGAACCAACAACCGGTTGTCGGCGTTTCTCTCGGCCTGTGGCACCCCTCCAAAGTAAATGCATGTTGGTCTTCAGCATGCTGCTGAACCCTTCATCGTTCGATATTTACCCGGATGTCGAACGGACCCTTTCCTCAACCTCTAACATTCTGCTCTCTGCAGTAGGTTCCTGAGCTTGAGTGTAAGTTTGAGGAGACCCTCTTCCATGAGACCCTAACGGAGGCATACATGTGTACTGCATCCCGCTTGACATGACTGAACGAGTTAGTGCAAGTACACTACAATGGGACCTATTAAGGTAGTGCTAGTAGTGCTGCATTTAAGGTGCACACACTTCGTACATATGTGGAACTAGAAGTGGTGAGATGGCATAAAAGCTTGGTTCTTGAACAGACATGAAGTGCCAGTCAACAACTGCTGGGGGGAATTCAGGTTCTACCGTAGGCAGACGAAAGATCGGACCACATGTAGGGCTAGTTTCGTCATCAAGCAGCCGTGATGGTGGTCTGAACGGGCATACAGGTACAGGTCTGGGGGCGGCAGTGTCGTTAAATAAGTTGACGCTATTTGTCGGCTGTGATTGCCACTTTTAGGACTTCCGGAGTCGAACCCGGCCACTGAGAGAGCACGGGTTGGTCTTCGCAAAGTGCATGCGGACAAGGCCGCTGCATGCCATCCCACTGGTTCGCTTGATCAAGGGTGCCATGAGGAGAGCAGGCGACCATCCCACACAAGGCAGGAGGGCAGATCTCAGCGGCGTCGATTCCGTGGTGATTTGATGCGCACTCCATTCCTTCCGCGACGACGGCCCTGCATCGCGGGGTCGCAAGCGCAGACAAGATCTAAATATTGGTTCTTATGGGGCAGTGGCAAAAATATGTACCCTTTGCGAAAGAAATGAAGAGCAGGGCAGCAATGCAGACATCTTCTGCTGAGGAGTCTGGAACTGCAATGAGTGGTGAGGTGGGGTTGCAGTGTAGATAGTAAGACAGCATGGAAGGATTGAGACGGTAGATTTACCCTGTACGGTAATTCGGTACGTATGAAAGGTAGTGTAGTGTAAGATACGCTTCGGCGGGATCCATCATCCGAGCTGTGGAGGTCCGAGGACGGGTAGACCGGAACAATCTCCACAGGCAAGCGAGGCGTTCGAGTTGTCTTAGATTTACCCCACACTTCCGCGCTCGTGGACTCCTTGTCAATCAGCGTGGCATCCTGGCCTTTATTAACGGCCTTAAATGCGGTCGCCTATGGGCGAATGACAATCTGGGTTTCTCAGACAGAGACATTCCATCTGGCTGGTTGCTGATGCTTCGATGCGAAGCACCCGATATTGTAACCACACCATCGGGCATGTAACTGTGGGCCATCTGTCACGGGGAAGACCGATGTTGTGCACTGGGCGAAGTGCAACTCGAGCCTCGAACAAGAGTCGCACAGGACTCAGGACAAGCCCGGAAGCCGCCACAAAGCTTGAGCCCGCCCTACTCGGGAGTCGAGACAAAGACTTCACGTTACCGACTACCGACTTGAATCGAATCATGTTGAAGAAGAGTCGGGCTTAGCTGCCACTGTGCCCGACCGAGTATGGATACAACACTGCACAATCCTGGCGGCACAGCGAACCAGACGCGCACAGCAAACCAGTACAGTATCCAATGGGCGGTAAAGTCTAGGTAGGTAGGGACGTCAAGGGAAGGGATTCTTGCAGCATAATTGATGATTGATGTATGCGGGGAGCCCAGGACGGATATGCAGTGCTGCATTCGGTCCGGGTCAGAACCCTAAAACACAGCTTGACCAGGCTCCTCCCCGACTCTCATCAGTTGCTTGCTGTGTGAACAGTTAGCCGCAGACGACGGGTAGGGATCAACCGTTGGCGAGGGAAAAGTGCCCCGGCGGTCTGTGGACTTGAGACGATTCGCCGACCTCCGCCGTTATTAGATTGCGGTAAAGAGGATGGGTGGTTTGCGCAATTGTTGATCTGCCGCCGTTTCGAGGATCGCGTTGGATGGAGATGGAGCAAATGCTGCGCTTGACCCAACAGCTCGAACCGGTGCGACATTTGGTGGGCTTCCCCTCAAGGCCCCACACCCCGCTAAGAACTATTCTGGAAACGAACTGGAGGCCTGGAGCAGGTTTCCAATCAAGTAACGCGCAGCCGGGTACTTGGCAATAATTACGTTGCAATGTACAGGAACCTACCCTGAATACTAGACCTGCATGTCTCCTGCGTATGCTGCCGCTGCGTCGATTGTTGCTCGCTTGTTCGTGGCGTCTCTAGCCAAGCTGTGTGCCTGTCGTCCGATCTTGGTCCTGCACCTGCCCGACCCTTCTCTCCTCCTGGGTTTTGTTTTTGGTTGGGAAACATCAGATTGGTACTCCCGTTGTTGTTTGGTCTCATTACTACTAGTACCAATCTGTTTGTCCTGTCGTGAACCACCGCGCCGAGACTCCGAATGAACAGACTGCGCGACTTGAACTGTTCCCGCCACAGCTGCGCGCATAGCCTGGCCCATTGAGTACGGGGAGCACTAGACGGCGTCTTCAAGTGTCACATACTGCAATTGGCGCCTCCGTTTTATTTGCCGAATGCTTGCCCGCCGCATTCCTCGACCTGCTATCGACCCCGAACTACCCTCGCCTTGACCGCTTGCAGTCCCGTCGACGGCGAGGACACTCCCCCTTCCCGAGTGACGCGCCGAGCGCCTGGTCTTCTGGGCGCTCACGATGGCGGGGTTCTTCCAGAAACTCAAAGGAACCGGATCTGTAAGTGGGACAAACCGCAGCGTCTTGCACACGGGAACACGAGTACACGAACACTAGAACAGCGCAACACCGAGCCATCTCAAGCTCTAGCTGTCCTTCTGTCACCTCCCGTTCGTGTGAAACCTTGTCCCGGACTAACAGTCACTCCTTTAGGGTACTTCAAAGTCCGATAACACGTTGGCCAAGAATAAGAAGGACGAGCCCCAGCTGGACTTTACACCCGTTGAGAAGCTGTTGCACAACGCGGGACCCATTCGGGAAGACGGCAGCGACAAGTTCTTTGGTCTAGAAAACGTAAGAGTTACCGGGAAAGTCACCGTGTAGCGAACGAAGAGCTAACAATTACCGCTTCACCCAGTTCGGAAACACATGGTGGGTGTAGACACTGTTCACGACCGCCCTGCGATGCTCTAGGCAATATGCTGACCGCTCATCTTCAGTTACTGCAATTCAATTGTCCAAGCGCTATACCATTCTGAACATTTCCGGTCCAATGTTGTCAACTATCCACCGCCGCTTCCGTGGGACGATCCAAACAGCGTCAAGAGGAAGGTCAATGTGACGATACGGCCTCCCCCACAGGCGAATGGAAATGCTGCGGGCTCGGGCAAAACAGGTCAGCCACCGAAGCCGCGGTCGTCCTTCAGCGGGGGACAGTTGGCTCCCAGTGTAGCGCCCACACGACCCGAGGATAAGCCTGACTCGCCCGAATACAAGAAGAAGCAGGCCATGATAAAGGGCCCGGTACTAGAGCTAGCACAGGAGAGCACGGATCCCTATGGCATGGCAGAGTGCACCTTCACCGGCCTCAAAGACATTTTCACAGCTCTTATCGACAGCCAATCGAGGACAGGCGTGCTCAGCCCCCAGAGGTTCCTTGACATATTCAAGAGGAACAATGAGATGTTCCGAAACTCGATGCACCAAGACGCCCACGAGTTCTACGGCATAGTCCTTAACGATGTAATCGCGAATGTGGAAGCCAATGGCAAGCGGATGCAAGAGTTGGCAGAGAGCAGGAGAAAGGATGACCCCTCTGAGCCAGCCGAGATATCACCAGGCTCTGACTCTACTGGGCTAATTCGGCCACCGGGGACGGGCTGGGTGCACGACATATTCGAGGGAGTGCTGACATCGGAAACGAGATGCCTGACTTGTGAGACGGCATCGCAACGGGACGAGACATTTCTGGACTTGTCTATTGACCTGGAGGAGCACTCGTCCGTGACATCGTGTCTGCAGCAGTTCTCAGCGGAGGAGATGCTGTGTGAGAGGAACAAGTTCCATTGCGATCACTGCGGCGGCTTGCAGGAAGCCGAGAAGCGAATGAAGGTTAAGAAGTTACCAAAGGTTCTGGCACTACACCTGAAACGATTCAAGTACACAGAGGATTACAGCCGGCTGCAGAAGCTCTTCCACCGAGTGGTCTACCCCTACCATCTGCGCTTGTTCAACACGACCGATGACGCCGAAGATCCCGACAGGATGTACGAGCTTTATGCGGTCGTCGTGCACATCGGAGGCAATGCATACCACGGCCACTATGTCGCAGTGATTAAGACGAAAGATCGGGGGTGGCTGCTTTTTGACGATGAGATGGTGGAGCCAGTGGACAAGACTTTCGTCCAGAACTTCTTCGGCGACAAGCCTGGGATGGCTTGTGCCTATGTGTTGTTCTACCAGGAGACAACATTTGAGAAGGTCCGGGAAGAGCTGGATGCCGAGGGTGTGGATCAGGTGAAAATGACCAACACCCTAACTACGGATCTTGCGATAAGTGCCGAGCTGGCCAACGGAACAAGCCCGGCTCCCCTTTCAAAACTCAACACCCAACCCTTACCGCCGGTCGACGAGAACGAGACATTGGTCGGGCTGGAGCATGCCAACTCAGCACCAACCGCGTTGGATGTCACCAGCCCTATCGATCCATTACCGCCACCGCTCTCTTCGTGTGAAGGCCATCCTCTAGTCGCGGCACCGCCGCCTCGTCCTAATGTGATGACAAAGGCAGACGAAGCCGCAACTGTCCCACCAAAGACCAAGGAGGAAATCGCTAGGGAAAAGAAAGAGCAGAAAGCCCGGGAGAAAGCTGAAGAGAAGGCTCGGAAAGCGGCAGAGAAAGAGCAGACGCGGATCGCAGCCAAGGAGCGGCAGGAGGCGGCCCAGAGACTACGAGAAACAGCACGCCTCGAGCGCGAGCAGTTACATAGGGCAATCCAAGAGAGCAAGCAGATGGCTGCTGATGAAGAGAGGCGGCAGAAGAAAGAGGCTCCCTCAGCTGAGAGGCCTGCTTCCTCAGAGGGAAATGGTGCGAATGGGTTCCTCAACCGCGCTGGGCGGACAAGCAAGTCGATGACGCGCAAAAGCTTTGCTTTCTTGCACATTGGACAACACAGCAACAGCAACAAGGAAGAAGATCAGGGCGATTCCAAGACCGAGAAGACGGATCGCAGCGAGGCCAGCGATACCAGGAGCGACAGGGGGGGGAGCAGCGTTACTGACGGGGACCTGTCGCGTGATAAACATCAAACCCCACCACGTCAAAATGGGATCAGTAATGGGAAATCCAACAATGGGAAACGGAACGCCAGCTTTTCGTTACCGGTGCGACCTCCACCGCGGTCAGACACGGCACCTGGGTCAGTCGAGCAGCTGCGCCAGGATAAACAGGATAAGGAGAAAGGAAAAGAGAAGCCGGCACTCAAGGAGAGGTTCAGCTTCGGACTCGGGAGGAAAAAGAGCAGCAAATTCTTGTCTCCTCTATCCTAGAAGGGGAAGAGACACTCGCTGCGCTGCGACGTGGAGCACGCGGACGCTCTGTGAGCTCTGAAAGGCACCCGTCCAACACGCACTCGCTTGGCTTGGCTAGCGCTGCTGGATATAATTGCAGGCGTTCTGATGCTTTTCGTTCAATACCCTCGTCTGGCTTCGTATATCGCCTACCTGGTTGTATAGAGACACACTCCGTATCGGAGTGGCATTGCAGAGACAGGGTTACAGAACCTGTTCTTCATAGAGGGCAGACTCACTCTCCTTGGTGAGATAGAGGATGGGGCGGTTGTTTGTAGTGTACGATGAGCGCTGGCATGGGGATTCTCTGGTGTGTTCGGCATGGTTGGCGGAACCGCCGAGTTCCCTCTTCATAGATAGCGAGAGCATATATCGCTAGTTGAGTAATTTAAGCTACCAACCGATGAACCTGTACCGAGCGGTGACTTGAGGACCTAGGAAGAGTACAGTGGCCTCGCGTCTCAGCAGCCCTCATCTGCCGTCGCTAACTGTATCCCATCTCTGCCATTCATGCGCCCAGTGACATCCAGAGCACGAATTGGGACCATTAGATCCGCTCATTGCGCTGCAGTGCATAGCATAGGCCCAAACATTCCGCTCCCGAACGCCTGTAGCCAGAACCTGTTGCCCCAGTTTGTGAACACAGTATCCCAATTCCGCAGCCATGTGCAGCTGACCAAAGGGGTGCCTCTGACCAAGCTCTCCCCCTTCCCACCTTCTAACTCAACCCAATATGAGCTCGTACACTATGATCAGCGTGTTGATTATGATTAGGGGTACTGGCGCAGCAACGAATTAGCTCCCACTCAAGCACTCTCCCTCTGACTGGGGCTTGCAACCCTGCGGGAATATTCAAAACTCGAACCTACCCCTCATAACGGTCCGCACACTCGCAATGAGCTGTATGATCCTGTATCGGACGCTCGAGTCGACCTCCTGGCCAAAGCCACGCTGGTATGTTGCCGGGGCAAGACCGACTGTGGGGGAAATGCTGTTAGAATTGAGATTGGGTCTCCAGTTGTATCGATTTGGAAGGAACTTCGAGCCAATTCCAAGCTTCGAATATAGGGTGGATGGTACGTGAGGGGAGGAGCACAAGAAACGTACCGCGCGCGAGGAACCGGTCCTCGGAAGGGATGCAAATGGCGTTAAGCAGGAGGACGGTAACTGGAGGGGGGAAGCGGGTCAATAGGCGCTGAGAAGGGGCAGCGGCGGGTTTGGGAGAGGCGAACTGTAGAGAAGTTTCCCGAGGATCGACATCTTGGTGGCTGCGGTGTCCGGCAAGCGGTGTTTGTTGATTATGGAGGGTCCCTGTACGGCTTCTCTATGTTGGCCTTCTCGGCCTCGTCGTCGTCTTCCTGTCTCGTGGCTGGGCTCGTATCTTCCGCCTTCGCACTGTCTTTTCCTCTTCTGCCGCTGTGAATCTACCCTGGCCGCGATTAGCTTTTGAAATGCGCTCTGCCATGGTGAGAGTCCTTACTTTGATACGATCGCCAGAGGTGGCCTCCGAGCTTGGAACACTGCACTCGATGTTGAAAGCTGTCATGGTACGTACCTGTACGTAGGTACTTAAGCAAGCTAACCCGCGAAGGGAAAGGCGGTTAAAGAAGCCGGGTGTGGCTGCTGTGGCTAGTAAAGGTGGCTTCAGATCCTGAGACCATAGACCCTAACCCTCCTATCAGCTTAGCTGTCCTGTCGGACCGGATATGCCTCTCTAACAACGTGTTTTCGGTAACTGTCTCGACTCTCCGAGATGGCCATCGGTATTCTCATGTACTGACGCAATTTGCGAGGGGTCGACTCTATAGTAATACTGCGTGTTCAGAATCTGCATCCGGTGCATTGAACATACATGGCAGTGTGTGGTCTACCATAGCAGCCCGGGCAGGCAGGCAAGCCTGACACCAAGGTCCTCAGATCCCAAGAGGGGATACCTGGATTTCAAGCTGTTCATTAGGGGCTTCTGCCCTTTCCGAGTTCCGAGTTCCGACACTCACAGGTGAACAACTTGCTCAATCGGAACCTCATACCATCAGCAAGCTACTGCGTAAGGTCAGAACTCGTCAATGAACTTCATCTTCACGAATCGAGGTCTCAAGTTTCCAGCCGTCCGACACTCTGGGCTCCTAAACTGGCTAAAGTCTGCTCTCCACCTGAACAGCATCACTTTCGGGCCCTTCACCGTCGGTCAATCAAGGTGTACGACGACAAGCACGTGAAGAGACTGGAGAGTCCTGAACAACCACTGTGGAGACGGCGTTCTTGCTCTCACAATTAGCCGGCCACTCTGGTTGGCGCGGCTATTCTCCAGGCTAAATGCTGGGCTATCGCCGGGTTCCCGGGTCAACTCGAAACCTGCAGCAGCGGTGCCTTGCAGCGACGACATCGAAGCTCGGAGGATACGCCCGAGATTCCACCGGTACCAGCCAGGTGACCATGAGGCTTCGCCTGCTCGGGCAGGCAGCTCGCTCTCAGATGCAGAGCAAACGATCTCCTTCTACTTGGTGTTGCAAAACATCGCGCTTGTGCGAAGCCTTGCAAAGCGCCTGTTAAACATGGCACATGGTTAGGACAACGCAGGGAGGTTTATGCCCACAAGTGCCCGTGAGGCTGATGGCAACTAAAGCCAGCCTCAGATGGAGTCCACCCTTCTCCTCCAGTCAAGCGCAGTAAACAGCAAGATGTCTATTTAACCCGTGCAGTGCCGGAGTCAGGTCCCCTCCCTGCCTTGGACTGAGCTGTCTTGGTGGGCCGGCTTTCGCGATTGTCCATGCCCAGCTCCATCAGTTAAAACTTAACAGGTTGGGTTTGGGAGAGACAGCGGGCTTATTAGACATTGGGAACCTCGCTTTATGCCAGTAGACAATTACTAGTACTTCCCACGACGGCCTAGATCACGAGTATGGCCAGTCTCAAACTTGTTGGCATGCCGTTAGCCCTGCGAGTGACACTGTCCAGGCCCAGATCCCGCGCTGTATGACGATGAAGCGGGTCTCAATGGGGGACGGGAGCAGAGCGGTTGGCAGTGCCTGGGTTGTTGGAGATATCGCACCAAGCGGAGCACCAAGCGGAACGTCTGACCCTGTTCGGGAACGCACATGGAGATGAAGCGCGCGACTCGGCGGAGAGGAATAGGGACCACTGCGTTGTCTGGTGGCACCCCTCCCCGCCAACCCTCGAGGTTGTGGAGAGGGGCGCGTGGTATAAGTCTTGCGGCAAGCCCGCGACGCTCTCTTGAGCTTCTCGGCTGATTCATTCTCCAACTACCACACACTTCCCTCCCCTTCTCTTCACTCCCCTCACCGACCGCTTCAAGTAAGTCTCCTGACCATTTACATTCACACAGCTTCTGCACGGCGTCTGCCTTTGGACCACTCACCTGATTTGGTTACTGACGAGCTTACAAAGTTACACGCCGGCCGCTGACAAGCATCCCGAGACAACAGCACAATGGCTCCCGTCATCAAGCTCAACAACGGCCTTGACATGCCCCAGGTGGGCTTCGGTCTCTGGAAGGTTCCCAACGACGTTTGCGCCGAGGTGGTCTACAACGCCATCAAGGTCGGCTACCGCCTGTTCGACGGTGCTGCCGGTAAGTCACGTTTTTGCTAGTCTCCGAAGACGATTCGAGCTTGCGTCGTGCGGATGAACAACTGTGTGGCCTGCACCATGACATCGTGATGCGCGTCGCTCGACGTTGAGGGGCAAGGAGGGGTTGTCAGAAAGAGCTACCCCGCCCCCTCGCTCCGCCTTGCTCCACCCACTTGCAGGGGAGCATGGAGGGGTCGAATTCTTCCGGGCCCCTGTCCGCTGTCGCGGCAGAAGAAAGCGCCAGGACACGCGGCTCAAGATGTGGATCGCACTGGACCTCTGGCAAAGGTCCTTCGGTACATGCGTACACAGACACCTGGGCTGACAGAAAGCGTGACCAGACTACGGCAACGAGGTCGAGTGCGGCCAGGGCATTGCCCGCGCCATCAAGGAAGGCCTCGTCAAGCGTGAGGACCTCTTCATCGTCTCCAAGCTATGGAACACCTTCCACGACGGCGACCGGGTAGAGCCGATCGTCAAGAAGCAGCTCGCCGACTGGGGCATTGACTACTTCGACCTCTACCTCATCCACTTCCCCGTCGCGCTCGAGTACGTCGACCCCTCGGTCCGCTACCCGCCCGGTTGGCACTACGATGGCAAGAGCGAGATCCGCCCCAGCAAGGCCAGCATCCAAGAGACGTGGACCGCCATGGAGTCTCTCGTCGACAAGGGCCTCGCCAAGAGCATCGGCATCTCCAACTTCCAGGCTCAGCTGATCTACGACCTGCTGCGGTATGCCAGGATCCGCCCGGCCACCCTCCAGATCGAGCACCACCCCTACCTCGTCCAGCCGGAGCTGCTCAAGCTCGCCAAGAAGGAGGGTATCGCAGTCACGGCCTACAGCTCCTTCGGGCCCGCCAGCTTCCAGGAGTTCAACATGGAGCACGCCACCAAGCTCACTCCCCTCCTGGAGGACGAGACCATTAAGAAGATTGCTTCCAAGTACGAGCGCGAGCCTTCGCAGGTCCTGCTTCGGTGGGCTACCCAGCGCGGCCTCGCCATCATCCCCAAGAGCAACAGCCCGTCGAGGATGAAGGCCAACTTCGAGAGCGTCAACTTCGACCTCTCTGAGGAGGATATTGCCACCATCTCTGCCATGGACCGCAACATCCGCTTCAACCAGCCGTCGAACGTAAGTAGACCCCAGGTGATATCTTCACCGGGTAACGGCATATACTGACCCTTGACGCTGCAGTACTTCCCCACTGAGATGCTCTGGATCTTTGGCTAAATGCGCCCTGGAACACCAAGTGCGGGGGATGGGCGCAGTTCCGCCTCGGTCAAACCCGAGGCAGCCCAGACACTGATCCCCACCGACAGCACTTCGACATTTATCCCCGAAGGGCGGCCGATTGGGATAGCTTCTAATATGCCCGGACCCAACCCATTACCATTGCAATGAAGGAACAGGGGCTACAACGGCTATGCCATTATTGTATGGTCAATCCGGGCCGATGGGAACCCTGTGTGTTAAGAGACGCACAACATCGAACCCAGGGGAAATGACTCGTGTCAGAGAGGGTGTCTCATTTTCACTGCATGGCATACATCTTGCGTGATGAAAACGCGTTATAGAATATATCAAAGCTGCCATTTTCTGATTCAATTCTTCTGCTTCCCACTGCAATCTTGTTGAAGTGAAGCAATAAGCCCACGACGAGTGGCGGGACGCCGATAATAAGTTCCTGTTCCTTGCAGGAACGGTATGTTCTAGTAAGTAATAATACTGCTTCCTCATTTCTCACTCTATGACCTACTACTGCTGATACCAGGGAAATAATCCCACACGGCAAGACAAGGGTACCGGAATTCACGACCCTGCGGTAATCAGGAGCTCAGATGACCTAGGAATCCTGACTTTTGTTCCGTTTACAATGGATCCTCTGCTACACCGGTATTGAATATAGGTATTATTGTACTTTATGCCGGCAAAAGCTCTCTTGCAGACTTGGCATCAGCCCCCGCCCGTCTATTGTTTGAATATATTCTCAGCACCCGTGGTCCTGCTTCAGCAATAATGCTTCCCGCGACAGGGAAATATCCGTAACCGACAACCGGCAGTCAAGGTTACGGTTGGCTGGCTAGCTGCTTGTCGCCTGGGCCCTGATCATTATTTTCCGAGAACATGGGTGGTATAAGCTGAATTCATTGTAAGCCTACTGTACCATCTCAGTGGTTTCCCTACTCACGTCTCCCATCGAGAACGTCATCAAGGATCTATCCATAAATCAAAGAGAGTTCGAGACAACAATGGCCACCATCCCCAAATTCATCCGCCTTGCAGCCTTCCTGCTTGCGGCGCTGATGAGCCTGACAACTGGGGCCGAGAGGGAGGATGATTCTCGCTGGACCCGAAAGAAGCCCATCGTGCTGCGCCAGTCCGGAGGCTTCACGATCGGCGGCAAGGTCGTCCCGCACCCTCTGAATCCCAACATGACGCTCTCGTGCGATCACGGCTATGTAGAGTACTTCCACCCGTGGCGGCCGCGTCGGACGAGCATTGTCATGTGGCACAGCTCCAGCACGCAGGTCTTCCAGAACCGGTGGGACGGCGGCGAAGGGTTCAAGGACATGTTCCTGCGCCGCGAGTATCCGGTCTATCTCTGGGACGGGCCCCGGGTCGGCCGGGCGAACTGGGCCTGTAACGCCACGTACTACGTCCCCGAGTACCGCGACCAGAGCAACTTTGTGGCGTGGAACTTTGGCCCGCGGTTCAAGGAGTGGTGGCCGGTCGTGCAGTTCCCGACGGAGAGCGAGCACGCGTGGCAGCAGGCGACGAGCTCGCGCTACGTCGAGTACGACTCAGAGGCGAGCGTGAGGCTGGAGACGGACGCGGCGGCCGTCGCGGCCGACTCGGGCCGGCTCGGCACCAGCATCGTCTACCTCACCAACTCGGCCGGCGGGCTGCGCGCCCAGATGACGGCCGTCAAGAGCAACACGACCAACATCAAAGCCATCGTCTGCTACGAGAGCTTCGGCTACGTCTTCCCGGACAACGCGGGCGTCGAGCCCGGCGCCGGGCTCAACCCCTTTGGCCCGATCGTGGTGCCTGTCGAGGAATTCAAGAAGCTGGCCAAGGTGCCTGCGATCCAGTTCTTGTGGGGCGATCACCGAGACGACAGCCTCGTCGCCCTCAACCAGTCCAAGCAGGCCGCCGCATTGATCAACCAGTACGGCGGAAATGCCGAGGTCGTCATGCTGGGCCGAGACAAGGGCCTGAAGGGGACTACGCACATTGCGTTTGCGGATCTGCACAATGAGAAGGTGGCGGACCTGCTGGACGAGTTCCTGCATGACAACAAGCTGGATCGTTATCACTAGCATGGCGGTATCTTGTCTTGGGCACTAGTACTATCCGGCTTGGTTGATGGCAAGCCCAGGAGGTGCCAGGGGCTTGAAACCATTCGCTGTCCTTTTCCTACACGTCAAGTTGGTCTCAGCTGTTTTCTCTATCTCGCAGCAATGTCACAAAAGCACAGCGTTCATCGGGTCATCGCCACCATCCCCGCGCAATCCCCCACCACATTGCTTTATATCAGCTCCCTACAGGTCACAGCATCATATTTCATGAGGAGGTTCTCATTGCAGGAACCGTGTTTCCCGCATCCCAAGGCATCCCAATATAGTGAGCGTCTCAACGGAGGAACTCGCAGCAGAGTTCAGGTTTCACAGCATATGCGACATATTGCCGGGAAGTAGGAATGAGGGGACATACAGTACAACTTGGACACCGGCAAAACTCAAGACAGGTCCTATGAACCCTAAAGAGGTGGACGTCGTTTGAGGGTGTAGTATACACTCCATATTGGCCGTGCCGACCTCCGGAATCGAACCGAATCATGGCTCGACACCTGGTTGCATTTGTCGAAGGGGCGGACATAGAATAAGGAACGTTTGTATACTTTGCTTATAATAACGAAGCCAGCTCCCCCGGCTAGGAGAATAGGTCCCCGTCACTCCCCCCTTTCCCACAGCTAGCACCCACTGCCAGACTCAACCCTTCACGATGCGGATACATCGCTTCCTCAGCCTAGCCCCCGCCCTCTTCAGCCTCCAGGCCCATTGCCTGAAGATAGCCTGCAGCCAGCAATGGATCGAGCACACCCCGCTCGCCTACGCCGCGGCCAACTTCTACAACAACAACAACAACAACAACGACAATAAAGCCGCCGGCGACACAGCCTCCATCATAAGCGGCGGCATCCCGAACCTCTCAGACCGCAGTGTCGACCTCGCAGGCAACGCCGAGACACAGGGCCTCAAAAACTACGTGACACACAAGAACTACCGGCTCATCGGCATCATCGTCGAGGTCACCTACCGGCTGGTAGCCAACCGAGCCGCCGGGATCAGCACGCTGGCCGACCTGAGGGGCAAGCGCATCGGCACCATCGCGGGCACGTCGGCCGAGGTGTTTGTGCGCCAGCTGCTCGCCACAACCACAACCACAACCACAACCAGCGCCGCCGGTCTCTCCTCCTCCTCTCATGATTATAATAATTATAAGCATAATTATCCCGGGGGGACAACAACAAACGACTCAGACTCAGACTCAGACTCGGACTCAGACTCGGACTGGGACTCGGACTCGGACTACAGCACCACCGTCATCGTCGGCACCGGCATCAACGTGTGCATGCGTGAGCCGTGCGCGGCCGACACCTTCCCGGCCCAGCTCCGGGCCGGCAAGATCGACGCCTTCGGCGTGTGGGAGACGTCCGGGGAGCTGGGCATCCGCGCGCTCGGCGGGCCGGACAAGGCCGCCGTCTTCAAGAACGCGTCCGTCTACAGGGAGGTCTACAGCCTGTACTCGACCGAGGAGAAGCTGCGGGATGCTGCGACGCGGCAGAGGATTGTGCGGTTCGTGCGCGCTCTGCACAAGACGTACGATCTCTTCCGGAATGCTAGTACTAGTAGTAGTCCCGATGTGTACACGACGGTTGCGCGGACGGTTGGCGTGGATGTGCCCGTGCTGAAGAGCGTGTGGGCGGATCACGTCTGGGGGCCGGGGCGGCTGGACGGGGGCTTGCTTGATTATCTGGAGCGGGAAGATCAGTACCTCGCTAGGGTGGACAGGCGTCAGCCGTTCTCGAGGGCGGAGTTGGAGAGGTTTGTTGATACGAGTGTGTACCAGGAGGCTATGCAGGGTTAGCCGGACGTGTTAACCATCTGTGCAATGTTCGTAGTGGTGTGTTTATATAGCTATGCCAGTTGCAGTGTTCAACCCCGAGAATGAAAGCCCTGTGCTAGCTTAGGTTGTTTGTAAGAAGGCGGCAGAAAGCTGTCCGCACGGCTACTGGGCATGTCTCGTACAGTTCAGGTCCGAAAGTATGCCGACCTTACCAACCGGAGGCAGAGACTGAAGTAGGCACCTAGTGGTGAGATTGAGGGATCTACCTTCCACATTCGAAAGAAAGAAGAACGCCTGCGCTGCTTGCTGCGCGCTTGTCCGCCATGTCCGAGAACGCCGCCCTCATGCTCCTCCGAGGGTTTGTGATATGATTTCCTTCCCTTCCTTCGCTAATTATGCTGTTGTGCGGTTGCGCACTAGCGCCGCAATCATGTCCAAGCAAAATGAACACCCGACCTCCCCGAACTCCAAGACAGATAGCAAAAATGGCCTCCCATGTCGTGTCTACATACACGTGGATGGAACAAGCTACCAAGGGTTCCCCTGTACAAAACTGTAAACACAAGTAGTTCAGTCAGTCGTCTATCCATGCGTAGCATATCTTGTAAACGATGAAAGGGAATATTTGGGGGGGGGGGGGGGTGGGGAGTGGTTGATACTCACTCAGCATCAATCTTCTTCACCTGCGGCAGCGCCAGCCGCACTTTATTCCGATACAGCGCCGGCGCCCGCAGCTGCAGCGGGTTGCCCTCAAAGTACACCTCCGTGAGCGCCCTCTTGTCGCCCAGCTCCCGCTCCATCTCGGCAAAGTCCGAGACCTGGTTGTAGCTCGCGTAGAACTCCTCCAGCTCTGCCAGCGGGCCCAGCCCCCGGAGCGAGCCGACCCGGTTGTTGGACACGTCCAGCACGCGCAGCCGTGTGTTGTGCACCAGCCCCTCGAGCGACTCGAGAGCGTTGTGCGTGATGTACAGCTCCTCGAGCTGCGGGACGTCCTTGAGCGGGGAGAGGTCGCGGATGCGGTTGGACTGCGCTGAGAGGACCCGCAGGTTGCTGAGCCCCGAGAGGCCCGAGAGGGATGTGATCTTGTTCGTGCCCACGTAGAGCTCTTCGAGAGACGTGAGGGATTCGAGGTTTTGCAGCTCCCGGATCCGGTTGCAGCCGAGTTCGAGCATGCGGAGTTTAGTCAGGCCCGCCAGGCCGTCGATCTTGGAAATCTTGTTGGAGATGAAGTAGAGGTGGGTGAGGTTGCTTAGGTGGGAGACGTGCTTGATGTGCTTGATCTTGTTGTACGAGAGGTCGAGCGACGTGAGGTTGACAAGGTCGTCCAGGCCGCGGACGTGTGAGATGAGGTTGTCGTAGAGGTCGAGCTCGTGGAGAGAGTCGGCGGTGCACGAGAGGCCTTCGATCTCTTGGATTAGGTTCTGTCGTAGGGATATGCTGGCTACCTTCTTAAAGCGTTCCAGGCGCAGGGCGGGAATTGATTTCACTCGTGACTGTGTGCAGTTGATGTCCTCTGTGTCCGAGGCTTCGTCCTCGAGTAGGTCTAGCGGAGAGTTAGCACGTCACATCCCTGGAGACACAGCAAGCTTTCCTCACCCTCATCCGCAGCAACCTCTTCGCCGGGTATGACGTTGTCTTCGTCAGAGTACTCGGGATCCGAAAGCGCCTCTGGATTGGCAAGCACCGCATTCTTTGGTACACGGAGCTTCCCATCCCAGCCCTTGCTGTTCCTAAGCCCGGGGCTGGCTTCACCATCGTGCCGCACGGAGGAGTTGTCGTCGGCCAGCTCGATGTGGTTCCCTGGCGACCGGGAGCCTTCCTGACCTTCTTCGAGAGGCGCGGGCATGATGGGCGGTATACGGTGTGCAGGTTGAAGATCGGGTGGGCTTTGTTGTGGAGCGCGGTTTGCAGGGCTTTTGTTGTTGTGTTCTGAGGGTGCGAAGGCGCGTGCGTCAACGGACGGCCATGGAAGTAACTGTTGCAGCGAGCTTTTCTGTCCGCCCAAGCTTACAGGTCCGGCCACTCGGGTACGTGTATGTCCAGACTCTCGAGTAACGCTGCATGAAGCCTGTTGACCAACAATGGAGGGGTACTCCGCCGCTTATCGTCAGCTCATCATCGAAGCAACTGCTGACAGCTGCTGCGGACGTCAATGGTGGGCCCATCTCCAGTGATCATCACCACCCTGACACCCACATTCACTCAGGCGGACTTCGAATTGTCATGGCATCCAATGTTCAAGACGCTCTACATATTCCATGCAGTCATGTTTCGGAGATGGTCATGATGGTAACTTGTTTTGGTCAATGACTTGCTTGATTAACAAGGGACTCATTACCCCGCAGACATGCGAGTGTCTGCCCCAGAGTTTCGGATCCCGCTGTCTTCACTGGATGACACTTGTCCACCACATGCAGCCCCCTTCTCCTGTGTTCTAATTCCTAACGAACCGCGACATGATTACAGCCCGCCATCAGAGTCCCAATTCTTCGGATCTGTGCCCAATCAGCCCATCCCAATTCCGTCGACTGCAGACATTCTCCAATTGTCGTGGAGGGGAAGCACGATCTTGCAGCTCACCCAGAGGACCCTGACGAGTGGCAGACGGACACATAATCTGTACGTCTGTAGTGGCACGGGCAAAGCGCGAGATATCGGCATTGGGCAGCATCTCCATGTCTCATCGAGCCGGCGCTCGTCGGTTTTGAACCCACTTCATCCCGCATTGCATCTCGTCAATGACTTGAGCCAATGCTACGCTCACGTGCAATGATTGCCCGCGCTCGAACGGGAAACCAATGGCGGCGGCTGCCACAACGATGCCAGCTGTGCACTGGCTGCGGTAGCACTCCCCTTGGTTCGAGGCGGCGTTGGGAATTAGTCAACAAGCGCAATGCTCTGTTGGGATCCTGCCATCTGAGCATCTTCTATGCTGGAGCTAGCCGCCGCGGCATACACATCCCTTCGATTCTGCTGCCACCGGTAGTCTTCAGTGGACTGCTGATTGCCTTATGGGCCTGGTATGTGTCGCACGACTTCTCTTGGGTAACTTGGTAGATTCATGTCTCTGACATAAGGAGCTAGGAAGTGTGTGATGATGGTGGTCTTCCAAAACAAGATCATCTATATGCCGGGTCTGCCGCCAAACGCTCGCAGCGAACGTATCGCGGATTGGGCGAACCTATGCGGGGCCATCCAGTGGACTGAGGAGCGAACCGTCACTGGGGACGGGAAGGAGCTTGCCATGGCCGTTACTACTATCCCCTTGCCACAAGGAAGACCTACTGCACGTCCGGCCACCGTCAAGCAAGACAATGCGCCGGCAGCACATGTGTATATCCTCTATTTCCAGGGTCGGCCATTGTGATTTGCTGGGAGTAATGATCGGGAAGCTGACGATGCCTTAGGGAACGCATCCTCAATACCGCCCCGTCTGCCTGACTTGTCTTGGGTCCTTCGAGCTGTTAGTGACAGCAAGACCCATGCCTTGGCACCACTGCAGTTGACGTTGGTCTGTCTGAGTTATAGGGGGTACTGGACCTCTCGTGGCCGGCCCTCGGAAGCGGGTCTCCGGCTTGATGCCGAGGCCGGCGTGCGGTGGGTTGCCGAGCGGCATGAACGCACATTCGGCAAGCACGGCAGCACTAGGCCTATCTTGCTTCTTTGGGGCCAGAGCATTGGGTCAGGGGTCGCAACGAACCTTGCCTCAACTGGCCGGGTACCGTCCAGCATGCCGATCGCAGGTCTGCTTCTTGAGACCCCTTTCGTGTCAGTCAGAGCCATGCTGGAGACACTGTATCCCCAGAAATGGTTACCGTACAAATATCTCTGGCCTTTCCTTCGAAATCATCTGGATAGCTGGGCAAACCTCGGCCTGATCGCCGAGTGTACCAGGAAAAAGGGGTTCCCAGCGCCCATGGTCTACATTCTTCAGGCTGAAAGGGACGAACTGGTGCCAAAGGAACAGAGCGAGCATCTTTATCAGAGGTGCTTGGACCTCGGCCTCCCCGTTGAGAGGGGCATTGTGCCTGTGGCATATCACCAGCAAGCCATTGCTAGAGGAGACGGGAAGAAATTGGCTGCTCAGGCGATCCTGAAACTAACTATGAGAGCCCTGGATAATGGTTGAAGATCTTTTTTGCAAATTTTCTCTTGTGTTTCTCTTGGGGGAAGTCCAAAAGTGGTGTTGCCACTGTTGGTGGATTTGTGTGAGGCCCCTGTCCATCACCCTGGTAGCGGTCCGATAATAAGAGAGCTTCAGAAGCGGCTCGGCGCAAGGTCCCACAGGTGAAGGATGCACCCGAGGAAAAGGAGGCAAGCTCAAGCCATCACACCCAATGGTGCCCTCACTCACGTCCCTCCGAGCAAGCCGCGTGGAAAGTTGAAATACATATCGGATTGCTTCTTTTGACAAAAGCGCCATGGTGGGATGGATAGGTACGGGGTATCCATACTGTGTAGATGGGCACGATGGGCTTTCTGCTCCGTGCTTTTTCTCGAGCAAGGATCAGTTGGCGTTCCGTGATTGTTCCCAACGGTTGCTTCGAGTGATCGTGCGGAGTGGGTCCGGGATCAAAGTGCATGCATGTTAATCTTACCAGGGGACTGAACGGTGATCCACTCACTTCAAAGTGGAATGCAAACCCGTGGCCCATGCTTTGCCTCTGACCTTTGGAGGTGTCGGGCTCGAACTCACGAAGTCAAGTGTTGCACCCGTAGCATTTTGACTCTCAGTTTATTTCGATGCATTATTTTAGCGTGGCTGTTCAGGGGCAGTGCCGCCTTCTTCGATGCGTCAGCCTGCTGCTGCCTCGCGGGTTGTCGGCTAGCAAATGTTCACGAGTGTGTGAGTCAGGCTTGGCAGCCTCGCAGCGTTGCCTCCAATTTGACAGCCTTTTCCAGAAGATCCGAGCAAACCTCACTCGGGCTTCGCCTAGCTCGATGTCTCCGCGACATTTGGCACATGGAAGCATGGGAATCCCTAATAATGATTCCGACCATCCCTTGCGTTGCACCGACGGGCCTTTGCTGGTCCGGCTCCCTCTTCCGGACCCCTGTTGTAGGCACTAAGGACCCGCAAAATTCCGTTCAGCTTGTCCGAAATGGGAATAGCTATCATGTGACTCCGTGTCAATACGTGTCGCTTCTACTTCCCCAGACCCGTTTTTTCGCGTCGGTCACGCTGGATACTTCATTTTTAACCCTTGTTGTGCAACTTGCCATTTCCGGCGCCGAGACAAGGTGTCCACCCACGGTACAGCAGGCATCTATGCAGCCGCGGCCTCCCCCTCCTGTTAAATATGAATCCAGGCCTTCCTCCGCCGGAAATGAGATGGACAAATTTTTCTGCCATCCTCGTTTCAAACCCACCTTGGCCTGGCTTTTAAGTAGGTAGGCCATTGCCGATCGAAAAAGTTGTGGAAAGTCATCGACGTTCATCTTCCGGTTATTGCTTTCATCGCATTTGTTTGTTTCTCATCGTCTTCGTAGTTGTTCATTGTTTGGTTTACATCCCGGAATCCCCCAATCGCCCTGCGATTGCGATAACGATCACCCGAAAGCCTACCGACCCGAGTCAACGACCGATCTGGCCTTCGAGCCGTGCCAGGTGGAGACAAGACGGACCAGGGTAAACGGCGTTGGTGGTGGCAGATCAAGATGTTTTCGTCACGACGTGTCGAGCCGCCTTCGGCGCCGAGGCCACCTTCGAGCTCTCAGAGCAAAAGCTTCTCCAAGTCCGGGAGACACCGGAGAGCAAGTTCGTCCGTCACCAAGGAAGCCGGTATCTCCAAGAGGTCTCTTGAACCCGGCTCCCGCCGCCGCGCCGGCACCGTCTCCAATTCGGGTCCCTCCGACTCTACACCCAATGTCTCGGCCATCGTCACCCTCGTTGTTGGCCAGGAGCAGAGGATCTTCGCCGCCCACGAGAATGTCCTTTCCGCCTCGCCGTTCTTCCAGACCGTCCTGCAAAATCAGATGATGGACTCGCAAACCAAGAAGATCTCGCTGCCCGATGAAGAGCCCGAAGTCTTCTCGTCCGTTCTCGAGTATTTGTACAAGGGCGACTATTATCCACGTCTCGTCCACAACAAGAAGCGGAACTCGTGGGAGTTGGAACAGGCAGGCGAGGATGGCCGCTCCGAGGCCACCATCCATCATCACAGTATTGAGGGCGAGTTGTTGAAGGACACCGCCATCTATTGCGCTGCCGATAAGTACGGCCTGGAGGAGCTGAAGCGTATCTCTCTGCGCAAGCAGGGCCTTCGTAAGTCGACTCTCCCAACCCTTTCTTAATCTGCTTCGAGTCATTGTACTAACGACAGCAGAATCCGGTATCCAAGCCAGCACCATCCTGACCTCTGCTCGCTATGCCTACGCCAACACTCCCGATACGGACTCCAAGCTGCGGGCACACTACTTGGCTCTCATCATCCGCAGCCGCAGCACCTTCAAACGGAGCGGCACGATGCAACTTGAGATGTTCAACGGCGGCAGCCAGCTCTTCTTCGACTTGTTTGTTGCCTTGTGCAATCATGTCGATGACATCTCTAGTGCTGCGTAAGTTCTATCATCATACCTCCCACTACTCGCTTGACTAGCCCTAACCTGGTTATTGCATAACAGCTCGACGCCTCGCACTCCTCGCAGTGGGCGCCCGTTCTAAATCCTCACTTTTCTTTTCTCTCTTCTGTGATACCCGACACCCCTCAACAAAACAACGATACCTGCCCCGCTCGTGTTCTCGACTCTGCGATGGATGATGCTTCATACCCCTGCCTCCTTCGATTCTAATTGTTTACGCACACGGATTTTTACGATTAATACGCTCTAATCTTTTTTTGGGTTCGGCTGGGGCATAGACATTTCCATCATCGTTTTCATGGTTTTGGCGCAGGGATGGGCTCGGCTAAGTCTGCTTTTAATCGCATGGGGTGGTGTTGTGTTTTTGCTTTGGCCTTTTTCTCAAGAACCCAGACTTGTACAACAGCTTAACTCACGACATGAACTTGTTGATGGCGGAGGACTTTTGTTTTGTGTTTTGCAATGGGATTTCATTTCGGGGCAGGACATGGTATTTCCTTGAGCCCGCTGTCTTGACCAGATCTCGGCTTACACCGCGAGCACGAGCTATGGTTTTGTGGGTGGAGATTCTCATCTAACATGTCTTATTTCACTGGCGAATCGCGGGAGACGTGAGCCATGCAGTTTTGGGAAAATGGAAAAAGGGAGCTGCGGAAGAAGTCTGTCTTCGCTTCTTGCTCTCGTTCACCACCCGTTTCACGCTAGGGTGTTACCGGCATGCGTCTCAGTAGCGTCTGGGACTCCGACATTACCGGTGGAGGATGATCGTATAAACCACAACGCTGGTGCTCATTCTCTCGCTCAAAATACAACCAAGCAACCAGCAAATCACTGTCCAAACCCAATGTCTGTGTCGTGACGCATGAGTCTCGCGGTGCTGTACTCATAGACTGTGTCTATGTTCACAGCTAGCAAGCAACTATCAGGAGGTGGACTTCTGAGAAAGCGATGATCGAAGGGGTGTGAACTGTGAAAGGAGATCCACCTCCCTAGACCGGCGGGATGGGTCGGTGGATCTTCACTGCTGCAACGTTAATGTTAGCCTCAAAAGCGAGAACCATCGGACCGGGTCAGTCCGGGGATGAGCATGCTGCATGTGAATGAAAATTTGCCACGGGGCCTGTCCAAGTTGGGGATAACTTCAGGGGTCTATTTCTTGGCCTTTTCTCTGAAATTTTCCCCGGGCTATTTCCGTATGAAGAAACCCCCCTTAAAAAAAGGTTTGCAAGTTCGGAAAGTAACTACAGGGCAAAAGAAGAAAGAGAAGGAAGGTGGATGGGCTACCTCAACTGTGAAGCGTCGCGCCTTGGATGGGACGGGAAGACCAGCAGTACAGCAGTAGTGTAGTGATGTTGGTCAGGGACCCGGACTGATGAGTGAGGTGAGGGTGAGCGGAGTCTCAGTTTCACGCAGTCTTGCACAGTGGTTTGTGGACTGTGTGTGTGTGCTTGCGTGAATGCGTGAACGTTGTGTGAACACTTCCTCAGCCATGGTCTTAGCGTGACGGAAACGGGAAAATGTGCGGGGAGAAAGAGGAAGAGCCATGAATGGATTCCTTGGTTTCGAAAATGGTTGGTGCACGCAGTTCACATCCTGTGGAATGCGAGGTGATAAAAAAAAGGGGTAAATGTTTGGGTGCTGTTACTTGATTGGGGCGTTTCTGGAGCAACTCTGCCACCGTCACCTGCAAACTGCAGCCAGCATTGCATTCCAAGGTTGGGGAAACACAGACCGGTCACCGACATTGGGTCAATGCGGTGCAAACAACCCCAAAAAAAGAACAGCCACCGCAGGATGGGAACACATGCGTCACATCTGACGTTAAGAGATACCTTAGCTTGGGAAGTTCCGTGACTAGGCAGACTTAGGCCCGTCATTCCAGATGGGCTGCAAAGGAAGTCACTCGAGCAAGCTTCCGTAATAGCGAGGTATCACCGATCAATCAATCACTGACAAGTGCAGTTTTGCCGTGCCCAAGAATACCGATAGGAGGTTCAATCCCCCTTGTTTCGCAGTTTGCAAGAACGGATGCATGCTTGATCGTTCGGACCAGGCACGCCAGGTTAAACCAGCATCTTGCCCGGTATGTACATACGCAACCGCCCACTGTGTTGGCAAACCCCAAGCTGCCCTCGGTATCCCTCTCCCGCTCCGGCACGCAAACCATTATGAATGACGTGCACCAGGGGTAGATACACCGAGTGAGATTCGCTAACCGTGTCCCCTCACACACCGGTCCCTGGGAATGCCCCTGACTTGCTCAACACCACAATGCCGTGTTGGCGGGAGATATAACCTTTCATATGGCCCTGGACGGTGAACAATCAGCAGATGACTCATTACTAGGCAGATTCTCGTCCAATCGGGTTGTTCATGTTGTGACTGGCGAACGCTGCATTGATACCCGATGAATCTGGCAGAGAGGGATGATGCGTTTGGTTGCGATTCTTCGGAGGCAGCTTCCGAGGACCATCATCATCCCACGTTGAAGGGAGAGAACATGGATTGGGGAAATAACGATGCGTGATTTTGACTCACCTTGTAAATCATGTTGGCCAAAAGACACTCGACCTCGTCGTTGTCGATCTTTTCCTGGCTGCCAAGGCTGATGGCAGCGGCAAACTCAGCGACCGGCACGCGGCTTCGGCGAACGGGCTTCTCCCCTTCCTTTGCTTCTTCAAACCCACGGGCAATAAAGACCTTCCGAAGCAGGTTGCGCAGCGCAATGTCGCGGCCGCGTTCAAGCGTGAGATAGATGCGGCGCTTGACAAACTCGTCTTCCCCCTCCTGGAGGGCCAGGTCGAACTTGTGAAGTTCCCCCCTCTTGATGCACCGGCACAGTGGCAAAAAGAGCTTCTGTAACCTTGGATAAGGCTCCAAGAGCTTCTCGGTCGGTAAGGTGTGACTGGTGATTAGATGGCACGGGATGAGATAGGTCAGGATAAGTCTAGTCCCTGTGTTAGGAAACCGCCAGGTCAAGCCAACATCACCGCCCTTAAACTCACTCCTTATTTCGCATTGCATTCTTATGGCAGAGTCGCCATGCATCAGTGAGATGCTGTTCGGCCTGCAGCTGGTCAGCTTCTGACCTCAAGTGTTCGTCGATAAAGGCGGTACCTCGCCGTAGTTCTCTTCCAAGAACGCCAGTACACCTTGGTGGTACTTGAAGGTGACTTGCTGAGACTTTGGAAAGGCTGAGAAGTCCGGCATATCTCCCCGCCCTGCCCGTAAGCTATTCAAGATGTTCTTGGAGAGGGATGCCGAATTCAGCCTGAAGTATGTCTTGAGGAGAAGGTTGGCGATATAGTAGCTTCCCCATTTCCGCGACTCTTCGATCGGTGCTCTACGACAGAGTAAGACTAGAACGTCCCTAGCCGGCGTAGACTGTGCTTACCTATCAGCTTGACATAGGTTGAAGACTCTGCCCAAAACTCTCGCACAGTCTTCAAGTTTCTGGCGCTTGTTGCTCTCTGGGTCAAAGTCGTCTTGCAGGTTTGCTGCACTCTCATCGATAGGGATTTTGCTATTGCGCTCTTCGTCCGCCATGATCGCGAAGATGCGCAAATTCTTGCTTACTACGTACAGGCAGGGAATGGTCCATGCCTCGAAGCCGGCGTTCTGGTACCCTCGGAGAAGGAGGTTCAATAGCTCCGTCCAAGCCTCGTAGACTTTCGTCCACAACAACTGGGACGACTGTGAATTGAATCAGCAAAATCCAAAGACCATGCCTCAACATGGATAGAGAGTGGCATTCTAGGAGAACGCTGGGACCCATTACGATCCGGATGCTAACCTTGCTGTCGTCACTGCCCGACTCCCGCGCTGCCAGAATCACCCCAGCAGCATTCCAATACGCAGCATATACCTCTACCCAACCCTGTACCTCCACATGCTCAATTCCCCCTACGAGTGCAGCATTGCCCTGGAGGCCGCGCTTGAGGGTGTTCCTGATCTCATGAGCATTCTGGCTCATGAAGACCCTCCGCAGCTGCTCTGTTGGAATCTCTGGTGATAAGGTGCGTGCAAGCCGATAACCATCCTGTTTTGACCAGATCTCGCCAAACTCATTGAAGAAAGGGGCGCGGAACTCCATCTCTGGTGCGCTCTGGTGCGCTTGAAGGGGCGATGCAGATGCCCCGCCTAGCTCGAGAGCTTGGGGATATGGAGACTGGATCGGCCTTTTGATGACGGCAGCTTATGGATGTCCTTGTACTCAGAATTCTGAATTCGCAAGTAATCGTCTAACTGAGCTGGTTTCTGAATACCTAGCTTTTCTGGGCTCACAGATGGAATCAAGGTCAGTGTGGTTGTTTTGCCAGCGTGAGACTGGGAGTCGCTGTTAGAAGATGTGGCTGATGTGGTCACCTTAGCTTTGAGCTCATGCGTCCCGAAAGAGGAACCCACATACTCTGTGGCGCAAACTGCTTTCGCACAGCCACATCTGGCTTGGCAGATTATGGTTGGTCCAAGCGCCTCGAGCCCTAAGCTAGGCGCACCCATTTTTTTTCGTACTTTCGCGGATCGCTAATTTAGGACTCCGACAGCTCACCCAACGACTTCGTGATCGCAGCGGGTAACCATCACAGTAAGTTCCCATGTTGCTGGCAGTACCTGAGTCTCGCGGAATATTCTAACGTTGAAGCAGATGGGTAAGTGGGATTCTTTTCATCGACGTCGTGGACTTGGCAGCGCTGGCGAGGCTCCGAGAGCATACCGAAACACACTTTCGACATTTGACAAAGACGACATTTTCTTCTCAACGAGTGGGAATTGGGACAGAGGAACCCGGCATGGCATAAAGTTGTGGTGATGTCCTTTGACGGGGGAGATGGCGGATGAGGTGACTTTGGACTTGTCCATGGAATACTGGAGTCGGCATCTATGACTGGCAACAACCGACGGACTTCCAACACCTCCGAATTTTCGATAGCTGTCGACCGGCGATGCTTTACTGCGCAATGCACCGTTTTGCGTTACACATATACATGATCGAAAGACCGGCTTGCTGACATCATGGCCCAGGTCGTCTTCAGGAATACCAGGTGATCGGGCGCCATCTGCCCACGGAGGCTAACCCGACTCCTGCGCTGTACCGCATGCGCATTTTCGCCCCGAACGAGGTCGTTGCCAAGTCCCGCTTCTGGTACTTTCTCCGCGGTCTCCGGAAGGTCAAGAAGGCCACCGGTGAGATCGTCAGCGTCAATGTGGTATGTACAGTTGGATTCGAGAGGGGGTTTGCATATGAGTCTGACCTTTGCAACAGATCTCCGAGAAGCACCCCCTGAAGGTCAAGAACTTCGGCATCTGGATCCGGTACGACTCGCGGTCAGGCACCCATAACATGTACAAGGAGTACCGTGAGACCTCGAGGACTGGTGCGGTCGAGGCCCTCTACGCCGACATGGCTGCCCGCCACCGTGCGCGCTTCAGGTCCATCCACGTATGACCCCCGCACGCGCCTAGTTCCCAAAATCGGTGTGCTGATTTTGGACACAGATCCTCCGTGTTGTCGAGTTGGAGAAGACCGACGATATCAAGCGCCCCTACATCAAGCAGCTCGTCCAGAAGAAGCTCTCTTTCCCTCTGCCCCACCGTGTCCCCAAGATCTCGAACAAGAAGATTTTCAGCGCGACACGCCCGTCCACTTTTGCTTGAGGGGTTTCATGGTTGTGGTTGGGGTTGGCAGGTTCTTCAGGTGTTCATTAGGAAAATGGGATATCCTGCATTTGCTCCCTGAGACGAGCATGAAATGAATAAATGGTCAAGCACGGGTTTGCGTTTGTTTGCGGGCAAGTCTATCGCTCTTGTTTTTGATCCATTGTGGTGCGTCCGGAAATCAACATGGCACATCTTCAATGCTCCTTTAATCTTGACGAGGTACGATTTCCCGAAGGTTACAGTGGATGTTGATACAGCATTCGATTCCAAGCCTTCCAGTAGACACGCGGGGTTTGGGGCCTCACTGGGATAATCGGATCCTGTCTATTCTGGTCGGGTCGGGTCAGCCCTCTCCGAACCTGCGAGTCGAGATGACTCCGGTCATGGAGACGGTGTGCACGCCCTGCATATTCTATTCCAAATGTGGAAGCTGGATATTACGGGGGCTCTGGTGGGAGAAGATGCCCTGACTCATTGACCGAACCCGCATTACGCTCAATACGAGGTTGCTACCTACCTTACCACGCCCTGTCTAAAATTCTACCTTACCACGCCCTGTCCAATATTAAATTCTGGACAGGACGTGCTTACCTACCTCAGGACCTTGATGTTCTGTAGTACACCGTGAAGGTCCTTGTTTTCAGTTGTTTCCTTTCCTTCCCTCTCGCTTCATTTCACACACCCACAGCGTGAAGCCTTCCAGTGCAGTTCCAGTACAACCAAGCCATCCTCAGAGCTCCCGACTTAACGTCACAAGTCATGTCTCAACTCTTAACAGAATCCCGCCCCCCGCCGGGTCCGGCGCCGGATAAGTCAACCTTTGTCAAGATCCGCACCACCCTCCCGCAATTGCCCTTCCCGCCGCTCTGGGCCCGCCAACCCATCGTCACCCCGCGCCTCATCATCCGCCCCGTGACGCTGGACGACTTCCCCGCCATTCATGTGCTGCGTACGCAGCCCGAGGTGATGCGCTGGACGGCCGTGGGCAGGCCGGACAGGGATATGGAGGAGACCATTGCCAGGTGCAAAGGGATGGGGCTGGAGAACCCGGGCGATACGTTCAACTATGTGATCTGTGACAGGGAGAGCGGGGAGCTGATCGGTCTCGGCGGATGTCACGTCCTGAGGTCGAGCCTGGGGTGGCCGGAGGTGGGGTATATGCTCCGGAAGGAGTACTGGGGCAAGGGGCTGGGGTCGGAGTTTCTGCAGGGTTGGTTGCGGGCGTGGGAAGAGTTGGAGCGCGAGGCTATAGAATGGGAGGTTGATCCGAGGACGCTCGTCGGGGATGGAGGAACTGCGGATGGGCAGGATGGGTTGGTGAGGGAGCGGCTGATTGCCCTTACGGCCGCTGGCAACGATAGGAGTCAGGGGGTGTTGAGGAAGAGCGGGTTCGAGTGGTTCCTCACCTGGCTGGCAGATGATGTTAGTGAAGGGGCAGGGCCGGGGGCCAAAATTGAATTGCCTACATACAGGTATTTTCCTGGGGCAAACAAGCAGAAGAAGGGAGACAGCTGAAAGGGGAGAGGGTGAGCGGTAGGATGAATTGAAAGGGGCTCAAGATCGAGTGATTGTTTAGACATAGACATATGATTCCAGCACATTTACAAAGCCTCCCGATCTATAGTCCTTAGTTGTCTTGGATCTCTACTTTGTCCTTTACCCCTTTTTCCCTTCCTCTTGATTCTCCCCGTCATCTCTCTTCCGTGCTGTCGGTGTATGTTGCTTTATTTCGGCATTCTGCCTCCGCATAATTGTGGACTCTTTGAGTCATATGCTCAAGACAGCAACGAAACCAGAGTTCCGCAGAGAATCTGAAAGATTGAGCTTCGAGTTGATCCGATTTGATTGTCGTGACGAGGATAGGTTGAGATCAACTTGTAGTTGTTCGGGCAACCCTAACCCCGATTTTGCAGGCCTCCCGAGTCCTGACAAACGTCAACAAACAGGAGAAGTGGGCGTTTCTCTCAAGCACAAAAGAACAAGCGAATGACAGCGGTGGCTGGGGCCAAAGCCATGCAGACCAGTGGGTCACAATGTCCTCAATCACCGCTTTCAAGCGTCTTTGCTAGTGATTGCTGATGTCGCCAACCTGAGGATTGCCTGGCATAGGAACATAGGAAGCGAGGGGCTGCAGTGGCAGCATGTGTCAGAGGATTACCTGGTACACAGTACGCTAACTGCCAGCAAACATTTGCATAGCCCCTCGGCTGGGCTCGATGCACGAGACATCAGGTACCGGGTTGAACAATGGATGTTGGTTGGTTTCGCAAATGACGCAGCGCCGCGCACCGCTGCGGCACATGTTCTTGTCTTCTTAGCAGGCGCCCGCTGCCATCTCAAACCAACCCAAGTGGTTCGGTAACTCGGGCTGCCTGGGAATCGACTGATTCATCCGTCGCCTCGCTCACTTTGTGCTCATTCCGGTGCGGCAGCCTGGATCTCAGATAGGCGACTAGACGCATCCGATTGAGAAGTCATCTTCTATATGTTGTCACCCGGCGCCAATACACCGGTCCACCCCCTCTTCATCGGGTTGCCCCACGATACAACCGCCGTCAACCGGCGATCATGTCCACTGGCCGCCGTTCCTATACTACAGCAACTTGTCACCTAACCACCCATGAGTCTTTATTTCGACAATGACGAGTACAACAGGCGAAGCCCAGGGTGGCAAGGCCTTTTATGGCTACCTCTTTACCAAAGCGAGGCCGATTCCAGAACCCACACCCGTACTTAATGCGCTTCTCCGAGCTATCGCACTTCACATCGTTCGTCACATCTCCCGGTAGCAACAGGATGTAGTTCTCCCAGATACGGGATGCTGACCTCAAGCGTCTTGTCCAGAAAAACGAAATTGGCGACAAAAATGATAAGCACTTGACTCCTACAAAGCTGGCTGCCTTCTATAAAACCGCTGGACACGACTGGGACTGTGAGTTTATCCCTTGCTATGAAGCACACTTCCATTGCCTGCGGTATTGACCAGCCCGCTCTATCTAGCATTCTTCGTTGACATGCCACATGCGGCCATATCGACAGTATATCAAGGCCTAGGCTGCCAACACTCACTACTACCAGGCGAAGACGACTTCGCGGCACCATCCATCCCGGCGTTGACGGAGAAGGGTTTCGTGCACTGGCAGAGAATCCAGACGCTGCTTGGGCCCCAGACGCAAGTGCCTGTGTTGCAGTTTGCCGCCGCTCACTGGTCGTTGAAGCATCCTGACAACGGCGCTCCACTGCCGGCAGACCTCCCGAAGGAGTCCTTCCCATCCGAAACCGACCCCGATACGGATCGCTGGCATGAAGAATGCGCACACAGGTCGCGCATGAAAGCGGCCGCGGAGGAGGCAACCGAGCTCCCGAAGGAGGCGCCCAAACCCGAGTTTGCCGACCGTAAGGTTCCCTATCGGAACGTCCGTGTCAGCCCGACAACGCCACGCGACTACTTCACCTCCCGGCCGGTGAACATCTCATATGTCCACGTTGCATCCCCCCGCCCAGCTCCGTCAGGCCGGTCTCCCGAACGAGAGCGACCAAGGGCCCGAGAGCACTATGTCCGCCGCCAGCCGACCGCAACAGAGGAACCAGCCCCACGCCGCCGAAGCTTCTCTGACTACCCGCACTCACCACAGGAAGCCCACCCCGTGCGAGTACCACGCCATGTGCCCGAGCGCAGCCCTCACCGCCGCCCGCACAACAAGCCACGGTGTTATAGTACCTCATCCGAGTCTGACAGCCCCCCTGTCAGTCCACGGACCACTCCGCGACGTGTCGTTCGCTCAAACGAGCCGCCTCCGATCTCTGTTCGCCGCGTCTATACCGGTAGCTCCGAAGAGTCGCCGCGAGTCATCCGGACAAGCATGCCTCCACCTCCAATTCCGGCATCTCACCTCCACACCCCCCGCCCAGCCGACGGCGGTCGAAGCACGCCAAGGGACGATGACAGTAAAAGGCGGAGTGCACTGTCCGATCTCAAGGAGCGGCTCTCTAGCTTCATCGGCCCGGCCATCGGCGCCGAGAGAGCAAGGAGCGCGAGCGGCTCGCGAGGGAGACGGGAGATGCTGGGTGGCTCACCGCGGGTCTCGAGATCGGATATCCTGCCCAACTCCAGGCTCAGCCAGTCGTGGTCCGACATCGACACCGACGACTCGGATCTGGAAGAGGAACGGAGGCGACGGAGCAGGAGACCGTCTCACGACAGCAGGAGCCATCATCATCGGGACAGGGAGAAGGAGAGGGAGAGGGAGAGAGAAAGAGAAAGAGATAGGGAGCGGGATCGTGAACGAGAAAGAGACCGAGAGAGAGAACGAGAACGGGACCGGATGGTGCGCAGCCGTGATCGAGGTCGAGACCACCCCATCAGAGACCGCGAGCGCGAGCGGGATAGAGCATCCAGCCACAGCGACCGTGACCACGAGAGGCGAGAGCGGGACGGGCCCGTCCCCTCCCCATCCCCCGCCGCAGCCGCCGCAGCCGCAACCCTCCACCGCGAGAGGCACCGACCCGGCTCCTCTGAGGACTCCTCTCCGCGCAGCTGGGCCCACGGACCGTACCTCGCCGGCGCCGTGGAGGGCGGCCACCACCGGCGGACGAGCAGCCATCCGGAGCTCGACCGTCTTGCGCGCCGGCGGGACTGTATCCAACGAGAGTTGCGCGATGGGGAGCGGGACCACCGTGACAGGGAGAGAGACAGGGAGCTGAGGGACCGCGACAGTCGGATCCGGTCCAGGGAGCGAGAACGGGAACGGGAACGGGACAGAGAAAGGCTCGCTAGGGACGATGGGGAACGGTGGGGGAGGAGGGAGGAGCACATTTCTAGGGAGAGGGAGCGTGAACGGAGGGATAGGGATATCGAAAGAATGCCGAGTCCCGCGTTGTCTACCGGGGTAGGCGGGAGGAAGTACCCTGATCCCATGGCTGAGGGGCTCAGGCATTTCTGATGATGGGACGCCCCTATAGGAGCGGGCATGGTTTCAAAGATGGAGTCAGGAACTCTTTTGGTTGACTTTATCATGAGTTACGATCCAAGGTTCGGCTAGGGGTCAAGTGATACACGGATACAGTGGCTTTTTATCAGGCTATAGAGAGGGGCTGTGTTGAATGACAAGTAAACCGGGTACTTCAAGCTGGTACTAGTAGGTATTAAGCAGTCGTTATGCGTTTAGGAAACTCACCTGGCTCCTGTTACAATAGATCTTCGGCAGTAGACGCATCCTAGCAGGAATATAGTAGGAAGGTTTCGTCAAAAGCCGCCATGGATCGACTCGCAGCGGTGTTGATCCTTATCATAGACGCCGGGCAAAGGAAAATGGCGCTCCCCCTCCCGTCAGCCTGGTGTGTCGGCCATCGAAACACCCCATGAGTTTGCAGTTCGACAACCTCACATACGGACCGAGCCCCGGCCATAGGATGGGTCAATACGGTGCCTAGCGATGGCGCGTAGACGTCCAACCGTTCTGCTCGGTTGGTTAGTTGCTTTGTCGGTTAGTACATATAGTAGGTATGTACTAGGTAGCAAACCCAACCGTCCAAAGCCATCCGGAATCCACCCGGCCTGAACAGATTTCCCGGGTCTTCCAAGCAGGTCTACTGTTTGGTAATAGCTTTTTGCGGGAATGGCGCTTTACCTGGCGGTGCCACCCGCCGGTGCATGTAGCCCCGGCGCCACACAAGCGGATTGTAGGCAAGCAGATCCCGCACCGCCTGTACATGTCCTGCTCCCGTGGGTCCGTGGGCCGTCTGGCGAGGCCGGGTGGCCGTGTTGGGCGGCCTAGGAAGAATCCCTTTCATCTCACTTGACTCCGCGTCCCGCCTTGCTGTCGTAAAGCGAGAGTAAGCTTCGTCCAACGGATCTGTTCCGTGGGCTGGTGCCGGAAGCGGGATTTTAATTGCAAGGTAACAATAGCCCGTTCTGAAGGGCCGCCGACGTGGGGAGGCGCCGGCGGTCGGAGTGGGCGTTGCTAATGTTACAGGCGGACCGGTCAGCGTCGGAGCTTGGAGTCGAATCATGCCTTGACCCGGGTTCTTGTCCGGCCGGACTAGGTCTTCGCCAAGCGGGCAGGCAGGCAGCTCGCGGAGTAGTGGGTTGGCCCGAAAGGACCGGAGCGCCGCGGCTGTGGCACGATGCCGCCCCAACGTCCCTTCAAATAGGCGGCAGACAAATAGAAGTGGCCGATGAGGCAAGCGAAATGGCATGCGTTTCCCTGGCACAGCTACCAAACTTTGGGGATGTTTGGCGATAGACGCCCCGTGGCTGGGGAATTACAGGCCGCGCCCTGCGCAGGCACGTTTGTTTCGTTTTCATTAATTCGCCGACGCAAGCACACCACCTTTCGGTTGCCGTTGTTGGGGTGGAGGGGGCGGGCCGCGACAAACGAGGCCGACATGCTCGAGAACGTCCCAAACTGGGAGGTAAGATGATGATTGGACAGCAGTTAACTACGCGCCCGTACACACCGCCTGTCTAGCCATATTAATTGACCGTCCTAAGATATCGCGCTGCAGGTTGCGGATCGTCGATAGGTGGTGATGGAGTATGGAAAGTTGGTGGAGGGTCGCAAAGTTGGCCGCTGATGGCTGGAAGACTCGACGACACTTAGTGATCTTGGGTGGCAGCGAGAAGATCCCGTGCTTATTGTATGACCAGTTTTGCATTCTCCCCGCTCTCAATGGACTTGCAGGGTCAAGAATCGATGAGATGACTGGAACCCAGTGTCTGCTGCCGGTCGAGGAGAAAGAATCACGAGATGACCCCCCGTGTATGGTAGAAGACTGGTACTGCTTGTAGCTTGGCCAAACGGGGCCATAGCCTGTCACCTGCTCGCTTACAATGAACTGTTAGAAATTCCTTCCGTGCATGTAGCTGAGGTCCCGTACTAAAGAAGCGACAGCATTGCTATTCTCGGCTAGAAGGAAGCCGGACCCCAAATGGATGGCTGAAAATAAGGCTTTCGTGTAGGGCGATAGGCTGAGCAACCGGGGCCCCCACGTGCGGCAACGCAGCAGTGAGACAAAGATAGCAGCAGCGATGAGTGTCACTCACGAATTTTGTTTCCAGGCGTTTGTTCTCCAGGGCCGTCCATGGCACAGACTCACAGAAGTGCTGATTGCCTTACATAAAGGTTATCCAACCTGCAGTGTTGATTAATGGCAAGGAAGGTGTTGACAGAACCAAGTGTCAGTTTGCCTAGGTATTGTAATACAGTCATGTATCCGTCGTCAGGTCTGCACTTTGCACAGCAGGTATTGTGGTTTCAAACGCCCGTATTTCAGCGCATGTTAAAGTACCCGGGCACACATGTATCACTAAAGTCTAGGAGTTATCAGTACTTCATCCAAAGGGGACGGAAAGAAAGGAACCATTAAGTGAATAATAAAGCAACATACAATTAAGTCAAGATAGGAGCCACGGCATGCTACAGTCAACAGCCCCGTTTTGTTACATTGTTTGACCATAAGCGACGTATGAGTACCTACTAGTACCTAACTAGTCTAGGACCGAATTCGGCGTGAACTGCTTGCTACCTGCAGGTGGTGTGTTTGTGGTCAACCGGAGGGGTGTAGAAATACAGTACAATATCATCGCTTCTGCGTCTCTTGCATTGCCCAAGTGAACATAGGACTTGTGAGGTAGTAGGTTGATCAAGTTAATCTTCCCGAGTCTGCTTGGCTTGCAGTGGTCTTTTGAGCCCGTCCCGTTCCCGGTCCTATGGATCCGCATCCCTCAGCTTCTCGTCCCTTCCAGTCCTCTAGAAAAGTGGTCTGGGCTGGTCTTATGCCACTTTCGGTCGTCGTTTACCAATACCACCCCGTTACGTGACCAGGAGCTGACCCACCCCGCCGTGACCCGACCCGACGCCCGACCGCAAGAGACAAGACCATCCCTCCGGAGCCACCCCAGACCTGAGCCTCGCCTTGCTTTAAAGACCCCAGACCCCCGATGACCGCCCGGCTCGTGGACCCCAACTTTGCTCTTTCCTCTGCTGCGTCGTAACTGACCATCGCAACCTTCCCGCTCGCAATCCGCCTGCCGATTCTCGGCGCCGATCCGCGACGTCAGCAGCAGACGAGCACGCTCCTTACCAACCCACACCGCCTAATCATCTCACCAACCTCCCCTATCTCCCCACCACGGCACGATCTCCCACACACTGCTTCTGAATTGCGCCAACAAGAAGTTGGGGGCATAACAAGGGCAACGCTCGCTCCTATCCAAGCCCGACAACCACGAACGCATTGGGCCGGCTCACCTAGCGTCCTTAGAGAGGGGCCCTAACGCTGTTAAAATGAAAGGCCGCCCGGTCGACCAACTCGTGTACGAGTGCATGTTTCCCAAACCCCGGCAATCGGACCCCCAGAGTTTCCAGGCCCTTCTCGAGCGATATCTTATCCCCGAGGTCCGACAAGAGACGCATTGTTTCTACGGCCACCTATCCACGCCCGAAGCCAAGTACCCAGGGCTCGACTACACACATCCCGTACACCGCATTCGTCTAAGCCGCTTCCAGTGGCATCGACGCCTCTTCCGCGCCTTTGATGGTCTCCGTCTCACCCACGCCGAGATTTCGAACCTGACGAAGTGGGAAGGTACGAAGTGGGCCAAGGAGCGGTTTGAGCGCGACCAGGGCATCCGAATTCGAGACACCGCGGCCGATGGGCTGCCAAACTATGTAGACCCCAACGATCCCTACTCGGCACAAGCACTGCGCACATGTTCAGAGGCGGCGGACGATCCGGTAGCGGCACGGGAAGGACACCGGGAGGGCAATGAGGACGAGGATGAGGAAAGTGACGAGGAGTTGGAGAGTGTTGGTGTGGATCTCAACGAGAGGCTTCGTGAGCGCGTCGCCATGCGGCACATGTCCGGGGACAACTCGATGCCGCTCGATGAGGAGTGGGAGAACTGGTTGAAACACGCCATAGAGTCAGGAGAGCTGCCTCATGTGGCAGATCAGATTGCCCGGTTTCCGGGGCCGCACAACGCGCTCGAAGATATTTTTCCACCGCGAATGATGGCCGCCGCCAGAGCTGGTCACTTTGATGAAATCCCGGACTTTCTTCACGTCATGATCCGGCAAGCCCTCGAATCCGCGGAAAGGCGAGGTCAGACGTCCACAACCGCGAATGCAATTCCCCGACCGCCAATCAGATATACGAACGTGCTGGATACCTTCGCGAGGGTCACCATCCGTGGTTCAGAGCAGCGGGGCAGCCGTTCTGGGTTTCGTCCGCCAGAGACCCGCGGTCATCGTCCAGCACAGCCTGCGAACCGCTCGCAACAGACGGCACAGCCGGGGGCCTGACTTAGAAGAGTCAACTCCTGCAGGCCTCTCCCCGTATGGCGTTGTTAAGACGACGGGGAACACATTTACGCCTCTTTTCAGAACGCTTCAATTTAATTCTATCATGGACCGGATCCAGCTTTACATCATTCGTGTTGTTTACTTCCCTGCGCAGGCCAGCTTGGAGAACAAAAGCGGAGGATAAAGACTCTAGCCGGCACAGGGACTAATCCTTCCCCCACATACAAAGCGCGCTCACGGTCCCAGCGAGGGAAGGTTGAGTGGGTGTGGACAACCGGAAACATCCTTCTGCTAAAACGAGAACGCGTTGTTCACCGAGAACTGCTGGGACTGGCCCAATCGCATTGTATTCGGGGATTATCGGGAAATCGGAGGAGAATACCACGGGAACTGGAAGAAGGAGTGGGCTTATTCAATGGTACGCTAGCAAACAAACAATCGAAACTCATATGATGCCAATTTATCCTCACTTCTGGTCTTGTCGCTTCGCCCCGTTTCGTGGAAGTAACCGCGGACGACCGCCAGAGCTAACCGTGGGGTGCAGATAAATGACTGAGGAGCAATCTGTCAACAGATCTTCAGTTTCTGGACTGCGGCGGAAGCCAAGAGCGGGGCTCAACCAAGGGCCCGTTCGATGTTGGTTCAACTAAGAGTTCGAAGAAACCCGTATGTCGTTGGGACAGATCTCCAGCTGAATGGTTGAAACGGAGTTGTAAAGTCGCCGCTTGTTCGTCCATAACAAGGAAGACAATTACCGCCGAATCTTGGCCAACCCACGTCTAATTCGGTAATGTACACATGTGCAGCCTCGAGATGAGCCTAGATGGAAACAAGAAAATCTCTATGTCGTGGTTGCGACGTGTATGCAGTAATACACCATGCCTGCCCATCTGCAGGCCGTCTCCGGCGTCTCTCAAGCGAGACTGGCTCTGCAGATGCAGAACATGCTTTTTCTCCCCCAGTCCCTCCGTTGTTTCAGAGTGTCGTCCGCTTGCCCTTCCTCTCCACCAACTCCTCGGCATACGAGTATTAGATATGCCGAGCCCATTACGGCCAGATCGTACGTTTCCGCTCTGACCACAGTTTATTCACTTCCCGGCTTAGACCGCACCGCAGCTTATTTGAGTTTCATCAGACCCTCGATGTAAGCCTCAAGGTCGAAGTTGGGCGACATTGGGTCTTGGTCCACTATGCATACGTCAGCCCACGTGTCCTCCTGCCGGCTGCGGGGAATCGGAAGCACTCACGCCCTGACGAGGCCTTCGTGCTGGAGGCCGGTGCTTCCTTCTGCTTTTGCCGGGCGTAGGCCTCCTTGGCCTTGTTTATTAACTCCTGCTTGTGCTGATACTCCCGCTCCGCCGCAGCCGCCTTCTCCGATGCGCGAATGGAACGCTGGTGGGAGAAGCCGTAGAAGATGCCCAGACCGAGAGCGGAATACCGGAGAACCTGTCCAAGAAAGCGGTTTAGTTTGAGCGGTTCTTCACGTCCAACCTGCTTCTAGCAATCCGCAACCCAAGCCCCTGGACTACCACACCCAGATCTCCCTTCCCTGCCATGAAGCTCACGCGCAACAATAAAAGCCGCGCTGCCTTCTCGCTGCCTTCTCGCTTCGAGGAGGGACCACGGCGAAGTTCGGGGTTGGGTTGCGGTCTGCTGGTGCTGATGCTGCTTGCGTGGGTAACTCACGTTGACTCCGGACTTGGACGACATTGCGACTGGTTATGACCGGTCCCAGCGACTGCTTGCGCCTAGTTTCCCGGTGCTATACTTGACGAGTGCAGGGAGCAACAATCCAGTCTCAATTGGTCCCGTGGCTTGTCGTCGTCGTCGTTGGATCGGGGTCCGGTTCGGTCGGTGGGATGTGAATTCAAGTTTTGGGAAGCTCGGGAAATGTCGCGGTTTTTTGCTGGCCCACTCTGGTTCGCCGGCTGAGCGATACCTGGTACCACTGAGAGAGCCCGATCTCTGGGGGAGCGGCGGAATTGCCCATTGCCAAGCCCGGGTCAGGTGATAAGATGCACTCCCGTGGTGTAGATCCAGCGAGCAATCAGATTGGACCCCTGGCCGGGTGGGCATGGAGTGCAACTGGCCAGTCGCGATCGACGCGCAAGTTGAAAAGAGACCACACCCAGGAACGACTAAGAACTGTTGTCACGTTAACGGCAAAGCGAACTGGCATCGTTCGCGTCGCGTCATTCTGCATAGTGGCATCAACGAGTCAGCGCCATTTCCGAGTGATATCGAAACATCAGTAATTCCGTCTCGACGCCTTCGCCGGTTGTTACCATATCTTCGGCTAGCTCCTGAAATGGGCCTGGGAGTCCGGCAAGATGATGAACCAGCGCCGAGATGAAATCCTCGCGAAGAGGGCGAAACTTGCGGAACTCAAGCGGCAGAGGGAGCTTCGGGCAAGTCAGGCTTCGGCCCGCCAGAGCATAGATTCCAACGAAGTTGGTTGTCCGCCAACCGCCCGTTCGGCGCTGAACTGACGGTCAATCTAGCTAATATCTCCGACACCGAGCCGGGCTGACAACCGACGAGAGATAGAATCTCTTATTGACAGTCTGGTTCGGGAAAGCAGGCCTGTGTCCGTCTCTACCGGAGCCAACTCACCTGGACGGTTCGGCAGCAGGCCAAATAGCGTCCTTAGCGCAGGAGAACTCAGCAATGAGAACAACTCCGAAGCCGCCATTCCTGCCAACGGACAGGCGGCCACGCCCCAACCCCTAAATCTCTCCACGATATCATCCAAGACCATCTACGAGTGCCCCCCGTCACCGGTAAAAGAGGTGTTTTCGTACAGCAAAGGAGTGCAGACAACAGAGACGTGGATAACCCCAAGACATTCACGTGCCTTTTCCGAGTCTGAAATTGACGAGCCGCCAGTCACGGCCTCGCCGAGCAAGCGGCTCAGCAGGAGAGAACGGGATCGGGAGGAAGAGCTGCGGGAGAACCTCCGGAAGGAGATCGAGGAGGAACTTAGGGCAGCGAAGGAGCTCGTAACCGATGGCGTGCTCAAACCATCTGCCGCGGCTAACTTCCCGGTCCGGACGCTCACGGCCGAGGAGCTGAGGGCAGTGACACAGTCGGACGACTTCATGGACTTCATCGACAGGTCGACCAAGGTCATCGAAAAGGCGCTAGATCAGGAATACGACATCCTTACCGACTATACCCTTCAAGTACATGATATTGACGAAGACGACGAGCAGAGCGGCAACACGGGCGGGAAAGGCCGCCGGAAGGTCAAGGAGATAGCCCAGTTCTATGACGAGCGGTGGTCAAAGAAGCGCATGGTCAGCGCGATCGACTTCTCGCCCAAGTTCAGCGAGCTCCTCCTAGCATCCTACACCAAGAACCCCGCCGCGCCCCACGACCCAGATGGCATCGTGCAGGTCTGGAACCTCCACCTGCACGATCGGCCGGAATTCGTCTTCCACGCTCAATCCGACATCCTGACGGCCAAATTCTCCCCCTTCCATCCAAACCTAATCATCGGCGGTGCCTACAGTGGGCAGGTCCTCCTCTGGGACACGCGCGCGCGTTCCGCACCCGTCCAGAAGACGCCATTGACGGGCTCCGGCCACACCCACCCCGTCTACTGCGTTGACATCGTCGGGACGCAGAACGCAAACAACATCATCTCGTGCTCGACCGACGGCGCCGTCTGCGGCTGGAGCGTCGACATGCTGGCTCAGCCTCAGGAAACACTGACCCTGCTGACGCCGCCTCCAGCCAAGGCCGAAGACCTCGCCCCGACGTGCATGGCCTTCCCGCAGGCCGATCCGACATTCTTCCTGGTGGGTTCCGAGGAAGGCACCATCTTCCCATGCCACCGGTATGATCGGGCGGGTGCCAAGGCCGGGGTGGATGCACGCGTCAGCTACAAGGGGCATGCGGCGCCCGTCATGTCCGTGTCTTTCCACCCCTCTCGGGGGCCCGTCGATCTGGGCGATCTGGTGCTCTCCGCCAGTCTGGACTGGAGCGTCAAGCTGTGGAAGGTGCGCGCCCCCGCGGCGACGTCGGCCGTCGCGGCTACCGTCTCGACGGGCGGCGCCGCGGGCTTGGCCTCGGCGCTGGGCGGCGCGGGCCTCCTCGAGTCTGCTGTCTCGCCGCTCCTGGACTTTGTCCGTGAGGACGTGGTCTACGACGCCGCCTGGTCGCCTGTCAAGCCCGGCGTGTTTGGGCTGGTGGACGGTGCCGGGTGGCTGGAGCTGTGGGATATCACGGTCGAGACGGAGGAGCCCGTAGCGAGGATCTCGCCTAGCCCGAGGAAGGACGGGCGCACTATGCTGAGCAAGAGTCTGAATAAGCTCGCCTGGGAGACTGGTGAAGGGAAGAGGCTGGCTACGGGCGGGATTGATGGTGCTGTCAGTGTGTTTGAGGTCGGGCCGGATCTGGGCGGGAAGGAGGGGTTGAAGAATGAGGAATGGACGAGTGTCAAGAAACTGGTGAACAGGCTTGAGGCCGTGGGGAGCAATGATGGTGCGGGTGTCTAAAGGAGTTATTGTTACGGTTTGCGGTTGAAAGGGGGGGTGGGAATGACGTGGGGTGGTTGCCTTTGTTGGGAATGGATATCTGATAGCCAGGCGGGATACCTTACATACTAAGGTACGTATGGGTAAATGGCCAGTGTTGGCTTGAAACTAATCGATGAGTTGATCTTACCCTAGTAACTCTCATGCTTCGGAATGTGCGCGCGCTCAACCATGCGCCCTGTCCAGCTGGAGCCTGTCAACTCCTCACTCATCAGTTCCCTTCCCTTTCCAGCCGACTTCGCGAGTATGCACTACGGGCCAACCTAGGGAGTACAAGTTATGGGTCAACATGGCGAGTACGCAGTGCGGCCGGCTTGTTCCAGGGCCACGCAGCGCTCGCCATCCCTGTCCTATAAACTGAAGTGCTTCGCTCAAGCTCCGTCGTCTGACTCGTCTCATCATCTCATGCCAGTGTGCGCTCTCACGTACTTCCGTAAACCTGGCTCTCTTTTTATGCTCCACAAAAGTGGGGCTTCTTGCCGGCCCGCCGAATTTCCTTCCGCTCGAGACTCAAGTTGTCAGCCGAAGAAAAATCACGTCCTCCAAGTTTCCTACTACTCGAGCTGGGATCAAAGGCGCCCTTAATTGTTCCGGTCCGCTACCTGTAGTCTTCGATGAGGTCACAGCTACCTGGCTCACTGAGATCCTCGGATGCCCTGTGAAGACGGCGACCATTGCCGAGGCACTTCACGGAACAGCCAGCAAACTCCTATGCAACGAGCCCGCATACGAGGACAGCAACGATGCCGCGTCGCTGCTGACTCGCGTCCGCGTCAAGGGCGGCTTCAACTCGGTCCTTGCTAAGTTGCATCCGGACCTGAACGCAGACTAGCGGCGCGAGGTCGAGTTGTTCTACCACATCGCCCCGACAGTGTCGACGCGGCTTCCACCCGCCTGGTACTGCGGCAGCGACACCGTTACGGTGCTCGACGACCTTCAAGGCCAAGGGCTACCAGTTCGGCGACCCGCTTGAGGCTTGGCCCGTCGAGCGCGTGCGCGCTGGGCTCGAGGAGCTCGACTCTCCACGCCAAGTGCGAAGCCGGAGGATTTTGCACTGGCTCAAGGAAGGCCTCGACCTCCGCGCGGTCATCTTGTCCATGCTGGCCGAGTCCGAGTGGGAGAAGCGGTTTTCCGACGAGGCGGCTAAGCCGCCGGTTCCCGACCACCCGAGGACAGACCGCGAGAGGATAATCCGCGCCCACAAGACGCTGTGGGCAACGACGAATCAGCACCACCCGTGTGTTACGCACGGCGATGCCTTCATCACACCCGCGGGGGAGCCGGACTTTTTCGACTGGCTGCTTGAATGTCCTTCAAAAATCAACTGTATTTCACTCTGCGCATTTATGCTTACTCGTAAGTTCGTCCTCCAGTTCCCCATCATTTCAGCCCTCAACTGGCCTGTGATGAATGTTCTTTTATGAATTCTGCAATTCTGAGCCCTTGGGGGCGTTGTGGACTAATTTCACAATCTTTTCCTGATGGCCAATCTCACACTCTTCACGCTTGTCATTTCATTACGCCGGATTTGCGTCCGGGGCTGACAATAACCAGATAATCACTGCTGCCCGCAGGCATCACCCTCCACGCTAGGTACAAGTAGGTAGCGGAGGAACCTCCCCCTATGTGTTCACAGGAAATCCCGCCCCGTATCGCTCCCCCTTGACCTCGAACTTGGCCAGAATCTCATCGATCTCGTTCATCTCGGCATCCGTCAGGTCTACCTCGACCGCGTTCTCCTCGACACGCTCTGACCGCGTGGTGCCGGGGATCGGGATGATGGTCGGCATGCCCGGTCGACGCGAGAGGCAGCGCGTCCACGAGATGGCCAGCTGTGCCGGCGTGCAGCCTCTTTTCTCCGCCAGCGCCTTGACCTTGTTGACCAGCTCGAGGTTGTGGGCGAAGTTCTCCGGGTAGAAGCGCGGGAATCGCTGCAGGAAGGGAGGGATGTCCGCTTGGGATTGCATCTTCCCAGCCAGCATCTAGTCACCAGAGGATTAGTACCACTTGGAGGTGAGTTTGGGGAAACCGCGGAAAAGGACGTACTCCACGACCGACGGGGGAGTAGGCGATCAACGGGATGTTGTACTGCGCACAGGCGGCGGCCACACCGTTGGTGAGGACCTCCGGTGAGAAGATGCTCAGCTCCACCTCGACGGCGACGATCTTGGCGTGCTTGACGGCCTCGTGGATGGTCGACGCGGCCACTTCGCTGAGCGAGATGCCGCCCAGCAGGCCCTTGTCGATGTACTCCTGCATAGTGCGGAAGGTGGCCTCCATGGGCACCTTGGGGTCGCGGCGGGCGCACTCGAAGATGTCGAGCTTCTTGCGGCCCTTGAGCTGCTTCAGCACGGTGTCGATGGAGCGGCGGACCCCTTCAGGGGAGCCGTCGGGCGCGCGGTTATCTAGGTTGACGGCGCCCTTGATGCTGAGCACCACCTTGTCGGCATCCTCGGGATATTTGGCGAAGTAGGCCTCCAGCAGGGTCATGGAGTTACACTCGGGCGTGCCGTAGAACTCGCCGCCGTTCCAGAAGTTCATGCCCTTCTTGAGGGCGGCGCGCAGGGCCTCGAAAGCTTGCTCATTGGGGATCGGATCATCGCGCCAGGTGAAGCCTAGGCTTGGTTAAAGGCTGCGGAAACGAAGGATGGTGGCATCGAGGTCCTTTCTCACCCATGAGGCCGAAGCCTGTGGCGCCAACCTCCTGTCCGTTGATCTGAGGCATGGTGCTTGTTGTGGCTGAAGGTAAATGGTCAGAGGGAGAATGACTTTGAAGGCACTGGAGAGCAAGAACATGAAGCTGTCGGGCTCAAGTAGCACTTAATATACTACTTTGATGGTGGTCCACAGCCGATTCACAGCGGCCCCTCACTCTCATGTGTCAACACCGCGACAAAGTCCGGACGCCGGATGGAAGACGAGAGAAAGACGGCAATTTTACGATTGCTGCCCCCATTGGGTTGGGACAACAGTACAAACAGGCCACCCATGACAACCTACTCATGACGACGCCGACACCACCGAGCGCAGTGCGGTCTGTGTCTATTCCGCTTCGAGACGATGGATCTTGTCTTGGCTCGCCGGGCGGGTTGGGGCCGACGTCATCTCCACGGAGGTGGATGATGTCTTGAGGCGGAGACAAACTCGCGTAGTCTTAAATCCATAAGTTATCTGTCATTATCTCCGTTACCCACTACCGAAAACAGCAAACAATTTCTCTTTGAGTCGTCCAGCTAATTGAGGGTGCGAAGAGGAGATGTGAATTCTCTATTCTTTGCTCTGTCGTGGGCCGCCTAATTCCGGTGTGCCAAGTTCCTCCCCGCGGGAAGGAGTTAAAGTTTCTTGGTTGTCTAAGCCTCATCTCGCGAACTGCATGCTGAATCAGCACTCTGCAGAGATGTCCCGGAAATCCGGGGGACATGTTCTCGTCCATGGAGATATCAAATAGCCGATTGGAATGAGCACCAAAGGGGAAAACCTCAGAAGAATACCTTCCAGGACAGAACCTCGTACTCAGCCGTGCTCGGAAGATGTATAATCCAGAGATCCCGAATTCGAAGTAGGGTCCCTGCAACACTGAAGTGCTCAGAGGACTCCAATGATACGTCCATTGCAATGGCAATTGGACGCAGCATATTCGCATGGACTTCACACCTTTTCGTCTGGAAATCCTCTGTAAAATCACATGTTCCGCAGAGCCATTCTCAACAGTAAGGTACGTACTAGGTAAAACTGACGTCGTCAACAAGATACGCATCCAATGCAAACCGCGCACCAAAACATCGTATATAAGATATAAATATAAAATGCGTATCATAGCCTATTCAGAACTTTTGAATCCACTATCTTATTGTACATATTTGGTGACGTTTTCCCTCAAAACACCTCTCTTCCTTAACCACACATATACCCCTATCCCTAGAGAATCACATCCGAAGAAGGAGATAACATGAAGACAGGATAAGATGTAAGGATGGCAAACAACATGCAGAACGCTCGATGCATTCTGAAGCGCAGTAAACTTTGTGTAAAACCACGGTCTTCCAATAATGCATTTGGTGGCACATCTGCTCAAAACGTTAGGATGTTGGCTGGAAAGATTCATGAGTAGCCTAGCTGACTAGGCTGTTTTGGGCAGGAGGTGTAGACTAAGACCTGACAGGGAGGTGTAAGAATATCGACGTCGCGGTTGAAAGCGGAAAAAAGTTTGAAACACCAAAAGTCGAGGGTCGTTGGTCGCTCGGCACAACAAGTATGTTGACCAACTGAACCTCGCTGGGTGAGGTTTATGAGGAAATCATCGCAGCACCGCAGCCTGCTAGGTATATTTCACATCTCAGTGATTGGGGACATCTTAAGTGCTGCACTCCTTTTCTCTCCTGCCTTTTTTATTCCTTCTATTTGATCTATCCTGGTGGTTCTTGTTGTTTTGTTATTGAGCCTTTGTGTATTGTTGATTTCACGATGGCTCAGAACAATAGCAGCGTCAGTGCCGCCGGCACTGTGCGCTCACCTGGCGTGGGCCATGGAAATCGGTCAACCCTCTCGTCATCTTCTGCTCTCCAACTCTTCCTCAAGCAGCGCCGGCGGGCTCTTCGAAAGACGTCAGGACCTAATTTCGTCGAGAAGTCATTTACCACATCGCCACTTATTCTTGACCCTGCTTTTTCTTCGTCGACATCAGAGAAAGTCAAGACCGGAACTCTCAATATCGACCGTCTCTCATCGATCCCCAGCAGGGTCGATATTCGTCATCTCACCAAGGCCCTTTTACGCCACCGTCTCAGTCGTGCCAATCCGCTCTCACTTGCGAAACTCGGCAGGCTGTACAGGCGTCATCGCAATCCGGAGCGCGCTCTCGACTTGTTTCTGCTTCGAAGACTTTTGTGGAGAAGTACACGACGGCCAGGGTCCATGGATTTTATCGAGCATCTCCGGCGTAGCCAGGCCGACGAGCCCTCCTCCGACGAGGAGTCCGGTCTTACCCTCCCCTCCCTGAGCGCCTCGGACCGCAGCCGCCGCTCGTCGAGCACCGACTCGACCGTCATCACTGTTCCCGACCAATCGGACGGGGAGACGAAGGTCAGCAGCGCCAAGAGGAAGCGCAACTTCAATGGCGACGTCGTCGAAGAAGATGCTGCCACTGCTTCGCGGGCCGCAAAGAGGGCCAAGGCTTATGCATGTGAGGACGATGAGGTACCTGCTTCGCCGATGATTCCCGCGACCCAGCCAAAACTTCCAAAGCCCCCCAGAGCTCCCTCGTCAGGCGACGCGAGGACTGGCACAGCCAAGGGTGAGCAGGAGCGCCCGGCCAAGAGCGTCAAGCGCGAAAAGGACACCCCTGCGAAGCAGGCTCCGCGCACGGCAGCCGGGAACGCCCACCATGTGACCATGTCTGCGGCCGCGGGCGGGAGCAGCAGCAAAGCCACGGCAACTACCCCCCAGCAAATAAAGAAGCCCATCGGACAGATGGAATTCTTCGAGAGGCGGCGCTACGAGATCCTCGAAGACCCGCTCGGCTTCGGCGACTGTGTCTACGACACCACCAAGTCCATCCCCCGGCACGCGGCGAAGAGCTTTGCGCAGCATCGGCGCCGCCAAAAGGGGCTCCCGCCTCCGCTGGAGATGAGCGGCGCGCTTGGGCCGCCCGATGAGGTCGGCGACGACGCTAAGCCGAGCGGGAAGGGGTTCAGGCGGCCCGAGAGCTTGGCGAAGGAGGCTCAGAAGCGCGCCCACCAGCAGAAGGTCGGACAGAAAGTTCAGGCTCTCATGGGGAAGTCCGGGTCTGGGGGGTCGGAAAGGACGGCCGTGGAGGGTAAAAGGCCTGGTTCTATCGGTGGTAAGCAGGCGGGTACAGGGAGATCGGCGAACGGCAAGGGCAAGGGCAAGGAGAAGGAGAAGTCTTTTGCGTCTACTGAGTCTCGGCAGACACCGAGTGTGAAGCAGCGGGGTGGTCAGCAGTGGAAAGTGAAATACACGAAGTTTAGCTGACTATGCCATATGTCCTTACATATCATGAAACAGCGTGGCTATCTGGGAGGAAACCATTTGCACAAGAATCGGCTGAGACCGAGCAATTTCGGCTGCAGCATCGTGGTGGACTCTGTGGCCATGTTGACACCCGCCGATTGTCTGCATCCCGCTCAATGGGACTCTGCAACGACGTCCGTATCCAAGAGGGTGAGGTACATCCGGGCAATAGCTCACTTCTACCTTAGTCACGGATGTAGATGCCGTTGAGCGTTAAGTACCTAGGTAGCCGTCGCTGCTCTGTCCGCTGCCTTAAGCTCAAGCATGTCCGCCCTCCAGGGTCGCCCTTGATATCGCGGAGGCTGGCTTACCTATCCCCACAGCGCAAGTTGCGTCACCAACCCGCCCACAGTCATATAGCGTACTTGGTTCTCCGGTTCCATTAAGAGCCAGGCTTCTGGTAAGTACCTAGAAGGAAACGTGGAACTGAGCAATGACTTGCGAGCCAATGCTATCCATACTCAGGGTTGGGCTACACTTGAATAAACGTACTCCTATCCGAGGCTGTAGCAGTTGTCATACCCGGCCACCCCCTGAGCAGAATAATTGATACAGGAAAATCATTCCACCACCACACAAGTCAACCACAGCTGCGTCAAGCACATGCAATTTGAACACTAGCTATACTGATGGAGATTGAGCAAGAATGTAATGTTGTAGAGGGAAAGGGAGTATCATGACATGTTTATTTACATCGTGTCGTGGCTGATGTTATTGTGATGGTGTTCTGAGAGACCGTGTTTCCTGTATCAATTATTCTGCTCAGGGGGTGCCGGCTAACTTTAACGCTAACGTTATATGAACTTCCGCACAATCGCGAGGTCGTCAGATGGCTTATGAGAGCGCGGCAAGGTCTTATTCGAGATCTTGAGCCACGGTCTTGGATTATACAGAGGACTGAACAATGAGTGTGGAAAACAACAGGCTAATAATAAGTCATCACAGCCCAACCGTTGCTCTTCCTCGCTTCGACAAGGGTGAGCGATAGCTCCCCACTGTTTTAGACCTCGGCAGGCGGCATTCGCGTCGGCGTCGGAAGTGTCCCCGCACTGGGGAAGCACCTTGGCGGCCCGCCTCGATGGTATATAACATTGTAAGGGTCGAGTCGCGAGCACCTGAGCAGGTGTCTTCGAAGCTTCAGTTGATCCGTACACGCTGTCAAGCCAACGTGCAATACTCGATCGCTGTTCCTTTCTGTAAGCAGACAACAACATGCCTACCCACGGTGTCGGTTTCGAGTATCCTCCAAAGGAGGTGAGCTGGACGAAGCGGGATGCCCTCCTCTTCGCCAACTCGATAGGGTGCACGGCGCAGGAGCTTCACTTCCTCTATGTATGGTCTCCCCCCTGTTGAGACAATTGGTACCGGTCAAGGCGGCTGACCATCTTCCAGGAGCTGGACCCGAACTTCTCCGTATTCCCCACGTATCCCGTCATCCTCAGTACGTCCTCTGTTCCTGCTGGGCCCTTCCACTCCCATAGCCGTGCACTAACAACGGGCAAATTAGCTTTCAAGGGCACCAACCAAGACGTGATCGACTTCTACGCGGCCGAGAAGGCGGTCGCCATCCCAGGCGTGCCGGCCTTCGACGCCACGCGCGTCGTAGACGGCCAGCGGCTCCTGCAATCCTTCAAGCCACTGCCGCCAAGCTCCGCGGGCCGCAAGTTCGAGGTGCGCACCAAGGTGCTGGGCGTCTACGACAAGGGCCGCCCGGGCACCGTCGTCGAGACGCAGTCCGACCTGGTCGACGCCGGCACCGGCGACGTCTACACGCGCGTCATCTCGTCGTCCTTCTATGTCGCGCAGGGCAACTGGGGCGGGCCCAAGGGCCCTGCAACGGTCAACTTCCCGGCACCCCAGGACCGCAAGCCCGATGTGGTTTTCGAGAACCAGACCACCGCCGAGACCCCGCTGCTGTACAGGCTGAACGGCGACTACAACCCGCTGCACGCGCACCCGGAGCCGGGGAAGAAGATGGGGTTCGGCGGCGTGATTATCCACGGGCTGTACTCGTGGAACTGGGCCGCGCACGGCCTGCTGCAGCATCTTGGCGGGAGCGACCCGGCGAATCTGAAGGAGTACCAGGCACGGTTTGCGAGCCCCGTCCGGCCGGGCGACAAGCTGGTCGCGTCGGCGTGGCGGACGGGCGAGAAGAAGGGCGAGTTCGAGGAGATTCGGTTCGAGGTGAAGGTTGCGGGCGGCAAGGTGTGCTTGAGCAATGGCCGTGCGCTGATGAAGGTTGTTGACGGGCCGGCTCAGGCGAAGCTGTGAAATGTATGATGCATAGGTTATGGAGTCGTTTTCTTTTCTCTTCTGTAAAATAAAATGTCACGGTCAGTTTTGATACATTCAATGATTTGCAGATTGCGATTCCGCGCTATGTGGTGTGAAATGGGGGTCGTGGCCACCGGAGGTCGGGCAGCGTGTGAGAAGAGAATGTCTGCTGCCTGAAGAAGCTGCTCTCCATTTAGCACCGCAAATCAACACTGCCGGACTGGGTTTCTGACTGCAGCTTTGATCCGCCTGAACGGTGCAATGACCTCCGCTGCTCGAATCGGCGAGCGGCGCTCGTATGACGGCGCTCTCTGCACTGTCCGGTACATTGGCGAAGTAGCGGGCACAACAGGCTCATGGTTGGGCGTGGAGTGGGATGACCCCTCGCGGGGTAAACACGATGGACAGCACAAAGGGGTCAAATATTTCTCATGTAGGCGCCGCCAACACAGTCACTTCTTATTACTTTTAAGGCTAAGGTACTGACTGAATGACACTACAGGCAAATCCAAATCCGCTACGGCCGCATCCTTCGTCCGCCCCACGCGTCTGGCAGATGCACGCCAGGACTTTCTCTCGGCGCTACATCTCAAGTATGCGACCGACCCGACCACAGAGAAGAACCCTCCTAAGCAGATCGTCTTCTCCGGCAAGGTTGCAGAGGAGGTCGGCTTCGAGAAGATCCGGCGCAAGCAGGCCCAGCTCGATGAGCTGCAGTTTGTCATCCTGGACGGCGCCCAAATCGCCTGTGCCTATGCGTCGCAGAGTGTTGCGGCTGGCGACGGCGCGAAGGATGGCCGGCAATCTATCGGGCAGGTCTGCCCCAAGGTCAGAGAGCTGGATCTGAGCAGGAACCTGTTTGAGCGGTTTGGCCCTGTTGTGGAAATCTGCTCGGAACTGCCGCTGTTGAGGGTTCTGAGGGTCAAGTGTGTTTGTCTGATTCACAGTTCAAGCAGGCGTTTGGGTGCTGATGCGACTGCTACAGCGGAAACCGGTTTCAGTATGTTCCAGAAGACGAGACTCTGGCCTCAGCCGATGGCGTGTTCGACGGTGTGACGGAGCTGGCCCTAGAGGACACCCTCCTCGGGTGGCAGGAAGTGTGCCACATCGCGGCCAAGTTCCCGTCGCTGACCACGCTCCATACCGGCTCCAACCAGCTTTCGGCCCTGACGCCCGTCCCCGCCGCCTCGTTCACGTCCACCCTGGTGTCTCTCCACCTCGAGTTCAACGACTTTTCCTCCCTCGTAGACATCGCCCCTCTTGCGGCTATCTCCAGTCTCCGCAACCTCAATCTCAAACTCAATCACATCTCCCACATCACCCCCCCCCCGCCTTCTCACACAACAACAGCAACCCCGGGCCCCATCTTCGGGCCCAACCTCCACTACATAGACCTCTCCTACAACAATGTCAGTTCCTGGTCTTTCATCGACGCCCTCCCGGCATCCTTCCCGGGCCTCACTTCCCTCCGCTTCACGCACAACCCCATCTACGACGACCCGGACCTCGACAACCCTGAGTCCGTCCCCACCACCACCACCACCACCACCCCCCCCAAGAGCCAAGGACAGAAAGGAGGCATCTCAAAGACAGATGAAAGCTACATGCTGGTCGTCGCCCGCATGGGCCCGCAGCTCAGAACCCTCAACTTCAGCGCCATCACCCCGGCCGACCGCGCCGACGCTGACATGTTTTACCTGTCGCGCATCGCGCGGCAGCTGGCGGCCGTTCCGGAGGGCCCGGCCGAGAAAGAGGTGTTAGCGCGGCATCGGCGGTGGACTGAGCTGTGCGAGCTGTACGGCGAGCCCGTGGTTGTGCGGCAGAAGAGCGTGGACGTGAATTTCTTGGAGGCGAGGTTGATTACGGCTGAGTTTACGTACTGTGAGGAGGAGGAGGACGACGACGACGTGGGTGGTGGTGGTGGTCAGGGGCAGGGGCAGGGGAAGGGGAAGGGGAAACGGAAGGGGCAGGACGTGGAGGGGAAGACGAAGAAGGTGGTAAAGACGGTGCAGATCCCCAAGTCGTTTGACATCTATGCTGTCAAGGGGCTTGTGGGCAAGATGTTTGGTCTGTCGCCTCTGGGGCTGCGGCTGGTTTGGGAAACGGGCGAGTGGGATCCTGTGGGCGGGTTTGATGAAGTGGATGAGGAGAGCGAGGAGGAGGCGGAGGACCTTGCCGAGGCTGAGCGGGAGCGGAGAGGGGAAGTTGGTGGTGGTTTGGATCTGGAGGCGTCCGAACTGCAGAAGAAGGGCGGGAGATGGGTTAAGCGGGAGGTCGAGCTGAAGGACGGGCCGCGGCAATTTGGGTACTGTGTGGACGGTTTGGAAGCAAAGATCAGGGTGGAGAGGCGGTGACGGTCGGACGGTTATTTGGGCATAGAGGCAACATAGCGACTTGTTTGTTTTCATGGCGGGACCTGATGGCGGTCATGATTGTTGTGTCTAGGTTTGCACGGGAAACGAGGACCTGTCGTGTTTGCCAGAGGGCAAGTGGTATAAAGTCAGTCACCCTTTGACTCTGGCTACAACACGCCGTGATCTCGTTAGGCGCACAGCACACGGCAACGGAGTTCTTGGTATTCTCAAATCTCCTCACTCCCCTTCGATACGGCAGCCCAACCAAGAGCACCAGTCTTCACACAATGGTCCCCAGACCTCAGTTCTTCGTTGTCAGGCCTGACACCAAGACGTCCTCAGCCGACGGCAGAGTCTACACAGTTCATGGTGCCATCGTGCCTCTCGTCGCAGTAGACGAACTCCCGGAGTGGCTCGATCTCGTCGGCGTCCCTCGCGGGCTCACTGCCAAGCAGACCGTCGGCTTGTACAACCTGGGCACCGTGAGCAAGGGCGATGGCTCCTATGCCGTCAACATCCATCGGGCCAGTACGGCCGGCTCAGCTGCTCGCGACTCGTCGATTGCGATGAACAATATGGAAGCTAAGCAAGCGGAGTATGCCACCGTTAATGCCCCGTCAACCTCCTCCCCTTCAGGAGTCAAAGCACCATCTGTGGCCGCAGCCGCGACAACTCATGCCCATCCCGCGGACAACATGAAAGCACATTGGAGCGAGGCCCACGCCCGGGCCCTGGCCATCAGCAACAATACCGCCCAGCAGCAACCCCAAGCCCCCCTACTTCCTCCCACTTCATCTCCTCCCGCGCAACCTCCCCTCCCAGGAGACCCCGCAAAGCCAACGACGATGACGACGACGACCTCCACAGCAGGTAACGCCACCCCCGAGCCAGGCGCAACAACAGCGGCGTCCACAGAATACTGCCGACACTGGTGCCACCACGGCACGTGCCGCTGGGGTCCGCGGTGTCGCTACCTGCACGCCATGCCCACCACGCGCGCCGAGCTGGCCGAGATCGGGCTGAGCGAGATTCCCGCGTGGTGGAGGATTGCCACTGGTACTGCCACGGCCGGACTACCTTCGACTTCTCTATCATCACACCCCGGGAATGCTATCACTACTAGCACTACCCCGCAGCCCAGCGGTCTTGGCCGCCTTGCTGGTGGGCATAGTGCTAGTGGTGATGGTAATGGTAATGGTAATGGTGGGTATGACCCGCGCGATGTCCGGGCCGGGGTGATGCGTCTGCTGTCGCCAGGGGCAGGGGTCGGAACTGGTGCCGTGGTTGGGTTGGGAAGGGGAAGCAATAACAGTAATAGGAGAGCGGCAAAGGCGCAGACGCAGCTGCGCGAGACGGTGGCGCTGCTGAGGGAACTGGGATTGGCATTGGGCGGAGGGGGAGGGAGGGTCGCTCGCAACAGGAGGGAGGTGAATCCGCTTGAGAAGGGACGGGGGAAGGGTGTTGTGGGAGAGGAGAAGGAGACCATTCTGAAGGCGGCCAAGGCTGAAGGTTGGCTTGCTGCTAGCATTCACTCTGCCAGTCCCACTGCTGCTGGTGCTGCAGCTGGAAGGGCTGGGCAAGTGCAGACTAGAGGTGTCGTCGCGGCTCAGGAGAATGCAGTTGGTGTTTCGAAGCGGGAGGGAGGGCAGACGGCTGTTGTGGCTGCTCAGACGGCGGGTGCTGCTACGAAGGTTGGGAAGTTGGTTGATGTGTAAAGCTAATGAGGCTGAGAGTAACCTGGAAGAATGAATGTTGGACCAGGGATCACACGACTCCCCAGGCAGAATCACGTTGTATCTCAGCAAAATCATCAGAGCATAGATGGCCACGGCCGTTACCTGACCAGTTGAATAGACATCACTACATCACTACAACCACAGATAAACCTTGAAAGTGACTAAAATCATCGTATTTGGTTCTCGTAATCTGGCCGCCAGGGGCTAGTCGGGCACTGATAGCCCGGTGTTGCTTCATCACATATTCGCTGAATGCCCTCCTAACATAAGGTATATACCAAACACCAAACAACATAGGAGAGAAAGGTGTGAGATCCTCCGAGACATACCAAAACCTATCTCGAAAGATCCATCCCGAACTACAACAACGCCGTCCTGTGCTCAGTAAGCTGATAGCCGAGGAAGATCCCTAGAAGCGACCCCTGGCACGATCACATTCCTCCAGAAACCGGTATATGCCTTCCAACCCCTCGAAGTCCTCGGAGCAGTGCTCTCCTGAGCTGCTCAGAACAGGCGGCGACATACTCTCATAGCCCTCTTCCAGCTCCGATCCGGAGAGCTTCCAGGGATTCTCCTCGAACTCGTCCACGATGAACGCCTCTTCGACGTCGGATGACGACGACTCGGAGCCGCGTGATCTCAGTGAGCCGCCTGGCGAGGTCATCGTCTCCTCGCAGCTCACGTCCGGCGCAAACGGGAAGCGCAGCGCGACCTCGACAGCAGGGCTGGTGTTGAAGCCTGCATCCTGCCCGACAACGCCACGCTTAACGCCCACATCATCGCACAGCCGCTCGACCGTCTCGGCGTCCATCCCGGGGAACCGTACCCGCAAGACATTGTCCTTCTCCAGCAAGACAGGCAGATCGCCCAGCCCAGCCAAGTTCTTCAGATCCGTCATAGTCGCCGCCAGGTCCTTCAACGCGCGCGCAAAGTCCACCGAGAGCACGTCAAGGAACCCCTCGGCATTCAGCGTCGCCGCACCAAACTTCTCCTCGACCGCACCCTCAAAGCCCATCATGGCCGCGACACCCAGCGGGCTGAGTGCCGTAACGGTCGGGCTGATCTTGAAATCGACGTACGCGCCCGGCGCGCGCTGGCCCCGCCACGCCGCCATGGCGCCCTCCATGCGGGTGCGCGCCTCCTCCTGCGCGGCGCTCACGGCCCGGTACCGCTTCTCGCCGTTGGGGCCCAGCCCCGCGAAGTGCGCCCGCTGGCCCGAGAGCCAGAAGGCGCGCATGGCCTGGCTGACGTTCTGCACCACCTGCGCCGGCGCGGCCGGGGCGTGCGAGAAGTAGCGGGCGCCGCCGACGCGGCCGACGCCGGAGAGGCCGTAGCCGCCTGCCGTGCGGCCCAGCGTGCCGCCGGTGAGGTTCGGGCGGAGGGTCGAGGCGAACGGGGCGCGGCTCGTGAGTTGGCTGACGGCGCGGGAGATGCGGGAAATGGGAAGCTTGGAGCGGTCGAAGCGGAAGCCGGTCTGGGTGGCGGCGCTCGAGGCATAGTGGCCGCTGGTGCTGAGGAAGCGGCGGATGGTGGAGTTGAGGTTGGAGGTCGAGTAGTATCGCACGCCGCCGGCACGCTTCTGCTGGCGCAGCCAGGCGGCGGGATGGATGGGTTGGCGAGCATGGCCGGTGGTACGGACGGCGATGGGTTGGGCCTGGGCATTTGCCGTGCGAGTGGCGGCCGAGAGCTTGGAGCGCAGCATCTTGATGGTCACTCTAGTGTTGGCCACCAGGTGCTTGTGTAGAGCCCGCATAGCTACGGGGCCCCAGATGCCCCCTAAGGGAGACATGGCGTTGGGTATTTCAGCTGTCCGAGGAATCCGGAAGCTGACCGGTGCTGAATGCCTCTTGTGGCGGCTGAGGGAACAAGAAGGGAGGGTGCGCGGGTGCACTCGGGACTTATCTACGTAGATCTCTTATCGATAGGGACAGCAATCGCCACCGGAGATCCGGCAGATTGACTTTGCGGGGTCGGGTGCGTAAGCGGGTGGAGCCGTTGTCTTAGCCAGCTGAGAGGTTATGCATTTGACCGATCTTAGAAATTAATGCACTAACTGGTGCTTGCCATGAAGCTCTTTCTTTACTCCACACCAATTCTGCGCTTCGATAAAAAACCTCTTTAAAATTTTCCCAAATCTCCTACAGCTTCCTTGTTTCTTCCAACACACGCAAAGTTCATCGGCAAGGTAAACAACCATCTTCTTCTGCCCTCGCTGCACCAGCTCCTGTGATGATCAACCGTACAATCCAACGCCGACTCAGACCATGGGGACTCCAATTTACTCTAGAATTACCCTGAGAGCACATGCCTGCAGCGACTCGTCTTGGCTTGGCTTCCCGACTATTGCTAACGTCTGCTCAGTGTCGACCGACTTTGTTTCTAGCCAGTCCCGATATTGTATTCCCAGCGTTCGGTTCACATTGATCATCTATCAAAAAGGTCAGTAAGATACTTTTCTTTGCTCTCCCTCCCCTCCAAGTGATGATCAAACGACATTTATAGGGAATTCCTCATGCCGAATACACTATGTGGAATCAGTTTTGTTTCAGCCTTGTCTGATTTGGATTCATACCTCTCGGTTGTCTTCGTGTCTCTGTCTTGACAGTTGTGCTGACTAGCAACCGCAGGTATTGTCACCATTCCTCTCACGTTTTCTGCACCATGACGAAAGTTTGAACGAACGGGCGGACATAAGCGAAGCCTCCCCGTTCCCCCTCGCCAAAAGCAGGGCTGTACACCCTGTGAGGGGGTCTTGGGGGGAAATTCTTGCTGAGAACTCGTCAGCTGATTGTGCTCTTGTCCACCGACTCGATGTACGCTTCCTGGGGACGAAGTATTGACTAACATTACGTGCGTTAGGTAATTTGCCACCCTCTCATCTTGTTCGCGACTTATTTCCAACATGATGATCCGTTATTCACACTGTTTGATCCGCCTTCGGGTTGGAAATGAACATTACACAAAATCTGATTTAATGAGGTATGTCTTTCCATGATCACAGGTGTTGGAGGAGGGCTTATGCTAACTGGAGCTACAGGCTGAACTTGATCTTTGACCGATCTGCTATTTGTACCGCAAGGCTCTAGATCATTGCTGACCGTACTGGTGAGCTAGGTAATGCTCGAGTGACGTCGATACTGTCTACTTTTCGCAAGGTGTGAGTTCTTATCCCTCCTCACCCTTCCCACATACCTTCCGGATGATTTCTTTCCTACCTGCTTTTTAACTCGGAGTTCATCGTGACGAGACATCTTCACCTTGGAGAACTGATGAGGTGTCCACACCGTTCATATTTCCAGCTATGAGTCGGAGAGCCGTGCTAACTGGAGATCAGCCCCAGATTTGCTTAGTACATTACAATCTATTTCTATGTTCTAGGCAGATACAGTATGGGATCATTAGATCTAAATGAACATACGCTCTGACATCTAGGTGTCCCATTCGCAATGCATGTGTGACGTGACGCCGTGCCAACCAAGCATCCTACTGCCGTAGCTGTAGCCTGGCGTTCCATCCCACAATGCACCGCACGATGTCCCAGTCCCCGTGATGGCCGACCCAGTCGAGCACGACGATGCCGGTTGTCGCAACCCCAGTATCCAGCTTTCCGTGTGCCATGCACAAATGCTCGATCATGGAAGGATTTATCTTCACAGCGATTCGATCGGGCCAGCAACTCGCATTGAAGAAGTTGCTCGCGCTCAAGAAGTTTATGAACAGCGGCGGCTGCACCCGAGTCCCCCTCACCAAGACCTCCGCACCCGCCCTCTCCAGCCCTTCCTGCGCAAAGCGCACCTTCTGCTGAATCTCGGTCGTGTTGCCCACGCCGTAATAGTCTTGGATGCGGATCGTCCCGCTCCCGCACATCCCGTCAGCGACGTTGTCCGGCCAGACGGAGCCGTCGATCCCGCCCTGGTTGGCGGGGATGTCCGGGTGCAGGTGGAAGCGTCGGATCAGGATGATGCGGCCGCGGCATTCCCTGAGGGTCGGTATCCCCGGGGAGGTGTACCACTTCGCAGGAGTGATGTAGTGGTGGTGCAGGATCCGGGAGAGGTCCTGGTCTGTTCCGCGGCCGGTTCCTTCCCGTTTGAGGGAGAGGAGGACGGTCTCTGACGGGTGCTCGTCCAGGAAGGCGTACAGAGTTGTGAGGAGTTCTGAGAGGTAGTGGCTACCGGTTAGAGAGACCGGGAAGGCGGAGTGGACTAGCGCAAGTTCTGGCGTGACTGAGGACGAGGAGGAGGAGGGAGAGTTCTCCGGGCCGGTGAACGGTGGGCAGGAGACGCGCACATCAAGAAAGCGGACGCCGTTGTTGAGTTGCTCAAGCACGGAGACGGCTTGACACCGCACTGAGGGCAGGGCGACGTGGTGGGTGGGCGAGTTATGCGTGCCTGGGATTGAGAGGGAGGAGAGCAGTGAAGATGAGTCCAGCGTGGACATCCAGTAGGAGAGGTTGGCGGAGCTGAAGAGGGCGAGGTAGGCGTGCTGTGGGAGGTAGATGGCGGTGAATTCCTTGGTGGCTTCTTGATGGCCCCTAGCGTGGGACCGGAGGACTATGCTTCGTCGCGATGAACCAGGTATTTCGGCGCTGTAGCGATGTCCTGTGGCTCTGTCCTCGAAGACGAGGCGTATCTGTTCATGGCCGGATGGGTCCGGCGCGTAGACAGGGGTCTGACATTCCGAGAAAGGCGCGATGACCACTTGCCAGATGTGCTGTTTTGCTGATGATGGTCGTTCCTGGTCTTCCTGAGCACTTGGTGTAAGTGCTGGTGTCCCATGAGATTCATGAGATCGTCGGCGACTGCTGATACGTGATGTGACCTTGACCAATCCCTTTGGCTTGTGCAGGTGCGGATGTGCGCCCAGACGTTCAACCAGCCTGAGCTCCAGGGTGGTGATGGTCAGGTTGCGGATGGTGAGAGTTGGAAGTGGTGTCGGTAGTGCAGCGGCCGCAGCAGGTCGGGAAAAGACAAAACCCATGACGGCGGGTTGCTGAAATGATTGGGCTTCTGAGCGGGTTGATGTTCGACCAGGAGCATAAACGTCTCGCCCATTGACCTATGAAAGGAGGGAAAATCTGATCGAAAGGCGGCAGTAAACTTGCCTTGTTCCCAATCAACAGTTCTTTAGTGTATATCGCGATACTCTCGGTATGAGGGAGGCGAGGAAGACATGGTTTTGTTGACAGACGTAGCATACAGCTAGGGCAACAACTTTAAGCTAAACTAACACCCAGTGCTCTATATACATGATCACGTGATTGTTCATATATGCCGGGGTTCTTAATCGTGGCTTTTTCTTACCGGCCGGCTGGAACGGCGAATAGATGTCTGTATATGCATGATGAGAGTCCTCATCAAGCCTGTAGTGGTGAATCTTGGTCGTTGATATTTTTGGCGGCCGGATGCGGTTAAGAGCATGACGACGGAAACCAGGCACTTTCAATGTAAGGGTAGTTCCCAGGGATCACTCTGAATATCATGCTTCTCTGTTCGACCGTTCAATACGTCACTGACGAGTCTTGGGTAACGTAAGGTACCTTAGTTAGGTATTTTCAGCGGTCGTCGGCGGCGGATTTGCGTGGCAGAGGCAAGGGTCCGGATGTGGAAAGAGTAACCCATACGGAGTACACCACATTAGACTAGTGGGTTGGTCCCTGGAGGCTTTCCAGATTGTCAGGCCCTTTCAAACCCTTTAACATGTATTTTAGGTTAATGTATCAACATATTGATGAAGAGTGCGGCGTCTGGGTCCGAACAGTACCGAGTCGCACTAGGAGACAAGCACCGCGTATGGAAACCCGAAAGGAAATGGGCAGTCCTAGCGAAGGGATAATATGTGCTAACGCCGTGATATGCCTCGGATTTCCAACGCATATAGGTCGGACATCCGTCAGATGGGGTTATTGAGTCGAGTCTGAGTGAGCTGCATCAAATCAAGTTCACCTCCAGAAACACCGGGGAGAAGGCCAGAGTCAACGCCTTCATCTTCAAGCCGCTCGGCCGAGTCGACGTCCGCCACCAAGTGAATTTTCATAGGCACGCCGGTGTCCAACCCATCATCGTCTCTCGTGGTTGATAGCATCGATGCCGTCGACTGCAAGTCCATCGTGCTGTGTGTTGGGACACCACTTTTGGCGCGGCTAGCAGACCCACGCGGCCATCACCGGAACCTTCAGGGTTGAGAGTTGGCGGCGGGTTCGGGCCTTATTAGACATCGAGTTCAACGGCCTGGTTTTGCTGCTCAGTATGGGCACGCACGACGGTTGAGATATGCTGGTGTAAGACTCGGCGGGAAAAGCAGTGAACTTGTGAGTGAAGCAGAAAGTGAGTTTGCTTGGAAAGAGACAAATACCAATACGAAATGAGTATGCCGACTAACCGCCGGTGTTGGGTTCCACGCCAAGTGGCTGCCTCGAATCGCACTGTTCAGGGGCGCTGCAGCCTGCAAAGAACTTGTGTGTGGATGCATGGCGCTCGCCTAGGAAATTGCTTGATGACATGTCCGACCACCGAGCAGAACGCGATAGTCTCCCGAGTCCCGACGGCCGTTGCTTTGCTTTGCTCTGCTGTGAATCAATCGTTGCCCTTGCACCGGCGCTGTTGTCAGTGTTGTCAGTGTTGTAGCCTTGTAGGGAGTAGTCGTAGGGCTGCATGTGACAATCCATGCGCGTACCGCGTTGCCGACTTCGCCACTCGTCCTGGGAAAGCCCTTGCTCATCAGCAAGTGGGCTCAAAGTAGCGTTATAAATCGCTGACAACTTGTGGCTGGCGGCCACAACGAATGGGCAGCGGTGAGGGCTGGTTGGCTGAAGGATTCTCGTCAAATTCGACGGTTAATGTTCAGCCCGGGCGCTTGTGCCGTAGGCTTGCATGGCCTGCGGAGCCATTCGGTCGGCTACACAGTAATAATATGGAAGGGAGCAGAAATCCCGTGCTTTTGGTGAAGCCGTACTGTAGAGTTGACGGATTCTGGCTGCGTTGCTCACTTTGTGACGTACCTTAACTTGTTCTGCCATTTCATCCGAGCTCGCATTTGATCACACATGTATATTGTAACACAGGACCTATGCTTATGCTTAATGTAACCGATGTCTTCGGAGATCGGATAATTGCCTCATAGACGCAGCCCAATGTTGTCTCTGATAGGTTTTTACCCCTGACTGCTCCAAGATACGGGGACTGCAGTGGGGTTATTGTCATAGCTTATCCTTATGGACCCATTTTCGCCTGGAATGGATCGCTAATTTTGCACTGCCCCTTGTGGCCTTCATTTCATTTCCAGGATTCGCCGTTCCTGTCCTCAGAAGCCTGACTCGGCAGCTGTGTGGCAAGCAGCAGGCGGCCCGGGGTATCGTCTGATGGTATGGAGTCGGCCAATCATGCCTTCGTGTTGCCCTGCAGAACGCAACCGCTGAGTGCCCGAAATGTCAAGGGCGGCGAAGAACGTCCAGGATTCCAGGTTGTGTGTCCCTCCGTGTCATTTTATCCATGCCATGGGTCAGCCCGAGTGTTAGCGTACACCGGGTAGGCAGAGCGAGCAGAACGGGGCAGTGCCTCACTGAAAACAATCCCCTCCCCCCCTTCTCTGTTCTTTCCTCCTCTCACCTTCGACGTGTCTGCACATCAATCGTGGATTTCAGCCACAAGCCGTTCTTTAAAGTCGCTTCATTGCCGACCTCCGTCACTCATTCTAACATTGTGTTACCCACGCTCTTTTCATACCCTCGTCCGCAGATCTTCATTCCCCGTGTAACGTTTTGAAGAAGAAAAAGAAAAAATGCTTTACTCATTCTTGACCGCTCTCGCCTTTGCGGCCTCGGCCCTGGCGCAGAATCCCACGGATGGCTTCAACCCAATCACCAAGCCTGCTCAGGGCGAGAAGGTCCCAACCGGATCGACATATCAGATCGTCTGGCAGCCGAGCACCGAGTACCCGGGAGAGATCACGATCGGCCTGCTTGGTGGAGCCACTCCTAGCACCCTGAGTGTCGTTGACACTATCGCCGGTAAGGCACTCGCGACCCATACGCTCCGCTGAAAATTTCATTGCTGACAATGTTTCACGAATAGTGGGTGTTGAGAGCAGCACCGGATCCTACAGCTGGCAGGTGGATGAGACGCTGGGTGACCTGGCCACCTATGGTATCATGATCACCCTGGACTCCAACAACAAGATCTTCCAGTACGGCTTTCCCTTCCACATCGTCAAGGGTGCCAAGGAATCTTCCACGACCGTCTCGAGCTCGGCTACCAGCTCGGCCACTGGTTCAGCCACTGGCAAGGAGACCACCGTCTCCGCCATCATCACCGCCACCGAGACTGTCAGCTGCAGCGAGACTTCCGTGATCGAGACCAAGACCTCCACTAGCACCAGTCTCAGCAGCGCCATCTTCGTCAACTCCACCAGCACCAGCACCACCGTCGCCGCCCCGTCCTCGACCGGCGTCAACGGCACCACCCTCAGCCCGAGTAACACCGGTGGCTCCGGCCCCGTGACCGTTACTAGCTTGGTCACGAGCAAGACTGCTGTCCCCATTCCCCCGACCACGACCTCCTCCATTGTGACCGCCGGCGCTGCCTCGCTCGGCGCCAGCTCGCTTGCCCTGCTTGGTGTTGTCGGCGTGGCTGTCCTCGCCCTCTAAGGGCGAGGCCTGTCATGGATGTGTTTAGTGGATTTTGCTTTCTTTTATGCCTTTGCTTTGTCACGGTAGAAAAGGATTTTTCATGGATGTTGGGTTTAACTAATGGCGCGACGAACGGAGGATTGCATTAGAGAGTATCTTCTCGCCTGGCGCATTTGATGGCTGGGCCAGAACTTCAGAAATGAGGATCTTTGTGTGTCCTAGCCATGGTGTTGCTGAATGAGATACCCTTAAACTTCACTTCTACCTGATGATGTATTTGAGATGGAGGATTGATGAACCTGTACTGGAATGGAACCACGCCAACCATGATTGGTACACCAGGATGTGATTACTGCTGCTGCATGCTGCCCCCTTATCTTCTGCATGCTGTGTTACGTCGTTTCGCTGTTGTGCTGTTGCACCGTTGATCTCCATGTCTACCAACTGAGCATCACAACACGTTTCAACACGCGCTTCAACGCGCCTTTGGATGGCTCAATATTTGTTGATCCTCTGTCCCCTATTCTCACAACATCATGAGCAGATTCATTGCATGACATTAGTTTGAAGCGTCGAGCCGCTGTTGGTTTGGTTATAAGCCACATTGATGCGTACCAATACTCCCAGACATTCTCCATAAGGGATGTCAACCAAAGATACTAGAGGTAGAAGTTTCTTAGTACTTTGCAGTTCCAGTTTCTAACTCGACCTACCTTGAGTTGATCAAGGCCCTAGTTTAAGGAGGTTCGAATGCGGCTTCATGCTTGAAATCCGACAATGACAAAATACCAGGTACCTAGCCCTATGGTGTCGATCACGCAAGCGACAAGTGCGACTTTGAGCTTTGACTGTGGCGTTTCTGTTCAATGTTTGGATACCTTAGCTACCTACACCGAGCCATCTGGGGCAGGCAACAATAAGAGATCATACATGCCGTCCTCGTTTACAGCAGCGCATCGCGGTGCATGAATTGTTTTGAAATCCAGAGTCTCTGCAGGTGACTCTTGAGTCGAATCAACCGCTCGTTGAATATGCACATACTGATAACGTTAGAGAGATCAAATAGAATGAGATGAAAACCAGGGGTCCAACTTCCGTCTCCTGGAGCGGTGAGCGCGATATTGATGCGCTGGTGCGGGGCAGAGGTACTTCAACTTCGGCTCTCATTCTGGTTCAGTGGAACATTAGGTACCGGTTCAACTCATCCCAACTAAGACCTGGAGACCCACGACAATCGTCCCCGCGACCCACTCGATATCCGCGCCTCGCACGCAACCACCATCTCTCCAGGGGCTTCAGCAGTGAACTTCCTTTTCCTCCACCGTTCGCTGCTCTCTGCCGCGCTGCGCGCTCACTGCTCCGTTTCGCTTCCCATACCGCCGGTAACCTTATTTCGACATAATCTGTCAGCATGAGAGGCGAGGTAAGATTATACTGCCCCTACTTTTCAAACCCTATCAATGCACCGCACCCTGTGTCGGCGATTGCTTCAGGGCGCTCCCCTTCCCAAGCCAGTACAGCCGAAGCAACGCCATCACCACCAGCCGTCGGCACCTTCACACACTGGTGGTGTCTACCTAGTCTCGACGCCATTTCTCCCATCAAGTGTCAATTTGCGACGTCGGTAGCTGCTACACGCTTCGAGCGACCTCTTCGAATCATCTGTCGGCCGTCTTGTTGACCCCAGATGCAGCTTGCCACAGCCGAAGCTTGGGAGAGCTCCAGGAGCTCGTCCGATGCCTCCCCAGCAACACAGGATGGATTCGCGATACTCCTTTGTAAATGCTAACGTTACTGCGAACAGGTTCTTCACCTGCATCTGGGCCAGGCTGGTGCCCAGCTGGGTAACAGCGCATGGGAGCTGTCAGTGTGCTCACCGCCCTTGAACATGTATTTCTGTTGGCTAACCGATGGCTACAGGTACCTCCTTGAGCATGGTCTCGGAGCTGACGGCCGCCTCGATCCTAATGCCACCAAGGATGTCGGTGGCGATGCTGGTTCATTCGAGACCTTCTTCACTGAAACGAGCAACGGCAAATATGTTCCCCGGTCCATCTTTGTCGATCTCGACCCTTCGCCGATCGATGAGATTCGTACTGGCACCTACCGCCAGCTCTTCCACCCCGAGCTCCTGATCAGCGGGAAGGAGGATGCTGCCAACAACTATGCTCGTGGGCACTACACCATCGGCAAAGAGATGATTGATAATGTCATTGACCGCATCCGCCGTGTCGCTGGTAAGCCACGCTGCCGATCCAGGTTCGAAAGAGCGCATGTCTGATGTGAAGGTGATAGACAACTGCCAGTCGCTCCAGGGTTTCCTGATCTTCCACTCCTTTGGCGGTGGTACTGGGTCTGGTTTCGGTGCTCTGCTTCTCGAACGTCTCTCGACCGACTACGGGAAGAAGTGCAAGCTGGAATTCACCGTCTATCCGGCACCGCGTCTCTCGTCTGCCGTTGTTGAACCCTATAACGCCGTTCTCTCGACTCACAGTACCATTGAGAACTCGGACTGTACATTCTTGGTTGACAATGAGGCTGTCTACGACATCTGCCGCCGGAATCTGGACATTCCCCGACCAAGCTATGAGCACCTCAACCGTCTGATCGCCCAGGTCGTCTCTTCGATCACCTCTTCGCTGCGGTTCGATGGTGCTCTGAACGTGGACTTGAACGAGTTCCAGACTAACTTGGTCCCGTACCCTCGTATCCACTACCCTCTCATCAGCTATGCGCCGGTCATTTCGGCTGCCAAGAGCCAACATGAGAGCTTCAAGGTCTCCGACCTCACCTTCCAGTGTAAGACCCTCTTTCTTCCGGCATATTTGCTAGCATCCATGCTAAGTCCTCTTCAGGCTTCGAGCCGAACAACCAGATGGTCGTCTGCGACCCCCGCAAGGGCAAGTACATGGCTGTTGCTCTCCTGTACCGCGGCGACGTTGTTCACCGCGACTGCAGCGCTGCTGTCGCTGCGCTCAAGTCCAAGGCTTCGTTCAACCTTGTTGAGTGGTGCCCCACCGGCTTCAAGATCGGCATCAACTACCAGAAGCCCGTCACAGTCCCCACGGCTTCCCCCCAGGACGGCGGACTCGCCGCTGTTGATCGCTCCGTCTCCATGTTGTCCAACACTACCGCCATTGCAGAGGCCTGGTCGCGTCTCGATCACAAGTTCGACCTCATGTACAGCAAACGCGCCTTCGTCCACTGGTACGTGGGCGAGGGTATGGAGGAGGGCGAGTTCAGCGAAGCCCGTGAGGATTTGGCTGCCCTCGAGAAGGACTATGAGGAGGTCGCTGCCGACTCGTACGAGCCTGATGAGGGCGAGGCTGAGTACTAAGCGGCTGTTACATACCTCACGCAGTGTATTTGCCCGTCTACACATCTGCGCTGCGAAAACGCTTTAATGAAACCTCGGCACGGCGCTAAGCAAGGTTCTCGTCGCCGGGTTCGTTAATACCGGGAGGTGGTACGGGACTCCCAATTTTGAACCATGCTTGAGGCGAGGAAATCAGCTGATGGACTTCTACTTCTATGCGTTGTGAAGATAAATTCCCAATACCGTTCTTCCTGCTTTCGGCCTCGTCGACTTTGAAAAGTAGCAGACGTGTGGATAGGGGTTTGGTGGACGAAGTCAACTCGGCTGCTCCCTTTTACGATTGTTATGCTTGTAGACGTCTGATGATGGTTCTTATTGTTAGCATCTGCTCATCTAGCTAAGAAAACTACTTCCACGTCTCACTTTCCAGAAACCTGAAGGTTATCACCTAGTATGCTACACGTCTTCAAAGCGGCTAGGCAGAGGGCATGCCCTTCTCAAGAGCGTGGACCGGGTTATTCCACCCAATCCCATGCTGTATACGGTAGCCAGAGGCGGAAGGAATAAGTCTCGAGGAAGTCGAACGGCACACTCCGCAAGCTTCCTTCCCGCGTACCTAAGGTACATTATCGCCGTCACGCATTCCCCTATGCTCGCTGTAGGCATCTTATCATAAGCCTGGCCGACAGCTGTCGTGACTCTTGTAGATACCTGCAACCAACCAAAGGCTCAACCGCCACCAACAGCCAACCCGAGCCGTTACTGACAGCCTTCAACCTCATTTTCCAGCCTTCCCGGCCTTCTTCATTTTATGCACCTTGTCCTTTCCCTTCCCCTTGCCCTTCGTCTTGAACTTTAGATCCTTGGGCTTGCCATCCCTTACGCTAGCTCGCCGACCCTCAAAAACAAACTGCTCCGGCCCTTTGAACCCATTGGGCCTCTTCTCGCCTGCGGCGTCGCCAGCGCCAGCGTCGCTCCTCTTCATCCCCCGCTCTCTCCTATCTCGGTTCCTGAACTTCTTGTCCTGCCCAGGAAGTTTGCTAACCAGCTTCTCCGCGCCGAATCGGCCTAGTAGTTTGCTTGCGCGGCCGGCAAGGGTTTGGATCTCGGCTGTCGGCTTCGGGACGTACTTCCCTGTCTCAGCCCCGTCGGCGCCCTTCTTGCTGTGACGTTTGCCGGCCTTGCCGTCGGACGAAGGCGCCATGGCGGCTCTTTCCCGGCGGGCTTCCATCGCGCGGACTGTCTTGTGGGGCGCTTTGCAGCGACTCACGCGCAGCTCACGGGGGAGCATGGGGGGAAACTTCTTGCCGTTCAGGAGAATGGCTGATTCAACGGCGTTTCCGTCCTGCGAGCAGGAGTCAGTGGAGTGCACGGGGCGGGAGGGGGCGGAAAGGGGCAACTGACATAGAACTGGACATAGGCGAAGCCCTTCCCGACGCGCGTGGCGGGATCTCGTACCACGCGGACGCTCTCGACTTTGCCGGCCTTTTCGCCGAAGACCCGCCATAGCCCTTCTTCGACATCCATGGGGGTCTTGGTCCTCTTGCGCTTTTCGGTGACTTCTTTGCCCTCCTCGTCCAGTTTGGTGTTGTATACGCTCTCGTCGTCAACGAAGCCTAGGTTGCCAACGAATACGCAACGCCGATGGTCAACAGGCGCCGGATGGGCCACGCTGTCCACCCTGATGTGTCGATCTAGCACAACGGTGCCATTGAGTTGCGTCACTGCGAGCCGTGCCGCCGCGGGGGTGCTATAGACGACGTAGGCGTTGGCGGACTTAGTAGTTGCCTCCATGACCGATTTCTTGATGTATGCCGCTTTTTTCGGTATAGCTGCTGTCGCAAAGGCTATCGAACGGAACCGGATGGACTCCACCTTTTGAGGCGGGGCTGCCTTCTTGTCGAGAACAGACGCCATATGGTTTAGCAAGGTCTTCTTGGCCTTGCGCGAGGTCACTGCCTCAATGGAGACATTGCTGAGGAATACGGTACGGTTCGCCTTCTCCAACTCGGATTCGATGGGCTCAGCCGTGAGTGCCTCGTGGGTAGGCACTTCGTCGCCAGATGACTCCTCATCTTCCTTCTCGCCGACGTCCTCCTCTTCCATGGCGATGTCGTCCACGCCGTTCGTCGCTGCAGCCTCTCCTGTTGTGTCTGCCTTGCGACGCTTTCCAGATGGCTCGTCGTCGCTTGCTAAGCGCTCTAGAAAATTGGCCTCAAGGTCCTCGTCATCTTGCTGCTTCCGCTTCCGCTTCCTGCCCTCATCCCGAGCCGTCCCTTGCGAAATGGCCTTTTCCATCACTTCTGCGGCTTCAGCCTCATCGTCCACGCTTACATCGTCATTGGCGTCTTCGGCTTCGGATTCATTGTCGCCAGATGATGCGGTCTCAACATCCTCTGTGGTGCCAACATCCGAAACTCCTTCAGATTCGTCTTCAGATCCATCCTGGGAGCTTTCCAATTCTTCATCCTCGGAAGCATCCTCGTCTTCCTCTTCGTCTTCTTCTTCTTGTGAGACTGTCCTGTCTTTCTTTTGAAGCAGCTCCGTGTAGCGCGTTTTTGGTGGGGTCTTGATAGGTCCAGCCTGGAAGATATCAATATCTGCATTGAGTGGCCCAGATCTGAAGCTTGCGCGACTCACGCTCTGGGAGAATAGAGCATCCAAGGCGGGATCAATAGCCTTGGATGAGATAGACAGGACTGGTTTACTAAGAGAAGCATCAGTCTCAACTCCACAGTCGAGAGGAAGCACCTCATTCTTACCTTTTACCCATTTTGCTGAGGGTTGAGGTTCACAGGCGTAAGCCTTGTAATCAAACTGGAAGCCTGAAGTTGAAGTGTAAGGGTTGAATCTGAACGTTTTTGCTTCAGCAAGCTTAGTCACAAATAACGTTACGTATGTTGCTGTCTGAGACTTCCAGGTTCTAGAGAATTTGCTGCTTCAAGCTGTGTAGCTCCCTACAATTTCATATTCAGAATTCAGACGGAAGACCAATCCGTATGTATGGCTGCTTCTCACAAGTGCAAGCTTGGAGCACCGCGAAAGTGGGTACTGAATGCGGAAAATTCACTTATCGTTCCCTTATCGGATACTGGCAGCTCTCACCGCCCTGCTCAGCGGCAGGAAATGGGGCAGGCGGGCAGGCAAGGATCTCGCGCTGCGAGCACAGCACCCGCCATTTGGTGGGTGCTTCGTTCTGTTGCTCTGGTGCCGCTTCGCAGCTATCTTGGTCAAACCATGACACTCCCCGGTTCTGGACGCTACCCGCTCGCCGCGCGCTCTCCACGAAAGTAACAGCAGAAGCTTACTCTATCTTGCCGTCCGAGTCTACAAATTCAATCTACTCTTTCATAATCCCCCTTCTTCCTGACATTCTCGGCAGTGCTCCCAGCAGTCATCTCGAAGCCGGTCGCTCGCGGAATCCATCGATTTCAGCATTGCGCGGTTCTATTTTCTCGACTACAACTGCCCACCACGTCATTGACCGATCGATTGCGAGCTCACACTAAGCCTCGTCGCATGGTCCACGATGGCTACGGGTGGTACCGCGCCGCCTTTGGCACTGTCAAGCCCTCCCCCGCCCTTACGGGACAACAGTCCCAGCAACCTCTCGAGCCCCCTCAGCGAGCCTGGAGAAGAAAAAGATGAATACGGCGACGAATCTGAGCTAGATACACACGACAACAACCATGACCACAATACGCCGACGCGAAACGCTCCCGACGACCTTGAGCAAGACGCCGCCTCCGAGTCGGATAATGACAGCAAGCTGTCCGAAGTTGACGTCAACGATTCCGAAGCCGAAACAGAAAGGCTCTACGATACTCCTCCTAAGAACGGCTCCGCTCGCGACATTGTGAATACTGCTGCCGATGTTGGGCAGAAGCGGTTCACCGACCGCCGAGACCGGGTTTTTGAGCGTAGCCCAAGCAAGCTCCACCAGCAATTACGTGCCGACATCGATACTGAACAAGTGGGTAACGGTCGCAATTCCGGACCCGAAGACGAGGAGGACAACGACGACGTCTCAATGCCGTCCAGCGAACCCGAGGTCGACTCGGTCAAGGGGCCACAGCTCGAGTCGCCCTTGCTGGCTAAGAAGAGCCAAGTCGGTCTTTCTGATGACATGACTACATCCCAGTCCACTAGAAAATCGTCAGTCGATTCTCGAAAACGGAAGCGTTCGTCCGCAACCGAGCACTCAGAATCTGAGCTGCCCCTGAAGAAGCGAACCGGCTCGATTGGCGGCGTCGACCGTGAGCCCGCCGAAGACATCGCTATGGTAGATGACGAAGGTGTCTCAACAAACCCACAAAGCGGTAATCAAACCGCGGATGAAGATAATGAAGAGCTAGCACCCACAACAGAACCGAAGGAGGAGTCTGAAGACGTGCTACCGAGCAGGTCCAGGAAAGGGAAGCGCAGCCCAACAAGAAAGCGGAAGAACAAAAACCCCGCGGAACATGACATGCAAGACGAAGCGCCAGATGAACCCCCCGAAGAGACAGATGCGCACAGCCTCGAGTTACCCACACCGCAGCCAGAGGACGACCACGCCGAAGAAATTGACGAGGAAGCGGAGGAAGCGCACCGGAACGAGGAAGAGTGTATGCGGTCGACCCATTCGCATCAGGGCGTATTGCGGCTAACTAGGCGGCAGTGAAACGGAAGAAAGCAGCATGGGAAGAGCTAATAGCAATCGAGAAGCAATTCAGCAGCTTCCGGGAGCGGTGAGTGCACCGCCCGCGGCAACACACTTCCGGCTTTGTCCTAATTCTCCTGCAGCTTGTATCAAGAGCGACTGGAACAGCTTAACCAAGAAGAGGCGTCGCTCTTGGGAGACAACCCGACCCATCCAGAGTACCTCGCTATGCTGCAGTGCCTTGAAGAGCGACGGGCGGAAAAGATAAGGATAGCCGATGTTGAGCTGCAGTTCAAAATGTCGGTGCTTGAACACCGAGCGGTAGCTGAACGTGCCCAGATCATGTCGCAGTTTTATCAGGCCGTACGTGAGTTGCGGGAGGAGGTCCTGGCAGAGCTGGGCCAAGAGTGGTACGAGATCCAGCATGAACGTCGCCGTGCTGCCAACACAATACCGGACTATGGGATACGGTTCCCTGCGACAAGGGCAGAAGCTGTTAGAAACGCCGTGTCATACAACAAGGAGGTCTCGGTGCTTTCAGGGTTCGCCAAGCACGTCGGTTTTCCAGCGGCGCCGTCAATCCATGGCGCGTCTGAGGAACAGCTCGACGCTGACCTTAGAGCCATACACGTGAGTGGCCAATACATGGATTTGGCAAACTGCAACCTAACTGACCATCATCTAGAGCTTGCGTGAGCCGATGCCGATGCCGCGTCAGATTCCGAACCATCTGCCAGCGTTCCGGACAGACTACACAAGCAACCTTGCTCTTAGTCAAGGACTCGGTGCTGCCGGAGAGCAGTTCATCGAGCAAACACCGTGGGCGAACCCAAATCATCCGTCCCATCAGGTGCACCGTCAACAAGCGCACCGCGACGCTAACGCTCCACTTAGCTACGCCGTGCCGTCGTCAGTGCCTCGGAGATACCCCAGCCAGCCTGGAGGTCTCTTCTCTTCGAGCGTAACTACGATCCCCAACGGCGATTCCCCGGTGCAGGTGCAGAAAGCACATTCACCGGCCGTGCCTGAGAAGCTGCACGGATCCAGGATGGGGCCCGAGCCATTAAAGCGAGAGTCCGCCATACATGCATCTTAACCTTCATCCATTCATTTCTTTTCTTTGTTGGAGAGGACTAGCGGTCATCGTCATCATCATTGGTGGGGTTCAATGGAGTTGAGGGGGAAGCATTGAGAGTAATTTTCACGGCCATGGCCGCAGGCAGGCGGATTTGCATTTCGCATACTCGACGTTCATGAGTTGCGGGGAGCGGTTTCTCTGGGTCGCTCTCGGGCCGGCATTTGAAGCGACAAGGATGCTGTGAAGCATCTCGGCGTATTTAATGTGGGATAGATGAGACATGTATCGATATGGATGCGTATTGTACATCCGGGAGAGCTTGTTCTCCGGCATGCCGTAACCTCTGTTCAAACAGCTAAAAGTAGTGTATGACATGCGCCGTAAGTAATCCCTAGGTATCGATCGGCCAGCCCCCATGGTCGAGCCAGTATTCCATGCCGTGAGACACTGATGCGAGCGCATGCGAAAACAAAGCATTGCTCTTGAACCGAATTATGACCCCCGAACTCCGTATTGGTGTGATTGTACTGTACAACTGATGCTCTAGCCGTTTCCCTTATACACGGTTCATAGACTGATTGACAATGTCACCCCGTAACCTAGGTCCCATCTACCACTTTTTTGCACCGTCGTGACGAGAGGCAGACCTCACCGGCGCATCGGGCACCTTGACATCCTCGAACTCGTCCTGGCCAATGGCGTGTATTGTGTAGGCATCTGGGAAGACATCGTGTAAGCCAGCGGCAACATCGGAAGGGCCTGAGATCTGAAAAGTTTCGGGTAGGCATATCGTACAAATCCCGATGGCAACAGCGGCTATGCTGAGGCCGACGACAGAGTTCTTGACCAGGTAGGGGCGCCTCGCCCGGATGAGGGCGGGCGATTGGCGGTAGCGGCTGTCGTAGTAGGTCGAGCGCGGGATTCTGTGTACGGTATAGTTAGAGTGCATTGTTGGAGCATTCTACGATAAAAAATCAAAGGCCTACCCGGCCATGGCTTTGTGCTGGAGAATCGCACGGCTTCTCTCAGGTGACGATGTTGACCTCGAACGGAGAGTCGGATGTTGCCGGTGGGATTGTATTGAGTGTGCCCGCTGCGATAATAGAAATCGCCTGTTATCGTGAGCAAGCCAATAGGCGGCCGGTCGCAAAGGCAGGGGGCACGTGCGCCCCATTGCTGTTCCCCTTCACGTCACTGCTTGCGCTCAGGCCCCAACAAGCGCGTCTTGTAGGGCTAGAACAAAGCCTGGACCTTCCACTTCGCAACTTCCCGATTCTCCAACCCACTTCCACACATCAACACCATCGACGAATCTGAGCGACGAGGAAAAGAAAGGATCTCCGACTGCTAACGGCATTGCGCAATTACTGCGGGCGATGGAATTAATGAACTTGATGCCATCAACTCCTGCCACAACTTAAATTTTCCCCAGTTTGCTGGGGATCAACATTCGCGCGCCGCGCAGAATGCTTGTCGTTGCTGCTGGTGTTCAGTAGTCGACAAATATCCTGAAATCCTGAGCTCTCACTTAGAGACGGCGAACTTCACTGCCACGCCAGTACATTTGGGGTTTCAACAGCTTGATCTTCTAGACTGGACATTGGCAGGGGCTTGAACTGTGCGGGTCACATTGAGATACCTTTGACTGCCTTGCTTGTCTTTTCGCATACGACCAGGCAATTGGCATCGACTGTCTGTAGACTCCTTAGCCCGTGCCTGTCGCGTTCAGTATCCAGCTCGCCACACATCCCGTCCCATTCCACGCATCATACAGTGCCTCTGCCTGGAGGCACGTGAGAGATCATGGCGGCCGACTCATCCGCCCCATCAGAGACGGCCCTCTCGGTCGCCCAGCAATTACAACAGCTCAACACGGCTCGGAAAGTGGTGCTGGAGAACAACTCGTACTACGACAAAATTGTCAAGGGTATCTTGCCTATCATAGGACACAATGCTGCGCTGGAGCTACGACGATGGGGCGCCGAGTTCCTGGCCGAGTCCCTCGCCACGCCGGTGTTGAGGATGAGCGAGAAAGAAAACATGACGGTGGCGGTCCTCGAGACGCTGAGGGGATTGATTGAGGGGGCTGATGAGGACATGATCGTACTCAAAGCTAGCGTGGCGGCGGCCGCGAGCGCATACCCTGTCGCGCTGAGGTGGATGTAAGTGCTTTGGCCCTTTGATGCTCCGTAGCATGATGGGTGTGGTGCTTCCTCATGAATATGCACGGTTGTGTCAAGAGAACACGCTGACAGAAGTTCTCGCAGAATACATAACTCTTACCACACGGAAAGTTGGGAGCACATGTCGGCGATCAAGTCAAAGATCTTACAGATCTGGGACGGGGCGCCGGTCCCCGTCAAGCTGAGTTGTATCAAATTCGCCCAGCGGGTTGTCCTTGCTCAGACAATGTCGAACGGGATGGAGCAGAAAGTTAGTGGAATTGCTATCCATGGTGATCATCATAGCTGACGCAACACATACAGTACGGCGGACTTGACATCTCGCTGAACATGATTCCGCCGAACCACCCCTTATTAGACCCCAGACAGCTTGAGGCAGAGGCAACCGGCCTTCTGGATAGAATGCTGGGAGTATTGCAGGACAACAGCAGGTTGGCTGCCCCGAATCTGTGCAATCTGGGGTCATTGACAACTGACCGTTCTCACCACAGCGATGCTCCGTTAGTTGACGCTACTCTCAACTGTCTGTCGATCCTGATGCGGACCCGCCCGAGCACATCAAATAGGATTCTGAACACAGTGCTCAACTTCAACCCGCTAAAGCTGGCTAACTCCCCTATGACACCAAAGACAAGAGTCCTGGTCAAGTCCCTGGAGAAGACCACCCGTCTGTTCCTGACACATGTGCTCAAGCGGGATCCCGGCAATCCTATGGCAGGGCGCATTCAGCAATATATCGAGCGGCTGATACGGTCACGGGCCGAGATATTTGACGAAGCAGGACGGAAGAGAGCCCTGGCCGATCATGCTGCGGCCAGTCTTGGGGATGCCAAAAGACAAAAGACGGAGGGCGGTCTTGCCCAGGTCGTTATTCCGCCACTGGGGCCAGGACCACATACTCTTGCTGCTGTATTCACATTGACGAACAACCTCGGCCTGGCCGCGTTTGATGCCACCCAACTGCCAGTGAATCTTGCCGCCAAAATCAGTGTCAGGGCATTGGTCGCTCTGGACAAGAAGGTTCTGGACTTAGCCGTTAGTGTGAGTGCCATTCAATACCTACCTACAGAGAGCAGAACAGCTATGCTGACTCCATCCAGGGAATCCGCGATCGACTCACTTCCCTCCACGCGGCAGCAGCCGTGGCAGCAGCGGCAACACAGCCCGCCGAAATCAACGCCGCAACTGCTCCACTGGGTGTCGACGAGGACGATGACGATTACGAGCCAGACCTGACTCCGGCCGAAGATACCGAACAGATCCTCAACAAGCTCGACAACGCCCCTCCCGAAGAGCCGATGCCGAACGCCGACGCTGGCGCACCCTTGGTGCTCGGCCCATTCAAGCTTCCGCCACCGCCTACGCTTGATCCCAACGTCGCCGCCAAGCTTAGCCAAGCGGCAGCCTCTCGTGTCTTCGGGCCGCTATCAAGCCTCAAAGAGGGCGCTCCCTTGCGGAAACCGAAGGCCGGCATCAACCGACTCGCAGCTAGCTCGTACGACCGAGATTCCTGGCTGACTCTCATCACTCGCCTAGCGACTCGCAGCACCGCAGGTCTCGAAGACGTCAACAGCGGCATCAAGCCGGAAGACGCCGGCTCGGCGCTCGACAGGCCACGGATGTCGCTCGGGGACACCATCCGTGAGATACTATATAACTACATCCTCGAGGACTGGCGGCGGCGCATAGAGATCGCCGTCGCCTGGCTCTGCGAGGAGTGGTACAACGACCAGCTGACCAAGCGCAGCGGCAGCGACGCACCTCTACACTACGAGAACTGTGCACTTCGGTTGGTCGACGGCTTCCTCAGCTACATTACCGCGCAGGACAAGGTCTTGACCCGGTTTCTGGCAGAGATACCTGAGCTGAGCAGGCCACTGCTGGGGAAGCTCAAGGCCCTGTGTGCCGACCCAACGACGGTGCAGCTAGCGCTGACGACCTTGCTGTATCTGGTGATGATGCGGCCGCCTGTGCGAGACATTGCGCTCGACACTGTCGCGGAGATCTGGGCTGAATGTAAGTTTCTCTATCGTCGTCTGATTGCTCAACGACATTGTCACTGATGACCTCGTTGCAGATGAGGACGCGCGCCCTCTGGCAGCCAAGTATCTGGTCAAGTGGCGGCCGGGATTCATCGAATCCCAAGCCCACGGTACCTCAGCGCCCGCCGGTAACAACATGGCGATCGCAACATGAGCCGCGCCAGAACTCAGGGGAGGGAGGGGTCGAGTGAGCAGTCATGCTCTTCTTGGGGGACGCATTACTTTTGCGCATTTAAGTTCACATTCACGGGCATATCCATTGCACGCCAAAGCTTGTTAAGAGAGGGTAGGCCATTTATGGATGGGGTAAATGGCGTTGGGACGACCAAAATCGCGAGGGGAGCCTAGTGGCTGGGTTTCTCGCTCTCAGCGAAAGGGCCTTGCTGTACGATATCGCATAGACCGGGACTCGCTTTCACCATCAGTTTTGAAATAGCGCACGGAATCTACTGGGAGCAATGCAAATATAACTGAATCTCTCAGCACAGTCGATACGAAGACGCGACGCGTCGAGATTGATCATCAGCGTATGCGGAGTGCCGTCATACGGGTTTAGGATCTTAGCGACATTGTTTTAGGAGGCCTGAGGGACAGCCGAAATTAATATGCAGAGGAGAAGTCCTTTCCAAGAGCGGGAGCCAGCTCAAGATCGTAATGCAGATACATAAATGATGTGGAGGAGTCGATGTTGTTCATCAATTGACAAGCTTGCTCTCATCCGTTGAAGTTTCAGGGGGGGAACTGTGGTCTGGTGGTGTGTATCCGTATGTGCATGTTTGAACGTGACGCAAGGACCTCCTTGTGAAAGCCAGGCACAGACTCTTACCCCTGTCTCAGCTTCGCGGACCGGAGAGCAACAAGCTTGGCAGAGGCTCCACTCTAACGCGATGCTCGAACGGTTGCTGTGGCAGTAACAGGCTCAGCACGCTAACTTAACGCGTCGAGAGGTTGGTCTTGAAAGAGGGTTCCAATCATCCAATTCCCAGGCTGCTACCTAGTCGCCATGGGAGATCTATCATCGATGTCTGCGCGCAATCGTGCGGTCTACAAGGAGTTCACCAGAACTTAATGATCAGTCAACTCCTCAACGGAAAGCTGTTTGTTACAGTCCGACTGCCCTTCCATCAGTCATCACACAGATACACTCGCTGCTAGCCTCTGTAACGGTTCCGGCAGGGTCCTAAGTTACCGTGCCAATCAAAGAAACATCCAACATTACTAGTCAACGTCGCTTGATCACCCGGACTTCGCCAGATGCACGCTGAAAGCCATCACCTCCGAAAGACTAGGACAGCAAAGCTTGGTTTCTAACCGGGTGGTTACTGCCATCACTGGTTAATAAGAGGCAGTCTATAAAAAGCATTCGAAGCAGACACGTTCTAACTGAACCCCAGCAGACCCTGACCCACTTTGAGGTGGAAACAGAGTCTAGCCCTGGCAATGCCATCCAGGTTCTCCGTGTCTTTGAATTCATACTCCGCCGTCACAAGCAATGCGCAACAAGCTCTTGAAGACCCGGCCAAGTTCCGATCAAAAGCGAACCTTTTCAATCCACCAGGACGACGGCCACAGTATGTTTTTGACCCCCGCTTTGTGTTACTGCCCCGGGTTCCTCTTCTCTGCGGGTCCTAGGCCATATGCTCCGGGATTGTGCAGATGCTCGGAACGGCAGCTTGCTGTGTCTGGAAGGTGCAATGTCCTGTTAGCTGCGAGTAGTTGAGGTCCTTCTCCTCTCGGTCAGGACTACTTCTGAGTGGAATGGCGGTTATAGGATAGACTACCAACGGAGGCTAACAGCTGATCACCAAGATCTCTCGTCAGCGACCGTCGTTCCCGCAGAGGCTGCACCGGCCACGACACCGACCAAATCCACCCCAAACAAACCGCCAAAGTCCTCGCATGAACTCCGCTCGCTCCGGTTGGCCCTCTCACCTGCCTCCGAAGGCACCATCAACTCCGCAATGCCCAGAGCGGCAACTAGCGGAGTGAATGGCAAAGTCGAAGCTGATCCCACTTCTTTGTCCCCGCGCATCCCGAACCGCATGAACTCGACCATTCGGACAGTATCTAGCTTCGAGGATAGCAAAGGCTATTCGGAAGAGGATTCCAGCTCCGACGGGACACCGTCACAGTCAAGGTCCCGTGACTCGGGGTTCTCTAGCTCCCTCAACAGCACCGGCAGCGTGTCTTCGTCGATCTCGCAGCAACGGGGCCAAGCAATGCGGAACGGGATAAGCAAGATGCCTTCAACTGGCGCTTTGAAGTCGAACACCTCCGGGACGACATATGATAGCGGGGACACCATTCTCGACACGGCGCCGAGGGTATTGAGAAGTCGTCCGAGCTTTGCCGATTTCCAAAGAGAGAGCAGCCTGAGCCAGTCAGCAACAACATCATCAATATCACCTCCGAACAGCAACACCGACCCCGGCGGTGGATCGGGCTCGAACGAGCTCTCCCTCGCCGCCACCGAAGCACAACTCTCCAACGGCTGGGACAACTCAGTCGGCAAAGCCGGCCTGGGCAAGACGGGACGGGTCATCAACCGGCTGGTATCCGACAATGAAGCGCTCAAGCGCGACATCCAGATCGAGCGACTCCGCGCCGAAGAGTCCCGGCAGGCCGCCCGCCTCTTGGAAGACAAGCTCGAACGAACCATATCCGACTACGAGTCACGTTTACTCGAGGCCAACGTCACCAAGACGCTCCTCGCACGGAAAGAGCGACAGGTCGAGTCCCTACAGGACGCGGTTGAGCTCGAGCGGAAACGGGCCGTCGACGCGGCCGGGCGTGAGCGCATCTGGAAGGAGGAGATGGAGAAGGCGCGAGCCGACGCGAAGCGCCAGGTCGAGGAGGCGACCAATTACGCGGCGCTCTGTGAGGGCCGGTACAACGCCATCAGCAGCCACTGGAAGGACCAGGGGGAGGAGGTGAAGCGGGCGATGAGCAAGATGCGGAAGGAGGTGGAGGAGCTTTCGGCCGAGCGGAAGAAGGACGACGAGAAGATCGAGACGCTGCGGGAGCTGTGTGACCAGCAGGACGGGAATATCCGGGAACTTAGGCGGCAGAAGGAGGAGATCGAGAAGCAGTTCGAACGGTATAAGCTCCAGCAGGAGGAAGAACTCAGGGAGATCAAGAGGCTGGCGGATCAGAGGGAGCAAGAGCAGGAACGGACGTTGCAGGAGGCGAGGGAGGTGCTGAATAAGCTGAAGTGGGCGTTGAACGTGAAGGAGAAGATTGCGTGGGCTCAATAAGGGATCGATCGAGCGCAAAGAGCCGGCTGCCGTTACCGTATCCCAGGGCTGGTCAGCCTGATTCCTTCTCTATTTCCTTTCTATAGCGGCCATTTCCGCTGCTTGCAGTTACGACTGAATGACCCGATACCAGGCAACTTGGCCGAACAGCCCGGCCGAGCAGAACAAGGCGGGTGGATAGAGCAGTTTGATTGTCTGGTTTTGGTGGAGGTACATCGCCAGCAAGCGGGCAAGCGAGCATCTTTGCAATGCACATTGGCCATCAGCGAACCTCTGGGTCAGGTATTGTTGTCTACAATCGTCTATTCTTCTATTCGCGGGCTGCGAGTTTAGGGGAAAAGGGGCTTTCATCGAACAGGAGTTTAGGCGTTTGTCAAGAGGGTATACGGACAAGGAGTTCATCAAAGCATAGCATGTACTACATACAGCATCACCAGCTTAATCCACCTTTCATCCGGCATATAGTCTATTGATTCCGCTCTTCTTTAGACTGCAGTGCTCCTCTAGGCGACAAAGGCTAGGATAAAAACAGTTGCATATCATATCGAAAACGAATAGTATCGGGCAACGAGCCTTGCGTGATACGACGGGATAGTACCTACCACTTATTATACTGGGTCATCTCGTAAGCTGAGGTTTGAAATCTGACGGCCTTTTTCGGCACCACATACCTGATGTTTTACATCAACCCACACCGACCCCCCAACACACGTTCATCCTTTGCCTTAACCCTTGACTTCATTTTGTTATACCAACTAAGCTGTCTGGCATTGGCGCCGTTGATGCTTCACAGGTTGCTTTTTTAATATTTGGGTTGACAGGTCGAAGCTTCAGGGGCTCTGACCGTTCCAGGGGTAAAGGTGAGAGATAAGTAACTTCATGACAATGTTATATAAGCAGAGTACCTAGAGAGAGTTTCCCGGGTTTGATTCAGATAACTGCTTTGAGCTTACTAGTAGCAGGCATTATCGCTGTCCCCTATTTTGCAAGCGTAGTATTACACGTCAACGTCTCCCACCAGATTGATTCCTCCCATACCCATAAATCACCAAGCAATACCTACCTAAATCATCGTTAGGATGTCCAAGCCCGGTTAAAGGATGGTTATACCTCGGGTGAAGCTGAGCTAGTCCCGGGGCTCGGGGCGGATGAAGCCATTCAGTAGGTAGGCACGCGTCCATCGCTCGTTCCTTCTTCTGGAGGTCTTTGCCACCATGTCCCACGTTTATTCGTACTGTACGGCTTAAAACATCCGTCATAACAGGCGACTCTCTTGATTTCATCTGGTTTTCGTCTTCATCAGTCCCTGCATCGGCCTTCCTCTGTTCACTCATGTGAATGGGCTGTCGCTTCTGGATCGGACTATGGCCTCTGGAGTGTATTGCACAAGCTCGTCCTGAAGCCTTTTCCAGGGATTTTGATTCCCGTCGGCTGGTAAGTTCATTTGAATTGGTTGATTACTCCCTCAGCATTGAAATTGGTTTCAATTTACGCTCTATCGTTACAGGTGTGTGTCACATTGCACCGCGATGGGGTTTTATGATGCCGTCAGCAATGACAGATTGCTGCTATCAAATTAAGCTAACCTCTAAAGTTGGAAAAACAAGTCCTGTTGTTCTTTTTCTCCTGCCGCCTCGCCCATCACCACGATGGGTTCTCCGACTGAGTTCTACCTTGCGACCTTGTGGGGATACAAGCCGAAGGCTGTCAAGCAAGTAATCGATCGTCTGGTTGACATGAATTTTGTGAGCCCCTCACCCCAGTCCCTTCTGAAGGCCTCATCTGACTACCGCTCCAGGCCCATGCCAAGTTCACCTACGACAATCAGTACCACTGGTTCAAGGTCACCTGCTGCGAGGACGATGCGCAGAATATTCAGGAGCAATTCGCCATCCTGTCCGGCGAGATTGAGGATGCTGCGTTTGAAAAGTATGAAAATGATATCTTGAACGACGATGACACACTTAAGGTAACCCCCGGCCGCGCCCGGTAACGTTCTAAACAAGCTGACGGCGAAGTAGCCACTGTTTGACAACGAGTGGTTCAGCGAAGGACTTCTTGAAAACACATCGGATGATGAAGTCGGTGAGTCCGAGGGGTATTGCCGTCCGAACAACCTCACCGGATATCCCTGCGTCGGAGTATGGGACGATCTGGACAAGAACAGAGAGCCGTACTCTGTTTGGGATCTTATGACTGGCACCGACTATCAAAAGCTCAAGAAAGAGACAGGCGTTGAGCTATCGGTTCAGCTCGTCGGCAAGTTAATCCATATTGGTGGCTATAGCGAGCAAGCTGTGTACAAGGCCCGGGAGAAGTTGAAGGTGCTGCTTACGATCAAGGTGAGAAACTACCAGCCGTCCAGTTTAGCCAGTTGTTCGTATTGATTGGTATCACAGAAGCTGTTTAGTGCACCGCGCTTGGCAGAGAACCTGCTCTATGTTGAGGACTACGTCGAGCCGGACCAAGACGAGTTCAGAGCCGATATTCGATACCTGACTAATATCGACCCAGAGTTGACTTCTTCGACCCTCCTCGATCGACTCAGCGTAAACAACTTGGGAGACTCTTACCAGACGCTCTACCGTGAAGCAGCATCAATCCGACTTTGCACCTGGTCCCCAGAGAAGCAGTTCCGCGTTTCCTTACTCGGCCCCAGAGTCCCACATCGGCGCAAGGACAGGACCGCCTTGAGGAACCGCCCTGTCGTCCGCGCAAGAAAAGTCGACCAGCTTGCCATCACTGGAGCAGAGCCCAATGTGTCTGGACAACTTGAAACCGGAACTGGCACTCGGGTTGAGACTTGGATGGAAAAGGTTCCATGCCACGTTGGAACTGTGACTAAGCCGGCGCATCCGTTCCTCAATGCTCAGGCTACTGGCGCATCCTCAGCTTTGTCTACAAATGAGAGCCTGATTGACCTCGTCGAAGAGCCACTGGCATCCGCTGATGAGCTCCCCGTGGCAATCGCATCCCAAACGAACGGCAGAGCATTGCCCTCAACTGCTGTCGCTACCCAGAGCCCCTCTCTTCGGCTACTGGAATCACTCTCAATAACCAAGCGCAATGATGACGCGAAAGATGGACTCGCATTCACCGGTCATGACGCTCTAATTGACATTTTTGCGCCTGTGGACCTAGTGAAACAGAGCTATGCTCTATCTTCGGGCATCAACTGGGATATGCCTCCCCTTGTCCCATCGACTGCCGGTAGTGAAGGGACCAAAGAAAAGAGCGCTGAGTTCGAAGAGTGCTGTTCAGCCCACGCTGGCTCATCAGAGCGGAACCGGACCGGAATGACGGCCTTCGATGCAAACCCATGGCGGCCCCGTCAAGCAAGCGCCACCCATGACAAGGAGATCATTGACCGATATAAGGCGTATCTTGAGTCGGGCGCCGAGCCTTTCCAGCCTTGGAGCGCATCACATACAACCCAGCCACAAAATGTCCTCACCGGAACCCGAGCTTCTGACCAGTTGCGGACAGTTGATGACTTCGCCGCCGATGTTGAAGCAGCGATGACCAGACTCCTGTCTACTGGACCGTATCGGCGTGGCAGGATCGCAGTGCGGGTCGAATTCGGGCGCGCACTTCTCGTAGTGGCGGATCAGACCGGGCTCGCATTCAATGACAGCAGGACACCCAGCAACGGATGGAAGAAGCCAGATCTGATGCAGAATCTCAAGAGAGGGTTTGGTGCGAATCGAAACTCACACTTCACCAAAGTATTGTCTACATATGCCTCTGACATTGAGGATATGATCAACATGAAAGTGAAGGACACTCGCCTTTGGGAAGAGAAGCCAAGTCGTGCCTGGACTGTCTATTCCTTCTACTGCAGCCTGCGTTCTATGGAGAAGCTGGGTCGCTTCATCGTCGACATTGTGGATGATGGCACCGCGAGCGATGCTTTCTCATACTCAATCCGTCTGCAGAACGAGTTTCTGGATGTTGATGCACCGATGCCCATTTGCATACATGCGATCCGGCGCAATTGGGATCTACGGGTCGTGATGTCTCACGTCAAGCCCAATCTTCAGGAACAATACGAGGCCTTCGCCAAGTCCCTGCAACAGACTCTGACTATTGAGTATGTCGTGGCGCACCCTTATTTGTTCACTGATGGATACACTTATTGACACTAATTTGCAGACGCGAGGGCCGGACCCCTCCGGTTCTGAAATATGCTGTTCACACCAGCTTTGCTGTGAAAATTGATGAAGTTCGTGTCCAGGTCAAATGGCGTCACGCCAGTCACAAGAACCTCAGTGCGCTCGAGATCACGGAAGTCAACCAATACGAAACAGGGCCGTACTCAGACGACGGAGTATACTCTTCTGGAAATGAATGGGAAGGGTATCTTGCTCGCTACCCCACCGATCGAGTGATCAAAGGGATGCTCTCTCGGGGCGAGTTCCCGCGCTGGTATGAGGCAGCGGTGGTGTCTCTCGAGCTCGAAAAGCTCTGCCAACAGAACCAGACTCTGAAATTCGGCGAGAAAGCCGACTGGGAAGTCGGTGATCTCAAGGCACGCGGTGTCTTCTTTGAACTCTATGGTCCGGCCGTGCAAATGGTCAAGAACATGGACCATGTTGGCAGGAACGATGACAACAATCTGTCAACGAAATACGGCCACCTGCTGCTTCAACCTAATAACCCTCCACCTTCCGTCCCAGGATCACTTCCAGTTGATGGGCAGAACAAGACCCGACAGCGACAGTCCCAGAACCGCGCAAGCAACTCAGACGGAACGGGGTCCGAGATCGCGTCGACTCGGTCCGGTTCTGCGTCTGCTCGCCTTTCGTCGACATATGCGACTTCCAGAGCCCAAATTACAACACAGGACAAGCCCGGGCTGAAGTTCTGGTAACTGTCACAATCAGACGGGACCTTGCGCTTTGATATGCCACGGGTCGTATTTCAGAGGGGTTCCTTGTTTCGAACCTCATTTTCATGGCGTACCGTCCCTCGGTGGGTTTTCTCCTTGTTCAGAGGTTCCGAGTGCGACCGTTCATTCACCATGGGATGAGCTGGAGGGACGTTTGTCATGGAGTTTTGCTGTCTTTGGAATTGCCGGCACCCAGGAAGCTTCATCGAAGGAGATCAAAGAACTGTATCCCCTTAGTGCCTCCTCTCGCCGACACTCGCGAGGACATAACTCTAAGGCGGAGTGGTAGCTCTTTTCTTCAGCGTGGAGCGCCCGGTGGCATCGGAGAGCCTACGGTGAATGACAGCTTAGGTTCGATGTTGGAGATTAGATGTGGAATTAAGTTTGACGTGGAAGACTGCCAGAAGATACAGTATGGACGGTCCGGTCACATCGTTGAGGAAAGGATATATTGTCTTTCTAACTGTACTTGTAGGGAAAGGCTCACCTAAAGGCATAACAACAAGGCATGCTGTCCTCGGGTATGTACAATACAAAGGTCTTCATGACGGGTTGAAGTCTGGGCATACCAGCGGATTGCCATGACTGGTCCATGAATAGCTGTAAACGGGCATTGATTTGCACGTTGCTAGCACACTATCCGTAGTACTGACCGAATCCGGCGTCAAAATGAAGGGTTCCTGCAGTGGTAATTGTGCTTCTAGTTTGTAGTAATTGTGTAGTAGGAATACGGATACGCTCCTACGTACCTTGAGGTAAGTACGGAATATAACCAACCGAATGCGGAAGGACGTTATAGGCAGCAATTGCGTCATTGTGCAGCTTCACCTTCCCTGGTTCACCGAACCCCAAACCCCTCGGATCTCCAGCAAATAAGGAAGAGGCAGGGGAGATGGCGCGATTGACATGCATTCACGCGTCGTTGTCTTTACTCACCTTGTGGTTCGTGGTTCCATTGTGTCAAATCAACCCGTCCAGACTGGGCGTGGGGGTCTGAATGGTTGCATCCAGGCTGAAGATTTTGCGTTCCTTTGGTGTCGTACAGCATGTGTTCTCCGCATCCACAAGCAACCATAAATAAGCTTAGTCCCGCAAACCCGGGGTTTTCCACCACACATATATTCTGCATATATGTATGCCGGGCCTAGATGCACGACACCCCCAACCGTTGATCATGACCTCAACCACAAAGGAGCCAAACATGGACGAGACTGCAAAGCGCCCGGGAGACGAAGTCTCCCTCTCGTCAGGCGACGATGCTATCCTCCCGGAAGGCCAAATCGACCCCGTCTACGAGAAGAAGGCCCGCGTCTTGAACCGCGCTGTAAGCCACCACCAATTATCCGCTTTCCCCCTTTTCCTTGCCTTATTAACACACCTCCCAGATCCAGGACATCGGCATGGGCTGGTACCAATGGCAGCTGTCCGCCGTGATCTCGTTCGGCTGGGCATCCGACAACCTCTGGCCCATCGTGACGTCGCTCATCTTCACGCCGGTGACCAACGAGTTTGGCCCGGCGCGCCCGCCTCTCCTCACGCTGAGCCAGAACATCGGCCTGCTGGCCGGTGCCCTCTTCTGGGGGTTTGGGTGCGACGTGTTTGGGAGGAAGTGGGCATTCAACCTCACGCTGGGCATCACGGCTGTGTTCGGCATGGCGGCTGCAGGCGCGCCCAACTTTGCCGCCATCGGCGTGTTTGCCGCGCTCTGGTCGTTCGGCGTCGGGGGGAACCTGCCTGTCGACTCGGCCATTTACCTCGAGTTCCTCCCAGCGTCGCACCAGTATCTGCTGACCGTCCTGTCGGTGGCGTGGGCGATCGCCCAGGTGGTGGCCACGCTCGTGGCGTGGCCGTTGCTCGGGAATCTGACCTGCGCCGAGGGGCAGGTGCCGTGCACGCGCGGGGAGAACATGGGCTGGCGGTGGTTCTTGATCACCATGGGCGGGATTACGGTGATCATGTTCCTGGTGAGGTTTTGGCTGTTTACGATCTATGAGTCGCCCAAGTATCTGATGGGGAAGGGGAGGGACGAGGATGCGGTGCGGATTGTGCATGAAGTTGCCAGGCGGAATGGCAAGACGAGCGACCTGACCGTGGCGGACTTGAAAGCGTGCGAGCCGGAGGGCTATGTCCACCAGGCCAATGTGGCGCATGCCGTCAAGCGCAAACTCGAGGATATCAAGTTCGAGAGGGTCCGGACGCTGTTTGGGACAAGGAAGCTTGCCCTGTCGACTGGCCTGATCATGGCGATCTGGGCGTTTATCGGGTTGGGGTATGATGATTTTCGAGATCTCTTGCGGATCGAGCGGCAGTTCAGCTGACGGGAACACAGGTATCCCCTCTACAACGCCTTCCTGCCGTATATCCAAGCGACGCGCGGAGCGGATTTCGGCGACGGATCAACATACCTGACGTACCGGAACTCGCTCATCATCGCCGTGCTTGGCGTCCCAGGCGCCTTGCTCGGCGGATTGTTGGTCGAGCTGCCTCGGTTCGGGAGAAAGGGGACGCTGGCACTGTCGACCGTCCTGACCGGTGTGTTCCTGTACGGCTCGACTACAGCCCTCAACTCGCAGGCCCTCCTGGGCTGGAACTGCGCCTTCAGCTTCACCAGCAACGTCATGTACGCCGTGCTCTACGGATTCACTCCGGAGCTGTTCCCGACCCCGCAGAGGGGCACTGGCAATGCCTTGAGTGCGACTTGCAATCGCATCTTCGGCATCATGGCGGTTTGTACTCACCTGTCAGCTTGACCGTGTTGTTCCCATGAAGCTGACTCATATCGTAGCCCATTGTTGCCATGTTTGCCGACCTCCAAACCGCTGCGCCCGTGTATACCAGCGGGGCCTTGTTCATCGCTGCAGGGCTGTTGGTGCTTCTTCTGCCGTTCGAGTCAAGGGGAAAGGCAGCGTTATGAGGTACCATTCGGTTGGACGCAAAGGGGAGCTTTATCGAATACATCCCAGCAAGCGACTCAAGACCTCTGATCCACATGGGACCTGTTCTGTGATAATCATGTGCTGTGACTCCCCGAGGCTGATGGAATATCCCATGTCTTGCATCTGACCAGCTACCGTATTCACCTTCCCACGACACTGCTCCTTAGAGGCTTCGAGAGCTTGTGAAAGGGGGGAAAGGGGCCAAAGCGTCGAATATCGATCCGAAGCCTAACGAAAAAAATACTTGACCACAGCAGATAGTCCTGCAGGCGTCAGGCCATTATCTCGTACAAACTTGGGACTTCTCCTCATCAGAGTTGGGCCATGAAGCCTGCCGGCTAGGATACCAAGGGGAAGAGGACAAGAAAGAAGCAAGCCTAGAGGCGCGAACCGGTGTTCCGTACTTAGGAGGGTAACCAGCGCGAAATACACTGAAGGTGGTAAGTACTAGTAAGTCATGATCCGGATTGTACAGTACGGTAATCTCAGCTGTGCCGTATATACATAACCTGTCGTCAGTCGATGCCAGTCGGGGCCTAGGGAGAGATGACGGAGACAACATCTATGCATTCATCTCAGTGTTCTATAAGTTGAAGACCTCAAACTTACTGTTTTTAGTCGGGCAGCGCAGGCATTGAACTTTGTTTCTCGCGTTTCAACCGTAATCTCAGAAAGGTCGTAGTACTTGGTCAGATTCATCAAGGACATGTGAAAATACCGCCTACCCTTCCACAGGAGACAGTACAACCATCAACCCAGACATGATTCCGGTTCAATTGATGTGCTCCACCTCCACCTCAGTTGGTACACGTCTATGACAGATTGGCAGTCAAATCGGAGGGGATCGGATCGGCATTACAAACGCGCAAGTTGGTGGGCTGATGGAACCTTTTTAGCCTTGAAACGACGGCTCCGCTTTGGACGTCGTCTGCCCTTTGGCACTCCCGCCCCATATCATGAGTCTTATTATGGAACCAGGCCATCCTTCCTTCCCTTTGTCATCATCTCCAAGCTTACCTTCCTCAACATTTCTTAGCAGCTTGAAAGTATTCTTAGCTTAGCAGTACCCTTTCCCCTCCAGCATACCTTAATTTACCTCACCTTTCACACACACATCCAAAGGAAGAAAAAAAGAATCTCAGAATGTCATCTCTCAACAACCCCACCTCGGTCACCTCCCTCCGCCTGACCCAAGGCACAGCCCTCTTCCTCTCCTCTTTCTCCTCGGGCGTCTCCCTGACCCTCTCCGCCTTCGTGGTCCCGCGCCTGCTCGAGTCTCCCCGCGGTGTCATGCTCACCCAGTGGCTGCGCACCTACACGTTGGGCGCCACCACCATGCCCTTCGCGACGGCCGTCACCGCGGCCGCATACGTCTGGCTGGGCCTCAAGACGCCGGGGATCCCGCTGGCTCGATCGCGGATGTACCTGGCTGCGGCGGGACTGACGGTCGGCATTATCCCGTACACGGTTGCTTTCATGGGGGGTACGAATGGACGGTTGAAGGAGATGGAGAAGGAGGCGAATTCGGTTCAGGCGAATGTCCCCTCGCCCGAGGTGCGGGCTGAGGAGAGGAGCGCCAAGGCGCTGGTGGACTGGTGGGGGATGTTGAATCTGGGTAGGGCGGCTATGCTGATTTCGGGGGCGGTTTGTGGGTTGGTCGCGACGCTTTAATAAGGAAGAGCGGTTGGGCCCGGCAGCGGGATGATGCACGGTTGGGGGGTATTGGGGCTTTCGGTTGCTTAGGTTACATACCAGGGCAACTTACTGGCAACACGGACAGAGCCTCCCTCTCCGGGAGACGACGATGATGGGCCGGCGATTCTGGCATGTACATGTACGATACCGACGAGTCAGGGCGATAATTCCGCTGAATTCAGCTATGCTTCCGATCCCCGTGGCGCCCCGGCACCCCCGGGACGCTAACCGACCCGGTCACTCCGCCATGTGGAGACTATCCCAACTAACATCCGCGATCCGATTGCGTCGCGCAAAGTGATTTACTTGCTGCTGCCCGAGCTGCCTGACGATGAGCTCGATGAGCCGTAGCCCGACGAGTATTTGTAGCCGCTCGGCGCGGTGTAAGTGGAGCCGCCGCTGCCGTTGTTGTAGTAAGTGATGCCGTTGGGGTTGGAGGAGTAGTAGGAGCCGTCGCTGACTGTCAATTAGTACGGTTCAATTGTATAGAGATCGGAGGAACAACTCATGTATTAGAGTAGTGGTACGAGTTGGAATTGTTGCCATAGTCGCGGGCGCAGTAGTGGTTGCCCTGCAACGCAGGAGGTCAGTCATTTCTGGTAGCTCGACCACCAAATGCGACTCGAACTAACCGAGCTGTTGGTGCCGTGGCTCTTGTAGGTGTATCCCTTGTCCGACATCTTGAACGCTAATTGTCAAAGTTGCAAACGTGGGAAGCTTGATGATTGCAAGATGGTGGAACGGATGGATGATGCTGAAGAGAAAGTCGGAAGGAGAGGAACCGGTTTGGAGCGCACCTCAAGAGATCAGACAAAGAAAGAGCTCAGATACTGCAAGGCGTTGCGCGCGGAAGGCTTCCGGGCGAGTTATGTCAGGGATTCCATGAGACAGAGCTGGTGACACCAGACTAGCAGCCGAGACATTGAGAAACCCGAGAGCGACTATTAACGTTATTAACAGAGGAGCGGCATCTAGCAAGCGGCGACGAAAACCAGTTCTAAAAACATAACAACGAGCCACAGTATCTCGAATTGAATCGTTGCCCCCTCCAGCAATTTCACCTGCAGCTCTAGCCCAGTTACTGGATCTAAGGGTATAGTCCTATTCATGTCAACCGCGAAAGTAGGTATACCAACAATACGGCCTACCGAGCCGTACAAATCTATATCTTGCCATTGCTTGCTGTTCCGTCCACCTGCTCCTCTTCAAGGTCGGCCAAGTACTTCTCCGCATCCAGGGCAGCCATGCATCCGGTGCCTGCGCTGGTAATCGCTTGCCGATACCTCTTGTCCTGGACATCCCCCGCCGCGAACACACCCTTCACACTAGTAAGTGTAGAGCCCGGCTTCGTCACGACATAGCCGTCCTCGTCCGTCTCGAGCTGGCCCTTGACGAGAGTCGTGGCTGGGTCGTGGCCGATAGCGTAGAACAACCCGTTCGCCTCGAGCGTTTCTTCCTGACCGGTAGTCACGTTCCTGACGACGAGGTGGCTCATCAGGCCCTTCTCGTCGCCCTTGACTTCGACTCCCACGGTGTTAAACCGCACCGTAACCTTTTTGTTATTCAACAGCCGCTTCGCCATGATGCTGCTCGCACGCAGCTTGTCCCTCCGCACGAGCACCGTCACATGACTGCCGTACTTGGTCAGGAACATGGCCTCCTCGGCGGCGGAGTCCCCGCCTCCGATCACCACTAGCGGCTTGTTTCTGAAGATCGGCACCGCCCCGTCGCAGACTGCGCATGCCGAGATACCGTTCTGCCAGTACTTGTCCTCGCCGGGCAACCCGAGCCGGCGGGCGGACGCCCCCGTTGCCAGAATAATGGCGTCGGCGGTGTGCACCTCGTCAGGGCTCCACTCGGTGGCGTACTCGAAGGGCCGCTTGGAAAGGTCGAGCTTAGCGACCGTCTCGGTGACTATGACGGTGCCGAAGCGCTCCGACTGGTTGCGCATCTTGTCCATCAGCTCCTGGCCCGTCACGGCCTCCGGGAAGCCTGGGAAGTTCTCGATCTCGGTGGTCGTGGTCAGCTGGCCGCCCGCCGCGATACCGTTGGCCATGAAGCCCTCGTAGAGGACGGCTAAGAGACGGAATATGTTAGGCACGCTCGCTCGATGAATCCAGGGGCAAGGGCATCGGGGTATGCTCACGCTTCAACTCGGCGCGGGCCAAGTAGATGGCGGCAGTATGGGCCGCCGGCCCGGAGCCGATGATGACAACCTTGTTGTGCATCCTCCGCTTTCCAATTGTCTGTATCTCACTGTGGTACGGCGTGGCGGTCTTCTTGGAGAGCGTTGCGGCAGCAGCTACGGAGAAACCGGTAGCGCTGGAGCGGAGGGTGCGTCTTAAGTACGAGGAGAACAGCTTGACAGTTGGTGCGGGGGCAAGGCTTTGTCAGGGTCTGTCCGGCGCAAAGGCTCGACGGGCAGGCGGGGCGGAACCGGAGCGTTCTAATGTACGGCTCTTCTAATTATTAAATTCTTTCTAGCAAGGCTGAGCCGATTCCAAACCGAGTGTTTGACTAAGCCAGGGACGCACGCAGATTCTCGAACGTGGGGTCGAGTTACCGAGAAAAAGAATGGCGGGGCTCGAGGGGCAAACAATGACCCTGAATGTGGGTTAGGGTAAATTTGGATTCTAGCTGACTGCGCCAGTGGAGTCGTGAACAAGTCTCCTCCTGGCCAGAAAGAAAGCGTACACGTGAACCCGAGGAGACAGCAGTGACGTACGGGCTCTTTTGGACACTTGGGTATACATTTAAGGTCAGCACCAACCAATCAAAGCCTGCTCTGTCCCTCTTGTGGCACTTTAACAACCACTTTCCCCCAGGTCTCTCTGCTCCCAAGAGCCTTCAATGCGGCTGGAACAGCCTCGAGCCCCACGAACTCCTTGTCCGTGAACTCGGTGCCCCTGAACTTCCCTTCGGCTATCAGCTTCATGATGCCCTGCCACACCTTGACGACCGTTTCCTTCTCATGAACCGCATATTGGCCCCAGTGGATGCCCACTAGACTGATGTTCTTGAGCAGCACCTTGTTCATAGCCACCTTCTCGATCGTGCCGGCAGCAAACCCGACAATCAGGACCCGGCCATTCCAGGCTGTGCACTTGGTGCTCTTGTCGACCAGGCCCACAGGGTCGTAAACAATGTCGACACCTCTGCCCTTGGGCGTCAACTTCTTGACAATTTCGGGCCATTTCTGATCGCGGTAGTCGACGACGTGGTCGGCGCCGAAGGACTTGGCCACCTCGAGCTTGCGCTGGGTGCCGGCTGTGGCGATGACGGTTGCGCCAAACGCCTTTGCAACTATGGAATATCAGTACATAGAGGTGAGCGGTTCCACTTCAGCACAAACGCACCTTGAACAGCAGCAAGGCCGACACCTCCGGCGGCTGCATGGACGAGAACGTAGTCGCCCGCTTTGACTCCGGCACGGACAACCAGCGCACCGTAGCTTGTCGGTGCCGTCACAAACAGCCCAGCTGCCTCTCTGTAGCTCCAGCCCTCCGGGACAGGCAACATGCTGACCTCCCTGGCAACTGCCTTGGTGGCATATGCGCCCTGAGTGGCTCCGAACACGCGGGAGCCGACGGGGAACTTGGGGTTCTTGGACCCTGATGGCGTGGCCAGCACAACCCCGGCGAATTCGGCCCCCGAGATCCAGGGAAATGCTAGACATGAATGAGCAATGAACTAGTGACAGCTTGGAAACCGAGGTTCGTACGAGGCTGATGCTGGTATTTGCCCTGGATCTGCAGGATATCAAAGAAGTTTGTCGCTGCCGCATGGACCTCGATGAGATACTCGTCCGGGCCCGGCTTAGGATCTGGCAGCTCTGAGACCTTGAGCTCATACGGCCCCTAGATCATCCGTTAGTCTGTGATGATGGTAACCCGGAATTGAGACGGCAAAAGGATCTCGAGTCTCACCTTCACATACTGCGCCAGCTGGATGCCTCTCATCTTGGATGGATATCGTCAACACTGAACAGTAAGCAGCACACAGACCAAATGATACGGAACGCGAGGATCGCAAAGATAGCTTGGTGAGAGAACAAGACCACAATCTACTACAATTTATGGTTTGCGTGGATGAGCATCAGCTGCACCAGACTTGCCCCTCTTATACAGTACGGCCTGGACCCTGGTCGATTAGAAACCGAGCTCGCGGGGCAAGTCCGAGCCGAGGTCCCTAGCTACAGAGCACTGATTGGTTGTTCACCTTGGGCCTAGCCCAGTGGGTGGATCCATGTCGATCGCTCTTGGCATACAACTTGAACGCGACCTTGAATTCATCAATCCGCGACTAGTCTTTCAACAGCTCCATAACTTAATTCTTTGGACATCATCACCATCAAGAGACCATAAATCCACATTCGCTAACCGACCGGCACAGGACAGACAGTACCCTAAAAGAATTAGAGGGCGCGATCCCATCCACTGACTCGGGCACGCCGCGCCACAGCGACAACCGACATCAGAACCAAGATGGCGACGGACACTGATCCTTCGCCGAGTGCGAGTTCGCACCTCGCTTCCCAGTTGCTCACACACACGGCCCCCAGCTACGCCTTCACCTTCACGCCCTTCCTACAGCGCACCTACCAGCACAGCCTCCCGCCAGACCGACCCGTCTGCAAAGCCAACCTTTCCGGCAACTGCCCGCTCAAGTCGCACTGCCCGGACCGACACATCACGTCGGCGGCAACCGAGAACCGCAACCGCGACGGCGGCGGCGGGTTCGGCTCGCTGGTATGCAAGCACTGGCTGCGGGGCCTCTGTAAGAAAGGCGAGACGTGCGAGTTCCTGCACGAGTACAACCTGCGCAAGATGCCCGAGTGCAACTTCTTCCTGCGGAACGGGTTCTGCAGCAACGGCGAAGAGTGTCTGTACCTGCACATCGACCCGTCCTCGCGGCTGCCGCCGTGTGCGCACTACGAGCGCGGCTTCTGTCCGCTGGGGCCGAGGTGCGACAAGAAGCACGTGCGGAGGCGCATGTGCATGTACTACCTGGCCGGTTTCTGTCCCGATGGAAAGCAGTGTCGGGAAGGAGCGCACCCGAAGTGGGTGCCGGATGGGGAGCTGGAGAAGCCTAAGGTGAAGGAGGAGCGGCCGAAAGAGGAGGGCCAGGAGGAGAGGGAGCGGGAAGCGCAGAGGGAGAGGGAGATGGATAGGATGGGTAGGGATAGAGACGGGGAGAGGGGACATGATGGGAGGCATAAGGATCGGTTTGGAGGTGGGAGGGGGTTTCGGTGGAGAGGGAAAGGCGGGCGGTTTAAGGGTAGGGGTCATTAGGGAGGCAGGCACTACAGCATTTCCAGCGCTCGTCATCACACGTCGGCCCATTGAAAGATGCATCATTTCTCTTCATCCATCTTCATTGAGGAGAGAATCGTGAACTGTCTTGGATGAGCTAGGTGTTCCTGCACCAGCCTCCAACTCCTAAACGCCAATAGGGTTCCCAATATTGTTTTCTGTTCAACCTTCCTTCCAGACATTTGCATCCCCGACATGCTCCAAAGGCGGCACCGCAATAAACGAGTCGCTCCCAGCCGCCCCTTCCGCATCGCTCCCCGTAGATTTCGGACTCCCAAGAGCCGACGAACCGCTGTTTGTCTGCCACCTCGCCAATGCGTCCACTTTCCGAATCCCCATCATCCAGGCTACCAACCCCCTTGGCACCCAGCGACCAACAAACCCATAAACACTGGACCCCAACCCAACACGCACGGCGCCGCTCGTGATTGACCCGTCAATGACATCAAACACAGCATTGTGCAGCTCCTTCAGAGAGCTTCCCCGCAGGCCCTTGATCCGCCCGGCACTGATAGCCGACCCGGACTGCGAGACAAAGTTCTTGCCGTACGCGTGCCTCGCGGAATCCGGCCAGGGAAGCGACTCGGCATCATCCGGCGCCGGGAGAAGGCCGTGGGGGTGGAGGAGACGGGAGTTGGCGGCCGGTGTGAAACCTGCAAAGTCGAAGGTGCCCAGCTGCATGTGGGTCACGGGGATTCCGAGAGGCCGCAGCTCGGCCGTCAGGACCTCGGTGAAGGCTGAGAGAGCGGAGCAGACTGTTGCCTCGGGTGCGTGGAACGGTGGGTTGATGGAGGAGATGATGGACGGCGTCAGTACGAGAACCTTGGGGCTCGGCCGTTCTTTGTCGGTGGGCGGGCTGAGCCGGGCGGTTAGGAGTGGCAAAAAGGCTTGGATTGTGAGGATTGGTTGGAGAAGGTGGGTGTTGAAGAGGTCGGCAAAACTTGAGGGTGGGATGGTGGCGATGGGGGAGGTTTGATAGTTGAGGGAGGGAATGAGGATGACCGCCTTGAGCGAGAGATGGTGCCGCTTGCCGTTTGGAATGGCGGCGTGGGGAGACTGGAGGTAGCGGGCAAAGCTGTCGATGGAGTTGCCGGCGCTCGGGGGCTTGTGGCAGGTGAGCTGGGGCTCGACCAAGCAATAACAGGGGGTCATGGGACGTACATCAGTGGTATCAATGCTCAGTGGCCGAATGTCCGGCCGTGCCAGGTTCTGAACCATGACCTCGTCCTCGTGGCTGTTAGAGACCACAAAGACGACAAATCCTTTCCGCTCAAGGTCCAACGACAGCGACCGCGTCAGAGGCAGTGCTGGCGACCCGGCAATAACCACCACCTCCATCCGGCCACCGCTGCGAGCCCGTTTAGCCCGCCGCGCCTTCCGCCATTGTGCGCTGCTCCGATATGTTCGGTAGACCACGACGCCGCTAGTCACGACAATTAAGCCAACCAAGAGCTTGTGTCTCGAGATCCAGTCTTGTACCTTTTCGAGGGCAGATGTCGGCACGCTTATAATTGAGGGAGGCGGGGGCGGGGACCTTGGGCGGAACTGCTCGGGGACCCATGGCGACTTGGCGAGCGCATCTCGCAGAGTATCGGCTATGTGGTCGACGTGTTTGTCAACGAAGTCGGCGACATCTCTGGAGTACTTTTGAATATCGTTTGGCAAAGACGATAGCTACATGTGACATTGCAGGTTAGTCTGTCTTTGTCCTTGGATATTTCGACACAGGACCGGGGTCATACCACGTCCAGGAAGGCTTGGTCATCGGCAGACATTTTGGACGCAGTTGGTATACAACTCGAATGGTAGCTAGCATCGGATCAGTTGAACGATATGCGCGTCCAGCAATTGGAAGGCTACACAGGAATACAGGTCAAGTTGTCGCCTATGACTGGCCAGGAAGATGGAAAAGTAGAGCTCTTTATCGGGCTTGCATCGGGCGCGATTGCCATCCTATCGGCAGACTCGGCACCCGCACAAGCTCCGTTGCGGTCGCGCACTGATTGGCCTTCAAGGTGCGCCACGTATTACTGGATTAGGCTAGATTGCGTTAGATATTTGATGCTTTCGTCCGAATCGTTGGATTGTCCTCCTTCACTGATGAGATGCATATGCTAAGCTCCTTCATCAAACATGAAATCTGAGGTTGGGCAGGCACTCCCCTCTAGAGTTTTCTCGCCAGCACTCTCAATCTCACATACCCAAGCGAATGCCCCCCACTCGGCTGTCTCAGCACAATCTCCAATACATCAACGACCTCCCTGATACACTCCTCCCTTTCCGCCTCAGGCAAGATCTCAAACCACTTCTTCGCCATAAGCCTCACCCACCCCTCGACGCCTCCCTTATCAGCCTTCGTAGGCCGCCACTCCCGCTCGGCCCTCTCCACCTTCCACCCGCCCACCTTCACCTCCATGACATGCCGCACCCACTCCTCGTCCGGGAAGAACCACGGATCAGCCTCCCGGGCCCGGGCCAGCCCAACCCGGCGGCCCACGGCCGAGAGCAGGGCGGTGCGGACCTCGCACACGTTTCCTAGCCCTCCCATCTCGAAGGCGAAAATGCCGCCGGGGGCTAGGGCGTCGCGCACGTAGCGCAAGACGCTCGCGCGTGTGCGCGGCGGGCGGAGGATCCAGTGGAGGGCCGCGTTGGAGAAGGCTTTGGTGAAGGTGCCCATTTGGAGGTCGATGTGGCAGCTGAGGGCCGTTGCGTCGGCGACTGGAAGGGGAAGAGAAGGTATGGTAAGTAAACCATAGGTTCTCAACGGGAAGATATGAGGGAGGTATGCTTGCCTTCAAAGGTGCATCTGTCTGCGACGCCAGCCCATTCAGCCGCTGCCTTCGCTGCGGTGATCATCGCTGGGGAGCTGTCTATGCCGTGGACATGGCCGGAGCCTTGGGCGATGATTCGGGCCATCTCTACATTGAGAACGCCGTCTAGAGGTAGGTAGGTAAGCTCAGTATAAGCACTCTTACCGTGGTGTGAGGCCATTTAAGGAAAGAATTACCTCCACAGCCGATGTCGAGGATCACATCATCCTTCTGCGGATCGAGCCATTGCATGACCTTTGTGGCCAACTTGGGCACAAACGATGCCGCGTTTTGGTACGCCTGCTCTTGTCAGTGACACGAACCATACACCGGGATGCTATGCCGTGCTTAGGGAGGAAGATATGCAGTAGACAAGGGGTAATATACCTCTGAAGACCAGTTGTCGTTTTGTTCTGCCTCCATAGCGTGTGGATGCCCGGGTAGGGGTCGAAGTAGAGTTACCGAGTATCAATGCTGGATGGCGGGAGGCAACTCGCAACGCAGGACAGCCGGGTTCCAAGCTCATTATATACAAGTCAAGTCGGAAGAAGAACCAAGTTAGCTCTAGGTAAGGTACCTACTGCAAGTGGCAACCAAAGGTGCATGGCGTGCAGGGAGCGCTTCACAGACGCCGATGTCGGCGCTTTCAAGGGAACACCACGTCTGGCCCGAAACTTGTGATGATGATGCTCGCAGTAAACGAAACAGCTGAAGAGATGGTACCTTACTAGAATTCCCGCATATGGCAGAATGCAGTCGGAAACACTTTTTTCTGCATACACATCTCTTGCCTCTTCCGAATGTCCCACCAGGAACACGCTATTTCACCTAGTCAAGATCATCCAAGTCCAGCAGCTGGTACTTGTCATCCCCTAGCGCGTCCTCCAGCCTCTTCATCACAGCCAGGACCTTCTCCTCCTCTAATCGGCGGCCTACTACCTGCACTCCCACGGGCAACCCATGCATTCGCTCCGCGTCATAGTGCTTGTAGGCCCCTCTGGCGACTCTATGCAGCTTCTTCGAGTTGAAGGACGCGGGTAGCTTGTCCAACGCCTTGTCGACGTGGGTAATGGGCAGCACGCCGGCGGAGTAGTCGAGCTGCGTAAAATCAGTCGTAGTCCGTAAACTGCATCCAATGGGCGACTTACCAGGTTGAACAAGAACGTGTAACCGCAGCTGCTCACCGCGTCCCGCATTCCATCATGCGGCACCGCAGGCGTGGCATTTGGCGGCGAGATGATGACATCCAGACCCTGCTCGTTCCACCACTCGAACCATCGCGCCCGGTACACCTCTCTCTGGCTGACAAGCTTCCAGTTCTCAAACGCTGACTGGGCTCGCCAGTTCCTGACCAACCCAGCCCAGATGTGGTCTCGCTGCACGTACTTCACCCAGAGATAGTAAAGACACCTCAGTGGCGTCCACAACCCAGCCAGCCGCCTCATCTGCGCAGCCCCCGGGTCAAGCCACTCTCCGAAGCGTCGGAACGACTCAAACATCTGGCACCCATCCGCGTTCAGCAACAAGGACGCGAGCCTCAGACCCTCGTACATATCCGGCGCCCCTTCCACTTCCACAATCTCACAGCCCTGGCTCCGCAACGCCTCCTCGGCCATAGTCAGCGCCCTCACGCAGGCCGGGCTAGGGTCAACAACTCCATCCGTCCGGAGGACCCCAACCCTCAGCTTCCTCCCCACATCCCCAAACTCCTCCTCAATCTCCGCCCTCCACGGCAGGGGATGGACCGTGTAATCATACGTCCACGGCCTCATCTCCCCGAGCACCGCCCTCGTGAAGTACGTCAAATCCCCCAGCGTCCTCGCCATGGGACTATACACGCTCGGCACCCCTTCCTGCCCGGGCATGCTCGTGCAGATGCCCACTTTCGGCCAGCGCCCCGTCGAGCAGCGGATGGAATAGCAGCCGGCAAAATGCGCCGGCACCCTCACGCTACCCGCCACATCGCTCCCGATGCCTATCCTGCCACCCATCGCCAGCAGCGCCGACTCCCCGCCCGTGCTGCCGCCGGGCGAGTACGCGGCGTTGTGCGGGTTGGTGCACCGGCCCCAGACGGCGTTGGTACTCTCGAACGAGAGCAGCGTGATGGGGCAGTTCGTCTTCACGTACGGCACGGCGCCGGCGTCCTTGAGCATGCGCACCATGGGCCCGTCGCGGAGCGTCTTGTTGCCCACGAAGGCGCTGTACCCGACCGTGGTGTCATAGCCGGCCACGACAACCGTGTCCTTCAGCGAGACGGGGATGCCGGCCAGCGGGCCCTGCAAATTGATCTCGCCCTCCTTGGCGAGCCACTTCTCGGCGGAGGGGAGCAGGATCTCGGTGAGGCAGTTGGTGCGGCTGTGGGCCTTCAGGGCGAGCTTGCCGTACGTGCGCAGGACCTGGACCGGGTTGACGGTGCCGGACTGGACGGAGGCGACAAGCTCTTCAATGGGGCGTGTGAGGGTTTCTTTGTCAGCTGCTGTGAGAGAGCCGTGGTACGCCGTGAGAGATTCGATGCGGGAGGCGCGCTCGGCTTGTTTGAAACGGCTGATGGTGAGGTTAGCTGGCATTGCTGAAGGGAGGTGGGCAGGATAGAGAGGGACTTACCAATCTCGCCGGTACTGGAGGTAGTCGAGGAGAAACATCCTGCCTGTGGACGAAACGGGAGCTACTAGTACTTGGAAGCGCGACTCAGAGTCAATGAAGGCCAAGGCAGCCAATCGGCACTCAATTACCGTCAACGTTTGACGTTGAGTGAGGAAGTGGTGCGGGTTTCTGCTCTGATAGTCAGAGCCCACAACTCAGATGTTGTGAAAGCCACGCAAGTGTCAGCCAAAACGGAAATGAAAGCCTGATAACGAAGGCATTGTGAGGCAGGCTGTATTGTAATCTGTACCTGTTGTGCCTGCTGACCAGCCGGGTGTAAGTGATAAGATAAGGGAATTGGCCGGTGATTCGCTGGACTATGGGTCCGGCAGGGGTTCCCCGCATTTTCGCTTACCGCTTCCGAGAAAGCTCCAGGGCCGAGCCGGGCATGAGCCGGGCCTCCTTGAGCCGTCTGGAGCCGACCAGATACAACATATTCCGACCTCCAGGCCTTCATTGTGAGCAATGGAGAGATCCCACGCCGTTAGGTATTATTAGGGAGTACGAAGGATTGATAGAGTTCACACTCTCCTTTATATTACTCATAATCCGAATCCGCATACCCTGCCAAACAAGCTATCCGGCTACATACTTGAAGTCAACAGCGCGGAGATGTCCTGTTGACAAGGAGATCTGGGCGCCAACATAACCCAGGCATATATCAGCCCTTGCCAACACCGCCTGATGTGAATCCACTGGCCACTGTGTATAAGCAGAGGCCCGCCCGTTGAGAGCTTTCCCATCTCAGAAGATTTGTTCCAACCAGCTCCCATTTTCCTCAAACGATTCCCGTGAAACGCCTTGCCTTCCCTCGTAAATTATGTATACACATTCTTCTCTCGCGAGTATACCACAGCAACCTATGCCTTGGTTTCTTCCACGCCACCCCTGTTGCCGGAGCTACCGGAGCCACTGGTCGATTGTGCACCTCCGTCGACGAGCGTGGGAGCAATGCGTCTCCGCTTCGGCTTACTCCCTGATGACTCGTCGGTGTCGCCTTCCGTTGTCTCTCGCTTGATTCCCGTGGGCGCAGTGAACGAATTGCGCGGCGTCTCGGGCGGTGTCGTTGTCGTGATCGGAATACCCACAACCTTGCTGGAATTGGTTGCGGCAATGCTGGGCACCTGCCCGGCTATCAGGGGCGGGTTACTTAGCACGCCCGTCTGCGTCGCAGGTGGATTTATGACTGAAGAAGTTGCAGACAGCGCTGGCGACGCTGCCCGTGCGCTGACAAAAGATGCCGTTGGTGCCGGCGGAGATGGAGCGGTGAGCGAGCTTGCGGAATCCCGGTGCCTGTGGTGTGAGCCGTTCGGGAACGGCGAGGGCGGCGCAAAGACGGACGTTGGAGTGGGAACCGGTGTATTCTGGAGGGAAGCTCCGGCTGGCACAGAGTGCTTCGGCGGCCCCAGTTCTCCCGCGTAGACGGTGCCTAGCTCGCCGGGCGCGAACGACAATGTCGAGCAGAACCCATCCGAGGATGAGATCAACAGTGTCAAGCCGTCACTCGACCTGTCACAACTTGAGTTAGCGTATTGCACATGCTACCAACAATGACAGCGACTTACCAGGTTAGATCTGTGAATGTGGCGCAATGTAGGTTGCTTACGATGCAGATGGGCGTGTGTTGTTGCGTGTCATACAACAGGACCGAATCCTGCGTCGCTACCGCGTAAACCATTCGATACGGCAACGCGAAGACAGATTTTGGCCCCGGCTCCTGAACGGCAGTCTCCACACTCAGGTCCTTCGACGTGGATATAGAGGAGTCCGCCGGAACAGGTGGTGGCGGCGGTTCCATCACCGATGGGGCCGACGAAGGCTTGGATAGGGGCTCTGGAAGCGAAGGAATTGCCTCCTCGGCGGATGAGGTGTCGATAGTGATGTGCTTAGTGACGGGTGAAGACTGCCTCAGTGTGTAGACGACGGGCGAGCACCGCACTGCAACAGATGGCTTCTTGTGACCGGGCAAGTGCGCGATCGGAGGTCTGTTAATGCCACCGCGAGTGTAGATATAGACAGTATTAATGACTTCGTAAGTAGGTTTCCCGCCGTCCACTTGATGTTGGATCTGGTACTGCCCGGCGGGGGTGAGCAGAAGGCTACCGTCGGGTGTGAACGTTAGTCTCCGGAAAAAGGACGTCAGTGTCTCATTCGCGTAGAGACTGGCATTTTTCATGCCCAGGTTGGTGCTGTTCAGGTGCGGCTTGGGAGAAGCTTCGATAGGCATAACGGCTGGTAGCGGCATTGACGGAGCAGGTGAAACTGATCGTCTTGATGAGAATGATGACCTGCGACTGTGGGTGAACACGCTGGGCGGGTTCATGGGGAGGGCCATCGACGTTGGCGTTCCCGGCGCCGAAGGGACAGGTGAGCCAAGAACTCCGGGCATAGCGTCAGCAGCCGCAAGAGTCGACCGATGGCCTATCTCTGGTGGTGCTGGGCTGCTGGCGGATATCCGCCGGGGTGGAAGGTCTGCCTTGGCATGATTTGCAATCTTCGGGGGCTTGTCGTCGTGGTTAGTGAGCGTGTAGTGGCCGTCCTTCGTTCTCAGAGAGTACACGTGTACAGAACGGTCGGAGGACTGCGTTGCAACGTATTCGTTCAATGGATCCCAAGCTACGCCCTGGACGTAGTGATTGTGCTCGGCAATCTGGCGAACAAGAGTTCCTGCGATGCGTGTGAGCAAACGAAGCCTTCAACGTTTGTTTGCCGAAGGCGTGCCCACCTGTCACAGCGTTGTAGATCCGCGCAACGTTATCCATGCTACCGATTATGAAGAAGGAAGCATCCGGTGACCATGCAAGGTCGTATATCTCCGTGCCCAACGACCGACACATGTGTTTCGTCCGCCAGGTTTCTTTGTCGTCGAGGCCGTCGGAGCCAAAGGTCGGGTGGTAGGTTTCCGATCGGACCCATAAGATGACGTTGCCATCGTCGCCAGCCGATGCGAGAAGCTCGCCTAGATGATGTTAAGCGGACTGATACGGGAGTGGTTTGGAGGGGGGAGGGAGCGTATTGGCTCACCCTTCGGGGCCCAGCGGACGACATTTACTGCCTGAGTGTGCTTGGAGAGTGTGGCCAGGTAGTCAACCTTCTTTTCACCCTTGCCATCCTCCTCTATCTTCCACAGCTGTCGCTATGTTAGCAATGAAGAAGAGCCAGGCCCGGGACACGGCGCAGGGTCGCATCGACATACCCGGACATTGTTGTCTCCGGCGCCTGTTGCCAAGCGGCCTTTACCATTTGGCTCGAAGTGGGCAGAATAGATCGGGTATGGATTGTTGTTATCGTGATGCCAGTTGATGATCAACGGATTCGCCTTCATTTTCGGAGACTGACGCGGTTCGGGACCGGTACCATCGATGTATTGGCACTGCTGCTTTACGCACGATATATTCTGCTTCAAATCCGCTGCCCAGGATTCGGTTGATACTGAGACCAGGGGCAGCTAATCGAGGGATGCGGGAGATTTCAGGAGGTTATTGGAGAGTCCTCGCGGAATCAATTGATCAGAATCTATCCGCAGGGGGTGTTTTGGTCGTTGCTGGTCTGAATCAAAGGGTGTTGGTGCTGGCGGAACAGGTGCGGGAAGCGGAGCTGTCGCTGTTGTCTGTGTGGCTTGGGGACACATGAACTGGAGCGCCGGGGTGAGCTTGGAAGAGAGTCCAACTGTGCAGCGGCACAGACATTAAGGTGTCGGATACGCCTATGGTGAAGAGAGAGTACGGATTAGTGATGGCTGGAAACACTCTTTGCAGGATCTCGATGCAAGGGGAATAAGCATGCCCTGGTCGTGTCGAGACATCGCTGAAGGTCAAGCTGATCCTTGTGCTCCCCACGCCTGAATCGCGTTTTGGCGTCACCCACAAGCCAATCATAGCAGTTCAATGCACTTTCTCTCGAGCCCCACTTAGCGTGCTCGAGGTGTCACACTTTGCAACGGCAGCCCAGGACATCCGCCTTGAGGTTGCTCAGCAGTCAGCACATCTCGCTTTCGTCGCTAGAAGGTCCTCCCTCTGAGTCGCGACGCCTGAGGCTTGAGGCCTCGTGCTCCCGTTAGCTCGCAGGGCATTTTTCTGATTTTCAGAGCCAAGCGTCGAGTGAATCAAGTGTCTCCAATGAGCGAATCATTATCCAAGTTGATCAATGCGTGTCAGACGAACGGCAGCTTGCAGGAGACGATACTACATTGGTATATAACTAAGGCAAGTCGTGCATCCTCACGCTCGCCGCTAACAAGTGTGAATCAGCTCTTCGCCTCGGCAGTGACATGATAAGGTGGCTGGAAGATTGTCACTGCTTCCACCTGCAACTCAGGTTCGACCCGTCACATCTGGCTGACCGACACTTTGGTGCTGTTGTTGTAATGCGTGGACCATAGGGTAGATAGGATGGGAACGGTGGTCAACCAATGTCCCGGCTTACGGAGTACCCCTCACTTGCTCCTAGATATCGCAAAGCGCGAAGCACAGCTCCTAAAGTGAAACTTCGCTGTAGAACCAAGGAATGGAAACCGTACTCCGTGAACATGCAGCCCTACGATCTCAATGCATCTCCTTCTCCAAGGATAGACGCTATACTGGTAGGTAGTTGGCCAAGACTGAAGCCGCTCGGCTGGATCTATCGCCAAGACCGGCGTCGAAACCATAGTGCGCATAGAAAAGGCAATACTATTGATCAATTCCATAAGCATAAAATGGGAATTTGAGAAGGAAGGTTGCAAGAAGAAGGAAAGCTGGAGCTCGGATCGTTTCCATAGTATATCCGTCCACTCATCAACCAACGCAACAAATAGAAGGGCCGCGGGGTGCAAAATGAGTCGGATCAACGGGTCCGGTCCGCCTTGGGACCGCCTCCGTTCGGGGTCGGACTGGCCCTGCGGCCGTGCCGAAAGATCGGCCTTTCAAGTGACGACGGCTTGCGGGCTGGGCTGGGCGGAGAATTCCATTGAGTGCCCTGATGACACCATAGGTCGGACCTTGAGGGATCCGATGTACCTCCGTAGCAACTGGGAAGAATGAAGGAACGAAAGTGCCGGTCCTGCTGTACTAGTTACTTGCTGAGATGGGAAGGTGCTCAAATCACACTCAATCGATATGTAATCGGGGACAGGATAACTGACTGCGCACCCCGCGAATATCGCCATTTTGGCGGCTGCATGCGACGCTAACACGAGCCGCCCCATCGGCGAATCGGAACGGGACTGCTTTCCGATGGTCAAGTTACCAAAAAGGTCGCCGGGAGGGTGGTCCAGCCTCCCAGCCCACCAACTTCTCGGCCCTCCTTCACCGCATGAGTCAAGCCGACTTCGATGGCATGGATGCTGTGCAGTATGTCGTGGACCCCGGCGGATTTTTCTCTGATCCTTCACAGTCACCTCTGTGACTGCTTATCCGTCGCGTTTGGGAGTTAGTCTATTATGTACGGTAGTATTGCAAATGATGACTGCCTTGCCGACTACTAAGTCTGCTGTCGCCCCCCCTTCCTGTTTCCTTCCATCTTGTCACTTTACCTCCATTTGTGGCTCTTCCCCAGCCACCGGGACCACCAAAATCAATAGGATCGCCCTTCGACAGAGTTCTTCGAAGGCAACTGGGAGTGTGGGAAGAACGGCAGGACAATATCGAACCTTCCGACTTCTGGTTTTATCAGTGGCCCATCGGAGATAACCCCCAACTCCGAACACCTGCGGACCGAAGGAGTATCACGGACACGCAAAACACCAAAACACAGCTTGGAGTCTTGGACTGCGAAAGCTTTCAACCTATCACGGCCTACCATGACGGCCGATGGCCCGATGCTACAAGCTCTCGGCACGGGAATCGCGCTTATCGGGCTCTGCTCAGTCCCTTCCCTAAAGAACATCGTAGCACGACTCCAGAAGCGAGAGGTGAAGCAAGACACGTACGAGGATGACGACGGCAAGGCAACACCGGAGTCGGTGAAGACCTACTCGGCCAAGTTCGCCAAGTCAGTGCTCCTGGCTTCGGCGGGCGCCGGCCTCGGTGTCTCTATTGCGCTCCTGGTGATCTCGCCGCACGCTGAAGGGCGGCTGCTCATCGACTCGCTCGGTACAGCTGCCTGGGTACGTTGCAACTAGTACAATAACAACAACAACAACAACCTACCCTCATGCTACCGTTCCGGCATAAACTAATCTCTAGATGCAGGCCCTTCTGCTGTTCCAGGCCGTGACCATAGTGTCGAGCAGGAGTTCGCTCCAGGCGTACAACCTCGGCATCTACGCCTTCCTCTCGGCCGTTGTGCTCGCCGGCTTCCTGCTCGTGCAGGGCAGCAGCACCCTTGCCGAGCCGCCGCTGCAGTCTCATCCCGTGACCTTCGCCCTGCGCGTGGCCGAGCTCGTCTCCAGCGCGTCTCTCGCCGTGTCGGCGCTCTGCATCCCCCGGCGGCCCGAGGTGTACTACCAGGGCGAGCTGGTGGACCGCATGTTCACGGCCTCCGCCTTCAGCCGCTTCACGTGGGCCTGGCCCAACAGCCTGCTCCGGCTCGCGTCCAGGAAGAAGGACCTGGACCTGGAGGACCTCGCCCGCCCGAACCACCACACGCGCGCCTCCTCCGTCTCGGCGGACTGGCGGAAGAAGAAGACACGAGGGGGGAACGATGACGGCAGACCGCTCTGGCTCGCGCTCCTCCTGGCCCACAAGTGGAAGGTCGCGCTGCAGTGGTTCATCACGTTCTGGGCGTCGGTGCTGAACTTTGCGCCGCAGTGGGTCGTACTGCAGCTGCTGAGGACGCTCGAGCGGCGCCATCTGGGGGACGGCGACGGCGGCGACGACGGCGTGGGTATGCAGGCGTGGATGTGGGTGGTCTGGCTGGGGCTCGCCATCATCGCGGAGTCGTGGACCGAGTCGTACCTGTGGTGGCTGGCCTTCGCGGACCTGCTGATCCCGATCCGCGCGCAGCTCTCGGCGCTCATCTTCGAGAAGTCGATGCGCAGGAAGGATGTCAAGGGCGCCGGGAAGGGCAAGAAGAAGGAGACTCGGGAGGAGAATGCGGAGTCTGCTGAGCCGACCGTGGCCGGTGCGTCGACGGCCGAGGAAGGGGAGGGGGATGACTCGGAGGAGCTCAAGAAGAGCAAGCAGAGCACGGTGAACCTGATCGGCGTGGACAGCAAGCGCGTGTCGGATTTCTCGTCCTACCTGCACCTGTTCCCCGGCAGTCTCTTCAAGCTCCTCGTCTCGCTTGCTTTCCTGATCGATCTGCTGGGCTGGAAGGCGCTCCTGGCCGGCTTCTCGGCCATGCTTGCCATCATGCCCGTCAACATCTACTTCTCCAAGCGGTACGCCGACGCGCAGGACCGCGTCATGAAGGTCCGGGACGAGAAGATGGAGGTCGTGACCGAGGCGCTGCAGGGGATCCGGCAGATCAAGTTCTCCGCGCTGGAGCCGGAGTGGGAGAGGAAGATCGGCGGCGTCCGCGACCGGGAGCTCAGCGCCGTCTGGAGCGTCTTCCTGAACGACACCATGCTGATCGGGTGCTGGGTGACGAGCCCCATCTTGCTGTCCGCCATCTCGCTGGCCGTGTACGCGGCGCTGACCGGGTCCCTGGCGCCGTCTGTGGCCTTTGTCAGCCTCGGCGTCTTCAAGGGCCTCGAGGTGACACTGTCGGTCGTCCCGGAGCTGACGACGGATCTGCTGGATGCCTGGGTCTCCATCAAGCGCATCGAACAGTACCTCAACTCTCCCGAGGTGGAGAGGACGTCCAAGGACTCGGACGAGGTGTGCTTTGACAACGCCTCCATCGCCTGGCCGTCCGACGAGGAAATCGACGAATCCGAGCGGTTCGTGCTCCGCAACGTCAACGTCACGTTCCCCAAGGGCGAACTGTCCGTCATCTCCGGCAAGACGGGGACCGGAAAGAGCCTGATGCTGGCCGCCATCTTGGGCGAAGTGGACGTCCTGGCAGGGTCCCTGTCCGTGCCCAGGGCGCCGCCGCTCGCCGAACGGCACGACGACAAGGCGAACAAGGCCAACTGGATCATCCCCGAGGCGATCGCATACGTTGCGCAGATCCCCTGGATCGAGAACGCGAGCATCAAGGACAACATCCTGTTCGGCCTGCCGTACGACGAGGAGCGCTACAACAAGACGGTCGAGGTGTGCGCCCTGAAGAAGGACCTGGAGATGCTGGACGACGGCGAGAACACCGAGATCGGCGCCAACGGCATCAACCTCAGCGGCGGCCAGAAATGGCGTGTCACGCTTGCGCGCGCGATCTATTCCAGAGCGGGCATTCTGGTTCTCGACGACATCTTCAGCGCCGTCGACGCCCATGTCGGCCGTCACATCTTCGAGAAGTGCCTGAATGGAGAACTGGCGGCGGGCCGGACGAGGATCCTCGTTACCCACCACGTCGCGCTCTGCGAACCGAAGACGAAATACCTCGTCGAGCTCGGCAACGGCGGCGTCTTGCATGCCGGCCTTCTTTCTGAGCTGCGCGACGAGGGCACGCTGCAGCAAATCAAGAGCCACGAGCAATCCGCCGAGGAGATTGAGGCGGACGAGTCCGCTACGGCGGTGGATTCGGCCGGCTCTTCGGACGGGGAGCAAGAGCGGGATGTTGCGGATGGAAACACGCTCAAGAAGGTGACGTCGAAGACGCCCGCGCCTCGCAAGTTTGTCGAGGAAGAGACCCGCGAGCTCGGGGCCGTCAAGAAACATGTCTACTCGACGTACCTGAAGGACAGCGGCGGCTTCTTCTTCTGGATCGGTTGTCTTCTCATCTTTGTGGTTACGCAAGTCCTCAACGTCGGTGAGTGTCCCTTATCCGTTTTTCTTTACGATGCGATGTATTTGTACCGATACTGACAGCTGGTAGGGCGCTCATGGTGGCTCAAGATTTGGACCGGCAACTACGAGGAGCAGGGCGTGCATCCGCAACACGTAGTACTACCCAACATCTCCAGCGCGTACGGCTATTCGTACGCTGAAGGGGCCCGCCAAACCTCGATCCACGCCATGTCTGCGCCTTCGAACGGGTTGCAGGGGACGCTGGCCTTCTACCTGGGCATCTACGTTGCATTGGCCGTCGTAAGCGCCTTGATCGGCACCCTGAAGTTCCTGTACATCTATCTTGGCTCGCTCCGCGCAAGCCGCAAGCTCTTCGAGAAGCTCAACTTCACCGTCCTCCGTGCGCCGCTCCGATGGCTCGACACCGTCCCCGTCGGCCGCGTCCTGAACCGGTATACGGCGGACTTCAACGTCATCGACTCGCACCTGGCCAACTCGCTCGGCTTCGGGGCGAACTCATTCCTGGGTCTCATGGCGGTCGTGGTCTCCGGCCTCTTTGTCTCGCCGTACATTGTCCTTCTCGCTAGCATCCTCCTCCTGATCTGCCTGTACTATGCCATCCGGTACCTCGCCGCGGCACGGCCCGTGAAGCGGCTGGAGAGCACAACCAAGTCGCCCGTCTTCGAGCAGTTTGGCTCGGCCCTCACAGGCGTCACGACCATCCGCGGCTTCGGCAAGGCCCAGGTCTATGTGGACCGCATGTACCGGAAGATCGACGACTACTCGACTGCGACGTGGCATCTATGGCTCTTCAACAGGTGGATGGGCTGGCGCATGTCACTGGTCGGCTCCTTCTTCTCGAGCTTCGTGTCCATTCTGATCTTGCTCACCCCCGAGATCGACTCTGCCCTGGCTGGGTTCGCGCTTGCTTTTGCCCTGGAGTTCTCGGGCTCGGTGATGTGGACCATTCGGCTGTATGCGAGTCTGGAGCTGGAGATGAATGCTGCGGAGCGAATTATCGAGGTAAATAACTATGTGGTGGTGATCGGTTTGAGATTATTAATAAGGGATCATAATAACAACTAACATGGGACCCCTTGCAGTACACCAAGCTGCCCACCGAGGCTCTCGACGGCCAGAGCCCGCCTGCAGCATGGCCGACGGAGGGTCGCATCGAGGCCCACGATCTGGTGGTCGGATATGCGCCCGACCTTCCCCCCGTCCTTAAGGGCCTCACCTTCAGCGTCAACCGGAACGAGCGGATTGGCGTTGTCGGGCGCACCGGCGCAGGCAAGTCATCCCTGACCTTGGCCCTGTTCCGCTTCCTGGAGGCCAGGTCCGGCAGCATCCACATCGACGGGCTCGACATCTCCAAGATCAAGCTCCACGATCTCCGGTCGCGCCTGGCCATCATCCCGCAGGACCCCGTCCTCTTCTCCGGCACCATCCGCTCCAACCTCGACCCGTTCAACCACCACACCGACGCCGAACTGCGCGACTGCCTCGAGCGTGTGCACCTCGTCGACTCCTCCTCTTCCTCACCATCCTCAGGCACCGCCACCCCCTCGGGCTCCGTCACCCCGAAGAACACAAACCCCTTCACCAACCTCTCCTCTCCGGTCTCGGAGGGCGGCCTCAACCTCTCCCAGGGCCAGCGCCAGCTCCTCTGCCTGGCGCGCGCCATCGTCTCGCGCCCCAAGGTGATGGTGCTCGACGAGGCGACCTCGGCGGTGGACATGCACACGGACGCGCTGATCCAGCGCAGCATCCGCGAGGAGTTCACCGACGCCACGCTGCTCGTGATCGCGCACCGCCTGAGCACCATCGCCGACTTCGACCGCGTGCTCGTGCTGAGCGACGGTCGCGTGGCCGAGTTTGGCACCCCGAGGGAGCTGTGGGAGAAGAAAGGAGAAGACGGGGAAGGAGGGGAGGGCAGGGGCATATTTAGGGGTATGTGTGAGGAGAGCGGGGAGAGGGAGAAGTTGAGGGGGATTATCTTTGGGGAAAAGGGGAAACAGTGAAAGTTAGGTTAGTAAGGTGTTTAAAGTAAACCCGGATTTTAGAAATATTAGGTGTGTTTGGGAAGGGAAAAGTTCGCGATAGATTTCATTTATTTGTTTGTCCTGCCTGGGTTCTGAGCGTATGTACCTTACCCAGGGAAAAAGGGGGGTTCCGGAATATTCCTGAGTCAGGGGTGATGCAGTCCGGGACTCTGGGGAAATAAATTCAATTAACGATTAGCAGACGGCCAGTCATAGAGCACACTTTGTCGGAAGTTATCATGAAGTATCAAGTTACAAATCTGTGCTTTAGCAGGGTCCCCCCTTCTGCCAGTTACATTGGGTTTGTCCATCCCCTGAAAGTACCATTGTTTACATTAGTCTTACATACAACAAAAGTCCATAACGTCACGAGAAGACAATATTCAGTATCACTACAGAGAGGCAAAGAAAGCATCATCAAGTTTTAAGCAAACAGATCGCGATTGCATCAAGAGATCGGGACCTAACACAGCACAGTATGGTGCTTGACCTAACATATGGTCCCCGTTCACAGCATACTTTCTTTGTCGCTGTCTCAGTATTCCGAGCCCATGGGCGCACCTTCACTTTGTGCACCGGACCCAAGATGGAGAGAGAGAAACTGAAAAAGAAACCAGATAAAGCAAGGAACAAGAACACGCATTTCCCCGAGAGATCTGCCACCCTCCCAAAATAACCCTCCAATGTAAGTTTACCCCAAGTAGTAATCACCACTTTCATATGCAGAACCCACCCCGGGACAAGAAGAAAAAAAGAGAGAGACAAAGGCCGGGTGCTCATTTGAACAGGCCTAAACACCGTTGTGGTGCTGCTTGCTATTGTTGACAACGACAGTCACAAAGACGGCAACAACGACCAGCCAGACAGCCGAGAAGCAGCAGCCCACAATCAAGACATTGCGCCGCTGCCGCTGACTGAGCTGGCCCGTCTCGCCTCTGGTGTACCACGACAGGGCCGCGTCGAAAGTGCCCCGGTAAACCAACGGGGCGATGAAAGGGAAGATGCACAACATGCACATGAAATAGTAGTAGGCCTGGCGCCGACGCCGCGCCTCCCACGACAGGTAGGCATCCTCAGACGTAACACCAAAGGGGTGTCCGGTCTCGAAACTTATAATCTCGCGCAGGTCGGCTGTCGCTGCCACGCTAGTTCCACGAGTCAGATGTCGCTGGTCGCGAGCGACAAGGCGTGGAGATGCGAATACGGATGGCGGTCCCAGGAAGGCATGGCTGCTTCTCTCGCCAGGCTCGAGAGGGACCCTGAAGGAGCGAGATAGCGCAGATTGGGGGGTCACCATCTGGTTGCCGCTCCTATGCGACGGCACGTCGGAGACTCCACGGCTGTGTCTTATGACACCTCTCTCTATTTCCGGTCAGCACAATGGGGGTTGCGGGCAGATAAGCCCCTTTGAGTCATTACATACCTTGGGATGGTCTAGCATTATGCATGTAGCGCAGTGCGCTAGGATTGCGAGCATGGGCGGGAACGGGCTTTGTAATATGAGGCGTGAGAGGGGCCGTTCTCTGGGTTGTCCTTGAGGCGTCCATGCTCGAATTCTTGCGCGTCCTGGCACCGCTAGTAGCGGTGAGACTGTCGCGGTTCTCGGCCTCCTTTCTGAGCGCCTCACGCCTGGCGGCCTCCTCAAGACTGATCAACGGAAAGCTGAACAGGGTAGGTGATTCAGGACCAACAGATGCGACAGACTGGTGAGACTGTTGTGACTTAGTAGGGTAATGGCCGCTCCAATAAGCGCCAACGGGTTGCTCGTTCGGCATAGGTGACGAGACCTGGTGCTAACCAGCCTCGTAGCGCTGCTGCTCCGAGCTCCCCTCTGTCACCATCTCACGCTGGTTGTTGTTGCTATTGTTGTAGAGCGTCTTTCTCGTCTCATGTTCATGGGCACTGTCAACCCTCTGTGTTCCGTACCTCGGTCCAGGTCGTACAGTATTCGTCGACGAGAGAGAATCCAGGGACTCAAAGTTGGAGTTGGGCCACCCTTCCGTGTTAAGGTATTGGCTCTGCCTGCGCATGCGCCTGCTAGCGCTACGTGACCTAATCGAGGCGCTGAGCTTCTCCACGAGTGCGCTCCTAGCTGAGTTCCCGCTACTGCTAGCACTTTGATCGGGGAAAATACGACCGGCGTCCTGGAGATAGCCGTTGACACGATGGATCCTGGGTTTCGGAAGGAAAACCGGGTGCCGGTTCTCGTCCAGTGTCGGACGATTGCGAGCATTGAACGTGTGGGCCTCATCCGGGGGCTGCAGGATCCGTTCTGTTGGTGAGGACTCGTTGAAAGAAGGTGCGTAGAAGCTGCTAGTGTCCGAATAATCTGCAATGCTGCTCCCTGTGATCTTCACCGGGTGGCTCCCGCTGAGGCCAGTGGATGAGGCCAAGGCACGATTACTGTCGAACTGGTCGCTGGTCACAACAGTCTCCCAGTCCGCGGCATCGCTCATGAACGTCTGGATATCTTGCCTGCGACGCTCAGTTCCAGGCCTCTCGGAAATTCCGCTCAGGCCGATAGCTGGCTGCCCCGGGCTTTCTGCTGCGGCCGGCGGAGACCGGACAGTGATCTTCACCTCGCTAGGGCCGTCTTCATTGTCCCAATCGTACTTCACGGTTGGGGTCTGGTGAGAATGCAATCTGTTAAGGAAGGGATTCGTGCTCGAAACGTGACAAAGAGTAGCAGATTGCGGCTGCACAATACAACCAATAGCCGAAACTGTGCTATCCTCACTCACACAATGAAGCGCAGCACTGACCTCCCTCTCGCGGGAAGGCTGAAGGTAGACGGAAAAGGAACCACGATCATACTTGAATGGGTCGTCGTCCGAATCTGTTGTGCCGGCCGAGAACTCGCTGTTTGAAACGCCACGGCGACGACTGTCGCCCCCCTCGTTAGTCTGATCTTGTAGCTTTCGGGGTGTCGTTTGTCGGAGCACTGTATTGTCACCGTCAATGCTTCGCTCTACATGAGACGTAGTTGGCTGTACAGCACGCAGAGGACTGCTGGCTGCAGAATCCGTGAAAGCGTCCCTAGGTTCGCTACCTTGAATTGCGTTGATAGATATATCCGACAGCTCCTGGCAGTTGATACTGGAGTCCGCTGGCTGTGCAACGGTGCTGAGGTTGGTTTGGTCATGGCTGGAGCAGGTCGAGGATTGTCCTATATCTTCGCATGTCTGCGGTACTTCAAGCAAAGGGTCCAAAGGACGCTCACTGGCTGAACTAAAGATTTGCCAGCGGCTTTTGCCTGGACTGGAGCTGCCACCTGCTCGCCGAATACTGGAAGTGCGGAAGCTTGCACCTTGCAAGTTTGTTCTTGAGCGGCGCAGAGGATTATCGTTCGAGGAACCATCGCTAACAGCTGCGGGTTGGAGAGCCCCTGGGGATGAGGCTGATTCAACTATCGGGGAGGGGATGTAATGTTCGTAAATGTTCTCCACGGTGCTTTTAGTGTCAAAGGTTCCTGAACTGCCTGAAACATCCCTGGCACCATTGTCTAGCTGGCTTCCAGGAAGATTACTGCCCATAGAGGAGGAAGCAAGACTGGAGGCGGCTGGAGAAGGGCCGGAGGACGTGTTATCCCCTTCAGCACGTGTCAGTTCAGCTCGCGGGAAGGGTGTAAGGCATCGCGAATAAACTGGGCGGTAGGAGCTAGCAATCTCCGCCTGATCGGAGCTGGTTGGACTTTCGGCGATGCTGACTGGGCCAGATATATCGAGAGATGACGGAGATGATGATTGCTTTGGGATATCGGCGATATGATTGCCCCCAGAACGCGATGCCAACCTTGAAGTGATGGCTTGGTGCGCCTCCCCTAGATTGGTGAACAGGGGACCTTTCGGCATGATTGACTTTGGAGTCGTAGATCGAGAGACAAATGCCTTCGCCGAGTCCGGGGTCCCCGCGCAATTGTCGGGGTGGTCTTCAACCTCATGCGCTCCCTCGCGGGACATGTTCACAGTGCTTCCTGTTCGGTTCCTGTCAGTATCGGCTCCAATATTCACTCCACACCCGCTCGATTGTATGGTGATCGGGTAAAGTGTATATAGACAGCCGAATTGAGTGTCCATACCTTTAGGAGCTTGTTAACAAGTACACCTTGTAGTATGAAACTCAAACTAGTCGCTGCAAGACTGTCAGCCCCGCAAGCGCAAGGTTGTTTATCTCTAGTAGTAGTACTAACCGAAGGGCTCCTGCATCGAGGGCAAGTGCGATGGCCATTCGGCTATTAGACGCGATGGAGGGCAGGAACACGCGGCCGAGCCGCGAGGAATTGTCGTAACTCCTTGTAGCAAGAAGGATTGGTAGCTGGAACTGAAGCGGAAAACCTTAGCTGCTCTGCTGAATCTCGCCGAATTCGATCATGATAATGTGACAGGTCAATGGCGGGGTTAGAAAGACGGAAGAAGGCGAGGGCGGCGGGGAGGAACGAAAAAGTGGCGGGGTCAGGCGCTTGGGCGAAGTCACAGAGGAAAAGGAGCCTGGAGCTAAGTGACCAGCGAGATAGACTGGAAGCACCTGGGCACTCGAGATGGCGTTCGTGAAATTATTACTAAAGTTAGCCAGTTAATTTGTGCATCGAAGGTGCAGAAAAGCCCTGGTCATCTGAATTCACTTAGGCAGACGGGAATCTGCCCGGTGTTGAGCTCACCACCAAGATGGTTCAACCCCTGAGTAGGTTAGTACCTAGGTGGTTCTCCTATCTCCGCCCATTCTTCCGTTTTCAGAGTTGCCTTCTGTAGACTCAGCGTGAATTCAAAGACATGAACATCAGGAGCTGGGCCAGGCCTCCATAAGCTCTACTCTTTCACCGCAAACCACCCCGTGAAAAATCCAGCCACAGGTATCTACGCAGCCTCCCCCAACTCGAGACTTGCGAACGGGACCTCCCAAGTCCGGCACGCCCATCGGCGCTCGTATGATTCCAAGTCTTCTAAGCTACCTAGCAGTGTTAGATACTTCAAGATACGACCGCAAAACTGCATGTGATAAACGCTTCCCCCTGGTCAAAAATGCCATGTTCTAGGTACTTTCATTCTGCTTTACTATCTCCGTCCTTCTTTTCTGACTTCTTATTTTTCATCCCACTTCTTCTCTTCTCTTGGTATCATACGCTACTTCCTGTTCTTTGGTTCGCCGTTTGTCTCAATTTCTTACCATAGTAAACTCGAAGAGCTTGCTTGCTCTTCGGCTTTTTGGACCATGCGGTGACAAGTCTCGTGCATGACCTTTGCCGGGCAGGTCAACCATCGCAAACAGCTGGCAATTACTTGAGTGCGCAATCAAAGCATCAGCTGAAACCCTCTGCTCCGGCAGTTCAAGCCGGTTGCAATATGTATGGAACATTTCGAAGGCAACTTGAAGTGGTGTAAGTGAACCATTCGGGCCTGGGCGGAGCGGACGTCGTCAAAACTTGCTTATCGATAAGGATTTGCTACGATTCCTACCAGAACTGGTTAGCCGTGCATGACGTTACACAGTAAACTTGAGGCACTCCATACCGCACCTTCATAAGCCGGTCGCCCCGCTTCCCCAGGCATCCAGCCATGATTGGCTCACACGATGTCTTCCGCCCCTCTGATCCCCCACGAACCGGTCCACCCGGAAACCCGTTCCTGAGCCTTCCAAGTCCTACAAAGTAGAGTCTAGGCCGGGCGATTTGTCCTACACTACCCTAGAGAAAAGGTCTTAATAAATGCGATTCTCTATTTCCCACCTGAATTGACGAGGAAAAGGTATCCTTACTCTTGAACTTCGATTCCTCGTGTTACCACTTCGTGACATCATCGCCCAACCATCATGGCGGGTCTTTCTAACCTCCCGTTAGAGATCTTGCTCCACATCTTCTCATGTAAGTGATAAGATGACCCAGGTTCCGGTACGCTTAAGCTCGAGACGCAAGGCCGCGACGTACACAACATGTTCGCGCTAACCATATCACTCATCGTCTGTCAACAGTCCTGGACGCCCAGGAGATAACCACCCTCCAGCGGGTCTCTCGGCGATTCCACAGCGTCACCCGGGATAATGGCTTGTGGCGCGTCCGCTGCTTCGAGGAATCACCATTCCTCGAAGCACTGAACAATCGCCGGCTCATACTTGGGCCGTATCACCAGCTCTCCCAACAAAGCTTCGAGACCTCTAGTGGTGTTAGCGATACCAGCGAGGACAATCAGGGGGAAGGAGGCACCCCGTCAACCCGCGGCCCACGGAGGCGACATGTGACGGCCCTTGCGACGTCTCCTTTCAGCAATAAAGAGTCAAAAGAGCCTGAGCGCGTGCGGATCATGGCCAACTGGGACCCCAGCTTTCCCTCTGAGCGGGTGTCGTGGTACGATGAGTACATACAGCGACACGGGCCTATCGCGGTGAATTGGATGCAGAATGCCTACAACGGACAGCGAGCGTCGCCCGAGAACATTGTGGAGGCCCGTGGGGTAGCACTATATTACCCTGACGGGGTATTAGGACAAACGATCCTCGCTGTGTCGCCGCTTGATGATGGGAGTGTGTGTCTGTGGGATGTTGGGGGCACGAAAGGGAAGAGGGGCGCCATCATTGCAAGGAGCAGGCCAGGAATATTGTTGGTTGACGGTCCGGGGGCGGATAATAAGAGACGATCTAAGAGGGTTGACTCGGGCGTGACGGAGTGTGTGAGTGTGGATAGTCGGCAGCACAAGGCGTTCTTCGCTGTGCAGCATCGTAAGTCAGCCCGCTGGTCCGAGCAACATCGAGCCACATGAGCGTGATGGCTGACAAAGTGTACAGACCTCATCGAGGTCGACCTACGGCGACTGTCCGTTGTCGACTGCGAATCGTTCCCCTGGTCCATCACAGCCTTATCCGCTGCGAGCCCGACTGTGCCACTCACGGTCGGGACCAACCCCGGGATATTTCTCCATGACTACAGAACCCGCAAGCCACCATGCAACGACCAAGGCGAGGTGCTGGACGGCTTCGAGCTGATGAGTACTAAGCGGCTCTATGAGCGCAGCCTGCGGCTCATTTTCGACCCCGCACCGCCACCGGACTACGCGGCGCTGTCCCAGCCAGCGCCGTTGAGCATACTCCATCTCGAACGGCCTGGCCAAGAAGCAGACCTATCAGACGACATCTACGTGGCAGGCCGTTTCTCCAATATCTTGCATTATGACCGGCGCAAGTTCCCCCGCATCCAAGATTCTATCCATTCAGGTGCAAGTCTGTGCGGCATGACCTCACTTCCATACCCGTTTTCTAAGGAGGCCTCGGATCTGCGACGCTACGGCGGGCTATTATCGGAGGAGGTAGAAGCCTCCAAAAGCGTTGCTAGCGGGAGGACCCTGATTGCCTGTGGAGAGTACAACACCAAGGGATCTCTGGAGCTGTACGGCTTGACGTCCGATACATCGACAAGTACAAGCACGACGGGCAGCCTACGAACTTCTAACTTAAAGAATCGCCAGACTTGCGCGTCGTCCAAGCTGCTCTCCGTGGTGAACCATGGGACACGTATCGCTTTCTCGGACGCATCAGGCTACATCAAATGGGTTGAACGCGACGGGGTTACTGAGGTGCGCCGTTGTAAAATTGGACAGAGCGAGAAGAGCGAAAGTTATTCCATCTTCGCTTCAATGCCCGGGTCTGACGAGATCGCGCGGAAGTTGTTGCCGACACAACCAGCAGCTGAGGCTGGCAGCGATGATGGCAACGGCACGCGCAATGACAACAACTTGCTCTTTTGGACAGGCGACAAGCTGGGGCTGGTCACTTTCTCCTCACGGCCGGGATTCACGGCTGAGGACTTTGAAGAGGAGACCGAGACGCCTGATGCTCAGTTGTTTCTCGCTCAGAGCGAGTACAGTAAGAGAATGCGGCGGGCGCTTGAGCTCCAGGCGGACGATGTTCGGTTTGTGAGGAACCTCGGTCTCGGCAGCGGACTCCAACCAGCATCTGTTTGATCGCTCGGCTTCTGTGGTAGGTGATCGGCGGGATGTGAAGGCAGCGATGGCAGGTTCGTCAGCCAAGCGAAGCACGTGTTCAACGCACAATGCTCCAAATCTTTTTGTTTTGCATCATTACCAACAGCTGTCTCTGGATCATTGGTAGAGCGAATGAAATTTATATGCCCTCTTGTTATTGTGCCCCGAACATGCATGAGTGTTGTCAAATGACCAGCGTGGATGTTTTCCTGTGAAGCTGAGGTGTTTATGCGCATCTTAGCCAGTAGTATCAACCCTTCAAACTGGTAAGTCGTAGGTACGCTCGTACGGTAGTTATCCTGCCACATGCTTGCCTGTCCCGGTTGTCTGCCGGACGCGTTGTGGGCAGCGTCAGCCCTAGCGAGATCGGTGGACGAGAGGGTTGGCTGGCGTATGGAAGGTGCGGAGCTTCTCCGATAAGTCGAGGCGGCCAATCATCTGCTGCGCCGAAAGCCGACGAGCCAATCACCGGGGAGCTGGATCCCCTCTGAGACTCTGTCTCATCCGTCCACTCAGCTCCCTCATCACTGTCATCAGTGATGGAAGTTGGCAATGAACTGCAGTGAACCGAACAACAGCTGCTTGCCGCCCTCTGCAGCACGGCTGCATACCTTATGCATGTGCTTTTCCAGCCTGCCGCGAACAGCTCACCGCCGCCTCCACCTGGACGCGCTGTCTGGAGTCTCTGAACTCCTTTTGTTGTTTCCATCTTGTTGTCGTGCCCTGTTGGCTATCTCCGGCTCTTCCCGGTGATCACTGGTCTTGCCCGGAAACCCAGACCGCCATTCAGAACATGGGGCGGCGAGGAACGGGTTCAATGAAGTGCCCAACCTCAGGTTCCCCAGACAGCAGGCAGGATGCCCTGTTGCCACATGGACCGTCAAGCGACGTTGATCCGTGGCTGGTTCCGTTCTTGGGCTTTTTTTTAGCGCCCCATTCCTCAATTGGTGTTGCGTTGTCGGAAAAGGGCCGTCCAGGTGGCCGACCCATGTCCGGGTCTGGGTTGTGAGCAGACAGGCAGTGAGGCGAACCTAAACCTCTGTTTTGGGTCCTGTCCGACAAAGCCCCAGCTATGATCGCTTCCATCCTGGGACCGTGTTGAGCAGTCTCCTCGTTCGCTCTCGTCCATCCTATCCAAGTGTGACGGGGTTCCGCTTTTGCTCTCGGTATTATCGGACCGGCAGTGATCCTCTTGACCTGTCCTCTCTAGGACAGGAGCTGGCAACCTCGAGAGCTCCTTTGCCTTGCTGCCCGCCATATGTTTTACAACTTATGCCAGCTCTCATACCGTCTCCTAAGTATTCAGTTTTACGACAGAGACGGCATTCGTCTCTTTTGACACAGTCATCATTCTCGATCTCCGCTTCGAGCATGCCCTATGGCTCATCCGGCGGCAGGCGGGGACGACTACCCGCCGTTCCCTCCCCTTGGCGGTTACCACCATCCGGTCAAGAGGCGCATCCCCGATACCGTCGACGATGACGACCACCGCCACCTCTGGCACAAAAGACCGAAATATACGCAGCCTGCCCAGTTCGCTGAACCGGTCGCCTACAAAGCAGTGGATGAGCCGCTTCTCAGCTACACACCTCTTTACCAGCCTCGACCGCATCATGTACCCCATCGATACCCCTCCCCACTCCCTCACTTACCCTCCCCGGAACCGGCCGGTGGAGCGGCCCCGGCGATGGAGCGAACCGCATCAGGCCACTCTATCCTCCCAGACCCCACCGAACGGTGTGCCTCAACCGAGCTGCTTGAAGACCACGAAGCCGCCCAGCGAGTCCGCGACCACCTGGCCTCCTTCCGGCGGCGCAACCCGGACTCCAAACACGAGCGCATCCTCCGCAGCATTATCAACCCTCGCCCCCGCCGCCGCCGCCATCATCATCAGCACCATGGATCGCAGCCCCTCCCAGCCGACACAGCAGAGGAGGAAGATTATCCGCTCGACAACGACGCACTCGAGTCCATCTTCTCGGCCGCCAACGAGATCTTCTTCAACGGCCGCCTCAGCCAGCGCGTCACATGGGACTGGTCCCACTCGTCGAGCACTCGCTACGACAGCCGTGTGATCGGCACGACCGCCCTGCGGCGCGCTGCCGCCAGCACGCGCGGGTTTGAGACGTTGATCGTGCTCTCGTCGACGATCCTGAGGGATCCGCGGTTCAGTCGGCGGTTGCTAATCAGCACCTTCCTGCATGAGCTGATCCACAGTTATTTGTTCATCTGCTGTGGGTTCAGGGCGCGCTGGTGCGGCGGGCATACGCCCGGTTTCAGGGAAATTGCGGGGGTTATTGATGAGTGGATTGGTGAGGGGAGCGGGTTGTTTCTGAGTCGCGTGGAGGCGGACTTGGAGTTGTTCAGGATTGGCAGATGTAGACATGATCAGGAGGCGGATGGTGGTGGGTTTGGCATGGAGAGGGGAAATGCGAACAGCGAGGAGCAGGAGCTTGGGAGAGCCGTTCACGTTTATCCTTGCTCGGGAATGGTGGCTGAACAGGACGAGTATGCCGTCGACGTCGCGGCTACTCCGCCAACACCCCAGGAGGTGGTGTCGACCACGTACTTCGGGAGAGGCACCTTTCCGCGTTCCCCACCGGGTCCTGCACCCCACGAGGTGGTGCAGTTCTACAACGACCGCCCTGTCAGCCGTGACGGCGGCGGCAGAAATACCCCCGGGTGGAGGCAGCAGCACCGGGCTGTCCGTCCTCTCTACGTCTACACCGGCGCCGAGCCAATGGTGCCATACGTTTATCCGAACGGGATGCTGCAGAAGCCTTGATGTCATCACCGGGCTTCTGGCCATCTTCTTGTTTATTCCTCCTTTTCGTCTCTTTTGTCTTGAAGCGCTGCATGGTGTTGCATGGGTGGGAGGCTGGGCTCCTTGCATGGCGATGGCGTTCATAGATGTATGACAAGGCACACTTTGCATATATTAGCATTTGTAGGAGTACAATGTATCATGAGAAGAACTTCCGTTTTCTTTCACTGTCATCAACCGTGTTTGCGTGGTTACACGCTGGGATAAATGCTGTGTAGTCGGTACGAGTGAGGGTAACCGGCAGAAATGGACATAGATGGATCGCTGGCTAAGCGATACGATGGATGTAGCCCGCTTTTAAGCCTGGAGTCTCTACTTCGCATTAAATTTGCGGCGACAGGAGGATGCGAAAGTCCGCCGCTCCCTGTGGTGTGTTAGCTGTCACGGCGGTCGTGCTACATACTCGGAATCAGCCAGTAGGCCCCTTGCTCCCTTGGGGTAATGGTGGCGACGGATTCTGTGGCAGTCGAATGTGAAGGCTGGCCTGCAGTTTCGGGGCCAGTGGTTGGAAAACTGGTACTTTTCCTGAGGCGGTCGACCTCTGTCTGGAGACAGCTTCAAGTTCCTCCTAACCTTTAGTATCTATTGGAAGTCTCGACAATACATAGCCACGCTTCCCTCAAGATCCTGCCATCCTGATTTCGAGGTGAAGGCTCATAGGCTTTGATTTTACATACAACACGGGTACTGGGAGTTCCGTCTTCTCCGATACAATCGCTGACTCAAACCAGTATCCTGATAGCCCAACACACTGCATTACATCCCATACGCCTGTTCCATCCATGATCCAGCATCATTCATTCCTCATAACCTTTCGTGACAACCTGCAGCATCTCACAGCCGCCGGTACTCTTTCCCGCGGCGTCCTACGCCGCCTTACTGACCCCGCCATTCCTGTCGCCGCCGTCACCGCTATAGACGGCATCCCGACATAGCAAAGCAACCTTCTTGAAAAAGCGCCGCCACTCCAACGGATCGCCCTTGATCTTCACGAACCTCACTTCCAGGAGTTCCTGCTCCTCCGGCGACGGCAGCTGGTACCGATCCACCAGCACATCCCCGTGCAGACCCTGCCGTCTCCCGTCTAACGTCCTCACTTTCAGCATCGCCACGTGCTCGGCCTGCGGGTCCACGACGGGCGCCCGCCCCGGCTGGGGCACGTTGAGCTGGTGCAGCGCGTCGCTCAGCATCTGCACCAGCAGCGCCGGCGGCATGCAGGAGAAGAAACGCGTGAGCGAGTAGGACGGCACGATGTCTCGGAACTGGCGGGCGTGTTGCGTCAGGCTGAGGGGCACGCCGGGGGTCTGCGAGAACTGGCTCATTGTCGGCTCGTCCGCGAGGGCTTCGAGCGCGAGGTTGAAGCCCAGGCGGGACTTGGCCACGGCAGCGGCGGCGAGGGGCTGGGTGGAGGAGATGGCGTAGGTGCCTAGCGTGCGAGGCGCAGGTCGCTCCCAGTCGAAGATAGCATCGGTTAAGGGTGTTTCGGGTTGGGTGGCTGGGAGGTTGGAGGACCAGTCGTGGCTGGGTTGGGAGTCGAGATCCATTGCTTCTGGCTGCGATTGACGCTGAGAATGGGTGGGCTGGGCAGTCAGGTCGATGCGGAGGCCGGCGAGCATCTGCGCTGCCAGGGCGACGGGGTCCGAGACCATGCCGTCGGCTGTCAGGAGCGGGTTGCGGCGCGTGTACCAGGGATGCTGGCGGATTTGGGCGAAGGAAAATCGTTTGTTGGCTTCGATGTTCATCATGCCACGGAGCAGCGACAAGGCGTCGGCGGGTATTCTCCCCCAGAGGGAGTCGGTGCTGCGGCCGTTCGTCCGGACATACTCCTGGAACTCCCAGCTCCCTGAGGTCGGCTCGTCCCACGGTGTGTTGCCTACTAAGAGAACGAACAGGATGACGCCGCAGGACCAGATATCGACCAAGTCTGCCGAGTACTTCGCGCTGTTTGACGACTTTTTATCCTGCCTTGCGCACAGCAGCACCTCCGGGGCGATGTACGGCGGGCTCCCACACATAGTGCTGCTCTGCTTCCTCGCCCCCTTATACTCGAACATGGTCGCCATTCCAAAATCGGCGATCTTGAGGTTCCCGCTTTCCGACAAGAGGATGTTCTCGGGCTTGAGATCTCGGTGCGCAACGCCCTTGGAGTGCATGAAGCTGACGCCGCTGATCAGCTGCAGGAAGTAGAGGTGGGCGATATCCTCCTGTACACCGACATCTGCCTCAATCTTGTCGAAGAGGTCACCACCCTCGGCGAACTCCATGGCGATCCATCTCCACACTGCGTCCTCGCCGGTCGCGAACCACTCGATGATGTTTGGGTGCTGGCCAATATGCGAGTGCAACGACACTTCCATCGCAATCTGCTTTGCAGATATGCGCCCCTGCCTGACGGCATAGCCCTTGTGTATCAGCTTCACAGCGAAGACTGGCGATGGCGCCTCCAGGGGTATCGCTTTCTTGATCCTGGCGATCTGTCAGTGTGGGGCGCTTCAGCGTAGCGTGTAACTGGGGAGCCAGGGCAAATCTCACGATGCATATGCGCCCCTTCCAATGGTTTTGGATATGATCCGGAACGGCAGATCGCTTGGAAGAGGATCCAGTTGCGATTGCTGCATCTTGACGCTTTTAGCTGATATTCTTACATCGACAAGCGGAAGAGGCTGTTGTGTGCTTCAACAAGACTCAGGGGGCCACAGATTCCCAGAGAAATGCGTATTAAACCACCTCTGACTAGGTACTATAACAAATGGAAACAGCAGGCGTAACTAGTGCTTAGAGATTGAATTTCAAGACCGATATGGCATGAGTGGTTCTGACAAGTGGCTGATGAGACGCACTCACCATGTTCGAGATTGGCGACGCGTTAGATTGAGAGACGCGTTCTGGTCGCGTTAAGTGAATTTACCTAAGCGACTATGCCGCCAGGCGGCCATTGTTTGCCTGAGGCGTTATGACTGTACAGTGTAGACAGCTGATTGGCGGCTAGGAATTCAGTCCCGCACCGTGGTTGCTAGAGGGGCTCATTCGTCGCCTAGCGGTTGGTGGGGCAGGTGAACGTCGTGTCCGTCTGTAAACATTCCTGCCCGAATCTGGAACTGTGTGTTGCGTGCCTTCCCACTCATTTCGAACCATCGCTTTCAGCTCTTGCCGGCAACTCTAAGCTTGCGCTACAGTCTTCAAGTAAGGCTTGTCGCCTTTCAGTTACAGGTACGGATTTTTATCTTCCCCTAAACACCATTTCAATCTGCGCATCCGAACCCTAGAGATATTGACCCTTTTACCTTCAATAGTATCTGTCAAGGCATTGTGCTTTAGACCTCGCTTTTAACGTCGTCTTGGATTCCATTGCTTGAACATCTTCAGTGACCTGGTCGGCGCCTCAGGTTACGTCATGTCTTTCATCGAAGACAGCCAAAACTCCGCTCCGGACAGTGTCCAAACCAGCAAGCTTGGAGCAGCAAGGAAAGGTGCTGAGCCTGGACAAAATGCTGCGAAGAGGTCCGTCGACTCCCTGGAACGCGCGGAGATCGCCGCCCAAACACAGCGTGCGACTGACATCGGAGCCTACAGGTTGCAGACGGAGCTTATGCAGCTCATGACCTCGCCCGCGCCAGGCGTTTCCGCTTTTCCGTCAGCCGACGGCAACTTGCTCTCTTGGAGGGCTACAATCGAGGGCCCCGAAGACACGCCCTACTCCGGCCTCTCGTTCAAGCTCAGCTTCGAGTTCCCGTCCAACTATCCATATGCGCCGCCAACCGTGCTCTTCCGGACGCCTATCTACCACCCCAATGTCGACTTCTCGGGGCGCATTTGCCTTGACATCCTGAAGGACAAGTGGACCGCGGCATACAACACCCAGACCGTGCTGTTGAGCCTGCAATCTCTGCTGGGAGAACCCAACAAGTATGTAGCGCGCAGCGGATCCTTCCATTGCTCAAATGTTCAACTAACCCTTTGCAGTGCATCCCCACTAAACGGTGAAGCTGCTGAGCTGTGGGACAAGGATCCCGCTCTATTCAAGACCAAGGTCATGGACCGCCACAAGGACATTGAGGACGACTGAATGAGGCATTGGGCATGGATTCGCGTTTCCTGGTTTGGCATGGAGCATCGGAGTTCTCAGCTGCTTGTTCGGGCCTCAAGCTTCACCGGAGCATTGGTCCCCTGGTTAGGATTGCATGGCCGGGTCGGATTGCTTCATGGATATGGCATCGTTTGTCTGCTGGTGGCGCAGGTTGATTGTACATCAAGCATTGGCTTTAATGGACGTTGGTTGTCCATAAGCGTATCACCCTGAGATAATCCCAGCGCATCATTTTTAGCGCTCCCCAAGCAGCCCCATCCCCACAGCGCCTTGCCCGGTCGGTGAAATGCTTTCTGGTATCGAAGGTGCCGTGCTTTACGAACCCATGTATTCGTAATAGGAAGCTGCCAGATGCCATGCAAAAACTCCGGAAAAGCCCAATACCGCCCTGAAACCGAACCACGGCCCAATCGCGATACCCCAGTTTGGTTGCCCAACAGTTACTCCTCGACGACGACGGTGTGCAGACCCTTGGGGTTCTTGACGTTGACAGCCTGCACGTAGCTGTAGAGCTTCTCCTTGGCGCCCTCCTCGTCGTTACGTCTCCGCGAGATGCGAATGCGGAGTCTGTAAGGCACGCCCTTGACACCCTGCTCCCAGACCTTCTTGTTCAGCTGGGGGTCCAGCCGCACGTCCGTGGTGCCCTAAAAGCCATCACTGTCAGCCTCCTGCCCGTAGCCTCCAAGCCAACCGGCTCGACACCGAAGTTCTTGTGTTTTGTTTGCTCGGCATCGACTGGTTGGCGTTTGGTCGAACATACCATAGCCTTGGTCGCGAACGCCTTGATCTCCTTGATCGCGCGAGGAGCCCTCTTCTTGAACGTGACACCGTGCAACTGCCCACGCAGTCAGCATCACGAGATGTATTCAGAACATATGTCTGCAAGTCATACCCGCTTGTGCATGTGGATGGTGTACTCGCGGGCCACGACGTCGGCGATGGCCGAGCGAGTGGCCTTTCCTGAGGGCTTCTTGGACGACATTCTGGCAGTTGCTCGTTGTCAGCGGGGGCTGCAGCGTTGATGACTGGAATATTTTTGTCCTGGGATGACTCGACACGGAATTGAGGTCGGGGCTACGTACTTTGGCGACGTCTGGATCTCGTGCACTCGCAGTCGGTAGAGTGGTGTCGAGGTGTCGTCGGTTTCGCAGGGTTCGGTAAACCTACCTCTGGGGAATTTTGCACCCGATTTTCCCGCGAATTCAGCGAAAGTGCGGGCCTGGGCTCAAACTGCCCTAAAGCGGAAAGGTTGCTGTGGCTCGTGCCGGTCCCCAGCCACTGGGTGGCTGTCCAAGAAGTATTGTGCTACACAGCTGCCAGACAGCTGGCAGTGCGTCATTGCAACGCTCGGATATGCCAGCCTTGGCTCCATTCAATTTCAACTTTAATTGGAAACTTCAAGACCCACTCCTGTCAGGCATTCCTTTGCGCAAGGAAGGAGCAACCGCGACTCGGGTCTGTTTCTGTGAGCTCCGCTAATACGAAGCCAAAGCAACAAGTATCACCACTCGGTCTTCACAAGACTAACTCAACCAGTGCGCTGTGCGCACACACGTTCTTTCCGTTTCCCTGCTCCCCTGCTCCCCGAGTTCGCCAGCCTCCTCTCTACAAGACCCCGGGGTGTAGTTTCACCTCGTCATCGTGCAACACATTGCAATTTATGCAGTGGATCGCAAGTTACCCGACCGACCACAGCCACCAGTGTTCAGGAGAAGCTTTAAGGGCACAACTTGACGCGACTCGAATTTACGATCATTACCTTCCCCGTTCTCTCACCCTGACCTCACTCGGCTTCAATCAAATCACGTCTCTGTGTTCAAGATGGCGGAGCTTGGAGCAACTGATCACTCACCCCAACCTGATGTAATCAGGAACCGCCTCCCGACACTCTTTGAGGTTCTTAGCCGGCGGACGCTTCCTCCAGTAGACCTGTTCTCGTTCTACATTTATATGCGCGATCAGCAGCGCTCCGTCGACTACCTCGACTTTTGGTTGGTGTTTTCGCTTGCTCTGACCAGGATTGTGAATTGTCTAACTATATTTCAGGCTCGATGTCGCGCAACATATGTCCCTCTGCCGCCACTATGTGCGCGAGCTTCGTCGCTCGGTGCTGGTTGGCACGCCCGACCCTGACGAGAGCTCCAAGCGATCTTCGCGCATTCTGGAAGGCCTTGGTGAGATGAACCACCCTGTCGCGGGACCGTCAATGTACCAGTCGGAGAAAGAGAAAGACCAAGATGCGCAGATGTCAGCTTTCCTGCGGGAAGAGCGAGGAGAACATCAAGAATCTCCCATAAGCGGCAGCGCGAGACAGGATCGGCCAAGTCCCAACGTTAGCACGCCCCGCGAGCCGCCTACGGACTCAAACTCCCCACCTCATACGGTTGCTCGACAAGACATCAGAGCCTCTGCCGAGAAGATCCTCTACACTTTCCTCCTCCCGGGTGCGGAACGCGAAATCACTCTTCCAGGCTCGATCACGCAGGACGTCACGACAGCTATTGAGGAATTCGGTAGAGACGATCCCGAGGTATTCGATGTGGCTAAGGACTACGTCTTCCAGGCCATGGAACGCGATGCTTTCCCGGGCTTCCTCAGAATGAAAGCGCTTGGAAACCTTATTCCGCCGACACTGATCTTGCGCCTTATCGTCGGGCTTGTCTCCATGTTTGGTGGTTTCTGGGCAGCGTTCATTCTGATCTTTCTCAACGAGTCTCGGAGCGTGAGACTCTGGGTATGTAACAACGAACGTTTATCATTTCACTGCAGATGACTAATTGTTTTCGTAGCTGATCCTTCCCTTCACAATCGGCGTCTACTGCCTCGCCTCCTACCAGTACTCACTGGACCCCATCCTCGCTCTCATCGGCCTGAGCGAATATACCCCCTTCAACTTCTCTCGGGTGCGGGAACCGTACGTTCGGAAGCTTTTGGCTCGCCGAGCGCTCATGGTTCTCACAGTGACGGTCCTTATCGACGCAGCGCTCTGCGTTCTCTTCGTTCTTGTCCCAGGCAAACGGCTTTAGACGACATGGGCCTGCTCTACGGGGGTGTGAGCTGGTCTCACTCCCGACCAAAATCATCAAGAACGACGTAACCTCAACCAGGGACCGTTCTTCAATCATGACCGTCACGACCGCAGGGATTTTCTTTTACATTTTTTCCGCCTCCTGAATGGAGCGACCGGGAGGCACAAGCATTCGCATAGTTACAGGGCGGCAGGGCTAGAGGACGGACCCCGTTAGGTGTTTAGGATATCGGCGTGCGCTCTCAGCATTTATTCATCTGCCATCAGCTTTCCATGATGTTTCTCGCCACAAGCCACAGCTCCCTACTTGCTCGATGCTATTTTAGCTTTCTGATTTCCCCATTACAAGTCGCCGCCGATGTAAGATATCAAACCACCCAGCATGGTGGGCGTTTTACTAGTTAAAAGCTTAGTTCCATCCGATTGCACTGCGTTTAGTTCACTCAAATTAGTGCAGAGGATTCATAACTTCCATCATTCAAGTTTGTCAGGCGCAGTACTACGACAGGTGGCTTAGCCCCGTTCGGCACCTTCGCCGACCATGCAACGCCGAGTCCCATGTTCTCGTCACCCCCCTTAATCCCCTAATTTCCGCCGACTCACCCTTCCCTTTCCACTCGCCTCGTCATCTTCGTTATCCGTACTCATAGCGTCTTCATCCGTATCGCCGTCGTCTATTTGCCCGTTGCCTCGCTTGACAGCAGACCTCACTTCGACGTCCGTCGCCCTACCGGCGGCCCCTGTGCCGCTTGCGCTTGGGATCCCGGGTTGTGCGACGAAACCGCTGCTGCTGCCGCCAACAGTCAGCATGCTGCTCATCTCGTGCCAGGGAATGTTGTATGTGTTTCCGCCACCGCCGTTGCCGGATGATGGGCAGGATGGATTATTGATAGAAGCGGTAAGGTGACGGAAGAAGGGTATGCCTGTGGAGGCGACCGTGGCGGTGGCGGCACCAATAGAATCAGGGTGGGACATGGTAATAGGTGGTATAGACGAAGGGACTTGCCCACCCTTCTCTTCGTTTTCCACCAGCTTCCGTGTCTCCTCTGCACGGGCGGCTGCCTTGGCTGCGCGGCGGTCGGCGTCGGCTCGGAGTTGGTTCATCTGGCACGAGAGAGATTGGAGAGTCGCGTCGCACCGTCCGGCCCACGCTTGTAGCGAAGACAGAAGGCTGCCGATGGCGGTAGGCGCGACGTCGCGCAGGGGCGCTACGCTGTTGATCTGTACGAGCGAGGTCTTGGGGTTGAGCTGTGCCTTCAGCAGTCCGGCGTAGATGGCGCTGATGACTAGTTCCTCAAGGGCCTGGCGGCTCGGCAGGTCAAGGGCCTTCTGCAGCGAGGCGTAGTCGAGACGTGGTGAACCGGCATTGTCGCTGTCGCTACCCTTCTTTACGAGGGTCAAGAGCGATAGCTGGCGGAGCTTCAGGCGCTGAGCATCGTTCAGTTCTGGCAGGCCCGTGGTGGATGTGTACGTGGAGTAAGTGCCATGGCTGAAGATCTCGAGCAGGGTGAGGTACGGCGCAAACTCGTCCGACGAGCCGAGAGCCTGGACTTGCGGGGTCTGCAGGAGCTCGGTGAAGATGTATGTATTTGGGGCTGAGGTTGCCCGCACGATCAGGTCGGCTGCCGCGCGGGGGGATGTGGCTGATTTGCTAAGAGCCAGGAAGGGCTACGGGCAGTATCAGTCTCACAGATCGGTCTGTCTAAGCTCCGCTTGTTTGCCAGTCGGGAAACTGGGGAATATGGTGATGATGACGCACCTCGAGGGCATTCAGAGCTTTCGTTTGCTCCATCTTGGGTCGATTGGGACCTTACCGTACTACTTATCAAGCTCTGCCGGCCAAGAAAGCTGATGCTAGAAACGAAAAGTCGTTCAATGTCAGATTGAAGAGTTTAGGTTGGTGCTCCAAGCTGCAGGAGCCTCAAGCTGCAGCCTTCCCCTCAGCAGTTGCTTGGTGGGGTCAATCAGCGAGCTCTAGTCTGGGACACTGTAAGGCTGAGCCAGACCCGACCGGATGCTTTCAGCCCGACCGGATCCATTGCTTTCAGCCCCTGCCAGCTCTGAATCGTGGGTGGTATGGCTGGATCGACAGTGCCAAGTTCGCCACAGTACAGAGGACACCCAGTATGATTGAACTACGATAACCGTTTATTCTCGCTTCGAGCTCCTCGACCCCTCAATAGCTTCATCGAATCCCTTCGTGGTCCCTTCACAATCTCTAGCGCCAAGTGCTGCGTCAGATCTGTTTGAAACCAAACCGTCTTGGCCGCCTTCGATCCACAGCAAATTCGGACCCTTCTCTCAGCCCGGCCTGTCCCGTACACTAGCGCACTTTTAAAGCAGCAAGGGCCGCTCGCGAGCGTGCCGAGAGGGGCACACAGTGTGCGGAATGTGGAGGGCAGATGTCCCTCACGCATGCAGCTGTGTCCATATTGCGACGGGATGGGCAACCAGCCAAGGCGGAGAGGGTGCAATCAACTGAACTATTGAATATTATTGCCAGAAAAGTTGCCGTGCATGTGACCACCATCCAGCAGCTATCGGCATTCATCACGGTACTACGGGATATCAGATACAGGACTGGAACCCAGGAACATGTGTCTAGCAGGTAGATATTTCGTATAGAAGACAAGAGCGCGAGAACAGAATCATTTCTCATGCTGGGGAAGAACCGCGATCTTCCAGCAAGTCCCTCTCCCAGTGATTTCCGGCGGAATCTCCGGAGCGAAAATGGAGGATTCGAGGCTGAGTATTCTGTACTTGATGGTAAGGGAGGGTAAAGCCGGCTCGACCGGTAACGCCGGCAACACCGGCTCTAATGGCACTGCACTGGATCTGGTACATTCCGACGCCCCGTGAAAATCCCTCCTTGAATGTTCTTGAATATAACGTAGCTGAGTGTGTGGGAGGCTCTGATCGAAGTACTAATGGAAGAAGACTGAATTGGTTTAAAATGAATATCAGATATGGCTGTACATTAGTTGATACAGTGTTCAGCACTGTCGGCCGCCTGCGACAGGGGTTTGCCGCGTGCCCAGCCCACTGAGACCAGACGGAACGGGAACGGAGCTGACAAACTCGGAACCGTCGCTGCCGCGGGCGCTGTCGCGAACATTCCTATCTGGCCTTTCTTTTACGTTCTTCATTTACAAGTACACCTCTTCGTTGTTCTGTCCCAGACGCGGATTTGCCATCGCTGGAAGTTGGCCTGCTCTGGTGTTTTTTTTGTCTGAATTGGAAGTTTCGTGCTGCGCTTGATTAATCACGCTCGCGCCGTGGCAAATGTTATAGCGACGATTGCCACTACTCCCACTACTCCCACTACTCCCACTACTCCCACTACCCCAAACTCTCTCACCTCTTCAGGTTGCACAAGTGCACCCGCCAGTTTAGTTCGCGCCGGTTACCCGGACTTCAGTCAAGAAAGGGAAGCAGCACACACTTCGCCAGTATCAGGGGTGGGTTTGTAGGATGGCGCCAGCCAATATCCGCGTCCCGCCCGGAGATGGCGGATCGCTAGCCGCGCCGACGGCGCATATGGCGACGACCACCCTCAAAGTGGAGGGGATGACGTGAGTTCTGTACTGCGCCGAGGGTTGACTCTCTTTTCTAACGCTCTCTAGTTGTGGCGCATGCACCTCGGCAGTTGAAGCAGGCTTCAATGGCGTGGACGGCGTTGGCAGTGTTTCGGTCAGTCTCGTCATGGAGCGAGCGGTGGTGATGCACGATCCACAGCGGATATCGGCCGACAGGATACGGGAGATCATTGAGGACCGTGGATTCGATGCAGAAATTCTGTCGACAGACCTACCCTCCCCGGTTGCACCCCGCCCTTCATTCGGCGTGTTCCCTACGCACGGCCCAGCTACGACCATTACAACGGTGGCAATCCAGGGCATGACTTGTGGTGCCTGTACGTCGGCGGTAGAAAGTGGATTCAAAGACGTTCCCGGGGTTAAGCATTTCAGCATCTCATTGCTGTCGGAAAGAGCCGTGATCGAACACGACCCGCGCCTCGTCACCACCGAGTCGATTCGCGAGATTATCGAAGACCGGGGGTTCGACGCCGAGATTGTCGAAAGTAAGAAGAAGGAACCAGAAGGCGGGACAGCGCCGGACGGTGAAACAGCTATATCGACTGCCACCACGACCGTCGCGATTGAAGGAATGACCTGCGGCGCTTGCACATCGGCTGTTGAAGAAGGGTTCAAGAATGTGGATGGTGTCTTGCGCTTCAATATCAGCTTGCTAGCGGAGCGGGCGGTCATCACGCACGATCCGGCGAAACTTCCAGCAGACAAGATTGCGGAGATAATTGAGGACCGGGGCTTCGACGCCAAGATCCTTTCAACAACTTTCGATTCTCTCAGCCCCTCCGGCGGTACCTCGACAGCGCAGTTCAAGATCTACGGAAACCTAGATGCGACTGCTGCGGAAGTGCTTGAGGAAAGACTGAGGGCACTCCCCGGTGTCAGCACCGCAAAGCTTGTCCTCAGCACCTCCCGGCTCACCGTGGCCCACCTCCCTAATGTGACGGGCTTGCGAGCCATCGTTGAGGCGGTCGAGTCAGCTGGCTTCAATGCTTTGGTTGCAGACAACGACGACAACACGGCCCAGCTTGAGTCTCTCGCCAAGACTCGCGAGATCAATGAATGGAAGCGGGCATTCCAGATCTCGGCGTCTTTCGCTGTCCCGGTCTTGGTCATCAGCATGATCCTCCCCATGTGCTTGCCGGCCCTCGACTTTGGTTCGATGAGAATAATACCCGGCCTGTATCTCGGCGACATAATCTGTCTGGTCCTCACAATACCTGTGCAGTTCGGCATTGGGAAACGGTTCTACAAATCAGCTTGGAAGTCGATCAAGCACGGTTCACCGACCATGGATGTCCTAGTGGTTCTAGGCACATCCTGCGCATTCTTTTTCAGCGTTATGGCCATGCTCGTCTCCCTCCTTTTCCCGCCTCATACAAGGCCGAGCACCATTTTCGACACAAGCACCATGCTGATCAGCTTTATCACCCTCGGCCGCTTCTTGGAGAACCGCGCGAAGGGCCAGACCTCGAAGGCCCTCTCGCGACTCATGTCTCTTGCCCCGTCCATGGCTACCATCTATGCTGACCCAATCGCCGCGGAAAAGGCTGCTGAGGGTTGGAGCGCTGACGCCAGCGCGGAAGAGCCCAAGCAGCCTCTCGACGGCAACTCAGCCGAGGAGAAAGTGATTCCGACCGAGCTTATTCAAGTGGGGGACATTGTTATCCTTCGACCAGGAGACAAGATCCCTGCAGATGGTGTCTTGGTCCGGGGAGAAACGTACGCGGATGAGAGCATGGTCACCGGTGAGGCCATGCCGGTTCAAAAGACGAAGGGAAGTTTCTTGATCGGCGGAACCGTCAACGGCCACGGAAGGGTCGACTTTCGCGTAACACGAGCCGGTCGCGATACCCAACTCAGTCAGATCGTCAAGCTCGTGCAAGACGCGCAAACGAACCGCGCCCCCATCCAGCGGTTGGCGGACATTCTGGCGGGTTACTTTGTCCCGACCATCTTAATCCTGGGCCTCACAACCTTCCTCGTATGGATGGTCTTGAGTCATATTCTTCCGCACCCGCCCAAGATCTTCCTGGAAGAGACGAGCGGCGGCAAGATCATGGTATGCGTTCAGCTCTGTATCTCCGTCATTGTCTTTGCATGCCCCTGCGCCCTAGGTCTGGCGACTCCCACGGCCGTCATGGTGGGGACCGGTGTCGGCGCCGAAAATGGTATCCTCGTCAAGGGCGGCGCCGCCCTCGAGACCACGACCAAGATCACGCAGGTTGTGCTTGACAAGACCGGCACCATCACTTACGGAAAGATGAGCGTGGCCAACGCCACTATCGCCTCGCCGTGGAAGGATACTGACTGGCGCCGGCGGATATGGTGGACCATCGTTGGCCTCGCCGAAATGGGCAGCGAGCACCCGATCGGCAAAGCTGTTCTCCGCGCCGCCAAGACGGAGCTTGGCCTCAGCCCCGACGCGACGCTCGAAGGCAGTATCGGCGACTTCTCTGCAGCTGTTGGTAAGGGCATCAGCGCGTATGTCGAGCCGGCATCGGCCGCCGAGCGAGCCCGGTACAAGGTCCTGATCGGCAATGTCCCCTTCCTCCAGCAAAACGACGTCCACGTGCCGCAAACCGCCATCGAAGCCTCGGAGCTCGTCAGCATCGCCCGCTCCGGCAAGTCCAACGCCGGCACAACCAACATCTTCATCGCCATCGATGGCGGCTACGCAGGCCACCTCTGCCTCTCCGATACCATCAAAGAGGGCGCTGTCGCTGCCATCGCTGTCCTACACCGCATGGGCGTCAAGACCGCCATGGTGACCGGCGACCAGCGCGGCACGGCCCTCGCCGTCGCCTCCGCCGTCGGCATCCACGCGGACGACGTCTATGCCGGCGTCTCGCCAGACCAGAAGCAGGCTATCATCCGCCAGCTGCAAGCATCCGGCTCGGTCGTCGCCATGGTCGGAGACGGCATCAACGACTCGCCCGCCCTGGCCACCGCCGACGTGGGTATCGCCATGAGCTCGGGCACCGACGTGGCCATGGAGGCGGCTGACGTGGTGCTGATGAGGCCCAACAACCTGATGGACATCCCCGCGGCGCTGCACCTCGCCCGCACCATTTTCCGAAGAATCAAGATGAACATGGCCTGGGCGTGCATGTACAACGTCGTCGGCTTGCCGTTTGCTATGGGCATCTTCCTGCCGCTCGGCTGGCACATGCACCCCATGATGGCGGGCGCGGCGATGGCGGCCAGCAGCGTTAGTGTCGTGATGAGCAGCTTGTGTCTCAAGTTCTGGAAGCGGCCGCGGTGGATGGACGAGGCGGAGGCCGAGGAGAAGGGAGGGGTCATTCTTAGGAAGGGTAAAGGGTGGGGACTGATGGGCAGTGTGAGGGAGGTCGTTGGGGGGTGGTTTGGTGTTGGTGGGAGGAGGAGGAACCAGGCGGAGGGGTATGTACCGCTTGCAACGTTGGATGGGCCGGAACAGGCCGTTTGAGAAAGGGCCGAGTCTTCCCTTGCAGGCTTCAATTTTCTTATGTCTTCTTGGGTATGACTGGCGTTGGGGCGCGATTTGCCTAGGTACCTTAGGCCCGGGATGCCTCGGCACGCCCGCAGCGGTGTTGTGCTGTGTTTGTGCTTTGTTGTGGAAGCGTTTTCAGCTATATACCTCTCCGAATGTCCAATTCTCATTGTCTCTACAGTACCAATCAACAGCATCTTGCAGATCATACCAGATCACCGCTCTCCCTTCACTCCCTCACTGGGGCTTTGATGACGGGAAAGCTATCGGTAGGTGCTGCGAGACCTTAGATACAGCGCGCTAGTGAGGGAGGTAGGAACTGGCGAAGGGATTTGTACGTGGTTGGTCAAGGGCAAACCAGGTGACGATGAAGTCAAGCCCAGCAAGGAAGATACAGGATAACGGAGAGAGCACAACATTCATGCTGAAGTTTGGATTCTTCAGGGCATATTTCCTATTGTATCATTATCCCAAGTCCTCCTCCTTTAGCCACGGTGACTTGCTGTCACGAGTTCGACTGTCTACCCATCTCCCCAGACTCAAGATTATTCTAGGTCGGCCCTAGTACTCTTGCTACTGCCCTTCCCGCTGAGTCACGCAAGCAAACCCATGCAAATTGCAGGCTTCGCCTAACTTGCATCCGCAGTGCTGTACCGAAATATTGATCCGTGGATCCCCGAACTACGCCGCGGAGATCACCTGCGCTTTTGACACGGCAAGTAGACGGCGGTTCGAACATCCGTTGCGAGGTAGGACATATTCCTAGGCTTCGCCTAAATACCTAGGCGTGCTGGTGGCATCTTCGAGTCTCCAGACTCGAAGCTCTGGCGTTCTTGTTCATAGAAGATCCGCCGTTTAGAAGCCCGGTTGGATGTAGGCCTTCATCGCCTTGACCGCGTCCCCGTCGTGCGCCTTGAGCAGTTCGGTAACCTTAGCCTTGGGCAGCTCGAGCTCCTCGACCTGTTTGAGCGAATGCCTGGTCAGCCAACGCATCCCTTTATTACGAACTTGTTCCTTCACCTGCGGCTGCATCAATCAGGAATCAGGATACGCACCAGCAAGGTCACATCCGCCGCGTCCACCTTGACCTTCTTGGTCTCCTTCTTGTCCGTGCTGCCGCCTAGCGCATTCATGGCATTCTTGACGGCCTCCTGGTCGACCTCCCGGCCCGGGGCAGCCTCGTCATCGCCGCGTGCGTCGAGCTTCGAGAGGGCCGCAGCCGCCTTGCGGTCCTCGGCCGACTTGGCGGTTGATTGGACCTCGTCTTCGACGTCGCCCGAGGTAGCGCCCTCCACGATGTCGGCGGGTTGTCTGTCTTCGGCCATGGTGATGAAATGTGGTTGAGGGTGGGCAAGGGAGCTTGTGCCTGATGTGGGACCCTGCGTCGAGAGCTTGAGCTCAAAGAGGTCAACAAAATGGGCTCTGGGTCAATGTGGGGGAGGGGCAAGTTTAGAGCAATCAGGTGTAACGTTATATACCAGTGTGTAAGTGTACAATGGCTAAACTGTACTTGGATACCTGTGCCCGAAGTCTTTCATCACCATGATCGCGTGATGAGGAATCGTTGTCTGTTCTTGTTGAGATTATAAGTGAAGTAAGATTGGTTTCGAATGGTTTACTACCCAAGCAGAAGGGTAAGGCCTATTATTATACACTTTGAACAACCTAGAGTATGGTCATCTCACTGAGCGGCCCAGTCACCACATTGGAGCGGGAAGAAATTCGATTGGTCAATTCTCCTTTGTTTCACCCCTCCTCGAATGTTTTCTGGTTTGCCCACTCAAGCTTGACTCACAGGCACAATGAGGTACTCACAATCTAGTTACATCTCTCTTCGATCTGATTTCAAGCCCGGCTGATTAGGAGGCCGATGTATCAGGCTGGAGCCCTTCTTGTTTTGTGTCAGCCTAACCTGTTTTCTCTTGCAGCATCGCTTTATCCAGCCCAGACTCTTCCTCTAAATCACTAAGTTGGATATCCCAATGAGCGGGTCGAGCGTTTCAGCTGCCACCGGGCAAGTCCCTGAATGGACGCCAGATTCATGGCGATCCAAGCCCATCAAGCAGTGTCCGGAGTACCCAGACCGGGAAGCACTCGCAAAGTCCGTGGCTGCTCTTAAGCGGCTCCCACCCATTGTCCACCCCCGCGAGATCGTGGAGCTCAAGCAGCATCTCCGGGACGTGGCCCAAGGGAAAGCCTTCCTGCTGCAAGGGGGTGATTGTGCCGAGCTCTTCGACTACTGCGAGCAAAATGCGATCGAGTCCAAGATCAAGCTGCTCCTGCAGATGAGCTTGGTTCTCCTCTGGGGCGCCAACAAACGAGTCGTGCGCATCGGGCGTATGGCCGGCCAGTACGCAAAGCCGCGCTCCAGTCCCATGGAGACCGTCAACGGTAAGCAGGTGCCGTCTTTCCGGGGGGACATCCTCAACGGCTTCCACCCCGACGAGAGGGAGCTCGACCCCGACAGGCTAGTCAGGTATTTCTCTCTCTCTCTCTCTCTCTCTCTCTCTCTCTCTCTCTCTCTCTCTCTCTCTCTCTCTCTCTCACACACACACACACACACACACACACACACACACACACACACACACACACACACACACATCTCACTAGACCGCCCTGAAGGAGCCATGACTAACCACACAGTCAGGGCCTACCACCACTCGTCAGCAACGCTGAACTACGTCAGAGCAGCCATCGCGTCCGGCATCGCCGATCTAAGCCGGCCCCTTGACTGGGGCCTCGGCCACGTGCGCGACCCGGCGCTCAAGGCCAAGTACCAAAAGGCGGTCGACTTCCTCAAGGACATGCGCGCCTTCCTGCACACCATCGGCGCCGAGAACGAGAAGTTCCACACAGTCGACCTCTTCACCAGCCACGAGGGCCTGCTGCTCGAGTACGAGGAGCCGCTCACCCGGCTGCTCGACGACCCGACCTCGCCGCCGTCACGCCCCCCGACGAAGGCCTACTACAACACATCCGCCCACTTCCTGTGGATCGGCGACCGCACGCGGCAGCTCGACCACGCACACGTGGAGTTCTTCCGGGGCATCGCAAACCCGCTGGGCGTGAAAGTCGGCCCCACGACGCCCGCGTCGGACCTGCTCGCGCTGCTGCGCACGCTCAACCCGTCGCGGGAGCCGGGCAAGATCACGCTCATCACGCGCTACGGCGCCGACAGGGTGGGCGAGCTGCTGCCGGCCCACATCCGCGCGGTCGAGGACAGCGAGTATGCGCGCACGGTGGTGTGGCAGTGCGACCCGATGCACGGCAACACGCGGTCGGTCACAGGGGGCATCAAGACGCGGCGGTTTAGCGACATCTTCAGCGAGCTGCAGCAGACGCTACGCATTCACAAGGAGCAGGGCAGCTATCTGGGCGGCGTCCACCTCGAGCTGACGGGCGATGCCGTGACGGAGTGTCTGGGCGGGAGTGAGGGGCTGGATGAGGATGATTTGTCGACGAACTATACCAGTTTCTGTGACCCCCGGTTGAACGAGAAGCAGGCCCTGGAGCTGGCGTTCTTGATTGCGGACCATTACCGGAGTGAGAGGGTAGAGGAGGATTGTGAGAGCTGAGCAGCCTTGTCGAGAATTTAGGGTGATGTTGGCATCGCGTTATGAACATGGATGCTCCATCTCCTCTTAGGTACGGAAGGAGCTGGTATGGAAAACTAGATTTACATACGCAGTGGTATGTACACATGTGAGACATTGCCAGACTTGGCTTTTTTTCAGCTGTTGGGCTCTTGAAAAAGTCGCTCTATCCATGACACAACCAACCTTTGAGAACCTGTTTCTCCCAGCATTTCGCAGAACCCTCGCGGTTGAATATCTGCAGAACATAACAGTAGTAACCGCACCCAAATGCCGTATGCTTACTGAGACAGGTGTCGGACATCCTCACAAGACACTAGTACCCCTCAAGCGTCGTCCCCCTTCACTCTCGCCAGCCCACCGCGCCCGCCGTCAATCCAGCAGCGTGATAGTCTGCGCCCCCTCAAAGGCATCACCCGCTTCAACCGACTGCCACCCGCCCACCGCGCCGGGCTCGATGCAGATCATGTTCCGGAACCCGTCCTTGGGCGCAAAGTCGGCGATGCCCTGCGCCTTGTCCGTCCACGGGTTCCACACTACCACGTTGCTCAGGTTGTCTCGCACGACCGCGTAGCGGGGCTTGCCCCCTTCCACAACCGTCACGGGGTCGCTTGTCGGGTCACCCTGCGGGGTGTACACCCTGTCGGTCTCGCCCGTGATGGTTACGGTCGGGTCTGACTGCGTCTTGGAGGTCAGGTTGTCGACTTTGTCGATATATGGCGCGTTGGCGAGGCCCTGGACTTCTACGGAGTTGATATCCTGGTTGTGCATACCTATGTTAGTGGTTGGAAAACCAAGGAAAGGGAGGAGGGGGAGGATGATATGGGGAGCGTGCCTTGACCCGCAGGTAGGTATGCATCAGCACCTGGCAGTCAAACGGTGCCGAGTCGTCGTTGGTAGCAACGATGCTTGTCGTGAGACTCTTTTGGCCGAGCGTGATGCTGTAGATGAGGTTGAACTTGAACGGCCAGTGCTTGGTGGCTACGGGGTCGAGCCCCTGCGCGGCCGAGCTCAGGCCAAAGTCGAGCTTCACGGTGTTTTCGCCGGCGGCCCGACCATCCATCGACTCGGACGTCGACTTGCCCAGGAACTCCCAGCGAGAAGTGCGCGCAAAGCCGTGTTGCGGGAGGTCCTTGGTCTGCGGGTGGTCCGGGGCCGTGCCGAAGACCTATCGCCTAACGTCAGCGATCGACGATGCCAATGATGTGCCGAAAAAGAGCGAAAAGACATACGGGAAAGACAACGGGAATCCCTCCCCTCACGGCCTTGGTCCCGTCTAGCTTGGCGGCCTCGCTCAACCACAGCTTTTCATCCCCCCGCGCATCCTTCCAGCTGATGACTGTCGCGCCGTAGAGCAGCACCTCCACCCTCTCGCCCGTGGGAAGCTCGGCAACCACGCGCGAGTTGTCGTCCGAGAAGGTCACCGTCGGTTGCGGCGGCAGGCCCGGCGTGGCAGACAGCGTTGGGGGCTTGGGCTTGTTGGGACGTTCAACCATTTTGGGCTGTGGTACTGGCTCTTTGCTTCGTCTTCTTATATGTGAGGTTCAGAGGTTGGCCGTGTGGATGAAAGCGAGTGAGGTGGATAAGCCCAGGCGAGGTAGGTAGTCAGTTAGTTTGGCAGGTAACGACCGCGGTTGGTTGTTTGGATGGGTGTGCTTGAAGATTGAGAAGGTGATGGAGGTGGGCTGGATACTCAGTTGCGGGGTAGTAACGGCGGGAGGAAGGGAGCTGTTCCCGGTGGATTGAGCCGCGGTTGCGAACCACAAGAAGTCAAATGGCGGCGCAGTTGAGCACGTTTTATACGAAGCACGAGCTTGCACTATGCCAATGGTATCTTACAAGACATCAGCATTGGGAAACTAGCAGGGGCAATGAACTGATCACCAGTTTCGCACCAACAGCATGGTTTGATCTCACTTTGACCTTCATGCTTGCAAACTGGCGGGGTCATGAAGGGAGCCCAAGCATCAGCGGGGCATGCAAACAAGACCAACATGAGTAGCTCAGGATGCTTTGTAACAGGTCGATGACCCTTCCCCGGTTCGGCCACTGCAGTGATCGACCAACGCTGTCAGCTGCATAACCTGAAACGTTGTCACCGGCATCCACCTGCATTCAGCGTTCGCTTGCAGTGGTCGCCGCCGCCTTACCACAGTATGGCCGAGGCCCGTTGCCGAGGTCTTATAGGGGACCACGGCACCGCGTAACCCACCAAGACAGCTAACCATACCGACTTGTACAATACAGTGCCTATGGGTTTGAGTTTGCTGATAAGATGGATTGAAAGCGCAACCATCATGGACCGCAGCCCGGTATCCTGCTCGTATTGATCTCCAAAAACGCTGTATACATTCATACTCTTCCATTGTCCGCCAAACTATGCCGAACGCCTTCAAAAAAACGCCTCGCCCAACAATCTAAACCATGTATCCGTACACCATCGCCGATGAACGCCAGTAACCATGCACAAGAGGAAGTTGCCTATGTTCGCCCGCGCCTTTCCGCCTCGTACAACTCCCTCCTCATATCCATAAACATATCCTCGATCTGATATACCTCGTGCCTCGACAGTCGCGCCAACCGCAATTCGTCCAGGCCGCTCCGAAACAGGTCCATTATCTTTTGCACCTGGCTCTGCTCAGGTGTGGCGACAGCGTCTGCCGTATTGACGACAGGCCCGGCGCTTATGCCTCTATAATTATTGGGATCATCTCCTCTCTCTTCAACGATAGACTCGGTGATGGGCTGTTGTTGCACATCAACTTGCATAGGCTCCCCGACGGAGACAGATTCGGCGGAGAGCGCTGCGGATGTAGCCCTGCTGTCATGCTCTTGGCGTTGACTCTCGCTGAACTCGAGTGCGATCTGCGACTGCACCTCCTGGCTGTCTCCCTCGACTTGTATGTCGTCTCGGTCTTCCAGTACCGCAGAGTCTTGCGAGCTGCTCCCCGTCGTCGGGCTTGGCTCGGCAGATGAGCTGGGGATACGCTCCTCCTCCATCTGGCTCCTCGTGTGACCTTCCGTGGTGGCCGCTAACACCTCCCCAGACCCATGAACTTCAAGACATGGGTCCTGAGCTGGCGCCATCTGGCTGTCGGGTACGTCTCCGCTCGAGCTAACTGGATCCTGCCGAAGTCTCTTCGGGGTAGTTTCCTGTGTTCTTGAGGAGGTCCTCTTTCTCTTTTGGCGCCCGACACGGGGCTTCGGCTGCGAGCCCGAGATGTTTTCCGCTTCAGCGCTCAGAGAAGCTACCGAGCTAGATCTGGTTCTCGACGGCGCAGACGCCTTGGGTTTCGTCGGACTATCGCCAACCACTATGCAGTCGATAATTGGCGGCTCCCGACCTTTACCGTCAGGGGAGACAGAAGGTGAAGGTCGATGGTACTCTGAGCGGTCGGCCTTAACGGAGTCTAACTCAACCATCAGTCTGAGAAGGCTGTTCTCATCGGCCTCGCTAAGATCGAATGAGGTATTGGCCGCAGGCGTAGTGGGGTTTTGCATGACCTCCGACCCTTCGGCCGCTTTGGCAGCCTTCTCGGACCGCCTGGGCGTGGGTGGCGGAGGACTGCTTGGCGCGTCCACGAATATCTCTCCATCCGACTTAGGGCTGGGAGTCCCTTGTGCCTGCACTTGGGAAAGCCGAGGGGAGCGCCGTGGGGTGGAAGGACCTTCCTCCACTCGAGTCCCGCATGGTTCTTGAACCGGCGCTGCCTCCGGAGGCTCCAGGACCATGCTATCTTCAATTATCTCAACCGTAGGTGAATGTGGTTCCGCTTTATCGCTTGATTCAGCCGGGTCGCTAGGTAGTTGATCTGTCTTCTCAACCTCGTCAAGAGACACAGCGCTAGCATAGCCACGCTGGCTCGATGGGTCAGGAACAAGACCGTGCCGGTTCGGATTTGGTGACCCGGAGACTGGCGAAGAAGAGAACTGCCAATCCTCGACCAGACTGTGGCTAGCAGATCTGGATCTTATCTCCTCTGCCAAACGGTTCCCCCTTGGCTCTGGCGGTGACGAAGGCGGGTCCGTCATGTCATGCTCCAGCATGATCATCGGTTGACCGCGACGAGGAGTCGGCGTTGATGAGACAAAGTCGTCAAATGATCCCTCAGGCTCAGGGGTGGCGGCATCACGCGTCCGAGGTCCCACTGGGAGCATTTGCCGATCAGTTTGCTTCGACTTGACACCCGGGCTCGACCGGATCTCGGGGAAGAGGGTGGCATTTTGGCGTTGTTCACGGACCTCCTTTTGGCGCTCGGTCAGCACTTGAGACTCGGCCTGGTCGCCCGGAGTAGAGGAAGGTGCGATAGCTGCGAATTGAACCTGAGAATCGTCATGTCTGAGTCGACGCGGCGTGCTGCGTCGGTTGGTTGCCCCTAGTTTCCTTCGAAGAGCAGGCGACTTGGACTCAGATGAGATCGCCCGTGGGGATTCTCTCCGGCTGCTGGATCGTGTCGAGGGTAATCTTGGCAGACTGAGGTCGTCGAATGAGTCAATGAAGGACGGTTGCTGCCCGGCATACTCCGCGCTGGAAGTCTCCAGTCCGGGCAAGACAATGTCAGCATGAAGCTGCATTTTCACGAGGGCGACCTTGAGTTCTTCCGGATAATCCAAGTGCTTGGTGTTCTCGAAGAGCCTGTTCCACAGCGAGATGCCGGAATTGATGACGGAACTGTGGCGCGAGGCAAAGGAGGCGCAGAAGAAACGCTCGAGGGATTGCAAGTGCTGCTCAGGGCGTTCGATAACGGAGATCAAGGAGGAGAGTTTATCCCACAACGATTTGGTCTGTCCGGTCAGCTTCAGCTCCTGTGAAGTAGATACAGCTCACTTACCGCAGCGAAAACGGAGCTGGTCTGGCTGCCGAGCAGCCGTTCGTTGTCCTGAAACCAGGGGCAAAGCCCGTCGTAAAGAGCATTCAGCCCTCTCAGGAAGAGTCGCTGGTTGCCTCTGTCGAAGAAGCCGCCAAGTTCCTCGACTAGCCGGACGGCGTTGTCCGTACCAACAGCATGCAAATGATTGTACGAGAACAACAAAACTTCGCTAGCCGCCTTATAAAGGTTGTCGAACGTATCGAAAGTCGACGAGCGGGAACCAGCAAGTACCGTTCCCCAGAGCCGTTTCCGTGCCGCATCCACAGCTTGCCTGTCGCGTGGCTGCGTCGCAGCGGATAATACCTCAGTGAAGTACTTGAGACAGCTGAGCTGGGTGTCGTCAGCCCTTGCAGCTGCAGACTGCTGGATCAAAACCTTCGCCAGGGGCTCAATAACGACGATGGCGACTCCTGCGTGCCCCGTTTCCTCGCGTACCCGCTGACAAGTTGCATAGAACAGCGACACCCAATGCTTCAGGGGCAGGTTGGGTGTCGACCTGATGCCCCGCTCAAGGACCTTGACAGCGTCGCGGTAATCGTGGCCGACCGGGGTCTCACCGGCAGAGCCAGTCGAGTGATGGCTGTCATGTCCAGATTCGAGCCAGCTCACGAAGTTTTCAGCCACCAGCAGCCAGGACCCATAGGGTCGAGGGGCGTCCATCGGAATGACCGAGAGCAGGTCCTGTGCGAAGTCCAGTTTGGCCTTGTCTCCTTTGGAAATGAAGAAGGGGGCGAAGGCGATGCCGAAGAATTCCGCGAACTCCTTACCGTCCGGAATGCCGGGTGGCAACGCCGACAATACGGAGAAAAGAGTGTAAACAGGTGCCTTCGAAGGTCCCTGATGCTTTCCAGCCTTCTCGGTGAACGGAAGGAGGCCAAGTGAGCTAATCATGACTTCCAGGTACGCTCGTACGGCCAGGAGAAATTCAACTGCATTGCGCCCGGCCTCCTGCGTGCTGGTTAGACCCTGTTTCCAAATTTCCTGCAAAACATTGAGGGCCTCGGTCACGAAGAGTGCAGTATCCCTGGAAACTTTGATCTCCTTGGCTGCGGCTGAGGATACTGCGGAAACCAGGGTCTTCCACAGGGTGTAAGTGGCGCTAGTGGTATTGCCCATTGCGAAAAACTCCCGCTCGAGGATAGGCTGAACCACGGCAAAGACTCTGCTGGTGTTGCGCCTGATCCATTTGGGGTCGATGGCGGGTAGCTCTTCGGGTCTGACGAGCGGACTTTCCACGACATGGTCCACTCTCCATCTTCGTGGTGTCATACAGTCGAAAAGACCGGTGAGAATGGCGCTGGCCTGCTTCAGATTGTCCTCCGCCGCCTCCGCGGTTTGATCGAGCAGTTTCGAGAGGACACGGGTAACGCTGACGTCCCAGTAGGTGTCGAGAAGGGTCGGGTTTGTTCCGGGCTTGAAAGCGTAGTAGAAGAGATTGCGGATGCCTCCCAAAACTGCCTGTCGCAGGTCCTCCGAGGTCTTTCCGGTGCCCTTCCGCCTGAGCTGACTGACGAGAGGAGTTGTCAGCGTTGCCAGATTCTTTGGTAACGCTCGCTCTTCCAGGTGCATGAGATAGACCAGTCGGCCCCATGCATGGTTGGCAGCAATCTTCGTTGGGAAGTCGCTGCTGTTGAAGCAGTTTTGAATGATTTGGAGCCAAGGACCGGCGTACTCCCACTTGTCTAGCCGGATACGGAGAAGCAGGATGACAACGCTCCAGATCTCGGGAACGGCGGCTGATTCGTGCTTGTCCTTCGTCATGGCCTTGAGCCTCTCTTCATAGTACTGAATATAGCGCTTATCCTCGTACGCAAGACTCAATGCCTCCATGACCTTCCGGGAAAGCTGTTTTTCGTGGCCGATACTAAAAGCCGCTTCAAAACCCAAAGAGATAGCCGCCGACCGGATGTCTCTCAAGTTGCTGAGCATGTCCGTGAACATGTCGAGCAACCAGTCTGAATGGATGATCATCAACTGTCTAGACTGTTGAACCAGTTTCCGGTAGGTGAGAACGCGGGACAAGACAATGCTCTTCCCCTTCAGATGCTCTTCGATATTGTGTAAGGACGACACCAACCTCCCAACCCTGTCAGAGTTCATGACTTTGGTAGAGAAATTTTGCAGGGAAATGACCTGCATGAGGCGGCGAGCAGTGTCCTTGGGGGTGGACGGGTCCTCAAAGGAGCGGATGCAGTGGTCGATGATGAAGACGCCGAAGTCGTTGGAGATCGTCGAGGCAATGCCATGGAAATGGAGGAAAGTGTTGAGCAAATTCAATGCGTGGTTGACGAGGGAGGTGTCGAGGTTGCCTTCCGGAGTCTTGGCCACGATGTCGCGCTGCATGAACTGGGTGAAGAGCGTCATCTTCTCTTGCAGAGCCACCCGGTCTGGCAAATTGTTGGAGGCTTTCCACGCCCGTGTCAGCATCAGGTAGGCATCGACCTTGGAGTCGCGATCGCCGCCGGCGAGCTGCTGAAGTGTGGATTCCAGCATGGCGGCTAGTTTCACTTGCGCGTTCAAAGGGTCGAAGTCGTTCCCGGCCGCCGAGTCAAGAGAGTTCGTGACCTGGTTGGTAACCTTGAGGATAGACTTGACGGGTTTCGAGGCACTTCGTGGGAGTGACACGGGAGTCGGATTCTGCCTCGCTCCCTCCCCGCCAACGTACACGGGAGGGTCCTTGTACTCGGCCTGGGCCGAGAACCCAACTTTCTTTCGGATGCGGCGCGAGGTTGAGCCTGTCGGTACGGACGAGGCGGGCGATTGGAAGCCGGGCGGGGTGTGCAGGCTCAATCCGGAGTCGACAGAACCCAGCGAAGGTTTAACCAGAGCTGCGACAGCTTCATGGTGTGCTTCGCGGGGTGGTGTTGGCGGTCGCGGCGGCAAGGAACTCAGCAGACTGGACAGGACATCTGGAGAGGACATTATGCCTGACTCGCCAACTTCAATGTGGAGGCAGACAAACTGCGTCCAAGACCAGCGAATCGTCACCTGGATGCGCCGGGCGGCAGTTGCATTTGAAACCAGGACAACTTTCACAAACGCGACGAAAAACAACAGATGAAAATGGAATCGCCTCTGAAACCAGAACAGGTCGAAAGGAAGACGTGGAATAGAGAGCTGGACGATGATGACCCAGCGCCCAGCTGATGGCAAAGGTGGATGTTGCTCAAGCTGGTCGTGGGACCCCAGGCAATTAAGACTTTTGACGCGGGCGCGGAGTTCAGGCGCGTCGCGCCTCTTGCCTGCCAAGCAAGCGTTTAATTGAACAGGGCCCCACACCTCAGCCTCCTCTTTTTGGCCACGCTTGCCCAATGGTACGGAGTAAAGTGCATGCGAGTTCAACGTTGCACTTCGTCACGACTTGACTTATATTCGCTGAGAAGGAATTACTGTTCTGCTATCATCCCGGGGGGGCTCGAATGCAGCAATTAGTACAGAGGTAGAGGGATGTCAGGCGAGCTGGAAGGTGAGAGCAGAAGGCGTCAAGCTCGATGTTCGACCGTGTACTTCCCAGGTCATCGCACAGGAAGAGGTTTCTGGCTCATCGGCTCTGTCCAGGTCCTATGCGGGAAGCAAATTACATGCTAGTGTCCAATCCATAGAGGTGGGATGGTCTTTCAACCATCAGATATGTCGTCCGGACAGAGCCGAATGGAGAGCATCACACTGAAGTGGGGCAAGTCCCTGAATGTTCTTAGGCCGTCAGCTCAGTAATTCTATCACGTTCTTTCTTTCATAGATACAACGATTTCGAGGCAGCGAACCAAAACATACTGCGTGACCATATACAGGACGCCAGTGATCTCGGCATACTCTCACATATGAAGGATTGAGATTTCAAATCATCGTTTGCTGGCATGTCACTTCTTTCCCAGTCGGCCTCATTAGGAAGCCTTACCGGCCCTGGTATATATATCCCCCTTTGTCCGTCTCATTCGCGTTTTCTGAGGTGGTCGCTAACATGTCTGGAAGCCAAGTTGGACGCGGTCAAGAAGCTTCTGGACAAGCTGAGTGAAGAGCTCAAGAGTGCATCCCTCCAGCCTCAAGGTCCGCCCTTACAGTTCCACATGGCCGGGGAGATTCATGTTCGCTAAGTCCGCAGTAGAGCGTGATGCCGCTCTCGAGGAGCTCAAAGTGTACGGCCGGGATCCGAACAATGCGGATCCTATTTTCACGAAGGAGGTGCGTCGGTCTCTCGGGGGTTGCTTTACGACTCTGTCTCTAATTCCGTTTCAAAGGGCATGGAGACCGTCACGAAATTTGCCTTCGATCACCCTTCAGACACCACATCCCGGAACGCACTCAGAGTCCTCTGCAATGCCCTGTTCCTCAAACCCGAGACAAGGCAAATCTTCGTAGATCTGGGATACGAACCCAAAGCATGCAGCAAACTGAAAAATGACAGCCGGGACGACGAGTTCCTCGTCTCCAGGCTCATCCTCCTCACTACCTACGGCACGAGCATCGACCTCTCAACCCTGATAGAGCAGCACCACTTAGCCGACTCTATCATCCAGAACCTCTCAAGGCATGCTAGCAGGTTCGCCACGGAAGCGGTCGCTCCAGCCAGAGCAGGCCCGATGGAGCAGATGGCCTTGGCCGAAACCCTCAAACTTCTCTTCAACGTCACCAATTTTGCCAAAAGCCACACCAGCGCCTTCGACCCAGCGCTGCCGCACATCACAACCATCCTCCGTTTCCACGACCTCCCACAAACGAAAACTCCACTTGAACCCCCTTTCGGCCTCTTGATCAATGCCCTCCTAAACCTCGACCTAAACTCAGCTACTGCCCAATCCTCCCTATACCCACCATCGGAGCCCACTCGTATCGCACACCGCCTCATCCACCTCCTGGACCTTTCCATGAAGTCCTACACCGACACAGACCTCGACCAGGCCGTGACCCCGCTCATCTGCGTCCTGTCTTCGATCCATGAACACGCCCCCGGCCAGAACGACGGTGACACTGTCCGCACCTTCATCCGCAGCAAACTCCTCCCCACGGAGGAAGACCGCCAGAGCGTGCTCGGCAAGACCGACTCACTCCCCTCGCGGCTCCTGCGCAACTGGACGAACCCGATGGCGCCGCAGTTCCGGAGCGCCGTGGGCCACCTCTACTTTGACATCTCCGGGAAGGATGCCGCTAAGTTCGTTGAGAATGTTGGGTATGGCTATGCGTCCGGGTTCTTGTTCGAGAAGGGAATCCCGCTTCCTCAGGGGGCGGTGGAGCAAAGCGGCGAAGATTCCACGAGTCGGACTGGTGGTGCCGGAAGGCCGGTGAATCCCATTACGGGCCAGTTCTTGGACGAAGAGAAGTTGCCTGACGTACCGGAGATGACTATGAAGGAGAAGGAAAGGGAGGCGGAGAAGCTGTTTGTGCTGTTTGAGAGGTCAGTTTGCTTCTACGATCCGGGCTTCGTTCCTTGTGCGAGGAATGAGCGTTGGCTGACGATCAAACAACAGGCTGAAGCAGACAGGTGTGATGTCGGTGCAGAACCCGGTAGAGAAGGCAGTGCAGGAGGGCCGGTTCGAGGAGCTGCCGGATGATTATGAGGACCTGGATTAGTACCTTTGGAGGTGGTTTGGATAAGCGTATCCTCATGGCACTTCTGCTAGTTCTCAGCGATGAAGCTCGCTATGAGTGTAGTTTTCCGGCACTGTGATTGATGACAGTTGAGTGAGTGTCATTTTAGATGTGTGACACCTTGCTTGAGGCCACGGTATGAGGTGCCTCCACGGAGCCAGATCAGGCCTCCAGGGCAGCCCGTGTCCTCAAGGCAGCCCGTGTCCGGGCTTGTTTGCTGAGAGGAACCGACGCAAAGTCTTGGTTCAACATCAGACACAGCTGTTCAGAAACTACCCTAGGTGTAGAGTGATCGTCATTAGGTACGGTAGAATATCGTTGCTTCGTAGGTGGCCTGATTCTCTGGTCTCCAGCTAAAGTGAGCGCCATGACTGCGGCTTCCATCCGTATCCTCTGTGTAAACTTCATTTTCTATTCTAATTGTCTGAAGCTAGTTACCTTGCGTTGGTTTAAGGTTATAGTTGAGATATAAAACTTGGGCCCCTCGCTTGACACAACAACAGCGGGTGGAGGAGAAGGATATGGCCCTGCTTCTAAGACATCGCATGAAATTGCAGCCACCCAGCAAACGAGAAGCACTGCTAGCCATGTATGGCGTATGTCGGCTCTCTTGGGAGTTTCGAACTACCTACTAGTACCGTACACCTTTATCACCACCGAAATCGTGGGTTGCATACCTGGTACTAGTACTACGTATGGTCCTCTAATAACCTTAACCTGGGTCTCAGGGTTAGCGGCAGGTTAATAACTTGCACTGATTCCCCGCTGGCACTTTGCCCTAGACCATCCTTAACCCGAACCTGGCCAGCCGTGTTTACATCATGGTCGCTCGTGACTCTCCGCTTTCGAAACCTTCCTTCATCCTCTAGCATTTGGTTCATTCATTGAGCTTACTAGAGTGAGGAGAGTAAGAACTAATTTTCCATTCAAATTTACGATTTTATTTCCATTTTTGAGGCTCGATTTCAGCCAACCCTGCAACTCAGCGCCCTTATGCGACGCGACTAGCCAACAGGGACTCTCCGTCGCGTATTCAGATTCGCTGTGCGCGACTGACCCGCCCAGATCATCGACTAGTATTTTTCTACGGCTTGGTCTTGCCGCCTCACGACCTTGAAGATGCCTTTCGGCGAGGAAATCTTTGACGATGACATGCCTATGGTCACGAGCGACCTCCTCGGGTAAGCCGCGACTGGACGCGTTTTCCATTTCGTCGCAAACAGATGCGATCTCGCGCTTCTTCCATCGCCTCATTCTACACCAACCAATCACATTCATGAATTTCTTTGACGATCGATGGAATCGACGCATACTTGTCCTAATGCGCCGAGGTGTAGCTCCCTCTTTTCTGTGTAGCATCGTTAAACCTGTTAACAATCATTGACACTTTCTGCAGGGGCCCCGAACCCGAGTCGCCAGTCGGTATGGACCCTGGCGGAGGCGGCGGTTTAACCGTTGTCACACTCGATGAACGCACTGAGTTTCGCAACGAGACAGTGCGTGTCCCTGAAGCGGACATGGACATGGAGCTCCAGGCAGACGCCGATGCAGGCTCATCGCTGCCCGCGCCCCCTTCAGCTGGCAAGCGCGGCAGGCCATCACTCTCAAGCTCTGCTACCCCTGCCAAGTCGACGACTTCTAGAACGCCTCGCTCGAGTAAGAGCACTAAGAGCGCCGCGGCCCCAAAAAGCGCTGGCCGTAGCACCGGCAAACGCAGGGCCACTGCCGAGTCCGAGCCCGAGGAGGCTCAGAATGATGAGCCCGAGCCGACTCCGGCGCGCAAGCGCGGCCGGCCCCCCCGTTCCGCCGCTGCCACCGCCAACACACAGCTCAAGCAGCCGACGCGTGGCCGTACTAAGTCCAGCACTGTAAGCACCCCGGCAGACAACTGCATTATTGGTCCACCCTGCTAACCAACGCCAACAGCCTGCTTCGAAGCCTGGGAGGAAGGTTGGGCGTCTCAAGAAGGAGGACGCGAACGGCGAAGTGCTTCCAGGTGAATACGAGGTTGAGGCGATCCGCGACTCGATGATTGACGCCGACACCATGGAGCATTACTACCTGATCAAGTGGAAGAATTATCCGGAAAGCAGAAACACCTGGGAGCCAAAGAAAAATCTCAAAGGTTCCGTTGACCTCGTCCGCGCATTCGATTCTAAGAAGAAGAAAGCCGAGGCGGCGGAGGCGGCGAAGAAAGCCTCTTCTCGGAAAGCCACTGCTTCCTCTGGGGTCGAGGAGGAGGCGGGCCCGAAGAAGGTAACCAGGGGAAGGAAGCCCAAGGCGGTGAAGGCAGTTAAGAAGGCACCCGGGCGGCCGGGACGGAAGAGGAGAGCCCGGGCCTAATCCAGCCAATGTTCTCCTTCCACGTTTTCTACTCGCTTTTTCTGTTCTTTCGTACGTCTGCAGCAAGTGGTTTCGCTGGGTATGGGCTGGGTTTTCTCTTTCATGGTACGCAAAATGGAACCCATCAAGGAGAGTTCCGTGGTAATGATCGAAATCACTGCCTGCTTGAGTACCTTCAGATCATCACTGCCAGGGCTCGCCTTCTGGACCTCGGCAGATTGATTGGTGGCATCTGCCGCTTTGCATTGGACCGTCATTGGACCTTGGACCGTCCTAAGAATGGATTTAGGGGAATTGGAGGCGCGTCTCGCTTTGCACTCAATTCGGCAGCCAGAGGACCGTGGGCAGCCTACTAACCACGTGGTTCTTTGGCGGCCACGTTTGAGGTTTCCTGCCCTTGAACATAGCCCAGATACGTCGAGAGAAACGGTAGCATGTATTGTAGGGTAGAACACGTCAATACCGACCAAGTGAAACTGTCAGTGGTGCCACCATGAGGTCGGCTCAGGTAGCCAAGCCCGGTTTTGTGGGGCTCTGTTGAGCCGCAAGCAGATGACGTTCGTGGCATTTCCTCAAATTCCTCTTCAGGCAGAACACCAGCACAGCTCTCATCAACCTCCATCATCAACCAACGCTGGTTCGCAGACACCGATTCGGGCGGTGCGATTGGTCGGAAAGGGGTTCATAATTCGACAACCATAAGGGGCTCCTCGAGGAGATCGCAAAGATGGACGCGCTCCGCTCGACAATACAGCCCATTACGCACAACCTACCGGGTCCCATTCGCGACCTCGGCGTGTCCATCATCGGTGACACGTGCTACAAGACGCTCCTGCTCGACGTCGATCTCGAAAACACGGACTGCCTCAAGCTGGCCATCAGCAAGGCGCTCGGCATTGGCATCGTGGGCGCGTCGTCGGTCGTGAAGGTGCCCCAGATTATCAAGCTCGTGCGATCGCAATCGGCGAGCGGCGTGTCGTTCCTCTCGTACCTACTCGAGACCAGCAGCTACCTCATCTCGCTCGCCTACAACGTCCGCAACGCGTTCCCCTTCAGCACCTACGGCGAGACGGCGCTTGTGTTGGGGCAGAATGTGATCATCACGGTTCTCGTCCTGAACTACAGCGGCAGGGCCAGCATGGCCGCGCTGTTTGTTGCCGTGCTCGCGGCCAGCGTGGCTACGCTCTTCAGTCAGGGCGTGCTGGACATGCAGCAGCTGAGGTACCTCCAAGCTGGAGCCGGCGCCCTCAGCGTGGCGAGCAAGATCCCCCAAATTCTGGCGATTTGGCAGGAGGGAGGCACCGGCCAGCTGAGCGCGTACACGGTGAGTTACAGCACCTCTCGCTACGGACGTGACATACCTGAGGCAGCGCTGACATAGTTGGGTTCGCAGGTCTTCAACTACCTCCTCGGCTCCCTCACGCGCATCTTCACGACCTTACAAGAGGTGGACGACAAGCTCATCTTGTACGGATTCGTCGCTGGGTTCGCATTGAACCTGGTCCTGGCGCTGCAAATGCTCTACTACTGGAACACGCCGTCGGCCAAAGTAAAGGGCAAGCAAAAGGAGGTCCCCGTTCAAGCGCCCTCATCGGCCACGACAACCTCGATACCGAAGAGCAAGGGGCCGACAACTCGTCGCCGTGGGTAAGGAGGTTAGCTGCAACTTGGGGTTTGCGCTCCGTTTCAAAAGCAATTAAGCATAATCGTTGGTTTCTCTGAGTCATCTTGAGATAGTGACGTGTCCCCGATTAGTGTATATCTCCCGCCACGTTGCCCACCAGCCATCTGTCCCAATGTTCTTCGAGGCCGTTCGATAAATTTCGACAGCAGTCACATGCTCAAGCCTCCGGAGATCCACTTTCGCTGGTCATTGAGGCAGGATGCAACCTCTCCATAGCGCTAGCGACCAATTTTCGGGCCTTCGCGGCTAACCGCAGGCCGGAACGTCGGAAGAGCCCTGAAAAGTCCTCATGCCAGCCCTGCCTCACAAATGAGCCTACGGCGATAAAAGTTACACCAGTGTAGGTGGAGTTGTGTTGTTGAGCCCCTGTTTATGTGCTTTGTGGGGACCCCAGTGTTCCCCCACACCAAACAACCCCTTTGATTGTATGTGGCCATGTGCAAAACAAAGGGGTGAAAAGGTTATCAAGACTCCAAGTGATCAAATGCGCACTGATCATGATTCACGAATGGTCCACAGTTCAGGAGGTAAGGAAATTGGCCCTCGTCAAACTTTCTTGAGCCGAAAGATGATTGACTCACCGTGTCCTGATAACGTTAAAGGGGAAACTGGGCTCGTGATGCCAAGACAACGCCTTCTTGCGGGATCGCAGCCATGGACCCCGGTGCTTGTCGGCCCCTAGCCGGAGCAACTACAGTAGGGGCGCGTTGCAATGGAATGGGCGGAGGTAAGGGATGCACATAAATTGGGCTCACACCTACGTGCTCTGTTCTCATATCCTCCCTCGATGGCGCCATCTCTCATGTAAGACGGCTTATTAGCAGACGGGATTGCGTCAAAGGCGGTTGCGTGCTCGTGCTCACCGACAGGTCATCCTAGCTTCACTTTGTTCCACACCGTTTAAACACTTATTCACCCGCCCCAGAAAGCCACTTGTGGGGGTTCACGACTCCCATTCCCATCTATTTCCTTTGAGGAAAGCAGGAGACCTCTCACGTTACCCGCCCGTGTACCTATCGTGTACCTCTTCACTTTCACTCGATTTGGAGTATTGCTGCTCTTGGCACCTATAAAACGTGTGCTTTGCCAGGTACCATCCTTCACCGCTCAGATACAGAGCTGTAAGGCTGAGTACACGCTGCGGTGTGAAAGCTTCGCAGAGGTACTTACCTATACTTCGCCATCAGCAGAACGGCTAGCTGCTTCAGTGCCTCCGGCCAAACATAAGCAATGGCGCCAGACCTCAACTCCCTCCCGCCCTCGCCGTTGCCGGGGGGGAAGCCCGCCGTCAACTTCACCCGGAGTGGTCTCACTACCGCCAACGGCATGAATGGCGCAGCAGAGAAGCCGCCCAACATCCTCTACATTATGGCCGACCAGCTCGCCGCGCCTCAGCTCAAGATGTACAACCCGGACTCCCAGATCCTGACGCCCAACCTGGACGCCCTCGCCGCCAGATCGGTGCAGTTCGACTCGGCGTACTGCCCGTCCCCCTTGTGCGCACCCTCCCGCATGAGCATGATCACGGGCCTGCTGCCCATGAAGATTGGCGCGTTCGACAACGCGGCCTCGATCTCGAGCGACATCCCCACGTACGCGCACTACCTGCGCCTGAAGGGGTACCACACGGTGCTGGCGGGCAAGATGCACTTCGTGGGGGACCAACTGCATGGCTACGAGACACGGCTGACCAGCGATATCTACCCGGGGGACTTCGGGTGGGTGGTGAACTGGGACGAGCCGGACACACGGCTGGAATGGTACCATAATGCCAGCTCGATCCTGCAGGCCGGCGTGTGTGTCCGCAGTAACCAGCTTGACTATGACGAGGAGGTCATGTACCGGTCCACGCAGTTCCTGTATGACCATGTGCGGGAAGGGCCTGACAAGAGGCCATTTTGCTTGACGGTAAGTACTTATGGCTTATTATGGAGCGTTGAACGTTCCACTTGCTCGCTCCTCCATGGCCAACCTAGAGTCATGGTGTTGTAGCCGGTCCCTGCCGATTGGTCCGGAAACATGCAGAGTGATGCACGTTTTGCGTGGGGGGCAAGAATGGAAAAGAGAGCTGCTTCGTGAGCTCTCATAGACCGTAGAGTTGGCTGACAAGGCGGCTGCGGCGATGATAGGTCTCCCTGACGCACCCCCACGATCCCTACACCATCGAGCAGAAGTACTGGGATCTCTACGAAGGCGTCGACATCGACCTGCCCAAGGTCAAGATCCCCAAGGAGGAGCAGGACCCGCACAGCAAGCGCCTGCTCAAGGTCTGCGACCTCTGGGACAATGAGTTCAGCGACGAGCAGATCAAGCGGGCCAAGCGGGCCTATTACGGCGCCGTCAGCTACGTCGATGACTGCGTCGGCAAGCTGCTCGACGTGCTCAAGCGGTGCCGGCTGGACGACAACACCATCGTCATCTTCAGCGGCGACCACGGCGACATGCTCGGCGAGCGTGGGCTCTGGTAAGCCTTTCTCGCCCGCTGTTTTCACACGATATCAACCCACAGACGGGACTGACACCGCGCCCATCACAGGTACAAGATGAACTACTTTGAGTCTTCTGTCCGCGTTCCCCTGCTCATCTCCTACCCCAAGCAATTCACGCCGCACCGCGTGACCGCCAACGTCTCAACTCTCGATATCCTGCCGACCATGTGCGACCTCGTGGGCACCAAACCGGCCCCCTATCTCCCGATGGACGGCATGTCCCTCCTGCCACACCTCGAGGACCGCGCGGGCGGCCACGACGAGGTCTTTGCCGAGTACACGGGCGAGGGCACCGTGCGCCCGCTCATGATGATCCGTCGCGGCAAGTGGAAGTACGTGACCTGCCCGGCGGACGGGTCGCAGCTCTACGACATGGAGGCGGACCCGTTCGAGCTGGAGGATCTGGTGCGGAGCGGGCGGGCGGCGAGGGACGAGAAGGTCAAGCGCGTGTTTGAGGCGTTCGAGCAGGAGGCGAGGGAGAGGTGGGATTTCGAGGACATCACCCGCCAGGTGCTGCAGTCGCAGCGGAAGAGGAGGCTCGTCTGGGCCGCGCTGACCAAGGGCAAGTTCACCAGCTGGGACTACAACCCGCAGGATGACGGGCGGGAGAAGTAAGTTGCCTTTCCTTGGTTCTGGGCGGGTTTATTAGGGAAACGAGGCTGACGCTGCTGGGACAGATACATCCGGTCGCACATTCCCTTGGACGACCTTGAGCGCAGGGCGCGTTTCCCGGCTGTCGATGAGTTTGGGCGCGAGACGGGGTCGGTTATTGTTACCGACCAGGCCGGGTCTCACGGAGAGTGATTGGAAGTGCAGAGGATTGGGAACCGAGCTGAGGTGGTGTTTGTTTCTTCATGACGGGATTCCGCGATGTTTTGTTGTCTTAAGGCTCTGATGACTAGCGCGGCGTAGAGCGTTTGCGGACTTGTTTGGTGGTACCTTAGGATGCATTAGATTCCAGCAGTAATGAAACTGCCTTGCGTTTGGTCGGTATCGTTACAACGGGAATGAACTGAGTGCCACTATTGGCATTGACTGTGCAGGTCAGCTCTGAGCTCCGAGGTCAGGGTGAGGTGCTGTGAACGCATATTAGGGTTAGGGTTGTAGAGTGGGACAGGAGTGACAGGCTCCAGCAGGGAGATGCGACAACGTCAGAAGGTGCCCCTCGCTTTCAACTTGCAACTTCCACAATTGATTCAGACGCCCCTTGGATCCTCCACGCCAATCTTAATGACTTAGACTTTTGAGCTCTAGATTTCCACATCCATTACATTTCTAAACCCCCCAATCCTTATTTTCGTTCAACGGCAAATATTGCAGCAGTTCGACAGCCATGGCGTCGCTCAACATGGCTCCCGAGGAGCTTAAGCAGCTGGAGCTGTTGCGCAACCGCTTCGCGCAGCTCACAAGTAGCCTTGCCAGTCTCCGAGCAAATATTCTAAACTCCAACCCTCTTCCTCCGAGGTGAGTGTACACGTGTGTTTGTTGTTAGGTGCATTTAGCTTACCCTCCTCGCTCTCAGCGAGTCCCTCCAAGCATCCGCCTCCATCCTCCAGCGAAATATCCGGTCTATGCAGGAGCTAGCAACCGAGAATGCCGAGCTCTTCCAACGCCTCGTAGTCCATCCGTCGACGAACTTCCCCGGCCGCACACAGGAGCACGTGCTCCTCTCGCTACTGCGTAAAAAGCTCGAACCGGACATCGAGAGCTTAGTCGAAGAAGCCCGGGAGACCGCCCAGGCGGCCGGCTTAGACGTCAGCCAGCTACCCGCCGGCGCGCACACGAGGGACGAAGACTACTATGGCCAAGAGGAGGATATCCCAATGGACCCATTCAGCGAGCAGTGGGCCGATATGCAAGACGCTTTTCAAGAAGCCTTACAACAATACGTGACCGTGCAGGGCAAGAGGAAATACACCGTTGAAGAGCAGGCCATGGGCATTGAGAACGTGCGGACTGGCCTGAAGCAGAACTTGGAGAGCGATGAGGAAGACGAGGATGAGGAAGAGGAAGAAGAGGAGGATGAGGATGAGGTCCAGATCGTCGAGGCGCCCGGCGGCCGTGGGGGACCTGCTGGAGGCTCTGATGCTGCGGGCGGAAAACCAAACCTGGAGCCTGAGCACCTGTTTTGGCTGGCCGCGAGAGGCAACATCAACTTACCACCGAACGTCCCGCTCGGATCGCGACCTCAAGAAGCCGGGATATCGAAACGGTCAGCTCCGCCAAGGTGACCGTGTCAGGCCCGGTCGGGCATTCTATCCCTAATGATTCATACTCGGCACTATGGTAATTATGTTACGACGAACTCTGGTCTTCGACGAACCCAGCTTTGGTTCAGTCGGCATAAACATACTGCATTCGACCACCGAGTCTAGCCATCTTTCGCCTGGCAAGATATCATGAACTCGCGGGTGCTCGTTTATGACGTTATCGGTGCGATGCCTGGCTTTAGATCACAACCACGTATGTGCCCTTTGCGGCTGAGCTTCAACCACACCGCAATCTGCATCGTTGGGGCTTTCAATCCCATGATGCATGTCGGCCGCACAGGACGTCTTACCCCTCATCTAAGACTGTATGAGGCACCCAATGAGGATATCTTAGGCGACGTCACTAAGCCCCAAGTGAACTCGCAAATCTTATCCTTTTGGGCAACAACGACTTGATCTAAGCTCTCCATGGACCGAGAGAGCACGCTACCCAGAATATCTCCTGTTTTTGAACATAGTCCGTTCCTAAGCTGCGCCAGAAGGTTTTCAAACTTACCTAGGAAACAGTCTCTTGCTGTGCCGCCCCGCATCGGCTGGTAGTTTGGTCGTACTACGTCCGGAACTACACACCCTTCTACCTATGCGTTGCTCTGATGACGACCTACCATATGGGCCAAGATTCACTCCATCAGGGCGAGACGATCAGCCGGCCGTTGGAGGAGACGGACCGACTCTCTACACAGCGAAGAGCTCGCCGCCTTCATTTCCTAAACCTCCCCGACGAGATCCGTCTTCGAATCTATCAATGCGTTCTCCAACCTACCCTAGCGCGCCCGCGTCAGCTCAACGTCGCGTACCCGATCCCTCCCAGCCATGTTCTTCTTCTCAAGCCAGTAACGCCTGGGTATCGCACCCTGCCGTCTCCCTACCGACCGCTTGGCTTTCTCCCCTCCTCACTCCTCTGCAGCTGCCGTCAGATCTACAGCGAAGCGCGGAAGTCCCCTTTCACGAAAATGAATTCCTATTCACGTTCTTTTCGTCGGGCCTATCCACCGCAGGCGCGTTCGCTAAGTCCCTACGGTCCTGGCAGCGTGACGGAATGAAGTTTGCCCGGCTCGAGGTGGGATATGAACAAATCTGCAAAGAACCTGGTTCTGCGCAGTGGGAGGAGTTGTGTGGGTGTTGGCAGAACGGTCTGAAGGGGCTAGGGCTGAGTATGGGGCCTTCTCTGACTTGCCTCGTCCCAAACAGGCGCGCGAAAGCGTCGGGACGGAAGATCCGACAGCTTGGAGGTGGGTGGGTCATGGCTTGAGTCGTCTGAGGGCTCTAAGACTTCTCGAAGTTGAAATCGATCGATTAGGAGGGTTGGCGGAGTGGACGGATGAGGAGAGGGTAGCGTGATGTGGGGAGTTGAGCGAGCGGTTGAATGATGGAAAGTGTGAATGGGAGAGGACAACTGTCTTGTGTGTCGCTCGGGCGTCTACCTATTGAGAGCGAAACGGTTGGGAATGCCTGCGATGCCAGAGTCTCGGGATGAGGAATCGTCAGATGCGAAGGGTTATAGCTGGCCAGAGAAGCAGCGTCTGCTTGGATTTAGCATTCCGACTGCATTCGCAATCACTGCAGCTATTGACAGCGGAGAGTTCGCCAACTACTAGGGGTTTATAGCATTTGCTCCCCGATGCCTTGGAACGCCGAGGGTGTTGGCTCGTACGGAAAGTACGACCCGGGCGTGCATCCAGTATTTAACTGGGCCCCGATCTCTGGGCCCCGATCTCTGGGCACTAAACCTCTTCTTCTATAACATTCCTACCACCCTTTCTCCCACCCTGTTTGGTCTGGGCCTGAGCCCCAGTACAGGAGTCCTCATTCAGTTCCATCAATCAATCCGAACCTCTCTTTGCTCTAATCAACCACGAGCCCTGTTTTCCAATCATCCACTGTTTCTGAGGGTTCATTCGGGAAGTAGTTAGCGTGACGTCTGCCAAGGAAGCGCCTCAATCTGAAACGACGTGGATCGACAGGGATCTATGTGCATTCGCTTGAGGGTCCCATTGACAGCGGTACCTAAGAATGGTTTTTAGACGCCGCAACGACACTGCAACACTGATGAAATGCAAACGCCGCGCCTCGCCGCTCACATAAGTCGTCCTGTTGGTTGAGTTGTCCGTCATCCCGTTTCAGGTTATCAAGAGCCCAGCTCCAATTTATCCTGTCCGGCTGCCAGCTGCGTTGAGCTTGGCTATCATAGCAAAACAGTAAACCATCGACGGCATCCTTCAAATCTGCGGACAACGAGATCAGCTGCTATCACAATTCTCCGTCCCTACTTGATCCCAGCACTCTCCGACTCTTCGCAATGGTGATTTCTCGAGATTCTGTACACAAAGCCGCACTCATAGTATACTTCCCCACAACTCCAGACACGATGACATCTTTAACTGTGCCTCCGCCGTTAGTCATGTCGAGTTGCAACACGGCCCCTCAAGTGCTTAGGCATCGGAATGTGGAGCTTCTGAGCGTGGAGCGCAGACATTGTATAAACGCGTTTGAACCCTCCCCATAAGTACGGATGCTTATCCTCGTTGATCATTTGCCCTTCCCGATGGATCCTCCCCTACGGCAATAGTACGCGCAGCGAGCAGAAATCTGGAAACCCCTGATCGAGCCATCGCTGGTATTCTCCTTTTTGTGCATTCAAACTTCGTGCAGTTAACTACTAGTACTAGTATCTGGTTGTCAATTACGCAGTACCTACCGTACCGTACTGTGCAGCTCAGTGCGTTCGTCTGATCTCAACACGCTCTTTCGCCACGCTGTTCCGGTTGCTCATACATAAGTCCATGCTCACCGTTTAAAATTCTCCCTCCCTTCCGTCTTTTCTGTCTTCCTTCATCTATCTATCCCTTGTATGCACTTCCGCGCAGATACCGGTGAGTGAACCCTAAATGGGAGCCAAGCCCTCCCAGTTATCCCTGAACATCTCCCTCCCGTTTTGCCGTCTACGCAGTGGTCTAACTGGCTGCCGCACAGGAAGCGCCACATCGATGTGATAGCCTTCGGCATCACCCAACCCGAAGAAGGCTCGCGGTCCTGCCCAGTCTTGAACTTTCAGCGCAGGTGCCCGAGTTTGGACACGACATGCACTCCCAAGGCCGCTACCACCACCGCCGCTCAACGCCCAGCTCTAGCTCCGTTCACGACCTTCCCAGGCTCCTACTCCCGCGGCAGCCCTGGGTCAGGATTGTTCGTCACCTCCTCCCTAGCTTCGTCTCCGACTACATCTTCCCCGAACACCGAACGACATGGCGACTGCACCCGACGTCCTACCTCGACGGCCTGCGCGGCATCGCAGCCATCATCGTCTTTTTCTGTCATTACACAGAGAACAACTTTGGCGCGCTGACACCGTCGTACGGCATCGACCCCAAGAAGCCGTCGAGTTGGCTTCAGCTTCCCTACGCGCGCATCATTTTCTCCGGACGGCCCATGGTGCACATCTTCTTCGTCGTTTCCGGCTTCGCGCTGAGCTACAAGCCCGTCAAGGCGCTGCATGCACGTGATACGGAAAAGTGCTATGCCGCGCTGGCGTCATCTGCCTTCAGAAGGCCCTTCCGGCTCTTCGGACCCTGCATCGTCTCGACCTTTCTCATCATGTGCCTGCGCCAGATGGAGTATCTGAAACCGGCCAAGGAGACGTGGAGGGAGGAGCTCTGGAAGTGGAAGGGCGCCATATTTCACGAAATCGCCTGGCCGTGGTCGTGGGACAAGGATCTGCGGCCAAAGTACGATATCCACCTGTGGACGATCCCGATCGAGTTCGCGCATTCCATGCTGCTGTTCATGGTGCTGCTGATGCTGTCGCGGGTACGGTTGCGCATACGGATGGCCATGGTCTTTGCGCTGATGTTGTATTGCCTGGCATGTGGCAAATGGGCGGGGTTTGAGTTCCTGGCAGGGTTGTTCTTAGCCGAACTACACGTGTTGAAAACAGCACGGGGCAAAGAGTGGGAGCGAAATGCGGAAAGAGACGGACAGCCAGATTCGATGTCGAACTGGCTTTTCAGGACGTTTCAGCTCAGTCTGGTCGTGGGCGGGCTATTCCTCGCCGGCTGGCCTAACCAGGACGCCGACATGACTCCCGGGATCCGGTATTTCCTCGCGCAGACGCCCCTTCCGTTCGCCAAGATGGACTTTCTCGCACCGCAAAAGTTCTGGTTCGGCTTATCGGCCGTCTTCATCGTCTGGGTGGTGGGAGATATCGATTGGCTCCGGGAAATATTCGAGAGCCGTCTCGCGCAGTACTGCGGGCGGATTAGCTTCGCCGTGTACATATGCCACGGGCCGATAGAAGACCTGTTCAAGGAACGGTTGTTGGGCCGTCCGCTGATACCCGCAAAGGGCGAGTTTGGGATGGTCACCTACAGACCGGCAAAGCCGGGCACTGGCGTCAAGGGGCTCATCGGCACTGAGACAACGACGCAGCTCTTCGTAGGCTGGCTGGTAGGACTGTGTCTTCTCGGGCCGCTTGTCATCTGGGCCGCGGATTTATTTTGGCGGGCAGTCGATAATCAGCTTGTTAGCCTGGCAAGGAAGTTGGAAATGCTGTGCTTGGACGAGACAGAGCCGAGTCCCAGGAGTCAGGGGTACTCGGTCGCGGCGTAATTCTCTTTGGACACTTGACTTTGGGGTTTTGGAGTATACGGGACGTTCTTTGTGTTACCTGGACGCTGTCGCCTTATACCCAGGTTTTGGAGACTGGTATGAGTCATGACATGTGCAACCATGTCGTAGTTATCGAATTTACCTCAATCAGAGACTTGAGTCGTACTTGATCTATGCCGTCATCGTTCTCACGGATGCTGACTTTGGTCCTAGGTCTCCGCTCGGGAACTCAGCGGCTGAGGGACTAACCTCGAACCACCCAGCAAAATGAATCCGAGTGAGGAAGCGTGAGAGAGGGTGTTGGTGTCGTGTGTGGATGGAACGCTGTACATATGCAATGCATTGTCAATCTGCCCTATCAAAAGGTCGTGTGGCGCAACTGGCAGCGCGTTACTTTCCGGTTCTTAGATGGTCTCCGACTGGTAAAGGTTCTGGGTTCGAGTCCCAGCATGATCGTATCCATTTTGCTCCATGAACGGGGTCAGAGGGCGGCTCAGGGCGGGTGTGGAGGGCGCGGTGTGGAGGCGACATCACATCGCAGAACCCCAACAAACGCTCAGCCCAAGTGTCTGATCAACAAGAAGTGCCGTTTACAATATGTCTTTCGGACCCGAGAGACACTTTTTGACCGCTGGCCTCTACGGAAATATCACTGATGTGTTTTCATATTTTTCAAGAGAATTCTCCACGGTCTTCCTATCGGTGATACTATCGGAGCTCCGGAGCGGTGCTGAGCTGAGCACTCATTGCAACATCGGATGAATCTCAACCCGGACTCGGCAGGCAGTAGCGTCCCACATCCTGGGAAGCTTCATGAAAAGACACGATTCGACTGGATGAGGAGTTGTAGAATGCCAGAAAAGGAGCCAGAACCAAGGCCGAGGTGCAGTCGAGATAAGCACAGGTGTCGAGCCGGCTCCTCAGCTCAGACCGCCCCCAACCCCAGAGACGCACTGCTCTGTGTATTCATGCAGGAAACGCCATTCAGGATGAAACCCTGGTTTGTTTGGCGACAACAGCCCTGATCGATGACGAGTAGTCATGTGACCACGCGTTTCAAGATCTCTGGTTACTACTAGCTTAATGTCCTGCACGCCTCAGGCCGATGTGAGTCACGTTCTTGGACCGGACTGTGACAGTCACAGCACAGTCACAGAAATCCATTGAGGGAACCCGGCGCTATTAAAGAGAGAGAGATTGCTGTCACCAAGTTGCGTTGCTGCCTGGGGAACCTTTTCTTGTCCTTCCTCGTTACTCAGGCATCTACATCCATCGACCGCGCTTCCCATCTCTGCCTCCGTCTACACAGCATCATTCCTGGGCTAGTACCGAGCCTATTGGCTCGCTTGCACACTCTTCTGTTCTTACATGAACCTTACCCGGCATAAGCTGTCTCCGTGTTCGGCGACAGCACACGGTTAGAGAGGTATACAAAGTGCATCTATAGATGCCGCTGGAAGGCGTCTCGACCCGAGATCGACTTTCTTCACCACCCTCCTACGAGGTTGTCACTCCGAGTTTGGTCTACCTGTACGGGTCTCCAATCGTCCATTCAGAACGTCACGGTCGAGCTTTGTTAGAATTGTCTCGAAAACAAAGCGGCGAAAATGAACGCTGCTTGTGACTGCGGAGCAATAACATTCAAGACGCCGACCCCAAAGCCCCTGGCCCTCTATATCTGCCATTGTTCCACGTGCAAGAAGCAGGCCGGTTCAGCGTTTGGCACATCGGCTATCTATCCCAGGTTCCCTCTGCCGGATACTGAACTGTTGAGTTGTTACAAGTGAGTTCGCCTCGACACTCATCAGCTGTCCAAGGACTCTGACTGGACTTGTTGGTATAGACGACCGACCACTTCAGGTCATACGCTGTACTGGTAGGCGACACTCAGGAGAACTGTTCTAGTCGAAGGGCCATGATCTCTGACTCCCTCAAACAACAGTTACTTCTGCAAGCAATGCGGCACCCGGTTGATCCACACAATTCCGGTTTGTGGCAACAGTCCAGATACCCCGTCCCGTGAATGAACCACTGATTCCAAACCTCGCGTTGCAGGGCAAGAATGTGCTCTCGGTGAAGGGCGGATGTATTGAAGGTCTGGATTGGACATCGGCCATTCACATCTGGTGTGTCTCCGTGTTATCATCGATGCCACGGGATTCTGGAAGAAGCTAACCCGGGTCGCGGGCAAAAGGACCAAGTCGGCCATGGTCCCTATCCCTGAGGACTCAAAGTCCTACTCGGAAGGCCCTGGTTCCTCCGAGTACAGTGAGGAATTTGATCCACCCAGCGATGGATTGGCTGGATAACTGGTGGGAAAGAAAGACGGAGTCCTTGCCGAAGCACCGGTTTAGCTGAGCTGAGCTGAGCCTGTGGACGGCGTGCGAATACGCCAATTTCGGGATGGAGTAGTGGAGCCTGAAGGTTTGGTGTTGCATCTTTGGTGAGTGGTCAAGTCTTGGAGAGACTGCAGTGGCTTTTGCGATGGTATTTCTGGATTGTCTAGTCAGTACTATAGTCGTCGATACGGTTGCTTAGAGGTACCTTATATACAGGGGCTGAACTTTCACTCGGACGGTCAAACTTACATAGAATCAAGCATGTAAGCGACGTATCAGAGGTACGAATATTTACGTGTATTGCGATGTATTACATTGTTTGTACAATAGTACACTACAGTTCAGTACATGTTCTGACAGTACATCCAATGGACTCTGCCTGGTTTGTCCATCTTAGTGGGAAGAATGAGGCAATAAAATCCAGCTTCAACAAAGCTTGCTCGTGCAGATATTGGCACGATTGAGATCTGTAATTGAGATTGCGACGTTTGATTCGAGCTTACCTTATTCCTTATTCTAAGGGAGTGACAAGTTGACGCGCCGACAGCCGCTGTGGGTCCCGCCCCCTAACTCTTCCCCAGACTCTGAACTTCTCGTTCACGACTGGCAGATAAACGTCGCCAACACGAATCTGCTCTCATCCAGCAGCGCATTTCATGGTGCGTGTCCTGCTCGCCTATTCTTTGCGATTCTTGTTTTGCTCTTCCCCCCTTATTCTCTTCTTGGTTGTGGGCCAGGGAATGTTCTGTGTCGGAGGCAGTGCCGAGAACTCGATCGCGACTCTCTTCCTGCATCGCCAGCGTTGGCAATTAGACAGTATAATATAGACAGGGTAACCATCAACGCTACGATCCGACTGAAATTCTCAATCGATCGTCTTAACTTTAAGTCGTCGCGGGCCACCATGGGCTCTCGTGCAACCCCCCTGCGCCGCTCAAGCATGGCCTGTTTCGCTTAGACCGACCTCAGACACAAGCCGTCTGGGGTCCGTCTCATGCCCCTTTGCGGCGTGGGACACCTTACCCGCAACCCACATGCGACTTCAACTGTTGAACACTTCAACGTACTGGCAGGGTCGTGCTGCGCGACCATTATGACCGTCATCTCGCCATAACCCACTCGTCGAGACCCGCATGAGACTGTCTTCCAGACATGGTCTCCGTGGACACAGCGCGGGCGTCTAGAACGTCTTGGACCTTTGATACGATTGCTCCATCGGAGGTGACATCGATGGGGACTGAGGACAAGGTCTTTCTTTCGGATATGTCCCTGCCAAGGATCGCTGAAGATGTTTCTATCTCATTTTGCCCCCCTTATCCTCATTCGTGGCCGTCCTCTTCCATATGACATGATCCGATCTGTTTTTCCTCGTTTCGTGTGCCTTTGATCTTCCTCAACCACGTTCTTTCCAGGTGTTCCCTTCCTCTCCCTCCTTGGCCGGCGTCGACGCATCGGCACCACAAGCGTCTTTCTTTGGATCCGGATACAGCAGTGCTGATTTCTTTTCGTCTCCACGCCCGGCGCCCCCTCGGAATCGATCGTAGAGACGCTTCGTCATTCTCGCCTCTAATTCAACCAGTGACCCCAGTTCAAGCACGTCATCCGACGACTACGCCTAGTCTTGCTTTAATTCGAAGTATTTCCGGGATTGATCGAGCGAAACTTTGAGTGACGGCTGGCCTGTTACCATTCAGTCATTTCTGGTCCTGACGGCGCTGGACCCTGAGTCAGGATGAAGTCACATATGCCATCTCTAGCAGTAATGCTGGGCGCTTTGTCGCTCGCCCAGGTAAGCGATGTAAATACCTTCGTTGACACAAACAAATAGCTTACTTTGTTTCCAGGCTGCTGCATACGAGAGGCGGCAAGAACAGGCGACGAGCAGCCAAAATATTGCCTCCGGGTTCTTAAACATCATCAACCGTATCGGTGGTGCGCAGACCGTCACCGAAACTGTACGGCAAACCATCACGGTCGGGGGAGCTGGTGCGGTGGGTGGCTTCACGAATGCCACGGGGGTAGTGACCGTAACTGTCACAGCGGCGGCATCCACTGTCACGTTGTGCCCGCCAGGTCAAGCAGGAGGAGCTGTGGATGTTCAGACGAGTGCCTCAGTGTCAACGGCCCCCGGCGGAGTGGCCGGTTCAACACTTCCCGGCGCTCATGGTGGTGTGGGTGTCTCGACAATTCCGGTCCCGGCCGATGCGATAAAAACCAGCGCCGTTGGGAGTCAGCCCGCGGTCTCGCGGCCACCCGTCTCTCAACCTGCCGCTTCTCAGCCCGCCGTTTCGGATCCAGCTGCCTCGCAGCCCACAGCCTCTCAGCCACCCACTTCTTCCGAAGCCGCTACGAGTGCGTCCCTCGCGCCGCTGCCCAGTCAAGGAGAGACAAGCCAGTCTGGGCTGGTGCCACCCCCTGGACCATCGACGGCTACGTCGGAATCAACCATTGCGTCTGAACCCACCGCTACATCCGAGTCTGCCACGACTATTTCTGAAACAGCCGCATCGTCTGCGACGTCCGTTGTTGCGTCGACGTCTCTCGAAACGCAGAGCGGTGCTGCAGATTCCACGTCACTGCCTATCGTCGGCGCTCCTGTTTCTGACGGCTCGGCTGCGACGTCAGCATCTACGCCTACTGCTCTCCCGACCCTGGCCAGCTCCCTCAGCAACACAGTGATCCTTCCCAGCACTGGCGATGCTGCCGCGCCGACTCCTGTCTCTATTCCTGGCGCCTTCGGCGGTATCGCTGGCATGATCCCAATCTCCTCGGCGGGCACGCCGGCCCCAACGACACCCGCAGTTGCCAACAACGCCGCCAACGCTGGCCCCACGATCGACCTCTCTAGCTTAACGCTGACGAGCAAGCTCAACCTGGGGAATCTGGCCCCGACTCCTCCCGCCCGCTTTTAGACTCTGGGCGAGCAAAAGTAACAAAATAAAAAGGAAGAAAGAGACGAGATGTGTATCCATATAAAGCTTATATACCCTTTCATTGTTCTCATGGTTAGATACCATATCGGTTGCTGCTGGCAGCCGTGTTGTTGTTTGTATTCAGTATCTTGTTGTCTGTGCGAAGACCGCGAGCTTTTTCTTTCAGTTAATGCATATATCATTCCTTGCGCCCTACAGAGGTGAGCAAGGCATTCTTTTCTCTTTAGACCTAAAGAAGCAAGAAGGAGCAAGTCTCCTCTGTTTTGCCCAGTAACCGTCTAAAGGGGTATCATGAGGCCAACCCAGATTAGGTACCCAGCCGGTAACGTGTGGCAGAAAGGACATGTGGACCTTATGCATGTACGTTAGGTAGCTCCAGTGATCCGGCGCTCTCTTAGGCGTTCGCCTGCGCAGCCTCCTTCCTCATTTTCTTCGCTTGCTTCTTGCTCAAACCTCCCTGCTGTCCACCGTCGCCATTCTTCCGCTTTTGTCCTTGCTGCTGCTGCTGTTGTTGCTGCTGCTTATTATTTTTCTTCGTTGCCTTCACCCCTTCTCCATCCCCTTCCTCCTCGCCATCCCCGCGGCCACCAACGTCCCCGCCCTCGGCAGTCTTCACGATATCCACAACCCCCCTAAACCCCCGCCTCCTAATCCCCTCATTGACCACCACAGCCCTCGCCCCTTCCCCAAGCGCCGCAAAGCCCTTCTCCGGCCCCAGCCCCCACACAGCCAACAAGTTCACCACATCCGCGGGCCCCCTCAGCCCCAGCGCCCCGCGCGCCTCGCTGCTGAGCACGATCCCCCTCCCTTTAGTCGCCCGAAGAAGCGCTTGCACGTTCCCAATGAAATTAGCCCGCCGCCTCGCCGCCTCGGGACCCCCAGCACTGCCATTCCCATTACCACCACCGCCACCGAGCGCCTGCGCGTAGCAGATCTCGAACCGCACGCCCCGCTGCACGGCCGCCATGGCCGTGCGGTGGTGGACGTGCCAGCCCAGGTGGGAAGCCAGGTCCAGCGACACCAGCGCGGGGGCCTCGCTTGTGGAGAGGCATGCCCAGGAGAAGGACTTGTCGGACGTGGGCCGGAGCGCGAGCAGGTCGTACGCGCGTGCGTAGTCGGAGAGGCGGTAGTTGATTGTAGACGGGTCGGTGATGACGAGCGTTGCCCGCCGGAGGGTGGTGGGGAGCAAGGAGGAGGAGGTGGAGGAGGATGATAATGATGATCCTGCTCCTTTGCTGGTTGGCGGAAGGGCGGAGGGCGCGGTCGTGGAGAGGTTTGTTGTTGTTGTTGTTGATGATGATGTTGTTCTGGTGGTGGTCGTGGTTCTGCAGGCGCCGCCTGGGTAGGAGGGGTGTGGAGGTGTGAGTTGGGGGATTGGGTTTGTGATGGGTGTTGGTTGAGTTGGGATTGGAGCCGAAATGATGTGATTGAGGGCTACGACGTCGTAGCCTAGATATTTGGCAAACTTGAGGGTGCGCTCGAGCTCAGCGGTTGAGGTGCCTGGTGACCAGGCTATGTTAAGGTCGTAGAGCATCGTGACGTCTTATACGTTTCGATCGGCAATTCGGCATGCAGGTGAGAAAGTTCTTGTATGAGGGCTTCAAGCTCCAGGTCATAAGCCGGTGTTAATGGAGAAGAGTACGGGCCTGGCAAAATGAATTGCTATGATGGCGTGATGTTTGTCGATGAGGATGATGTCGAGATACTTATAAGTTCTCACTTCCGGCGTGGGTGAGGGCTTGATCTTGTGAAGCACTCGGAAATTCGACTTTCAAGACTGGGTGGGGCTTTGATGAGTGGGACGGCAAGACTCTACTAATACCCACATTAAAGACCAACCAATGGCATTTAAGCAAAGCGGTTCCCCAAAGACGCGCGGTCACGTGCGGCCGGCCCTACATCGTTTTTGTGGCAGGCACCATGACACTAGAATCTAGATGAGTAAGGTAAAAAGTACCTTAGTAATACTGAGCGATGTTGTTGACCCAAAAGTCTTTATTACTCTAAAACTGAGAGTCAAAGAGGCAAGAAAAAAAGGGAAAAAAGAAAGAAAAGTGAGCTTATTGATGAGTCCATTGAATACGCTGCTTGGCCAAGTTAGAAACGTACAAGAGAAGACAAATGCAGGAAACGAGAAATACCGCGCTAAAAATGCAGGGCAAAAGCAGATGGTAGCAAACGGCTCCTCAAGATCCCTGGCGTCGTCGATTGGGCCGGATGTGGGCGGGGTTGATTGTTGTTGTCATTGCGCTCGACGGCGGTGCCACATGAGGTGCGAATTGGCATCACGAACACGACGTTGAATGATGAGGCGGCCATTCTCCTCGTGGACGTTGACAATATGGGCCATGTGATGCTCGACAATGATGCGGTTGCCCTCCTCTCGCACCTTGAAGCTGACATCATCGGCCATCCCGAAGTCGAGGATGTCGGCTATGCTGGTGTCGAGGTGGATGTAGATCGCGCAGTCTGGGTCCTTGATAAAGAGCTTGCCGTTGTCTCCTTTGACGTAGGCTTGGCAAGGCCCCTCGATAATAAAGTCGACGTGGCCAATGTCGAATTCGATCACAGTGTCCTCGGGTTCATCTGGTGTGGCGGCCGCAGCCGAGTCTGCATGAAGATCTCCATTCACCCCTGTGCCATAGCGAGATTCAAGTTAGCAAAGTCACACTTGAGGTATGAATATACCCACTAGTCGCTATCCTCTCTACTTACTCTCTTCATCTCTGTCTCTGTGGTGCTGGGCATTTTGGGAGGGGCCCCCCGGACGGAGTGGCATGTCGAAATGTTGTTATTCTTCTCTGTAAACACCTGGTGAGTTAAGGGCTGGTGCCGTGATGAGCGGACCTAGGTTGGCCTTTTTGTGCTACTGCTGGAAGGGAAGCAGTACTTCAAAGAATCTTCAGTTTTGCCGTCGTTTTCCGTGCTAGATGCAACAGAAGGTGGTGATCGAGTCTAAAAACAAGCCGGACTGGTTTTCTTTAGCGGTCTGCTGCTTTATAGTATATAGTATGAATCACATCCATCCCAAGCACGGTCATACGGCGAATCATTCAGATCGCAGTTTGTAACAACCATCAGGTACAACCCTGGTCCCACGGTCCGGGTACCAGGGGAGCTCTGTAACCTTTCATTCCGAACTGTTCAGCTTTGAGTTACTGGTACCAATCAACCTAATGGCTCATTACCTGTGCTAACTATCTTAGCAACGCAATATACTTCCTCTGTGGGATGTGATGAAGCAGGACTAAGGTACCTGCCGTCTTACTAGCATACGTTGAGTTGACAATTGCTGTCGTGGACCTTAGGGTATATAGAGAATGAGACCGAAATCGTCACATCATGGAGCCTCAGAGTACATGCGGAGCTGGAAAAAGCTTTGCTGAAGGTGAAGAGAGCTGGAGTAAGGACCGGAGATTGAGAAAGGGTGTGCCACTCTCTTACTGTCTACTTACTACCTTAGGTAGCCAAGCTGCCAAAGGAGGCCGCCCTTCTTTGAAAGTCTGGACTCAGTGCCATGACACATAGGGAGTTCTTCTGTTTGCCAGTATACCTTACTCCTCGGTAGCTCCTTTGTATACAACTTACATTTGACAGCAACCCCCTATCGCCAGTCCATGGATGTTGATTCTTGAGGAAGTGTTAGGGCTGTCGCTAGCCCGCTACTTCGATGATCCTGAAGCCGTAGGGTTAGGGTATAGGCAGGTACGACCTTGGCGTGCTTGGCACCTTGCTGGTAGACCAGCAATAAGTAAGGTAGGTTCCTTATATTCCACTTTCCGTCAACGGTTGTCATTGTTCCAATCGCAGGATGATGAACTAAATCGGAAGTTCTACAGTCGCGCAGGGCTTTTAAGACGTGTCTGCTGAGGTGCAAATGGGCGTGTTTTAACCTGTCAACTGTAATACCATACCGAAACATCAAACTCCTACGTCAGCCAACCAACTCCTGTATCATCTCTTTGTGAGCTGGGGCTTTGTCCACTTGCCAATGCTTGGAGATTACGCAACACCAAATCCACGTCCTCTTCAACGCACGGCCTGCCACGAACACATCCAGTCCATCGACAACCCAACAATAGATCCTAAAGCGCACCACTTGTCCCGCGCATTCTTCCACGATCGCCTAGAACCAAGGGTTCCTGCAGCCCCAGTCAGACGCCATGTGTATCCCGATCATCTTCACTTGCGGTGAACAGACCTTCCGCAAGGACGTACCAGGATATGAGGGCCTTGTCTGCCAGTGTTACAATTGCGGCAACTACTCAGCAAGCGTCATCAAATCGCATCCATGGTTTACCTTCTGCTTCATTGTACGTTCATTCCGGTCTGGAAATGGGCCATGCGCTTGTGTCGACCAAAGAGGCACGCAGCACCGCTAACCTTTGTCGCACCGATTATTAGCCCGTGATCCCGCTCTCCATGAAGGGCTACGAAGATATCAAGTGCAGAATCTGCAACTTTGAACAGCCATTAGAACAGCGAGGGGATGTGCAGGCGCTCCGCGGGCAAGGAGGTCCGGGAGTGCACATGCAGCCGCCGGGACCGCGGCCGGGCGGTGTGCCAGGGATGCCGAAACCGAACGAGCCGATGAGATATCGATAAGTGGTAGAAGAAGGATCGAAGAGGGGGCTTATTATGGTGGAATTCAGCTGGCTCATGAGAAGAGGATGGGTGTTTACGAGGGTTAATTAATCGTTGGGCGTATGGAACGGCACGGCGTCAGGGGCGTAGGGGGCTGATTTAGTACTGGTTTCAGTTCCGGCCATGGAAGGGCCACAGAAGGCCGCTTCTTTGCTAACTATGGCCACTTGCTTTTCTGGTTTCGATGCACATATGTTCGCGATGGGAGTCTCATAGTACGTGACGTGACGATATCACTAGGATAGCTTTTGCCTGGTTCTTTGGAATGGGTCAGAAAGGAGTTACTCCGAAGTATATGAGCTACTAGCACTTTAGTATTTTCTCAGCAGAAGATGCAGAGTCTCGTCGCTTTGTCGAGGCCGCTTCCTTCCACTTTATTCACAGTTGGTGGTGTGTTGTGTGGGGCGCAGGTGTGCAGCAGCTAGAATGACGTCGCTTTACAGCAGCCTCAAATCGGGGGAATTGGTGAACATGCATGAGTCCATTGCAAACTTCCACTATTATTAACGAGTGTATGGGCTCTAACCCAGCACCGGCCACCCGGATCAAGTAGCTTGCCGACGCAGTGCAAGGGGAGTCAATTGGTGGACCCTTTGGCAGACGTGCGATTGTTTGAGCCCCGTCGACGACAATTGATTCTTCGCAGCTCGCCCGCCCAACTACTCCATCACGGCCAGTAATAGTACTGTGACAACCCCTCGATATGGCTTCTGCCAAGAGAGGTCCGTCAATGCTGGTATGTCGGGTCTAGTGTTCTCGCGACTACGACATTAGCTGACTGCGAGCTTCCAGGTGACTGATGCTCGGGAGCGCCAACCAGCACGAGGCGTGCTGCAACGAGCCCCCAGCGGCCCAGCACGGCCCAGCACCCGTTCTGTATCCGTCGACAATGTCCTGCAATACTCCTCCGATATACCGTCAGGCCAGCCAAGGGTGCCGCCACCTGGCCACCCAACATTACGCACCATGGCTATGCGCCGCACGAGCCAGGGCAAGGGCTTACCGACGCTCCCCTCAGCACGAACCGGACAACAGATTGTCCCCTCGCGAACGACAAAGATCAGCGAGAAGCTCGTGTTACTACCCGAAGCGCCGGATGAGGGGGACGAAGACGCGGAAAGCGAGGACGAGTTGGCGCGTCAGGCATCGATACTGCGGGCCGAAGATGAGGACCGACCGCTCAAGGACGAAGAGCTGGACGTGCTGAGGAAAAGAGGTGGCATCCGTGGAAAGACTTACGCAGAGCGCTTGCCCAAGGTCCAGCGCGGGGAGAAGGTGTCGCGAGTGACCGCCTACTGCACTGCCCAGGCCTACCGGCTGAAAGCCATGGCCGAGTTCCTGAAGAAGACACACGAAGCGAAGACCAAGTTATATGACGACTGCCTCTACGCGGTGTACCATCTGCCGTTACTCCAAGGCATTGACGGGTACCGGCTGAGGAGCCGACCAGTCCTGAAGACGCCAGGGACGGGGAAGACGGTACTGGACCTCGAGATCGAACGCACCGAGCGCAGGGATGAGCACATGGGTTATTGGGACGAGTATTCCTATGGCACGCATGAAATGACCGGTAGCCCCAACACTGAGCCGCCGCTTCTCCAGAAAGCCATTGGCGCTTCTGACACATTGGAGCCCTTGGAGCACTCCCCGGCAACGGACGGCAACGTCAATCTCAACCGTATGACGTTTAGCCCAAATAGCAGCCTCATACCAGACGCTAAAAACTTTGGCGAGGTGTTTATCTTTTCGTATGGGGTGGTGGTCTTCTGGAACTTCACGGAACATCAGGAGAAGGACATGCTAGCCGACATCACCTTCGCCGAGAATGAGAATGGCGTGTCGCTGTCCACACGGCCCCTCGAGGAGATAGACTTCGAGACGGAAGAGTTCCATTTCGAATACAGTCCCGATGTGAAACGGCCGCGCGTCTTCAACGACATGATCACGCTCCTCCCTCGGTCCGACCACATGGTTAAGCTCACCATCAGCCACGCCATCGCGCAGAGCACCAAGCTGTGCTTCTTCGAGGAGCGCATGTCCGAGACGATGCTGGACGCGCAGCACGTCCCCAAGCGCCTGGCGCTCACGGGCAAACTCAACATGACGCGCACGGAAATCGTCCGGATCCTCGGCCGCCTCTTCAAGAGCCGCGTCGATATCAATCTTTGTAAGGGGACTCTCCACGCATACTCTCTGCATCCCGGCTAACTAACAACGTGTACCAAAAAAAGCATCCAACATCCTCGACGTCCCCAATTTCTTTTGGGACTCCGAGCCCACGCTGCACCCGCTCTACGTCGCCATTCGCGAGTACCTCGAGATCGACCAGCGCACCAAGGTGCTCAACGAGCGCTGCCGCGTGTTCCTGGATCTAGCCGACATCCTAGCCGACAGTGTAGCCGACGCCAAGATGAGCAATATCACTTGGATCATCATCATTCTTATTATTGTGAGCATCATTGTCACGGTGGCCGAGGTCGGGTTGAGGTTTGGCATCTTGTCCAGGGAGAAGATGGGGAGGAATCCGAAAGGGGGAGAAATGGGAGGCGGAGGAGGGCCGGGGAATGTCATTGGCGGTGGCGATGATGGAGCAAAGCTTGATCTGCGCTGGTTGAGGGAGTCAAATATCTCGCTGGAGGACCTGAGGCTGTGGAGTCGGGCTTTGAACGAGAGAGAGAGGGCGGCGGTTTGCGCGGCTGAGATTGTGGGTAAGACGTTTGCAGGTGTGTGAGAAGGGGAGGGAAGTGTAATATTCGAGTCAGAAGCAGTTGGGGGTTGATAGCGCTGCACGGGATGTGCTATCTAGACTGCCAGTGCATAGCGAGGCGTTTCTGGGTTTGGCTTCACTTTCAAGTCCTTGCTCTAATCACGGGACAAATATATAATACTGTCCTCACGAGTAGGACTTTTGGTGGACTCGAGAACCGGCAGTAGGTACGTTGTGTTGCGTTCGCCTGGAGGAGTACAAACCTCCCCCTTTCGCTCCCCATTGCCTGCTTTACAGTTATGCTCTCATTCTTTTCTTTTTCTCTTCTGATTCCCCCAACAATTCTCTCTGAAGGAGATGGTTCTCTCTCCAGGCGCAGTATGTCATTGTTCATAACCCCGAACAGGACACTTGGCACCGGCTTGGTTCCTTTCCCCAAAGGCCTCCATAGTGTCCAATGAGACCGAATGTCTAGGTGCAACACCTTGTAGATCAATAATGATAGGGTGGCAAACATCCATAAATGCATATCTAATAAGCTGTTAAACACAAATAACCTGCCAAAACCAGACGCCCTCCCATGCTCCCAACCCATGCCATCCGCCATGGAGGCGGGTGAGCATTTCCAGTCTATGATAAACGAGCGATCAACATGGCTTCTGGGCAGCCAACATTCAGGATCTTAAAGAATCTTTTTACCCATACACTCCTTCCCTCCCCCACAAAGAAAAAAGAAAACAGACCTCTCCAACACAACACAACAATTACAAATGAATAACTCGAGTACATCAAAGGCCAGAATTTGACCCGGCCTGTTTTAATCAATTGAGCGCCTTCCACGTCTTAGCCAACGGGCTCCCCACCTTAGGCGCAAACTGCAAGCTCTTCCGGCGAGCGGCCATCAGCCTCATGAGGACCCGCTCATCCTTCTCCTTGCTTAGGATGCCCTCGCCCAGTTCCACAAAGGCGGTGCGCTTGGGCGGGCAGGTGCGCAGGAGCGTCTCCTCGCGGCGGTGAGCATCGTCCTCGCGCGTCAGCGGGTCGTCGCTGTCGTCGCTGGCCACGCTCGAGGGCGTCGCCGAGCCCGGGCTGATGTTGGCTACGTAGCGCGCGATGGCCTCCGGTGCCGGGGTCTTGGGAACAGGCGTCAAGGGGGCTTGCCAGTCGAGATCGGCGAGCCCATCCGCATCGCTGTCGTCATTGTGAAGAGCGTCGTGCTCAGCATCTTCCTCGTTGGACTTCTCTGGGCTGCGGATCCAGAGAGCACTCGCCCGGCGGCTGTTGTTGGGCGTGCTGGGCGCAGTCTTGCAACCGCGGGAGCTGTTGCCCACCGGGGACGGCACGAGCATGCCGTTGAGATTCGCAATAGCGCGCGGCTCCATGCTCTTGCGGCGGCGAGCGCCACCACGCGGCACAACTGCGGTGTCGATGTAATAAGGAGCTTCGTCCAGCCACTGGTTCTCTCGCTCGCAGCTGCAACTCAACGTTAGTTGTTGCTGGGAGAAAAAAAGATGGAAGATGCGGGGGAGCTCACTCTAAAACCCAGCTGACTCCGACACATTGCACCAACCCACCGCTCTCGCGCACCTTCTCGAGGGTGCGTTTCCCACCATCCTTGTAGACGACATGGGTGATCCCAACCCTCAAATCACCGCCTTGCTCGGACGAGTGGTTAGGGTTCCATGACCAGGTCTTGACACAGCGTGCGCCCATCTGAGTCAGCAGCTCGACAAAGATGCCGCTGGCGTCGGCACCCTCGCTGGTATGAACGTCTACGAACACTACCGCACCGCGGAGCAATGCCGGGTTGAGGTCACGCCGGGGTGTTCGCGCGGGGGTGCCGATCGTGGACCAGATGTCCGACTTCTGCGGGGTCTCGGGCGGAACAGACCCGGCGCGCTCCTCGGGCTGTTCCTCGACTGAGTCGGCATCGGCGCCCTTGCTCGGCGAATACGAGATGACCGTGGCGTTCCTAGTCAGCTGTTCGGTCGGTTTCTTCGCGGAGAGCTTCGAGGCGCTGTAGCTGCGCGTCTCGATCCTAGGTCGAGGAGTGGACTCATCCGCGGGCTTGACCGGGACTTTGGCGACGGTGTGGAATTCGCGGTGGATAGCGCGCTGAGGGGTGACGGGCGGGACTGCCGAAGCGCGAGCAACATGGCCGCCCGGAAGAGCGGGCTCGACGGGCATTGCGTTCTCATCGCCGTACTCTTGGCTGGGCTCGGAGAGAGTATCATCCTGGCCCTGGGTCCAAGAATCCTCGTGTTCTCGCTCCATCAGCGACATTTCCTGTGCCTCAGCCGCGAGGGCTAGGTCTTCCTCGGTAAACGGCACATCCTCTAGGATGGGGGAATCATTGTCCTCCAAGTCCGTGCTTGCTTCCTCTTCAACCTCCATAGCATCTATCGCCGCGTGCATCTGGTCCTCGAAGAATGTATTCTGCGGTGGCTCTGGAGTCGCAGCTGGCTGGTGTTTCACAATCGGAGTCTGTTCTTCACCGGCCGTCACCGTGGGCGTGGTGGTAGGTGAGGCGACATGCAGAGCGTTTTTGAGAGGGCTTGGGCCGGCAGTCCAGCCGCTGAGCTGCTCAGCGAGCGGCGTGAAACCAAACTTGCTCTCCGAATTCAGTTTCTGCAAAGTGCGTCGACGAGTCGATCGCATTGTGTTCGGAGTCCCCGCAGAGGCCGCGTTCGGAGTGGCCGGCAAGGTACTGAAAGCTGAGGTAAATTTGACTGGTCTCGCGGGCGACTCGTCATCCGACTCCGACTCAGCACCATGGTCGTGAAACGTGAGGTCCTTCTCACGCAACTCGAACATGGGATTGGCAGTCTTGGGCGGAGACGGCGGAGGAGTCGTGCTGGCAGACTCAACTGCTGGAGCATCCACCGGCTGGTCACCCAGTACGATGACTTCTTCCAGAATCTCACGGTCATCGTGCTCGTCATTCAAGTCGGCCAGCGCATCTTGAGCTTCATTCGTCTCATCTGCTCCGGCCATCGTTGTAGGAGTCAACGTTGGATCCGCGTGCCGAGGGAGGACATCCGAGAGCCGACCGGGAAAACTGAGGCGCGGCGAATCTGGAATGGCACCCCCATCATTGTGTGCGTCCGCTCCGCCCATGTCCACCGGCTCCTTCGCCTGTACGGCGCCACAGGACTCCTCGCGCGACAATGGGCTGGCGAGCAGAGTAGGCTTCGGTGCCGGTGTCTGCTGTTGAGGCGCTTCCTCTTCGACAGTTCGAGGTAAGGGCTTGATTGGGGAGATTGGCCGCTTCGCCGGAGATGACAAGAATGACAATTTGACCGGAGAAAACCCTGTCCCCGTGATGCTGTCCGCTGCAGAAGGATTCAGGTTTAGCGGCTGTCTCTTCGCAGGCGAGGCCAGAAGCCCTTTCTTGGTGGACACCTCGGAGCTCTGGGCTTCAGTCTCAGCAATGGATGCAAAGAGTAAACCGTCCACGCGTTTCGCGGGCGACTTAATGCTACCCTTCCAGGGCGACGCTGGCAGGCGCTTGGCAGGAGTGGCCAGCATCACGTTGACTGCCATCTCAGGTCTGCCAACTGTAGCCGCGCTCTCCTCGTTCTCCTTATCTGCAACAGCGGAGGGCGCCTTCGATGACTTCGCGTCACCCACGGCATGCTTGATGGGAGCCTTCTTCAGCCGCCTGACCGGCGCCTTTTCCTCCATACCAAGCTCGTCGTCAGACTCGACGCGGGCATTCATGGTCAGCTGGTTGATCTTCTTAGGACTTAGTGGCATTGGCTTCTCCTCCTTCTCGCTTGGCGCGGCCGTACTTGCAGCCGCTCTGGTGCTGCGAGCGGTCCGCGTAGAGGCAGCAGAGGCAGCCTTGCGAACCGGCTTTCCGCGCAGACCAGTGGCGGGTGTGGCTGCTGACGTTTTGGCCGATGCCTTGTTTCCTGGCTTGGTAGCAGGCGCAACATTCTCCTTTTCGGGCTCCTCAAACTTGACCGTCTTCTTCACGGCAGGCTTGGCCAGAGATCTGGAGGCGGATGTTGTCGTGCTTGTTGACAGCGCTGGGCGGCCGCGGGTCTTCTTTGTGGCAGGCTCAACGACGGCTTCGGTCTCTTCAGAGACTGTTTTCTTAGTGCGCGCCGTTCTGCTGGCCTTGACAGGCTCATCTACAACGGGTTCCGCCGTCCTCTTCTTAGGCCGTCCTCGAGTTCGATTGGCTGCTGCCGGGGCAGGCTCTGGCTCGGGCGCGGGAGCCGGCTCTTCTACAATCTCTTTCTTTGGCCGACCGCGACCACGCGTGACCTTTGTGCCAGTTGCAGGCATTTTCCTTGCCGGCGCCAGTTCGTGATCCTGCTCCTCTTCGTCACAGGGACTCTTCCTCTTAGTTGCTGTTGATGTGCGGGTGGTTGCGGCTGTGCTGCGGACAGCCTTAGCTCTGGTTGCAGCAGTGGCGGCGCGGCTAGACTTTGCGGCTGGCTCGGATGTCTTCGCCGAAGCCCGCGCGCGTGTCATCCTCTTTGGCGGTGACTGCGCATCCATCGTGGTGTAGAAATCTGGTTTCGGTTGCCGTCTCGGATAGGAATGCAATGTTGAAGAATTGGGAAGGGACTCCTGTCGATTTTCACATACGGGACCTATGATGAGCGGTGAACGAATCAGCAAAATCAGAGCATTGTTTACTCTGCAGCAGCAACGCAATGTAGAGCAGACTGGGGACGCAGAAGATGCCTGTTGTTTTGGGCACGTGCCGGTTGCCTGGGTGACAATAACTAGAGGACATCCACTGGTGATGTCAGGCGGCAGGCCGTCTAGTACTCCGTATCCGTACTACTGTGCATGAATTACCTATACCGTAAGCTCAGGGTTAGGGACATCTCCCCTAGACTTGGACATGGCACGCATGAATTTCGCAGAAACTGGTGGCTTCGCAACTCGCCTCTATCTTCAGCAACATTTCGTCTTTGCGCTGTTCAGTAGAGCTTCACGTCTTCCATGTCCAGCGTGTTGAGCTCTCACCCTTCGATCCGCCGCTGAAATCTTCCCGTCGGCTGCCCCACTACTGCCAGCTCACTAGTACCTAGGTGGCTCTACGACATGGTAGAGTTGGGCGGAACCAGAAGATAACTTATTGAAGTGATGACACGGACACGATCCCGCATCCACATAAACTTAGAGATTGTTTAGTACCTAGATGCGCTCTTAACGCTCCGTCCATGTCGATTGACCTCAACTGGGAGACGGTCACGGGTGGCCCGGATGGGCAGGAGCTGGCATCCCAGATCCGGGACTTCATTCATACCAAGTTCCAGTCGGTGCCGCTGCCGCGCTTCATCAAGTCTGTCACTGTCCATGATTTCCAATTCGGAGCTATTCCGCCTGAAATCGAGCTCAAGGACATCACAGACCCGCTGCCCGATTTCTACGAGGACCATGTCGATTCGGACATAGCGTCGGATGACTCCGAAGGCGAGGATGATCTCGCGGAGAGTCGAGTCTTAGATGAGCGGCGTCGGCGACTCGCCGAATCCGAGGTTCAACCCGGCGGGCCCCAAAATGTCAGCCATCTACCGCCGCATCTCACTGGGGGGGATATACGGGGCGGAAGTGTACGGAATGGTGAGACAGGCAGCCCTTTTATGCGGGTCTCTACACCGGGCATCCCCGGTGGGACGTCCAACCTTCACTACTTCCACTCGCATTTAGCGAGCGGGCTATCGGGAACGCAAACACCTCTTGCCGCGGTCGCCGGCGCCCAGCACCTCAACACCGCTAACTGGCTCGACGGTCACGGCCACAGCTCCTCCGTGCCGAACCTTCACCACTACGCCACCAACCCTGGAGGCATCAACGGGCGGGGGCGCCTGATCTTCCCCGAACCAAGCCACAGCCGCCAACCTTCCCAGAGCTCCATCTCCATCGGGGAATCCGGCCCCTCCGTCAGCCTCGCACCCCCTTCGTCAGTCACCTTAGGCATTCCCTCGCTCAAAGAGAAACACAGCGTCTCGACCTTAGCCCCGACGACAACGTCGTCCGCTCCGTCCCGCCCTCCAACCCGCGACGCCGCGACGGCGCTGGGGGGCTCCGCCATCGCGGACGACAATGGGGCTGACAACAATCCCACCGGTGTTGGGGCCGGTCAACAATCCAACCAGCAGCAGCAGCAGCGGCAGGAGGAACAACAGGAAGACCGGCCCCGCCTTCGAGACCGCCGCATCGAGGACATGCAGGCCGTCTTCCGGATCCGCTATGCAGGCGACGTCAAGCTGCTTTTGACAGCTGACATCCTGCTAGACTATCCCATGCCGAGCTTTGTCGGTATCCCTGTCAGGCTGAGCATCACGGGGCTGACTTTTGACGGTGTTGGCGTGGTGGCGAAGATCAGGAAACGGATGCATTTCTGCTTCTTGAGTCCCGAGGATGCTGTGACTGCCGTGGGTAGTGAGGGTCACGAGGTTGAAGGGAACGAGGGCCGGGAACAGACGCCGAAGAAGCGCCAGACTGGGTGCCCAGGGGGCGACAAGCTTGGAGGCCTGCTGCAAGAGATCAGGGTCGAGAGTGAGATTGGGCAGCGAGAGAGCGGCAAGCAGAGCTTGAAGAATGTGGGCAAGGTAGAACGGTTTGTGCTGGAGCAGGTAAGGAGGATATTCGAGGAGGAGTTTGTATACCCGAGTTTCTGGACTTTTCTGGTGTAAGCGGTAGCATAAGTGAAGGGAGAGTAAGGAAGCACGCATCTGTCGGTCACGGGGTTCAGTGGGAACGCGCGCCTAGGAAAGGGTGCTCTTGAATCCCTGGTAAGCCGAGTTGATGTCTAGCTCTAGTTCTCGGGCCTGTTCTTCACTCAACTCCTCTGTGGCCCTCATTTGGTTGAGTGTGATAAGCCACTGTACGATCTTGCCCCTGTTCTCGAAGTCCCGGTCTGTCACCTTGTTCACCGATTGAATCACGTCTGTCAGGAGGGGATGTAGCTGGTCTTTGGCTAGCAACCCTAGCCGCAGCGCATCCAGGAATGTAATGAAATCCTGCGTCGCTTCAAGAATCAGAGCGCCGCTGGTGTTGCCCGTCGGGGCTGACGCAGCAGCTGAGCCAGAGCTTGCGGTCACTGCAGTCGAGGGCATGCCCACCCGTATCCTTTCCGTTGCACGAGGGACCTCAAGCTATGCGGTCAAAGTGTCAGCAACCCGAGGAGACTCAATCCAACAACGCTGAGATGCGACGTACACCCCACTCGGACTTGAACTCCTCTAGCCCGACAAATGCCTTGGCTACCGTTTCATCGGCAAGGAGTGACTTATACTGCTTCAGAGACCGCTCGCATATTTCGCTATAATCCGCCTCGGGGATGGCATCCTTGAGAAACGCCTTTTCGAGTTCGTCAATAGATACTATGATGCTGAAGATCTCGGCGAGTGAATCCTGTAGATCGCGTTCGGCTCGTGTTTCGGCAAGCTTGACTTCCTGGTGTTGGTTGGCGGTGCAGTTAGTGACTTCAAGGTTCTAGTGCGGGGAGCAACAGAACGCACCTCGTCGAGGTTGATGGTTGCCGACAGCATGGAATTTGGAACATAGCTGTGTGGCGTCGGCGCGTACGGCTGTCGCGATATCATTTTGAGTGTCGTGGATTTTGGAGGCGCAAACTGTCGGGTTACGACGGTCAGACGGACCAATGCTGTTGTAACCTTGGACTTGTAGAGGCCGATGACGACTGTTATTATCGGCCTGAGGTACTTTACACGCTCGGTCACATCAGTTCTCGGCTAGCGTGTCTCGATAAGTCCCGCGATAAGAACCCTGTAACTAAATCGAAACTGAAAAAAAGTTTGGGACTCTGCGATGTCCCTGCCAAACCAGCACCGATCTCTCGGCCATATCAGGACCCCGCGTTTCCGGTGTATTTGCCGCCCACCATGACGGCCTCGAAGAAGAATCTAAAGGCGACAAAGAAGTTCGAGAAGAAACACCTCAAGGGCGTCTTGGAACGGAGGAAAGCGACAGCCAAAATCAAGCAACGGCAACAGCTCAAGGAGAAGAAGAAGGCCAAACGCTCACAAGATGACGAGTTCTTCAAAGGGACTGGCGGGGATGCAAATGGCGCCAAAAATGGCGCCAAAAAGAAGCCTGGCGTTAAGGCGAGCGAGATGAGCGTCGATGACTTCTTTAAGGGTGGCTTCGAAATCCTCGACACCAAACCCGGCTCGGAGGAGAAGCCAAAGTCCGCCGCTAAGCTGGGGAAGCGCAAGCGCGGTGAGGCGGATGCACAAGAGGACCGCTCGGAAGGGAGCGCAAGCGAACCCGAAATTTCAGACGATGATGAGCCCATCGGCAGCGGCAGCGACAGCGAGTCTGACGCCGGCGATGCCAGCGAAGATGAGGACCTGGGCATGTCCAAGAGCGCCATGGAGGCGCTGGCAGAGAAAGACCCAGAGTTCTACAGGTTCTTGAAGGAGAACGACCCGGAGGCGCTGGATTTTGACGAGAATGCAGATCTTGCCGAGATCGACGAGCTCAGCGGCAGCGATGAAGAGGATGAACAGCCCAAGAAAAAGCAAAAGAAGGATAAGAAAGCTGCCAAGGAGGAAAAGGACGACAGAGAGCTCACACGGACCATGGTAGCGAGGTGGAAGGCCTCAATAGTCGAGACGCGCTCGCTCAGAACTGCCCGGCAGGTGGTGATTGCCTTCCGCTGCGCAGCTCATCTGAACGAAAATGACGAGGAGAACCAGCAAAGGTATAGCATCACCAGCCCAGAAGTTTTCCACGACATCGTGGTGGTCGCGCTGAAGGGGATCCCCGACGTTCTGCAGCACCACGTTCCGGTCAAGGAGTCCGCATCTGGCAAGGTGTATGTCCAGACCGAGGGAAAGAAGTTTAAGACACTGTCGACGCTGATCAAGAGCTTTGCCGTCTCGATCATTCGGCTGCTGGGCACGCTGTCGGATGATGCCACTCTGAAACTCACCCTGTCGGCGCTACAACCACTCCTACCATACCTGCTTTCGTTCAGGAAGGTGTTAAAGATGCTGATTAAGACTGTTGTCGCGTTCTGGTCCCAATCGGCAAGCTCCGAGTCCACCAGGATAACAGCGTTCTTGGTGATTCGGCGTCTCGTAGTCATCGGTGACAAAGCCGTCAGGGAAGCGGTCCTCAAGGCGGCATATCAGGGCTTGGTCCAGGGCAGCCGTCTCACCAACGCCAACACAATCCAGGGCATCAACTTAATGAAGAACTCCGCTGCTGAGCTCTGGGGTCTCGACCAGAGCTTAGGCTACACGACAGCTTTCACTTCGATCCGCCAACTCGCTATCCACCTCCGCAACAGCATCGTCAACAACAAGAACGACTCCTACCGCACGGTGTACAATTGGCAATACGTGCACTCCCTCGATTTCTGGTCCTGCGTTCTTTCAGAGCACTGCAGCCCGCTCAAAGAGGCCGAAGCCGGCAAGGAAAGCCAACTCAAGCTGCTCATCTACCCGCTGGTCCAAGTGACCCTCGGCGCAATGCGCCTTATCCCCACGGCGCTCTACTTCCCGCTCCGCTTTCAGCTAATCCGCTCGCTCTTACGTCTCTCCCGTGCAACAGACGCGTACATCCCGCTCGCCTCGGCCCTCTTGGAAGTCCTCAACTCCGCAGAGATGAAAAAGCCTCCCAAATCCTCCACCCTTAAGCCTCTAGACTTCGCCACAGCCTACAAAGCGCCCAAATCCTATCTTCGCACGCGCGTCTACCAGGACGGCGTCGGCGAGCAGGTAGTTGAACTCCTCTCAGAGTTCTTCGTCCTCTGGTCGAGGAACATCGCCTTCCCGGAGTTTGCGCTGCCCGTCATTATCAGCCTAAAGCGCTGGTTGAAGGAGGGCAGGAAACCGGGCAAGGGGAACAAGAACGGCAAGCTGGCCTCCAGCTTGATCCTGCTGGTGCAGAAGCTGGAGGCGAACGGGAAGTTCATCGAGGAGAAGCGGGCGAAGGTCGAGTTTGCGCCCAAGGATCGGTCGCAGGTGGACGCGTTTCTGAAGGACTTTGAGTGGGAGCGGACGCCGTTGGGGGCCTTTGTCGTCTCGCAGCGGAAGTTGAGGGCTGAGAGGCAGAAGATGGTGGAGGAAGCCAGGAAGGAGGAGGAGAGGAAGCGGAAGGAGGAAGAGAGGGAAGCGTTGGAAGATGGGGAGGGAGATGAGAGTAGTGGCGAGGACGAGGAGGATAGGGTCGAGGAGAGCGAAGAGGAGGAAGACGAGGGTGAAGATGAGAATGAGGATGAAGAAGAAGACGAGGACGAGGACGAGGAAGAGGATGAGGATGAGGAAGAAGACGAATGAAATCCTCATGCCGCGATCCTAGGGGAGTTAAATTCCTACAGCTGTCGCGAGTCTTTGTGCTAGATCAAATTTCATACCCGGCGGCTTCACTATAATGTCAGGAATATATGGTGTTTTATTGATTTCTTGACCACATTCCTTTATTCTTCCCAATCGGCGATGGAGAGCCTGCAATCTCAGGATAAGAGGTTTAGGGGGACGTGAAGTATTCCCGGATCATTTAGACATCCTCGCCAAAGGGAGACTTCAACTTCACTGGCTTGCTCTTTTGGAATTTTGGATGGTACAAGTACCTCTATCTTGTCGTGGAGATGACAGACGGTGAAAACTCCGTTCTGAGCTTTTCCAAACGTCGGGCGGGATTAAACATAATAAGTTCAGAAATAAAACAGGAACGGTGGGCGCATCAGGCTCCAGTTTTCGTATGATCAGCTGCCCGTTTGCTGCCCTTGGGCTGCCCGTATGTTTGCACACAACTTCGAACCTAACCTGAAGTCAGCCTATGGATGAAGCAACAGTAGAAGTCCCTAGGGCAAGTGTTATTTCAACTCAGGCTACGAAAGACTGAAGCCGGTCTAGCAGAATCACCGACTGGAGAGTCTGTCCTGAAAGGGCAAAAGCATCCGGTGACGTTTTTTCTCTTCGCTTCGGTAACATGACGCTGATTTGATTGGGAACCAGAGTTGGCCGCTCCGATTGATCCGTTCCGCAGCAATGGTGCCACGGTCTAGGCGCAAGATTTTGTCAGATTTGGATTGCACTGCCTCGCAGGTTTAACCCTTAAATGATGAGATTATATGCATTGTCCTTGCGATCCGTCGATGAGTCCGATCGGACTGTGGTAGACTGCTTGTGAAAAGGTCTAACACTACCGATCTTCTCTGATACGTTGTCGGCGAGTCAGGAGGACTCGGACCCAAGGAAGGAATCGACGCTAACGACACCCTGCATGCGCTGGGCCAGCATCCACTCCCAGGAAAGAAGCAACGCAAGGGCACGGCAAGCCCTCTTGGCATTCAAAACCCGCCATCCCGCCCGAGTGCTTGGCTCTTCGGGTTCCTCCTTTGCACCGGGCACCTGAGCGCTGGCCAAATTCGGACGAAAATCACCTCAAGACTTGTGCACATCAGACGAACCCAAGGATAAGGCATTCCCTTTCGCTACCTCTGCACGTCCGCTATTAGGCGGATGCCTGCGATCGACATGCTCGAAGGCTATCCTAACCTTAGCAATGTCCGACAATGTTAATGTGTGAGTTTCCGCGTGCCTCACGGGACATCTTGGCGATGGTTCCAGCTCATGATCAAGGGCCCATCTCTTGGCTGAGCCAAGCTTTGCGCCAAGCCCGGGGTAGATTGTCATGACCCGGACCGCTGACGTCTCACAGCCCTCGATGAGATCCGCAATGTCGTGTATGTATCCTCTATATTATGCCTCCCCCGTTGCGGCGTGGATGCGCTGCCTTTGATCGTCGGCTTCTCCATCCAACGTCTGCCAGAGCAACTACGGCCGCCATCATGCGGCCCTCTCTGTGTCGCCTACCGGCTACCTTATTACGCAGCTCCGTACCACCGTCGATCTTGGATCATCCCTAGCACAACATGCCTCTGCCTTGGGCGGGCTTGATTGACTGGGCCTTTCGGTCATACAAAGGCCGATATATGTTGGCGTTGAGCGACTAACCGATCGTCGATGACAGTCTTTTGTTCAGCAATCCATCCTGGAGGGGGGGCGGGACGGTCTCGAGTACCGTCATTAGGAACATTACAGCGTTATCAGTATGTCAAACAGACCCTATCCTACCAGATAATCAACATCTGTCTAATGCAGTGGCAGAGCCAGATGGCGTACTCGGCCCATTTCACCGGAAACACCACTGTGCTGTCCACTAGGTATGCCGTCGCTGCGAACGGTGGCCTATCCGGCCTGCTCTACGTTCCGGACCTGCCGTCCGGCAATCCGTGCGTAGAGGAGACTGCGCCGTACGTTCCTATCACTGCAGTCCGGCAATCCGACCTTCCGCCCACGAATTATCACCTGATCGCCATTGCGCCTTGGGTGAGCGACCGCTGTGCGAGCGTCTACATGGCCAGTGCCCGTACCGCTCCTGTGCGGGCATTCCTCTTCTACATGCCAGGGGATGATTCGATTTCGCCACCACCGGCTGAATCTCCGGAATGGTACATTGAGGATGATGCCGACTGGACGACTCAAACGAACTACCCGGTCTTTGCTGTGTCTAGCATGGTCGGCGAGGTCATGATGCAACATCTGAGTCTTTATTCGGGGAACATGACCCAGGTACCATTCGGCCAGAACATCACGGACCGCTTCCTAACCGACCCCGAGGACTACCTCCGGATATGGACCGAACTCATTGTCAGCAAGCCACCCTCGGCTTTTGGCACCTGGGTCTACGTTCTCATCATCGCCGGTGTCCTGCTCATTGTTATCTGCGGCACTTCACTTCTTATGCACCTTGTTCAAGCTCAACGGCGAGCCGCATTGCGGAGTCGGGTCCTTGCCGGGCAGGTCAACTTGGAAGCCATGGGCATCATGCGGCTAACGGTGCCACGGGACCACATTCAAAAATTCCCCCTGTTTACATATCATTACGAGCCGGAGTTCAGCAGTCCTCCGCTATCGCCACAAACTGCAGAGATTGGCCAGTCCCGGACCAGATCACGCAGTCTTAGTCAAAACCAAGCAGACACTGCGACGGCGAGCCGCGTTGCGCGGACCGTCGCTGTTTCCGAGCTCGGCGCTAGCGGTGCGTTTCCGGCGTCTAGCACTGCGACGGACTACCAACCGAACTGTGAAATCTGTTTGGAGGCGTACGAAAATCGGGTAACGATTATCCGTGAACTGCCATGCGGCCATATATTTCACCCTGACTGCATCGACGAGTTCTTGCACGAAGTCAGCTCTCTCTGTCCCATCTGCAAAGCCAGTATGCTTCCCGAGGGATACTGCCCTAAAATCACCAATGATATAGTGCGCCGGGAGTATGGCATCAGACGGTTACGCGGGCGTGTCGACGTACTCGAGGCCGACAATGAACCGAGCCCGGAGAAAAGTCAAGGCTGGTTGGCGACGGCCAAACGTAGATTGTTCACCGTGAACAGCCGTCCGGTGCCTTCAAGCCCGACTGAACTGCAGGAAATACAACAACGAAGCCAAAGACGCCCATCACGGGGAGGGCAACCACGATCGCAATCAACCTTTCAAGAAGGTGCGGATTCTCGGAGGACGCGCACAGCATTGGCGAGAGAACGTATGCGTGAATTGGCCGGGTTTCAACCGGACTATGGGGATAGCAGATCGACGATGTGTAAGTCACGCCCGCATGAAGCCTGAGATTCCCAACACTGACAAAGTCGCAGGGCAACGAATACGAATGAGGATATTTCCTGGCTTCCATTGAACTGCCACACTGTACTCATTTATTAGGAATTTGGTTTGAGGACGGAATCGAATGCAAGATACCCGGCTGGTTTTCAACTTGGCGATGTCTTGTTACCTGTAGGTATATCATGTGTTGTATTTGGTCAAGTGATGTGGCTTGATGCGGTCACTCTGCGACCCATCCGCGAACCGTGAAGAACTGGTCGATATGGTGAATCAGAACAAGCAAGAATCTAACATTTTATCCTCAGAGCCAGCTAGCTATACATACCTAGGTATCCGCGGTGTGACGCTCAAACGTCAATGATTTTCGCCATCCCAAGCCCATGCTAGCACTATGTCCATCCTCCCTGAGCAAGAGCGCCCTATGCCATCAGACGCCAAGGGGAACCCCCATCCGATACTCCGTACTTAGGCAGCATGGCCGTCTCTCCCAATATATGCAACCGAAACCAACGAGAACCCACAAGACAGCAATGCGGAAAAGGAATCCTCGTGGAAAATGAAAACTGGGATATTATTCCTCCTCAACCTCCTCGTCCCAAGCCTCCCTCTCCTTCTTGAGCAACTCAGCCATCTCGGCCGGCTTGAAGATGGAACTCCCCTCGTCGCTCGCACGCGGCACTTTGACCAGGCCCTCGTCATCAAACACCGTGCCGATGCTCTCGATCCACCGCCTCCGCCTCTCCATCAGCGTGCGAGTCAGGTCTCCTATCCCTGGCTTCGCCATGCCCGCCACCGCCACGCCCGCCCCGCCCGGCGCGGACGCAGCGGATTGGCCGGGGCGCGCCTTCTTCGGCTTCTTGCCCATCGTCCGCGTCCGCTTGAGGTAGGCGGCCTGCACCTGCGAGTCGAGATCCTCCAGGATGGTCTGGTACTCCTGGAAGGCCATGCGCTCCTTGACGAGTTCGGTCAGGCGGGCCTTGCGCGCGCCGTTGACGAGCACCTGCTCGCGCAGGCGGGCTTGGAGAAGGCGGAGACGGGCGGCTACTTCGTCGTCGTAGTGCCCGTCGTATTCCGCCGTCGTGGCCGTGGGGTCGGCTTGCCCAGGGGCGGAGGAGGCGTTCGCGCCAGAGCCGGAGCCGTCTTGAGTGGGCAAGGGGAGGAAGCCGATGTGGCGTAACTCTTGTTTTATGCGCTCGTCGACCTGGGAGTAGTCTAGCTTTGGGTGGGTAGCCTTTTTCCAAGCCTCGGTATTCGACTCGGGCATGAAAGTTGCGGGAGGGAGAGATTCCTTGGATGGTGGTTGCGGTTGGTCGGGATTGGAGGGCTGGGAATTGCCGTTGACACCGTTAGTACCGTTAGGCTGACTGGTGGACGGATTGTCGCTGAAGCTGAAATCAAAGGCTGCGATGCCGTTCATGCTGTCCCCGTCGCCGTTAACGCCGTTGATACCCCCCGGTCTGTCCTCCGCTGGTGGGGCACGATGTTCGGGACGCATAGCCTGGAGGAGTCGCGAGAGGAGCGGCCCGACTGAGAGTTTGTCTGTCTCGGCGACTTCATCGTCCATATTGTCGATGCTGCCGCGCGGCTGGTTGGGCGGCAGTCTGTCCCGGCCGCCCGGAGGTGACGAGTCAACAGCCATGGCACCGTCCTCCTCGGCCCATATCTCTGTATAATGTTTCTTGCCCCGTTTAGGCATGATAAATGGCGTTACACGGTCGCCACGCTCTCTAAGAAAGGCGAGATCTTCCTCGGTGAAGGGACGGAAATATGGTTCAATGTAGGTGCTGAATGTGCTGAAATTGATCTGGTTGCTCGGCTTGGCATTACTAAAGTCCTTATCCGGGGGATCGCCGGCTATGAGATGCGACAGATCACTCTTCGGGTAGCTGGCGACAGAGTAGATCTCCTTTATTTCTTCTTCGGTCATCCCCGGTTGTACAGGTCGAATCTCATAGATAGTCGGATCTGGAAACGTGGACGGGTCGTCGCCAAACGTGTTCGCTTGCGGCCGCACAGGGGGTGGCGGGCGGCCATCGTCGGAGCTCGAGTCATCGTCATCATCGTTGGCTTCCACCTTGGTCTTGTCTTCCGCGTCCATATTACTAGGCGTCCGCGGCGCAACCGGTGAGAGTGATGAGCTTGCCGTATCGTTGTCGCGAGAAAGTTTCCTAGCCTTCCCAGTGGTCGATTCGCGAAAAGGGGACGAGCGCTCTGGTGCAGAAGGTTAGTAAGGTGTCTGGAAGGCGAAGTACCAAGCCGGGAAACCAGAAGTGGGTATGCAAGGACGGTTTTGTTCAGTCAGGCGTGACCAAGGCAGGAACCCGCTTGAAAAGACGTCCCCAAACAGAAAGACAGTTAACTAACCCGTGTTTTTGCCATGTGGCGCTAGAGATTCGGTTCCCTTTCGCTTCTTCTTGTTCGATTTCCTTGCGCGCTCCTCGTCGTCGGCCTCGCGTTGTCTTCGCTCCTCCTCTCTGCCCCGCTCCAGCGCCAATTCGTCCATCCTCTGCCTCCGGCTTTGGGCAAGAAGTCTCATGCCGCGGTCGCAATAAGCCCCCCTCTTCTCTATTACATCTGCTAACCGTTGCAGCCGGCTGAGGATACCGTCCAGGCTTCTGGAGTCCGGGATCGGCGCGCTGGAAGCCGCAGGGTCTACCAAGTCCTCAAAGGTCAGATTGCGAAAGACATCAAAGCGCAACTCGATGGTCTCTGTCTCGACCGTCTCGAAAGGCGGCAGACTGGCGGCGGGGGGCGCGGGGCCAGGGGTGGTGTTGCGGCTCCGCTGCTGCTGTTGTTGCTGCTGTTGACGAATTGCGCTGGAACCGGCCTTTTTCCCTGTCCCCTTCTGGCTCGATGACGGCGCCATCCTGAACAGCCCTAGCTCGCCGTTAAATCGCGGGTCACGGGATCTAGGCGAATTCTTTTCGCTCTTCGTATGCAAAGAAAAAAGTCCTGGGACGCCGTCTCGCTTCCGCTTTATCCTGGCAGTCGCGAGACTTTGGTCGTTGCTGGAGGCTCACCAGGCACGCACCTCGCATCCAATGACGAGCCAATCCCCTGTCTTGGCGCTTGAGGTGCCGCCAGGCGGGACTGTGTAACCAAGCCGGGGTTTTGGCGCGTGTCCAATGTCCAATGCGGGGAGAGTTCAAGTTCGGACGCTTTGGGGTGCTCTGCTTTGATGACTCAGCAGGTCACGACACGGGCACTGACAGGACGTATGTACTATTTAAGGGTCCGAGCGTTTTCAATCGATGACACCCTTTATCAATATCAAGTTAAGGTAACCATCAATCTGTTGTCTTCAACTTATTATCTGCCGTCTACCGAGCATTGCACTTGGATCCGATGACTTAAAGCGCTTGCAGCAAGTCCTGCCCCACCTATTCCCCCAACTCTCGTGTGCAACTGCGGATCAATCATCTTCGCAATCCAACTCCCAGGAGATACAGAAACTGGCGTATGTATGTCTGTACAGCCTGGCGTGTCATCGGATGTACGATGCACAGACAAGACAGGACAACCTACCGGGAGGTATATCGAAACGTGACCCTTGACTGCCGAGTTTCCGCGAAGTCGAGGAGATCGGATCGACCTGGCTACAGTAGGACCCAGGGACCCTATGAAGCTCTCATAGCCTTCCCGTGGCCCCATGCATTTCCCCGATTGGTTTCATATCTGGACCCCACCACAACGACTCGCATGGTGCTGTCAACGAGGGGCAGCCGAGTCCCTGCGTGCAGCGTGTCGTCGGACGGCACCTAGGTTAATTGGCATTCCGGGTCGGGAGCAGATCGCGTTTCACAGCAGGTAGCTGTCGGTTTGCTGATGCTATTTCCTCACATTACGACCACCCCCAAGGACGTGCGCGCAACAAGCCAGAACATGATCGTACCTAACTACCTGAGTTCGCCTATTAAGTTTGTTAGCCCAGCTCTAAGGGGCTCACCGCAGGTTGGGAAGCAGGGTTGACCGCAGCATCAGAGAAACAGTCTGGCAGCAAACATAGCGATCAATCCTAGATCCTCCGACGACTCTTTATCTAGCTTCCGACCTGCTATGTTTCTTCCTCTCTCGACCCGGCTCGCTGTTGACGTGCAATATGTGGTGTGTCTGCCATGTGGCCGAGCGATTGGCCCGCAAACGTCATGTCACCACCACCAAGCCGAGCGAACCCACCCTGCAGACACCCCAGGTACAGTGGGGTCGCGGTACACGGTACGCAGTGCGCAGTGCTCAGCGGCTGCTCGTTCATCAACGTGTGAAGGGTCGAAGGGGTCTCAAGTGACATGTGCTGCTGCTGATCCCGCAGGCTCGGAGGCGACAGCAGTGCTGTTCCTACTACACAGTAGATGAGGTTGGGGAATAAGACCACATGCTATATAACCCACGTTGCTGGTTCCATCCCTCTCACTCTCCCTCCCCCTTGTTCGACCCATTGCCCGCCGACTCAACGTTAGCGTGTGTTACTCGTTTCAACACTCATACCTCTCTTCCAGCATGAGAGAATACCATGGCTTCTCTTGGTGGTAACATTTCGCCCCCTGAGAGCATGATCAATCCCCAAATTGTGTTTGCTGGCATTGCCGGTGTGGTCTTCTTTTCCATCGGCCTCTACCAGCTCTCAAGCAAGTCCGCGCAGGATGGCGGCAGCGACGAGCCGAGTCTCGTCAAGTCGATCTTGCTGTTCTGCTACTCTTGCTTTCTGAAGCCGCACTCAGCTGCCGCCAAACGGAGCCAGCAGGGTGCCCTGGAGTCGTTCTACGCTGGCCAAGCCGGTGCTGTATGTGCCATATAATGCTGTCCCGTTTGCCGAGTCAGGAGAGGACAAGACAACTGACTGTCCGTCAGTACGATGTGACCAGGAAAGCTCTTCTCAAAGGCCGCGAGGACATGCTGGCGCTCGCCGCGGCGCAGCTACGCTTTAAGGCCGAGAAGCAGGACGGGGGCGCTGGGCGCAGGCGCATCTGGGTTGACGTGGGTTTCCCATCCACCACCTCTCTGATCCCATGGCCCTAACGAATATCCTTTCAGGTTGGCGGCGGGACGGGCTGGAACATTGAGGCCATGTCCGAATTCGTCAATGTCCCCGAGTTCTTCTCCAGCGTCTATCTGGTCGACTTCTCACCTTCGCTCTGCGAGGTGGCTCGCAAGCGGTTTGCCCGCCTTGGCTGGACGAACGTCAAGGTGATCTGCGAGGACGCGAGGAAGTTCCGCCTCGAGGACTATGAGAGTGGTCTCTATCGGGGCGGCACGACTCCCACGCGCGCCTCCTCCAGCTACTTCACGCCCAGACCGGACCACGGCGGTGCCGACCTGGTCACCATGTCGTACAGTCTGTCCATGATCGTAAGTACTAGTCTTGAGCAGTAGGACGGAGTCTGAAATAGTGCTGACAGGTTGGCAGCCCGACTACTACTCGGTGGTCGACTCGCTGATGTCGCTTCTTTCGCCCGAGGGCATTATGGGGGTCGTCGACTTTTACGTTCAGTCCAAGGTCGACGTGAGCTTCCGGAACCACACCGGTGGTCTCGTTGGCCGCCACGTGAACTACCTCGGACGGACCTTCTGGCGCGCGTGGTTTGAGCTCGATCGGGTCTCTCTCGAACCCGGCCGCCGCGACTACTTGGAGTACCGGTTCGGGACAATTCTCACGGCCAATCTCCGAAATAGCAAACTGGGATCGATCCCGTACTATATCTGGCTGGGCTGTCACAAAAAGCCCTTCCCCTCGTCGAGCTTGCCCCACGAGATCGTGGAACGCATTGATGCGCTCGCTACGGAGTCGCCGTATCTCTTCCCATCTAACAAGCGGAACGGAACGAACGCTCTGACACGCGCGGTGGAGAGGACAGCCCCGGAGATCCGGTCCAAGGCGTTCGACGCTGCTGTCGGGAATCTGTCCGCCAACGTTCCCCTCCCGTCGTTTTTTTACCAGAACCACCACTGGCGTATCTACTACGATGACCAGCTCGAGAAGCACACCCAGTTCAACGACGAGTACATCTACGCCTTCACCTGGGAGGACTCCCGGGTCGACGCGGAGCTGCTGAAGCTCGGTCCGGACGACGTCGTCTTGGCCATCACGAGCGCCGGAGACAACATCCTCTCGTACGCCATGCAGAGCCCGGCCAGGATCCACGCCATCGACCTCAACCCTAGCCAGAACCATCTGCTGGAGCTCAAGGTCGCTTCCTTTACGGCGCTGCCTTACGAGGACTTCTGGAAGATCTTCGGCGAGGGCAAGCACCCGGAGTTCCGGTCACTGCTGCTGTCCAAGCTGTCCCCTCACCTGTCCAGCCGCGCGTTCCAGTACTGGCTCGAGAACGCCGCCATCTTCACCAACACTCGCGGCCGTGGGCTCTACGACACCGGCGGCAGCAAGCACGCCATCCGCGTGTTCCGCTGGATCTCATGCGTATTCGGATGCCGCAGGGCAGTCAAGGGGCTCCTGGAAGCGAAGACGCTCGACGAGCAGCGCCACATCTGGCACTCCAAGATCCGCCCGGCCCTGCTCAGTCCCCTGGTCAGCAACCTGGTCGTCAGCTCCGAAGCCTTCCTCTGGGCGGCCCTCGGCGTTCCCAAGAACCAGCTCGCCATGATCGAAGCCGACCACGCGACCAGCAGAGCCGTCACCGGACCGTCGCCAACCGCCAAGAACACCCGCGCCCACGCCATCTGGCACTACATGGTCAACACGCTGGACCCGGTCATCGAAACCACCCACGTTGCCACCGACAACCCGTACTACCGCGTCTGCCTCGCCGGCGACTTCTCGCCCGACTGCCACCCGGACTACCTCACGCGCGAGGCGCACGCCATGCTCAGCCGGCCGGGCGCGCTCGACGGCCTGCGCATCCACACGGACGAGATCGACGAGGTGATCGCGCGCATCACCCCGGGGACGCTGACGGTCGCCATCGTCATGGACAGCATGGACTGGTTCGACCCGCCTTCGTCGGGTAACGGCGGCGGCATGGCCGCGCGGCAGATTGCCAAGCTCAACCGCGCGCTCAAGACGGGAGGGCGCGTGCTGCTGCGCAGCTCGGCCCGCGAGCCGTGGTATATCCGCGAGTTTGAGGCCCACGGGTTCGTCGGCAAGCAGGTGGGCGATCGCGAGCCCGGCAGCTGCATCGATCGCGTCAACATGTATGCCAGCTGCTGGGTGTGCACCAAGGTCGAGAACCTCCCGCCGCCGACGCCCGGGTCGGAGGCGGAGATGGGTGGTCAGGCGATTGCGGAGGATTTGGCGCTGTTGTGAGAGGAAGGCGCAAAGCGAGGCTTTTGATGAGGAACTGGGTTGGATGACGCTCATTTATGACGACTGATGCTGGGGGAATTTCCCAGTATCTCGACCTGGTACGGCACAGAATGCTCCGTGGCGCATCACACTTTCATGAAATCGAGAGCGGTGCTGGCGCCGTAGGCGGTTGGGTTGAGAGCTCGAGATAAATCTGAGAGCGGCAGGAAACGGGCAATATGCAATGGTTATGAATGTATGTCACGGAGGTGGATTTCATTGGTATATCGAGCCACTCATTATCAGAACAGAAAACAGGATGATCAAAAGTGAAACCTGCGGTTCGAGTAGTAGATATCACCGTGGTGCAGGCATGGGTGCAGGAAAAGGGTCTAAGCCCCCGGGCCGTTGAGGAGCCGAGGCCAGAGACTCAAGCCTAGGTTTGAATGCCTCCCACAGTCGCATCATTCCAACCCTCCAGGGAGATGAGACACAGATCTTGCATGATCGTGCATCCGATACGTATAGAATCTGAGTCTCGGAGGGTGATGGGTGGGGGATCATAATGTAGAATTCGGTGGAGGGGATGTCCATGCACATTAACATCGGCGTCCTGAGGCAGCCCACCTAGCTTCTCCACGTTGAGCAGTACGTAGCACTAAGAGGTGGCTCGTGCGTGACCCACAACAGGTTCGTCTTGGCTTACTAGTAACCAGTTGTGGCTTGTTGTGTCCTGCAAGGCCGTTGCAGCGGCCATCTTTGCTTCCGACGCACACCGCCCGGAGGCTGGGTCTTGCTGAATGGAAGCCTGGACCGAGCGCCAAGTAAGATGACGCAACAGGCCTGACGAGGTGTATCCAAACCATTGAAAACACCCAAGATCATTTCAATCGCGACAGCGGGGTCAACCGGCGGGATCACCCGGGCCCCGCCAGGGGGAGAAGCACGGGCAAGATCGCCCAGCCCAGTGGGTCTGTCGATTAAGCGCGGTATCCGCAAAACCACCACTGAACACATCATGAGAGGAAGCTTATCATGACTGATGATCTGTCTGAACATCTTCTGGCGTAATAAGCTCGACGCCCATAGAAGATGACACTTATGTATTTACTGCCTTCGTTCGTTACGCTTCTACCATCAGTCCCTGTTACCGTCAACTAGAGCTTACTGATCAACCTTGTCACATACGATTTTTGGTATATGCCTAAGGTATTGATTTGCTTTCCATCTGAGAGCTTTACTTGTTTGTCCATCCATGAGTGAGCTGATTTCCTGTTTAGGAGCTTGCTCAAAAACTCACCGAAAATAGACGCCATAGACGACGTAGCTGGCTTTGGTAGACCTGCCGTTGCTGTTTGTGGCTGAGCCGCCAAGTTGTTTCTCTGGCCCATTGGCCGGCCTTGCGCCAACCCATGTGGATGATCCAGACCGGGCCAACTGCATGGGCTGCCCTCCGGATCTGTGGGTACCCGCTGTGCCTCCTCCCGCAGCCCTCTGCATCTTTGATGTCGATGCATGGCGGGACGCGCATGGGTATTCGACACGCCAAACCTTGAGGGTTCCCTCAATTGCTAGTCTGTATCTTAAATAAACATGACAGATATTCGCCGCCCCAACATGGCCAGGAAGCATTCGGCCTGTTCCCGTTCCGTGTGTTGTTTTGACTGCGGCGGCTTTGGCTGATGCCTACTCCCAACATGTCCACCTCATCGATATCATTGTCCCCGATTTCACTTTCAATCCCTCAGCACCAGGATACGAGGCCAAAGGGTGCTTGCGTGGACTGTAAGAGATTGAAGAAACGCTGTGACAGGGCGAGCCCTGCCTGTACCAACTGCGCCAAGTGAGTGTCGAGGCGTTCACACAGTTTGCAGCTTTATATTCTGGGCGATGATCCGCTCACCCTCTTGGCTAGGGCATCCCGGACGTGCGAGTTCAAGGATCTGTCAGAAGATGGCCTGCTTTCACCAATATCCTCCGCCAAGAGCATTGACACGCTCACCTTCGGAACTCTCCTCGACATCCTCATCACCAAGCAACGCGTGAAGGAAGCTGTCACCTTGTATTTCCGCGGCGTCAATACTTGGTTCACCATCGTTGAGAAGGCCAGCTATGAGAGGCAACTAGATACGGCGTGGGACAAGCTCCCGGCCGAAGCGAGCGTCTTGGCTCTTTGCATGGCCCTCATGGCGCGCCCGCCGAATCAGAAGTCGAGCAAGATAGGGGATACCGTGTACCACACCACCAAGGCCATCCTGGGTCTTGTCCAGAGCAAAGCGCCCATGTCGGTACCACTGCTGCAAGCCGAGCTCCTCGTCGCCATGTACGAGTTTTCGCAGTCGATGCCGCAGCAGGCCTATCTTTCCCTGGGCCGTTGCCTGCAGATGACGAAAGCGTTTGGTTGGCATGGAGCGGTGTTTTGGGCCGAGGATCGCAAGGCCTCCATGGCGAGAGACTTGAAGCTTTACTCCATTTTGTGGTGGGCGATTGTTTATCTCGATTGGTAAGAAACAAATCCGCCAACCCCCCTTCATCGAGGTCGGGCATCGGGTAGCTAATCACGGAGCAGCCTGCTGAACGTTGGATACCAAGACCAAACGTTCCCAATGCACACGGCGGGTCTCGAGGCAGTCTCTATGATTCCCCTGCCGGAAAACTTCGACCAGCACTTGGCCAGCAGTTCGCCGTTCCAGCTAGGAGCCCAGGGGCAGGAGCAGGGATTTCGCGACTCCAACGGCGACCGGATCGAGGGAATGATTGTGCCGGAAGCGACCTCTGCATGGTATCTGAGTCGGGTCTTGGAACAGCTATCCGACCCTGCGCTGCCGGGGAACGTGGATACCAAGACACTCTCCACCATGATCTGGCAACATGCCCAAGACATTAGTGCGGCCAAGTGGAGGGCTGGCGACCGTAACGCAGCCGTGGGCACAGACCTCATGTGAGTCCCTCAACGGTGACCCGAGTTCAGAGACCCAACCCAACTAACACCGACCCGCCCAGAGCCCTGATGAAGCTCAACCACCCCGGACTTCTCGGCGGGGCAGATCCATTGTCGCTGCTCTCGGACCCCCAAGCCGTTCAAAGGATTCGGGTTCTGACCACCGTCATCCATGGCAAGGCCGGCAAAATAGCGGCGTCCGAACATCGGCTCAGCACCGGGGTTGAAGCCCCTTGTTGGGCGTTCGCCATGTCCTATGCTTCGCTGCTACTCATCTCGCATGGCAATGGGGTGCTTCAGGACGCCGACTGGTTTTCGAGGGTTGAGAACTTGATGACATCAATAGAGAAAGTCTCAAAGAGGTGGATTATTGCTGGTGAGTTCTTCTTCCCTCGGCGTGCAGAACAGGCGTGGGTAGTGCTGATATCCGGCCTTCAGCGAGGTACTGCGAGACTGTCAAGATTGCGCTCGAGAACCGTCTTAACGGGTATGCCCAATAACATTAGGTAGAGAAGGCGGTAACGTTACTAAAGCAAATAAAGGAGGAAGGCGAATGGGAGGAGACGGATTGCTTGTCTGCTGGTCTGTGGTTTCTGGGTGGCGCTCTCTATACGGCGGATTGATACCCCTATTGGCTCTGGTTTCAATGTTTTCTTTGAATGGACTGGGTGTTGCGCGCTCCTGAAGTCTGATCCGACTGGAACAGTGCCGGTTCGGAGGAGTTGTTCGGAGGAGTTATCCCAAGTCTGCGCTAGTCCTGTGTTCCCGCTGCTTTGAGGGAGCGCATGTTTGCATGTTTGATCGGAACAGGGTGGAGCGTGAGATTCAAGCTTGGCCGGAGCACTCTCCCTTTTTCCCTTTTGGTAGCGGCTTCTTCTGTTTGCTTTTTTGCAATGGAATAGGACGACGGAACGACATTCGATTCTGCCAGAAGGCTACATGAGATGGAGAAGGCGCTTAAGTTCCTCTTTCCAGGGGTTAGATCTCCTATCTCTGGTTAGTTTACCGTCAGTTTCTTAGATGAAGAATAGTAGAGTATTCCCCAACAATTTGCCATTTGTCCGTGGAGTCAATAACATCAAATCCAGCCGAAAGGCAGGGTCTCATCATCCCGGCGTTCCGTCTATTTGTGTCAGGGCGACCCTGTCCCCAGAGTCCAGTCAAATAATCACCCGCCAATGGGCCAGCCCGTGGGAAGGAGGGTGGAGGTGCCACACACGAAGTATACTCTATCGAATTGACTGTCCTCCATCAGTCTCGGGTTTTTAACATCACAGGGTGACACAGCGTGTGCGCCCCCTTCCCTCTTCCTTGAACCTCCTGCGTTCACTAACATCACCCAAAACGGACAGAAACCATCACCAAGGGACAAAGGAGAATCCGCTTCGCAACGAACCCGGCAAGGAAACGGATATTGGTGGTAATCATAAGGGGAAAGTTTGTTACACATAAAAACCCCGCACACCCGCCTCAAGATGTTGTCAGAATGTCTTTTCCTCCTTTTGCCCCCACCCAAGATCCAACACCCGCCAGTCCAGCCCAGGCAAGCTCATGCAGTCCAGATGCGCTTGATGGTCTCGGTGATGCCCACGTCGGTAGTCTCGAACTCGTAGAGGGCCAGGCCGACGACGGCGGTGGCGGCGTTGCAGGCCCAGACGAAGAACTTGCGCGCGCGGGGCACCCGGTAGGCGGGCAGGTAGTCGACGATGATGTTCTGGAAGCCGGTGTGCGAGTGGATCAGGAGGGTGGCGCAGAGGATGGCGTCGAGCGTCGGGTTCAGCGAGCCGGCCGCGAAGGGCGCCACGGTGAGCGGAACCAGCGACGCGCCCACCAGCCGGTCAAACGTCCAGTGGTAGGACCCGTGCGCCGGGGAGTAGGGCGGTATTCGGACCGGGTCGTTCACTGAGGGAGGACAACGGGGTCTATGTCAGGAGAGAGACGGAGTATTGGTTGGTTGAGAGGGGAGGGGAAGGGAGGGGAGGGGGGCTATTATTAAGGGCCTTGGGGAGGGGAATGCCGCTCATACCTGTCCCTTCGACACGCTCTGTTCGATTGGTTAGCAACTGCTTCTCCTGCCAACGGATTATAAAACGCTACGCACGGGGAAGTGGTGGGAGGAGGTCCCTCCGGGCCGAGGTGTGGAAGGCAGTTGTTCGGGCGGCGTTGGCAATGACGCTCCGTTGGAACGTCGGCCTCGCCGCAATCGACAGCTTAGGCGCCGAAGCAACCTGCCGTAGGAGGGAGGACCGAGAAATTGATGCCATGGTGTGTGTCGGGCAGGGTGCAGCAGTCGATTGGTTCAGCTGCCCGGCGTCGCGATTGCTTGGGGGGTTTCGACGACGAACTTAAAAGTGACAACGGAACAACGGGAGGCCCGCGAAAATGGGTTGCCGAAACGGGCGTGCTTCTGATTCCTCGGCAATCGGAACCCACGCCTACCAATCGTCTCGCCGTTGATGTCAGCCGAAAGCCCCCACCGAGATGGATGGAAGGCGCCGGGTCGGAACGGGAATTTCTTCGTTCCCTTTTAACGCAGCGGCAGCCAAGCCTTGACTCTTGAGCCGCGTTTAACTAATTTTATCAGCGAAACCGGCATGATAAGGCACTGATTGCGTACATACACAGTACGCACATACAGCCCACTATGTAATTTACAGGTAGACTGTGTAAAAAACTCAGGCCCTTGAAGCGCATCGCTATGACTTTGGTAGACCGGCCGACGACAACGTCCCCCTGATCCCTCCCGGAACTATAGGATGCGCACAAGCACCGTGTCACCATCATCGAGTTAGTTGGAAGACTTGGGCGTGGCAATGGCGCCCTCGCAGGCGCTGGTCCTCAGTAGAGGCTCTGCCTGCTACAGGTGCCTCTTCGGACACGCCAGAGGAGTTGCGCTCGTGCAGCGCAGGGGGATCTCCCAGAAATATCTCCAGAAAAAGGCAGAAGCAGAAGCGCAATGGAAGGAACGAGCGGAGTGGATCAAGGAGGGGAAGCTGCCCAACCTCTGGGACATGTTGGAGGAGCGCGGCTATGTGAAGGATACAGCTGGGTATGTTGAACGCACTGTGTTCCCAAGCCGTCGTAAAGGGGTTTCCTGTTTCTCTGACAGACAAGGGCATAGATCCAGAGAGACGATCCGTGAACTCATGAGGACAAGGCGGATAGGCGCCTACGTCGGCGTCGACCCCACGGCAAGCTCTCTGCACGTCGGCCACCTGCTCCCTCTCATGCCGCTCTTCTGGATGTACATGCACGGATATAAAGCCTTCACCATCCTCGGCGGATCAACCGTCAAGATTGGAGACCCCACAGACCGGCTGAAGACGCGGGCTGTTATTGGGAGCGCGGATCTGGCTATGAACGTCACCAAGATGCACTTTCAGATCAAAAAGCTATGGACCAATGTTGAGGAGCAGGCTCGGAGGCACGGCTACAAGAAGGAATGGGCTTGGAGGCGCGGGCTGGTGAACAACAACACATGGTGGAACAAAATGCCCATGCTCGAGGTCCTCAAGAGGGTGGGACGGCACCTCCGGATAGGGCCCATGCTATCGCGCGACACGGTCAAGCGGAAAATGACAGAAGGGGATGGCGTCTCATTCGCCGAGTTTAGCTACCCGATCATGCAGGGCTGGGATTGGTGGGAGCTCTTCAGACAGCAGCGGGTGCAGATGCAGATTGGCGGCTCCGACCAGTACGGAAACATCATCACCGGCATCGACATCGTCAAGGCCGCCCGGGACAATGAGCCGGACCCGGCCAAGAGAATTCCTGCCAACTCCGAGTTGGACGACCCTGTGGGATTTACCGTGCCGCTCTTAACGGACTCGTCGGGCGCCAAGTTCGGCAAGAGCGCCGGAAATGCGGTGTGGCTCGATCCGCACAGGACGTCCCCCTTCGACCTGTACCGCTACTTCGTCCGACGGCCTGATGCGGACGTGGAGAACCTCCTCAAGCTGCTCACGTTCCTTCCCATGAGCGAGATCCAGCAGACCATGGAAGCGCAAAATCAAGACCCGTCGAAGCGTGTTGCACAACACCGCCTCGCCTACGAGATCTTGTCATTAGTCCACGGCGAAGCGGAGGCGCAAAGGACGCAGGCAGAGCACCGCATGATGTACCGCAAGGGCGGCGCGGCCATCCCCCTGTTGGCCAGCAGCGCTCCGGAGGGCGGCGAGTACGCGGAACCGAAGGGGCCGGTAACGCCCAACAACGCGCCGCGGGTCGACATGATACTCCCGGAATCGCTGATCATGCACAAGTCGATTGGCCGCATCCTGTACGCCGCCGGCTTCGCGGACAGCGCGACAAAAGGCCACAAGCTCGCCCAACAAGAGGCCGTCCACATCGCCGGCATGCCCGGTCGCAAGCCGGGGCACGGCCAGCCGATGGACCCGGCGCAGCTGACGTGGAACCCGATCAAGCTCTGGTTCCCGCAGGAAACGCAAAGGTACCTGATCGACGGCAAGCTGCTGATCCTGCGCAAGGGCAAGCACAACCTGCGCGTCATCCAGATGGTCAGCGACGAAGAGTACAAGGCCTCGGGCCTGACCTACCCGGGCCAGGAGTTCACGGGTGTTGTGCGCCGTCTGCGGAACCTGCTCAAGGCGCTTAAAGACGGGGAGATAACACCCGAAGAGGTCAAGGAGGCGCTGCGGGCAGAAGCCGAGCAGCAGAAGCAGCAGCAGGAGGAGGCGCCAGGGCACATCAACTTCCCTAAGCAGAAGCCCGAGGCACAACGACACTTGGAGGCGCTGATTCGGGCGGAACTCAGGAGGGAGCAGACGCGGACCGCGGCGTCGGAAGGGGAAGATGCTTAAGATGTATCCAGGCGATTTGTAAGATACTGTACGAAATTGCTCTGGCGTGTGGTAGTATATCCCATCATAAGAGGTGAGCGCATGCTCGGCTACCAACACTAGGAAAAGTAAGGGGGGGCGAGGGGCGCTACCTATGTATAAGCGACTCAAAACTGATGTATATTATTACCTGTATAAAACAGTCAAATCACCCGCCGGGGCACGAAAGCTCCTGAACTTCTCCATGATCTCGGCGTCCGTCAGGTTCTGCTCCGTGATGATCTGGTCGAATGTGTGACACCCGTCCGTGTACTTCTGCAGCGGATCGCCGCCGGCGACCGGGCGTGCCTGGCCCGTCGCCAGGGCGGCCAGGTACTGCTTGGACACGACGTGCTTGTGCACGCGGTAGAGGCACCCCTTGATCACGCCGAACTGCACCAGCCGCCGCACGTCGATGAAGCGCATCACGTCGAAGCCGGCGTCCATGTGGCCCTTGAGCCACTCCATCACCGTCTTGCCCACGCAGAAGGTCGTCATCAGCTTGATCAGCATGTAGTTGGACACGCGGTGGCCGTGAACAGCAGCGGCAGCGGCGGCGGCGGCGTTACTTTCGCCGTCATCAGTGCTCTCGGTGCCGTCATCATCATCATCATCATCATCACCGTCTCCGATCCCCCTCCCTCCTCCTCCTCCTGCTCCTCCCTGCCCGCTGCTACTAGTAGTAGTAGTAGTAGTAGCACGAGCACCCACGCACACATAGTTCGCACACTCATCCACCATCCCGCCGACATTGGCGATAAACTCATGGATCCCGGGGCGGGGCGCATAACAGGCCCCGAAGAAGAACATGTCCAGCAGCAGGATGGTGTCGTAGTAGAGCAGGTGGCGCAGGGCCAGCACTGTGAGCTCGAAGGAGACGTCGGCGAGAAAGGCGATGCGGCGCACGTCCGAGACGCCGTCGATGTACGCGACGACCCGCTGCAGCGTCAGGTCCCACGTCGGGTCGACGATGTCGGCGAATCTCATCTTGGCCACGGGCACGTGCCAGCCCTTGACGTCGGACGGGGTCGGGTGGTGCGGGAAGAGCTTCATGTTGATGGTGTTGGCGTCGTCTGTAGAGAAATGTTAGGATAGTAAAGTCAAGGTAGGGGTGATAGGTACGGATAGAAAGGAATGGGAGGGAAAGAGAAAGGGAGGTAACCGTACCAACAGGGATCATGCACTCCCCGTAGTTGTTGAGATCCTCTTTGATGATCTCCAGCAACGACTCGATCGGCCTCCTGGCGTGGTGCTCACCACCACCAACACCACCAGCACCACCACCGCTGCCACCAACACTGCCGCCACCATCGACATCCTGGCTCAGGTACCCGCTCTGCTTCTCCATCTCGGCAAAGGTCACGGCAAGCCGCCGCACGACGCGCTCGTAGGGCACCTGGTCGACATCGCTCTCGACGACCAGGCCGAAGTTGAAGATGAACTCGTTGCGGTCGTAGCGCGGGCTGGGGATCGACACGGGGAAGCCGAGCACAAAGTATTTGCCCTCGGGGTCGGCCACCGTGATGTAGCGGTTGCGGAAGGACTCGCGCGGGATGATGTACTCTTGCAGCACGCTGAAGTCCAGGAGCGGCGGCTTGGCGGCGGTGCTGGTGCTGCCGCTGCCGCCGGGAACGGGCACGATACAGCCCGGCGGGCTTTGTGCTACGATCTTGGTCCCTGGTTGGTGTTAGCAGTAATAATACTGTAATCCCTGAGTTGGGGGCGGAATCTAGGCATGAGAAAACCTTCTTTGGGGAAGAAGCGGGCGTAGAAGATGCCTTGAATCATTGTGAGCTTGTGAGCGTTCTCACTTGCATTCCTGCCGCTAATTCACGGCATTGACAGAAATAGGCCGCCTGGTCATCAGGAGTCTATAGTTAGCTTCGGCCTTCTCATGTGCCCTTCCTAAAAATATGAGGCCCAAGATATAGTGAAACAGTTGATGGGGAGGCTTGTTGGAAGGAGAGAGCATTGTTTCCTATTCTGGATTCGGGGATCGGAATCGAACGTATATACACCCCTAACCCTGACTCTTTCCATCGATGCCATCCCTTCACGCAAGGTCCATCATCCGTCCTACCGTCCGACTCTCCGAAGCAGACCATGGCCATGACGAATAAGATGGCCCAGTTAGGAAATAGCATGGTGTCACGGTGTTATTGATAATTCCCATTACAACATAGGTGTTGTGTCACTGACGCCGCTCTCTAGAAAAGCCAGAGACCGTCGGCTCCGCGAAGCACACACTCTCTACTCCGTATGCACCAGAAATATACCGCTATGAGCTGCAATCTCCCCTGTCTATCACCCATCACCAACCCCACCTGTAGGCGTAATATCCCTCTTCCCAAACCTGGCCCCCAGCCCGCCAATATCCCTGCGGAAGAACTTGCCAATGTTCTTCAGATTCTCATTGATCGTCGCCTTCTCCCCCGGCGCGGCACCTCCCCCAACCACACCCCCGCCCGGCACCACCGTGGTACTAGTCCCCATCCTCTCGACCCCGTCCCGCGCCGCATTCAGCAGCTTCTCCCCCAACGACGTCGCGTCGAACCGGCCCTGCAGCCCGGCGCTGGCCACGACGGCCGCCGCGGCGCTGTTGCCCACGATCCCCGAGCTGCCCAACCCGCCCGAGGGGGCCGCCATGAGCGGTGTGAGAAGAGGCGAGCTCTGCACAAGCTGCATGGACGAGCCCTCGCGGTGGATGGCGAACAGCTCCATCAGATGCGCCTGGTCCTGCTTGCGCACGCCCTTGAGCTCAAGGATCTTGCGGAAGTTGGTGTCGGAGCGGTCGCCGATGTGGATTAGGTAGGCCTGCACGAGCCCCTCGGGCGGAGCCGGCCGGACTTGGAGCGTTTTGAGGAGCGGATCGATGCGCGTCATGGCTTGGTTGACCCGCTTGACGAACCCTGCCGGCGGCTGGGGGTGTTGGGCGGAGGGTCCTGCCGAAGAAGAGGGCTTGTTGTGGTACGAGAGGAGGTTCTCGAGGGACTTGGTGAGGACGTATTTGTCGAGGAGCATCTGCTCGGCCCCGACCTCGCAGACAGGGCGGCACTGCACGACGTTGTTGATGTAGCACGTGGCGAGGTGTTCGACGAGGTTGTCGCAGAAGGCGCGGGCGTATTGCGGTTTGATGACGAGCGGAAGGATCTCTTGGGCTTTGCCATTTACGTGTTTGAGGAGCTCCCCGACGTAGGAGCTGTGGTCGCTGACGCTCTCCATGCGGCTCCAATTCGTGTTCTTCATCTCGCGCCACGCTCCTTCGCAGTCGAGTTCCACCTTGGCCACCAGGGCCATGACGGCGGCGCTGGCGACGCCCATGAAGGCGTCAGACTGCGAGGAGAGGTCTACTCGTGATGCCATGTCGGGGTCAATACGCTTCTTGATGCTCTCCTCCAGTTGGTTGGTATTCGTGTACCAGAAATCTGCCGTGTTTAGGACGAGGATGATGTCTTGAATTTGGGGCCCCTGGGGCCCGCCCCGTTGCAGGAAGTTGACGAGGACTTGTTGGGCGTATTCGTCCAGGTATTTTGCTAATGTTTTGCTGAGGTCGAGCAGCCGCTCGCCGGTGGAAAGCTTGGCGCATTGTGAAAGGGTAAGCTTGTAAAAATGGAACAGCTCGATCGCTGACGGGATAACAGCCTGCGGCGAGAACTCCTCGTCGGGAGGTAGAAGCGGCTGCGTCCTGTACCGGGGAACCATACTTGCCAGTGCTTTGTCCTGTGACTCGACCCATAGGCTCAGGTACGGCTCGAAGGCGACGGATATTGACCCGTTGAAGTTCTGTATCCTGTCATCCGCCGAGCTCAGCGTGTCGATGCTTGCCCGGGGTTCACTGGCAAACCGCCTCTCTAGGCTCTGCTCAAAGTCCATCGTCTCCTGCAGGCAACTGAGCAGCAGATTGACGTCGAGCTTAGGCCCGTCAATCCTGCGCATGCTCTTCTCGAGAATGCCCTTGAAGTCCTCTCGGGTGCCGTCGCAGAATGCCGTGCCCAGTGCTTCACTGACGCGCCAGTGGGGCGGGAATATGGCGGCATGCTCGTCCTCGTGCGTCTTGAGCATGCGCTTGAACCAGGCATAGCGCCGTCCGATGTTGTCCAGACTCCCCGCCTCGTCGTTCCCCCGGAAGACCTGGCGGTACTCGCGCAGCTCCGTATTGACATACCACGTCACCAGCCTCGTCTTGGCGTGTTCGCCCAAGGCGTCCATGACCAGGCAGGCCTCGACTAAGACACCACGGCGCGCGGCCACCTCGCCCTTCGCGAACGCAATCTCGAAATCCTCGCAGACCTGCTCCAGCAGTTCGCGCTGGAGTTCGCTGACGTTGCGGCTCAGGACGGCAATCTGCTCGATGCTGCGGTAGCTGTTGAAGTGGCGCATCAGCTGGAGCACGGCCTGCAACAGCCCGGCGCACTCGCGGTACTGGCGGGTGCGGGCCAGGCCGCGGAGCTGCTCGTAAGCCGTTGTCAACATCTGCAGCCGCTTCAATGCGGTCATGCTGAGCGTCAGGTTGCGCTTGGTGCCATCAAGACGCTTGATATCCGCTGTCATGGTGGTGATGTCTCGCTCCGTCTGCAGGGCCCGGCTGCGCACGCTTTCGATGCGCTGGAAGAGCGAGGCCAGCTCGGCTTGTGCCGACTGCATGCGCTCCAGCGACGAGTCGGGCCCGTAGGCCTGGGCCGTCTCAAGGGCTGCGATCGACTGTGACAGCTCATCTTTATGCCGTTGGATCGTCGACGAGACACGCGCAACCGAGGCGACCGTGGACGGTTGCGAGAAGAGAAGGTTCAGATGCGCGATCGGGTCGTACTCCACTACGCCAGTACCAGGAACAAGTCAGCTATGTTCCATTGCGGTTCAGAGACCCTGATTAGGCCTGTGAAGAGAAAGACCGGGGCTCATTACCTGAATCAAGAGACAGAGAATCCGCAGCTGCGATGTTCATGGTGCCCTGGAGCTCGTCTCTCCGTTGGTTCTTCTGAGCACACACACTTGTCGGTGCACTCCAACCACACACGTACTGGCGGTGCTGCTGTAAATGGGATGAATGCCAAGACACATCGCTGCAGCAGCCGTGACGTGCGTCCGGATCAGATATCGGGTTAGGGTAAGAAGTGCGAGTCTCAGCCCTATACTGTGTAGAGTCATGGACCCACTTCAAGGGTACTAGTAGCCTGCTGGTTGTGTACTTTAAGAACTTTGAACACCCGCTTTTGAACTTGGGAAGGTTCAGCTTCAGCTTGCTTGCTTGTCAATACGTAAAATCAACAGACTACATTAACGCCCCCCAAGCTTCCCTGATTTCCGCGTTTCCACAACTGCCAGAGTTAACAAACAATCACAACGCCAACCATGGTGCACCGGACATCATGGATACAACAGCCGCAGCCTCGACGCTGACCAGGCAGCGCGTCAGCGTGGCAGTCCTGTCACTTGCGGCTACGGCGACGCTGGCCTACTTCTGCTACCGCGTCTACAACCCGCCGCTTCCCGAGCCACCCCCCGACCGGCGCCTCCACCGAAGCAATGCAGTCCGCCACCGTAGACGCTCGCTCCCCAATGTTGTCCATGGCCACAGCCGCGAGCCATCCGAGGACTCCACCACGTCGGTCGAGTCCCATGCCGACGAGAACATCGACGTCAACACGGTCCGCCCTCTGAACGACACCGAGACGGTCGCAGACGAGCATACTCTGGAGGATAACTGGTACGATGACCCGAATACCGAGTTCGGCAGCCAGCAGCAACAGCGCGCCGGCCAGAACATCGTCAGCCTTCTCTTTCGCGTCTCTGAGGACAATGCTCGACGCAACGCCTATGTTCACCGCGGCTGTATGTGCAATGGATGTGGTATCACCCCGATTCGTGGCATTCGCTATCGTTGTTCGAACTGCTATGACTTCGACCTCTGCGAGATATGCGAGTCACAGGGCCTCCACACCAAGACGCACGTTTTCTACAAGATTAGGGTCCCGATCCCGCGGCTGGCTGTGCGCCAGCTGCAGCCAGTGTGGTACACGGGCGATCCCGACAACTGCCTGAGGCTTCTGCCCAAGCATCTGATGGCCAAGCTGTCCAAGGAGACGGGCTTCGAGCGGCCTGAGCTGGAGGCTCTCTGGGAGCAGTGGACCTTCATGGCGAATACCGAGTGGCGAGAGGACCCCGACGAGCTCGGCTTGGCCATGGATCGGAAAACATTCGAGCGCTATCTAGTGCCTTCGGGCGGGTATAGGCATATCGCACCGAATCTCCTCCACGACCGCATGTTTGCCTTCTACGACGACAACAACGATGACCTAATTGGATTCTCGGAGTTTCTGCGCGGCACCGCTTACCGCAAGAGGAAGGACCGGCTTCGCAAGATTTTCAACGGCTATGATGCCGACGGCGATGGATACATCAATCGCCGCGACTGCTTACGTCTGTTCCGGGCTTACTACGTCCTGTTCAAGCATTTGCAAAGGGACGTCCTCGACGTTCTCGTGGACCAAGTTGTGAGCTCCACAGAAGTTGAACAGTTGGTGACAAGCAGGCAACCATTGAGCAGTCTGTTTGGACGGGAGGGCGGGTTCCCCCACGCTGACACGGACCGTCCGATGGAGGGTAAAGTCATCAACCTGAACACGGGAGAGGTGCACATCACGGATGGGGCAACCACTGTCGTGAACGAGGACGCGCCTGACACGGCCGACCGCCAGTCGATCTTGACTAGTGTCTTCCGTAGGCAAGCACACGTTGCCGAAAGCCTCTTCATGCCCGTCATGGACAATCCACGTCCCGCTGGAGAGCGAGCGTCCGGATTGGAGTATCTTAACGGTCTCCTGAACCCGCCAACCCGGCTTAGTGAGCTACCGTCTTTGCTTCTCGGAGAGACGAGCGACGGTGAGGAAGTCCTAGTTGTGGTTAATGGCCGAGGTGGCCAGGATGGAAGCAGCGACGAGCACGAAGCTCCGGGCGGCGACGAGAACCGTGCCTCCTCTCAGTCCGAAGGCAACAGAGTCGAGAATCACATCGTCACCAATGGATACTCGGACGGCGAAGCTCCCGACGAGTCCGAGCCGCGTCGGCCAGCTTACAGAAGCCCGATGTCGAACCGCCGCATGAGACAGCATGCGCGGAGGAAGCTATTCGATCGCTGGAAGAGGAGGCAATTTTACCTGGATGAGGAAGAGGGAGTGCTCCCCCCCCGGGATTGGAGCGATGATGATGACATCCTTGCAATGCTCAACGGCCCGGCGGACGGTTCGAAGAGCACCCAACCCGCTCCACTATCCTCTCGATCTCGATCGTCTTCCAAGGTGAGATTTGCCGAGGACACCGACGACTTTGACATCCGGTCCAACCCTTCGACCTCTTCGCGGAGCGTTCCCGAGAGATGGGGCGGCATGGAGATTCCCAACGCCGAGCGAGACGTAGGCAAGGAGGTCTTCTATCAAGTCATCCAGCAAGCTTTCAACGAGATCCTGGACACCATCTTTACCGCGAAGGAGGACCTCGCTGTCGACGCTGCCGAGACCAAGGAGCTCCGCGACAAATACAGGCACCTCTTTGAATCCCTGGATCCCAACGAAGGAAAGGAGCGCCAAGAAAACAGCCATTCTACTCCCAGAAAGTCCAAGTCGTCTCGATTCCAGGCGTTGCAGGATCTGCTCGAGTCCAGCGGCTATACCATTGAAGCCACCACCTCCCAAGCTGAGGCCGAAAATGAGACCGGAGAAGAAGCTGAGCCAGAGGTGGACGACGGCGAAACCAGCGCCGACGAAGATGACAATTCCGTGCCTGCGTTGATACCCATATCAGATGACAAGACGTCCGACGCGCCGGTGTTCGGCGATTCCGACGCCTGGCCAACAAAGGAGGGGGACATGGAGTTCCAACCGGACCACGACGTTCCCATACCCCCGCAGCAAGTCTACCGCGATCCGACCATGCCTCAATTCCGGCCGAACTCGACCTCGGCGGTCCATGACCAAGAGCGTGAGCAGGGTCTGTCTCAAATAACGGCTGCAAATCCGACAATTGGCCGCAAAGAGCCCAAACCACACTGCACGAAGCCAGCTGGGAAACTGGCCAAGCCGACCGAGGGAAAGAGCGAGGATTCCTCGCCATACATCCCACGCAGCACGCTGCTCCGCTGGAAGCGCCTTGATCTCGCCGAGGAGGAGGCAAAAGCCCGCGGCGGATGGGGCAGGTTGAGCTATGAGGAGTTTGAGCGCATCTACAAAGCCAGCGAGGCGAGGGGCGCGCGCCTGGATTACCTAGGCACCTGGATCGACTTCTGTATTCCGTCCACTTAGGAGACTGGCCCGAGTGATACGGCTAATCGGATGGATGAACATCGGTACTGGGCCAATCCTTATGATAACTCTTTTCCGGGGAATTGGCGTGGTTTTGACTTCACTCGGTGGTGGGAATAGTGTCTATGTATGTATGATTACTAGGTAGAACTGAGGATATAAGATTAATAGCGTTGTTCCATCTAAAATACCTGGATTTCACAGCCGTAGCCTCTCGGTGATCTAGATCCGCTTATGTACCTAGCTAAGTGATCGACTAGCGGAGCAACTGATGACTTATTCAGAATAAGATGAGGGTGACAGCAAGACCGATCACTTCTTAACCTTGTGTTCAATGGAGGGAGTGATGATTCCTCGTACCGACAAGTGATAGATAAACCACCTCCACTGTTCTCCGCCCAATCTGTCATGACCGTCACGTATCTCGTCAAATATAAGTATAGCAAGTGTCCAGCAGCATCCCGGGAAGATCCTCCTGGATATCGCCTACCTTTTCCCCTCGGTTCGCTTCTTTGTGAAAGCTCAGGAGGCAGTCAAACAAGCCTCCCATAAAACCATAACCTAAGGCTGACTACGATGTTCAAAGCACTTTGAAAAGTGGGAGCGGAAGATTGCATGTTAGGGCTTTATGGAAACCAACGTGCGCTGCTTAGAAGAAGATACAAGTGCTAGGGTGCGAGCACGTCGAGTGGCGATGCGGATGTACTCATCAATGTCCTGGGATCCAGGCTGATCTCTCTTATATGTCTTGCACAGCGGAGCAGCAGGGGGTTTAGGATGAATGTGAACTGGTGGTGATAGTGATCGGCAAGGGTGTATGGATCGAGGAAGCCACTCCTCTAATGCTCTGGCTTTAGGGTGTCGAATTTGAGATGCTCGATCATTTCTTCCACATATAGTGCGGCATTGCCTTGCCCCTCGCCGGGCTTCTCGTACTTCACTGACAGCTCGTAGTGTTGCGTTCCATGGGATAGTGATAGATTCGAGGCCATCAAACCGTTGACTAGCACTTGTGGCAAATGGGAAGATATGTGCTACTGCGGGATACCTTACTCCGCAGAACATACAAGCATTCCCATCCCGTTCTTTGGCAGCTACACCACCACCCCCTCCTTATAATATCTAGAGAGGTTGATCAACCCGGCTCCCACGCTGGAGGTGACACAGGCGGCTGTCGCTGTGGCTGTGACTGCGGGAGGGCGACCTGTTGGAAAGTCTATAAGTGCGTTGGCAACGAAGCTTGCATTGACTCTCCAACGGCAAAGTCGTCCAGTGTCCCGCCAGTGTTTCATGCCTGTCCCATTCCTTGATCCTAGGGTTGATCTTCTCTTCCTTCTCGCGGAGTCTTCCTTGAGTGGACAGGCTAAGTCCGCTGCGGATGTTGTGACTTGTCTGCTGTTTGGGTTGCTATTGTGTTGGCCTTGATCAGATATATACTATGATGAGAACGATTGTCCCACGTACCGGTCATGCCGCCGATCCTTGACCAGCTGCACTGGTACCGCCCTCGACGAGGGGCGGCCTTCGTGGCTTTCGTTCTTTTTCGGTGATCGGGAACTTGGCTTCGTACTCGTTGATCATGTCCGATCCGTTCTGCATTAGCACTGCCCGACGGCACCATTGATTGTCGTGACTGCCTCGTCCTTTCCACTTGATCAGGTATTCGATTTGTGGCATCACTCCCTTTCGGACGCTACGCCTCGCCAGAATCTTCTCGATCTCGAACTGTTCGGTCTTGCCGTCCGCTGTTGCTTCGATGACCGGTCCTGGACCGTGCAACGACCGGCCATATGGGTCTTCTCCGTCCGGTGCCTTGACGACCTGCGTGATCGAAACTGTCGGGTGAACTGTCCATTGCCGTGGTAGCTCCAAGCTCCTCTTCTAACCGAGCTACCGCTTCCACCGTCAAGATGATGACGCTGACCGCAAGCCTCGGCGTTCTTGAGCTCCTTGAGGCCGGCTTTAAGCTCCATCCTGATGGAAGTTGTCGAACCCCACAGTTACGTTCTTCGAGGCTCCTTCTGTACGTTCTTCAAGGCCCCCGTGGATTGGTAACTGACCGAGATGCGGACGGTGACGGGGATCGCGGACGAGATCCTCCGCGAATCCGTATCTGAAGAGAGAAATTGGAGGTAACTTGTCCTCTGGTATGGCTTGGTGAACTAGCGTATCAAAAATAAAAAAATTTCAGTCAACAATAGGTCTAGGAACACTGCTGAGGATGCCACGATGGTGTCTGGACTCTGGGGGGATTTGAGGGGATGCAAAGCTATGGGAGGTGATTGAGATTAGAGAGGCTGCTCCGTAATGAATGCTGGGAAGGATCCGGTAATGATCACTAGAGAGCACTTGCCGTCCTAGCAGGACAAAAGCCGACCGGGAAGGCGCGTCCAGAGACCTAGGTCACCACTGGCCGAGTTGGGACGAGGAAAATGGAGAGACCATTCACTTACACTATAGTCGACGACGCTGAAATGTAGAGTGAGAGAATCCCCTATTATATGTTGTACTTCGCTGCGACAGCATTTGTCTACTTGTGGATTTCAATGAATCTCCTACGTCCCTAATCCAGCAGATAGCGATCAAGGGGTGTGCCCCTTTCATCACCTACCAACTGCTATAATAGGTGTAGGTAGGTACAGAACGCTGACAGGCTACCATCCGACACAGACTGTGCCTGGGGTGGTATATGTACGTACAATGATAATAATGCCCCCCAGGTCATGTTTTACCAACTCCTATAACCACACAAGGACCTCCGTTGAAAGTACCTTTAGACTCCCAAGCTTCCTCGTTGCACGATTACATCACCAACCTGGGACTTATACACATACTCTGTATTCCTGCCACAAACACTCCGACCTTAACATGACTTCAACCCAGCCAGTCAGTATCCGCCCTTCCAAACACCGAAAGCCAGAAAACTAAGCGGCGACATGGTATTGGGGTGGTAACATCTTGTCACGCCAAGTAGCGATACGCGGCTGTCTCGCCCGCTATTCGCTCGAGATACTCCCTGTTAAGCAGATCCTCGATCCGCTTCTTGATCATGGATATCTCGGGCTTGAAGCGGCCCGCTAGCTGACCAATAACCTCTGTCGTAAGCTGAGTGTGTGATAACTCTTTCCGTTGCCTGTCGTGTCGTTAGCATCATTCAGAGCAGCGATGGAGTAATAATGGGGTTCTGCGTACTTCATGATCCGCACGATCGCCGCATCCACCACGTGCGCCCTCGTCTGGTCATTCTTCCGCTCCGTTTCTTTCCGCTCTTCGTTATCCTCCACCTTAGACGTACTGCTAATGACGGCCACCTTGATCTTGATGGTCTTGCTGTAAAACTGGACGTTGAACGAGAACCTGTCGGTGGTTTTGACACTCTTAGACATTGGTTCCTTGGCGAGGACTCTCGACTTCGGCGGTATTGAGAGCAAGCCCAGCGTCCGGGTCAGGTCCTGCGTGGGGATGTTGGTCTTGGCTTGAATATCGGCAAAGGACAAGCTCTCCCCATCGGCTAGGTCGTTGAAGAGCTCGAGCACGATCATGCCGTACGTCGAGACGTTCAACTCGTAGCGCCGTTCCTTGCTCAACGGCCCACTTTCTTTGCCTGGGACCTTCGGAAACACGCACTTAATGTCGGCGCTGCCGGCAGATGCCACCCATGTGAGTACCCTGCCGCTCCGGTCCTTTAGGTAATATTTGAAAAAGCTCTCCTGTAGACGCTTAATTGCAGGCGGGTAGATGCAATCTGCCCTGTTACCATCTTCCTGGACGGCTGTGCGGCCCATGACGTCTGGTGGCCAATTGTTCGTCGTAAGGACGTGGATGCCGAGGTCGATGTTCTTTGTATCGACATCGCCGAGATTCCGGACGTGATCCCGGTAGTTGTCCGACAGGTCTTTCGATAGCTCGATATCTTTGAACATGCCCTCGAACTTGGACGTGAAGTGGTTGCCCATTTCAGCCCTCATGCGACGGACCAGCTCCTTCTCGATGTGCATTTCCGATTTGTTGCCCAGCAGCCTCCGGCCGAGGTGCTTCTGATAGTACCGCTCGAACAAGTCTCGATCCGCCAGATACCTGAGGAGGATGATTGCCTTCTGCAGCACAATCTCTACATCATCGTCCGACTTGCCCTTGATGCCCCTCCTGAGGTTATCATCGATGAACAAGGACACGTATTCCGAACTCCTGTTGAACATGTTGATGAATTCTGAGAAACTCTTAGTCACCGCCGACTGGAGGACGAGATCCCCGTTGAAACAGCGGGTAGAAAGATTGTCGAACTTGTCCTTCAGTTGCAGAACGTCGTCAACCCATTTGATTGCGGCTGCCGTTTGTTGGGCTGCTGCGCTCAGTGGCTGGGACTTCGACTTGTCCTCGTTCGCATCTTCGGCCTCTGCACCGGCAGCCGGGGTGGAGAAGTCGGTGTTCTTGAGCGTCTGCTCGATTTCTAGACCCAGATCCATCACGCGGCTCTGGAGGATGGCCTTGAGCGCATTCTTCGACTTGTCCACCCTCGAGATAAGCTGGTAAAGGATCGACAGATCTTCGAAACGGTCGTTGTCGATCATGCCCTTCATGCCGCTCCCCTCCATGGCAAGGAAATCGTTCAATTTCGCGACGATAAGCTCCTGCTCCACCACCTTCGCAATCCTGTCTGTTGTAAGGACGGAAAGCGACGTGGTGCACCGATCCTCCTCTTCGTGAAGCCGCCGTTGAGTGTGGCGGAGCCAGGTGCCTGCATTTCCCTCGCGGAGGAGTTTCTCGCACTCGAGGCGGTAGAAGTCTTGGCTCGCGGCGAGGAACCGGGGCTCGAAGACGGTCAAATAGAGCTTTGCGTTCTCCAGCTCATCGTCCGTTTCGTAAAGTGCCTCCAGCATTGAAGTGATTTGCCGAAGCAAGTTGCGGTCGATGATGTCGCCGTCTCGATCCATGTTGATCAAATCAAGCATGACCGCATTGACAAGGTCGAAGATGACGTACGGCTGGTCAAGCTGGCCTGCAGCGCCGCCCAGGCTATTTCGAAGAATATGGTCTCTGAATAGCCCGATGGTCGCCGCAAATATGGAAGGCTGCTTCGTGTCCGAGACGTAAGTACGCTCAAGGTACATGAGAATATCGGCCACCATGTTCATCGACGTATTGTGATCTTCCCATGCGCTGCGGATACCTCTCAGAAATCTCTCGCCCGTCTGGCGCCGCTCGTGCGCACTGGCTCCCGGTGCCCGTAGCAGCGAGATACTGATAAGGTTGTTCGACACGAGTTCGGCTATGACGGGAAGGACATGGTCGCGGAACCAATCTTCTTCGAAGGCCTTAACTCTCTCATAGAGTAGTTGGCCTTTCCTCCTCAGAACGATCTTGTATGAGGCCCGGTAGAGGTTCTCGAAGGAGAGACGGCTTGCGTCCTTGTTGTGGATGTCCGTCAGTGCGGACCTGAGAACGTCCCAGCATGGCTCGAACTCGCTCGCTTCCTTGTTCATAAGGTTCGGCTGCGGCATGTGAGAAAGCGTCTATGTCAAGGCCTTGGCAGTCGAGCGCTGTTCAAAGCGCGGGGGTTTAGCGGACCGTAGGACGGATTCCGCAGTTTTGAGACGTACCCTTCGAATCGGCCGGATTTTGTTCGGCTTTGGAGGCATGGCGGCGGTGCTGCCTTTGTCGCGGCTCGTAGCGAAGTAGAAATGACGGTTCAGTGAGAAAACCGGGAGTCTGAAACGAATAGTCGGGAGGTGACGAAGGAGCAGTCTAGGACCGAGAGAGCGGCAAGGGTAACGTAGATGACGAACACTAGTCGAGACGAAACGATCTCTAGGGCGTACGATGGACGGTTCAGGTGAGCGTCGAGGAACTTCAACCCCCAGACTAGACGAGCTTCCGTCACCTGCGCACCGGATTTGTTCGGAGGCAAGGCTGAGAACTGCAAGGCTACTAAATTCCCGGCTCGATCTGGAGGCTCCGCGGAATCGGCGGGCGAGGTGTAAGTTAAGGTGGAGGCAAAGGATGCGACTGTCAAAGGACCGGTCAAGCCCCTAGCACCATGTTTGTCTGAACCTGTTTGCTAGAATTGGTGTGGAGAAAGGAAAGTGGCAGCAGCAGCGTCGCAGGAACTTTTTAACTTTGACTGACTGACAGAGCATCCTCGAGAGCTCCAAGCAACCATCGAGGTTGATGTCCCATTGCCCGCGATTCGTCGGGAAGGACATTGAATCCACTCTGGAGTCGGGTGCCGCCTCCCTGCCAAAAAAAGAAAGGCCATCCCGGAAGCTGAGAGTGGGGCAAGGATAAACAGCAGGGGCTGCTTATCAGCGCTGCTATCGATAAGGATTTTGATGCTGGCCTTCCCGTGATGACGCGGGCCAGCGGCTGATATCTAAATTGCTTCTCTCATATTCCCTCGAGACTTTTGCTCACTGAGAGGACAATACAGCCGCCCACGCTGCAGCGCAATATCAAAGCCCATTTCATCCTCGAAAATGGCGTCCAAGCGCGCATTCTTCTCAATCTCCCGCACCGCCGCTCGGTTATCACCAGCACCGGCCAGCGTCCGGCCACCACGGCATCTTGCTGCCCCGAGCTGCCCCCCACCCGCAACAGCGGTTCGCTACGCGCATAGCATCCCCCGACCGCGCAACCTCTCCCCCTTTACAAAGCAGCCCGCATCCTCCTCGTTAACACAGCCCACCGAACAACAACAACAACAACAACAACAACAACAACAACAACAACAACAGGCAACCCAACCATCAACCTCCAAAGGCCCACCCAGCGTCCGCCAACAACCGCACTACGAATTAACCTTCACCTGCCGCCCCTGCGGCCACCGCTCGCGACACGTAGTCTCAAAGCAAGGATACCACCACGGGTCGGTGCTGATCGCGTGCCCCGGGTGCCGCAACCGGCACGTGATCAGCGACCACCTGCGCATCTTCGGGGAGAAGGCCGTGACGGTGGAGGACATCCTGCGCTCGCGCGGGGAGCTGGTCAAGCGGGGCGTGACGCTGGTTGGGGGAAATGGGGAGGATGGGCAGGGGCAAGACCTGGAGTTTTGGGACGACGGCACCACCACTGTGCGGGAGCCGTGGGAACCTACCAGAGCGAATAACGAGGCGGCGGGGAAGGATGATGGTGATAATGCGGCGCCGCCTGGTTCGAGCTTTCCGACCTCGTTTAAACTCTAAACCCCCTGGCGGGAAGGCGGTTCCATGAGACTGAGGGGAGAAGGGGGGTGATGTATGTATGATCGGCGGATGGAACGGGATGTAATACTAGAGAGAGATTTGTTCTCTTGTGTAGTATACTGTCTTGATAACAACTCCACCTTAAAAGACCACCCTGGCAAAACAAACTACCTGTAGCAAACCTACACAACACAACAGTCTACTGGTATATCCTACGCTGATCCCTCTGCTCCCGGCCCCTGACCTTCCGCTTCTCCTTCTTCTTCTCGAACTTCTTGCGCTTCTCCCGCCCGTACTTCTCGGGCGCCGTCAGCGCCTCGATCTTGCGCTTGCTCGACCGCTGCTGCCTCCTCTCCCGGATGTGCTCGCCCACCGCCAGCAGCGCCTTGGTGTACTCTGCGCTGCCCAGCCGCCGCTGCAGCGTGCCCATGACGGACTGTGCCTTGGTCTTGAGCGCCTCGTACCGCGTCTTGAACAACTCGTTGAGCGAGAAGGGCTGCCGGATGGACGGGTCCGTGAGGTTGCGCAGTGGCCTGAGGATGGTCTTGGCCGAGGCCAGGACCGTTTCGGTCGGCGTCTTGACGCAGAAGGCCTCGAGCAGATCCATGGCGGCCAGCTTGCTGACCAGCATCTCGGGCTTGGGCTGCCTCTCCTTGCGGATGATGGAGGCCAGCTTCCAGAAGAGGTACTTCATGTCGGCGTGCCGCGCGGATTCCTTGGAGTCGTTATCCTCGTCTTCCTCCGCTTCGTCGCCTTCCTCGTCTTCGGTCTTGTCTGCGTCGAGGAAACCGCCCAGGAACATGACGATCTGGACGGCCTCCTGCGCAAGGGCCTCGTCGACTTCGGGAGCAGAGAGGATGCCAAGCGACAGCCGGACCAGATCATTAACGTCTTCCCCATCAAGCTCCAGGCCGTGCGATCCTGTAAGGGGCAGCTGAACGCCTTTACCAGCGTTCCGTGCGAAGTCGGCCAGGTACATGCTGAGAAGCTTGATGGAAGTGAGCTTTACGGTGAGATGGGGGTGCGCCAAGCAAGCCTGGACATCTGACCATAACTCTCCTGTGTCCGGAGCCAGAACCGTCTGCGGATGGACCTGGACCAGTGTCTGAAGCGTGGTGAGCGCGGTGTTGGCTAACTCCCAGTCGGACTCGAGAGCTTCTTCATCCCCGAGCACCTTGCCAAGTTTGCCGGTAACAAGGCCAAGGTCCTTATTGTCCTTCGTGCTCGGCTGCCGGCCTTCAAAGTAGAGCCCAAATGCGTGCAGGGCGAGCTTGAGCACTGCCGGGTTCCCGTCCTGTTCCGCCCACGACCGCAACAGCGTCATGAACTTGGACTGGCGCTCCCTGTCGGCAACTCGGAAGATCTCCTTGATCAGTTCCCCAGCCGCCAGTCGGCACTTCCCACTATCATCATTGGCCAGCACAAAGACCAACGGAATGAAGCACGTGGCCGCCACCTCTTGCGCGAACTCGTCCGCTGACTTCTTCAGCAGCAGATTGATGACCTCCATCACAGAGAGCCGCCCACCCTCGCGCTCATACTTGAGATTGGCGACGATGAACTTGAGTTGCTTCTCCCACCTGTTCCGCTTCTGCGGGTACTCGCGCAGGAATTGAAAGAAGGCGCCACGCGCGAGGTCTCGCGTGTCCTTGTCTTCATTGGTGATCATGACGGTGCCGACATGGTCGAGCGTGTCGTACACAGAAGCCGTCTCGAGCTTACGGTCGAGCACAGATCGCAGGAAGTTGAACGTCACATGGCGGTAGAGGGGCTCCGTCAGATCGTCCCTCAGCTTGCTGAGCAGCGTATCTAGAGCGGCATCCCTCATCGGTATGTCGCGGCGATCGCGGAGGATGACAGAGATGAGCTTGAGGGCCGATTGGGCAAGGTCGGACGCTGTGGTTGGGGAGAGGGCGATAGCCTTGACCGCCTCCTTGTGAGCGACCAAGTAGAGCTTGCTCCAGTCGCTGTTGCTGAATGGAACCTTGGCTAGGACGGTGAGGATCTTGAATGTTGCAACCTTGACTTCCTCTTCAGCGGACAAGACGGAATCACCCAAGATACCGAGGAATCCTTCGACATTGCCCGGTGTGCGGAGGTGGTCATGCTTCTTGAGGACGGATCGGAGGATATCGATGGCAAACCGGACGAGTTTGTATGTGTGCTTGCTGGTAACGCCGCCCTCGCTCCTCTTGGCAGCTTTCTGAACGATATACCTCCGAAGGCGGGGGTCGATCGGCTGCTGGTCCTGCGGCTTCTGGCTTTTGTACACCTCTTGAATCACTTCGTAGCAGAAGATCAACGCATCCCGGGAGGCAGCGGCGGGGTTCTCCAAGAGGCCTTTCGTGATACGGATGAGAAGCTCGTCAATCTTTCGGACCGTGCGCAAGTCGAGCTTCTCCAGCAGCAGCGACTGAAGAGGCAAGGTGAGGTCGCTGAGGCGGGTGATGGATGCGGTCTTGGCGATCAACTCCATGGAATCTTGACTCTTGCTGCTCTTCACCTCCTTCATCTTGCTCACATACTCTGCCGCATCCTTCTCCTGGCCCGTGGCTCCGAATATGTCATCCATGATGACAGCCACGATGGAAGACAGGCAGTAGTCGAGATCGCCCTGTTTGAATGCCGGGATGGCCACCAACAGAATAGAATGCAGCGTATACGATAGCACATGCAGCTGGTACCCCTTCGAAAGCGCGCCCCGCAGTTCCTTGAGGATGAAGCCGAATCTATGAGGGCCAAGGATGCCGGATATCTTCGCGAGTGTATCCCGGGCCATCTCGCGAGACTCCCATGACTTGCTCCGGAGGATGTGGCAGATATCCGTGAGCATGCCGGGGAGCTTCTCATTGAGCTGCTCATCCGGAAGAAGGGTAAGGAGCTTGGCGATAATGACTCCCACCGGAACCCTGGCACTGACGGTCGTCTCGTCCTTCTCATGGATGTACTTCAGGAGTGTTGGCAGGAAAGTGTTCGCGATCTCGCCACAGAGCTTCTCTTGGTCAGGCAGCGTAGTGGCAAGACGGCGCGGCTTCGCTCCGGCCGGCTCCCCATCGACGTCCATGGCATCGCTGGGCCTCTGAGAAACTGCTATGCGCAGAGCATCTATCTCCTTCTCCAAAAGACGAATAACACGCTTTTGCCACTCTGGCTTGGACTCGACATACGACACGAACCGCCGGAGGATGGCTCGGTATTGCTGCCATTCCAGAGATGCAGTCAGAGCGGCGATGGTATTTGTCGCCTGCGCGCTCAAACCATGGTCGTCGCCAGACTCGGGCCGGTCGAAGATGAAGTGCTCGAGAAGCGGGATAAAGAACTGGCTGATGTGTTTGCTGCGCAGCTCGCTGTTCTCGTTGGCCGCCTCCAGCAGACGGAGCGACTGCAGCTGCCTGGACACCGCCGGGCTGAGAGCGTGGAAAAAGAAGGCTTTGTCGGACTCTTGGGATTCGGGAACCAAGGGAGTGAGGTCAGTAACCGGCTCCCACTGGGGCAGATGCGCGACGAGAAAGCCGAACAAGCGCAATATTTCGCGGCGGACCGTCTCCGAAGCATCCCTCGCCCCTGAGTAGATGGCTGGTAAGATGACGTCTGACAGCACCTCGACGAACTCTGCTTGATGTGGCCCCGTCCAGGCGGATTCAGCTGCCGAAATGAACTTGCAAAGACCGTCAGCCGAGTTGGTCGAGAGCACGCCAAACTCCTCATCCTGCTGGATGTAATAGAGAAGGTTGTGAACCACTGGCATCCACTGGTTAATGGTGAAAGGTGTGTCGCGGTCCTTGGCAATGGTATTGAAGGCTGAGAGTCGGGCGTTGTAGTCCGGCTCATCTAAGCGCCTCGCGTGATATGCATTGAGGTCACGGCAGATGTCGGCCACCTCCTGTGCCCACGCTTCTCGGGTTGCAAACACAGAGAGGACCTCGGCAAGGGTCTGCCGATTCTGTCTGTCCTTGAAGAAACCAAACAGCGAAGCGATGGTCTTATAGACCTTGTGCTTCAACTCCGCATTACCCTGGAGCTCTTCCAAGATAATGAACTGTTTGAGGATCAACAGGATTGATCCCTTGACCTTGGGGTTGACCTTGCGCAGGGGCTGGTTGAGCAGGAACGTGGCAATCTCGACAATGTCCTGAACGCTGGCAGACGTTTCCACCATAGGAGCAAGAGCGACAACGGTGTCCACCGAGCTCCCCAGCAGGTCGCGGCCGATATCATGTTGCTCGCGGAGCAGGCTGCTGATACCTCTGAGGATGAGATCAATGTTGGGACCCAACAGCTGGACCTTGACCTGTTCATTGAACGCTGACTCGACCGAGGTAGCTTGCGCGAGGTTGATGAGATTTTTGAGGGTCTCGAGCGCGTAGACCTTGACTTCATCCCTGGCCTTTTCGACCCCGAGCGTTTCCACGATCTTGGGTAAGATCCTGTTGTCTACGGAGAGAAACATCGCCGAGTGAGGCAGGGAAGACCAGGTGCCGAGGAGTTTCCAGGTCGCCGAAACCCCCTGAGTCGTCTCGATGGGAAGTTTCTCGATCCTGGGGCTGATGATCTCCTTGACCATTACCTCCCGGTACGGAGTCCAATCGAAGTCTTCGGCATTCTGGAATAGTTTGCACAGCGACTTCAACGCAGTTGTGCGCACCGCTTTATACAAGGATGCATTCTGGACTTGGTCGGATTCCTCGGTCTCTTGGTCCTCGGAGCTTCCACCCAGCTGCCGGATGGAGAAGAAAAGACAATAGAGAACCGCGTTGACAAGCACATCCATATAGGATGAAACACTGGTCCCGAGCTCGTTTATGACGGCCTCCATCATGTTCAGGAGACCGACCTGTTTCCGAACAGGGAGGACCTCTTGTGTAACCGCGCTCTCGCGGAGCCCCTGCGCATCGACAACCCGAATACCGCGGAGCTCGCCGAGTGCGATATCGAGGAAGCTACCCATGTCTTCCACGTTGAGCTGTCGAATGACAGCTAGACGGGTGGCATGGAGGCCATGGCGGCCGCTAGCCACACCTTTCTTGGAGATCGTGCGGCCGTACAGCAGGTGAAGGAGAACTGGCATGACCTCGGAACGGTGCTCAGGTCGGATCTGGTTGTCTCCTTGGAATAGAACAGTGAGCTCGTTCTTGAACCTGGCCTCGTCAAGAAGGTATTCAAGGTGTTCTTGATATGGTTTGATCGCATCGTTCCTCCAGGCCAGGATCGCTTTGAGGGCCAGCTTCTGTAACTCGAGGTCACCGTTCGCCAACAGCTTTAGCAGAGATTGATACACCCTCTCGCTCTGGTACAACACTCTTGGATTGTTGAACTGGGCGAACACCCCAACGAGCGCTTTCCTGTCGGGGAGAGACCAGCTCCCCTCCAAGGACTCCTCGTCTTCATCCCCGGCCGCTTCTGATGGCGTCTCGGCCTGGTCAGTGAAAGAGAACAAATGCGGCACTAGCCTCCTAGACCGTTTCTCAGCTAGACCTGGCAATGCAGTGAAGGCCTTGAGTGCCTTTGCGCGGGCCCTTTCCGAGAGAGGCTCGATGATCTTCTGGCCCTCTTCAAAGGTGTCCAGCATATCACGCGAGGGGTCATCCATGACGCTTCCCGTGAGCCCAGACGTCTCGCGCATATTCATAAGGTTGAGACACGCGAAATCGCTCAAGGGTCCGTGATGATCGTCGGCAGGAGGCTTGTACGGCCCTGACCACTGCGGGGACGGGACTTCTAACCAGTTGAACGCGATCTCGGCCAGCGCTTCTTCGCCGGGTTTGCTCTCTGCCACCTTCTTCATTGCTTCAACCGCATCATCCCAGACCGGAGCCAGGGGCACCGTGGTCATACCGAACAAGAAGGCAGGAACGGCCCGGGTCAGCCATGAGTCTTGCTCGATGTGGGAGTAGACTTGACTGAGCTTCCGCAGGTGCACGGCGATGGTTCGAACACTCTGCAAGTTGAGGGGTAGTTCTTCTACCTGAATCATTGTAGCCAGCGCAGAGTTCGAATCAGGGGCGAACTCCAAAAGCTCGAGGATCCTTAGAGAGGCAAGCCGGAGTTCGTGGGACGACGTGGACAGATTGTCGGTCAGGCACTTGACCAAAGGATCTTCTTCTCGCTGGCTGTCTTCGCTGCCCGTTCCAGGTGACTGTTGAAGCTTGCCACTAATTTCTCGCTCGTAAGCCAGCAGAGCTTCGAGAAACGCTGGTGACCGACAAAATCGTGGCGCCGCAGCTCTCAACAAAGGTGCCAGGCTAGGATCAAGAGAGCCCGCAGCTGCACACATTCGGATATAGGCGCGGAGGCCATCGCTGACGATGAAGTTTGCCTCGTCCGTTGGCAGAGATGAGGACGGCCGGAGCGCAAGCTTCAACTTCTTGAGCAAGACCTCCGCAATCCTAGCGTTCGTGGATGGATGCACCGATGTCGACTCGAGAACGCGTAACCGCGCCGAGTACTTAGGCAGACATTTGTCTCGCCATGTGTCCGGGTCCTTTCCAAATCCGCCGCTCTCCGGAAACGGTGTATCCCCGAGCCTGACGAATTTGCTGACGATCTGATCCTGCCACGACTGCGGGAGCTGGAAGGTCTCTTTCCCACCAGGGGCCGGGAGTCCTCCAACCTCAACCATGCGCGGCAAAAGTACACAGAGCGTGTCTTCGTTCCCGTTCCGGGACCAGTGTGACACAATGAACCTACGCATGTTAGCAACCAACCCGATATCGTGGAAGTGGAGCCGTACTTTTGGAAATCTTTGACAAAAAGACCACGGAACCTCTCCGGATTTAGATCGGCCAAGTATGAACAGAAAAGGATGTACCACCGCATTAGCGGTTCCTTGATCATTGTAGCGTTGAACGTAGAGAGGGTCGGGAGAATAGCGTCCATGGGAGCCCGGCTCCATACAATGGCCGCGTTGACGACAACTCTTTGCCATACTTGAGAAGGATCCATTGCCTCAACTTGTTCTTTTTGGGCGGAAAAGGCCCCCAATAACTGGCCAAGCGCCTTCACAAGGGATGGCCAATCATGGATACGGGTGCCTTTCCGCACACCCGCCATGATGCCCAGAATCTGGATGAAGAGAGCTAGCCGTTCACCGGCCATTGCCTCCTCAACTACTTTCGCCTCAATGGTGTTGAACGTATCCACGGTTGAGTGATGGATGATACTGGTGAGCACACCGCAGCAGACATCTGTCCATACCGTCTGCCCAGACAGCTGCAGTTCTTCGTCAGGAACAAGCCGTAGAAGGGAGGCGAATATCTCCGACCCTGTTGTATGCACACTGCCGCCCACCCCCTTTATCGCCTCGGAAAACATGGTCATCACGCCCTGGCTGTACAGTTCAAACTGCTTCGTCCCGACCGTATCACTAAGGTCCCTCCTCACATGCTCAACGAACAGCGTCAATGCTTTATCCTTGTGGCTGGGAGCTGCCGCCTTCTTGACGAGGAAACTCATGGCCTCGGCAGTGAAGCGAGCAATATGTCCGGGATTCCTGACTTTGCCCATGAGAGGTGCCACAGTGTCGTAGGTCGGTCTGAGGTCGGGGACGAGTAGTCGTGACAAGTATTTGAAGAGGAAGGCAAGAGCGGCAAAGGTCCACTCGATGACCTCGACGTCGTGCATCTTGCTCGCAAGATCAACGACCAAGCCCAGGGCACGAGGGTAGTGCTTTTCGAAGCGTATCCCGAGATCTCGCGCGAATGCGGCAACCAGGTCCAACAGCGGCTCAAGGGCGTCCTTCTCGTGTCGCGCTATGTACTCGGCGAGCAGATCCATGATGCGGTCCTCATGGTAGAGGATCTGGGCTAGCGATTCGGTGAGAGGGTTGATCTCCCTCTTGAAGGCCATGTACGGCCGGGATAAGTTGAGTTCGGCCCATTTTTCCAAGCCATTCCGAAGGTACGAGGTGGTCACGGAGAGGTCTTCGGCGTCGAGATCGTGGCGACGGACTTTGCGCAGCGGGTCGAGCGCTTTTAGCTTGGAGATCTTGTTGCTGAATGACTCCCACCTGTGGTTCTTTTGGTGGCGTGTCTGCTTTGAGCCCCGCTGGGTCTTGACAATGCGTCCCGACGTTGCAGAGGGCATGGTGACGGCGGACGGCGGTGTCCTTGTCTTGGGATACTTCCCCTTCGACCGCGACAACTCGCGCTTGAGGCCCAGGACTGAATCCCAGACCAACGAGTTTCTGGAAATTTTTTGGAGCCGAGCTAAGATAAGCTGATAAGGGAGGGGCAGCGGAGCGCCAAGGACCCGACTTATGCACATGAAGAGTACCTTAGGTATTCCGTACACGTCCGTACATGTAATTACCTTATATTAGGTTTTCATTACACCTACTACCAGCAGCTCGATACATACAGTTCGCATATAACTGCCCTACACTGTGCACTTACAACTTATCAGGAAAGAGGAAAGAGGACTGCTGGATGAACCACGCCTTCCTTCACTGAAACCAATGCAATTGGAAGTTTTCCTTTCAGATGGGCTTGTGAGAGTCTTCGAAATGGTACCTTTCATCCAACTTAACTTGAAAACAACCGACTCACCTCAGTTGCCCCAACCACTTATACATACAGCGACTTCAAGAAGCGTAACTTCCCAGCATCGGCTACAATATCCCCCGAGGTAGTCATCGCACGAGTATCATGGCTTCTTGGAACATTGCACATTCCCCGCAGGGGTGGGAATGGCTGGCCAAGGCCTATGAAGAAGAGCAGCGCGAAGCCAGAATAATGCGCGAACAAGCAGAGCGCGAACATCCGGCTCAAACAACCACGGATAACTTAGACTCTCCGATCGGAGACGACGGCAGCAGCAATGGCGGCGGCAGGCCAGCTACCACCAGTCTCAGCAACAACGGCAGTAGCAGACCAGCTGCTACCAACCTGATCAGCCTCGCCAGAGTGAACTCGCAACTGGGCCAGCTGGCACAGCAGCAGCAGCAGACTCCGCAAGTCGCTCCTCCGAAATTCTGCGGCAGGCGCCGCGACTATGACACGCCCGACAAAAAGATGTACTACATCTGTGACGACTGCGGCACCACGGTAGGCTTCTACGCCAACGAGCTGCTCCGGTGTGTTCATTGCGGCGGCATGACTATGAAGAAGCCGCGGATTAAGGGGTATGTTATCAATATGCTTCACGCTTCAAGTTCCGCCGAGCAGTCGGTGACTTGGGTTCTGCAAGATAAGGGGCTGATACTGAGTTGCTAATAGGACCTCTCAATTTGTGGCGGTGTAAGGGGATAGGGCCGCATAGGTACCTTGACCGGATCAGGAGGAGCATACGGAGTACGGAGTAACGGCGTCTGTGTCAGAGGAAACAAGGGGCGGAGCGGGTGATGGAAACGGGATGAAGTAACTCAACGTGTGATTAGCTCGTCTATTTGACTCGTTAGACGGACCTTTGTCGTGGCCGGATCATCGTGTGTTGGCTTGCGACATATTAACGTCCTCTGGCCTTCTGTGGTCAGACTACCAACTCACTGCTCGTCGTACAACCTCGACCAGTCCCGACGCATCGTTTGGCTAGCCTGAGACCTGCGTAAAGTCCCACTCCTTGAACGCCTTCCTGAATGCCGCCACATCCGCACTCTCTTCCTCCTCCGACTGGACAACGTCTTGCCAGATCGTCCGCTCCTCCAGACCAAGCAGCTTGGCCATCACCTTCCTAGGGTACTGCAGGTCGAACCGGACCCCCTCATCGAATCGCAGCAGCAGCGACTTGCCAACAACCCTGCCGCCACCGAGATCATCATCCTCCTCCGCCCAAATCCAGACCCGGAAGTAATCCCCCGGAACCTCATCAGCCGTATCAAACTCCTTCGCCGTGAATTTGCCCAGCTGCATATCCTCCGCCAAGACGCGGAACCCAGCCTCCACCAAGCCCTTGCTGACCATTTCGGCAGGCACAGGCATAAACTGCCAGTGCACATGGATATTCCGCGCGCGATTGATCTCCCACGTGACAGCCCCCAGCTTGCGCTTCGAGACGCTCACCACCATGCCCTGCAGCGATTCGCGGAAGCGCCTCATCTCCGGGAAGGTCCGCTTCACCTCTTCCTCGCCCATGGCCGCGGCGCTGAGTGAGGCGGCGTGGGTGAGCGGGGTGATGATGAGGTGGCCCGGGAAATCCAGCCCGTGCTTCTTGAACGTGTCGGCGGCGGGCAGAGGACCCTTGGCAGTAGCAAGGTATGAATCCTCGGCGATGCTGCAGACCATGTGCGTGGGCAGGTTGGGGTTGGAGAGGCAGAAGAAGCAACGGTCCGGGCCGGGCGGGGGAGAGCGTTCGCGTCGGTGCTTGCGCCGGCGGTGGTCCTGATCGTCGTGGCCGAAGCGGCTGAATTCAGCCTGCTCCGTGGTGCGTTTCTTAGGTGCGGATTTGTGGAAGGGTGTCAGGGTGCTTCCAGCGGGAGGGGTAGTGACAGCCTCCCGGTTGAGGGTGAAGGCGTACATGGACTTTGCCTTCGCCGTGTTGGCCCAGGGTGCCAGTGAAATGAAGCGTGTGATGGCGACGCCTTTCTCTTCGTCGGCGGCTTCAGGAAAGAACGGTTCGCGTTCGAAACAGAAGTTTTCCGGTGACATTGAAAAGTGATACCGCGGTTTCAAAACATCGCAGAGTTCTGCAATCGTCTGACTGGAGGGTGCCGTTTCAGGGCCGATCTGCATGTCCTTGGCTTTCCGGCTGTTCCTCCAAACATCCGCTGGCCACATGGCGGTAAGAAGGACATCTGCGTTGTTAGCTCCACGGAGAGCCTTAGCGTCCCCTTCCGTGTGAATTGGCTCATGTTGGTCTGTAGATAGGCCAGCCACGATGTTCATGTCCAGCACGCCTCCCAAGGCAACGATCCGCACGCCCTCGGAGGTTTTAGTGACGCTGCGCTTACCGAGATAATGGAGATTTGGCCCAATTTCCTCGTCTTTCTCGATTCTCTCGACAACGCGTGCTGGTAAAGGGATGGCCCCTACTGTGAAGTAGGTAGGACACGGAATCTCGATACGACCATCGAGTAGGTCAGTGAGCTGGTCGTCATCTTGGGCCTCACTGAAGAGATTGCCGGTAACTATCGCGAAGCTGAAGGTATTCTTCGCATGCAACGCAGAGAGTTTGCCGAAAGCGGACCGGAGCTGGCCATTGACGCTGCCGAAGACGAAGCTGATCTGGTCAGTATATGTGATGTCGCTGAAGTTCAAAGTGCGTCGGACTGACATCTTGGCGGCCATGTTTGCTGAACTTGAAGCAAAATGCTCAGAGGTTACGAGAACTCGCAGCGAGTGAAGAGGCTTATAGGACTTGTTGTGAGAGGAGGAGAGAGAGAGAGAGTAGTAGTTGTGGATGCCTCATCTCAGTTTCAACCCGTAATTTCGAGGTCAGGACGAAGATCAGATGATAACAATGATTCAGAATTGAGCAGGCACCATATGGCTTTTATTTCACCAAGTAGTGGTACGGATATCGAGAATCACGTGCTGCGGCAATGGCTCACCAGTCCAGTGCAATGAGATCAGCTCAGTGTCCAGACGGTCGTGATGCGTATAGGTATTGTACCGACGCAAGACGTGACGTCCAAGCTTTATCTTATCTTGGAGTCCCGTTTCAGCGATATTGTGACACACTGTACGGTATATTACGTACTAGTGCGACGTCACTGTAGCAACGACGACCAAAACAATCATCATCATGAAGTAAGTACCATAAGAATAAGTATCTGAAGTATTGTACATGACTCCTGGTATCATCTGTGGCCGTGGGTCTAAGCAGTGGGAGTTCTCTGGTTGAACCCCTGAGATGCATGCATGGCCGGGCTCGATCCCGAGAGCCGGAGCGGGAAGATCCACCTTCCCCTAACGGGTCCCACATTTCCGGCCCGATTTCAAGATTCGTCGGAGCTTCCGGTTGTGTCTAAACCGGAGCCCCACAGCCGCCGCCGCCCCATTCCTGGCGAGAAAGGCCTACCGCTCCCCAACGCGTAGGCCATTACATTCTTGATTAGCGAGCCGTCTAACTCAGGAATGCTATGCTCGTATAACGCCACGCTATGCTAACATGTCTAATGCCGTACAAACAAAGGAAAAAATTTGACAGATGTGTCAGTAAGTGATGCGTCGTCAATGGGAAATGTGTCAAGTGAGCGTCAAAGAGCGTAAGTTTGCGCGCGGCCCAGGCCCCTGCGGTTCTGGCGCAGTCGGCTCAGTTCCCGCTCGCAGGTGTTGACATGTTGAGCATCGTTCATCTCAACGTAGGCCTGCGGGTAGCATCGCTCTGGGTGATCCGAGAAGAAGGCGCTGTAGCCGCCATCCAAGATGTAAATCTCCGGGTAGCTGAGTTTGGGGTACTCGTGGGCATGCGCGTTCCGGTCCGCGGCCCGAACGTGGCGAGCCATCAGGGGTGCCCGGTGCGCCGAATATTCGCAGTGGAAGATAAGAAGTGTGCGGCCCTCGATCGGGTTCTCGACCAACTGGGCTGCCAACAACTCTTTATCGTTGTAGTTGACCGCCCCGTTGATGTGACCTCCATTGTACTCATACTCGAACCGGCAGTCGATGATCATCTTGTGATCGAACTGCTGGTTGTACTTGCCGTCTAGGACATCGAGCATCGTTTCGCGCGTGATGCGAGGAATGTTGTCCCGGTCCTCCAGGAAGAAGTGTGGCAGGATGGGCTCTTGAGGTTCATCGAGGTCCATGACCGAGTGAAGCGCCAGGCAGGGATTCAGCTTTCCTTCGGCCTTCGCCTTCCCAGCATCGCCGTGGTTCTCGAACATGCTCAATGAGCGTCTATACTGCTGCTTCCGTGGCCGCAGGAATAGGTTCGATGTCCTCCGGGAATGGCTCGTAATGGGTGATCCATTCCGCACACCGCTCACGCCGGCGAGGCTGTTGAACTGTGCTTTCGGCCGTGCAGACGCCATGTGAGCGCAGGGACTATCCGCGCTCTCAGGGCGCCGTTCCTGGGAAGGCGAGTCATCCATGCTCTCGGCCATCGATATACACGAAGTCGGAGAAGAACCGAGCTGGCTGGGGTCCCCGGCCCCGGTTGAGGTGAAGGCTTTTGCACGGCTGAGGGATGGCCGCCTAAGACCAAGCCTTTTGCGATTGCTGCAGTACAGACAGAAGACTGCGTCAGCGATTGTGGGCTATGAATTGCGGATATGAATGTGCGGTGGGACATACTCAGCCACGGATTGTAGCGGAGTTGAACTCGGGCCTGGAGATTCGAGGGATTCGAGAAGAGGGGTGTCGTCAGAGCCCGGTGTTGGCGATGGGATCTCGACCTGAGTCACAAAAGGTCCCTTGTGCGGCAATGGCGACATTTCCATCATCTCGGCACAGCCAGGGGACGATGAAGGTGGTAGAGGCGGCGTAGTCACATAGCCTGCGCACCGCTCATCAGTCCCAACACTCCATGACTGCGGCCACTCAAGAGTTGTCCAGTCTTACCGCGACCCTCAAGGGTATTCATCATGGCGGCCGTCGTGAACAGGGCGCGGCGTGGGTTCGGGAACATCGGACTGCTACTTGTTTTGCCTATGTGTGAGTGCTGGAGCGAATAGAATCCCGGTCAGAAGTCAACACTAACCTGGCATCGTTGAGTTTGAAATTCTGCGATAGGTCGGCCGCTAATGATGTTCCTGGAGATGAACCGCGAATACCACTGGGATTAAAGTACTCGGCCTTTTGGGGATGGAAAGCGAATTGGCTTCGACCGAGAGGGCTGGGCACCAGGTGAGGTCCGAAAAGGTCGGCCTGGCCGAAGGTCGATGGCGGCGCCGGCCGGATGGCAGCCAGCGGCGAAGACGTTTCCATCATGATGCGCAAACCGATGCATGCACGGATGTCGTGTGCCTCTAGGTCGTTCGGACAAATCTTGTTGAGCTTTTGAGAGGTGGCAGCAGCACTCGGCTTCCCTGAGGTCGACAACCTGCAAGCGGTTGCTGTGCAGATGGTCGATGGTCACTACCTAGGTGTCACGGTAGGGTCTTGCAGCAACGGCATTCGTGTACCGGATCAGCTCGACGCCCAATTGGCCGCATCCAACTCGACTGTGACTGTGGAAGGATGTCTGATGTTTCGAAGAACAAAAAGTCGGAAGTTGCTGGGCCCCAACTTGAGTTTTCTCTCGTCGTCCGGTGCAACGCGGGCGGTCTGCGGATTCGGACTGGCAGAACCAGGGATGGTGGAAGCCGTCGAATTAATGTAGCGGGGGTCTTGCTTTAGTAACGCCAGGAAGGTACATGGGCCAGGGAGAGGGAAGGTGATCGAGAGTCCGAAGGCTCAAAGAGACCACCTGGTTGTTTGCCACGGATTCCGCAGACTGCAAAAATAGAGAATAAAGAGCCAGCCGTCGCCGTCTCCTGCTGCAAGCGTGCCCCAAGCCCGGGTCCTGCGATGCAAACAATGAGGCGGATGGAAGCACCCGGCGGTTCGGCAGTAGTTAAATTATTGGAACTAAGGCACGTAAGGCACGGGTGCAATTGCAAAAGTGTTGGCACACTTCAAGTGCACCAAGGAGAGGGTCCTGCCGCCGGGTAAGCTTCCAGCTCTGGATTCCAAGCTCTGGCCCAGCCTTCATAGGAGGGAGGGAAGCTGTTAAGAAGGATTTTCCCTTCCCGGACGCAGCTCGGCGTCGACAGGGAAGCCCTATCAAGCTGTTGACTTCTCAACAGGTTGTCAGGGGCGATTGCTAGGGCCGCCATTGGTTGTTGCAGCGACTTGCTTACCAGGACCCGGTGAGCGGCTTACGTCCCTGTTCGGTGTCGGGAACTGTGGAGCGAAGGGAGCTCCTTCCCCGCTGCAGTTACGGCACGGTGACTGCAGTTGGTTCCTGCGCCAGCGCAATTGGAAGTGACATCACTCCATTGGAAATGCAGAGCAACCAAGGTACCGTCGAAGAAAAACTTGCACACATGTACGTCCAACCTACCCCTGGCTTGTCCGATGCTGTTAGCTTGGGTTTCCAAGAGACCAATAGCCTGCTCGATCGAACACCTCCATGGAGTGGAAAGCAGGCCCACACTAACACAGGCCAACATGTGCTTTGAACCCTACGATGAGCGGTACATACAACATACAACCAGATCATGACCCAAAGTATCGCCGCACTCGAGGAATCGGGCTGTTGGGTTTGGTGCCGCTTTCGGCCATGGCGGCGGTGCTCAGCGGCTACCTAGGTACCTACATGTACCAATTGACTCGAACTCGATATGAGGTAGCGTGTGTGGATGGGATTTTCAGTGCTTCAGTCTTGCTCCTCGACCTTCCTCGCGATGCCGGACGCGGACACGCCTCATTACTCAAGAGAGCAAAGGACTTGACACTATCCGACACTGGAGTTGAGATAGCAGGACACTGCCCTCACCTTCCGTCATTGATGAACGAGAAAAGCATCCCATCCGGTATCATCTAGATATCATCTTCGCAGGCTCTCCCCGGCAATCCAGGTTTCAGATGACGCTCTGTCAGGCCAGCCGGTGCGGGGAGGTCACATTGCGGCAGATGGCACAGCTACCTCCCGCGGCGCGTATGTACGACCAGTACGGCGTAAAGGGCGCACATTTGTACGACACCCACCATGGATGTAGATCAACTCCAATCCAGAATGCCGGTTCCAAGGCCGCTCGGGGTGAGTTGGAAAAAAGTGCGCGAATCTGGCCTGCAACGGTTGAGAGCTTTCCGACAGCCATGTCAGGGATTTGCTACCCAGCAGTATTCTGTCGGTGGATGCTGATGGACAAGCGCTGTGGATTTATTTTAGCGCTCGACGTCCTGTTCCCAGCGATTGTGTTCCTGGTTGCTTTGCGAGTTGACCACCTGAGCATCATGAATTGGCAATGTCGTCACAACCACCTAGCCTACCTACTATCACCAGGGAGTATGTATTTGTACATACTGCACGCGCGATCCGGCGCCAACCGCACAATAACCTCTACCTACCTACTATAGTTGTCCAATTTGGCTACCAGAGTCACAGGCTGAGCCCCTTGTCACGTTGTTTAGGTGAACAGCCGCACAGACAATTGTCTGGGCTCATATCAATTTGCGGCAATTGCACAGGGACAATGCTGCGTGCTCCCGTTGCTGGACTTGTTGCCCAACATCCCTTGTTGAAGTTGGCTGGCCATGGATGATATGACGCAAAGGGTCTCAAGAACGCTCAAGAAAGCTCTCTCGATGCCCAGGACAAGCTCCCACCCCAAGTTTCTCGACGCCAGTTGTGTCTGGCCAAGCCCAGCATAAAAGCCTTACCCCTAGCAACCGATTGACTAGGGTCCCTATAGTTAACCGGCCTTCTCGAACCTGTCTCATGGTCAGAACTGCGATGATTGGCTACATTTTGTTCCTAGTGTAAGCACAGATTGGCATCGGTATGCCCGCGGCGAACGACGAGCAGTTTCGGCCTTTTTCATGCGGAGAAAGGGAGAGTCGCTGCTCGGGTGCTTCGAGACGAGACTCACTGGCTCGCTTTACTACATTTCTGACCGGACCGTACCTACATACATTTTCGTTCGAGCCTGCGATCGGACAAGATACCGGCCTCTATTCGAATACTCCACGTCTCTGGCACGGCTCACGTAGTAGCAGCGATACCAGGCTGGAAATAGCATCACCGCTGCCTGGTGAAAGAAACGTACCATCGGCGGTTGCCCAGCCAGCCTTCTCAATGTCCCAATCGGGCAAGACGTCATCCTCCACCGCAGGGCTGGCAGACCCTAGCTTCTGTCTCGGCGCGCTTTCCAAGGCTGAACATGATCGCCGATAGCGTCTTCCTTGCCTCCGGCGAATTTGATTCGTCAGTTTTTCTCTTGAGATTTGCTGTTGCGAAACCCGGACACAATCGATCTTCACAGGACAGAAAAATCCGATAGACGAAGTGACGATGTCCACGCAATGTGATTACGCGTGCGTTGCCGGGAAGTATTGTATTGTACGGAATATACGACGTTACGCTGTCGTCGCCGATGCTCTGCAAATCTAGTGCTCGGCCAATGGCCCGCATGTCCGGGCACAGAGCTCGGCAGCAAACATCGGATCTCTGTCCAATCGCTCTGCGCAATTGCCTTCTCCGCGCTTGCACAATGGCGCCAGATCCAATGTGGTCGACTTCAGCTGTCAAGCGACCAGCTTTGGGTTACAACCCAGCTGACATCAGCCACGCCCAAAGGATTCATGCAATGGGGTTCCGAGTACGCCTCCGCACCCGGAAGCGGGTTGGTCTGGGTCACCGGGCAGAGCTGAGCTGAGGAGCGAGTTGGCGCCTCTTGGTCTCCCTGAACCGCAAATGACAAGGGTTCGTTTGAGATGCTGCATGTGCGCTCCGTGTGCAACAAGCGCAGAGAAGCTTGTGGACTCGGTCGAGAACAACGTGAAGGTGGCAGCGCAGGAAAGTCTGCATCTGGTGTCAGACAACCCACGTCGCGTCGACTTCGTCGGAAGCGGGGTAATGTAAGTAAACAAATCCACACGAGTTTCCTGTAAACAGTCCCGCGTCGGAGCTTGACGTGGGGTTAGAGCTCACGCGCAAGCTACCTCTGTTATGCACGGTTTCACGTGACAAGGCAAGAGTTGCCGCTTTCGGTCTTCCGGCCCATCCCGGTCAAGAGAACGAGTGGATGGTCGGGCGAACGCATTTCCGACATACCTACAGCACTTCTAGGAACCATATGTCGGCCGCTGGCATTTCGTTGCTGAGTCTTCAAAATCCGCATGTGCTTCAGAATTCGCAGCACTCTCCCTCCCACTCGGGTGCCGCAATCGCGAGAGCTTCCCAAAGAGTGGGTCCCTTCGTCGCGGCACTGCAAGTCTGGGGAGGATCGTTGGCATTGATCGATCGGCATGATGCTCGCCAGGATAGCTCCAACAATGATGCAATTGGCACACGAGGATACGAAGTGTCCTACGCCGCCGAGTCTGGCCGGCACAGCGATCCTGCTCACGGCGTTTGAGAATCCTGTTCGCGCAGCATTCGGCACGACGGCCGAACCCACCCGACTCCACCGGCCCGATCCCGATCTTGTCAACCGGTCTCTCAGGCTCCAAAATCTCTCTCTGTACGTACAACTAGAGTACCTTTACTTGATTTCAGAAGCTAGGTATTTGATACACTAGCAAGCGACGGGATGTAGCATGCCATCCTAAACTGCACAATATTACAACTACACTACTGTAGCTCCTTCAAAGCAAATTGATTGATACGGGAAAATCAATCCACCACTACACCCTCGACAAGTCACCACAGCTAAGTCAAAACACATGCAATTTGAACACTAGCTATAATAATGGGAATTGAGCAAGAACGTAATGTTGTAAAGGGAAAGGGAGTATCATGAAGTGTTTATGTACGTGGTGTCATAGCTAATGTAATTGCGGTGGTGAACTAAGAGACCGATTTTCCTGTATCAATTAATTTGCTTTGAAGGAGTGTAGGTACTAGTATGTGAACGAGACTAACTTCAGGCCTGCAGGAACTCGCTCCACCGTCTCCAGCTGGTTGGGACTTTCGGAAAGCCCGGCGGATGATATAGGTCTGATATATAGTTATCTTGTCAAATTTCAGTATGAAAAACATAAAACAGTTTGAAACGTCCAGCATTGACTAGAATCAGTCTTGCGCTAGCTGCCTGTTTAGGACTTCTCCGTCCCTACACTATGACAATGTCTTCGGTGTTGGCGAAAGGTGAGTCCTCAAGGTTAAAGAGATACCTATGCACAAACGGCTTGGATATTTGGTTGGGTCTAGAAGCGGAAGAGGCGTTGGGCCAAAGTGATCTCTCGAGATCAAACCTGCTCTACACGGTCTCTTCCTCCGAAGTATGCGCAACTGTTGTTGTCGTCTGATGGTAAACTTTTTTCGACCGTCATACAGTGGAGTAGAGAAGCAGGAGCCGGGCAAAGTGTTTACATACTGCGCGATTCACGCTACGGATCATCGAGGTAGCTCGGCACGTGCTCGGGTAGTTTCATGTTCATTTAAACATACAGTATTAACGTTACGTGGCACTGTACGTCATCGGGATGCCTGCAACACGACTGGCCAAAGACCTTATAACGTTATCTGATAACCTGATAGAGAAGCGGTCAAGCGGTGCAGAAAAATGTCCCGCCAAACACTTTCTAGATCCGACAAGTTGACGCTTCAAGCAAGACCCGAATCCACTGATACTCAGACATCTCACGTACCATGACGAGCAAGAGGAAGCGGGCGGCCAAAGAGGCCATCGGTGAAAACCAACCCTCCCAGAAGCGCCCGAAGAATGGCCCCCCGGCAACCAATGGGTCCAGCAAGTCCAAAGCTCCAAACCCGCATCTGGACAAGTCTCCATTTACCGAGCACCCCAACGTCGACGAGCGCAGGAGGGAACTCGCGCTGTACGAAAAGCTCGGCAGCGAAGACGTTACCGAGCGAATCGAGGCCGCGGATGCGATCGTATCAGGGCTCCTCGGCGGAGAAGGAGTTCCCGAAGCTGTTCTGTTGCGCCATCTCGAGAAGCGGCTCTTTAGGGGCCTTGCAAGTGGGAGGAACGCTTCGAGGCTAGGCTTTAGCTTGGTATTGACCGAGATACTGGGCCAGTTGTTTGGCGAGAAGGACCTAGCGAGCTCCAAGTACACCGGTCTAACCTTCAGAAAGGTTTTGGTTATTCTGGTCGAGAAGACGCAGCCGGGCGGCGGCGTTACTGGCCAGGAGGAAAGAGACCACTTCTTTGGTCAGCTGTTCGGCATCGAGTGCTTCAGACGTGCCGGCATTCTCTTCGCGGAAAGGGAGAGATGGTTTTCAGTTCTGGACCTCCTTGTGAAGCTCTCATCGAAGAAATCATGGCTCAGGTCGCAATGCGGTTACGTGGTCGTGCAAGCTGTACCGCAGATGCAGAAGAGCGTCGCGGAGAGTACTCTAGAGAAACTGGCTGAGGAGGGATTCGCCAAAACCCCCGAGGGTGTGGGCATCTGGATCGCCGCCCTGGATCGTTTTCCTGATATGAAGGTCCCAGCCCAGCCGTGGCGGCACCCTTTAGCGACGACCTCTCTTTCTGCGTTGCCCGCTGCTTTAAAAGACAGCGGTAGAGAGTCTACAAGCGATGAGAATGGCGGCAAGAAACCAAAACAGGGCACCTGGACCGCTCAACTTCACTTTGTCTGGGATCTCATTCTCGCCTACTTCGTCAAGCGCGGTACTCATTCTGACGGCGATGCCTCGGAGCAATTCCAGCAGTTCTGGAACCGTGTTGTCGATGGTGAGTCTGCTATCAACTCTCCCATAGACATCCACTAACTAACGCGAATGCAGAAGGCTTCGTTTCCAAGAACTCGTCCGAGAGTCAGAAGTTTTCGGGCTTCATGATCTTCCAGAAAATGCTCGAGGGCGGCAGCGATTGCCGTTTCATTGTCCCAACACTGTTCAGTAAAAATCTCATGACGTGTTTGATGAACCAAGCTGCCAAGGACGATCGGTACCTTCACCGTGCAGCTCTCAAGGCGCTGAAAGGAATCGAAGGCGTAATTGAGAAAGCTCCGTCACTGCTTCCAACCATTCTCAAAGAGCTCCTTGGCAGACACGGGGCATACAACTTCGACCAACGCACAAATACCAAGACCGTAGACAAGTTGCTGCAGCACACGACTCCTGCCACGGTCAAGCCTGTCCTGAAGATCTTGCAGCTCAAGGACCCGCCCAAGAGCGGTCTTGACGATGCAAAGTACCACCAGGCTCTTGGAGGCTATCTGTTCAGGTTGGCGACTGTGCCTTCTGAAAACCCCGAGGCTGACACCTCGAGCAATTCTGTTCCCGGTCTCGCGATTAAGGCCCTGACTGAACTCGCATACTCAAATACATCGGTACCAGAAAGCACAAGGGAGGCGTTGCGGACCAGGACAACGTCGGCATTTGCCAAGTTGGTTAGGAGACCCGAGGATTTCGGCCACCTCTGCAACGCAATCCTGTCCATCGAAGCCGACGTGAACGCGGACGATGAACTTGCTTCTGTTCTATCCAGCGCCCGCACGAGGCTAGCAGACCTGCTCGACCCCGCGAAGGGGACAGATCAAACGAGGGACCCTCGGCAAGCGCTAGCGTTGCTGCATGCCGTGGGAATTCTGCAATTTTACAACCAGGACCCGGACGTGGTGGACCTTTTCGAGGAACTCAGCGAGTGTTACGACAAGCTCGAGAGCCATGGCAGCGGATCTAACGAAGGTATTTCTGAGTACCTGGTCGAAATCCTGCTCGCCATGGTTGCAAGACCGTCCGCGCTCATGCGGCAGGTATCGCAGCAGGTGTTTGAAGCGTTCAGTGGTTTCATGTCGGAAAAGGCAGTCAGGCTTCTATATGAACCCCTGGCGGTGGAAGAAAGCGACAGGGGGCGGCGACTCCTGTTCAGTACAGAAGACGAGGACATGATGGATGCCGGGGGCAGTGACGAGGAAGAGCTCGACTCCGACGTTGAGATTGTCGACCTTGAAGACGCTGGTTCCGAAGTCCCGGCTGACAGCGATGAAGGCTCAGACGTGGAAGAAGAGAGTGAGGGCGAAAGCGCGGACCAAAACCAGGAGGCCCTCGACGCGCTCGACGACGCCCTAGCAAAAGCCCTCGGCAGCCACCGGCTGGACAAGGACGCCGAGGCCGACTCGTCCGAAGAATCCGACATGACTGACTCGGAGATGATGGCGGTGGACGAGAAGCTGGCCGAGGTCTTCAAGCAGCGCGCCAAAGTACTCAACAAGAAGAAGGAGGAGAAAGACGCTAAGGACACGGTCATCAACTTTAAGCACCGCGTGCTTGATCTGCTAGCCATCTTCGTCAGGCAGGAAGCGGCGCGTCCCCGCCCGAACAGGCTCGTCTTTGACGTCCTGCTGCCGCTCGTCCAGCTCGTGCGGAAGACAACGACCAAGGCGCTCGCCAACAAGGCGAGCGAGGTCATTACCGCTTTCTCTAAAAGCTTGAAAAAGGCGCGGGCGGCCGGCGAGAAAGATCACAATATGATCAGCAATACAGATCTCGGCAATCTGATGGCAATTCTGAGGGAGCTGCACGAAGAGGCGTCTATGGACATGGCGCATGCTTTTGCTAGAGCCGTGTCGACGGCCAGCTTGGCGGTAGCGTCGGTCCTCTGCGGGCCCGAGGGTATGAGGCGCGAGGTGTTTGAGCTGTATGCGCGGACACAGCTGCGGTGGTTCCAGGGCGAAGTCAAAATTCAGCCCGCGTTCTTCTCGGATTGGCTGAACTGGTGCCAGAGTCATGCCAGCACTGCCGCTGCTGTTGCCGCGGCGGCGGCGGCGGCGAAGGAGCAGGAGAAAGAGGAGGAACAGAAGTAGATAGCTTGGCCCGTGGAGGAGGGGCAGATGCTTTCATAATGTTATGTACTCTGTAGGGTGTGGAGTTCTGGATCTTATTAAGCTGGGTTGGAAACCCAGCGATGCTGAAATCTGAGACGCGATAGTGCTCATAGCGACCGCAACTGGAAGTAGTGAGAGAGGCATGACCAAGTTCCCTCCGTATTGACAGATCCCAGTGCCAGATGGAAATTTAGTCTATCTTCCCACCCGCAAAGCCCAAGTCGTCACGTCCGTATGGTACAATAACGCCGTTTGCACACCCGCCTTCCACCCCCAACCAAGCCCAAGCCTTTCCTCTACTCCTCCATCTTCTCCTTCGGTTCCTCATCCTCGTCGTCTTCCAACGCCTTCTTCGCCAACCGCTCCGCCTCCTCCCTCAACTCCTTGGGCACCTCCTGATGCAACCCCTTGGTCGGCCCATCCGCCCCGCTAATCCACGTCATCTCGAGCTCAAACTCCTTATCCTTGCTGTCGTCGTGCGCCACGTAGATGATCCGCGCCGCCTCCTTGACAGCCTGCTCCAGTGTCAGCGAGGGGCCGCCGGGGCCGCCCAGATCAAGCTTCTCCAGCTCCGCCTTGGCCGCCTGCCGGCCCTTGCCCGTCGCCGCGCCGTAGTAGCCCCAGTACAAGCCCGACGGCTCGATCATGTAGAGGAACGGCCCGCCGTGCGTCTTGCCCGCGACCTTGCCGCCGGCCCCGCAGCTGGGCCCGCTGCCGACCTCGCCGTCGACGGGCGCCTCTTCTGTGCTGTCAAACCCGCCGACGATGGCTGTGATGCCGAAGGGCCGCACCGACTGGTACAGCGTGTACACCTGCATGTAGCCGCCCATGCGCGACGCTAGGTCGGCCGTCGAGATGGGCGTCTTGAAGGTGTCGCGCCACGAGCGGGCTTCGTCGCGCGCCCGCTCGATGAAGTGCCGGCCGTCGGGTATCATGCCCGAGTATACCTGAGGGAGAGGGGGCGGGGTTGTTAGTTGACCGGCCTAGTTCGCGCCGCATGAAAGGGGGGAAATCGACGAAACAAGAAAATCGGTGTCTGCGCTTACAACGCCCAGGTGCCTGTCGACGGTCGCGATGCGCTTGTTGGCGCCCGGTTTAAGGAGCTTGGATGTGACGATCTTCTCGACGGCCAGCACTACGCCGTCCTTGCACCGGATGCCGATCGAGGTACCGCCGTTCTCGACCGCCTTCATGGCGTACTCGACTTGGAAATTGCGGCCATCGGGGGAGAAGATGGAGTTGGCGAGGTCGTAGCCCGTGCCTATCGACGTCTATGGTTTGCCATGTCAGTTTGGCTGGACTGCGAGTCGCTGCTGGGGCGTAGCCACAAAGGTAGCACTGGCGGATGCCTGCGCGAACATACCATTGTGGTGGTGGATCTGGCAAAAGCGGACTATAGAAAAACTATGTGCAAGATTTTCGACGTCAAAAGGCACTGGTGCTGAGTTGGAGGTGGAATGGATGTGGTGATAGTCGCGGTTCGGTTTGGTCTGGGGTCTGCGAGCTGCAGCAGCATGAGCTCCAGCGGATCAGGCAGCCTGTGAGCTGCGTGTTGCTTCCCCGGTAAGGTAAGGTATCTGTGGCTGGAGCTGTGGCTGTCTGCCCCGCCTTCCTCTCAGCCTTACTTCTGCGCCACACTTTGTGGACCTAAAGATCTGAGCGAAACCCCCGATAAGCTAATAAGGTAACCTCGTACGTACGGTAACGTACCTCGATTCTAGGTTGCCCGTAACCCCTGATTACCTGGTAGTATTACTGTTGTTTGCATCGTCAGTTGGGTTGGACAGTACATATTCTCGCGGGCCGATAATGCCCTTTCATGTTCGTCTGCCCTGGTGGAGCATGCCATATCCCTTCGGGTTGCGTAGTGACTCCGACTTACAAACGGAAGGTGCCCTCTATCTGGTGGGATGAGGCAACGGCAGAAAGCGAGCGCCGCACAAAGCTCGACAGAAAGAGGGCACACTCCCCTTCTGCACTAGCCGGCATATCAGTAGAGGGCGGATGAGCTTTGAACCCCTGACCTTGATCTACAGTTGAGTGCACAACGCGCATCACTGTCTGGTTCTCTGTTCAAGAGCCAGTCCTATCAAGCGTGCGTTCACTTGCCACAAGATAGCAGCGACTGGCATGAAAGCCAGATTTTTCCTGAGTCGTGGGGCAGTGAAAGAGTGAGTACCCAACTGTGGTGACAGCTGGCTAAGTCCAGGGTGATGGGAACTTCGAAGTGAAGAACGGGCTCGTTCACTTCTTTCGCTCCGTCTGATAGAAGACGGTGCTTGGTAACTACACAGCATCATTGTTGAAGATCGGGACTCATCATGGTGCTACACGATACAGCCCGGCGTCTTTTGTTTCACATCCATGTAGTCGTTAGTAGGTCACCAGATCCTGCTGTATGGACGATCTTCGGATGCCGGTTGCCACGCAGCAAAGGACACTAGGTGCTTCTATAGTTATGAGGTCTATAAAGGAGACCCTTCTTGGCCTCAGTCCTTTCCGCCATCATCTCCACCACCTGCAACAACCACTCCAGCCTATGTTCCTCTAAGTACACCTTAGCACCAAGACCATACGGACCTCTCTCGGACAACAACAAAAGTCAACCATGTATCCCGCTAGCTCCGTTGGATCTAGAGAGGATACCTTCCATGATGGGTCGAATGTCTCCCCCAGAGTTTCTCGGCCGACGAATCCGCAGCGAACAGAAGAGGCCCGGTTCCCGTCTCCGGTGCAGACACGCGCCAGCAGTCCCGCTCCGGAAGAACACGAGTCCCCCGCCGGAGCTTCAACCCAAGGCTTGAGCGTCAAGGATGCCCTGCAACGGCTGGTGCTGAACAACTGCCGTATTACGATCATTATCAACCAGCACGCACACACCAGCCCATCAGGCCTAGACTCAGAGTCAGTCATGCAGACCCTACCAGAGGACATCATGAGAAGCGTTCGGGTCATTCCTCGGGCCGCTGCGGAAGGAACAGCGCGTTCATCGAGACGCCGCACCGTAAGAGTAATTCCCCGGCCATGCAACAGGCGCCCTGCTCCCCCGAGCACACAACACCCCTCTAGCCCTGGAACAGAGCTACCCCCTTTACGTCCAGTGCTTCCGCGGGTGCCATCGCCGCCCTTGGCAAGGAACCCTACTCCCGGGGTCTCGGTCCCAAGCCATCATGACGATTTCGACTCGGCGAGCCTGTTTTGCGATGATAGCTCCGTCGACGGCGACAGAGACATCGACCCTGGAGTTGACGGAGGATTTGCCTACATGAGACAGGGCAGGTATGGCCTCGAGGTCGACTTGCCACGGGGGCAAGGGTTCTGGGATCGCTGGGATGGTCGCTATCGTACCGAACCGGTGGTGCGGTGCCCAACCCCATTCGGTGGCGTTGACGTCAATCCCGGAGAGGAGGGTCCTCAGAGTGACATGTGGGGAGGCGCAGATGTCTCGACTACGGTTGCCAATGATGGGTATGAGGATTCCGATCCGACTCCTGAGAGAAGGGCAACCGCGGGAGACCAGGTAGATACCTAGAGGGATACCTGGGGTGGACTGGGTAGAGGGGAGCGCTGCTGAGGGTATTGAAAGGTGAAATTACGATGAGTTAGGGGGTAGTTTACATCGCGGCTTAGCGCTGGCGCAAGCGGAATAGTAGATGCGTTGATCTATTTCAGGCCCAATCCTACAAGTACCTACCTACTTCTTGAGCGAGAGCAGTGTAGGTGCAACGGTGATTATGGGGTAGTTTCTGCTTTCTACTTCCTACTCTCTTTTAACGGCACACAGGCACATATCATATCCTCAAGAAGGGCAACTTGGATACCGAGAGAGACAGAGAGCTTGACAAAACCAGACTGCTTAGAAGGCACGGTAAAGCTCAGGTCACTTGTAGCTTGTTGCAAGAAATGCCATGATTGTATTCATTCCGCCGGTCCCAGTCTAACCTCTTGTAAAAGCGCGTAGGGCAAGTGTGCCTGGTGAACTATCATGCCATGCTCGTCTTCCTACAAAGGAAAATGCTGTCCGCCATGTAAACCCATCATTCCATCCACCATGTTATGTACCCATGCCATCCTTCCTAATCCACAAACACTGTGAAGCCCGGTTAAAATGCACCAATTGAGAGGTAGAATCACAACATCTCCTCGTCCTCCCTCATCGCCATGATCTGCCCATACCGATCCGCCATGGCCGCCTCAGTCCTCCAATCAACCCCAGCGGCAAGAGTCGTCTTGTACACCGGATCGGCATGCGCGGGATTAAAAGTCATACCACCCCCGCCGCCGGCTACCAGGGCAGCAGGTGCCGACATACTGTTGTTCTCCTTAACAGGCGGCGCACAACTCTCAGCATAGGCCCTGCGTGCGGACTCTTCGTACTCACGGCGTGCCATCTCCTCGTAGCCCGACATCATGTAGGGCTCCATGTAGTCGTAGGCCGACGTGGCCAACGTGGGCCCGCCGATCCAGCGGCCGTCGCCCGCCTGGATGGGCGTGAGCGGCGTGCCGTCCAGGGACATGACCGTTTCGGTCTCGGCCTCGGTTTCCGGCTGGAGGTCCATTTCGAGTTCTTGCTGCAGCTGCTGGTCCACGAGCTGCTGTTGCTGTTGCTCGAAGCGCAGCCGGGCGAGGGCCTCTTCCTGGTCGACCGTGGTCGTGCTCCAGGCCAGCGTGGGGTTGTTGACGCTGGAGGTGGGCGGGCAGACGCGCCAGAGCTCGATCAGGCGGAGCTGTTGCGGAGCGTCGACGGTCTTGAAGAGCTCCAGTTGGGCCGATGAGAGCCCGGAGGGATCTACGCTATGCTCTCTGAGGACTCGTTCTACCGCAGCATGCTCGCCCCGGGGCGGCTCGGAAGCAGGGCGTGTTGGTTGCGTCTCCTGTCTAGCGATGTGTGCCGAGTGGGTGTAGTGTTGCGAGATATAGACAATCTTGCGCTCCTCATTAGACTCCTGGGCCGGTACAGGCGCGGGCTCTGGTGCTGGCGCCGCCTGGTACATGGGGTCTAGAGTAAGATTCCGAGAGAAGAGAGCCACGAGTTCCTCCTGGGATGGCATGCTTGCGTAAACGACAGCCATGACGCCGGTAGTATGGACTGGAATGTCACTGTTAGCTTGCCCTTGAGCTTCCGAGGGACGTAGTCTCAGAGCTTGTGCAACCGTACCTCAGACAGGTTGTCCGTAAGCCAAAGTTTCCCACGTTGAAATCCTTGATGGGTGTTGTGCTTGCTGTACCTAGTGCGCACACTCCACGGCGGGATAAGGGGATGATGGGGCAGCTGTTAGTCAGGGAATATGTTTCCGGCGGGTTGGGGAGCTGGTAGTCGGGTCGCAGCGGCTGCAAGCAACTTCGTTTCTATTGACTATGCTATGTACTGCAATAGGAGCGTGGAGAGCCACGCCCAACGAAGAACTCTCCGTGGAAATAGCAGGCCGGTGTCTGGTACGAGGTACGACAATGGCGGGACTTTGAGAGCTAAATAAGGCGCTCAAAGACACGAACAAAGCGAGATGACAAAAGCAATGGTCGAGGATGCTGTAACAGCGACTCGTGCAAGGACAGTGAGTGCCGAGAACGCCACAAAGTCGGTGTTGTATATTGTAGAACAGAACAAGATGATTTGCGGATCTGGGACGTCGTTCGATGGGTTCCTATTAAGGAAAACTTCCACATCGAAGAGGTGTGAGGCGAGAAAGGAGGAGGGGCAGCCCGACCAGAGTAATTTGTTGAATTGAGGGGCAGCTCAGGGGCTTGCCACAAACCGGCACCAGTGGAAAGCCAATCCCAGCATGAGCTGATCGCTTCTACAATTGCCAGGCTTCAATCCAATGCCTATATTGGAATCGCGCCTGTGGGAAAATGGGGGTTGACGGGCAGGTGTGACCATTGGGCAGTCATGCGGGTCGGAGGGCAGGTGTCCTGAAACGGGTCTGAATTGCAACCTGATCATCCAACCCAATGAAGCGGTGACACGACGATGCGTACGCTCAGCCAACAAGCAAAGAAACGCCCTCAATGAAAGCCTTCAGGTACTATTGAGGCGAGAAGCTGAGAAGGGATGTGATATGGTGTCCGAGATATGAAGTGAAGTGACGTCTGCGAAACCCATGCAGGTCGCCCAAAGAAGGGGTCCAGTTGGCTGGATTCACCCGTGGGGTTGGATGACAAGGGCCAATTGCTCCAGGAATCAAGCCACGTTTCGACGCCACAGATGACGTCGCCTTCCCCTTCCACCTGCACGATAACCAGAGACGGGAATCATCCTAGTTGCAAGGCGTTGCGGTGTGACATTATGCAGATGCAAGCTCTGGTCTAGATCATTAAGCCTAGAAAGGGCAGCTGTTTCTCCAGATCAAGCAACCAAACACCTTCTCCTACATCTCCCCCCGCAGACTCACACCCAATCGCACTCTCAACATCGCAACGCGGACCCCTACTTCATCGCTATGGCTTCTAAAACTGGCCGCCCGCCGAATTACTGTAAGTCATAGACTGCTGCTATCACAAGAGCTGCCCCGGCAATTCCAATACTAACCGCAACAAACCATCAGACGCGATCCTCGAGATCTCTGAAACCGCCTCGACCTCCCAAATCCGCGATGCCTACAAACGGTAACTCTCCCCCCGCCTTGACCGGAAAAGCGCAATACCAGCAAAATCTTTACTAACCACGAGTGCCATTCCCCTAGCGCCGCCCTGAAAACCCACCCGGACCGGGTGCCCGCCGACCACCCAGAACGGGCCCAGCGCACGCGCAAGTTCCAGCTCGTCAACGACGCCTACTACACGCTATCCGACCGCACCCGCCGGCGCGAGTACGACGCGCAGCGCAAGCTCTACGCCGGCAGCGGTGGCTCCAGAACCGGCGGCAGCAGTATGCCGGGCGGGTTCGGCGGCGCCTTCACCGACCCCTTCGCCGATGCCGACTACACCAGCACCGCGGGCGCCGGCGGGGTGCCCGGTGCGGGAGCCGCGCCGGGAGGGGGGATGGGTGCGGGAGGGATGCCCTTCTCGTGGGCGTGGAACTTCTTCACCGGCGGGCAGCAGCCGCAGGAGGAGAGGGAGCGGACGGAGAACGAGCAGTTTGCGGATGTGTTTGAGGAGATGCTTCGCGAGGAAGGGCTGGCGGAGGAAGGTCCTGGCGCGCGGCCGACGGGGAAGTTCTGGAGCGTATTGGGTGGCATCAGCGGCGGCGCGTTGGGCTTTATTGTCGCGAACGTGCCTGGGCTGGTGGCGGGCGCCGTGGCGGGGAATAGGCTTGGTGCCGTGAGGGATGCGAAGGGGAAGAGTGTTTATGCGGTTTTCCAGGTAAGTGGGCCCTGACTGCTGCGGGGGAGGTGTTCTTTCCGCTGACGGTGACATAGGAGCTACCGCAGGGGGATCGGGCGAGACTGCTTAGCCAATTGGCGGCCAGGGTGTTGAGCCATGCGGTTGGAGTATAAAATCCTCGCATTCTTCCCTAGGCTGTTGTCAGGGCTGTTGTCAGGTGCTGGGTTTCGTTTCGGCGTTGTGGTTTTCTTGTGAGGGTCCGGGCCTACTGGGTGCGAGGATTGGGGCAATGCGAATATACCTGCCATTGGGACTGTTTTGCTGGTGCTGATATTGTATTTATCATCTCGCAACCAAATTAGAGCGTTTCGAGCATGCGGAAGGGTTCACGGTCAGGACGTTGTTTACAGCACATCATGTTCCTGTAAGTCTATTCGTCCAGAGTCAGTGACCATTTTTGGGACTTGTATTCTATTTCATGGGTACAATACCTATCCCAGCTTGGATGACATACCTCCGTGCTGATAACCCAGGCGCAAAAGCAATATTTTTGACACCATCTCTACGACACTACACAACCCGTCACCTCCTTTTGTTTTTGCGCTTGCTGGCCTTGCCTCCCTGCTTCTGGGTGCCACTAGTCTTGGCCTGACCGAGCTCGTCTACCGATTTCTCGAGAATCTCGAAGTCCTCGGCGGAACCTGAGCTCGGCGTGGGCTTGCCGGGCTCGGAACCCGTGTCGTCATTGTCCAGCACTTCACCCTCCGTGATCTCCTCCCCCTCGTCTTCTCCCGCGCCCTCAGCGCGCTTCGGCAGGAGGCGTCCGACCGTCAGGCGGTAGGCCCACAGCGGGAGACGCACGACGGCTGTGTCTTTGAAGGTGGGGCAGGCGAGCTCGTTGGGCTGATGAATTATGTCAGCTCCGGAACCTTGGGTACGGTTTGCAACATTGGGTCAGGGCAGCTCACATCAAGCAGGAACTCAGCCACATTCCCGTCTTCGTCCTCCTGCTCTAAGTAGACGTCGCCCAGGGAATCCACAACCAAGACCTTCCCATTCTCGGCAACAACCCTCTTCTTCGTCCCAGTCGGGCCACTACCTTGAGGCGCCGGCTGTGGCGTTGCAGATCCTGACGCAGAAGGGGTTCCGCGCCCGCGGCGTGCCTTGCGCCCAGCGCCCTGCGTGTCCTTTGCCGCGTCCTTCTTCGCGTCGCGTTCCTGCATCCTGCGCATCTTCCGGTTCATCGGCATTGCGCGCCCTTCTTCGTCCTGGTACATGGGCTGTGCAGGGGGCGGCGGAGCAGGAGCGGCAGCGGGCTGCCCATCAACACCCGGGATGTTGATGCCGAGGTTCTCCCCCCAAGCGGCGTGCCGTGCAAACTTGATGTAGCGCTCGACAAACTCGCGCTGTCTCTTCCAGCTCATGTAGAGCGCAAGATAGTGGGCAGCGCCGCCAGCGAAGAGGAACACGCCAAACATGGCGGTGCCCAGGCCGGGGCGGTAGCGGCTATAGTAGTACTCGGTGCCCTTCCAAGTGGGGAATCCGTTTGCAAGGAAGTAGTCGTACCGATCACGACCGGGTCCGCGCAGGACATCGGCGACAATGGACAAGCGGGCCTGGCGCTCCGAGGCTCGCTTTACGGCGGCCTTGATCTCGGCAGACGTGGGCGGTTTCGTTACATGAACGCCCGGCTTGCCCTTTTTGCCTTTCGCCTTGTCTTTCTGCGCCTTGATGCGCTCGGCGGTGAGCTGCTGCCTGACCTTGTCCGGATGGAGCTGCCGCGACTTCTTCTTGTACGCCTTGTTGATGTCGTCGATGCTTGCCGACCGGCTGACTTCCAGGAAGTCGTAGAACGTAACGTCCGGACCCTCGTGGGCAATAAGCTCATCACGAACACGGAAGATTTCGCGGTCTGTGGAGCGGTCATTCCGGTCAGTATACTATGCGACAGAGTACAGCACTTCGTTCTTGGACAGCCAGACATGCCTTCTTTTGTCCATGCCGCCGTGAGCGGGGGCAATAGGGCCAGAAGCCCAACAGAGAGTGCGGAAAGCCTCATGATGGCAGTACCTCGTGTGCGAAAAGCCTCACGGGTCTGGGCAACAGAGGACGCCGAGTGTTGTGTGTCTGCGATTGAAGGACACGCTGGAAGGTTTTGTCTATTTTGCCAAATACGCCAGGGGTATTTTGCGACATAGGCCCGCCAAGACTTGCCATTTTCGGTTGCTGCATGCTAGGGAAACGTTGTCCGCATCGCTACCTACACAGTACTCTCGTTACTGTGCAACGTCGTAAGTTTCATACTTTCCCTCGACACAACTCCCGAGTCCCATATACTGATACAATGTAGGCGGACCAGATAGATAACATCAAGCTGCATTAGGCGGTGGCTCCTACTACTATGGCTCTTGCTCTGAACGACATTCACTTGCTGCTTCCTTAGAACCTCAGTTCTACGGACATGGCTGGTACGAGCTGGTGCTGACTCGGACCTCTTGGTACAGGCCGCAGGGGTCACCAGGAAGCAATAGATTCAAAGGGATGCAATCGAGGATTATCTTTGAATAGCGAAATAACACAAGATGTACGGAGTAGTATTCGACAACGATGAAGATGTGAGGTGAGCCAGCCCCTTTCCGGATTCAGGGTTAGGGCTGAAAACCAGGAGGCTTGGCCGCGACTCCCCTGACCTAACTCCGTACTAGTACTAGTAGTCGGTTAACTCCGAGTCCTATGTATGTCACGCTATCACACAGTGCGATTCATCTCGAATCTCCGAGGTTTCACTCTCATGGTTTGACAAGCTCATCATAACTATAGATTATCACATCACACTCGGACGTATTGACTGAGGCTTAGCTGTGCGAGGTCGGGAAATGCTGCGGAGGAGCCACAAAAAGTCCAGGGCTGGGTGCCTAGAATGCAAGCGGCGACATGTCAAAGTCTGTTCTCACCATCACAGTTATCACGATTGCCTTAGCTACCTGGATTTCAAACCTAATGACAATGCTAACGCTATAAATGCCGGCATTAGTGTGATGAACAACGACCCAAATGCAGAATCTGTACCCTGTCGGAGAGAGACTGCAGCTACCCTCCAGAGCCTGCAGGAGCCTCCAACCCGGGAACGGCCACGCCAGCTCATACACCATTACAATCTGGCCCCTCTCTCGCTTCTCCCGCTATCATCAGCAACGCAAGTCCCGTTGCCGGTGTCCCGCTCCCGGACATCACAAGCGGAGGGCCGAAACCGCTGCAAGATGCGAGCCAGAACTTCCCAGTTGTCAACATGGGCCACATGGAGTTCCTCATCCGCTTCAAGTTCGAGGAGCATGCGCCTGAGTTGAATGTTGAGCTGCACGAGTTCTCTTCCAACCTTCTATTTAAGTGTGCTTTGAATGCTCCATACCTGATGCACCAAATCCTCGCTGTCTCGGCTCGGCGGTTAGCCGTTCTGGAGCCGCAGAGGGCCGATTACTTCCTCGAGCACGCTATGCAGCTGCAAACCAAAGCCGTTTCTATCTACAATGGAACGGCAGCCAAATCTCAGATCGACCAGACCAACTGCTCCGCCCTCCTGCTCTTCTGCTCCCTGCTTGGTCGACACCTGCTGGCCGATCTTCTGGCAAAGCGGGACGCCGACTTTGCCGATTTTCTAGTCCGGTTCCTCGAGTGCCTTACTATCTCTCGCGGCCTGATGGCTATGTCAGTCTCCGCCTGGGATTTACTGCTTCAGTCAGACATCAGGCACCTTGTTCTCTGGGCGCTTGAGATCGCCCAATCACCTCCACAGGGTCACCACTGCGATGGACTGCGGCGCCTCATAGCCGAATCAAACAATCTAGATGGCCCGTCTAAGGAAGCATGTATGACCGCTATCTCGTGCCTTGAGGTTGGCTTTGATAGCCTAATCGGGAGTGACGCCCGCAACCAGAGATACCTCATGGTCTTCATGTGGTATGATATACCTGATCGTTTCACTTTCTCATAGCTCTCGCTAACAAGTGATGCAGGGCCCCTGCAGTGCCTCAACTATTCACCGACTTACTCTCCCAGCGGCGACCCGAGGCAATCGCCATCATGGGTCACTGGGCGCTTCTCCTCCATTACAGTCGAGCCTTGTGGCATGTTGGCGACTCGGGCTCGCACTTGCTGAATAGCATTTCCCAACACCTCGGACACGACTGGAAACACTGGCTGTCGTGGCCACTTTCGGTCCTCGCTTCCGACCGTGCTCAAAGTACTAGTATATAGATCGACAAGACACGGTTGGGGAAAATCGCTGAAATTGAGCAAGGTGCGCAATCTTGCGAGCCGTGAATCTCGCTCCGCCCAGAAGAATAATATATCCTCGTCGACCGTACCAATCCTGACGAACGGACATGAACTGCGATTTGAAGCATGCCAGCCAGGCAGATGAAGAAGATAAAATCATCGATCTCCGAGTCGAAACTCAATCCTATCCGTATGAATTACCTGCCTCTCAGTCATGTCGATGCCACCGCTCTCAATCACAAGTAGACACCCTTATCCTGCGTCTCACAAAGACTCCCCGCGGGAAGTCTCAGGAAGTGTAGGAACTGCCGGAAGTTGCCCCAACAGGGTTCCAAGCTCCCTCGTGGGGGCGTTCCCGCACGAACCTGTCCAGGCCCGCATGGTTGCTAAGCGACCACGCGACCTTGTCTTTCCTCCGGATTTCCTGGGCACTTCTTCTACTCATGCTCGTTTTGCCTGAGCTCTCCTTCTCCTTGCCCTTTCCCTTCGCTGCACACCTCGGTGTCAGTACTTATGAAGTGCCTTGCACGGATGGGAGGAGAAGGGCTGACTGACAGGATGAATGGGAGGAAGGCGAGTGGGACATGCTGCGTTGTTGCGATGACTGCGCACTGGATCGTGCCGTTGAGAACTTGAAATGGTTCGGTTGTGGATGAATCTAAGCCGACTGGATGGCTGGAAGCTTGGGGTTGATATGTGACGACTAGCGAGGAGAGCACGTCTCTTTATACACAAACCGGAGGACAATGACGTCGATTTCTACTATCCCTCCGTCACGACGCCTGAAGTCCCATCATTCGACCCCCATGGCTTAACCCTTCTCGGCTCAGGGGTAGGGCCTCATCCGGCGGATTGCACCCCCCACGTGTCATGGAGGGATCTTTTGAAGGTCACATCCGGTCTGCCTTGCTTAACTCGACTGACAGCCAGGACCGCATGCCGGACAGGCGGGTCGTATGGCAACTAGTTCTTTACCTGAATATCAGGCATGTTGATGGTCGACAGTTACGGTACATACCCCAAGCCGACTACCCGGCTAGGTCGGTTGAGCTTTGTACGACAGTCGGCAACCTTGTTCGGGTTAGGCTGAGGCACATATTTCCCACTATATTGTACCTATCGTGTCCGTCGACATTCCCGCTCTCCCCTCTCCCTTAGGTTCTGTGTGACTCACAGGCCTGCCAAGTATGAGCGTCATGGCTCCATTCAAGAGGCGAATCTTGACCTTGATCGCTGGCTTCGGCAGATGAAGTGCTTTGATTGCCACTCATCGCCGGGGAGTTGCGAAAAGCAGATACTCATGAAACGCCGAGCACCTAACGTAGCACGAGGCTATCAAGGATGCTCGAGGGATATTACAAGACTTGACTGAGTTGATGTTCGCCTCCTCTACACCTGGAGTGCCGGGGCAGCTCTCTCCAAAGACGCAACCAGGGCAACAGCTCGAACACGGGTGCTTGCAGCACATCGTCCCATTCGGCGGTTGTCATTCCATGCGGTTGAATCTAAGCCATGTGGTCGCCTCATCAGTGTACCGCGAGAAATAAGGGGCTACCGTTCGGCGGGAATGAAGCCGGCCGACCCGATCCCCGGTGCTCTTCCGAATGGCTAGTTGCCGAAAGACTGCTGTTCCTGACGAGCTACTTCGTCCAATTAGAACAGCCGGGCCAGTTACAGGATCGTGAACGCATGGGGTCGTCTCGACGTGAGGCAGCTCGGGACGGATGCTGACGGAAAATATCCCGCGAGCGAGTCTAGGTATTCGCAGTGTTGAACCGGAAACATGCCTACCGGTTAACGGCATCGGATTCGCACTCCGAGTCCGTCAGCCCTCGGGAGCGGCATCCCGACCGTCAATCACCTACAGTAACACGCCAGCCGACACTCAATACACCGATGACATGGGTGAGTTTGACAGAGCTCACCTGTTACACCATGACCAAGCTTATACCGACTGTATGGGTGGCGTCTTCGAGGTTCTTGCTTAACTGTCAGGACGCCAGCTCCAGGTATCATGTCAAAGCCGGTGTACGGTGCACGGCAGAGTTCCACCGACTTCCCATCGGAGAATACGGGGACAGGCGAGGATTGTGCATTGTACAGTACCTCATTCCTCCTGGCGCTTGACAACCGCCAACGCTCGGACGTAACGTCATGCATGTCCCGAAGTTCTGGGAGAACTATGTGGAACCAGTATCACAAATTCACTCGAGGACACTCGGAAGGATATTTGGGCACGGCAACGTTGGGCGAGTGAGTTCATTCCATACCTCTGACGAGCGGATAAGCCCGATTCGTGGAATAAACGTAAGGTATGCTGCCCGAGCGGAGACACCTCGCCTCGTTCGAGACATATATCGAACCCGCGCTTCAGCGCTCAGCATTCCCGCGTCTTCCCGGAGACACACCCGCTGGGGATCCTGAGGACATCGAGTCTGTGACGAACACTGAGCGGGGAGGATCCTGTTTCACGACCCATGACATTGTCCACGTTCCACCACAGAACCGAACCTATGACCGTGGGAAACACGGAAGTGGCCTACATGTACCTGTCTGCAGCTGTCAAAAGCTCCCTACATAAGCCGTCGATCGACACGCCATCCGGGGACCAAGGGGGGACTGGGATCATGAGTTCCGGTATGCAGTTCACGTTAATATACCTCTCGGCCGAGACTTCGCATCACGCGGACAACCAAAAGCAGAGGCCACACCGCAAACCACCACCAGTTGCCTTATCTTGGCAGTGAAGGCGACCAAGCACTGACAAGTCCCAGCCCGGCAGGTCAGGGGGGTTGCCTCACGTCGCCTCGAGTTGCCGACGTTCGCGCTTCAGGATATGCTGTACGAGTCTGACGACCCTACCTACCTTACACTGGGTCTCAGCACACCGCCATTCCGTTCAGGCCGGTCGTCGTGTCAAACAAATTCAATCCCGCGCAATCTCGAGTTACCTTACTTTCATATCTTGCCTCGGGTAGAACCGCAACACCTATCTGATGTCATGTGACGAAGATTACCAGCATCACCACGAGCATCAAATGGCTATTCGAGCCGCGATGTCGCCGGTGAGAGAAGAGCCATTGTACTCGTGCATGCAGGGGCTTTGCCGGAGCATCACGGCGCACGGTTGGCGCCCCTGACATAGACCGATGCGAGCTGAGGTTATACAATCATAACCTCAAGCATCTGCTCTTGGACTCTACTCGTTGTCCTTGTGGGCCTGCTTCATACGCCAATGGATCGAAGACCAGAGTTCAGGGGCTCCAGAGGTCCGTTGTTCATATGATCCCTCTTGAACGGCAGATGACCAGTTTGGACACCGAACCAGCCCCTGAGGGGACGAAGTTACGAACACTGCATGCTTGGCAATTCTCGTCGCTTTCATGAAGAACTGGTGGTGTAGAAGACAGCATCATTGGCGAGACACCACATCGGTTGGTGTTCTGCCACAGTAAAACCCTTCAGTCCTGCTCTTGGAGGTCACTTTTGATACGATGATATCATTGATATGTCTGCCGCCGATCTTGTTAGGCCTCGACTGCTTGTGTTTGCTGCTCTTCCAGTTGAGCTTCACTACCACCATCTAGTGAGGCCTATGTGGGCGTAAAAATGCCGCACTATGTTGACAGCCTCGCCAGTTTCCCAAGACCTCCAGCCATCCCGTCTTCATCCGAGCGAGGCTAGCTGGATCGGGCCGGAGTGCCTGGCGCGTGATCATCACTACATTTCGGCCGAGTCCTTTACACGTCCATTCGGGCAAGCCGGTTCTTAGGTTAATTAATCGACAAACTAACAGATGACCGTCTGTCTGACATCGGTAGGATAGTCAAATGCCTTCTATTGGCTACAATCGGATTCAAAGATTCAATCAATGCTCTTCCTGTAACACAGAAGCGGTGAGATTCCTACATCTCGTGACCGCTACCCTTTGTGAGCGAGTTCTGAGAAGAAGGTAGCCAGCGGATGCTGACGTAGTTCTAGGTACCGATGATGGTCGGAGAAGGGCCTCTTCCACCTCTCAGCGGACTGCACCTTATATTCCCTCCTGTAGAACCTTGATTACCAACTGGCGGGCTAGGGTTGACCGAGAAGGCACGGGAATTCCGTCTGGGACTTGCCGTCGCCATATCGCAACATTGAGCGTCAACTGCCGCATATCGTACGTTCGCGTGGGCCTAGTGCCCTATCAGCACGCCTTCCTCACCGGCTCTGCCGCCAGGTCCTGTGGAAGACCTACAATGGTTCAGCAGCAGTGCGCTGGCCCTTAGAAGCGTTCCATTTGATTTGTTGAGTCTCGCAACCAGGCTAGTTCAACGCGTTTCGGTCGGGTTCAAACTAACGCAGGCTTTTTGCGGTTCAGTAGCAGGCCATGGCCCATCAACGTGCTCGGGAGATTCGGCCAGTGAGCTTCTCTACTGTGGGAGACTGTCACCTTCGTTCTAAAGTACGCACTAGATATGTATATACCCTTTGTAGGGAACCTAGGTAAGGTAGTCTATACCGTTCCAGCACCTAACTTCATTCGCGATGCCGTGTGAGCCTCGTGTATGAGTCTGTTCACCCAGAATACCGCAGGAATCTTATACGCAACGTTTTGGACTTATTTGAGCTGCGTCGAGGCCGCTTTTTACGACTCGCCCGTTGTAATTTCCCAGCATTCCTTATTTAGCGACGCGGCTATTCGGACTCAATCTCCGGATATTGAGACCTCCATCCTTCCCGATTTGGATGGGCGCCGCAGAATCAAGCCACACCAAATTCAACCTGACCTTCGAGTTTCGACCTAGCTCTATCACTACGCACCCATAGCGACGCAATCCTCTCCGGCTATGAATATCTTCATCTTTTTAATACGGCAGTGCTCGCATACAGCCACAGGCACAGGTACCGGTATAGGCATTGGCGTAGTTCCTAGGGCAGGCTCAGCGGCAGGTATAAGGCAAAGTTCGGTTCGAACACTAGGCGCCGTAGCGTTACGCGGCCTAGGAAGGTAAGCGGTCTAGATTTAGCTAGTTCTAGGCTCTCTATAAATCTAATTAGACCTTCGATATGGGGTTTTGCATACGCGGCATTGACTTTCTGGCGATGGGCGAGTAGGTCGGGGAAGTACGTTGCCTGCAAATGTGGTGTGGCTCGACTCTGCGGCTTCCATTCGGATTGGGAAGGATGGGGTTCCTAATATCCAGAGACGGAGTCCGAATAGCCAGGTCGCTTATTTAGGCTTGTTCCTTGAATACGAGGCCGATGTAATCTGCTTTGTTCCTGAGCGTTGCTCCTCACGTTCACAGTCTCATTAGCAGCGCATATTCCTTCAATAATATGGCGATGCGGTGAGCTTCCCATACGGAGTAGTAGTCGATCTTGGTACCGTGTGCTCCGTACGGAGCAATTGTTGAGCCACTTTGCTCCAGGAAATCGGTGGCTAGAACTTCCTGTAATGCGGGGAATTGACAAGCCCCGGACAACAAGCTGATGCCGCTGATGCAGCGGGATCATCGACGTTTTGACGGCTAGAGGAGGATCACTGCACGCCACGCGACCCGAGTGATTGGTGTCCGTGGGTATGGATCCGGAAATGTGGGCCCGATCTCGGTGGATATTTCTGTCTGAGCATCCGGAACGAGCGGATCCGACCGTCAACCATAGTACGTCGAACCAAGCCACAGTGGCGTTCTCGTGTTAGGATAGTTATCTTGGTGATCAGCAGGATCGATTGGCAGGCTAAACTCTCGAGCCGAGACATATTCATCATGTGGCTTCATTATTATTGTCGCCGGCCAGACACGACGGCCAAGGAAAGAAGAGCAAGAAATGCGGATTATTGGCGCATCTGACTTACGAGGCTCGCAGGGTGATCAGCCAATTGAAACGGAGGAACTTTACCAGGTCCGTGCGTGTGGCCTGGTCCATTTGCCCAATCTGGTTCGGCAGCGGGCTTAAATCCCTGCTTTTGGCACGACCCTCCGGTTTCCTCTGCGCCCCGGAATCTCACTCTCAGCTTAACACAGGCGCAACCGTAACCGTCAGGGCTTGTGTCGTTGGACTTGCAGGTCAATCCGTGCTTCTGCTCAGCATTCATCCGTTTTCCTGCTCTATCGTCCGCTTCGTCCGCTCGTTTTCTAGGTCACTTTCCACGCTCGACTCATTCTTGGACCACCGCACTCGCTCCCCTTTTTCTCTTGGAGACCTCCGATTTCGACATTTTGGAAGGGCCAACCGGATTTACACCGAACGCACCAGCCCCGGAACCCACGGAGCCCCTTCATTTTCGGTCTGTTCGCAGAATACGAATGGTGCCGGACACGGCGTCGCGAAATTCAGCGCCAACGAAAGTCTGTAGCCGGACCCCATTCCCCTAACCGACCGCGATACCTACTTGGGGTCTAGAGCTGGCCAGGGACAAAGAGCAGCGGCAACTTGATCCCCTCTTTGCTGACGTCAACGTTGAAGAGTCAGTACGAGGCCATACGGGACTTTGCAAACGCCCGAGTCAACGACCTACTCAATCCAAATTTCGAATCACGAAAAGGAGGAATTTCGCGATTTCTCGTGGCTGCGACATCAACGACGGTTTCGGCTGCTTCATCGCCTTGCTTCCCCGTCTGGATCGACCTTTGACTCCCGCGTTCAAGGTTTCTGCCCCTCAAAGAATCGCCGCTCTGGTTGGACCGGTGGCTGGGTAGCTGGATCGACGGGCAATCGCCAACCTCGCTGACGACCATCGGTGTCATTTGAGTTCAACAGTCTGTCTGACCTGTATTGGAATCCTTGAGTACCTCGCTCGCAGCTGAGTCCCGGCTGCGTAGCGTAGCTTGATTTCTCGTCACGATGGGTATGTCACATGCGCTCAACCCGCAAGCGGTCTTGATCACTTGGGTTTTGCTGTGGATTCGCTTTCCCCATCGACAGAACAACCCGCTGACTTGGTGGTGTCGCAGAAACCACGATCTTCCCTTTGCAAACATTACCCGCCTGTGCCACGGCATGTGGCCCGTTGTACGATGTCAACGGTGCCTGCGTGCCGCCGGCGGTCCCGACAAGTGATGCCGGAACATATGAACGCTGCTTTTGCAGCGACGCGCGGCTCACGGCATTCAGTACTGCCACCGCCGGGGTTTGCGACAACGCCTGTACTGCGGCACCCGCCGATCTGGGCTCGATCCAAAGCTGGTACTCGAGTTTCTGTGGCAGTGTTCAAGCTGCGAACGGTAATACCAAGACGTCTTCGTCGACCTCAACGGCAACGGCAGCGGCGAATAACTCGGGGGGCGGCGGAACTTGGTATGCATACCCCTTATTCCTAGTAACCTTAATCATGTGTGGCCCCTCGGCATACCGTGGGCGGCCGCTGACAGCACGTCGTCCCTCACATATCTGCTTTCGCAATATCTGACTCTGTATCCTACCAGGATCGACAATCACTACCAGTGGGTGATTTTCCTCGTCATTATGGTTGTCGCCATTGTCGGCATCTGGGTCGGCGCCTGCTTCTGGAGGCGCCGCTACCTTCGCAAGAAGGACCGAGCGTACGCCCTCGGCACCAACCTAGCACATACGACCGGCTCCGGCCGGGTAGTGCCCAACGCAGGCGACTCCGGGTCGGTACACGTTCCGCAGGCGGGCATGTTCGAGCCTGCTCCGCTCAGTTCTGCCGGTGTGTACGGCGAGAAACCGCAGAAGGCGAAAAAGAAGTGGATTGTCCGCGAGCGGACATGAGCCGGCACGAAGTCGCCACCACTTTCAACTACTTTTCACATATAGACCCGTATATATCCCCCCTATGCATCGAATGGATTGACAAACCCGCTGCGGCACCCTGCATCGTGCTCTGCCATACCCGTTCGCGGCACACGCACAGTCTCGGTTTCAGCATTCCAACTACACACTCCTGTGTAACCACCTCGGTATACTCGTTCCCTTCTCCTTTGCAGACTGAATGAGTGGGGGCTTAAAGACGGGGAAATGACATGCTTTGGTATTGGCGTTGGGTTTGGGACCGGCGTTTCGGGGGACGAGGGTTGTCGACAGACACTGTTTGTTCTGCATTGCTCTTGTGCTTCCAGAAAAAGTCCTCTGGGGAGAGAGGCCGACTGCGACATGGCATGTTTCATATCTGATATACATTATTAAACGCCTTTCGCGCCTCCTTTCGGACAATAGACCCTTCTGCAGGATTCAGATTTTAATATGTTGTGTAACTCATCGACGAGCTCAGACGGCGTAGAGATTGGTTTGTGTGCTTTAGTGGCAGCCGCTCTGTGGATAATGAGATACTACTCTGTGCAACAACAACAACCCAGACTAATCCCCTTGTGGTGTAGTTGGCTATCACGTTCGGCTGTAAATGACGTTTATTGATACCGAAAGGTCACCGGCTCGATTCCGGTCGAGGGGACATCATTTTTCCATTATTTTACTTCTTTCCTATCTCTTTTAAGTGTCAACCCGATGTTGTGCTTTTTTGCAAGAGCAAGACCGTATACGGTTTCCTGGCTCTCAGTATCTTACGGTCCTTCACCTGTTCTGCATAATGGACACTAGGCGGACATCCCGGTAGATCAACGAGAACTTGAATGAAAGCCAACGGGATCAATAATGGGCTGCAAGGATTGCCAATATGCCGTTTTCACCAATACGCTGACAACGTAAGTTTAGTGTCAGCTGCCACCATTCCTGTCTGCGGTGGCTGTAATAGTTACGGTGTACAATCATATAGTGCATACATATTACTACAGACCAAGAATCCTTTACTTCCAACACACCGTGACTCTATCAGACGGATCCCTGAGTACTATCAATTTTCTCGAGAAATTGTTGTTGTTGGGCTAACCACTTGCCGACAACTCATACACCTCTTCTATTACATCATGACTATGGGAACTTAGTTGGACAACACGGCTCTCCGACAACGGCTTTAGCTAAGAGGCATGCATACCGATCACAACTCAGCTAACCACACCTCCAGACTGTCTCCTTCCTGTAACGAATGACCAGGTACTCATTTCCCCATGTTGACCGCACATGCCTTAGGTAACCGTAGGTAGGTAGGTAACGTTGTGCCAATACACGGTAGGTAATGTAATGTTCTAGAGGTCATGTTTTTATGTATGCTCTTGAAACCATACTAGTATTAGTTAATCATGCCCAAGCCTGCTTGCAACGCAAACAAACAATCTCTTTCTTTCTCTTCCCAGGAAACGCCTGAACGCCTGCAATTTATTCACCCCCACTTCATCGCCATAACACTCACAGCCCGTGCAGCCCGTGTGCGTCTCCTCATCTCTACCTTAAAGGCAAATTCCGCGCCTCCAGCTTAGCCTGCTCCTCCGCCGCATCCATGTACAGATCGATTAGACAGCCCGCAGACCAAGCTTGTGAGGGCGACTGTTTTGTTGTCATTTGGTCAGCAAACCCGTAACCCGGAGCAGGGAATCCTCAACCGCAACGCCACCGTCAAAAGCGGGAAAAATAAACGACGAAAGAACTTACGGAATCAGGACACTCCTCCCCATCCTTCTGCGTTAGCTCAGTCAGACCTGCCCAGGGACTGCGCTCAATCATCTCCTTGCACTTGATCAACCTTCTAGTGACCTGCTGGAACGCTTCGGTGCGGCCCTGAGCATCATCAGGCTTTCTCCGCTTCAGATCAAACTTGAGCAGCGCGCGCAGGAAGAACCCCGTAGGCCACAGCCATTCGGGGCCCTGGTGGTAGTTGCGCCCTTTGCTGGTCGCAAAGTCCTCGCTGTCCTCGCTGTTGCGGTAGTACGGCCTATAATTCAGGTCGCTCGGGTCGAGCGTGGCCATGCCCGTGGGCCCGCGTAGGGCCGTGTCGGCGACGCACAGCGCGTGCATTGCATGCGGCGGGTCAAAGAGCTCCGGCGCGACCGTCATGGCGATGGGGAAGTTGGGCCGCAGTTGGTAGTCCTCGTATTCTTTGCCCGAGCGGTACAGGTCTTTGTAGATGCCCCGGCGGTTGACCACAGCCGGGTTCACGTCGTATTGCGAGTCGTCGGCAGGGGAGAGGGGAACGAAGTAGCAGCGCTCAAAGTTATCTTTGATGAGGCTGGCCCAGGCTCGGAAGCTGATTTCCGAGCCGTCGGCCTTGCGGACGACTGCGGGTCCGAACTGGCCCTGCTCGGCCAGGGTCGCCACCCAGTTGAGGGCGCTGTACAGCAGACCGGTGATCTCGACGGCGGCACCGTCGCGAGGGGTGCCAGGAACACCCTTCGAACCGGCACGCTCGCTCTCGCCCATCTTGTCCATCCAGGTCCCGCAGTTGTGCTGGTTCCCACCGAAGACAAAGCCGTTGCTCCAGTCGACCTTGATCTCCTGGTTGAAGCCCTCGTCGCGCATCTGCATGTCGAGTTCAGGGCCGGCGTTCGCCTCCCGGAACTTCATCCCCTCGGCATGGCGCTGGAAGATCTCCAGCATGATTTCCCGGATGCTGCTCTCCTTGCTGTACGCCCGGGGGTCGTCCGTGGGGAACCAGGTGTCGTCGTACGGCAGGAACCGTCTCTTCACTTTCTCGTCTAGGAGGGACAGCCCGTCGGGCGCCATCCGGGTGTAATCCTGAACGCACTGTAGGAAGAACCAGACCGAGTCTCTGGCATTGTACCGCGGGGTGTTGCCGCTCCCGAGCAGGTTCGGGATCATGCCGTGCTTGAGGACGCTGGCGAAGGCGTGGATGTGCTCCTTTGCTTCGTCGAAGCGGCCCGTGCCGAGGTACAGACCGCGAAGAGAAATGAAGACATCGCGACCCCAGCAGCGCGCCCACTCGACGGCGAAGTGAGGCAGGCCGGCGGCGAGTGACGGGACCAGGCGGTCAGGGTAGAGGGAGGCAGACTTGACCAGCCCTGTCTGTTGGACGCTAACCATGGCCAGGCTCTGCAAGAACCATTGTCCGTTGCGGATGTTGTTGTTCATGAGAGAAATGGCCCTCTCGCTGGCGGCCATGTAGGCAGTCCGAAGCACCAGGCCAAAGTACCGAGGGAGCAAGAAGCTGGGGATGCTGCGGATTGCATCGAACCGGCCCCTCATCCAGGCTGCAGGCTTCGCGAGCCGGCTGTAGAGGGGTTGCTGGGAGGCACGCTCTAGCCTGCCCACGATGTAGTCGAGAGCCCACTGGCCGTCGCGCAGGTTCTGGCAGAGAGGGTGCGCGAGGTTGTTGTCCCTGATGATGTCTTTGAGCACGCTCCACCATCCTTGCAAGCCGGCATAGACGAGCTTCCCGTGGCCTGGGATGTCGTAGACGCCGTCCTGTCCGCCGCTGGAATCACGTTCCTCGGGCTCGCACTTGTACAGTAGGAAGTTCAGGTCGATCAAGTCGAGCTCTTCCATGGCGGCCTTGGCGCCGGACGTGACAAAGGTGTCCAGCCCGCTCGAGTGCTCCGCGGCCGGGATCCAGGTCTCGAACAGAGCGATGCTGCCGGGCGGGAACCTGTCGCGGACAGTGATGATGGTGTCGTCGCCCTTGACCTCCATCCGAATGCCGGGAACGGCAATGAGACGGCTGGGCAGGCCGCGCAGGTGTCTCCTGTCGCTCAACGTCTCCTCGACAGCCTCCTTGCTCGAGTCGACCTCGAGCATCCAGCTGCCAAGATGCTTAGCCTTGGTGCCCGTGAGGCGCACAGGGTTGAAGGCGCCGTTTCCGTTGCCATATCCGGGGAACGCGGTGTGCGCAATCAGGAAGTATCCCTTGCGCGAGCCGGGGTGCACCCGATGGACCGTGACGTACTGGTCCTCGTGATGGACATGCGTCTCGTCGTAACCGTCCATGCCCATCAGCGTGTGGATCTGGTTGAGCAGCTTCTTGACGCCAGCAATGCCGCCTTTCCCTTCGCCGACCCTGACCGGGAACTTGGACGCCTCGGATGTGTAGAGCCGGGTTTCACCGACCAGATCGACCAGCCTTGGGTAGATCTCATCGTATCCCATCACGCTCCCGGTTGCGCTCGCACACATACTGACGAGCGCTGCGTTGGGCAGGGTATCGCGCGCGTCTCTCTTCTGGGCCGGCACTTCATTGTCGTGGGTGCAGTCCATGAAGAGCGCCTGGACAGGGACAGGCTTGATCCGGCGGACGATCTCGCGGGTGTACACGTGCCCGTTTTCGCCATCGTCTCCGTTTTCTCTCGCCACCGGATTCCGCACTTCGGTGCTTGAGATCTCGTCCACCTCGAAGCTGCCGATGGGGCGGCCGCCGTGGCGATGGACTAGACGGCTTAGCTCGCCGGTGCTCCAAGCCTGCATGGCCTCGCGGATCAGCGAGCTGAGGCCGAGCCGCTTCACGAACACGTAGTCCATATCTTCGGAGCCAGTGAAAAGCTCGGCAACCACGTAGAGGTTGGGGCGGACACGGCGGGCCTCGTCGAGGATGTGCTCGGCGACGTGGATGGGCGTCGAGTGGCAGTTGTCGATGCGGAAGCCGGCAAAGTACTTGGCAAGCATGCGGGCATACTTGGTCATGTGGTCCCAGAGCCACGGGCTGTCCTTAGGACTGTCTCCGTAGCGTAGCTTGGTGCAGTCGCCCCAGACTATGACTTCACGACGCAGATAAACTCTCGATTGCGGACCGGCATTGTCGACAAGCGCATTCCCGCCCCAGACCCATCCATTGTTCACCAGGACCAGGTCTTCCTTTTTATGCCTGGCCGTGACCTCATTGCGCGGAAGACGGGTGAAATACGTCTCGATCAGGGGGTTTTCCTGGTTGATGGGTCCCAGCTTCGGCCCGTGGGCATCCAGACGGACGTACTTGATGCGGTTGAAGAGCTGCTGGAGGATCTCAGCCACTTCCGCGTCGTATTCCTCGTAGAATGGCACGTTGACGATCTCGAGCACATTCAGGATGGTGGCTCGAACCGCTGCCTGGTCAGCACTTTCGGCCTTGTCGCCCTCGTATTTTCCGAAGACAGCCGACAAGAGGCCGGCAGCAACGCTGGGGTCGACTCTCCTCCTGAAGCGCTCTCCAAGACGATCCATTCCCCGGAGGCCGTGTTTCACCAACCACTGCGCGTGCGCCTCGGGCGTGGCAGAGTGAAGAGCATCAATGTCGCCGTCGCCAATGGAGCCTTCGGGGAACGAGGCTTTTCCGATGACCCACGACTCAACGGCCGCATCGGCATCGCGGTCGACGTCAGTGACATAATACTCCCAGAGGCGGATCTCTGCGATGACGTCCTTCTTGATCGCGTCCATGATCCTGATGAGATCATCGACTGACTCGAGCTCGGTGGGCAGCCCAAGCTGCTCCAGCTTGGAGCCCAGTTCAAGCAGCTTAGTGTCCAGGAGATAGGCAGACTCCAGCCACGGGGCCGTCGTCAAGTTGTAGCCGGCCTCGGGGTGTTCCTGCAGCCACTGGCTGTTGTTGGCAGTGTGGTTGAGGACAATATCCGTCAGACTGAGCAGCGAGTGGTTCTTCTCTAGGCTCTCCACCATCTTCTGGACGTCCTTCTCGCCCTCGGGGAAGCACGCAGGGTCCCAGCCGAGCTGATCGTACAGGCTGTACGGCGAATTCGACGCGCCCCGGACCTGGAGCGGCGTGAAGTGCACCATGTTGTAGCCGCGGTCGCTGATGCCCCTGAGGTGCCGTTCCCAGTCCTGCGGGTATTTGCCCATGAACTTGCTGATGACGGAGAAGACGGACAGCGCAGGGAGCGGCAGGGGCTGCCCGTCCAGTGTCAGGCGCGGGGCGACGTCTATGTAGTACCATGGTGTTTTCTTGGTCTGGACCTTTGCATCATGGCCGTTCTCGCTCAACTGGCTCGAGAGGTCCGGCAGCTCGGCGTAGGTGGTGTAGAACGCGTAGGCACCAGCCTCGTAGATGGGAACGGAGATCTCAATCGTGCGGTTGAAATCAGGCACGAGCCTGTAACGCAAGTATCAGTGTCTTGTAGTAGCACTCTCCCCTTCCCGTCCTCTCCGCAGAAAGGCAACCTACTTGAACTCGCGAAACCTGTCGCGGCGAAACTCAGCGCCCTGCTCCGGTATGTTGACCCACAGGCTGCCATGGCGGCAGATGCTCGACGTGCCCTCGATAGCGAAGCGTACGGTTATAGGATCGTTGTGTTTCGGCGCGAGGTAGATGTACTCGCCCGCCACCTGGGGCGAACCATCGTCGTTCAGCGGCAGTAGGTAGACCTCGTTGGAAACCATCGTTTTGGGCACCATGTTGGCTGAGGAAGAACGGAGCTCGGGAGAGCTCCAAAGTGGTAGCAAACTTAGGGCAGGTTGGGCTAGATCGATCGCCCCCGTGCTGCGTTGGGTCTCAACGGTGCCGATCAGTCTCCAAGGCACCAGATAAGACACAGGCACAGGCACAGAGATCTGAGGAATCTGGACATCAGGGTACCGCTAGGGAGCTTCGTAGGTAGGAGATGGACGACGCACAGCTGCGGGAGCGAACGGTGGAGTTGGAATAGTGTAGGATTTCCAAGATTTCTAGGAAATGAGGGAGGGCCGGAACGGGAGTACCCAGAACAAGCGCGGAGCTCGGCGACGGGAGACTGCAAACTTGAAGCACGAGAAGGGATTGGTCCTCCCTACCTATTCCAGCGTAGTGTATCGTGTTGTTGGCCAGAGAAGGCAGAAACAAGGCACATTGCCCGACGCCGCCTGCAGGTCTCAAGGATTTGCCCCGGGCGGGAGTTGCTGGACGTTGCAACCGTTGCACGGCGAATTTGGAAGTTTCGGATCAATCGCAGGCTTGCATGGCCTGTCAGTCTGGCAGCCGCGATGTCATCGGCGGGGCACAGAGAGTGGGTATGGCGCCGCCCGGCAAGGCTTGTTGGTTTCAACATCGCGACGGAATCAGCAGTCACACCAGGCCAACTGCTGCGAAGCCAGCGGCGCCTGCCCTGCCATCTCAAACGGTGTAGTTTACACCCTGGCTCGCCATAGTCTCCAAGCAGAAACCAGAGTTCATTTCCAGGTTCCAAATTTGACAACAAGCTGAGAGCTGCAACTGTGGGCCGCTGGCCCACCTTCCCGATTAGGACCAGAATTGTGAGCTTTTGTTGAGTATGGAACTGAGGGCTTCCGCCTCCACGTCGGGATCCCAAAGAGCCACTGCATATACATGGAGAACAAACCGAGCCCTTATTTACAGCATTCGAATATCAAATCACTTGTATTCAAAGTGTGTGCTCAAGGTGACTGTACACTAAATGGCCTCAGCGATACCCCGCCCCCACCTCGCTAATTCATGTCCGATGACATCAGCGCCTAATCCCCACTATGTCTTGGCAGGTCTGTGGTTCGACCAGTCCAGACCGTCGCTTGCGAGAGAGAGATGAGTCCCGGACATTTGTCTGCGAGACGCTGAAATATCGTTCATAACTTCATCCAGTCCTTCCGAATTTCTTTTTATAATGTTGTTATTGTACACTCAGGCTAACTAGCGGTGATGGTATTCGCGGTCTTTCCAGCCACCGTGTGTATGATTGTTTCGTTCGCAGCGGCTCTCTTATGAGCCTCGACAGTTTACGAACACGTAGCCATTTGCTGGCATATGATCATGCAATGCCCTGGTCAGTTGCCCAACAGGTGCATGTGGCTTACAAAGTACGGCCCCGTTTGACAGCACGCTTCCTGAATAAACAGCGACATGAAGTCAAGCAATCCCAACTAAGACGCTGGGAAAGTGAAGCTGAAAGGAAGATAAACGGGAGAGGAAGAAGGAAGGAAAGGTAGACATAGAATACGCAAATGAAAAAGAAGATTAGGCGGTGTTAGCAGCCGCATCCGCATCCGCATCCGCATCCGCATCCGCATCCGCATCCGCTTAGCTGATGGCGACGTTGGTGTACGGCTTATGTTGTCCATGGGATTCAGCACGAGCGTGAAGCTTCGACTGGAAAGCCTCTCGAGTATCAGCAGTCTGATGGGCTTTCCCTTTCTTGAGCTGCCTCCTTTGCCCAGGAAAGGCCGTACTCCAGGGTTCAAGTTGGAACAGCATCAACCGGTACAGAACCTTATTTCTGTATCGTTGCCTCTTCCTCCTCGTTCCTCGTATTTACCTTCCTCGTTTTTCTCTCATTCTATTCTTTAGTTGGTTCTGATTACTGGACTACTTATTGCCTTCAAGTGTCAGGTTACTAAGCTACCTCCAAGACCTTTTCCGCTCTGATGAGCCTCTCTTGAAGGCATCCTTCGTCGCATGGTGGGTTGGTGCGAAGCTGCGGCTCTGCGAAGGATGTACGGATTACGCGGCTTTGCCGCATTAGAATTTATTATAAATTCAGGTGGCGGATCGCTGTTAGCGAACACCAAGGCTTTCATCTAAAGCCGATCAAGCTGAGATTAGATATCATCTACCTGACTCCGAGTTGCACATCGATTTACTAAGTGGGAGGTCCATAGCGGACCCGCAAGAGCTGTGATCCCGAACTTATATGGAGTCTAGCCGATCAAGGAAGGTGGTCAACCTGGCACTCCTGTGAAGGTTTAAATAAAAAGACATAGTGTACATGAATCTGCACGGCCCGAGTCGATATCGACAACACCCGGGGCCGAGGTGACTCGCCGTTCCGAACGATCGGAACGGATTGGGATCGATTGCCGAGCCCGTCGGAGCTCGTGTCGAGATCCGCCCGCGACGCCGATGCAAGGAAAGCCTCGGGATGTTGCGCTGCGCTTCAATTCCTTCAACGGAATATCATCGAAAAAGATTTTGTTGCCGAGCCTCGATCGAGGTGCTCATGGGTTGGCCTTGGCTGACCCACTGCCTCGGTGAACGGGGAAAGCGATGGACTCAGCCGAGGCGCCCAAGAAGCCTCAAAGTCAGTGCAAAAAGCAGCATGTTCTTTGCTGTGCTATATGTATGCTATGACCGGAGACAAGCCGCGGGACAGGTCAATTGATGCTTTCAACCAGGAATGCCAGGAAGAGTTTCCGTTCGATGCTGTGCGTTTTCCATCGCTGTGTGGTTATGGTTCGCAGTTGAGACAGTCCATTTATCTTGGGTATACAGCGTGGGCTTGGCAAGTCACAAGCTTGCGGGCACCCCCTGCTATAACTTTGCCCAGGTTGAAGGCGGTGCAGATTCTGCCGCCCCTTGCGTCATGGTTCGCCGAACGGGCCAACGGTATTGCGCATAATCTCACTGTCACAAGCGTGGCGGTCTTGTGAACCTGTGAGCAACGTGGTTGCACTTACGAGACTGTATACGGGATTTGGAAGCTGCTCTTTAGTCCCGTTCCGACAATGCGAAGCATTGGCCTGTCTCCTCTGCTGGCCACGTATAAGACGAATTGTGGCGTTGTGCTTGCGGTTTCGTCCAACTTGTGCCTTCCCAGCAGTCGCCGGTCACCGCCTGCCCATTTCTGGCCCAACGTGACCAATTTCCATAAAGATCTCCACTTGGGAAGCACATCCCGACCCTCGAAGCGTAAATTCAGTCAGCCAAACGGGACCCCTTCATCCCAACGTTCTCACCACTCCTCTGTCCCATCTTCGAGACGTCCGAAGTCTCTAGCTCGAACTCCGTCTCTCTTTCAGGCCGACAGCTTTACGGTCCTCTTCACTCGCACGAATTATCCAACAATTCGCAAACTTTCTCAGACAGCGAAGATGGCAGGCCGCAAGCACAGGGTGACCGTCGTCGGTTCCGGCAATTGGGGCACAACAGTTGCCAAACTCGTCGCCGAGAATACCCGGGAGCACCCCGACCTCTTCGAAGAGGAGGTGCAGATGTGGGTGTACGAGGAGAACGTGGCCATCCCTTCAGACTCGCCCCACTACGACCCTGCAGTCGGCGACGCACCTCAGAAGCTCACCTCGGTGATCAACAAACACCACGAGAACGTCAAGTACCTCCCCAAGATCAAGCTGCCGAGCAACGTCGTCGCCAACCCCTCGCTGGTCGACGCCGTCAAGGACTCATCCATCCTGATCTTCAACCTCCCGCATGAATTCATCGGCAACATCTGCAAGCAGATCAAGGGCCACATCCTTCCCTTCGCCCGCGCTATAAGCTGCATCAAGGGCGTGACGGTCACGGATGACAAGGTCGAGCTGATTTGCGAGTACATCGGCGACACGCTAGGGATCTACTGCGGCGCCCTCAGCGGCGCCAACATCGCGAACGAGATCGCAAACGAGCTGTGGTGCGAGACGACCATCGCGTACAACACGCCGCCGTGCGACCGGCGGTCGAGCAGTGGGGCGGATGGCCCTGATGGGGAGAAGCACCGCGACTCGAGCGGTCGTGTTAGCAAAACGGAGCTGACGCCCGTACCGCACGACTACCCGCCCGTCGACCACGAAGAAATCCGCAAACTATTCCAAAGACCCTACTTCTCCGTGTCTATGGTGCCGGATGTGGTCGGTGTCTCGCTTGCGGGAGCCCTCAAGAACATCGTCGCGCTTGCCTGCGGCTTCACCGAAGGCAACGGCTGGAACGCGACGGCGAAAACAGCGGTCATGCGGCGGGGCATGGTGGAGACGATTCGCTTCGCCCAGGAGTTCTTCCCGGAGTCGATTCAGCTCATGACCTTCTGGGAGAGCGCCGGCTGGAGCGACATGATCGTGAGCTGCACTTCGGCGCGGAACTGGCGCTACTCCAAGATGGCGGCGGAGCGTGGTGTTTCGCTCTACGAGATTGAGCGGACGGAGCTGAACGGCCAGAAACTGCAGGGCATCTCGACCACGAAGGAGGTCATGAGTTTCTTGAGAGCGCGTGGTGTGGAGAACCAATACCCGCTGTTCAAGGCTGTTGAAGGCATCATCGATGGAACTTTCAAGGTGGAAGACGTTCCCAAGTTGTTGAGCGGTTAGAGACATAGCGTGTGGTAAAGCGAGGAGTACGGCAGCGGCGTGGTTAGATCAGCTTTCCGCTTAGGTGAAGGGGATTGTCCCCGTGGCACCGACAGGCTACATACCCTTAGACTTCTAATACGAGATTTCGAATCAGGCCAATCCAGCCAATGCACGAGCGAAGTACACCTGAGTCGAGTCAGATCGCAGGAGATCTTACAAGAGCTTTCACATCTATCTCACACACCATACTCTTCACCGAGGGCTCAGCACCATGGATCATCGATAGCCATTCAGCAGACCCCTTTTCTCCTCATCCGCAATCTCCTCCTTCCCGCGCAACACATCCGCATAACTCGACCTCCTCCTCTTTGTCCTGGTCATACTTCCAGCATCTCCCTCCTCAATAGTCCTCTCTCCATCCCCAAAGAGCCTCTTCCCCACGGCGTCATAGCTCAGCCAAACCATGTTCATCACCGCCGTCGAGATAGCCACAAGCCATGGGGGTGATCTCCCTTGCTTATCTGCGAACAACCGGCCGCCCATAATCATCCCGATAATGATGGGGAACCAGAAACCGAGGAAGAGCACCTGCCCCAGCTTCTGTCTGCGCGTCGTGGCTGTGTAGGGCTGTAGTGCGCCCAGGTAGGCTTGGTAGTCGGCCGGCAGCTCGTGCTCGCGCGCGCCGTCGCGGAGGAGTTTGAGATACCGCGCTGATGGCTGAGCGTAATCGGGCGAGGGGCGGTGGGTGCGGTGGAAGAAGAGGTTTCGGAGCCAGCGGGGGAGGATGGGCCATGGCTTCTTTCGGTCGTCATCGCCGTCGTGCTTTGCGCTCTTCTTCCAGTTGGGAAAGTGTGGAGTACCATGATTGTCGTCGCCGTCGTCCGGAAGGTCGGGAAGGCGTGGCGCGTAGAGGGTATGCGCGAGGAAAGGGCGTGGAGGGACGGGGATGGTTGGCTTCTCCGGCACGCGCACGCTCGGCGGGAGGACGATGCATGGTACCAGGATGTCGTGATAGCTTGCGCCGCCGCCCTCGGTTGCGACGATTTTCGCGTAGTCTTCGGATGTGACCTCGTAGACTACTCCGTAGAGACCCTTGTTCCAGACAGGGCCGCGGTGTGCCAGCCGGTCCTCGTTCTCGTCCACTTCATTCTGCGTGGTTGGTGGCTTGAACGGGGGATTCTGGATATCTGGCGGCAGCTTCGGGGGATTGCCTGGGATCTTGCGCAGCGCCGTATTGGCAAAGCATGGCTCACGGTAGGGTATACCGGGCAAGTCGAAGGTCAAGTCCAGCGAGGGCGCTGAAACATTGACCTGGCTCAGCGGACGAATGCCGCGCATGCCGAGAAATGTCTCGGCGCACATGTTGGAGCCATAGGCGAGGTACAGGACCGTCTTGGGCTTTGCTCGCGCATATTGATGGAACGACTTCGCAAGGATCGGTTTGCTTGGACACGGGTCGGGGGATACATCGGGTTCGGAGAGTCGGGCGGCTGAGGTTTGAGGAATAGAAGAGATGGGAGGATACAACGTTTTAGTCTTTGGGCGTGCAGCCCAAGACCACAAGACCTGGATATGCCGAAGGCTAAAGATGGCCGTGTCGTCTTCGGCTTTGGACGGGCCTGTCCCTGGGCCGGAGACAAGTGGAGCTGCGGGTTTGGATACCATCTCTGCGACTTTGTGCTGCAGGTCTCGCGGTTGTGGTTGGAGCATGCGGTTGACGCAATCCGGGCTGAGAATGGCGAAACCTCTGGGAGGGTTTATATACGCGTATGCGAGGCTTGCAAATTGCGAGGCTATCAGCCTGTTACGGCGTGCACGGTTCCCAAGGCATCTCAGCACCACGTAACCCAGTTGCGCTGCTGCCGGCCCCAACGGACCTTTGTGGGCCTGACGGCTAAGAAATGCTCCGCAATCTGTCCGAGTCCGAGTTTCTGGAAGCGATTAGTAATGCGGTACAGAATACAGCGTAATATACACGTGTAGGAGTATAATTACATAATTACAGCACATCTACATCCGAGGACCTTCTAGTCCAGAACTCTCTAAGGTACTGTCATACTGTAGTAGTGTAGGTGCTTGGTCGGGAGACAACCGAAATCTTGCCCATGATTGTCTAATATCACATGTAACCAGAGACACAATACAATCTGAAGAGACTTAACCTGGAAGCTCAGCAAATCAAACACCCGCCCCTTCTACAGCATGCATGTATAAGACGATTCTCGCACCGATTCTCCATGAATTTCTCATATACTCCTCCTCCATTCCCCCCCTCTTAGCACTGAATAGGTACGCATGCTTCGAGTTGTCATCTGGGAATTGAGCATATCTGCGCGAACTACTCGTCCTGCCATTTGCTTGTCTAGATAGACAGTAAAGACTTGGGACATCAAAGATCAGGACAGCCGGAACCTTGATTCGAAAGTAAAGTGATACATTACCTACCTTACTAGTATGTAAGATGGTATTTCATTACCCTAGGTGCTTGGGCAAGACACCTCTGTGGGACTCGTTCCGCTAGGACGGTAGGAGAGAAGTGCCACCGTTGACTGACGGGCTGCGCCTTCCCTTTTTGCATTCCAGAGAACCGCAACTACTAGTACTACGAATTTCAGGCTCCCAACTTGAAGCATCGAATCAGCCCACTGAGAAGAACCTCTCTGACACACTAAGGTATCGGTACATTCCAGATCTTCAAGTTCCGTTGCTATTCAACGAGTCACCTTGAATTGATATCATCAGCCCGTCTTGAATCTCACCCGTGTTTCCTTGTCGTGAATTACGAATCTGCTCTCCGCTGTGTGGTGTACCGTAGTCTGCACGTTTACGAAGATCCTATCTCAGTCATTACCCCATTCTGCCATGGAATACACACGCCAATCGTCCCAGCCAGCAACGGTCGACCTTGTCCGCGCCGACTTGGCGGAAGTGTGGACTGTTTACGACTCCGAATTCTCGAGCCCGAAGCGACCAGCTTCGGTTTCCGGCATCTCCGACATGCTTGATCTTGAGTTTATCCCAACGCCTGGGTTCCGCCCCTCGAAAACGGCAAAAAGAGACAAATTAGCAGAGATGCTAGTCGATGTCCTCGAGCTGTCACCGAGCCGGAAAAGGGGGCGATACGATGGCCGCAGGAAAGACAGCGCCAACAGGTCATCAAATGAAGTAGATGACTGGATCTCACATAATTCTCCCCACCAGCAAACGGTTACAGCGGGCTTGCCTGTGAACTCACGCGACCTACCAGCTCATCGGCAAGCTCAATCAAAGGGAAAGGCTGGAGCGTCCTCAGATACAAAAAAGGCCCTAGCGAAAACTGCTAAGCAACGCAAGCTCTCTACAAAGGCACCTAATCCTGCAGACGCCCAGACCGCGACCAAGGCACAAAGGGAAAACGGGGACGCGTTCGAATTGAGTGACTCAACTGACGCGGCGGAGGCGTCCAGACCCAAGAAACGGCCGGCGAAGCAACCATCCTCTGCAAAACCTCGTGCGTCCACAGCACGCAAACCTTGTGCTGCTGGAAAAGCGACCGACCCGTCCATCAGCCAGAAGGGCAAGCCCTCACGTGTTCCAAAGAAACCGCTCAGCCGTGATATGGCTGAGGAACTTGATGTTAAGGCTGACCTGCTGCAAGGCGGCAGCGATCCGAACCAGCAAGGGAACAGAGTCATGCCGAGAATGACCCAATGGAACTCGCATGAAGAGTCAGAATCTGGCCGTTCAACATCAAGTCTCGTTAATACGATGACTGCAGAAGTTTTCACTTTTTCGAATTCCCCAGAAGCTTCGTCGAGTCTCTTGAAAGAGGATGAACCAGTTCCTTCGGCTATTCCTCAGCCCTTAGACGTTGTCAATGTGTCCAGCACAAGCGGGGAGGAAGGGGATGCCCCCGAAAAATCAGCCTCACCGCTGTTCATTTCAGAAGATCAAGTAGACACGGTCACAACGGGTAACCTCGATATCTTGGTAACCGTCAAGCAGGGGACTGATGATGATCAAAGGGGTCCACGCCGGGGTCCTGGGACCAAAACACGCCTTAACCTCACTACTCCAGCTCCGTCTCAAACACAACCCCAAGTCAACGAAATAGGAGTTCACCAACAGCGTGGGATTAGCGACAAACTCCCATCCGGCCTTAGGGATGCTTTCTTCTCCGATGAGAAACCAGCAGCCGTGCCTTCTCCGCTTCCAGAGCCGGGATCTTGGCCAGAAACGGATGGGGAGAACATAAATCCTGAGGACATCTGGAAGCAGACGGTCGGAGATGACAAGCCGCCTGAGGTTCTGTGCAGAGTCGTCACTGTGAGTCCTAACCCTCGCGGTTCCCATGGCATTGGCTAGTGGCTAATCTGTGCAACCAGCTGTTGCATCGTTCTCTGAAGCCCAAAGAGGAGATAATCCGAGACATTGCTTCCGACTACGAAAGCAATGCTTCACGTTTGCTTCATAATCTAAATGCTCGTCATTTGGAGGAGAAAGCTGAAACGTTGGCGGCACTCCGGAAGGCATTACGAGCGGTATTTTCAGTCTTCTCTGGCGCAGGGCTAGATATGGCAAACCACATTGAGAACCTGCGAGAGTTGGAGATCGCTCATGCGGCGGACACACTCAGACGACCGGCCCTTGCCGAAAAGCTTGACGCAGTCACCCGACTGTGTCAGACGATGTTGAACAGCTACTGTCAGGAGGGGCCGCTCCATTCATCCATTACGGATGACGGCGCAAGCGGCAAAGACGAGGGCCTGGATAATCTTGAGGAAGCCTACCGAGCCAAGCTGCTAGGAGCAGTCCAGCGATCGAATTCCCAGGCGCTCGAGAGCCACGACGAGGTGAGCTCGCAGGTTCATGAGTACATTACGCGGTGTCTCGGAGGAGAATCAAAAAAGACACACCAGGTTGTAGCTAAGAAACCCGGTGGACCTGCCAGGACTGCTGATGAAGCTTTGGAGGTCCTCTTGAACAGAATGATTGGCAGGATGCAACAAAATGGCACTGGGTGCGGGCCCCTTGGGAACAATTCAGGCACCGTGGTTGATATCGCCTCGGAGACGCTGGGCAATTCTTGAGCCTGGGCTTTAGAACCCGGTTCGACTTTGCTATGACGGAAAAGGAAACCTGATTGCTGGGATGTTGATGGAGGACGACTACAAGAGTTGATATAACTTGCACCAGGCGGACCTGATGTTGAAAGAACCATCGTGGTATTTGCTGAGAACACGCTTCGTCTGGAAGGGGACAGTTAAGACCGGCGGAAGAGCGACACTACGGTTGAGCTACGCCCAGAGCGCTACATGGATTCATTGCTTCAGCACCAAGCCATGTAGCATTTGTTTTTCGGTGTATCAGACCTAAATATGAGGCTAAGGGAACTTACTCGATATATGTCAACGAGCAATGTCAAAGCTTCCAACTGCCCAAGACTTTTTTCGGCCGTTACATCCCCAACTTAACATCACCGGAATGACACGTTGACACTATTTACTGCCCAGGTAAATATATACATTCCCTTCATCTTACGCTTTGTGCGGGTGTCTGTTGATGATGTCTCATTACCTGTGCTATTGCGGTACTAGATAAGTACCATAGTACCTGCTACACGACCCTCTCCAGACCTATATCCACAAAGCCTCATGGAACCTATTCAATATTGACACCTACTATGCTCTCCCTTACCCAAGATCCAGGCTCCAGAGCTCACGTACAAAACAAAAACTACTAGATACTTTCCAGAAAGAAAACAGAGAAGATTCGCGGGTGACATGAGCCCTGCCAGCTCAACAACTGCCCCGCTCCTTCGCGCCTATCTTCACCACCGCCCATCCACTCAGCGCAACGGCCCACCACACAAGACCAAAGGCCACCGGCTCGGGACCGGGCAAAGATTAAGCTGTAGTTTGAAATCTCCCGGGGGCGCACGACGAGAAATGTCTGGCTACCCTTCGGCTTCGGATGGCTAGCAGGTGCAGGATGTCGTCTCTAAGGTTTGCGGTGGCCCACAGCAAAGAGTAGATGACGTGCTGAGACAGATTGCATATTCGTGTTGCAGCCGGGGAAGGGGCAGGACATGCAGTGATCCCGTCGTCGCTTGTGTTCTTTTGTCCCCCTTCCTCGCCGTTGTGCCCGCCGCCCCTTGGCAGATGCGGAGAGGGGTGAAGAGAGGGACAGACACAGCCGGCTGCATACTGAGGCATGGTGGCGGGGGAAACAGGAGTATATAAGGTACCGATTCTCAACATTATCGCTGAGGACGGCGCGAACAGTGGCGGCGAGAAGGGTGCGCGAACCCCTCTGATCTCTCTAGCCAACCACTCTCACTGACTCGAAAATGTTGATTTGTTTGTTGACCTTCGTGGGTTGTTATATGCACGAACTTCCATACATGAATAATTGGACCGTTTTACATTACCCTCCACTCTTTGCCGGGGCGGTCATTCATTAGTTTTACAGATCAGTCAGCTTCAGACTCTATTGACTTTTAATTACTAACTATCCAAAGCCACCAACGGAGGAGCCCTCTATGAGTTCCCTCCCTTGGTCCCACTGCCCGTGCAGTTCACATGCAGCCCGCTCTCCTCGATATTGGCACAGGTGAACTGGCTGTTCCCCTTGGGACTCTTGACGCCCTCCATACCCTGCACCGTGATGTTGTGGCAAGTATCTGGGCTCGAGCACACCAGGTAGCCGACGAGTGGATCGTACTTCTTGCTGGTCATGCCCTTGAAGTTCCGGACGGCCACGTTCTCGATGACCAGGGAGGACGGGTACTCGTTACACAGCGTCAGGTTCTTCTGGCCGTAGCACTGCGTGATTTCCACGGCGTAGTCGACGTTCGAGAGGGTCATGCCGTCGTACGTGATGTTGTTGACGCGACCGCTGCCGCCACCGCCTTGCAGGTCGCCCGAGAGCGCGCTCGCGGAGCCGGGCCAGACTTTGATGCGCGCGCCGTCGGACGCGTTGGACATGGTTATGTTGGTGACCTTGTCCAAGTCGTCAGCCTCCAGAGATGACTGTGAGGAGATGGATGGATGGATGGACTTACGTAGATGTTCTCGACAATATCGACCTCGCCGACATACTGGCCCAGCGAACCAACGGAAATGCCGTGACTGCCATTGCACTGCAGACCCTGCACGACAATATTGGTGCTGTTGGGCTTGAAGCTCACACAGTCGTCCCCGTTGTCGATGTGGCTGTTCTGAATGACGATGTTATCGCTGCGGTAAGTATCCCAGCCATCGGTGTTCTTCGCAGGATTGCTGCTCTTGCTACCGCCGGCGATGTTGATGTTGTCGAAGATGACGCCGGAGCTGTTGGCGACGAGGTTGTACCATTGCGGTGAGTAGCGGAGGTTCAGGTCCGAAATGACGCCGCCCTTCAGACCGATGGTGCCAAAGAGGATCGGGCGCAGGATGTAGATGTCGGCGGCGTAGAGGTCGTACCACACCTGCCCGTTCCCGTCGATGGTGCCGCCACCGTACACATTCACGTCCTCGCCGCCTAGTTGGAAGAACGTGGTGGCGTTTTGGAATGTCTGATAGAAAGAGTTGGCTTGCCAGTAGTCGGTGTCGTTGGTGAACTGGATAGTTCCTTGGATGTCCAGGTCGATGTTTTTCAAGAAGGTCAGGTCCAGAGCGGTCCCGATGATGTACGTAGTGTCGGCAGAGAACACGACATGTCCGCCCGGGTTGCATTTGTGGATCGCCTTCAGGATGTTCTGCGAATCATCTGAGCCATCCCCGTTGCTGTCAACATAGCAAGTCTTGGTCCGCGGCGGTGACGACGGAATCGGCTTCGACGGATGCTTAGGATGGCACTGAACATCGGGCCTGCTCCTCGGCTGGCTATGCTTGTTGTCGTGAGTTTGACCCCTAGACACAGTAGCAACCGACGATAGCACCGAGGCTGCAAGCACGAAAGACTTGACATGAACCATCTTGACGGCGGTTGACGGACAGATAGATGATGGCTGTCAAGATCGGTATCTTGACAGAATGGTGGCCCCCTTCGCATCTTTATATATGCACCGTCGTGTACCCACGAACCACCTATTCAGGGTATTCCATGTTCAAAACACATGATACCCAAGCACCTACGATGCATGCAAATGCCTCCATGGGATTGGAACATGCTGTTATTCCCCGTGAGGCCCCGCAGAATGATTCCGTTAGTTCTGTGCATCAACGGAGCACAACTGAGATGCCAAGCCAATCGCATTACGCGGAGGTTTGGGCGATGGGTGGTTGTTGGTGAAGCAAGGGCGTCAATTGGTGGAGTAATCTGGAATAATTGTCGACAGTAGGCCAGCGACCCGCGATAACTCTGCTATCGTTTTCCGATAGACGAAACAGCTTCCTGCTCGAGCGGTAGGATGTATGGTTAGAAAGCCGCTCCAGCAACAAACTCGAGCTCCCAGTTCTTTGGGATCGTGATTCGTGAAGTCGTGGAATGGAAAGGACTCACCAACCTTCTCTTCATCTACCCTTCGCTGATACTCCAGGCCATGAAGGTTCTAGTCACCGGTGGATGCAAATAACGGGCAATATCATTGTGTACGACGAAGCATGTGATGTATGGGCATGATCAAAGCTGCTATCGCGTCCCACAGCAAAGCAGCATTAAAACTCGTCTCGAGGAAGCCTCTTGGTCTTTGGACGTATAATGCAGCAAGGCCTGACTTTGGAGTCGCCTCGAGATGCCAGCTGCCTTGGGAAGTGGTGATCGAGAACATGTGTCGTGGCTGCGTCGGCATAGGCTCTTTTGGAAAGAGGGCGATGACTATATGTGCTGGCTACTGTCGGGTAATACTCCTTTCTAGCACGCAGATCGTAGGCTTCAAGTTGCGTGTGTCCCATATCCGGTATTGATGTCGGTGCTTACCAGAGCATCCGAGTCTTACAGGACCAAGGCGATTCAAACTACCCCGAGTCTCAAGGCATCGTCCCCAATGATGGCTCAAGGGACGGGAAAGCAATGCCTGGGTCAGCGACCTGGTGAGGTACTGGATTGTGGGTACGGAGCAGTCCAGGGCCATATGCCATGATACCTGGTAAGGTATGTAAGATTGCTAGTCTTATGTTGTGGCGCGTTGTCACTTGCGTTTCCCGTACAACTGCCCGCTTTTCCTGGGTTCATGCACGAGAATCCTCATTTGTAGTGTACTCCGACTGTCACGGAGACATGCATGATAAAGTATATCATATAGGTAGAGTTCCCTGAGTTTGCTCATACGTGATGCCTGACTTGAATCTTGCCTGGTTCTGGATCACGAACTTTCGATCCTCGACAATAGACGAGTGAGAAGAGAACCACTGCTTCAGCTCTACAGCGGCAGTGTGCTGTTTGTCGGTCACGGCGTTGCCGTCTTAAACCCAGCGCAGGGGCCTGTTGGAGCACTCTGGGCGTGACCACGACACACACGGTCCATGTGATGTGTCAAAGCCTTGGATGCCCGAGTCTAGATTTTGATCCTTGCTTTCAGTGTCTGGATGAGAATTCTGGGCTGCGAGCCTGCGACCATCTTAGCAAGCCAACAAAGTAGCGTAACATTGATATACACTTGATACACTACGATCAAGTAGGGCCATTGTTTAGCCCTCATAAACTCTGGCCATGTTGTCGAGACTTGAGACAACATGGCTGGAATCGCTGACTGATCGGACCAATCTCGTAGGTTGACGCCAGCAGGTTGACGTCTCAGTGTCGGCCAGCACACAGCCCACTTTGCCGAGCAGAATGTCTTGGCGTAACCAATCAATCCCCGTCTAGGGACCCACCTCCACATCATGGGGGTGCGATTAAAGATTCTGTGACGTCTGTTTGGACTTGAGATTTCTGGGCTCGATTCCAGAAGAGTTCATCGCACTCTGATGATGCTGAAACACCATGTTGTACTGTTGTTTGTCTTTACCGCTAAGTAGTGAGATGAACAGCTGATATGTTAGTGTTCAATTCCACAATTGTCAGACTGAAGCCTGCATCCTTTTGCAATCAGACTGGGATAGATAGACTACGTATTCTGGGCCCGGGCGCAGCCACGATGGCAGGTGTGCACTGTGCTGAGAAGACTGCGGGGCCGCTAACCTAACGTTAAATTCCACGGCCCATGGCGCGATGAAGATTCCCTTTTCTTCCCGCTTTTCGCCCTGTCTTGCGCCCATCACTTTCCCCACAACTCGTCCGCCCGGATCTGCGAGAACGGCATCACAACTTTGACATAGCGGAAGCCTCGTCGCGAATCGGCAGATCAAGTCCGACTTTACGTTCCGGTTTGTCCGGGTATCCGCGCCGGTGTTTGTCAGTACTTTCTCTTGCCCTGCCCTTTAACCCACGCACCGCCACTGCGACCATATACCGATACGAGAAACAGTTCCCGTCCTCTTTCATCTCCGTTTCAACTCGACGTCTGACGACATGCGCTTTCGGCAGAGTGTGGCAAGGCACTTTGGGGATAGTGTAAGGCCCCACATATCTCTGCTACAATGAGCGTTCCTCGTTTGGCGGCCTGGACGCACCTCTGCAAGTACGGAGGATACATGCTGCTATGATCTGTATGAGGGGATCAAGAGATCCAGGAAATAGCACGGCTGCCGCGCATAGAAGGGGCGATCGGAGGCGGCATACATCATATGGCCATAGGTTTTGGAAGACCTTTGCTACAACACACTTGTCGCGATCTGCGCGTCGGTTGAAACTCTGGACTGACGAGTTGACAGCTTGGAATGTCGGCATCAAAGCCGTATCTCTCATGTGAGTCCGAGGCCAGGACATTACGCGCTGTTTTCAGACTGCTAACGTTTTTGCGCAGATTACGATGTACGCTGTATGTGGGCATCTGCTCCCTAGACGGGTCGGTTCTTTGCCGTTCGCTAATATATACTCCTAGTGTGGACCGAGGACATCAAGGCCCTCAAGAATGACTGGCTTACAGATGGGGTATGGTTAAACTCGATCGTTTCAAGTCCTCTCTTATAGGCTCGGTCAACTAATGGGACGTACAGAGCATTGCCTTCTGGGAAGAATGGCTTGAGCGAGAGATCTTGCCTAAGTACCCGCAAGCCCGGATCGTTCTTCTCCGCCCAGTCATTTCGCACCTCTTGTTGCAGACCACCGATCTCAAGGGGGACGCCGCCGCATTGCCCGACTTTCGGAAGGTGACACACATCTTCCTGCCAATTAGTGACAGCCGGGACCGGTGGAATGCCGACAGTGGCTCCCACTGGTCTCTCCTCCTGGTGTCCGTCATCGACCGGGTTGCCTTCCACTATGACTCCCTGGGCGGCTCTAACTACGGGGCGGCCAAGAGGGGTGTGGATCGGCTGAGCTGGGTGCTCGGGGTCCCTCTCAAGTTCCACCAGCTGGATGACTGCCCCCAGCAGGAGAACAGCAAGGACTGCGGCGTCTTTGTGTGCATCCTGATGCGGCACCTGCTGATTAAGCGCCTCCTCAATGCCAATTCGAGCGAGAAGGTGTCCATGTCGATGGCCGGAAAGATGATCGACACCCACGGCGGCAGGAAAGAGATGCTCAAGATCGTCGAGTCCCTGCGGAAGGAAGGGGAACGGCGACGAAGCGCTAGCCCATTTGCGAGGTCATCGGACGAACCCCCGCGCATCGACTAGTCCCTTTTGCCACCTCGTCTTGTGGGTGACGAGCACTGCGTATGCGATCGGAACGGCGTTTGCGGGTTTGTTTCAGGATGTCGGCAAGAGTTTCTGACTGATATGACGAGACGTACGAGTGTTCAGCGCTCAGCATGACGTGCATGATTCTCGAGGAGTACGGGGCGTCGGGTAGGCGCTGGGTCTGGCTGTTTTGGTTAAGCTGACCGGAGTTTGGTTCTAAAGGGGTTGGGTATAACTACAACCGCTATTTAAGCTAATATGGGACGAAGAAGAAAAGAAGAGTGGGCAAAGGGTTGCGGACAGCCGTTATAGAAGTGGCACCAGTCCAGTTCAATTTGATACCCCGACAAGACGTTCCGGCCAGAACCTTATGAAGGGATACCTGATGTTTCAGATATAAAGGCACTTTGGTGTTGGAAAGCCCCTGATATTCAAGTCTTGCCTAAGAAAGCAGGGTTCTGCTCCATCGTCGCCGCGATAAACCCTCTCAACGCCGCCCACCTGCTCGATGTAGTTGACGGCTGGGGTGTTGCCTGCCCCTGTTCTGCTGCCTCCTTCCCCCTTTTCTCCCCTCGCTCATCAACATCTGTGTCCATCGTCTCCTTCCCTGCCCCAGTACCAGCACCACCGCTCGTTGTTGCTCCTGCAGAAGAAGCAGAAGAGACAGTCGCAATATTCGCCAGCTGCGCCAGACTCCACCCAAACCGCTCCATCTCCCCCTTCACGATCCTCTCCTTCCTCTTCAGCGCCCCGGGCCGCGTCTTCAAGCTCTTGTGCCGCACCTTCCCTTGCCGCGCCTGCTCTTCGTCCATCATCCCGCCAGCCGCCTGTTGCTCGTCCATCGCCTGCTTGATGTCGTCCAGCGCGTCGCCCAGCGACTCGAGGGTTGTGATGAGCTTCTTGTTTGGCCGCCTGCGCTTCTTGTTGGTACTGGCTGATGTGGAGGAGGAGGCTTTGGCGATGCGGGACACGAAGGCCGAGTGCTTGATCAGTCGCTTGTCGCGCTTCGAGTTGATGAAGCTGTCCGACACCACATTGTCCTCGCGGTGCAGCTTGCGCGGAAGCAGGGGGTCGGCCAGGCGCATGCGCGCTTTCTCTCGCGCTGTCAATCGTTTGTGGCCTGTGGGTTGGGGCGCGGTTGGGGCCTGTGAAAAGGCGTTAGTGCCGGTGAGGGGTGGGGAGAGGATACTGTGGATGTACGTACCATGGTGGTTGGCTTGACTCTTAATACTTGGTAGCTGTTAAAATGCTAGGCAACTGAGAATGGGATGTTGAATATGGAAGAGGCGTTGGCAATGGCCTAGACTTTGCTGTCCGTGCTCGTGATGGGTGCGCCGTCGTGGACTTGCAACGTCCAACTTTTTAGTGGGGCTGATTGCTCGCGCCGCTTCACCGCCTTGAAGGCCCCCTCGGCCCCACAAGCTGCCCCTGACCCATGATATGAGATCTCTGCCAAGACAAGCCAGGATCCCAATCTATGGTGGGGGAGGGGCATGACGCATTCATCTCAGTCCTGCCACCCCTCCATCACGACTCGCGGAACAGCACTCACCTAAGGAGTGGGATTCGAATGCTCAATCTATCCATGGATGTGTAGCGGCTTAAAGCTCTGACACCGCATGGCAATCGAAAGGCTACCGAAACCCCACCTCAATCGGAATCACGAACAACGTTGATGGAGTGGAGTGTTGGCGAGTTGGTTGTATGGTGTGTGCTTGTGGTTATGAACGATGGATAAAGGTAGTCGGGAACACGACGACAGCACTGGCGCCGCCAATGCCACGAGCCGCGCGCCAAATGGGGTCAGCCGACGACTCACAGACGACGAGTTTGAGAGATACTCCCGTCAGATGATCGTCCCTGGGATGGGAAAGGAAGGTGAGTGTTATGCGAGTATCTAAGGTAGGGGACCTCCCTTTCAGTTTTCGCTGACGGTCCAAGGGCAACTCCGTCTGATCAACTCCCGAGTCTTGATCATCGGTGCCGGAGGTCTTGGCTGCCCGGCAGCCCAGTACATCGCCGGCGCTGGGGTGGGCAAGATCGGAATAGTTGACGGAGACGTCGTCGAGACATCCAATTTGCACCGTCAAGTCGGCCATGCCACCTCTCGCATTGGTGTGAAGAAGGTGGATAGTCTAATCGAGCATCTGAGGGGCCTGAACGATCTGCCCACTTATGTAGCTCATCCCTTCCATCTCACCCCACATAATGCGGCGGACATCATTTCACAATATGACCTCGTCATGGACTGTACCGACAACCCAGCAACAAGATACCTTATATCAGATGTCTGTGTACTGTTATGCAAACCACTTGTATCAGCGGCATCGGTCCAGAAGTCGGGCCAGCTAATTGTGCTGAACTGCCCACCCGCACCCCAGGGATTGGTGGACGGAGAGTACGCACCTTGTTACAGGTGTTGCTTCAAGAAGCCACCACCACCCAGCGCGATGGTTTCTTGCGGCGAGGCCGGCATTATGGGCCCTGTGGTGGGCATGATGGGCGTGGCACAGGCGGGCGAAGCCATCAAGATTCTTGCTTCAGCGCTGCACGTCCCGTCCCAGAGCAACGAAAGCACGCCGGAAAGAAATCTACTACACCCGACCTTGCTGATCTACACATACGACCTGGAAAGCGCCGTGGGTCCTTATTCTTTCCGAGCGCTGAAGATGGGTGGCCGCAAGAAGAACTGCTTTGCCTGTGGCGAAAACTCGACTATGACCTTGGAGGGTATCAAAGCCGGGAACCCCAACTACGAGCAGTTCTGCAGTGCGCCGACGCCCAATCACAACCTCCCCCCGGAGGAACGCATCACTGCGGCCGCGTATCATGCGGCCAAAACGAGGGGCGAGCTTCCGGAGCACATCCTCATCGACACGAGAGAAAAGGAGCACTTCTCCTTTGGCAGCATTGAGGGCGCAGTCAATGTTCCATTTGGAAGACTGCTAATGAAGGCAGCGACTATCAAGCGGGATGGCGGTTCTCCTAGTGAGATCCTGCCTCCAGAAGCGTCCAACCCTGATACACCCATTTTCGTGGTTTGTCGGAGAGGGTTGGACTCGCAAGAGACGGTGGAGAAGCTCAAGGAGCTTGGTTTGGACCACGGTGGGAAGAGAAAGATCATGGATATCCAGGGGGGAATGAAAGCATGGAAGGAGGAGGTCGATCCTACGTTTCCGTATATCTGATACTCGGAACTTCTCCGGTCCTTGAGCAGTCGGAGGGGGGAGGGCGGGGAGTTCTGAGAGACATGGAACAGCAGCCGGAGAACTCGGCTTGAAGAGATGACATGGCTGAGCATCTACCAAGGGGAGACTGTCGTTGGTTGTTTGGGAGATCTCCTACTATGATACAACCGGGAAGCCCCTGAACTCCTAAACGGGTGAATATAACAACACACTTGAGAATCCGGGAAATCGTAGCTAGGAATCATACACACTTTGTGCCACCCTCAATAACCCCGACGCTCATCAGCACATCATTCCACATGCCATGGCTTCATACAAATGACCCTGTTCTTTTCTTGTTGAACGCCCTTTGGTCCCTCAGCCACTGCCGGTAGCCAGCTACACTCGAGATCTTCTCGCCGTAGAAGTCAGGTACTGCGATGAAACGGGTCAGTTCACAACTCTTCCATCATCGAACGTTTCTCGTTCCCTCATGGAAGGAGTACAAAGCATGAACGGGAAAACCCACCAGGATTCCGCACCGAGCTCGCGCTCGGGTCGACCCGATGCTTCTTGATCCGCGCGAAGAACTCGCTCTCCTTGACCGCCATCGGACCCTTGTACTTGCTCTTGAGCGCGTTGAACACGGCCGAGCCGAGGCTCGGCCCCACCAGCCACCCGAGCGCCGCGAAGCTCATCGTCATCAAGCCCAGCGTGATCAGCGGATCCAGCGGGATCTGGCCCACCACGCTGTCCGCCATCCCGCTACTCAGCACCAGCGCACCCCCCGACCCGCTGGCGAGCGACCCCACCACGCTGAACGCGGACTGCCACCTCCGCCGCGCCTTGCGCAGCTGGAAGAAGGTGTTCCAGTCGAGCGTGACTTGCTCGGGGTGCGCGGCGGCTTGGGCCTTGGCGGCAGCATCGGCCGCGCTGGCGTCGGCTGCAGCGTCACGCGTGGCTGGCTCGGCTGGGTGATGGTGGCGGGTGGTGGAGGCACTGCGACTCGGTGGTTGGGCGCGGTACTTGATGATGAGGGAGGAAGAGGTCGGCTGCTTGGTAGAGAGAGGTCGGGCGTGGATCGTCGTCTGCGCTTGCTTGGCGGGGTTGTTTGATAGAGAGAATGAGGAGATGGTTAGGCCCGCAGAGTAAGGGCATACAGCGCTGCGGAGGAGAGTCGGCTGGAGACTGCCGGCCGAGCGGCTAGCGCCTGCGCGGATTACTGTCGTTGCGCTTGAGGCGAGCATCTCGAATGGCTTCCCCGGTTATGGAAGTTCGAAAGTGTGCGGGCCGCTTTGATTGACTATCCGGGCTGATTGAAGGAGTCGAGTCCTCGGACTAATGGGAGCGGACAAAACGTCCAATTGGAAAGTTATTGTGCGGCAGCTGTGACGAGATAATTCAACTGCTCTTTCCCGGCGTGGCTATCGTTGCAGTTTGGCGCGAGACGTTGGAATCTGGATTCTAGAATGCTTGCAAAGCTGTGGTGGAGACGACCTAAACGCTCCGATTTTTGGAGCCTCATACGGAAGCCGGTAGCGGAGTTTGCTCAGAAGCCCAAAAGTGGTCTGTGCACCACTGCGTCCACACCTTCCGTGTTTGCATTGAATACTCGGTACGTGCAATGTGCAGTAGGCTAGCCATAATTGGCTTAGTGTCCTGGCCCAACCTCCTCGGGATTTGCATATCTTCCATAGCGCCATAGCTATTGCCATCTTCTTCTTTCTTCTTCAATACAAGTGTGACGAAACTAGGCAGTCCTGTCTTTGAAAGGGTTTGCCCGTCGAAGTAGTCTGGTCGGGCTGTAGGTCTCGGTAAAGCTAAAGGGTTCACAACACTACAAGTCGCAATGTCTGCACAGTAGTGAAGGATACTGATTGTTATTGCTCACGGAGGAAGCTAGCTATCTGAAATGAGTGATAGAATGGTAGAACTAATATACAGCTTCCTCCCCATGGCATCCTCGTACCTAGATCTCTGGAACATTTGGAACAATTGTTGTTCTCGTTGTTCCATCTGGAACAATGTTCCTTGGCGTTGTTCCTTGGGAACAATTGTTCTTGGCATTGTTCCCAATCTCCCCAATCCTCATTGGTCATTCCTGGCTTGTAATGATTGGATGCGGGCTCACCTGCTGGCCATGCAGGTCGGCCCCCACCGGTCTCTAGAGGTTAATTCATGACAGTTAGCCGTTACACTATAGAAAAGAAGGGGAGTAACTAATAGGCCGACGCTATACTAGAACCGTTATACAAACGACCGTGATGGATATGTTCGCTATAATGGGAAGAACCCTATACGACGAGGCAAGCAAAGTTATACTTGAAACACTAGGAGCAAGGCATAGAGTCACGGATTAAGCCAACAGGACAGCTGCAGGTGGGACAACCCGGCGGGTGGCGCAGGACGCACCCGAACCAATCATTTAGGACCAATGAGAAGGAGCTCTAGGGAGCTCTAGAGAGCGGACGAGAGCTCAGAAAACTAAGCCAATCAGCACGAAGGAATGGAAGCTCTCGATGGAGTCAACAGAGCATCAAGCTCTAAGAAGCTCTGTAGAGCACATGAGAGCACCCAAGGATAGACAGTATATAGTCACTCGTTCTGGAGGACTCTGGGAGTTCTCCAGTGAGCAATTTCAAGTAGTAGCCTTCACCTACTGTGCAGACATTGCGACTTGCATTGTTGTGAACCCTTTGGCTTCACCAAGATGTGACGAAACCACAGGCAGTCCTGCCTCTGAAAGGGTTCGCCGGTCGAAGGTATCTGCTGGTCGGACTGTAGGTCTCGGTGAAGCCAAAAGGTTCACAACAATGCAAGCCGCAATGTCTGCACAGTAGGTGAAGGCTACTGCTTGAATTGCTCACTGGAGAAACTCCCCGAGTCCTCCAGAACGAATGACTATATACTAGTTACATTGTATGCTCAAAGTGCTCATAGTCTCAGCTTTGAGCATTGTGATCACCTTGCTGCTCATAGTGATCAAAGTGATTGGACTGATCACTTTGATCATCCTGCTCAATCCCTTGGCGTGGCCCCACTGAGCATCTCGCATAGCCATTCATCATTGGTCTCATATTCTCCTGTAATGACTGGTCCGGGGCGTCCCGCGCCCCTGCGCCTTTCCTGGGTGGGGCCCCTGTTAGTTTAATTCGTGATACTAACCCCGTATTATAAGGGCCGTCGTTCAAGGCCAGGGTCAAGCCTCTGGTGGTAAACTGACTGCATTGCAAGAATATTGAACTTGTAAGAGGAAAGAAATCCTCGAAACTGCAAGGTAGGCTATAAATATAGGATGTAAGTAGGTTTAAGCTTACATGTATGATATAATAGAACATGTATAATGAATCATCACTTGGTATGATGAATCATTATGTATGTAAATGATGTCATCATTATGGGTTAGTGTATTCCACTGTTACAAATATATTAAACAATAATCAATTCTTCTAAATTAGTTAACTTCTGTAAATTAGCTAGAATATCACATTATAATTATATGTTATACCTATAATAGCTTAGCTTAGTATAATGAACCGTATAGATCTTAGCTATAGCTCTTAGACTTAAAGTGGAGTCTTTCTTAGCGGCTTAGACAGTTAAGATTATTTAGCATTTAACGTCTTTTAGATGTATATTAGGTTATAAAGAAAATATATATGAGGAGAAGGTATTATATAGGCATGGTAGAGTAGAGCATTTGCTTGCCTAGAGTATTCGCTTATCAATTATATTATATATATATATATTCTCCTACTCTGCTATGCCTAGCTATTTACAAGGCGCGCCGGACCCTCTACTGCTATGTACAAAGGAAAAACCGTACCGTTTAGGCCGCGTGAAAACCTTCATCAAAAATAATAGGAAAGACATGGTTCCAGTGATACACGCTGCTGCAAGTAAAGAAAAAGGCCTTGGGAAGGCCTTGAGCTAACGGCTAGTAGGGTGCTAGCCCAGCTAAGCCGTGGCCACGGGTGTGGTTAGCCGAGCTCCCTGGCTTCCAGTTCCTGATCTAGGTTCTGAGCGAGCCTGTATTCCCCTAGCCGGCCCGAGTTCATCAGCCAACCCAGTACCTTCTTCAGAAGTCTTCGGTTCTGGTAGCCTAGGCCCTGTAAAATAAAGCTAAGGTCCCAGTGGGTGCGTATTAGTTGCCTAGGCCAGATTCTTGGTATAGGTAGTATAGAGCACCAAACCACTAGGTGCTCCACTGTCTCTCGGCCTTCCCCGCATTCGCAATAGGGGGTAGGCTGGTTACGGGCCTTTTGTTTAAAAAGAAAGTCCCGTAGGCCTATAGCCTCCGTATGTATTATATATATTATATTAAACTATAACTAATTATAATAAATATAACTATATTTTAATATTAATATTTAATTATATTCCTTATTTTTCTTATTATATTCAATTTATGCTTTATTTTCTCTTCATCTGTCCTAAATATCTTTATATTCTTAAAGTCTTCTAATTCTCATCTTATTATTATTTCCTAAGCTAAGGGGGCCCCACCGCGGCTTTTAATCTCAACTAACCACCACCTTAACAATGGCCAGCAATTAACTGCATCGCCATAAGGCGTGCGAGACTGCGTTGTTCTCTCGATCTGGATCCCATGGCATGGTAGTCTTCGTCCTCTTTTTTTCGGGCCTATTTCGTTCCCTTTTATGGCTCTTTGACGCGCGGCGCATATCGTGAGGCGCGTCGCGTGCTTGGCTCGTCGACTGCGAGCAACCCAATTGTACCCCACACGACAGCATGGCGGACAACACCAGTTTCCCGTGCCCAATACGTCGCAGGACGACCATCGCAATACCGCTGCCGTCGATTCGGAAGTATGTTCCCGGTTCTGGGCCACCTCCGCCTCGAGTGTCGCTGGCGCCTCCGCGCGATACGACGGGCTACATCATCAACCAATTCGTACTGCCGACCGATAACGATACGACGCCAACCTCCCGACGGCTGATCTACTACCACGTCGGTTTCACCGACTTTCCGGCCGTCAAGATTTTGCTACCGTGCAACGAAGTGCTCGACTATGTCTCCCCACGCGAGCTGGAGGATTGGGAGTACAAGAATCTGGAGAGCAAAGAGGAGGAGCGTGCCCGGCGTTTGGCTGAAAAACGACGCGTCGTTGTCGCCGCGAAGAAGCCCGGCCAGAAACCCAAGGTCCCTATGCAGGATGTTGGCCTACCGGCTCTGAGTTCGGCGGATGAAGCGTTCCTGCTCGCCCAGGAGGTCGCTGGCCCGTCTTTGTCCACGCCACAGAAGAGGAAACAGGGCGATGTGTTGCATGAGGATGCAGGGGATACCAGCAACATAGAGTCGGACGATGACGCCATACGCCGGCAACTCCAAGGCGCGAATGAACTAGGATCTGAGGACGACTTAGGAGCCGACGTGGATTCTGTTGATCAGCTTGCTCTTCAAGACACCACTTCCACGACAGACACCCCCTCCAGAGGCGGCAGCGCCGTGCCCCCCATGCCGGTTTCCATTCCTGCTCAAACAGCGGCAACTCCCATAGGACCAGCCTTTCCGAGCTCCGCTCCTGTAGCCCTTAGCGCCTCTCAAACCGACATGCCCACAGCTGGGAGAATCCATCCCGCCTGGGCACATGTCTTCGGTCAGCAGAACAGATCTGAGAAGCTTTTGACGCTGCATGGTCAAGCTGGAAGTGGCCAAGCGGAACGGAACGGAACATCCGGGACGGTTCCGGCAAAGCCACAGGCTCGCCAGCCTTCATCAACACACACTTCGAAATCCGCGAGCTGGGCCGGGAGTGCCTCCAAATCTTCACTCCCTCGCATCCCGAATCCTAGGCAAAGAGAAAGCTCGGCTATGGCATCGGACTCCTCCATGACCAAGCGAAAGGCCAGCTCACCGAACGTGCACGCAACAGAGGGGAAGCGTCACAAGCCGAAGAAACAGAAGATGGCCCAAGAAGATGAAGAACCACCTGCGAACGAATGGGAGGTCAAGGATCTACTAGACGACCAATGGGTCACGGAGAACGGCACGAAGGTACACAAGTACCTTGTTCTGTGGGAGGGAGACTGGCCGCCAGATCAAAATCCTACGTGGGAGCCCGCCGAGAACGTCCAGGACCCGGGCCTGATCAAGCGCTACCTGAAGAAGAAAAAGGCCGGCCTGTTGAAGCCCTGCAAAAAGGCCCAGAACTCACTACACCGGTATCTGGCGACGCCTCAATACTCCAGCGTTGCCGAAGCTTTTGAGGGCGGCATCGATGAGCAGACAGGACCGGTAGGCGGAGACATTGAAAGCGATACCGACCCGCCCAACGAGACGTTTCTCGTCACGGAACACACGGACGATCTCTCAGCAATCCCGGCAAAGATATCCCCGAGCTTCAAGACATTCGATGACAAGCTGGCGCGATACAACCAGGCCTTCCCCCGCATATGAGCGGGCGGGTACTGGTACCAACTCACGAGAGGACTCACAATCTCGGGATGACGTCGTGACACCGCAAAAGGCCCTGTCTGAGGATGGGAAGACGTGCGGCAGGGATGGACATAACTTGGGCGCGGCCATGGCGGGTCGCTTGACACGATGGAGGCGAGCGGTATCCCATGTACTACGGCACATTTGGAGTGTTGACCAGCGGAGATGAAGTGGAGGGCTACGTGTCACTCAGACCACGTAGTTGAGCAGTGGAATTGACTGCCAATACATAATACTCATCACAGAAAGAAGTCTTTTTACTTGCTAGTGGACGAAAAATGAATCGGATACTGGCTGAGTCGCTGACCACCGTGGGGGGCTGATGCATGTGGGAGACTGACCATTCTGGAGGGCCGGACGTTACTCCGTGGTCGAGAACCAACCAAGGACCTGTCTTCCCGGCTCCTCCACAGCTCGCATGGGAAAACTTACTGTACCAGCTTCCGCCCTGACCCCCACGAAGGCGGGTAAGGGCCCTAGAAGATGGGACGCACTCACTGAGAGATCGCGCCACAACCACAACGGGGCTATTCACCGAAAACATGGGACCGCCCGGAGCCTGTCGTGACTTTTCCGCCAAGGGGTGAGGTTGGGATGTTTCCGACACGAGGGCTTTCCCACGTAACAACGCCACGGTAGCTAGCCACCCATACGTACACAAGGGTGGAGAGGGCCGCGGAGACAGCCCGGTTACCCGGCTCCCTACCTACTACCTGCCTTACTTTATTGGTAGCTGCAGGTATGTGCCACGGCCCACGGGATACTCCGCCGCCCCCGGGAAAGCTTGATCACGCCCCAGCAGCGTGGGGGACGCGCGCGCGGTCGTAGGGCTACAACGTAGTGCTGAGTTGAGTTGAGCTCTGACGCTTGGACGTCCGGTCCAGTCAGATTGACGTGGCCTTGCCGCTGTAGTTAGTGGTCTGGTGCTTTGATTATTTTGCTTCTTTTGGCTCTGGACCTTTTGTGGTTGTGTGACTCGGCTTGGGCAGATTGGGTTCTCGAGCCTTGAGTCCATCCTGGAAGAGCCAGTCCTTAGAAGTTAGGCGACGTTAACTGCCTCCTCAATTGCGAAAGGAGGATACGGAAAAGACTTGATATAGGATTACGCGGCAATTCGAAGCAATATCCAACGTTCGGAACTGAGCGAGCACGGCAGCTAGCTAGGTGTCATTGAATGATACTGTATTGAAATATGAAACGCCCTGGAGGAGTGGTGTATTCCCTTGGATCATCAGTGCTTTGCTGAGGTATGAAACATTACAAGTCATACCTGATCCATTCCGCGACACAGCCTGCTTGCGCTCTAAGGGTTTCTAAGAATACAACGACCTGCAGAGAAACCGTCTAATTGACGAGGTTGAGCTCCCCATCCGTAGCCATCACCAGCACATGTGTGCCGGCTCCCTCTATGTCCCAACCCTCAATAGACCTCATACAAAGAGTCACCAACTCCAGACGATCTATGACACAATGCAATCAACGCACTTCACCTATCACAGTCCTGCTTCCGCCTCCAGCCTCCTCTCCATCTCCAACGCTCCCGCCATCCCTTCCCTAATCTCCCTGACGGCCTGCCCATCCTCCTCTAGCCTCGTGAAGGGCAACCTGGGCACCGCACACGACTCCTCCGCCGGGCCATGGAAGATGGGCATAGCCGCCTTGACGCCCACAAAGCCATACCGGATAGCCAACCAGTCCGCCCTGGCGACCTTGTGCTGCAGCTCCCTCGCCTCCCGGATCCGCCCTTCCTCAAACAGCTCCCCAATCCTCACGCACGCCCTCGGCGCCAGGTTCGCAAACCCACTGATGGTCCCGTGCGCGCCCACCACCAAACCCTGGAGGATGAAATCGGCACTCCCGCCAGCGACGAAGAAATCGTCCCTACTCCCGCCCCTGACACGCGGCGCGCCCGCCACCAGCCTCGCCAGCTTACCCGTGTTCCCGCAGGTCAGCTTGACGCCCACAATGCGCGGATGCCCGGCCAGCCTCAGGAGCACGTCACTGTCCAAGTCGACGCCGTTCGCCGCGGCGGGGAAGTTGTACACCACCACGGGCAGCGCACCGCGGTCCGCCACGGCATAAAAGTACCGCACCAGCCCTTCCACATCCAGCAGCCTTCCGTAATACCCCGGCGGCAGCACTAGCGCGTGCGTGGCGCCGGCGTCCCTGGCCTCGCGGCACAGCGCGAGCGTCTCGCGCACCGAGGCCGCCGAACAGCCCGCGATGAGCGGCACGCGCGTGTGCAGGGCGTCCGTCTCGTGCCTAACCGTGTCGGCGACCGCCTCGATGGCCGCGCGCCGCTCGCGCCGCGAGAGGTGCACGGCTTCGCCGTTGGAGCCGTGCACGACCAGGCCGGCTACACCCGCGGCGAGGAGACGCGCGGTGTGCCGCTGTGTGGCGGGGATGTCGAGCGTGTTGTCTTTCTCTTTTTCTTCTGAGGAGGAGGAAGAGGGGGAAGTAGTGGAAGTGAAGAAGGCCGGCATGGGCACGTAGACGCCTTTGGGGAGAGGGAAGGCTGGTGATTGCTGGGTTGGTTGTTCATGCTGGGTCTCGTTGGAGCCGCAGGGGGGTGTGACTGGCATGGTGGCGGCGGTAGGTGATGATGGTTCCATTCTTGCCGTTGGTGTCTCTTTTGTCTTGAATATGGAGAAGGATGGAAGTTTGAGAAGGTCAAGAAACCGTCTTGGACTGATTTTATATTTTGTCGGTCCGGGGCAATGGGCTATGACCTGGCACGAAGTATGGAGATGGTCAGATATCCAGAACGAGATGCCCTGTGAGACCGGTCTGGGAAAAAGCAACTTGAAGCGACACGACCCGGGGGGCCGAGATAAGCGGCTTGTAGGAGAAGACGGGAAAGGACGAATGAGAGCCGCGTTTTAAAAGGCGGAGGAAGACGGTACGGACTGGAGTGCTGACTGCGTTTCATGTCGTCGCTGGGCAAGTCAGATGAGGCTCTTCTTTGTAGTTTGGCCTGGTTAGCGACGCCACCGACGGAGCCGTCGTTCCTGACTTGGCACTTGGGCGCGCGCGTGGGGGTTCTAGATGAGGCAGGGAACACCGGGGAAGAGCCGGATGGCGGTGAAACCGCCGTCGCCATTGTGCAACAGGGCTTGCGTGGCATGTCTCGGGCCATTTGGCGGCTTGGGACCCCCTCCGGGTGATCACGAGAACGACTCCCAACACTCCTGCTGTCCCCTGGGCGCCTGGAACGGCGAATAAGTGCTAGTGTATTCCGTAAAGTGCGGCGATGGGATGTCACGTGTTGGGATCTTTGGTCAAATTGTCATATCCCCGGAGCTACATGCGAATGACGGGATGTGACGCCATCTCAAAGGGGAAGGCCGAGACGGAGGTACACTGAATTTGCTGAAATCCCTAGGAAGTATCCTGTGTGTGTCAGCATATTGCTATAATGGAAACGCATCATTCGATGGTGGGAAGCGAGCACGGCAGTTGAAAGTACAGAGTCGATCATGTACCAGGAAACTGGCTTGCGAGGGACGGCCAGGCATGGCACGAGGCAACATGGAAGCAGCGGTGTCCCCGGGAATGGCCCATGCTAACCTGGAACACCCGTGTCGGGCAGTGTAAGCTTCCCTTTTCGTGTTTGACCCCCACGCTCCCGGAGGCCTGGGCGACAGCTGAGATAGCGATCACCCCTGTTCAAAATCCCATCGAGAGCCGCTCCTGGGACGGTATTCGTCAGTGGTCTTCAGGGGTAAATGTAAAATCAAAATGCAACTCAAGAATCCAAGGCTGCATCTTACGACAAGCTTCCACCAAAGGTGGGCATCTCTGTGTCAAGGCTGCCAGCCTGCCTCGAGGCTATGAGTTATCTTTATCCAGAACCTCGGACCACTACGGTTCATCCTTCTCCCGGGAGGCATGATTTCCTCAGCATTGCATAAGACCATCAACCCGTCGATTCAACCTTCTACAGAACGCATAGCCGGGGCCGCCGTGAATCCAAAGTTTAGGATCGGATATCAATACTATTATCTGGGTGACCAGTTGACATGCGTCGTATCTGCCAGGTCACGTCATCATGGCGGTGAGGCTTCTTCAAACTCTTCGCAACCCTGTGCTACCCATTACTTGAACGACGAGGCGAGGATCCGGGCATCAGGCGCCAGCGAAGCGTGGCGCAGCTGTGTTGCCTAGGTATTGTACGTCTGACACGGGCAGTTTGGATGTTTGGCAACGTGGTCCAAGTGACGGATGGCCCCGGGGCTCAGAGCAGGCTATCCTGCTTTCTAAGTGGCCTTCACAGGCGGACGTGAGCAGTCGGTGGCCAAAATGCACCCATATACCTCGTAACTGGAAGTTGGAACCACCGTCATCCCATGACACCATCAGGGTGTTTGTATCCGTCGTCAACGGCAAGTTGCCAGTGGATAACGCTTTGGGTTATCCAGAGTCCCTGCCATGAGTATCCCGGCCCCCGAAGAATCAGCTATCTCCAGCCCAACTTTCTGGACAGGGACGTCAAGATTTGATTGACGGCTCAACAAAGCCTTCTGAGGAGTGGGTCAAGAATGTCGCTTTATGTGCCTCCTCCGATCCTGCTCACTTCACTTTATACAATGGAATCGACAACCGATCAATTTAATCGGCCTGTCGTCATGGTTCTATCATTCGCTGCACACCGGGTCTGGTACCGATACAGCAAAGACGGATGGTCCAAATCCACGGCTGGTTCACCGCGATTAGACAACGTAAGCTGCTAGCTTGGGATCTGATCCCATTCGAGCCACGCTCGCCGTCGGATAACAGCGTGGGGCCAGCGGACCAAAAGGATAATCAAAAGCCGGAGGATGTTCCTCAACTTCCTCGGTCCTGGAGCAGCTCTACAGGCGGGAAAATTGAGGACCCAAGAAAAGTGATGATCTCTTGCATCGACTAACAGTCACGCGGGGGGCAGACTCTCCATCAGAGTTTCCGATTCCGTGGGGGTCGTTGTTCCCCAGGATGCACTAACCCACTCTGGGTGCCGCTATTGGCATCTTCCCCAGTCTCTCCATGACCCACCCTTGAACTCCGGAGGAGCCAGCCCCCGTGTCATGAAGCTCCGTCTTCCTAGAGACGGTGAAATCTAGATCCATCGTCATTGGCTCCTGGACGCTCCTGTAATCGCGGATGTTTGCTGCGGTGGATTTACTTCGCTCTCACGAGTCACCTTATCCTCTATGAATAGGTAATGAAGCCAATGTCCGATACGCTCCCCCGGGGTCCGCTGCCCGTGCTCTGTCCACGGGACCAGATAGGTTTGATATCCTGACCGAGCCGAAGTTCTAGAACATCCAGATGATCCTGCCTTCCGACCGCCGCCATAGTTATACTCGCCCGTTTCCCCGCGATACCAAGGTGATGAGCATGACGGGTAGGATAAGAGCTACCCCCGGCAAGAGACTCGCCCACGAGTTTCTAGAATGCTTCTGGGAAAGTATTTCAAGTATAGAACGTTGCTGCCAATTGCGAGTCGCTGTGGAGCCAGGGGCATTGTTCGAAGCCCGCTAAATTGCACAATATATATTTAGATCTAGACGAGCAGTAGCGAGGCAATGCCGAGGCGCGGTTGTAGGTGTTACGCTCACAACCACAGAACTGGAGTCTGGGATATCCTTGTCCATTGGCCTAGCCTTATTCAAGAGGAAGATCTGTCTGAGTCTCTGAGATGTATCCCTGGCGCCCTTTCCACCCCTGAAGTATCCCTCATCCCCATTTCCCTTCGTCTCTTGCCGCCCCAGCCCCATCAGAACCGGCGCCAGTCGTTGCTTGCACCGCCATGGATATAGCGCGGGGGAGGGCTGTCTGAGGATCCTGACCTCAATCCTCGGCGGATCGTCTTGCCCTAGAACTCGGTATTTCACATCGTCGGGGAGACGGGCCATCGCGGCGTCTCGATCCTCTACCGTCCTGAATACGGCCACTTTGTGCTGTGCTTCGGACCCCACAAGATAACCTTCTAGATCTTAGGCTGCTCCTCCAGAGCAAACTGGTTCCACACTTGCTTGGTCGCATTGGGCGTTCATGATGAAGAGTCCGATGAAGGGAGCTTGTGAAAGGCCGAGGGCGCCTGAACTTGGCTCAGGTGGCTCCCACTCCTCGTCGTCTGCGTCGCTCGGGTGGGGACGCGGGCCACGGCTAGCCTTCATTATATCCGACCCATCGTTGTCATGCTCATATTCAATAGTCTGGGAGAGCCGACCAGGTGTGCGTCGGGCAAGCCATGACCCCGGGATAGTGCGGTTGTAGCGGGCGTTAGAATTATGTTGTCTCCTTCCAGCAGAGAGGGACCCTACCAGCCACGACTAGGCGGACTAAGGTGGAATACTCCACGCTGTGGGCGAGACCCGTCCTGATCGTTGCGTAGAAGCCACGGAGGTGGCCCTAGTGGCCGCCGTTCTGGCTGTATTTGACAATGCTGTCTGCTAAGGCAGATGTTCAGCCGTCCGATGTAAGTCGTCTGACCAATTTTACGAATAGCCAAGGACAAAAAAAAAAAGGAAAAAGGAAAATGGGACGATAGACTTAGGAGACATATGGTATATCGCAAGCTGTCGATAAAGTGATGATGGACTTTCGGAATCCCGCATAGGTATCAGCAGAAAATCGGTTGAAATAAGAGTTGCGAAGACGAGACTGAAGCTACCGGAGTGGGGGGAGGTGCACACGCCGAGAAGAGATGGCAAGACCTTCTAAGTCCTACCTTCCCCGGTCGAGCAAGCTAGGGCATTTCTATTACTGTAGGTCCAAGTTAGCCAAAGCAGGGGACCGGGGATGCAACTGCACTTCAGCAATGTAAGTATGGTCTCAGCTAAGACTGCTCCGAGAAGAGAATGGAGATCTGAAGACAGCCACGGTGCTGCTAGAAGTGTTCAAACCCCTTTTCTTTGTTGTCATAGCTCGGGCCATTAAGCTGAGACTGAGCTCAATGTTGATCAGACTGTTGTACCAGACTATATTAGGCATGTCTTCTAAGAACCAGCGAGCCCTTGAATGAGTAAGTCTTCCGTTCAAGTGCCAGGGGCTAACAGCAAGTAATGTATCTAGTGCAAGCGAGTGAAAGGGCTGGAGGGAGGTGGTTGACAGGCTGTCAGAACTGTCTTACTCGAGCTCAGCGCACATTGACCGATCTCCTATGACACCATGAACAAGTAGAGCGAGTCACTGAGCCGGAGAACCCTCTGAAGCCGCATGCTAGCCGGGTTCTACCTGCGGCTGTGCACCGGCGCTCTTCCTGAACGTGAAGTCGCACGCTGGACCCCTCGATTTCCAAATAGTAGGGCGCCCCTCGAAGGTTAAGCTACCAATTTCTGCTCTGTTTTCCATTCCACCTCTCTCGCTCCTTCCGCACCAGCCTTTCCACTCTTTTTCATTTCCACTCTTCTTCATCTCAGCTTTTCAGTTCTAGACACGATCATCAGTATGGCTTCCAGCAGCTCTGAGGACACGACGCAGATGAACGACACGGCTATGAACATCGCACGCAAGCGGTCCTCTTCGCCTCAGAGAACGGTAAGATTCTCGATGGACGTTGAACTGCGAGTTATAGACGCAGAGACCGGGTCGGTTGCAAGCACCGAGATGCAGGACCTATTCTCCTATGCCAGCCTCAACAAGACAGCCCGTCAAATTGACGAGAACCCCTTCTTTCTCCATCCGAACAATGAATACGAGATCACCCCAGATTTGCTGGAAAGCAGGCCGCCATAGGGCTAGTATAACTCCCTTCACTTGTCCCAATCTCCCTATAATTATTTCAAGTATCGGTGCTCCCCTACCACAGCCGTCAAGGCAAGTCGACTACTTCTCACATAACTATATACTGACATCATCAACCTCAGCTTCGAACAGTCAACCCTTTCCCCAGCACATCTTCCGCAGCGAAGATATGGCCGAACGAGGACCCCATGGCCCCACCACCGAACCATCCTCTCTACAAACCCATCCTCTCTACAAAGCCGATCGTCCTAAAAGGAAGATCACAGCTCGTCGGAGGAAAGCCCAAGTTCGGACAAGGAAAATACAGAGTTTCTCGACAAAATTGAAGACTCTTCTGAGATGGACGAAAGCTCTTCTGAGCAAGACGGATACCCCTCCGAGACGATCGAGTACTATTCCTGTCGGAAGGAGGGTTCTGTTCGAGAAGTCGATGATGACACCTCTACCGAGGGTGAAGAGCATGAAGATGGGGAGGAGGAGGAGGAGGAGGAGGAGGGATACGACATGAAGGGACACAATCAAGTCGGCCTCATCGCCAGAAGCTTTCCAGTTGGCGGGAAGGGCTAACAATATGCCCGAGGCGCCAAGGAACATCACCAGTCAGACGGGCCGGTTGTCGACCCCCAGGGAGTCAACAGATGCCGGCTAGCAACATCAACGACCTTTTCCCGGTCATTCCTGTGATGGTTGACCCCGGATGCAGCACGGCCCGCGTATGATGTCCGACCAACACGAGCGGATTGATCGATCCGCACTGGAAGGAGATGCCACGGAATTGCGCACAAGCTCCACATGGAAGAAAAGAGAAGAAAAAAAAAGAAAATGAAGAATAAAAAGAAAAAAAAGGCAAAAGGGGAGAAGACAGGTGCGGTTGCGAAGAGGAGAACGGAACCGGCAAGGCCCAGACGGGCGACCCAGATCAATCTTTCGCGCCTATCCTTGCCGAAGACAGCGCGAGAGGCTACAAGCGACACGCCTCTCCGCTGCCTCCGTCAGGTAAGTCCCGGACGTTATTTAGGAATAACAGTCGTTGCTGCAGCTGACAGCAACAACTACAGACAACGAAGCCGGGCTCTAACAAGCCCGCGCCGACCAGACCCATTCCCCCCTGCCTGCCATACCTCCCGCGCCCAGCACCACTTCAACTGGCGATGCTTTTGAGCCTAAGCGGCAATATCTCCAGCGAAAAAGGTGGATGATGATGATGATGATGCCAACCCCGGCCCTGGCGTGGTACAGGGGTGAGGTTAGCTATGGTATCTATACTAGTCATCCAAGATTGGCATAGGCTATGTTAGCCGGGCCATTATGAGGACCCTAAGAGTGTGTGGTTCGCGGAGGCTCCCTAGGCTTATGTGAGTTCTCTGCGGCGGTAAGCGAACATCTGATGGAAGGAGTTGGGATGTTCTGACCAGACTTCTGTGCATGTATAGCTGACCGAAAAGGAGAAAGGCGAGCGGAACCTCTAACGATAAACCTATATGGCATTAGCCCCATGAAGGGCTTCCATTATGGTTGATCACCACAATCCGTCTTGTCACCAAAGAGATGATATTCCTGGCTCCATTTGAGGTAAGAAAGACCAACTCTCAAGCGACCATGCAACGGGGCCAATTAGATTCCAGAAAGTTTCATCAAGGTCAATCTTGCAACTTGGACTTGACAAGGGCAACGTCACGTTCGGCGCCGATTGATTCATATGGACCATGACAGGCAGCACGCACGTGTTGACATCCGGCTCATTGCTGAGAGTATAACTCAGTTCATTCTTTCGGTGGCCAGAGGCTTACTTGTTTGGGTGTGGGTGTATGCAGGACTGAACAAGGCTATATGCCATTGACATCCGCAACGGAGGTGTAATGGAGATATCCCATTCCGTGGAGAAGATATTCTTGATGGATCCAGAGAAACTGCATCGCCGCGGTTCAAGCAAAGAAAGCGTCGGACGAAGCGATGAAAACGGTGGGTCAACTTGACGAAATGGATGGGCATAGACGAGCTTTCAGCCGACCACGTCAACCTTTCCAAGGTATGTGATGGCCCAAAGGGATTTTACCTGCCTGCAATGTCCATTGTATTGATTGGCAATAGAGAGAGGTGTCATAGGACACAATCGGGGAGTCCCAAACGTGTCTTCACACAGGAGCGGTATCCCGCTGTTCACCCCGGCGGTGCGGCTCCGCAACCAAGCCAGAGCGAGACCACCACCTCGACAGACACTACTACTACGTCTGAACCCACGACAACCATGGAAACCGGATCCGCGCTATCACGCTCGTTTATGATTCCTTTTAAGACCTTTTGAGACGATCGAGGGTCCGGGCGAGGCGGTCATCGGTTCGAGTCAAAGGGGCGGACGGGCGGATCACTACAGGCGGAGGAGGAGCATACGTTGAGCGGGGCAGAAGGACACGTATGTCGGCGATGAGGCGCAGTCCAAGCGTGGTATCCTCACTCTGCGCTACCCCATCGAGCATGGTGTCGCCACTAACTGGGACGACATGGAAAAGATCTGGCACCACACCTTCTCTAACGAGCTCCGTGTTGCTCCTGAGGAGCACCAGGTGCTTTTGACCGAGGCTCCCATCAACCCCAAGAGCAATCGTGAGAAGATGATACAGATTGTCTTCGAGACCTTCAACGTCCCCGCCTTCTACGTGTCCATCCAGGCCATCCTGTCGCTCTACGCCTCCGGTCGGCACCCGTGGCGGTGGCGGTAAGCCAGAGGGTAATAATAAGGGCCGAAGCGATGCACTTCATTGTTGTTGGTTTCTAGATTCTCTTGTTGTATATCCTACCTAGAACCCCGTTCGTTCTACTCAAGAACCCTCTTCTTTCTACGGGGTTAGCTAAAGGAAATTTCAAGTACACTTTTTTCTCTCTCTGCTACCTCCGGACTCGAAGTGACAGAAGGTTCGCTCAAATCTGGCTCGAAGGGGAATGCACCAGCTAATTGGGCGTTCACAGCTGAGAATTGGCATTTAAGGCTGTTGAGCCGGGCAATGACCCTGGTTTAAACGAGGAGCAGCGGCCTGCGGTGGTAGAAAAGTGGCAAAAGGAAGGTTGTCGATATTGAACGCCCTCGCGTTGAGGCCCCTCACACGCATCACCGGCCGCCCTGTCTCCGAGTCGTCGACGGTCGTGTCGGCGATCCAGCTCTTGTCCTGGTCGCGGCGGCCACGGCCGGAGTGGGTCGAGTGGGCAACCGCCGGTTAGGATCCCTGAACTCGGTCTACTGGTCAAGTACGGAAGGCAAGTCGTGCGGGCTGAGGTGGAGGCTCAGCGGTATGTGTATAAGCACCTGCAGGGTCGTGGGATCATCGCCGCTGTGCCTCACAGACCCGCATCGCCCTTTCCAGCTCCTCCAAGCTTCCCCGGTCGCCATACGCATCGGCCAGGGCTGCCTCGCGCCGCCGCCTCTCGACTTCGGCTTGCTCAGCGGCCGCCAGCCGCTCATCGACCTGGAAGTTGGGCAGGGAGCTGGTCGTGTTGGTGAAGGGCAGACGCAGGTCGGTCAGCGCGGCAAGAAACGGCGCAAGGAGGGCGTCCACCTGCGAAGCGCTGCTGTCGAGGAGCGTGAAGAGGATCTGGAGCGTCGTGTTGGTCAGCGACCATTCGGTTGTCAGGCTCGGGACGACGTCGAGCGGCGAGCAGCGCGTACGTGTCCATGCACATGCTCGGCGCCGTGTGCAGGATCTTGCTGCACCGCGAGTATATACCTTTTATTCCGATACTCTGCGACAAGCCGGTCGGACCGCTCGACGAGCCCACCTTTCCGGCGGGACGGGAGCCCGAGGGGTTCTGGGAAGCCAGCGCGGAGGAGATCTTCTACGCGGCCAAGGTTATTGTTGACCTTGCCGAAATCTGCCGCGACAAGTTACCCATGTTGTCGCTCGTGTTGTTCGCCATCTGGACGGCCGCCTTTGTCGGCATCTAGTGGCGCAAGCCTCTTTGTGATACTGGCACTGCACTGATGTTCAGCACCCTACGAAAGTCGGAATGTTTGACTAAATCAAAGGTAAGAAACAGACAGGAGAGATCAGGATCATAAGAGGCCATAGCCTACCTGAGAGATGCTAGCGAGCCAGGGGTACTGGTTGACGCCGATGCACTTTTCAAGTCGGAACACCATGGCAAGACGAGGCACTGCAACAGCAAAGCGAAAGATCAACAACACCGACGCTGTGATTTGCCTTAGTTATTGTACCTCTGACTTGACTCCTTTCATCCGCCCACCAACCGTTTCATCTCTGCCCTCTACAGGATGGACGGTTGACGAGCCGGAAAAGCGCGTAGCTTTGCTGGAGCAGCTCATCGGCCCACCCACCGGACCCCTAGCTTCCTACAGCGGACATTCTGCCACGTCCAGCTCGGGACAAAAGTCCGGTGATCTCAGGACCTCACAATGGGAAGAAGACCGCAGATTGGGGGTTCCCAGTCGGTTGAACAAGCCAGATTTGTCGGCGTCAGTCTCCAATCTGTCAAGAACAGGAGGCCACCCGATCTCGGGTGACTCGTAGTCCACTTTGACATAGACCGTCTTCGAGCCGTGGGGGTAATGTTCCCTCCCCCGGAGTCCACTTCAACCGGCGACGAGCCAAGTCCGAGAGGAAATACAGCCGGAACCCCTGATCCTCGTGGCTATCGGGTAAGTCTTCAGTCTGATCGATCAATCTACCACTTCCATCGGAACTGACCAATGCAGGCGGTCTGAAAAGTTTTGATTAACTAGATCATCATTCTAATATTTATCTGCATGCCGTTTCCCTCGAAGCAAGCGGGCGCAGCAGCCGCCGTCGAGCTCACGGTTGGGGGGGTGAGGCCCAGCAATGGCCGGGCAGAAAAGCGACCTAGGACCAGACTGGACTCGAAGGCGGCCGGTGGGGGGTTTGAGAGAGAGCAAAGATAGAAAGAAAAGAAAGAAAAAGGAAAAGAAGTAAACTTAATGAACAGGAAAAAGAGAGGAAAAGGCAACAGAAAGGAAGAAAAGAGAAAAGAAAACAGCAAGGGGATGATTCGGAGGGGGCCCTAACAGAGCTACTGTGGCGGTGGGATCAGTTATTGTTCCATTTGGATCTGCCAGATCGGTGTAGAACTGCGGTGAGGGATGACGAGGAGACCCCGACGGAAAACGACAGCTGGCGCGGGAACCAGCAGCAGTACTCGCAATGGCAGTGGTGGAAGAAAGAAGAGGAGGGATCAGAAGGCACAAACTCACCTCCTTCCCACCTTCCGGAGATTTTGCGGATCCAGGGTCAACACGCTGTCCTAGGGAAGCAGATGTGTATATCTTGTCATGGGGCAGATGATCCTGTGGATACCATCTTCCCACACACCTCTTTCCTGTCTTTAGCTCTTTCATACTCACTGTACGACACACGACAGAATGGCTTTCTCTTTCTCCAGGCCGCGCTCCCTGCGGGAAGAAACGCTGCCCGTCTTGACATGCGGCAATGGGACGGCGCCTGGGAAGAGACGAAGTGGTACGATACTGTGTGTGTTAGTGGAGATGATACTAGAAAGAGGTTGGTGCAGCAGTCTGTCAAGGAGGAGATGCGAGGCGAGCAGTTGATGGAGAGGCTGGGAACTAAGCAGCCCTAGGAAGGAAGGGGGGGGGGTGGCGGTGATGATGATGATGATGATGATGATGGGGGTACCTTAGGTGGAATTGATGATATTGACGTTGGGATGTGCCGTGTTTGGGCGGCTGTCTGTATCAGCGACTACTGGCGCTCTCTTTGCTTTTGCTAGCGCAGCACCGGCAGCATAGTTCTGCCCACCGAGGCGAACCAGGGGTTCCAGGTCGACTTTCCGGATATACCCGTTAGTAGTATCGGGGCCACCGAGGCAGCATCCCGGGAGATCAAACTCTGAGAACTGGCCTTGAGTCTGGCGACGACCACGACTCCGCCCTGATCCTTCAGCCATATTAACTCTGGCTTCTAATGAACGAGGGAGCTATCCACAACTACCTTGTTGCCGTGGTTAACGAGAGCGGCCTGGCACTGATGCTTCGCAACGGCCAGGGTTCCGTCGTGGGAATCGACTTTGTCTACCGTTCGGGGATATGGGTGTAGTCCAGTGTTATTAGCTCTATGGAGTAAGGGTGTAACCTGGCTAATTACAATAGCCTGCCCTTCTCTCAATGGGTGGCTAGATTGTCATGCTATACAAGATATCTCGCAGGGGCAGCACTCTGTTGATAGTTCTAGAGGTATTGTCAAGATTCCCAACTGTGTTAGCCAATATACCGCAATCAAACAAGAGCCCTATGGAATCAACAGTTTGTTGGCGGAGCTACCAAACTAGTCACACTTCATTGTTGAACAGGGGCTTCGCTCTTTGGTAAGGAAGGTACGGCGGACCACGGGGTTCGAAGTTGTAGACTCTTACATCCAACCACCGACCAACCCACAAATACACTCATTTCATCCACGTTGTTTTCGTGACTGGAACCTGCTGACTTCCCAAAGTTCACGTACGGCCAAACTGGCAAGTCTCCTTCCCACCCCGGGGCCTCGACGCAGGCTTCGTAGAGGCGGTTAAGGGGGTCTACCTTTCAGAACACAACAACTTGGCCCATCGGGACTCGACTTCGGCTTCTTTGAGGTATGCATTCTGGTCTAGAAGACTATCGGCCACTGATTTACTGATAGTATAATACAGCCCTTCCCTCCCGCGTGCGCGGCCTCCAACAGTTCAGAACAGCACGAATCTGTCCCCCCTAGAATCACGATCTAGGGTACTTCTCCGAGGTATTCCTTTTCCTCTTAGAATGGCGTCTGGCCATCAATTGTACTAATATTAAATCCCAGCGCTCTCTCTCTCTCTCTCTCTCTCCCGGCGTCTAGCAGTTCGGAGCAGCACAACTCGGTCCCATCGGAGCTCGACCCCAACAAGCCAAACATTCACTCGGATAAAGGGTGTTTATTTCCAGCTTTGTTCTCTCTTGTATCACATAGTTACATTCTCCCTCCTATGCCCGTGGCCGGGCCGGGAGCCACAGGGAAAGCAATTCTGAACGTCAACGAGGACCTAGAAAGGCGCGGTCTTGAGGCGCGCAGGAACACAGCGCTCGACTCGAACGGTGTCTGTGACAATAGGGGCAACTCACTGGAGATCAATTGTTGCACAGGAGTTGAAGGCAGAGATGGCTGAGAGTACCACCACCTGATAAGGTATACGACGGGCCGAATAGGGGATATCCCAGCAGACGCGGAGAGATACCGGGAGAACCCCTATATACTAATCAAAGATCGAACGACTGGGGTCTCGGGCTCGACAAGGGGGCGGGAACGAGCAACGCCTTTCCCAGTCACCGGGCGCAACGCGAAACCGGGATGTTCGATTCGACCGCGAGGACCATACATTTATGGTAAGATAGGCAAGTCATCTACACCAGCTTTGTCCTGGGTGAATACATGGTCTGACTAGTTAGCTTCACAAGGCCGACGGCTTACAACCCAAGACGATCGACACGTTCCGGCAGATGCGCCTGGCAAACTCTCTGTTGTAGTGTGATGACGAACACCCCCACGTATGCAATATTTGCGCTAGGCCCCCCGCCGGAAGCAACGTGGATAAGGACTTGAGGGGGAACCGGCAGACGCCGACGAAGGGCGAGGAACTTGTTATACTATGAAGGCCGTAGAGGGATTATAATGCGGTGGCATGTAAGTATTAGTGAAATGTAGGGCTTACACGGGTTGAATTGCTTGCTTGGGGAAGAGGTTACGTCCTGGGGGAGCTGTAGCCCTTATGTATAGAGAGCCTTAAATCCTAATCTACCTTCCTATAAACATATGTTCCGGTACCTTGTTCCCAGAGCATGCTTTCCTGTGGCGCCATCCCCTACTTTTAGCAGGTGCGAACACCTGCCTTCTTGGTCGTTGTTGTTGTTGTCGTTTGCTCTAGGCGATGGCTGTCGTTTTCATCGAGGTGTATTCATTGACCTGCAGGATAATAACCATGTCAACGGGTTCTTGGTAGCTAGGTTAGGTCCACTAATAGCTCCGTACCATGTCTATGACGCGTGTGAGGGAGGTCTTGGTTCAATACCTAAGCAAACATGTGGAAACAAAGGTCTTCTATAGAACTGCTGCAAGAGGGGTAAAAGTTGCTTTCCTATGGTGAATAACATTTAGATGCCCGACTAACCGTTGGGTGGTTGAAGAGCTAACGGCCGAAGCATCTAGTAAGGTAAGTACCTACCTAAGGTAGGTACGCATCCTCCATGCTCTCTGCCTGGATTACGCCTGCCGCCTACCTCTTTGCCCGCACCGGGTTGGGCATCACCATTGTAGCTACGCGTGCCGCCACCTCCTATCGACTCCAGCGAGCCGTTATTACTTTCTGTTGAAAGGCTCGTCCTCTTCCTCCCGACCACCGGCAAATGGCTTCCATTCGCACTCCGCGTACGGGGAGAAATACCCTCGATCGCCTCACCTCTTGGCTGCCAGCTCCTCCCCGTCCCCTCGGCGAGTCTCCGCCATTTCGTTCCGGGTCTAGCAACCGCTCAGTAACACCAGCATCTCCCCGACTGCCGTCCTGGCTATCCGACGGGATAAATACAACATCCGAAACTCCAAGCACATTCCCTTGGCATCCACGCCTACATTCCTGTGTATAGCGTCTCGTCGCTGCCCTTGTTGGAGACGGTATTGGGTATTGGGAATACCTTTCTAAATCATCTCGTTCGTTCCTCTCTTCATTTCTCTACCGTTCCTTGCCCCCTTCTAGCAATTTAGCAATCACCTGACGCTTCGTAACCTTGCCATAGGGTACAGATAGCCTCCCGATCTGCATCGTGGGCAACAAGTGCGACTTGCGCCCCGAGGACCACGGCTCCACCCTAACCGGCATGTCATCCCCCGGCACACGCATTCTTGGTACAGCTTATCTTGTCCCAACGCAATCACCGGTTACAAGACCAGTCTCGCGTCCCGAATTTGAACACTCAGCGGCTTGTTTGTTTGTTTGTTTGTCCACCCTTAACGTCCGGGTTGGAGACAACCACCCACACCCGAAGCGTCCTGCAGAACTGACACAGCAAGACTGTCTCCTTCTGGCTGGTCTAACCTCCTTAGTCAATGCGGCTTCGTGGGTTACATCAAGAACGCACATGAGTGCTACCCTCCGGGGGCACTGGCTACGACCATTTGCAGCAGCCGCCGCCAGCGGCATGCCACCGCCGAAAAGGAGCTCCAAGGGAGTGGGATAGGCACCGGTTCCCGGCATTCGACCAGCGCCACCCGGTGGCTATGGGCCAGAGGCGCCATTGCTCGCAAGCAATGAAGAGTGGGGAGGGCAGGGGGCAACGGTTAGCATGAGAAGCGAAGTTAACGCTGAAGGGAGGACCGTGATAACATCGGTCAAGAAGGGTGTCAGAGACTTTTCGTTGGAAAAGATGTTAAGATTCATGTTGAGGGGTATATTCAAGTGCTGGGGGAGGAGGAGCATCCTGCTAAAACGAGGGGCAGAGACCACAAGGTAGGCAGGTACTACCTAGGGGTATCGGTATGGCAGGAACAAGGGCAGAAGACCGGGCAACAGGTTCTCTGTTGCGGCGTGTTGGGAGGTCAGAGGCAGAGAAAAGAGGTCTGAATACTAGGGTAGGTGACGAAGAAGGTGAAGGATGTGATGTGCCAACCTAAGCCGGGAACTGGCTTATATGTGGAAGGGCTTGAAGACCATACTGAACACAAAGACCACAAAGGTCTTTCGCGGTTCAACGCTCTCCATGTACAATACATAAGGAACCAAGGCCCCTAGAGTCTCCGACCCCTCAAGCAAGCAATACAACCTGGGTGACCCGCTAAGTTCAACACCTCTGTACGATGCTACCTGTTATGACAAGCCTACCCCTGACGCGCCCATCTTAGCTCTACCGCTGCGGCTCAAACCAGCCCCGGCAACTCCGCAGAAAGAAAAAGCCGAAGGCTAACAGGAACAAAGTACACGACGAGGGAGAATGGGTGCATGTCACGTATGGGCCTGTTTGCATTTTGGTAACCAAAGGTAAAGTTTTGCTCCGGTCCCTTACTGGCAAATATGCTCGTAGAGCCCACACTAGCCAAGAAATCCCCCAGTCAAGGAACTCTCTAATAAAGTGCAGACAGTTCAATGGGGGATACTAGAAAGCTACATGATATATTTGTCAGCTAGTTACTACTTGTTGTAAAATCTCGCCGATGTTAAGTTCAGTTGTTGCCCTGCCGGCAACAAAGTGGTAACCTGACGAGAGTGGTGCCAGTAAGGTAAATGGAAGAGGGTGGTCACCCCCGCTAGGTCGCTTTCTTCCCCCACACGACACAAACCGACAACTTCTTGCACAGATTCAGCGGAATGACTCAACGCTGTTACATCCCGGAATATCCTCCATCTTCTCCCACTCATCATGACTCATGGTGCCCAATGGCGCTGTAACCCTTGAACAATTTTTAGATCCGGCTCCTGCTTTCAAGTTGTTGAAGAAATCGACATCAGCTGACAGGGTCATGATATCTTCGTCATCCTTTGACCTGGCCTCGTTTGTTCACGAAAGGCCCCATCTAGCGCCTCAGTCATCGCTCAGCTGTTCTTTGACGCTGAGAAAAGCCAAGTACTACTATCATGACGCACTGCTATTTTCGCTCTCTAGATTACCAACGAGCTACTTACCTGTAGGAGGCCGCGGGCATGATCGGCGCTCTGCCGACACTAAAGACTCTGGTAACAGACTTCGGTCCATCTATGCCAACAATTTGCCGAACACTTGCCTTGTCAGAGACACCATCATTACCCAGCGTGGTGGGCTATACAAGCTACCAGAAAGCAAACGGCTTAGATATGACATCTATGGTTAGTAAGTAACTTCCATGCTATGACTAGCACGACTAACTGTGGATGAAGAGCTAGCAGCCGAAGTGTCTACTTAACGCGACACCGGCAATCTGGATAGATGACCCGGGAAGCTGAAGAAAAGCACCAGAACCGAAGTCCGAGCCCAACGTCCATTGGCACAGCGTTTCCCTCAAAACGGGTGTCAACACCAAGAAGGGTAGGTGAACATCATGCCCCAAGAGCTCGCAATGCCTCGGGCTGGAGGAGAACGCCGTGGCCTTGTGGGATCTCTCGCTGCTGCTCCACGTTGCCCAGTACATCAAGACATTTCAGGATGGCAAGGGCTGACGTCAAAAATAAAAAGCAAACAACACCTGGGCGAACAACAAACTCCTGCGTAGACTGAAGACTCACCTTGAGGATACGCTCGACTTCATGGTGGAGACTGGCATCCGGGCGATCATGGTTGCCGGGGCAACCTGAGATTCCCGCCATGCGCTACAACAACCGCACGCGACCGGAACCCAACGTGGGGAAGGAAATCAATGCGGAATGCGGCCGGCTTGGTTGAGCTGCTGGCTGAAAGCGACTCCGTGAGCGTAAACTTACCCCTGAATGTGAGTCACCCCCCGTTTCCGCCTGTCCTGATGCTCGCAGGTCTCTCAGCAACGCTTCGCTGACGGCCCCCAAGAAAGATAGCGAGGACCACATCTGCCAGCTTCTATCGTGGCTGGCCCCCCTTACTTCGCTGGTGAGTAGTCCCAGCACCACGGCGCACCCCCTTTCTTTCCGGCCGCTCCGCCCTACCACCGCCAGCAGTCTGCCGCGACACGCGCCTCATCCCGTCCGTCCATTGACCTGCACCCGGGCAGTCAGTTAACTGGGACAAGCAGGGAAGCCTCCAGGAGCGGAAGCGAAGAAATTTCGTAGGATTCCGCAGACCGAATCTGGTCGCTCCTGGCTACCGAAGAAGAAAGAACGAACGAAGCGTTTTCATCCACGAGATAGCATGAGAAGTGCCAAGCGACAGGCCTCGCGGTCACCTCCGCTGAACTCAGGTCAACAGCGGTTATCACGGGGATAAAGGCCTCGGGAATGTAGCTCCTCTAGGAGTTTCATAACTCGGGGCGTAGTGATTGGCAAGATTCCTGGCGTATTGGGCACCAGCGGGTCTTCTCCCCTTCCGATACCCCGAGCGTCCGGGCCGCCTGGCGCGCATCCGAACACCCAAGACCCGCCACCCACCCGTTTTGCCGTCCGCCGCCAGCCTCTCACACCAGAAAAAGGAGGTCCCTGAGCTCCCCCTGTCATCCTCCCAGTCGTCGTCCGGCTCTTCGTCACCGCCCGGGTCACCCTGATCGCTCTGCACGCGCGCAGGAAAGCCCCTCCCTTCCCACTCCGCCCGTCGCCGGTCCAGGCTCGGATGTGGTGTCTGCGGTGCGGCATCTCCAACCAGTAGGTTGTCAAGGTGGCTTTGTTATCAGGAACCTTCGGTTGTTCTATGGCCCAATCACTCTGGGCTGCTTCCTCATACACCCACGGACGAGGAGCATCCTACTCGGCACTTGAAAGATCATTTTCCTCTTGATGGGTAGAGCCATGGACCTCTCGGCCAAGGACCTCATCAACGAGGTGCAAATCATCGGCTTCGGGAGCTTGAATCGTCGCGGACACCTTGTCATCACAGCGTACGGCCCGTGTGGTCGTACTACTGACAAGACAAATACCGGCTCACCCGCTCTGAGCACTCGTTCAACCCCCTTGCGCCAGTGGGATGGCAGATCAGAGGATTGTGGGACCCGGCAATCTGGTTCCATTTCCGCGCCAGAATCCCGGGTCCCGAAACCTTGTCAAATGTCAACATCAACAAATGTCTGGGATGTTTGCAAAGGTAAGGTACCTAGGTAGCTATTGTTTGTAACCAAGCCGCTAGCTCCAATTCTCTTGAAAGCCGCCGGTTTGGTAACATTATATCCAGGGTGAGGATAAGGATGGGCTCTGTTGCCTTGTGATCACTTGCCTTGCCGTCAATCAATCGACGCGCCATTCTCAGTCGGCCACTGAACCCGGTTCCCGACCCCTGGCGGCTGAAAAAACGCGGGGGTTACACTGCGTCATTAGCATGACAAACCATGTCTCAAACACAAACAACACCAAAACAGCCAGGCAGCCATCACGATGAAGGTCATCGTCACCGGATGTACCGGCCTGGTCGGTAGCGCGCTGGTACGCCAGTGCGCCGCCAACGACAGGATTTCGCATGTGTTTGCGTTGACCCGGAAGCCGCTACCCGAGGCCGTCGCCCAAAGCCCGAAAGTGACAGTCATTCTCCACAGCGATTTCTCCACGTACCCGCCCGAGCTGTTGGACCAGCTCGCCGGAGCCGAGGGCTGTTTATGGTGGGGTCATGCCTCTCTTCATTATCACCTTCCGAGTGATAACATAATAAGCACGGCTGATTGACACACGATTACCGGGGCAGGGCCATCGGCGGGCGCGCGACCCAGTTCCCTGACGTCGAGACCTGCAGAAGAGTGCAGGTGGACTACACGCTGGCCGCCGCCAGGGCCTTCCTGGAGCATCTCGCGCCGCAGCTCCCGGAGGGAAAGCAGTTCCGCTTCGTGTTCTGCAGCGGAAAGTTTGCCGAATGGGACCAGAAGAAGGCCCTCTATTTCATGGCCGACACTCGCCGCATCAAGGTATAGCATACCCTTTCATCGCGCACTCCCTTATTCAGTAATCCCCTTATTATTGGTTTCCCTAATCAAATGGCTGAGTGTTTCTGTAGGGGCAAGTGGAGCAGAGCCTCTGCGAAATCGCAGATGGGGACGCGACGAAGCGATTTGTCGTCTACTGCGCCCGGCCCAGCGGCATTCTCCCTCCGGATGCAGGTTTAGCGCTCAGGCTCCCCGGCAAGCTGTATGGTGCCATCGAAGTCGACCATCTTGCCAGGGCCTTTATCCGTATCCTACTCGAAGGCTGGAAGGAGAGGATTGTCGAGAATGACCAGTTGCTGCAGCTTTGATTCGTACCTCTATGGACCGATCTAGTCTCTCATCTAATGATGGATACGGTTGTCGGTACATGTACTCGTAAAGCGTTTGTGTTGGATATCAATGGCTTTTTCTCCGTGGGTGTGCTCGAGGGTCTCGTTTGCCTCTAGGGCTATGGACCGCCTCCCCTCGCTGTGGTTCGGCGCTGGGGCGAACGTCGTCTGCAGCCAACGTTTGAATCTTGGGCGCTGCCAGACGGCGCATTGATCCGAACTATTGTCAAGCTGAACACATCTACAAGTTCTCATAGCGAGCATCACTACCAGCAGTTTGCAACCTTTATGTCTAAGGCCAAAGCTAAGCATAATAATAGCACCATGAGCAATGTACAACGGAGGGACCCGGGAACTCGAGTGTGAGTAGGTAAAGCCGGTTTCCCGCCGGCGGAGCTTTGCTACAAATGGCAAGCCGAGAGGTGATCACGGATATATAGAAGTATCCCAGTTGGAATGCAGCCATTTAATCCCGTCGATCTGGCAAAGTCTCCCCTTTGCCAGCGGCCCGCCTACCAAGTACTTGGTCAGCGGGTCAGTCACAATATCCCACGGAACGAACGCCATGGCGCAAGAGTCCATGGTTGTGGCTGGCTGCCTGTGTGATGGTTTTCTCTGTCTACATGGAACTTGCCGCAGGGTTGGAATTCGACTATAGGCTTCTGAGCCGTTTGTTCCGTCCCATCATTCGTGGGATGAGTTTTCTTCCTGCAATAAGCATCGCAAACACACAGCGGCGAATGCCACGACCGATCGGGGATCGCCCGGCCTGCATGCCTTAGACTTGGCGTAGCTTCCATTTTTCAATCCGGGGATTGGTCGTTGACGTTCCAACTGACAGTCTGACACTAACTAATGTTCTGAAGGTCCACTCCATGTTTTAGAGTGACCTACGCTAGCTACGCTAGCAAGCGAGATCGCGGTGCAAGCCGACTTGGTCCATTGGCTCCGCGGAAATAGTGTTTGGTGATCGGCTTCCTTTTGACACCGGCTGCTGTCCGCCGAGATGGAACGAGCCGAAAAGCAAAAGGCGCGCTGCCTCGGAGATCTGCCGAACGGAACCTTCCATCCACTTGCCAGAGACGTCGGCCGGCCTATGACATGCCTCTACTGGGTACGCCCTGACGTATATTGTACTTACATTCCGTGGAGTGTAATAGGTAGCGTTCACGGCAGTCTCCGAGGCTAGAGGAGTGGCAGCGTTTCCAGATATAGACACCGAGCTAGGTTGATCGTTTGCTACCACTGCATACCGTAATGTGCGAGGTTTGGGATGCCATCAATATGTTTGGCAGCTTGTCAGTGTGGAACGGCGTTTGATGTCAAGCAAACTTTCCTACAGATTATAGTCACTTGTATATCCGGAGCTGACTCCGGCTCGGGAAGACCCAGCCAATTCCCAATCTCTCGGCCCGTCACACACACACACACACAATCTAGGATATCAGGCCTCGACAGAGTTCCAAGCAGTTTGCTTCCTCGACAAGGCTGTATTCTCCATCGCACACTGTGAAGATGCAAAGTACTGATCCTCCTCTCTAGGAGAGCTGCAACAACCGGGTTCAGCTGGCCAATTGAACTCCCTGGAGCAAGATCCAGCGTTCAATAGCCAATGGTTGCGGTTTGGTAGCGTTCGTTCCTTTTTGGGCAAAGCGCTAAAGCCTCTATTCGCGTTTTGCCCGGACTCTCTGCGATTGCAAGGGGTACCAAAACACAACTTCCATGTACGGATAGTCCTCCTTTTCATGCGTTCGGTTTCTGGACTACCACATGGTTACAACACAGTGCGTGGCAGTTGGCACATTTCTGCGCATGGACCCCGCAATCTCTTTGTGCTCACATTCACTTCGGTTCTGGCTGACAGAAGCTAAATTATACCCCGGTAAGGACTAAGAACGAATGGGGAAAGACCGGGACACCGTGTGCCGGGCTCTACTGGAGCGCCTTGGTTGACGAGACATGCATGTCTCCCTTTGCCTCGGGCAAGGAACTGGCAGTGAACATAAGCGGGCCGAGTTCAAGCTCGCCCAGACTCTAGAGTCGCTCTAAGTTCTAACGGACTGGGTAGCCGATCGTTTCCCACTCTTTTCGTCCTTGCATCCGCTATGCGCCACCAAGGCTGAACTCGCAGCTGTAACTCTGGGAGAGGACACGCTTACGTCGTGCTGCAGGTTGAGCGCACCCCCCTGACGCCCAGACAAGGAGACAACCACAGAACCAGGGTCTTGGCATCCCTGGCAGACAGAGACCCGGATGGCGCCAGGGTAGGTAGGCGCCTTGGTTACATCCTCATGTGCTCTCGTCCACATAAAGTCAGCTGTGTCTCAGAGCAGCATGTGTTGGGAGACAGCCCCTCCTTTTCTTCATTCACACCTTTGATTTTGCCCGCCACGATACTCGCTGAGCCTCCCTATCCACGAATGCATAAAGAACAGACCGTCCGTAGTAGGGCAGCTGAGGCAACAGCCCCCGCTAATTCTTCTCATCCAGTCTTCGCTGAGCACTTTATCGGGGCGCTTCACATTCAGCGCTCCAAAACACCTTCACACGGCCGTCGAAGCATTGTCAAGTTGAACATGCCTTGCGAAGAAAACACAGCACACCATTCAAAGATGCAGCCACCCACAGTTGCACCCACAGTTCAGGCTGTTCAGCCCGACCAAGGCGATGAAGAAGCCTTATTAAATGACTCCGAGCTCGAGACCACAGATTCGGACCCAATTCACATATCCGATTCGCCACAACCAACACAGGCTTGTCAAAGTACGGATACACTTGCGGACTCACCTCCAGAAGAAGAAGAAGCGCCGACCCCGCCTCCGCTCATGCATTTCCCCCACTGCCGGCTGGACATCACCACCATCACGGCCAGCGACCTGCCGGCCTCGGTCCGGAACAACCTCACTTCGTCGTCCATCCCGCCCGAGTGCAAGTTCGAGCGGGTGGCGCTTCCGGGATCCCTCGTCCGCACGCTCCTCTCGCGGTTTGAGGATGAGATTGTACAAACAACAACGACAACTCAGGCGCGGGAACAACCACAACCACAACAAAAGTCACAACAACAACAATTACTACAGCCCCGCCTGACAGTAAATGGTGGGAGTGGTGGCGGGAGTGGCGGTGGAAGGAAAGAAGCGGTGCAGATCCAGCGGCACTTCGACGACGACGACGAATGGGTCTACTCGCGCTGTCTGCTGGCCGATTACACCAACTTCCGCGAGGACGAGGCCGAGGCGCTGTCGGAGCACAGCAGGCTTTGTTGCTGGGCTAGTGTACTACTGCGGCCACTGCCACTTGAACCTGGGGCCGCCGAAGGGGAAGGGGAAGGGGAAGGGGGAAGTAGTAGCGGTGGTGGTAGTAGTGGTGGGTGGGAGTTGGAGTTTATCGTGCTGCGCGTGGGGGTCAGGGATCCCGAGAGTGGGTGGTGTGAATGTTTCTGATGCTGATCTCTGGCTTTACTTGGTTGGGTTTGCTTGCTTTTTCCTACTGCGGCACTGCCTTGGGTATTTATTCGAGTTTATTTCCGCTCTACTTCTTTTCATTTCTTCGTCATCTTCCTCTTCTGGCTTTCATATGAATGCAGGGCAAGTTTGGGGACGGTTTGCTGTTGGCAAAGTGAAGGGGTTGACTTTTTACACTTTTCAGGACTGTCATTTTCGCTTGGGTTTGTGGGATGGGGCGTTCGTCAAAAGGATGTGATATTGATGGAGACCGGATAGGAATCAGGGTTGAAGGGAGAAAGAAACGTTTTCTGTCGTTTCTGGGTTGGGTTGCTGTTCTGACTCGTTGGTCCTGGATTCCTTGATGCGTCCTGACTCGTTTTGTTGGTTGGTTGGATGGCCAGTGTGCGTGTTGTTATTCCCGCAGGCCTTGTTATTGTGCCACGGGGCTATATGTAGTAGCCCAGGTTCCATGCCTGCTCTGCAGCTTCCGGCCCTCTCCGTCGTGTCATCAATGCATCCTTTCCCAAATGCCGCGTGGGGCGGCGCAGAACCAAATCCAATTTCTTCTATGACACCATTCAGAGCACCGTTTTTGGGTTGCTCAGCTCCAGGTTCGCACTCCACGGAGCGCTGGACTCAGCGTTCTTCAGCTCTAATTGGCTGCAGGATATGTATCGAACCCCAACTAGGAATAAGTACCGGACGCGGATGGGCTGAATGAACCCTTCAGCTTTGAAGGGAACATCATCCCACCCGACTCTCATTGTCGTCTTCGCTCTGGATTGGTTACCCTAGCTTGCATACAGACTGTTGGTGCGTCCGGAGTTTTGCCGAACCACGGTGAACAGTACATGTATATGAATAACCTGGAACGAAGCATCCGGAGCCTCCGACCATGGGACGAGACGTCGAGACGGGTACCCTACCCTCAGTCCCTCGCCCGTCAGGGAAGAACCTTGCATGGTTCCATTTCATACTGGAACCCACAACCTCCGGCAATGGCAAATTATCTCTGTTTGTTAACGGGATTCGAACTGCAAACCACATGCGGCCTAGCCAAAGCACAGACCTATTGGTCTGCTATGGTCCGCGGTGCAGAAGTCCAGACCCGCATGGAACTTGGGCCAATGGTGTGGAGGTACAACTGCGAGGCCAAGGGATGTTCGGAGTGTCCGGATTCCCAGGGCGGCATCATGCAGAACCAAATCATAACGCTGGGTGGTTCGTTGAGCTGTGCCGCAATCGCGCTGTGTTCGGTTGCACAACCTTGCAGGGTGTATGTGTATTGTATTTGTATTGTACCTACGCTTCCATGGCTTCGTTGCCAAGGACGTGTCAGCATCCTTCTGAGGGAGAGCGATTAGCGAGGTCTTCGGTTGATCAAACATCCGATTGTTTGTCGTCTACACGTACGCGTAAACAAAGAAACGAATGTTTGTTGGTCAAGTCTCGTTAGAGGCCAAGGAGCAAGGACCGACATAGGGTTAGGCACATCGCTTGCAGGAGAGTGCTATAGGGAGATCTCCTGTCACATGAGCGCCATGTAGCATATTACACATTTCACCGGACAAAGGGCGTCATCTCGGTCATGTACAAAAGACACGATTGGAAGTTCCGCGGAATAAGAATGGGAGAGATGTCAAAAAACAGGCAGGCTTCATTCACCGTGGCCCGCTTCGATTGTGTCGAAGCCAAAATCTCCATGTTTTGGCCTACTTATCCCAAATTGCCTTCTCCAGTGTCCCAAAGTCAGCTCCCCTGGACAGCCTACCTCTCCTCCTCCTCCCCATCCCCATTATAAGCCCTCTGCACTATACTTCTTCCCCCCCCCCCCACCTCCCCCCCAACTGAACAGCAGCCTCCCTCTCCCTCTTCAACCCCTCCACCTCCCGCCTCATCCGCTCAGTATCCCTATCCAAAAACCGCATCACCCTCGACGCCCGATGCAGCACATCCACTTTACTCGTCCTCCTGTTATTTCTCCGCCCACTTGCGTTCCTACCACTCACACCACTTCAACTTCCACTTCCACTTCCACTTCCACTTCCACTTCCACTTCCACTTCCACTTCCACTTCCACTTCCACTTCCACTTCCACTTTCACCCCCTGTCTTACTCCTCCCCATTGCTCCTCCTCCTCCAACCACCACATCCACATCCCCCGCGCGGCCGCCGCCGTCTGCATCATCCTCCTCTCCGAGCATCATCATCCCCTCGGGAGGAGGAAGCACCTCCAGCAGCACCTCATACTGGGCGTGCAGCCGCCGGCGGTGCTGCTGCTCCACTCGGATGTGGGTGGCGCGAGCGCGCTGGTGCTCGGGCGACTCGCCTGGCCTGGCGAGGACGGCGGACGGCGAGGGACGTTGGATGCGTCGCGGGCCCGTGCGGAGGAGGAGGGTTGGGCCGCCTCTCGGGGGGGATGATACCCCTCTGAGTCTGGATGGGCGGTGGAGACCGTGGGGTTGGTTGGGTACTAGTAGTAGGGACGGGCTTGTTTCGGGTGATGAGGAAGAAGAACATGGGTTGGTTACTTTTACTAAGAGGGGCGTGTGCATTAGCGGCGCCGGCTCTGTTGTTTCCGCCGGGGACTGCTGAGGTTGAGGTGGTGCTGATGTGCGTTCGATGGAGGATGGTGGGCTTGGCTGATTGAATCCGGCGGCTTGGTTCAGGTCCTCCTCGGCCGGTATTGTAGGCACAAGGTGTCCGAGCTTTGCAAGTAGCAACACTTCGTCTGGGAAGTCCGTGGGCTGAATGTGTCCGGTCCATGGTACCGGGATGGCGAAGGTTCCAGGGAAGGTATCTGCTGCAAAGTCCGCCTTGGGGGAATCTCAGCAGGCGTGCTCGAACTCATATGGCAAGTTGACTTCGCCCCAGCTATAGAGTCCGGGGATACCGCTGTGCGAGGCCACGAGAGTAGAGGCGCATGGAGCGATCTCCAGTGCGTAATTCAACTCTCCATCCACGCCCTCGCACGGGGCTGGACTCACGGGGCTGATCGGCACCCACGAGCAGTTGATAAGCATAGCATCGTGGTTTGGCCCGTCTGGAGGTGACGCTGCCCGACAGGACGGTGCTGGGCTGGGTAAGCCGCCGACCGGCAGACAGCCATAATGCTGTATGGGTTGTGTATGGACAGAGGGTCCGTCAAAATAAGATGAACCCGCTAGCTCCTGGCTGGACTTCCTTGGGGCGGGGTGGTGGCCCGAAGGCGGTTGGCCGATGGGCGTGGAAGCCATCATGGTGACGTCCGGAGTCTATCCTGTCCTTAGGGTTGGCTTCTACGATACGGGCTTCGTCTCCATGGGATGGCAGAAGAACGGCCAACTCATATAGACCCGGATTGCATACCTCTGTTGGCCACCAGATCTGATGATGGTTCATCATATCTCTTTCCCTTCAAAACAAAACTAAACGATGTTGCTTTGCTGTCTTCCAAAGTTGTGAATAAGGCAAGCATCGACCTTAAAAGCTGGCAGCTCAGGGCCTCTCTTGGGCGATTGCCAAGGCCCGAGTCCAGCGTCCCAAGCCAGCGGGATGCCGAGGGCAAGTGGACATTGAGGCCGCGGTGCAGATACACCACTAGTGCACGCCCCTTGACCCATTGCACGGTGGATCCAGTGTTCCGGGTCTTCCTGGCAAACATTCACAGCCGTCATCGCAGTTGGACGCCATGGTAGACACTGACAGACGGGCGTACCCGAGCCACCGCACTGGAAAGACTGTCCGCAGATGCCCCACCTACTCAAGTAAGGCAGTTAGTTAAACTGGACAGGGCCCATATCTGAGAGATGGGAAGCCGGCCAAGGGCTCGAGCCAAGACAATGCCTCCACAGTGATGTGTGTTGCTTTGCCGGGTGGCATACCCATGACCAACTGCCAAGCTGCTCTCGAGCCTCCAATGCGACGGTAACCCCGTTGGCTTCATCGGTTACGGTGGAAGCGAGGGGTACCTAGGTATGTACCTGCACTAGACCTCTTCAGCTGATGGAGCTCGCAATCCATTGTTTGCAGCAACAGTGGCAGACCCCCTTCGCTCGACGCTCATGGCCAGGGCTGCTTCCATCTGCGGTGAAGCTGACATCCCCACCCTCTGATGTTAGTGAATGTTAAATAGGTATCAAAACTATCCTCCCCGTCACTTCCCTTCCGGTGCGGTGCTGTTGCTAGGTTTGATCCCAGCAACGACACAAAAGAAATGGCCAAATGGGAGAGAGTGAAGCCGAGCATTGGCGGTCTCCTGTCCCTGCTGTGTTTTGCCTCGCATTTTCTCCGCTTCGGACGTTCCACTCCATCGGTTCCCAAATCGTGGGCTTGCATATGCATGCGACACAGTGCTACCCTTCAGGACCCGCACCCTAGCATGGGCAGGCTAGTGTACGCTTACTGTAGGCCAGGGCGCGTGCTGCATGTTGGTCAACGCTGGGTGATCGTCGGGCGGTCTAAGGTGGCCAAGGTGGGGACCCAGGAGGCCGGGACTTTCCGAGCTAGGTCGAAAGTGTTGGCGTGAGACACACAACTCTTCCCAACCCGAGCTTCCTTGTCTGTTTCCCTCACATCTCACATTTCATCTGCTCTGAGTCTCTGACCAACCCGCTTTTGGCGATGGTTATTTCCGAAATCCCGACGCTCGGCCAAAAAGGAGTTGCTCGGATTCCGTTGCAGAACGTGCAGCTTCCGTGGAAAGTAGAACTTAGAAACTTGGTACGTTAGCTGCGACGACTTGTGTTCCAAACAGCCGTGAGAGGCCGACACCTGATTACGGATGAAGCCCTGGTAACTAGGTTGTTAGCTTCGTATGTACTCGAATGGTGTCGTATATTTCGCATCCCTGGACCCTAACGGTTCACCAGGGTACCGATCCCTAGGGGCTTCCAGCGCCTTGCTCCGCTCGGACCCTGGACTAATACTTACACACAATGCCGCATTGCCTATTTCGAGCATGTCCAAAGTCCGCGATGAATCATGACGCGCCTCCAGACACTCATAATCATAAGGTTCAAAGCAAGGGTGGACTGTCCCACCCGGTAGTTGACCCGCCGGCTCCAGCTCATCAGTGGATATTCAGTCTGGTCAACGTCTGCAGAACTTGAGGCAATCGCGGCTACACTATTGTTGTCACGGCTCCATAAGGGAAACAATCCACACGACTCCACTGCGGAGCGTATCCCATTTGATCTCTCCGGGGACGTTCCCCAATTGCCAAGAGTCTAGAACGCACAGTTCGAAGACTAATTCGACGTTCAACCCCTCGAGAAGTGCTTTTTCTTGAAGAGAGCCAGGGCGTCTCTCACAATTCCGTCTCTTCCGCTAACGGAGCGGTCCATCTGCTTCCCACCCAATAGCATACCATGTGGCTTGAATGGGAGTCATGGCACAACGCAGGCGGCACAGCAGTAGGAGTCGGTACCGAGGCTCTGGCTCCGTTCCACAACACTCGGGCCGTCAAATATGGCCGCGGGAGACCATCCGCTCGGTTCCCTCTCGCATCTCGACGACCAATTGCCGTCCACCAAGAGATGGAAGATCTCATTTGATCAGGTGTGACTGGCGTTGCTGGATCCGACGCTTTCTCGCAACGTAGAATTGGCCCAGCAGCGTTGTGTTTGTCGCACAGGAACCTGGCACAGCCCCCGTGGCTCGTTGCACAATGGAGTAATTCGGTGAGCAAGCAAAGTGGTTTAGCGGTTCTGTACTGTAGATTACCACCCTGGAGACTCTGCATCAGGAGAGCTGAGTCGGATGGTTTTAATCCGGATGACTTAGAGAGGCGGGTACTAACCTTAAGGAGCCGAACATGTCTCAACGCAGGATTCTAAGTCAATTAAGGACCTGATGTTGGATGGCGGGTTAGACAACAGAGAGCGAACTAATAGCAAACCAGAGCAAGCAGGCATTGCCCAGAAGAAACGGACATGATGTCCTGGTCACAATTACTTGCTACAATGACGGGATGCAAGGAGACATCATTTCACGGTTTCACAGTGCTCTGCATAGCTGAGTTTTCATGTTGGCGTGTAAGCAAAAAATACTAGCGAGAATACGCCCATTAATCCCGGGAACAGTGGCGATGAGAGACGTAGGGTGACAGCAAGACAACTTCAAGCAGTTGCCAGAGGACCCCGGGGTAGGTCACCATGGGACGAAGGAGAACAAGGGGCAAGCGTGGGCATGAGCTATTCGGCCTTCTATAGCGGTTCTGTTTGAGGCCGTTAGGCCGTTAGGTGGGTGTTAGGCAAACGAAGGGGGAAGGGTCATGGAGGGGGACTTGTTCAAAGGGATTGTCAGCATGGAGAGGAGGCGCGAGAATACTCGCCGGAACCGGTGCAACGGTATGGTAAGCGATGTAGACATGTCGCTTTGACTGGAGACAACGAACCCCTAACCAGCAAGTTGAACGCTTCCCAATCGCGTAGATACCCATATCAGCCTGCGCCTGTGATACGAGAAGAACAACACCATGGTACATTACATGATCGATACATCAGCAACACCGAGAAGGAAATCCACCGACGGACAGACCCTGAGAAGAACGGCGTGAGATATCCCCCTAGTTGTAAATAAGGCGGGCCGTGCTGCGGCGTGGAGGGTTGCCATCGGCGCCGACGATGAGCAGGGCGGTCGCTACATAAGCTGGGCGTGGATTGTGGTGCGAGCGAAGATTATGGCGGCGGCGACATGCTCATTGCTTGTTGCCAGCGAGCAGCGGGCCTGGTTAGGCGCGCTCAGCTGATCCGATAGGCATCGTACACGATCTCGGCGCCCCTGCGGCAGCCGCTGCCGACCCAGATGCCCGTGTTTATGTCCTGGTAGCGCTCGTCGCCGGTCTCGAGTTCCATCGTCACGCGGAGCTGGTACCGGTGAGCAGCGACATTGTCCGCCGCTACCGGGTCCGAAAGCCGCTCCATGACATCTCGGTCGCCGGTCAGCCACCCCGTGACCTTGCAGATGATGTGCGCGGGATGCTCGTCGTTCGTCTGCATTAGATACCGCGCATCGAGGCGCGTGGCCGTATCCCTGACTGTCGTCTGGGTGTCCTGTCCGCCCTGCTGAGGAGTATCAAGGTGTTAGCGCTAGGGCGGCGTCACAGAGGCAGCACGCTGCAACGACTCACCAGCAACACACCCTTGCCCCAGCGGCCGGCCCACTGGCCCCCGATACACGCGACCCAGCTTTGGCGGCCCACGGGGCTGGGTCCCACGTTCACCTTGGGCTTGACTCTAATGCTCATCCTGAAATCGAGGTCAAAAGAAGGGGCGGGCAGGGCCAGGGAGCTCGCAACATCCTCTTCGTCGAACTGGTGGCGCAGGTTGTTGGCGGGGATCTTCTCCTTCAGCACACTCTGATAGCCCGGGCACGTCATCAGATGCTCTCTCTGTCTCGAGGTGTTCTTAGCCCGGACTTGGTTGCAGTAGATGCAGCGGGCCGACATGCACTTGTCGTCCTCCTTGGCGCGGAACTCCACGAAGGCGGCGTGGACATCGCGTAGGGGGATCTCGGGCACGTTTAGCGACGACTTCGTCTTCTGCTTCTTGGCCGGGGGTGCCCCGAGGTCACTTCCAATCGACGCGCGGCCCTGCACCGGCGAAGTGTTGAAACGCGGGTTTGGCATAAAGCTCAGGTCGGTATGGTCTGCCGCGGAGACACCCTCTTGCGGGTAGGCGGGGGCTGGGAGGAGGCCCGGTCCATTGCTCACGCCAGGCGGGCCCTGTGGTGCTGCTCCGGGCGCTGGAGGAGCAGCAGGTTGTCCTCCTGCTGCCGCAGATGCCGCGTCCGCTGCGGCCGAAGCAGATGCTGCCGACGCTTGCAGGGCCGCCTCCGGGTGGGCTTGGAGGTAGTTCTCGCACTGCAGGAGGTGCTGCTTCTGGCGCGTGGTGTTCTTCGCCCTAACCTGCTGGCAGTACAGGCATTGCACCGACATGCACTTGTCATCCTCTGCAGGTGGTGGAGAAGCGTCAGCCGGGATGCGCGACGCGATGAGGTAACATACTGTCAATACCGCGGAAAGTGTCGATACTTACGTCCTGCTCGAAATTCCACGAAGGCGGAATGCACGTCGGCCTGGACGTGGCGAGGCATTTTCTCGAGGAGTATTGAGATGATGCCAGTTATTTTTATGATAACCCACCTTAATTAATTGTGCGTCATGGGAGGGTGATGCCGATGGGAGCGCTCGATATGCCCGTCGGTAACTGTCAGGTTGATGAGGATCGCGAAAGATTGCATCGATTGTTTGGGCTGTGGTGACGAAGCCAACGCGTTGCAGAACGAAACTTTGGAAATACGTACTGTAACCATGTGGAGCCGTGTAGCGTTTGTGCATGTCACGTGATGCGGCTTACCTCGACGTCAACGCTCAAGTGCAACACAAAACTGGGGTTCAAAAAGGCAATTTGCAGCCACTGGCCGGGCTCGAAGAAACCAACTCCTCTTTACTTATATCTAGTGACCTAACAACCCACAAATTTGATCACACTTCTGCTCTTTTCTTCAAGCTGTTCAGCTCGTGGCTGTTCGAGGACATCTCAAGCAGATGCGACACAAAAATACGTCCTCCTCCGGGAAGGCTCAAACTTCCAACCTCCTGATTAACAGTCAGACGCGCTAACCAATTGCGTCACAGAGGATACCGTGAACTGTCACGTGCTCTCATCCCCTATCGTTCACCCGGGCGCCGCTTGCAGCGTTCTGTTCTCGGGATCGGGAGGCTGGATATGCGTTGCAGCGGCTTCTCGATAGCCCTTGTCGCAATGTCGAGTCGAGAGCACAGGTCTCACTTGAGGAGTGACACGGAACTGGCGGCTTCTCCGGCCTTCATCATTCACTCTTCACCATACTAAAAGGCGAACGAGCAACGCCAGAGGGTCAGTTCAGGTCGTGGAGGTCCCACGGTGAGAGCAGGCTTGGGTCAAACCGTCAATCTAATCCCAGCATGCCAGCGGCTCCGGGGAGAAGGAGATGCTCCAGGGCATGCGAAGCCGGGCCCGCTAGCAACATGGATCCTGTATCATCGACCTCTTGATGTTTTCTAATTTTCTCGGCTGATTGACACGCCCTAATTCACGCCACTACTACCTGCCTTCCCGCCCCTTCCAATAAGTCATATTCTGTCCGAGTCAGCAATCAGCATCACTCCATCCCAAAAATGCTGAATGCTCACTTGCTCCGAGATGCCAGTCTTCTGTCCTCATGGATCTTGAGGATCGGCCTTGGGTCAAGCACCATGTCCCACAACGATCCCCGCCCATTCTTCTTCGCCTTCTCGTCCTCCCTACGGAAGAATTCCTCGGCACTCCTGATCCTGTTCGGATGAATCTCGTCCAGCAGCGCGTAATCCCGCCTGATCAACCCCATATTTCCCCAGACGCCTGCCACATCCGCCAGAACCCGGTGAAGTTATCGCGCGTCGTCATGGCGGCCGGGCTCTTGGGGTCGACCATGTAGCCTGTAGGAAAAGATGCAACCCGGCTCCAGTGTGGCCCGCTGAAGAACGTGTCCATGTCGACGTCGACATACCGCGCCTTGTGGCCGGTCACCTTCTCAAACGCCTTGGCCATATCCGAGTAATGGATGCTGTCGATGGCCACGGCAAGGTCCATGCCATCGGCACGCTCGGGATTGTCGAACAGCCAGCGGACATAATGCGCGCAATCGTCGAGCGCGACGTGGGCAACACCGCCCTCTGCAGTCAGGGGGACCTTCCAGACGAGCACATGTTCTCCAGATTCGTCGGTCTCGATGACCGGCTCCATGGGCGTCTGCTGGCACAGCGCCATCTCAATGTACGGTCCCGTTGTAAACAGCGCCGCCTTCATGCCGACCCCTTTGCTCGCCTGCCGCTGCAGCTGGATCCACTCGCCCATGCGGCCCTTGCCGTCATAGTGGCCGCACCGGTGGGCTTGATTGTACCCGCTCAGCTTGTAGACGTAATCGAGGTTCCCGTGCACGTAAAACTGCACGCCGTGTTCGATGGCGAGCTCGTATGCGCGGATCGTCCAGTATGTCTCCATGGCCTCGCCGGTGGCGAAGCCGTCGATGTTGATAAAGGCGCCCCAGGCTCCGGTGAAGCCAGCACGCAGGTCCGCTTCCGAGGTGAAGGTGCCCTGGACGAGTTCGACATTTGGACCGAGCCCAGCTAGTTCTTGGGCCCGGCGCGAGGTTGTGTCGCGCGTGAGAACCCTGACGGTGTACTTGCCGTCGTGGACCAACCCCCGAATCACGGGAAGGCCTTGGGCGCCCGTGCCGCCGATGACGAAAATCTTAGGAGACATGCTATCAATATATTTTGCACTAAGCGGAGATGCCAGTGTAAGGACGACATATGGTGGGAGTTCAGGCCGGTCTTTAGTACTAAGACAGATATCACTTACGATGAGACCTAATCGGTAGTTTTCTCGTCGATCCCCTAGCCATACCGTGACGGCGCGAATTAGGGGACCAACCGGGAATGACAAATGTCACGGAATGTTGAGATATTCGGTCGGATGTGATCAGTAATCCGGCTTCTGGTTTGCGTTTGGACCGAATCTGGAAGCACAGTGGAATGAACAACGCTCGAAATGCTCTTGCGAGGTCTCAGTGTTCCGCATTGATCTACCTCGGCTCATGATTCTTAGAAGGATTAGATGGGATGCCTTAGATCCAGAAGCCAAGAATGATCTATGAGGACAGCGACGATGGCGGGGCGGGTGCTCACTGCCCTCTCCATAGAAACGGTCTACTATGCACGCAAGACTTTACCACCAGTGACCTTAAGGATCAAGTCAAATCATTGAACAATTTGACGATGCTCATGCACAAATCGAGAAGTAGGGTAGTGCCCAGAACTCTGGTGCTGGCTAGTCTCCCTCTTTCTATGGTCCAATGCGCTGCTAAATGGAGCCAAGATCTGAGTTCGGCCAGGAACTTGCGACGGTCCTTGTAATTTGAGACTGTTGACTGAGATATCCGTATGGGAGGTACAGAGATACAGTTACTTGGACCTTTAATCTAGTCGGCTAGTGCGAGAACCTTGGGGGCCTCATCTTTCCCGCAGTAACAAACACCAAGAGGCTAATAACGTCCGTACTTAGGTATGTTACCTACCTACGCCTACTCAGAACTAGAAATGAGAGTTCCACAAGCCATAATGGTCATCGTTTGTTGGTAGGTGCTACCCACTGTCGTGGGCTGAACGAATATTCCATAAAAGTCCACCAATTTAATGCCATAATAGATAAACATCACTTTTGACCATCCTGGGATCAGTTATTGCCATACTTGTCCTATTCTTTGTTTGTTTTTCTTTTCTTTTCTTTTCTTTTCTTTTCTTTTCTTTTCCTTTCTTTCTTTTTTTGGGCCGGAGTTCACTACCTAACTTCTAAGATGGCATCAAGATGTCGTATTCATGTTGACGCCGAGTACCTGACTTTCAGCTCAAATGAATGGCAAGTAAGCCACCTATGAAACCTTCACCCTGTAACTTCCAGGTTCTATTACCGCAACTGCGGTACGGACGGATGACTTTGACCATCATAGGCACGAGACAGTTCGCAGCCCAGCAGTACTCTGTTGCAGGGGTGATGGAACCTTGAACCAGATTTATGAAATATACATGTCATCACCCTCATGGATCAGCCGCAATGGATGTCTTTGGAATTTTGATGTCTGGTGACAATCTTGAGCACTATTGGGACTCAGCAGCGAATAACGCTCCTTAGTATTTAGAGCCAGACACCAATCAGTCTACGTCACCTGACACACACATCCGTTGAATTCGTCTGCCAAGGTCCGCTTAGAACTGGTACTGACTTCCGTTTCGAAGAGAGTGGACGCCGCCCGGCGTGGTGCGTCACCTTTCTCCCAACGGACCAATCCTATCGATAATCGCCATGACCACCACAGTCCTACGAGTAGTGATGGCATACTGTGTGCTTAGCAAATAAAGGTGGTGCCAAAGTTCCAATGTCGACGTTGCCCCTGAGGTTACTCACAGTGCTCTTTACATCGAGCTTGGGGAGACACTCGCGCAACAGTAGGAGCTCGAACATCCGTTTAGTTTATATCAGTACAGCCTCACCCGTCCTTCATTTTAATTCTTCGAATCTGCAACCTCTCCAGTAGCCCTTCTACAAGGAAAATTTGTCAGTTGTGATTCAAAAGTCATAAATTCAACACCGCGCCCTCCGCAACAAAACCACTCCCTCTTGGCCATCACCTTGTGGCCCTTCACATCGCAGCGAGGACGACCAGAAACAAGCAGAAATAAAAAAAAATATGACCAAAACCAACATCGTACCACGATCCTACAACTGCAAAGTAAGTCATTGACAAGCGCTAGTGCCCTTCGCTGCGTCTAACTTTGACTGCAGCGGCGGATCCGCGATGAGCGCCGCCGGAGCTCCCAAAGTCAGCTCGAGCGCACCCGCAGGCGGCTCGAGGCCATCCAAATTCGAATGAGCTCCTGTACGCGCTGGGCCTGCCGAAGTACGCGCACTACCAGCCCGAACAGCCCTCCCCGCTGCGGAACGTGGAGTCGGCGGACGATTCCTCGGCCGACCTGCCGCCGATGTTGTCGACCTTCCGCCCGGCACCATCGACGACATTGTCACTGCCGCCTTTGCCAGCGTCGCCGCCACGGTCGCCAAGTTCGCCAGGCTCGCCAAAGCCGCTGCCGCCCTCCAGGCCGCCGGCAAAGTGCCTCCGTGATTGGACCCCAGCTCGAGGGCAAGACACCGAGAAGCGAGGGGTGGTAGGAGAGTTGGAGAGACTCGCGAGGAGAGGAGACGGGGGAGATGGAGGGAAGTGGTATTCGGTGGAGACTTTGTACATGGATTCACGCGTACTTGGCAAGTTGGCGATAGGGGCCCCCGTCTCAAATTCAAGATACACAAGTTCACAACAGCCCCCTGAGGTTTTTGAATCATCGTCAGAAATGAACATTTCCCGACGATTTAGAAGCTTCTGTTCCTGGCGTTTGTCTTTTTCTTTCTTTCTTTCCCCTTTTTCTTTTTCTTTCCTATTGTCGTGAAAGAAACTTCGTTTGGACTGACCTTCCTCGTCTTCGAGTAACGTTCCGAACAAGGCGTAGGGGGACGACAAATATCATTGTGATTTCCGCCTCTGCAATTATCATTCTATGATGTAATATTAGGTATATACAGCGTGTATCCGCTGGGGTGAACGGACTGGTCATGTCATTTACTGCCGTGATGCATTTGTTGGTGTTGTGTATGTTAAGTCAGGCTTCGAGAGAAAAGCACAACGAAAATCTGTTGCACTAGCCAAAACGAACGTCGGTTGGCAGGCGGTCGGCCAACCAACAATATATGCACATGTAACATAATCTGGAACTGATCTTAATGAGGTGCTCTACACTGAGAAACCCCACGCCTCATCAGGCATCCGATATCTATTCAACTGTGGTCCTTCCATCACCCATTCCCAATAATGTCTAGATCTTCCGCAAGCACCCGTTTGTGAAAGCTATAGACGTGTAAAAGCAGTTTGTGCCGGTCCCTCTGCCATAGCCGGTGCTGTATCTCGAGGCCGGGCTGTGCGCATTATGAAGGCCTTGACAGAATTCCGGATCAAGTGACACGCTGCTTATCGATGATGAGGGATGAGAGAATTCGGCGCCTCACGTCGTCTCGCTCCATTGCAAGAGCGATACGCTCCCCATATTACCTACCTAGACAGGCAGGAGCCAACCGCGGCCGATCCCAGGGTGGCCATTCATGAGACCCCTCCTAACCTGACTTATAAGAGACCTAAACACTTTGTTGCAGAACCACCCGGCTGTAGTACAGGACTCCCATATGACAATGGATGTTCCCTGAAGTTCTCCTTACCGATTAGAGAAGTAACGGACCTGTAATGATACCAGGTACTCCAAATTCACGACTTAAAGGAAGTACCTATGACAGTGGTCGTTTCAAGTTGGGCCTAAGTGCGCTTGTAGGTATGTGCCTTCCCAGAATGTGCTCCCAAAGCTCAGTTGGAAAGGGCCGTGGGCGCCCAATTATCCCATGGAATCCCGGGGCAAATCTCCCAGATTCCCTCTGATTCCTTGCTTGGTCACTTAAGTCTTCCTCACGACAAAGAAGATTTTTGCCCAGCTGCTCGGATTGTCTTACCCACACCTGCTAGGGAGGACTCTAAGTCAACAATTCCTAAATTATTACGACTCTATGTGCCCCCAATGTCTCGTTAAAATTTCAATGCCCCCCTAAGACAAAAACCAGACCATGCCACCCTACATCTGCTCCGGGTCCGATTCACCTCGCCGGTCAGATCATGTGGCTGCGGCAGCTAAAGGGTGGCTTCTCGGGCGTTTTGGCTGACTTTTGTGACAGCAACAATGGCTGGCAACGATGAATCTTCCCCGCCCGACGAGAGCAACTCGCGTAAAAGAGACGCCGAGGTGAGTGTTACACGGCGTCCTCGAAGGCAGCGAGCAGTGCTGATGCTGAGTACCAAGTCGAGGCGAGCTCGCCGGCGGAGGCAATAGCGAACGAGTTCAGAGTCTTCCGAGCTCTTATACGTCTCAACGCTTATCGATCGGTTACCGAACGTCGACCTTCTCTAGAGAATATGACCAACTTCTTGACGAAGTTATTACAGAAGTCTACGCCGATATTCGGGAGGGCCGCGTCTTGTCATTTGCAGCGATAAACAAGAGCGTGCCGAAGCATGCGTTGCTCGGTGTCACGCGGCAAAACAACGTCGCTGGAGGATCCCGCTGCTTCCTTTGCTCCTCTGAACACAGTTGTATGGCTGTATATGTGATCCCACAGTCTTGACGATCATCTACCGGAGCTGACAATTAAGCTCTTCTAGCCCGGCCTTCCTGGTTCCTTACACCCAGAAACTTGTGGCGCTTCGGAACGACGAATGCCCAGCTCATGATCGTAAGACAGAGAGTTCCACTCCACACCCCCGAGCTCAAGAGCTCAGAGATCATGATCGTTGACAGTTGCTCCAGGCGATCGCCGTGTACCAAAAAGTAGTGCGCGGCATGTTGAAGATTTACGGCTTCCTCAACCAGTATGATAAAGACGGAAATAACAAGCCAGGCGTGTGACAGAGCACTTCACGATAGAAGAGACGAAGTTGACCGTCACCTTTCGCAAAGTGGTCACTGACAGAGCGACGAAGCCTCTAATCAGCTCAATCAACGACCTTCACATGCTCCGCGCTGCCGACCGGGACTTCCCGATAACGGATTGGTCGCTCCAGACTTATCGTTACTTGCTGGGCTTTCTCGGGGGAAAGACCGGAGACTACTTCTCCACCTACAAGCTAGGCGCAGCGCAGCCTACTGCGCCCTCTGCTGCTCAACCCGGCTCTCCCGCCGGCGATGTTGCTAGTGCTGCTGGCGCCGCCGATGGTTTTGGGGCTCTGCCCCATTACTCTCTCCCGAGCTCTGAGCTCACCCATGATCAGGACGTCTCTCGTGCCTCAGGCTACCACTCGACAAGTTAGAGCGCCGCGTCGATCTTATACAGGCGTTGGTCAAATGCCTTGCGACTGTTAACCCCACATCGACAAGCCTTGACGACTATGCGTTCGCAGCTCTTCTCCTGACGCCTATTCATGTATTAGAAGATATGCTGCAGAACCGTCGCACCCTCTACCTCCTGCGCCATACACTTGGGCTATCAGACACACCTGATCCCGGCTCTGTTCGGAATGCCATGCGCCTCTGTAAGTCAATTGCTACAGGGATTAGTTCAACCTGGGGGGAGGCAGCTGACACGACATGCATTAGTTTTCACTAGAGGGCAAGAAAGATAACACTAAAGAAACAGGGAAGCCTGTACGAGACAATACTGGACCGGCCTCCAAGAAGGGCTTATCAGAGCAGTTAACTGCATCCTTTCAGTGTTGGCCGATGAAAAGGCACGCGAGGGCTAATGGTCCTACCCTGGAATCTACAGTGACCCGGGAGCTAGCTACGCCCTGAAGTGGGCACGGATACACAGCCCTGTAGCATCAAACTGGAACGAGATGTGTCGGATGACGAGAAGGATGAGATCAGGGAGCTGGCTGATCGACTTCAGATCGCATTCCCGCGAGAGGAGAGGGAGAGCCTGCTGGAAAGCCTTGCTCAACATCCAGTAAGCACCCGGGTCTGACCCTTTAGGCCGAAGAAGGTAGGACCATCCCTGTGAAGTATACGACGTACGTGCTAAAGTTTCCCTTGATGGAGGATGGCCGTGGACGGTCTTGTTGCTGCCTTCAACGACCCGAGCTCCGACCTCGAGTTCTCGTCATCAACATCAGTTTATCGATGGCGGGATTAAACCTGCACCGCTGCTGCTCCCGGGGCACCATCCTCCAGTACCCGTGGAACTACTGGGCCCTCTTCCAGGTCATCTGCCCCCTGGTCCGCATGATGCACGAGGAGCTTGTCATATGGTATGTCATCATGTGCAGCGGTGTGCAGCGGCACGTACTCCATCGTAATGGAGGACAGGATGTGCCGGAAGATTGTACCCGAGACTCTGTTCACGGGTGGCATCCCCGACTGGCTCTGCCTGTCTATGCTCTCCATCGTCATCACCTGCGAGATTCTGTGCCTCTCCGTCCCGGCCCAGCATGAACATCGAGTGACCAAAGGTATGTACGTTTGTGCCATATACCGTTGCCGCGCCGCTGCAAGCACGCAGACGTATCCTAGAAGCGCGAGCAGCATGCTGACGAACGTTAGACCCTGAAGCCTACAACGAACTGTGGAAGACTGCACATCTTCCAGGGTATCCCGACCGAGGCCGTCTGGAAGACGTGGCGATGTGCCGCGAAGGATATAAGGGACCGCACCACTTCTTCCTTTTCCCTCAACATCTGTCGACTTACAAGTAGAAACGTACCGTAAGTGATTGCAACCCCACACCACCTTCGTGACATTGACCAAATGCTACCTGATATGGGAACAGAAGATGACAGACATGTAAGCACCCCAACCCCTCGCCGCGCTTATGATGTTGACTCTTTGCTGATATCTGATGACGGGATAGTTTTATCAAGTATACCCCCCCCGCACTCCCCTCCTCCCGGTGGGCGAGCCCCGGGCCCGTCCGGAGCCGGCAGTGCCACTGCATCGACTAGCTCGGCTTCGTCATACCAATCCCGCCATGACCCCAGCAACATGACGAGATAGACGCAGAGATGAAAAATCCAATGGGGATGATTCGGGCAATGGCGGCTTGAGTGGAGACTTCGGAACAAAGGAGTTGCGTTCTGTTTCACCCGTTCGCTCACAAACAGGCACTGTGTTAGTGAGGCCTTCACCTTCAGCAGAGAGACGGCAACTTCACCTTCCTCCACCAAGAGCGCCGCTGTCGCAAAGAGCAGGCCAAAACAAGGGACAGCTCCTGGAACTCAGCAAAGATATCCGATTCAGTCCGCTCAGTGGTGCACGGTATCTTAGCTGAAGCAGGGCGACATCTATACCCATGAAACAGATCGAAGTTTTAGAGACTGATGCCAATGACACAATACGTCGTGTTCCTCCTCAGGAGAGAAGGAACCTTCAGTTAGTGACCAGGTCAAGACGATCTTACACCTGCAGTATTGTCGTGGTGATGCTAACACAAGGGTAAAGCGGACAGTCGACATCCTCTCTGCAAGCAAACAGCAACAGGCATTCTCCCACAAGTTCCACCATGGCGCAGCCAGACTTTGGTGTCGTTCCCCAGAATCCCTCGTACAAAACGACCTCCTCGTAAGGCACAACGGCCCGCAGTCATAGAGCCAGAAGTCTCTTCCAGTTCCGACAGCGAGGAGAGCTCGGTAGATTCAGAGGGCCTAACTAGCGCCGACGATGCCTTTATCATATACGATAGCACCGAGGAAGGGTCCGAGGAGTTTGTTCCTCTACAGGAACTTTCTGTGCACTTTGACCGTTGCGCCAATCTGCCGGCAGTGAACCAAGGTGTCCAGCTGCTCCAGGCCATCGCTGCGTTGCAACCTTCGGCCACTACATTGCAACAGTCGGCTCACCAGCGCTTCAATCAAGTGGACCAGCGCTTCGATCAGCGCTTCGATCAAATGGACCAGCGGTTCAATCACGTTGACCAGCGGCTCAATCGTATTGATATCGCTATCAGAACGCTATATTCACCGTACAACATCGTCGGTCGACATACATGCTAGGGCGGCAGCGGTAGTGTCAGGGTGGACGCAGACGAGCACCTTCTCGTCGATTTGGTAGACGGTTGAATACCAACAAGGAGATAGAAAAGAGGGAACGGAAGGATTTCCCTAGGCATACCAAACACCACTGCCTTGTCTGCCACGTACCAGGATCTGTTTCGCCGCCAGTGGGTGGTGTCGGCGCGAGATTCCCGCTCTAATCTCTGGAACCTCCGCCTCCGACACGGCTCGTCAAGCTTGGATGCTGCTAAACTCCTACGTAATTTCCTCGTCGATGCGATCGTCAAGCCGTATTAGTCTTTCTATTTCCAGAGCTCGAGGAAGTTTCTATTGATGTCCCATATAGTGGGGTTAGCCGGTGCCAGCAGTTACAAGATCATACTTGTCCTTTTCTTACCGCCGCTGCTGGAAGCCGACGAGGACAGGACGAGTCCGGCGATGAGAAGGACATCCCTGAGGATCGCGTGCAGGTTAGTGTTATCCGCCGGGGGAACACTTTGTGGATAATGAAGGCTTCATTCGCATTTGGCGTGAAGCCGACAGGCGTCGTCGACGACGCCCAGTACACGTGGCAAGGCCGTTGCGAGCACCCGCTCGGACTGAACTTTCAACCACCGTACGGCAGCAAGAAGTCCAGAGCACGATAACGTCCGAATCCGCGCAATCAGCACCACCACAATCATCCGAGGCACCGCAACCAGCGCCAGCGCAGTCCTCCTCATCAGCGCAGCCGCAGACAGCGCAACCAGCACTGTCGGAACCGGAACCAACCCAGCCTCCGTCGGCAGATTTGAAGGCTGATCAGCCGAAAACGTCGGACAAGAAAAGGAAGAACTTGGACATCGACCGAACACTACAAATGTCCACCAAAATTCGACGTCTGGAAGAACAGGTTCAGAGACTGGATGAGGAGAGAATCTGGTTCGGAAGAAGGTTGATTATGACCGAGGAAAGGAATCTGATTCCTGTGAAGGAACGTGCGGAAGATAGAGAGAGGATTGCAAAACTGGAGAAAAGCCTGAATTTAGTTATAGCGCAAAGGGATTCGGAAAGGTCCCGACCGGGGAATCGGTCAGGGAATCGGGCAAGGCTATGCGCGTGACCAGGGAAATAACCGAGGAATCGGACAGGGAGTCGGATGAAATAGACATATCGTTCGAATTCGAAAGCGCCAGGGAGGCGTTTGACAGTTCAACGAGTAGTGGCGAGGAGTGAAAAAATCGGACATATGTAATAACTATGATGGTTACGGAGGATCACGGAGGAATCGACGGGGACGTCGATTTTTTGCCGAAAAGGGGGAGTGTTACAACTTACGGGTCACCGGTAGGACCCACCACAGGGTCACGTGCACCCCAGGGCACTTAGTTAAGTTAGTTTAGCTCCGGTCAGAGATCCCATCTCCGAACCTCTTCTTCCTCCTTCATCCTTCTTAGTCAGACTATCAGACCAAAGCTTTCCGCTACAATACCTTTCCGCTACAGTACAGTTATTGTCAGGGTTGAAGCTATACCCAGCTCTCGGATGACCTCAGGTTATCCGATTTGTAGTTATCGATAACACCCAAGGCGCCAGGGGTGTTCTGAGGGACCCACTGCTGTCGAATGTTCTCTTCTTGACAGGTTCGACAACTCATCAGTCATCACTTCGTCCGCGTTGTATGCTCACCGTTGAATGATCGACGATATGTAGTAGTTACGACGCCTCGTTTAACCGTTACAATGCAGTGCCGGTGTCGAGCGTGCCATGCTTCGACTCCCCGGAGTGTTGACCAGGCTTCACAGCCCTTTTTTGGGCAACAGTGAGCCCCATGAAAGTTAAAACTGGCAGTCAACAGTCTTCTTTACAGATTACACAAACATGTCCGTTCGTCCAGACCCAAGGATTCGGCACGCGAGTTGGGCAGCTTGATCTTATCTTCAGCGGGCGTTGGATGGCCCTCGCGCTTTCTACCGACGGCGAGATGCCGAGGACGTCAGCCAACCACAGGCCGGGAACGCCTACTTATTCTGGACCCTGATGCCCTTCGAGGTCTTGGCGTACGGTCAGTGACGCTGCCAAGAGCAGTTCGGCTGTCAGTGCATGCTTAAGATTTTCACAGACTCCACTGTTCCCGCTCCTAGGGCATGGGTGCTCCAGTTATTTGTGTGTTGACATTGGGCGGACGGCGTCTTAAAGTGGCCCAGGCGTTTGAGGTGTTGGAAGGCCAAAAGGGTCCAGATTCGCGAATCCTCTGGCTCGCCGCTCGCGAAGCGTCGTGCTTGTTCGTGCTTGCTACGGATCGCCGCAGCTCTTCGCACGCGTTTACCGAGCTTTGCCGAATCATGGGCCACGGCCGCTTCCACTGCTGTAATGATGATGATATAAATCCTGGTGCCCCCTAGATCTCCCTTCATGGGCAGAGGCTGGAGGTGTAGATCGTGTTGTTTGGTTACAGTGGGACGTGGGTTCAGGATCTTCCATTCTTTTCCGGCTCTGCTTTCATAACTATTGTTGTACCCCTTGCTTCCTTCGTCGTTCTTTCGTAAGAGGCGGGAAGCAACGCTGTCCCATGATAAGGGCGACATTGGACGAAACCAGTCTTTACCTGGCTTTCTATCCTCGATTACTTCCTTATTAACAACTGGTCGAACACATCAGATATCGCCAACTTGACAACGGACACTTGGAGGAAGGGGAACAAGAAGGCACTGTAATAAAGGGAGAAAGATACCGAGCCACCGGATAACAGGAGGAGGCATTGAACCGTTCAGCAACGCCTATATCCTCGCCAATATGGACAAGGCGGACCAGCTCCCCAATGGGGAGACACAGCAGAGCTACAAGCTGGTCACGTTTGCGGAAGGGGATCCGGAAAACCCGAAGAACTGGTCCAAAGCGTTCAAGTGGTACATCACCATGATCGTCGCCGCTACGTGTTTCGTCGTCGCGTTCTGCTCTAGTGTCATCACATCGGACATCGAAGGCGTTTCGCGGGAGTTCAATGTCAGTCACGAGGCCGCGCTCGTGACCATCACGGTCTTTGTTGTTGGGTTCGGTGTCGGTAAGCGTCCCATGTTTACTGAACTCCCCTGGAAGTGTCTGGCTGAGCTGACCCCCATCCAGGGCCCATGGTCTTCGCGCCGCTTTCTGAGGTCTATGGGAGGCGCATTATCTAGTAAGACTCCTCCGCCCCCCTCGCTTTTCTCCCGGGACATTCCCAATCCCAGGGATAAGATGGCTGACCTGTGAAACCGCAGTGGCTCGACTCTGCTCCTTGCTGTCGTCTTCATCATTCCGTGCGCGGTCGCCAAGAACCTCGGCACTCTCATCGTTTGCAGAGCCATCGATGGCATCGCCTTCTCGGCGCCCATGACTCTGGTGGGCGGCACGCTGGCGGATCTCTGGCGCAACGAAGAGCGCGGCGTGCCGATGGCCGCCTTCTCCGCCGCCCCTTTCATCGGACCAGCAAGTATGTTCCCATTGCCATTCCTCCGCATTGGCTTTCACGCAACTACAATTAACTAACCCTTCGTAGTTGGTCCCCTCATTGGCGGTTTCCTCTCGGACGCTGCCGGCTGGCGCTGGCTGTACTGGATCCAGCTGATCTTCGCCTTTGTCGTCTGGGTCCTGATCACCTTCACCGTCCCGGAGACGTACGCGCCGACGATCCTCGCCCGGCGCGCGGCAAAGCTGCGGAAGCAAACGGGCGACAACGGCCACGTCACCGAGGCCGAGCTCGACCCGCGGCCCTTCTCGGAGCGCATCGGCGTCTTCCTGGTCCGGCCCTTCCAGCTGCTCTTCCGCGAGCTCATCGTGTTCCTCATCAGCCTGTATATGTCGGTGCTCTACGGCCTGCTGTACATGTTCTTCGTCGCCTACCCCATAATCTTCCAGGCGCGCAAGGGCTACTCGGCCGGCACCACGGGCCTCATGTTCATCCCGCTCGCCGTCGGCGTCATCCTGTCGGCCTGCTGCTCGCCCTTCGTCAACCGGCACTACCTGAGCCTCGTGGCCAAGCACAACGGCAAGCCGCCCGCCGAGACGCGCCTGATCCCCATGATGTGCTCGTGCTGGTTCATCCCCGTCGGCCTGTTCATCTTCGCCTGGACCTCGTACCGCGACCTGATCTGGGTCGGGCCCTGCCTCGCCGGCCTGCCCGTCGGCTTCGGCTTCATCTTCCTCTACAACTCGGCCAACAACTACCTGGTCGACTCGTACCAGCACCAGGCCGCGTCGGCTCTCGCCGCCAAGACGTGCATCCGCTCGTTCTGGGGCGCCGGCGTCGTGCTGTTCACCGAGCAGATGTACGATCGCATGGGCGACCAGTGGGCGTCGACCTTCCTGGCGTTTCTGAGTCTCGCGTGCTGTGCGATCCCGTTCGTGTTTTACCGGTATGGACCCGCCATCAGGCGGCGCAGCAAGTATGCGTATGGCGGGGACGAGTACACGACTGCGTCGGACTCGGAGCTCGAGAAGGGGGTCGCGAGGGATCCGAATGTGCCGCTCCATGCCGATATGGAGGATTTGGAACGGGCGAGGAGCTATGTTGCCAATCCGTAAAAGCGACGTTGGTGGGGGCCGTGTCGGGGTGGTGGGAGGATGCTGTCGGTGGTGGGTGGTCTTTTACAACGTGTTGTCGGGCACGAGAGTTTATCTTCATATTGGAGAGAGAGGTGGTCGTTCTCAAAAAAAGTTGGACGGATGCGATGTGTCGATGTTGGAAAAGCAGGGCCAGAGGAACTTGTTCTTCTTGGCTTCTTGTTGATGTTCTCCTTTGGTGCTTTGGGTCTGTGGACGGCGGCGGGTATCGGCTGCATTGCATCGGAGCATATGGTTAGGTGGATCTGTTTCAGTGTCATGATAGACGGATACCAAAGTAATACGGATAGGACCTTAGACCTCTTCAACTCGTCCCCCTATCGGTGCATGCAGCATATCGTGGCTCGTCGGTCCCTCCTCGATCGCCTGTAGATGCATCATGCAACTAGGCGATGACCCCCGTGTCCTTCCTGCATCCCGATCGCCGTGGCGAGTCGGCATGATTCCGGACATCTTCCTCGCATGCCACGCCAAGGAACGGCTGCCGGGGTCACCCGAGACAGCCCTCGTTGGTGCGGAAATTATTCCCGGGGACAGGGCGGGTCCGGGATACTCAGAACCGGAAAGTCCCACCTCAACACCAGAGCCAGCGGGTAAAGTTTGGATTTTTTGGAGGAGTCATGGTGGCCGAAAGGACCAATATTATAACTAAGGTATTCTGAGATCTTTTGTCCTCTCGATAGCCCACCATCTCGGAGATTCCAGTGGCAGGATTTCATACCGTGCGGGCCTCGGTAGCGAGCCTTTCCCGGTAGCCACACGCTAAGGAACAGACTAGGGAAGCATTTTACACGTGTAGATGCGCTAAAATGGAGACAGGTTGCAGAGGATGGAACCCAAGCCTTCGGCAGCCGGCAACATGTGAGCAGGTAGGGTAGGACACACCGCTCCGTTGGGTCTTCTCCCTTGATAGAGCTCTGAAAGCTCGTTCAATCCAAGCAGTCCAGGCTCACTTCCCAGAGATTCATGCTCCTCGTGAAGCCTGTGATTCTTCCCATCACCTTTCGACCATGAGGTTTTATTCCACTCGCAACCCGAGGGCATCCCTCCTCCTCCTTCTGCTCTCCTCCGCCCTTACAACAACCCTCGCCGCCTCGACGCCCACCACCGTCTTCACCCTCCCTGGACCGGTGGCGGCCCAATCCTGGTTCGAGAACCTCGCGGTCCGCCCCAACGGACTGATCCTCGCCACGCGCGGCGATGCCCCGGAGATCTGGCAAATCGACCCGGCCACGGGCGCGGGAGCCTTGCTCGTCACCGTCCCAGACACCTTCAACCTGACCGGCATCGCCGAGGTAACCCCGCCGGCACCATCCGCCGCCTGCACGAAGCAGCGGCGCGCACGACAAGCCAGCGCCGTCGCCGCGGTCGGCGCCAAGCCCAAGAAGAACTGCCCCGGCAAGGAAAGCTACGTCTTCGGCAGCTCGACCATCCCCGCGCCGCTGCAAGTCGAGCCGGGCAGCGCCAAGGTCTGGACGCTCACCTTCCACGTCGACGCCGACGACAACGACGACAGGCCAACGGTCTCCCTGCTCGCCGCCCTGCCCAACGCAGGTTTCATCAACGGCATCACCGCCTTCGGCCCGCGCCGCGACCGCGTGCTGCTCGCCGACACCCAGGCCGAGGCCGTCTACCTCCTGGACGTGGCCTCGGGGGCTTACACCACGCCGCTGACGGGCATGACGGGCATCAACGGCATCCACTTCCTGCTTGCCCCGGGATCGGGATCGGGGTCTAGTAGTAGTAGTAGTAGTAGTAGTAGTAGTAGTAGTAGTAGTAGTAGTAGTGGGAGTAGTGGGTTAGGGTACCTGTACTGGGCGAACCACGCCGACCCGGCGGCAAGCCTCAGCCGGATGCCGCTTGACGCGAGCACGGGCGTGGCCGTGGGGCCGGCGGAGGTGTTGGCGGCGAATACGTCGATTGATGACTTTGCTGTTGCGGTGAATGGGAGTAGTGGGAAGGGGGAGAAGGCGTATATTGCGGCGCAGTATGAGAATAAGGTGGTCGAGGTCAGCTTTGGACCGGCGGCGGCGCCCTCTCAGTCCGGACCGTCCCCGGGGACCATGAGGGTTGTTGCGGATGACTTGAGTGGCACGGGGTATGGGTTTGTTAGTGTGGTTGTGTTTGGGAGACGGAAGGAGGATAGGGGGTTGCTCTATGCCGCTGTGGGACAGGGTGGGGGGAATGCGAAGATTGTCGTGCTTGATCCGAGTGTGTGAGGGTGGGAGGTTAGGTTAGCTTAGGGGTAACGGGGGTGAGATTAGGGTTATAGAGTTGCTGTTGTTGTCAGTGAAGGTGATATAGATCAATGGCTTCTGGTTCAATAGCCAGCTTCGTGGTGTCGTCAGGCAGAGGTAGTTTATTGGTATAGAGGCTCGGGGTAGATAGATGCTGTAGGGGATGAAGGGTTAATCCATCCGCGATCACTCGAGAACACCGACAAAGGATTGCGCTAGTACGTACATGCCGCTGAAGTATAACCACAGGTCAACTTGGTCCCATGGCCAAAAGCAAGGACCCGTGGTCATTAAACAACCTGGACCCTTTTTAGAAGGTCCATGGGTATGGATGTAGTACAAGTACATACATGGGCGATAGTGCTTTGGGTCCCTACAGTCTACTCAAGGCTCCAGCACCCCCTTCCTCCAGCGTTCCTTGACCGGCGGAGCGGGCACAATCTGAACGGCCGCCCTCGTCTGGCGCAGACAAAGCGGCCCCTGCCTCAGCAGCCACGCAAACGTGCCCGGCGCGCAGTCCGCCGTCTCATTCTCGGGCATATCCCACAACGCTCCCAGCATCACATCGCTGGTCAGCCCTTTGCCGTGCGAGACCTTCTGCATGCTGCTCCTCGTCAGCAATCGCCAGACCAAATTGGACGCCTTGGCGTATTCGGGCGTTGACGGTTCCGAGTCGAGACGGAGCGCGAGGAGGTCGCGCAGCTTCGGCCCTTCGAACCCCACCATCGACTCGGCGCCCCAGTTCTCGTCGACCGCGCGAAAGGTGAGGACTTTCTTCTCCCAGTAGTCTGCGCAGGAGAAACCGTCGCCGGCATCGTCCAGGTGCGTGAGCCGCGTCCTGCACACAACCTGCGCGATGTACTCGAATACCGTCTCCGGGTCGACCTTGAAGTTCCAGTTGAAGCTGGCTTCTTTGCTCTCGTCGAAGGAACTGGTGGTCAGAGCGAACTGCAGAACGGGGTGCTTGATGATGCCGCGGTAGTTTGTGCGGCCATGCCACACATGCAGAAAGAGGTCGTGCCTTTTGACATTGCCCGAATTAGTACGCGAGCCATGCAGGAGTAGGTGATAAACAAACGGACAGGACATGTCTTACCAGCGCTTGATGTAAGGGTCGCCCTTTCGAGCGGCAACAAAATGGTTGGCGATGATCTGCCCATACGTGAGCGGAACGCTAACCCGCAACGGCGAGGCCTCGTCCGCGAGGGCGTCCCAGCAGACGCGGTCGAGATGGCGGATGAGCATGATGCCCACGTCCATGAACACGCCGCCGTGCAGGTAGAGCGCCGCTCCGCGGATGAAGTCGGCCGAGTGGGGCCCCACATACGGGCCGTCCATCGTGCCGTGGACGAATGTCTCGGGGAGGAAGTCGGCGGGGAGGTACTTGAGCGTGTGGTTCGGGCTGTCGGACACCATGTCCAGAACCCGCACCGTCCAGGACGGCCCCAGGATGCGGACCCAGTTCGTCACGTTGCGCTTGCACCATCCCGGCATCACCGCCACGCCCTTGTCCCAGAATGCCCACACATTCCTCTCGGATGTGACGGGCGCGTACTGACCCAGAGAGGCGAGGATTTCCTCGTCGCTGACGCGTGTCTGGAAGATCAACCCACTCGAGGTCTTGTTGGTACTCGGCCGGGATTGGGACCGAGAAGGACGACGAGGTCGAGCTCATGTTGTAGCTAGAATGAACTGAGTTGACAATCTTGTATTGACCAACGGCTGTCCGGGTTGGTACGCCAACATTCTTATGAAGGCAAGATCATGGCGGGCTTTATACAAAATGGCCTTCCGCATATTAGGTCTCTCTGGGTGGCGGTGAAGCTCTGGTTTAGGGACTACTTCCGCTGGATGAGATGCCGACTCCCGAGAATGCTGAGATGTTCGCATCTCGCCCAATCATAGCGTAGACGCAGAGCTGTTGTGTGGCAAGCCATGCTGGGGACTGTAAGCGCTAGCCGCTAGATTAGATGTCGTTAACTTACCACCGATGGTCCAGTAACCCCTAGATATCTTCAACTTACTATCGCCGACTTGTTGAGCACCCCTAGACGCGAAGTAAATTTATCGCCGATGATATAGTGCCGAACCACTCAGTCCTCCATACTGAAGAGGGACATTGTTTGTGGAACCACGTAGAGGTAGCCAAGTCGCTAAGCCTGGGGTTATCCACAATGAAGACCGTACACAACCGTTTAGCGGAGAGAATCACGTCAGCTCTAGACCTCTCTTAGCATAGGTGATTGGATATCTGCCAAACCCTTTTACGCGATAGGGCTCGCTGAAAGCATGTCAGCATGGTAAAGTACTTAGGTACTTACGCAGCACCTCAATGGAACATCTGACCCAGTCTAAGTCGATCTCTGCCCATTGGACCATCAACAAGCAATGGAACATGTTGGTCAACTGGAGGAAGCAGAATCAAGCAATGCAGCCTCTGAGAGCAACTAGAGTAGATCAGTTTTATTTCGGTGACCAAGGCCAGGGGAGGGGAAAGGGAGCGAAGGTGCCATCAGATGGGGTTTTGCGTAGCGGAAGTGATTTGTGCTGATATTTGATTATCTGTACGTACTTACATGAAGATTTGTTTGTACTGAAAGGCGGAAAGAGAATGTCGTACTGACCGAGAAAGCAGCTGTACTGAAGGAAACTTGGCTGTACTCTGACGCAGAGAGCACCTGTACCATACTGATGTGCAGATTTGTCGGTACTGAACAAGGGATGTCGTATGACCGAAAAGATGGCTGTACTGACGGAAGCTTTGCCGTACTGTTGCAGAGAGTGTCTGTACTGACGTGGGGATTCGGCCGCACGGATAGAAATTATAGTCTACCTAGTCGCCATCTACGATGACCAGGCCCTTTGGAGGCTTCTGTTCTTGACTGGTGCTGTGAATCCTGGCCAGCCTCTCAGCCGTCCGACTGAATGGCGGGACGACAGCGATGCTGTGACTGACAAGTTGTTCCTTCCCGGACACTCTTCCCATGGTGCGTACAGCGCAAGTCCACAACGTCTCAACAAACAAGCCCAATCAACTGTATTCTGGAGCCTTTGACCAAAAGGTGCTAGGAAAGTTCTAGGGATTTATTTGCTTTGACTGCTCTACATCATTGAGAGTTCACTTTTGTTCGATGCGGTTCGGCGGGCAAGCTGGGACCATGCGTGTGCACACATGGTATGGCCCACAACTGACCTACTACTCGTAGGTAGAAATCGATTGGTGGACTCGCATTGCATTGCGGTCGCCAACGACGGAACCTGCTCCGGAACAAGCCGCTGATGGTGAAACATCGGCCACGGTAAGTACCATGATGGCCTTGGCGGGACGGAGCCTTTGTGAGGCTATACCGAAGGCGATCAACGGAACATCTCGATCCGCGTCTCAATGGAGCCTTGTCCCTCACTTTCGGACCGCCAACCCAGCGCACCATGGTCGTCAGTCCCATTCGCTGCGGAGTTGTGCATCTCTGCGGGCCGAAGAAATCGGTTTAGTACGATTCTGGCATCCGGCCTTGCGAGTGCCGACCTTTTCTCAGCCAAGATGGGAACACTCGGTGGCCGCTTCTCCAGCCGGTGGTTCCAGCAACCGCTGTGGGCTGTTGACGATCTGTTCTTGCGAGCATCAAGCGTTTCCAATGCAACACTACCCCACATGCTCCAGCTCGATTCCCGGAATTAGGAACGTCTCGACGGCATAACCCTGATGATCTGCTCAGGATCGGACCAAGGACCGGGAACACGGGGTCACATCCTCGCGACCTCGCCTGCCGGGTTGGCGTCGTCAGCCCGACGTTAAGCAGTATAAAAGGACTCCGAGACCTATGCCAGCTCCTTAATTCTTGCTCCGAAGAATCTAGGCAAGGAACCCTTCAAGCCGGCCGCCATCATGAAGTCATCCATCCTCGCGGGCATCCTCGCCACAGGCGTCGCCGCTCAGAGCGGGCCGTACGGTCAATGCGGCGGGAACGGATACAATGGACCAACAACGTGTGCCTCGGGCTACCACTGTGTCTACCAGAACGACTGGTACAGTCAATGCTTGCCGGGCGCCGGCTCGACGACGCTGAGGACTACTACAACGGCTAGGGCTACCGCTACCAGCACGTCCTCAGCGCCTAGCACGAGCTCCTCGGCGCCCTCCTCCGGCAAGAAGCTCAAGTGGATCGGCATCAACCAGTCCGTCGCCGAGTTCGGCCAGGGCATCTACCCCGGCACTTGGGGCAAGGACTTCTACTTCCCCTCGACTTCGACCATTCAGGTAAGGGCACACAACCAGTGTGGACCGAAAGCGCTGAGGGATGTGCATACATGATACTGATACTGACGCTTCTTGTCAGACACACATCAACGATGGGTACAACATCTTCCGCGTGGCGTTCGCCATGGAGCGGCTGGTGCCCAACACCCTGACCTCGCCGTTCGACCAGGCGTACCTGAAGAACCTGACCGAGGTAGTCAACTTCATCACCAGCAAGGGCGCGCATGCGATCCTCGACCCGCACAACTACGGGCGGTACTACGGCAACATCATCACGGACGTCAACGCCTTCGGCACCTTCTGGAGCAAGCTGGCCAAGCAGTTCGCCTCCAACTCGCTCGTCGTCTTCGACACCAACAATGAGTACCACGAGATGGACCAGACCCTGGTGCTCAACCTCAACCAGGCCGCCATCGACAGCATCCGCAGCGCGGGCGCCACGTCGCAGTACATCTTCGCCGAGGGCAACTCGTGGTCGGGCGCGTGGACGTGGAACACGACCAACGACAACCTGAAGGCGCTCAGGGACCCGCAGAACAAGCTATTGTACGAGATGCACCAGTACCTGGACAGCGACGGCTCCGGCACCAGCGAGACCTGCGTCAACGCCAACATCGGCGTGCAGCGCGTCGTCGGCGCCACCAACTGGCTCCGCGCCAACGGCAAGATCGGCGTGCTGGGCGAGTTCGCCGGCGGCGCCAACTCGGTCTGCCAGACGGCTGTCACGGGTTTGCTCGACCATCTTCAGGCTAACAGCGATGTCTGGGCGGGCGCGCTCTGGTGGGCGGGCGGCCCCTGGTGGGGCGACTATATCTTTAGCATGTTCGTACTATTCTCCCCCTTCCATCATAATCTCGTGCAGGTAGTTACTAGTAACCGAATAGACGCTGACATTTGGGTAGGGAGCCCCCATCGGGTACTGGCTACTTGAACTACAACTCGCTGCTCAAGAAGTACATTGCGTAGAGAGGCAAGGGGTTGACAGGATTGAGAAGGATGATCAACCTTCCTGGGGGATAAGTGACGCATGCGAGCACCTTTGCTATCGGCAAAGTACCAACTCTTCTTGTATATATTTCGTCGTACCGCTGGAAACGTATATACTGGTTTATAGCGTAAACGTACATACCGTAGTCAACCTTTGTTTTCAACGCCTTCAAGCTCGGCAAAAATATCGTAGATTGATCCTATCCATTGATCATATCTGCATGGTGGATAGCATCGAAGAACGCGAGCCTCACCATCTTTGTTCGCCATCCCTTGTTCCTTCTGCATCTCTTTAACGGCCGCCCTCAAAGCAGCTGTAACCCTCTGGGACACATTCCTCGGGACAAGGCCACATCCATGCCCCGATCACCCTCCACACAGGATGCGGGGGAGACCAATATCAGCAGTCCCAGCGTCAAGCAGCAGTCGCCCAATGACTAGGTATCCGCCAGGCGCAATGCCATAGCGAGCTCAACGACGCGGCCGCAATTGTACTGTAATGCATCTTCCCGCGCCGCCTGAGAGACCAGCAGCAGCAGTGGTTCGCCCGATCCGCGGATACTGAACTCACGCGTCGGGATACGCAGGTCATTACGGGTCAGCGCCGTGCGAGAGGAGCAAGCTCACTAGTAGCTGTGGGCTGCGGCGTTTGACGACCCCCGGATGAGGGGCGGCAGGAATTCGTCCGGCTCCGCCTAGCTCATAGCCGTACTTGCGCCTTGTCCCAGGGGTGTCACAGCTTACCTAGGTCGAGGAGCATCTTCTTGATCTCCCTAGTCGTGGCCGGAAGCGAGTCGAGGAACGGGACAGGTTGGTCGCCCAGGATCTGGCAGCGTACCTCGTGGAGGTCTTCGTGGTAGAACGGGTCCGGTGAGCATTTCGTGGGGGAAAACCCCCAAGGTCCACCAGTCCTCCATCCTGAAGTTGGTTTGATGTTGGCCAAGGACGACCTCTGGTGCTGGATTTCAGGGGTCCCATGGGTAATACCACATTCCCTAAAGAGACCGACCCCGCAGAGAGTAATGTGGGCAACGGAGTCAAGGAGATCGTTTCGGGGCTTTAACTACTAGTAGCCGAACACCTGAAGATCGTGTAGGTACTCTAGTGCGAATACTAGTTTGGCGTCGTAGAATCTGGCTGTATGCTGTTCAGAGCATCGGGTGTGCCAAAGATGGTGGAACAAGTTTCGCCATTGCTTAAGGGGAAAGGAGGTATAGCCTCCCCTCGTCGACAACGGGCAAGGACATCATTAGCGGCGCGATGAAAGGATGGCTGATCTTCCGCAGTATACCGCTTCGTGTGCCGGGACTTGCTTTGGGAAGTAGGTTCGCTGCGCATTGTCCATCTTAGGAGCAGCCCATGGGCAGGTGCATTGACGGGTATGGTCCTTTGCTCCTGGCGGACTGGCACTTCTCGTACTCCACCACGGCATACGGCTGGTTATATCCGAAACCCCCCAAGCGACCCAACGATGCTTGTAGTGATCAGGCGCTGACAGGCCAACGCCCTCCGCCTTTTTGAGTGGTCAACACCACGACGCCGGGAAAGGTCGGCGTCGATATCAACCTGTCTTGGTCCTCAAGAGCAACTCCTCCGGGGTCAAGGTCTGCTAAGGCCGCATCAGCGGTCGTCTATAAAGATACTTGGGCCGCAAAGATAGCTCTCACCTGTTGTCAACTCTTCCTGCGATTGCATCTTTGCGCCCTCTTAACTTAAGACTTAGTGAGGTAACTGCGGCGTCAAGAACCCCGTGATATGTCACGCTACATGGAGCGGGGAAGTAGATGCATGGGGAACAGCGTTGGTTCCTCAATACCCCTGGGAGGCCCGCAGGGTGACGGGCAATGCAAGTGGGTTCGACCCGAACCCGGAGATACAGATCAACGCATCGCTGCGAGGCAGTGCCAGCGAAGGACGCCATGGGAACTCGTACGCGATTTTGGGTTGCGTGGTAACCCCTTTTCCGCAGCGCATTGCTGCCATGCCACCGCAACTGTAGACGAAGTCACGAAGATCAAGTGCCTAGAACAGGTTGGGTTGGAAGATTTCCGCAGTGACGACCATGCAATGTGACCTGCCTTGTCCCCCTGTACCGTTCCTGTCTCATGCTATCAACACGAATGGCGAACAAATAGGCCAAGTTCCATTGGGGAGGGCGTGATCCCTACCATCACGCTCCCCTCTCCGCTATAACATCAGCCAGCCGGTTGCCTTCCGGTGACCTGCATTGTGGAGTTGTGGGCCAACAGCCGACACGAGCCGAGCGAACACGCCATGTACGCGTACCTTAGTTCCAGCAGTTGAATGCTCCCAGTCACCGGCCCACGTGCTTCCATATGAGACCGGACAGAATTTCCTTCCTGGAATACGAAGATGTGGTGAAGTGTGTCAGCTCGTGGAGGTTGCCAGTGGTTGATGAGGTGGCAGGCCCGGGTGGAGAGTATCTGCAGTTCTTCTTGCGGGGTCGGGAGGGGGCCGGAGCCCTAACAGTGGGGGAGCTAACATCCTAGCTAACGTGCAAGCATACAGCTGCAAGAGCCGAAGGTCAGCAGATGTTGTTATGCAAAAATATCGCCATCTCAGGTACCAGGCGGAATTTATGGATGTACTGTGCCACTCAGACGGTAAAGGAGGAAACCCCATTGCTTATCATGGCAAAGATCGGACCCCGGGGGTGGCAGTTGCCAGGCGGAATTGGTAGACAATCATGCTCGTTTTGCGGTCGCTTCTGCAGTGCTGCGTCATAGCGCCGGACCCCTAAGATCCAGCAGGGTCCTGTCTGTCCCACCTTGCAACTCTCCAAACAACCTTGAACGAGTCTCTATGCTACCTTAAGTCGTACCGCCTTGCTATCACGTCACAGCGTGTCTCAAGATTTGCGAGCGAGAGTTAAAAACATCACCGCAAAACTTTCTCCACCCCGCATAGTCCGCAACCCCTATTACCGCCACCATGAGCAACACAGCTTCAGGTCAGGTGAACAACTCTTCCTCGCCGGGCCGAAAGACGCCAACCATCGATGGCGATATACTGGTACGCTGTTTCGATTCCAAGGAACTTTTGGCTTCGCTACCCAGATCTCACCAAATGCTAATCCTAGGTCTATCTTCAGGAACAGCAATATCCAGACCCTCTACTGGCCGGAACCAACGAACTCGATTATTCGCTTTTCTCGGACCCGAATAACATGAGCCAAGGAGGCCTACCCTTCCTCTTCGATTCAGCAGCCCTAGATAGCACACAGATCGATAGATCGATCTGGCCAGGCTACGGAGCAGACCCCACAGACAACATGTGGCATCCCATGGCCGATGACTCCCAGACTGTCGGCACATATGACGGATACGGATACTACGATTCGGCCCCGGCGATGTCGCCGTCACAGGTGTTTCTGTACCTGCCGTGGAACCCGCAGCAGGATCAGCCCCTGCCGTCTCCGGTATCTGAGGCCCCGGCCTATACACTATCCGGGAGTCCCTTGATGGGGACCGATGCTCCAGCCTACATCTCCCCGAACCCAGTGGCGCCAACCCCGGCGCAGTTGACTTCAGCCCAGCAGCCCACTCCGCCCGAGACAACGCCGGGATCAACAACAACAACCGCGGGAACGCCGCTGCAAACAATCAAAGGCAAAGGCAAGCAGAAAGCGCATGCCAAAAAAATATCCATGCCATCGCTAAAGCGATCGGCGGCCGAATCTATCCTCCGGCCTCCCTCAGCGGCGGGAGCAAGACCACAAGTCCTGAAACGCTACAGATCTGACTCGAACTCCCTCACGCTCTCCTCTCTTAACACCACAACCACCCTAACCAATAACAACAACAACTACTACTACAGCTCGTCCACAACTCCAACGCCAAAGACGCCGACGACACCCACTACTCTGATGATGACGATGACGACCGAAAATAAAGCCCTGGGCGGCGTCCTGCCGGCGAACGTTGACCCCCGCGTGGCATCCCAGGAGATCTGCCGCGCGGCCCGCGAGCGGTCCATGGCCGAGAGCCACGAGATGTCGGAGCGCCGGCGGATGCTGCTGGACCACGAGCACGGCGCGCTCGAGCGCGAGATGCAGCGGCTGCAGGTGAACCTCGGCCGGATGCGCGAGTTGGACAAGAAGCGCGAGGAGAAAGGGAATGAGGAGGAGGAGGACGATTATGGAGATGATGGTGCGGAATTGGATGGTGAGGGTGAAGTGGATGAGGAGGAGATCACGTAGTAATCAAAGGATAACGTCACTCCCTGGTGGAGTTGAGACAGAGGTTCAGGAGTTGGAGGGAAGACGCAAGTTGACCTTCTTATTCCGCGTCTCGTTTATTAATCGTTGATTACCCAGGCAAACACGCGGCTATATGATATGTCTTTTAGCTTCGACTCGTTACCCTCCCTAGCTGCCAAGTCAGCGATTTTAGCAGTCTGGGGCTAGGAGGCCGCAGCGTCGACGAGGGTAGTAATCATAAGGCGCCTGAATCGTCACTGATGAATCAAAGATGGTGCTACATGTCTGAATCTGAAGTCTCGTCTATGGCAAGGGGGCAGTTAGCGTCAACCTGTTGAACATCCCAGGTTGGTCAATGAAGATGACGGTAGTAGATGCTAATGCGAGCAGAAGGACTCCGTTCGGTACCAGCAAGCTGAGGTAGTGAGGATCTTCTCCTGTTGGGGGAATTGGGAGCTTTAGCCCCAGTAATATATAGAGCGACGGAAGGTGCCAGTGTATCAAGACCCTCAGTCCGCTTCCATTGCCAAGCCGGTAAATCATCAGGGCACCACGACTGCCGGCAGAAAGCAGCAGTCGACGTTGCTCTGGCGTTATTACCTATGCACACACCGACAACCTCTCTTTGTAGCTCTCCCTAAAGGCTTCCTCAATCTTGTTTGTCTGTCTCAAAGGGCAAGGTGTCGGTCCTAGAATCGGGTATGCTATGCTGCAATCTCAGCCCGTAGGTATCGAGACACTGGATGGCTTGAACTTACCGGAAAGCTCGGCGTCGTGGCCAGTATTCGGCTGGTGCCATGCCATTTCTGGTTGTTACTAGTAAGAGACCTGAACTAACCGCTCAATACTGCTCGCTTCGCGTCGATGGGATTGATGCTTTGGCAGGGCTCGAGCTGTTGGCCCGGAGCGCCATCCGTCATGCGCCACTCCGTTGCAGCTCGGTTCGTGGACGGTGGGATGTTCCGTCAGTGCATAATAACAACACGACAACCGCAGCCTTGGCACCGATCCCATGGATCGGCTCATCCTTCAGGGAGTTGTTGGCAGTTTGGCCGGCGTGAACTGTATAGTGTCGATCAGTTGCAAGAACAGATAACTAACAGTGACGGCCGTATATGCTACTAGTGAGTACAGGGCACGCTTCGGATGGGCGGGACGCGAAGACCATGTTGAGGTTAGTGCTGGGCCCAAAACGGCCACAAACTGACTGCGTTACATCGCTTGCAGCTCTTAACGTTAGTTGACGCCTGCTTGCCACCCGAAGCAATAATATCCAGAGTACTCAGTAGGGGTGAAGTTGCTGAGAGCGGGAGGAGGAAAGTGATTGCCCGTTTTCTAGCAAGAACCGCAGTCGGCAGTCCTAATTCTTGAAGCCAGCATTGAGTGAGGCTTGCACCACTTCCTCCGGAGAGCCCAACTCCGGATCTGGTCTCCTTAGGATTTTGCCGCTGCTGTTTGGACAGCTTGGACTGTGAGCTCCAAGCTTGCTCCGGCAACCACAAATATGCAGCAAGCACTTTCGGGTTGGTCTCGCTGGCCAAGATTTTGCCATCAGTTCTGGCCAATATGCGCGTACGGGGTCTGCGGTTCTCTTATAGCCCATTATATAGCCTGGTTGACGAACCGCCATCTCGCTTCCCCGCATTCCGGATCCAAAGTCCAAGCCGGGTGCAAGGGACAGTTTGACCGATGCTCCGAAATGCAACGCTAGGTAGCATCGTCTCCCGGGAGATTGGTGATCGTGCACAATGCCACAAACCGTTGGGGCCAAGGAGCAACCTCTTCACACCGCTGACCCATCGCGAGAATTGCGAAAGGTTCTCCTGCGGGGCTCGAACGGTGTATTCATCTGTCAAGTCAATTCACAAGTCGTTTGTGAGTTGGTGGAACCCACTGTGACAGCAAGCAAGAAATGCTTCTTTCCCCAGAATCGCCGCCGGGTTGCGACGTTGTGGGCGGGCGCCAGTCACTGCCGTTCAACAGTTTATTATTGCGCCCGGACACGTCGGGAGGTCATCTCTCATATTGACGGGGGACGTGCAGAAGACGTATATGTTTTCGTCAACCGTGGCCTGTGTTCCCAGATCCCATCCCCTTCAAATTTCTTAGTTTTGCTTTTGGGACATCGAAACGGCCTATTGACGGGCTCGAGGTACGCGGACGAACGGACGCAGAGCACTGGTTGCAGCGCGCCATCCTCAGGTTGGGTGAGCGGTGTGGGCTCGGCCAAGATGACGGTGACAGGCCCGAGCTGGGACAATTCGACATTCTCGGGCAACACCACCACCATCGATCCGAACGCGACGCTATGGGTTATCCCGCCGAAGCCCGGGAGATCGCTGCAAGCTGACGTTGTCGCCTGCGCCGTAATAACGTTTCTGATCGCCTCGTCGTTTGTGGTGCTGCGCTTCTACACCCGAGGCCGCCTCAACCATGTGCTTGGCGCGTCGGATTGGTGCATCCTGCCGGCTCTGGTAAGATACCTAAGATACCATGAGCAAACTCATGTTACGGATTCCCCGCTGATGCATGTTGTAGCTGTGCGCAGCTGGTGTCACCGCCAGTTCACTTGAGCGTACGTCTGCCGTCCACATACCCATCACCGAGTGGCCACGTCGGATGACTGACCTTGTATTGTACAGAGATGGTCCACGGCGCAGGGAGGCACGCGTGGGAGATCGATGTGTTCCAGCTACCGGCATTTGAGAAGGTAAGACCTTGCACTATGCGCTCCTGGGGCCATTGTAAACTCACACCTGAGTACAGGCGGCCTGGTACGGCATCTTCTTCTACAACTTGAGCCTCACCCTAACGAGGATATCAATCCTGCTGCTCTACAAGCGCATCTTCACATACACCTGGACCAAGCGGGCCATTCGGATCGTCTTGGTCCTGGTCATCGCCATTGGGATATGGTTCGTTGTGTCGGTATGCACAGCTTGCATGCCGCTGCAGGCCTTTTGGGACTGGTCCTTGTATTGGACGACATTTGTCTACTGCCAACCCCCCAACCTGTGGTGGGCAAATGCGGCTCTCCATATCGCCAGTGACCTTGTCGTCATGGCGCTTCCAGTATGGCCAGCCTGTTTCCTGGCGGTAAAGCCTCGAGGTACTGACCTACTTACCTCTTTAGATGCCCGTGCTCTCATCACTCAGCCTCCCCAAGAGACAGAAGTATGCCGTCGTCGGCGTGTTCGCCCTAGGTTTCTTGTAAGTTGTAGGCTCTTCCGCTCCTTCTGCTTTGTAGAATAAACAGGTATCCTAAACCCCTTATCCAGTGTCTGCATCATCTCTATAGTACGCCTCGTCGCATTAATACAGCAAACCGAGCAGCAAAACTGGGACGCAACCTACACCAGCGCCGGCTTGATCTACTGGACGACAGTCGAAGTGAACGCCGCCATATCGTGTGCCTGCATCATGACCCTCAAACCGCTTATCCAGCGCATCTTCCCCCGCCTCCTCTCCCCCAGCAAATGCATGCGCGAGCCGACACTACAGTGGATCACCACGATCAACAACCAGGACAGCACCACCACCACCACCACCAACAACAACACCACCAACAACACCAGCAACACCAACCCCCATCACCGCAACTCCCAACACCAACACTATTTCGCCACCGCCCTACGACATCTGGACAACACGCAGCAACGACGACCCAGCGACACTCCATCCACCACCAAGACCAGGCGAGGCAGCAACAGCGGGCTGCTGCAGCACGCCCACGCCCACGACCAGGACCAGCTCGACCAGATGGAGAAATCGCGCTACTACCACGGTGTGATCAAGCCGTCGTTATCGCCGGGGGGTGAGTACGACCTCGACCACGACCTCGATCTGGAAGCCCAGCGCACGTGCAGCGTCGCGTCGACTAGTAGCCACGAACAACCCCATGATGATGATGATGATGATGACGATTCGCCCCTTGGGCCTGTTACTACTAGTAATTCGAGCTTTGGGGGCGGAATAGTGGCAGGGGGAGAAGGATTAGGGGGGTTGAGACTACCGCCGAGAGCACACTTAGCAGCAGCAGCAGCAGCAGCAGGAGGAGGAGGAGGAGGAGGAGGAGGCTTGACAATCCGTGTGACCAAGGAGGTGGTCGTGCAGAAATGGCCTAGGAGTTCGCTTGCCAGCTCTGGCGGGCAATCGTATGGGGAACCGGAGGTGGAGTTACGGGAGGGAGTGGGAGTGAAGAAGGTTGCGAGTTGACGAGGGGATAAACAAAGAAGGGAGGGTGTGATGAGTAGGGGCTGGGATCGTGTCTGGCGTTATATAGGAGTCGCGTGCTTGTCTGCTTCATTGATGCCTGATACCCTGCAAGATGAAAGCATTGCTGCGAGATGGAGAGGTAAAGGGAGGTAAATGGGATCACGGTTACGGTCTTTACCGATGTTGTATCCGGCGTTTGGTTTCCGTGGATTGGCATACGACGAGGCGACGTACGACTTTGATACCATCTCTTCCAGATCCTGCACCATTACCTACTCCTAGCTACCTTACGTTACTTAGATTAAAAAGGGTTTGGAGTTGGGGCGGTTTGATGTGATGTCCTTATGTGTTATCACAAGGTCGTCCAATATCTCGTAGGTGTATCGCCTGGAAATCCGTGGATCTTGCGACATAGAGCACCTCCGTGGCTGCTAACAGGGAGCATTGGATGGCAGGGACTTTGGATGGCATACGTCCGTCCGATATCCCTGCCGTCCAAAGGGTCAAGTCGCCAAGGGGCCAGACCGCCAGGGGGTCCAGCTGCAACGGGGGCGATCCTCCGTGAGATTGTGTGCGTTAGGTTGGCAGCATCCTGGAGATGTAGGTGTGCCCTCGTAGCTGTTGGAAGTGCGCGGTGTCATGCTATTACTGTAGAGGGTGATGTCACTGATGTTTGGATCTCAAAAGTGCCAGCTCAATGTTTCATTGTGTTGCATGGGGTAAACTGCTCTGGCAGTGGTTCATGGTGCTGGATCGGGAGTTGGGAATCCGCCTTGGCCGGAGTAGGCAGGCACCCCATAACTATGGCACCCAAGCTAGGGATGGGCTGCATCATGGGGTTTCCACCGCCATGGCTTTTCCCCATCTCGCTTTGTCAATGAATAATTCACCGGTGCAAAGGGGGAACAGGCAGAGATGCAACCTGGACACCATGTAAACTCGTCACATGGTCTAGCATCACGCAACCTCACCATATCGGTTTCTCTCCTATCATCTATGACCGAACAGATGCGAAGCCCAGAGGTTTCAACTACTCCTTTGGCGATTCCAATCGGATCCGTGGGTCTGCAGTCGGTTGAAGCCCACCCTTCGCGCTCTGCTTTCTACCCCTCGCCGCTGCGGGTGACCTGTCGCACCTTTCTCCGCTACATTTTGTCTCATCTCCAAAAAGTTTGCATCAACATTAAACACTCAAAGATCCCGCAGACTCATGGCGTCTCATGCTCTGCCCTCTGACCCGGTTATAACGAGATCAGACGGACATATGCCATCCCATCACCTTGCCACCCAAAGACGGTGCCGTCTACACCGGATACAAGCAGTTCGAACGAATCCGCACAGCCAGCGTGATCGAGCTGGAAGTAGGTCTCGCTTCAAAGCCCGAATCGATTGACAAGGTAAGTACCCTCATTTCAGTACACAAGTGACACGTGATATGTGACGGGCAATGCTGACATTGCGCGTTTTTATGGAAGGCGGAGATGATTAGGGAGTGAGTCGTACCATCTCGACTAGAAACCAGGTTTATACCCCGTGATCATCCCTCGCGATGAAAGCCAGCCGACGGTTATTCGCCGACCGAAGGGGCAAGAGTGTCACGACGATGATTCCATCCGACCACGTCACGAAGAAGTCGCTGGTATTCTGGGGCTTTGTCATTGTGGACAACGGTGTGGACGAGAGGACGCTCGAGAACTCCGCGACTGTCTTCAAGACCGCATACACCGGCCACGGTGGCGTCATTCAAAAGAAAGCGGATCAGCAGCATCTCAAGCAACACGAAGCCAGTGTACTTCGACTTCAGCTGCAGATCGACTACTCGAGATCTTCGTCTTGCCAGTTATTATTTTTCTTCATTGAGGTCATCATGGTACTGCACCTCGTGACAGGCGGAGGGTCCTGCTGCGAACGGTCTTCTGAGAAACAGCGTCTGAGCCCCCGGTTAGTCTTCTTCTTCCCGAGGAGCCACTTCAAGATCTAGTCGAGGACGTCGGGATCGATCCAATGCCCGGGCATACCTCCTACCTCGAGGTTTTTGAGCGCCGCACTTGCAGATATATATACTGGCTATATAAGTCGGGTGTGCGCAGGACATCAAAAATCTTCGGCCAGACTGAACCTTCGATGGTGCTCAACCCATGATGAGCCGTATGCAGCCTGAGCCACGGTGGCTATTTGAGTCGGGCTTGATTCAAAGCTCCCTCAGCGGGCGGCCGAGACCACGGAACCCTTCAAGACCCGCCCTAGCTACAACACCAGCGGTCAGTCTATCAAAGTTGGCGTGAACCAAGTTCCGCGTGAAGAGCGTCGCCGGCAACGACGTTTACCAGTACGATGTAAGTAACTCGCTTAAAGGGCTACCAAAGCGCTTCAGGGGCATCCGAGCTAACATCTCGGCAGGTTAGCACTGTCCCCGAGCCCACTGGCGGGATCGTCAACGGAAAATATCAGGCAGTTCGAGGCGGTATAGGGTGTCCTCGCCGATTGCAAGGCCGCTTGGATTCATGATGGTCGAGGGCTTGCTTGGTGAGTATTGTACCAGATGCACCGTCCAAACTTGCAGACGCTAACAACTCCAACGATCCGATAGGTCAACCTGCAATCCCCCGTCTGCGGCTTGAGCGACAAATGTGCTTTGATGTACTAGGGACTGGTCAGGCCTTGGCCAGCCTGTCTGTTGAGCTTGAGGGGTCACACAGGTTGTATTGCCTGCTTGAGAAGTGTGAGCTCGGGGAGGGGGGGGAGATTCCTTATGTACACGGAGAGCCTGTTTTCCAGTCTTCTGCCCTAGTTCATGCTGTATAGGAACTTTGTTGAACTTAAGGCGGTCACACAGGCTGCATTGCTTTCTTAAGGAGTCTGAGACTCCGGGGGACCTTGGTTCCTTATGTACAATGCAATACATGGAGAGCCTGTTTCCCAGTCTTCTGCCCCTTTTCCTGCTGTACCGGTACTTCCAGCCATGCCTAGTTTGTGGTCTTTGCCCCTGATTTCAGCAAACTTGCAGTTCTTACCTACGCTCCGGTCTCTGCTAGCCAAGCCTGACGCGTGGCTTATATGTGGGAGGCCTTGGAGGGACAGTCAGCATCAAGACCACAACTGTGCCAGTGTTTAACACGTTGTGTAGGCAAGTAGAGGTGCAAGCCTTCTTTGCTCGTACAGGATGAACACGAGCGGAGTGGTAGGATGTGTATTCTTGTAAAGGGCAACGAGTATGTCAGGGAAGAGATGATGCTGTGTTTCAGCGAAGTCATGGCCGGACAGGCAAGCCAGCAGATCGAATGCATGTTACTAAGTCGCCCCCCATGTTATGCTCCACTGATACCAACATGAAGGGTACCTAACTTGGCCATATGAAGCCGCAGCCTTAATAGGTAAGCGGTTGCTGCTCTGTACAATACAAACAGAGGATCCAGGATATAGCAACCGGGTCCATGCTTTCCAGGGTGACATCCATCATACTAGACGTCTACCTGCTGCCATAAATAGCACCACTCTGTCAATATCTGCTACTCTAATGTATGTAATATAACATATCGTCAAAGATGCAGGCAGAAGATTTGGTTGAGCCGCGTCTGGGACGGGAGTTAAACTTACAGAGCCCAAGGGCGAGTCAGCGGCCCGGACGACCTGGGAATGGCAATTACGGTCAAGCCCGTGGGACCTCAAAGGTCCCTGAAGAGGTCAGACGGCAGGCATAAGGTGGCATTTGGACAATATGAAAACGGAAATGGTCTCCGCAATCTTTCCCACATGCAGCCTCTGCCTCCCAAAAAAGGGGTCCTAATGTCAGGGACGACGCGACCCTGGGCAGAACAACGCCGTAGTGGAATGGGAGGGGCGAGCAGCATGTGGTGTGACAGAGATACGGCCAAAGCGCTTTGACAATATCCGCCGAGATTGAACGCCGTCGTTATATCCAGGTTGCAGCTTCCTCTCCCGGTCCAGCCTCCGCGCCCTCGCCTCTCTGGAAATCGGTCGGGCCAGACCCAACACCCCAAGGCCTCTTGGCGTGGGCATGCCACAAGGTTTATGGGACCTATTTTTGGAGGTTAATATAAACCTTAGTTTGTGCCAATCCGGGCACCCGGATCCGAGGCCTGCAATCTGGATAAATTGCAAAGCTCCGCAACCAAAAGTTGCGACGACCTGGGCGACTCGGCCGAAAAGCATGGGTGGCGAAAAGATAGCGGCCATCACGATACCGCATCTCGGCCTTTGGTATGTGGATATCGAAGGGGGATGTCCCCGGGGCATATAAAGATGGACTGAAAATCCCGCCAGGCCCGGGATGGACCGACCACCAGGCAAGTCTCCAAACTGCTCGACTCGTCCAACCGCTCTGAGCTTCACATACCGCCACATCCTCTTTTTAAGTTACCACAAAATTCCGCAATCCCAAACAAGCCACGATGGGCCTCCTATCACAACTCACCGTCGTCCTTGCAGCGGCCACACACACCGCGCTCGCAGCCCCTGCCCCGGCCGACGTTTCCGGCGCGGACATCGCGACCCCTCGCATCACAAGCATCACCTTCTCCGGCAACGGGTGCGCCCGCGACCCCAAGTTCAGCGGCAACTTCAACAACCCGTCCGTCACATTCACCGACTTCGCGGCCGCCTCCCCGGGCGCCAACCAGACGCTCAACTGCGAGGTGCACCTGCAGGCGACGGGCGCCAGCCCCGGGTGGCAGGTCGCGCTGAGTCGCAACACGGTCAAGGGCTACGTGGTGCTGCCGCCGGGCACGGCGCTCAACTACTACACGACGAGCTACTTCAGTCAGGACGCTGGCAAGACCGTACGTAATCTCCCCTCCCCTGCCCTCCCCTCCCCTTCCCTTAAAACCACCACGCCACTACATAGTGACGGCCGATGTTTTGACACCAGTTTGGGTACCTAATAACTTAAATAGTGCACCCTGCGCGGCTCCGTCTCCAACACCGGCTCCGGCACGGTCAACCAGGGCGTCACGCTGGTCAGCAGCGCCGGCGGCGACAAGGCGTGGTCGCCCTGCACCGGCAGCGACGGGTACACGGGCATCCTGAACGTCAACTTCCGCGGCGCCCTGACCGGCGATGGGCGGGCCTACTTCGAGGCGCAGACCGAGGAGTGGGATCTTGAGTGGAGGCGGTGCTGAGCCCATACTGTACCTCTTGGTGTTCTGTTGTGTTGTGTTGCTGGGAGGAAAGTTACCTAGCCAGTGGCTAAGGCGGAACTGTTGTTTTGTTGAACTGACTCAGGGTGAACTTGTGAAGTAGAGGGTGGGAAAAGCGGGCTTTGTTAATCTGTATAAGGTACCTTCGGTTGTTTAATAGTTCAAACTATCCTCTTATACCCTGCTCTGTCCCGCTGCTTCTCAATGGATGCGTTCTGGTGGTTGGGGACCGGATCTGTGATGTTCCCGCTATATTACCCACGGACGGAATGCTAGAATGTCGACAGGGGATCGCGTGTAACTAATACAGCAAGTGTTCAGATGACCAACAAGGCCAAAGTACGCCAGACGCATGCCATGATGACTAGAAGAGGAGCTAATGGATATTGCAGATAGGAAGACTCGAGCTTCGATACAGCCAACCTAAGCGGCTAAGCCTGACTCCGTCACGTTTTATAGCATTTGCTTTGGGTGGAACGAGAGACATCGATGTTCTTGCTGCCAACTACTAATACTGTAGGAATAATAGGCCCGTCCGGACTAGGTCACGCTGAGGGTTTGCTTCGAGAGGGCTCTGGCACCTGAGCTTGCTGACGGGCGGTGATACTCGTCTTCCTATACCTTCCCACACGACGCTTCTTCGCAGCCTCGCCATCGCCCTGCTCGGCGGCTGAGCTTTGGTGTCTCCAGGGAGCAGCAGGTTCCCGAGCACGCTTACGAGTCGGAGTGGTGGAAATCGTCCTCGCGGGGAATACGGGGGAACAGCGGTGGGGGAAGCCCACGCACGTCGTGCAGGCGCAACGAGCGTCCCCCCGAATGAGAAGCGGCCTGCGTCACTATCTGTACCGCAGATAGTACGGGGAACTGCGAGGAGCTCCCGGTACGCTAGTACGTTGGTGATGATCTACGTTTCGAGAATGCTGATGCTGAGATCCGGTATAAGTTAACACTATAACGTATCTTATAAGCGAGCGGGACATATAAGCGAGCGGGACACTCTCCACCACTCTACAACAACCATCCTCAATTGCAATACAATAAGACCATTAACCAACTACAATTACATCAGAAACAGCTGAATCAGACCCTTCTACAACCTCCTGGCACGTACGGGCATTATGGCCAGGCTTGCCGCACACACTACAGCACCGAACCTTCGTACGAGCCCCCCCTGCACCACCACTATCCGGCTCCTTTTCTTGCGCCATCTCCCTAACCACGGCCTTCTGGTCCAGTAGATCCTTTGCATCTTGTACCGCAAGCGATCCTCCAAGCTGCACGCGTGTTCTTTTGGCTCTCCGGCGCTTGCTGAGTGCCTCGTTGGCCTTGCGGAGCGAAGAGACCTCGGCGCGAAGAGCCATCTGGTGCATTATAGCCATTGTACCCTTGGCCAACTGGTCCATAGCAGCCAACATCGAGGTTGGGGAGCTATTTTGATGGTTGGCAATATAAGTCTTATGAGTATAGACTGCGCATTGGCTTCCCGGGAGTTGTGTAGTATCTGGAAGACCCAAGACTATATAGTGCTAGGCCGTAAGATTGGGGGTATTGGTGTACGAAGCTTGATATCCAGCTTAGAAAGTACCCTCTCTGGATCGTACGGCACAAGGCCAGCACCTATAAAGCCACCCTGTATATTCTTCTCTGTCATAGAGGCGAAGAAGGCCTTGCGGAAGGCATAGAGGAACTCGAGCTTGCTTATGTGGTTGATATGCATGCGTATTAAGTCCTCGACCTGGCGACCGTACACCTGCTTCAGCGGCCTAAAGTAGCCAACATCGAGTGGCTGGAGGAGGTGGGAGGAATGCAGAGGCATATAGAGTGTGATGATATAATGCTCCTGGCAGTAGAGCTCGAATTCAGTCGAGTGGTGGCTCTCGTGGCCGTCGATGATCAATAACCGATATTTGCCCTTTATACAGGGTGCTGTATGGAAGTCAAAGTGCTTGATCCAATCGAGGCCTACGGCATTGGTAGTCCAGCCGTTCTCGGTGGTCGCGATATGCCAGTCGGCCGGGAGGTTGCACTCTTGATACCAGTTGGCGAGGTAGTATTGTACGGCCAAGATGATGAAGGGTAGGATAGCCCAGCCGAGGGCATTGACTCCCTGGATTACCATAGCCCACTCGCGGTTACCAGGCTGGGCCAGCTTTGCCTTACTACGGCCATCAGAGGTTATAACTACCATGCCTAGGAAGATGATACCCATTATGAACCTAGTCTTGTCGAAGTTATAGATATCATCATCCACAATGCCGTACTTGGCCTTGACATTCTATACGAGCGCGAACCACTCGCCAATAACCTCTGGGTCCTTGCACTTGGCCCTCTGGTAGTCGTATCGACGTGACCAACGCGTACGGAGAGCAGGCTGGCGTTTAACGAAGTTATAAGCCCAGAGCTTGCCGACAGGGGGCGCGTTACGTACACGTAGCAGTTGGTTAGCCATATCTTCTATACCATATAGCCTTGGTGGAAAAGCTCGCTCAGATAGCTCAGTTATATACTGGACTATAGCCTTCTCTTCTAGATCGGTAAGCTTCCGTGAGTTGGCTGGAAGATCGCGTCGTATAGGCCGGCCGGTACGTCGGTAGCCGAGGGTTGAAACTGGCACGTTATAGAGCTTGGCCGCGGCTCGGAGGCTTAGTTTCGTATCATTTTCAAGAGCTTTGAGGGCCAAGGTTACCCTAGCTTCCTTTGAAGTGGAAGACATCTTTAATTGTAGGAAAAACGCGTTGTTGGAGGTGGATAAAGAAGGACGTGTCGTGCCAAGAACTTAGTATCCCGCTCGCTTATATGTCCCGCTCGCTTATAAGATACGTTAGTGATCACTACAGTGAGGGGTCAAAAGTTTCCATACACCCCACTAAATCCAGCCACCTACATTTTCTACTCCTACCTTTAACAGAGGATATCCCAACAACCATTGAACGTAGGCAAAAATTATTATATTTAGATAATAGCCAAGTTCCCAAGCTTCAATATTTTGTATACCAACCCCAAGCCTTTTTGACAGCGGCAAGCCGGCGAGGCAAAGAGTCGATCAGTGTCACGAACCAACCATATAGCAAGACCCGGTGGGGCACGACGGAAACAGGCAGAACCAATCAGCAGGGGTAAAAGCCGCAGGCGGCCGCATAAGGACGACCTGGGTAGCTCAGGGTCGCCGGCGAGCGAGAGCGATCATGATAGACTTGGGTAGCCGCCTACCCAAGGCGATCGAAGGTAGACCACGGTAGCCGTCGAACGACGGCGAGCCAACAGGATCGGCTAGGTATATAGTCATTCGTTATGGAGGACTCTGGGAGTTCTCCAGTGAGCAATATTACAAGCAATAGCCCATACCTATTGTGCAGACATTGCGGCAAGCATTGTTGTGAACCTTTTGGCTTCACCGAGACCTACAGTCCGACCAGCAGTTACCTTCGACCGGCGAACCCTTTCAGAGGCAGGACTGCCTGTGGTTTCGTCACAATCAGCCTGTCAATAAGGGCCTGGTCAATAGCCCACCACGCCGTACACAACTTCTCCTTGAAGTCTTCAATATTGAGCTCATTCCTTTTAAGTTTCCAGAGATCAGGGAACATTCTCTGAAGGTTCCTTTTCAGAGCTACCCAAACATGCTCGATGGGGTTTAAATCCGGGCTGTATAGAGGCCAATCTATCCACTCAATTCTATGCTTAGCAAGCCAACTTTGGGTAGCTTTATAGACATGAATCTTGGCATTGTCTTGCTGGAAATACCTTATACCGTCGTAATAAGGTAGGAGATCTTCTCAGAGAGGCTTTTGATAGGACTTGGCTATATATCCTCTATAAGGGGCGTCCTTATCTCTCTCTATAACGATCAGCTTACTCCGACCACCCCTCTATACCATTCCCTAGACTATAATTATAATGTTCGCTTTGATATAGTTCTTTAAGTTAATAAACCGCTTATTAAACTTCTCGGAAGGGAAATAGAATACCTAAGCAGTCGGATTTAAAGTATTATTTTAATATAAACACTTAACGTACATGATAAGCGAGCGACGCAGATAAGCGAGCGACGCACTTTCTACCACCCTACAGCAACTATCCTCAATTATAATACAACAACGCTAGCAAGCAACTACAATTACATCAGAAATAGATGAATCAGATGATTCTACAGCCTCCTGGCAAGTGCGAGCATTATGGCCAGGCCTGCCGCATACCCTACAGCATCGAACCTTCGTACGAGCCCCCCCGAACCGCTACCATCCGGCTGCGTTTCCTGCACTGCCTCCCCACCTACGGCGTTCTGATCTAGTAGATCCTTTGCATCTTGCACAGTAAGTGAACCTCCAAGCTGCACACGTGTTTTCTTGGCACACCGGCGCTTGCTTAGTACCTCATTGGCCTTGCGAAGCGAAGAGACCCCTGACCGAAGGAGAGCCACCTGGTATATTATAGCCATTATACCCTTGGCAAGCTGATCTATAGCATCCAATATTGAAGTTGGGGAGCTATTTTGATAGTTCGCAATGCGAGTCTTGATGAGCGTTGACTGTACGTCGGCTTCTTATAGGTTATATGGTGTCTGGAAGACCTAGAGTTACACAGTGCTAGGCTGCGAGGTTGGGGGTGTTAGCGTACAAAGCTTTATATCTAGCTTAGAAAGCACCCGCTCTAGGTCGTATAGTATAAGGCCAGTCCCTGCAAAGCCACTCTGTGCGTTCTTCTCTATCATAGAAGCAAAGAAGGCTTCTCGGAAGGCACAGAGGAACTCAAGCTTGCTAATGTGGTTGATATGCATGCGCATTAAGCCCTCGATCTGGCGACCGTATGCCTGCTTGAGTGGCCCAAAGCAGCCAACATCGAGAGGCTGGAGCCTATAGGAAGAGTGTGGAGGCATGCAGAGTATGACGATGTTGTTCTTCTTATAGTAGAGCTCGAATTCGGTTGAGTGGTGGCTCTTGTGGCCGTCGAGGATCAACAACCGGTAACGTACATGATAAGCGAGTGACCCAGACAAGCGAATGACCCACTTCCTACACGACGCGACATCTTTGCACTCAACAACAAAATTTCCTCTACCATCCAAAATGCCCTCTACTTCAAAAGAAGGCCAGATAATCTTGGCTCTCCAAGCTCTTCAAAACGACAAGAATCTAAGCGAACGAGCCGCAGCTAAGATCTATGGGGTTGACCGTAGGACCCTGGGGCGCCGACGCGCCGGCAAGCCTGCACGATACGATCTTCCAGCCAACTCGCGCAAGCTCACAGATCTAGAAGAGAAGGCGATAGTTCAATATGTCAATGAGCTATCTGCACGTGCATTCCCGCCCAGGTTGTGTGGTGTGGAAGATATGGCCAACCAACTACTGCGCGAACGCGACGCGCCCCCTGTTGGCAAACGCTGGGCTTATAACTTCGTCAAACGCCGGCCAGAGCTCCGTACGCGATATACACGTAGATACGACTACCAGAGGGCTAGATGCGAAGATCCAGACGTTATTCGCGAGTGGTTTAGGCTTGTGCAGAACACTAAGGCCAAGTATGGTATTGTGGATGACGATGTCTATAACTTTGACGAGACCGGGTTTATGATGGGCATTATCTTTACGGGTATGGTTGTTACGACCTCAGATGGCCGGAGCAAGGCTAAGCTGGCCCAGCCTGGCAATCGCGAGTGGGCAACAGTGATCCAGGGAGTCAATGCTCTCGGCTGGGCTATCCCTCCGTTCATCATCTTGGCCGCGCAATACCACCTCGTCAACTGGTATACCGAGTGCAACCTCCCGGCCGACTGGCGCATCGCAACCACCGAGAACGGCTGGACTACCAACGCAGTAGGCCTTGATTGGATCAAGCACTTCGACTACCATACAGCGCCTCGGACAAAGGGCAAATACCGGTTGTTGATCCTCGATGGCCACGAAAGCCACCACTCGACCGAGTTCGAGCTCTACTGCCAGCAGAACAACATTATCACGCTCTGCATGCCTCCACATTCCTCCCACCTCCTCCAGCCACTTGATGTTGGCTGCTTTGGGCCGTTGAAGCAGGCGTACGGTCGCCAGATCGAGGACTTGGTGCGCGCGCATATCAACCATATAAGCAAGCTCGAGTTTCTTTATGCCTTTCGCACGGCCTTCTTTGCCTCTATCACCAAGAGGAATATACAGGGCGGTTTTGCAGGGGCTGGCCTTGTGCCATACGATCCAGAGAGGGTGCTTTCGAAGCTAGATATCAAGCTTCGTACACCAACACCCCCAACCTCACGGCCGGGCACTGCACAATCTTGGGTCTTCCAGACACCACACAACCCTCGAGAAGCCGAGTCACAGTCAACGCTTATCAAGACTCGCATTGCCAACCATCAAAATAGCTCCCCGACTTCAATGTTGGCTGCTGTGGACCAGCTTACCAAGGGTACGATGGCTATAATGCACCAGGTGGCCCTCCTTCAGGCAGAGGTGTCTTCGCTCCGCAAGGCTAACGAGGCGCTAAGCAAGCGCCGGAGAGCCAAAAAAACACGTGTGCGGCTTGGAGGATCACTTACTGTGCAGGAGGCACAGGAGGTGGTAAGCCAGGGGGCTATAGGTGGGGAGGCAATGCAAGAAACACAGCTGGATGGTAGTGGTGCTGGTGGGGGTCGTACGAAGGTTCGGTGCTGTGGTGTATGCGGCAAGCCTGGTCATAATGCCCGCACTTGCCAGGAGGTTGCAGAAGCATCTGATTCACCCGTTTCTGATGTAATTGTAGTTGGTTGATAGTTTTGTTGTTTTGTAATTGAGGATAATGTTTGTAGGGTAGTGGAGAGTGGGTCATTCGCTTGTCTGGGTCACTCGCTTATCATGTACGTTATATGCCCTTTGTTCGAGGTGCCGTATGGTAATCGAAGTGCTTGATCCAATCCAGACCTACTGCATTGGTAGTCCAGCCATTATTGGTGGTTGTAATGCGCCAGGTAAGTGGTAGGTTGCACTCCCGGTACTAGTTACTCTGGTGGTACTATGCGGCTAGGATGATGAACGGAGGGATAACCCAGCCAAGGGCGTTGACTCCCTGGATCACAGTCGCCCACTCCCGATTACTAGGCTAAGCTAGTTTTACCTTGCCACGCCCATCCGAGGTCGTAACCACTATACCCGCAAAGATAACACCCATTATAAACCCAGTCTCATCAAAGTTGTAGACATCGTCATCGACAATCCTATATTTAGCCCTAGTATTCCATACAAGTGCAAACCACTCGCTGATGACCTATGGATCCTCGCATTTAGCCCTCTAGTAGTCGTACTTGCGTGTATACTGCATACGGAGCTCTGGCTGGCGTTTGACAAAGTTGTAAGCCCAGCGTTTGCCGACAGGGGGCGCATCACGTTCGCGTAGTAGGTGGTTGGCCATATCTTCTACACCACTTAATCTAGGTGGGAATGCGCGTGTAGATAGCTCAGTTATATACTGAACTATTGACTTCTCTTCTAGATCCGTGAGCTTACGCAAGTTGGCTAGAACATCGCGTCTTGCAGCACGTCCCTTGCGCCGGTGGCGAATCGTTGCTTCTGGAACGTTGTATAGCTTGGCTACTGCCCGGATACTGAGATCCTCGCTCTGTTTGATAGCTTCGAGGGCTAAAAGAAGCCTGGCTTCTTTTGAGGGGCTACGCATGGCTTGTTGCGGTGGTATTTGGTGGAAAAGTTTAGAGGAGGCGCGTCGCACTGAAAGTGCGTCGCTCGCTTATCTGCGTCGCTCGCTTATCATGTACGTTACCAATCTCGCCATACAAACCTCCTCATACAAGCCTACCGATACAAACCTCACCATACAATTACCCATATACAAACAGCACCATACAAAAAACCCCAATATACAGCTCCCCATACCTCCTCCCAGAGCCCCGGCAAAGAAAGGCTCCTTTCCCCTCTGCAATCTGCGATCTCTTCCGTCGCCTCTCCTAGTGACAATAATCAACACCACCCCGCCCAGCTTGGTCGCTTCGCTCAAGCACGATAAGCACGCTTCTGCCCGCCGATCTCAGTCTGCTTGCAAGATGCTCGAAACGAACAGGGCCTCGATCTCGTCCATGTTGGTGCGGTCCGTCGGATCTTGAGAGAAACTGCGTTGTTCCCCGCCCGACGCGAGTTCCGATGGAACAGACCACCTGACTAAGTGTCGTACAAACACCACCATACAGATACTCCCCGACAAATATGACCATACAGAGACCCTCCTTCAAAGAATATCCGACAAGCATCCCCATCGTGCTTCTTTCTTGGGGCTCCCCGGATGTATTTCCTTTTTGGCTTGGGCTTGTCGTCAGTTGAACCCAGGGTTGGGGGCGGGAGTCGGGCCAGACGGAGGGATGGGGTTGCGGCCGAGTTGTTGGCCGGGTTGACTGCCGGAAGCTCGAACACCACCATACAAACACCACCATACAAAGCTCCCCATACAAAGCTCATCATACAAACACCACCGTACAGAGATCCCCATACAGGAAACACCACCATACAAACACCGCCATACAAAGAGCACAACCATACAAACATCACCATATAACAACCACCGTACAAAATCTCCCTAGATACACCCATCTCCCGGCCTTTGTCCTACTCACTTCGACGCAAGCTGAATCTGAGATGGTGGCTCCGTCCAGAGTCAGACCGTACACGTTTCCACTACCATATGGGTGAAGAACGTCGTTGCTCAAGTGCTGTAGACAGTGAGCCAATACATAACTTCCCCCTTGTCAAACACTTCCCATCGAGGCACGCCTCAAGTGGGTAAGACAGATACAGGAGACATTGACAAGTCAAGCTATACATCAACTCAAAGAACGACAGTAGTAGTAGTACTGATATCCGTACAATGGTCGTACAACTTGGTAATCAAGACACCTTGGGACAGACAGTGCCGCTATCCGCGCCTCGTTACGCGGTCTCGACCGTTGGTGCCGCCGTGTCCGTGGCCGACGGCGGCAGCGCAGGATAACTGGATGCCATCCTCGCTAATAAATTCGTAGCCTAATCGTTTGCCTCTTCACTCGGCGCTGTGTTGTTTGTGGTCGACGGCGACGGCGTATGGTGGTTTGGGTCGGAAAGGTCCTTCCCGTCGCATACTCCAAGGGGTTGCTTGCATTGCTCGATGGGTTCTTCCCTCTCGTCAGTCTAAAAACAGCTAAGCGAAAGAATTGCTTCTTACGCCGAGCTGGCGATAACAGTTCCAATACAGTCGAGGTGGGACACGGTGTTGGTACAGGGTATCCGAACAAGGTTGAATGTACAGTCGTTAACGCGAGACGTGTGATGTTAGGCGCGTAGTGCGCCCACCCAACCCGAGGGTTCCTCTCTTTTTTTTGTTTTTCTTTTTTTTCTTTTCCCTTTTTTGGGTTGTTTTCCTTTCGTATTCATTATCCCTTGCGTTGCTGAAGGGAGTCGGCGTCCGAATATTCGTCTCAAGATGTGTCGCCGTTCGTCTCAGATCGAAAACGCCGAAGCCGTAAGACTTTCAGAAGCGTATCGAGTCAACGACGACAACAGTTCCGGTACAGTCGAAATGAAACAGGATGTTGGTACACCGTATCAAGTACAGACGAAGACGTACAGTCGTCGATCCGACAGGTTTCTTTCTTCTGCTCGAGTCAGGAGCAGCGTTGGAGAGACTCATCGCCCTCGTCCGAAGTGTATGGAGGGCTTCGCTGAATCTCCAACCCTCTCTCCATTCTACCGACACCTGCCTTTTAAGCCGCAAGAGCTTTAGCACCCGCAAGCACAGGGAGAAAGTCTCGATCATCCTGATTTTCACCTTAGTGGTGGCCAAGACGTAGAGGATCCCGTCGGCCCGGAATATGCCCCTCGTATGAAAGGACTCATCCCAGTCCTCTGAGATGTCGCTGTCGTCTTAGTCCGGAAACAGTTAACCGACGAACCCCTTTTCTGTACATCGACTCGACGATGAATGGCGCTGCGCCGCTGATACATTCCAGTTGAAACATGGTGTTTGTACATCGTATCCGAACAAACGAAGAGGTACAGTTGTTTGCTCAACGGCACTTTCCGCCGCCAAGTCAAGAGATTGCTTATAGCGTCGGAGGCAATTATCGCCTTCGTCCGAAGTGTATGGAGGGGTTCGCGGGAGTTGATGGTCAGGATGTTATAAAGGATCCACTCAGCTTAGAGTATGTGGCTGTTTGGAGAGACTCATTGCCCTTGTCTGAAGACGTGTCTTTCCTTGTCTCAATTCGGAAACAGCCAAGCGTAAGAATTGCAAAAGTCGAGCTTCTGAACTTTCAGCGTAACTCGAACCGGGGAGAGCCTTTGCACTGCAAGCTAGATGCGGGCTCGCCATCACCAGCGGCTGGGCTTGGGTCATCTATCGGCGGCACGTTGTTAATTGGGCTAGTCTTGGCTGCCTGGATTTCGGAAGGACGTTTGCGAGTCGCGGAGGTCCTGGGAAGGGTCGGGTGTAGACTAGATGCACAAAATGCTGGCTGAGACGTCGCATACAGGCCCTGGGAGGATGGTCCTAGTGTAGTCGAAGCAGCGTGCATATGGGGCAACGAGGAGGGATAGCGACGACGTCGACGATGATGACAACGTGGGGCAAAGACCGACGACACGATCGAAAATGGTCTCTCGATGCTCATAACGACGGGGGCGTGTTGAAACTTGGCGATGAAGCATGAACAAACCGCGTCGAGAAGAGGCGGATGGAAAGGGTTTAGACGCCATGTGCTCGTCTCATGATAATGGTCCAAGTGAGTACTCCTCGGAGATTCGTTCATGAGCAGGCACCCAACCTATCGTATAAGTTAGCTTGGAATCTATTACCATCGCCAGCGCGGGGAAACATACGCTTCATGTATTTATACAATGTCTCTGGCCTGGCAAGTGCATTGATGAAAGACTGGGTGGGAGCTGGCTGAGAGAATCCAGCTCTGGCACAGTGGCTGTTTGTCTCATTCTTTAAGGCGAGCCAGGGGCGGCAGCAGCAGCATCCGTCGAGCCACCCATAATGTCTCGTGGCTCTTCTGTGCAAAATAATTGACGATGGGTTTGACAGACGGTCTTGTGGGTCGGTGTGCACTTGAAGCCACAAGTTTCGCTTCTTGCTGACCTGTTATGGGAGGATCTGCCACCGACTGTTATTATCAATATCCACGCCCGACGCCGCCGGGGTGCTCAGCGGTCGAGTGAAATACCTTGAAAATCTCCGGTGATAAGAGGAGCCATCTCAGCGAGCCAGTGAGGGTAGAACGGTGGTGGAGATGAGGTGATGATGAGGGGAGCAACTCTTCCATCCGAATTCCAAGACGGCATCTTGAAGACCGATCGATTGCTGATGGAAAGGATGGGCATGGCAACGATGGCCTAACCATATGGATGACCAGAAATGATTTGGGTATTGATGGCATTGTTACTGATGGTTGGAGTAACAGTACGAGATGTCTGGTTCACAAAGTCCTGGGTGGTTGCCCACCCACATGAAATACTTACCAGGTAGTCTACCCACCGCTGCAGGTGGCACCTGCCGACCACCGTTACAGAGTTCCTACCTTAGGTACATTGCCATTCCCCGCCTCTTCATTGCACTAACAGGTGAGCAGATCCTGGACGTAGTCTGGTAGCAAGGTAATCCCTGCTTGGCCCGGGACCATTATGTGTGGCTTAATCAAGCAGTGATCAAGGCCCTGTTCCTAACCCGCCTACACTCCTCATCCAATGCCAAGGTGGCCCACCTCCGCTTCCACCACTAGATCTGCTCCGGGTGTACCTAGGCTATGGCCATCAGAATAAACCTTCTATCTGATCCTGAAAACTGAACGAACAGAAACTAGTGCCTTTTGGAATCACCGTCTTGTCCGAAGAGGTTTGGATGGCAAGTCTCCGTCTTATCCTTGAACCAAGGGGTTCGAATGACATGTATCCGTCTGATCACCACTAGTTAGGGAGAATCTACAGTTGAGCAATGGATGAGGTCAGGGAATACCACTAGTAGGAGACCGTGACCTCAGAGCGAGATTTACCGGGCGTACTCTCTTCGTGTTCGTGGCTGTCGGGGACATTGAATCCATTGAGTTTGGGTCGTTCCAAGACAGGGCAGCAGAAGGGCCTAATCGGGCTGTATGGCATCCTCGTAACCTACAAACCCCCCTTCACCGGCGAGGTACCTTAGTCGGAGAGGCGTTAGGGGCCAGTGAACTTTCTCCTGGACCTTGCATGGTTGCCGGTTGACGTAGGTCCAGGGGCAGAAGGCAAGTCAGACATAGAGACGAGAGTGATAACCGGGTTAACTCCCGGAAGTGGTGAAATGTATGGGTCACACAGGTTGAATTACTTGCTTGAGGAGCAGATTAAGTGGGGGGGAATATAGCCTTTTATATACAGTGAGCCCTGCATCCCACTCTTCCTGCCTACAACTCCGTACACCGGTACCTTTCAAGGCATCTTGGCTTATTTCTTCTTTCCCTTCTTTCAGCAACAAGCTTGAATGGAGGTCGTTTGGATGGAAACGGCGCGGCTAGTCTGTCTAACGCCAGCGGCGTGCCTGCCATAACCCTCTTCGGGCTTCTCGCTCCGGGTGTATTTCCTCTTGGGCTTGGGTTTGTCACCTTGTCTCGTTGAGGATGTTTCTCGACAGATGAACGGGAGATTGATGAGAAGGGCACTGTGGCCAGTCCGACTGGTCAAGGACCAAGTAGTATAAGGTAGTCTGCCACTCATAACCTCGTGAGTGAAGTTCGCCGGGCATACTGCTTTGTTGATCATGGCGGTCAAGGGCACTGCCCCATTATTGAACCTAGGAGGTCACACGGGTTGTATGCTTACAAGAGGAGCCTGAGACTCTGGGTGTATGTACATGGAGAGCCTGTTTCCCAATCTTCTGCACCTGGTTCCTGCTGTACCGTTACCTACAGTACCTGCCTAGCCTGTGGTCCCTGCCCCTGATTTCAGCACCTATCGACGGCTGCGTATGTTGGCCTGACACCAGACTCCGAATGAACCGAGAACCAAACTTTACCACGACATCATCCAGGAGCGTCTTGATACTCGGTTGTAATTGCGGTCGAAGCAGGAGCATTCGCATTGAATGCCGGATGTATCCGTGAAACTCCTTGCTAATGGTACTCCCGATCGACGGGTAGTAACTCTCGACAAAGTGTCCGTCGACGTAGCGGACCGCAAGGGAGGATTTGCCTAAACAAAGCGCGAAGGTGTTAGTGGCATGTTTTGAGTTAAGAATGAAGCAGATCACGACGATAACGTACCGACTGAATGGCTGCCGACAACGGCAATCATTCGCTGCTTGGCGAGTGTCGACGGAGAGGAGATGAAGAGGGTACCAGCCGAGACGATCTGCCTGGACTGGGACTACCACCAATCTAGTCAATGTCTTTTTGGACACAATCAACCGGCCACCTTCATCCTTTGCTAACATCAAGGTCGGCGGAGAGCACGTCATCAGACGTGCTCGACAGGCGGATCGACGTCCGAGACGACGACTGGGTCGGACAGATCAGACATATGGAAGGCGGCGCGCGGTGTCTCTCTCTTTCGCTCCTTGGGACTGCCCTTCTCAACGGTATTACCTGTCACCTGGGTACAGGTCCGCGAGGAGACCGCGATGTGGGAAACTCGACGAGGACGAAGCCCTCGTTGCTGTTGAAGCGGGCTGCAGCGGTTCCCAACAGCCCCATCAACAACCACTTTCAGAGACTCTCCATATGGAAACCCCGTACAAAGCAGCAGAATACAGAGAACCCCATACAACCAACACCTGTGGCAACCTGGCGGGTTGCAAGCAGGAGGTCCTCGAGTTGCGGGCCGAGCCATTGCCTTGCGGTCAGTGCATCCTCATACAAAGACCCGCATACAAACATACCCCAACAAGTAACTCCAACATCCCCATGCATGCTCACAGTCAAAGCTAACGAGATCCAGAGTGACCTTTCTCCGCTCCTCCTCAAAGTTCTCCAGCAATGCTGCGTGTAACCATTCCCATGAATCTTTCGCAAAAAAAGCCGCCATACAAAGATCCCCATAAAAAGGTTCCCCATACAAAATAATACAACATTGCCAGATTGTACTCAGCCCAACCATCGTCGATCTCGCCAAGCTGGTACAGATCGACATTGCCAGCCTCGCGCGTGCGTCTCGGGAGGCAAACACAACCGTTCAGCTACTCCCATACAAACATCACCATACAAAGATTCCCCGACAGGCCTCCGGCTAACAAGAACCGCCATACAAAGACTCCCATACAAATATCCAGATACAAGACTTCCACGATGTCCTGAAAGGGGAAGAGCAGACCAAAGAGTGGACGCCGAGAGGCGAAGGGAGGGAGAGAGACCAGGAAAAGAAAAGGTTGACCGGGGACCGAAGTCGGCGGACGGGAGAGAGAGCATACCTTTGACGTCTCTGATGCCTTCGACTGGCCTTCTAATTTGGACGTGGTTGTGACAGTGCCGACAGGGGGTTGGGAGAGAAGAAGCGGTACCACCAGGAGCTCTGAGGGAACCAGCTGTTTGGATGTTCTCAGCTCAGGGGCAACCTTGCCTCCGTGCCATTGCAGGCGGCTGAATCGGAGGGCCAGACATCTTGTCCCGGAGGGTCTCGCCGTACGTCCCGGCCTTGCACACCGTGCTGTTGCCGCACGGGACACCCGCCATGATGATGATGGGCTTTGTACATGGGAATGATGATAGTGCTGCATAGCCTGAATGATGGTATGACATATACCTACTCTTGGTGGACGAGGTTACCACAAGTCAGAGTGGAGGTTGGTTCGGGAGAGGATGGGTGCGATGTGTCGGAATGTTTTGGTGCAGTAACGTCAGATGATGGATTTCCATCCGACTCGCCATCCCTGGCATCATGTAGAGAAAGAAAATTGAGAAATATATCCTGCGAAGAGTATTGAGGGTCTGGTAGAGGTGGGGAGATGGCGGGGTGATGTAGCCTGCATTGTCCATGCGATCTTCTCACGAAGCAGAGATGAGTTGGACGGGAATGAGAGAGGCTTGGGGGACGACGGGGGAGGGGAAATAGTTGTGGGTGGTCAAAATTCGCTCCTGCCAAGTGGCTATACGTGGGTGGTCTCGAAAGGAGCGGAGAGAACAGAGACTAGGACGTATGACTGTTCCGGGGTTGTTCAAGATGAAAGGAAGGAACTGCCGCGTACCAAGGCAGGGAGAGATTTTGCGTCCTCCACAGATCTAACACGAGCATTAGCCACGCGATTCAATCTCGATTGGCGGGAGGAAAGGAGAGCTTTGCACGCGAGATCGGATGAGCTGCCAAGACAGGTTAAGCTTCGCCGGGATTTGAAATAAGCTTTGCGGCCATGAATGCCGAAGCTTCCGATGCGGCTTGGACGCCTAGTATAGCTTCGAAATATTCCGAGCGGATGGAACATATATAGAAGAAGAGCATCCGACGTCCTTGCATTCCGGTTATAGAAGGCGCGTATAAGCTATGGGCAGTTTGGCAAAGCTGAGCTTCTAGGCGGATGAGGATGTTTCTTCTGGGGGTGGGATCTGCAGGACAGCAGTTCTTCTATCCACTCAGGCTGGTCCTGTTATACGGAGTAGACCGCCGAAATTCTGCATTCGGTAACCAGCAAACAACGATATAGCGAGTTCAACAATAGAAGAGAGGCTCTATATAGGGCATAGGGAGTTATTGTTGGGATGGAGACATTGTAAAGAGTTGCACTACGCTGTTACACTATACGTAGGTGATTCTATGCTAGCTTATACGTAAGATCTTATCTAATCTAATCAGATATAGGGGTACGTAACAATATATACGATAGAACTTGCTCATTAGCTTCTCAGTTCTGTTGTAGGACCAGGCACTAAGGTATTTGGATTCTTTGGGTAGGTCTAAAGTGAGCGTACTATGAATATCATCGCTAAGTATACCTAGTATCTAGGTTGGCAGAAATGACTTGTGTCTTCGCCTGCCTCGTCGATTAGATTTTGAGAGCATCTCCTAAGGTCCTTTCTCATTCGCCTTACTATTAAAGAGTAAAGATAAAGTGCTAGCTGTTAAGCTAGCAATCGCTTGTCTATTGTCCCCTCATTGCCCAACTTGATGCAAGAAGGCTGGGTGAAACTAGCTATGCGCTGGGCCTAGATCGGCTTCCCGCGGCTCTATAAGGACGACATCTACTACCGCATGTCCGCATCCGTGGATCGAGCTAGGTGGGGCAGAGCAGAAGGTAGAGTAGGAGGCAATGCACGGTCCGAGTCGCTTGCCCTGTGTACTTGGCTATCGGATACGTCATACCATAGAGCTACCTATTGAATCGTTATTATGGTGGTTGGCCAGGCATCTTTATATGTTACTGTGGCTGATATGCATTCCGAGCTCGGTATAGTATGTTATCCGAGAGTCGCCGCCAAACGCTCAACCGCATAGACCATCTAGATGGAACGCGTCATCGACGACCTTCCTAGGCCCATAATAAAGGACCTAGATCAGGTAGATCGAAATCGATTGAAATAAAGAACGGCCCTTGATACTCTTACTTTCCTCACGACTTCAACGGAAATTCTCTATCCTTCTCTTTGACTTGCTACAATGTCTATACACTACCTCTCCGGACGATATATCGTCATCGCCGGCGGGGGCATCGGAAATGACTTGGCATAAGGAGGCCGTGAATCATAGGCCAGCTCGGAAGAATGTTTATTAGGGACAGGAGACGTGCACGCCGGCACTCGCGGCTGCTCCATCGGCATGTACCCGCCCTATATCATTAACGCAATAGACGCGACCCATATCCAGGCAGCCTTACGATTTGCGAAGAACATGAATTTGTGTCTTACGATCAAGAATACGGGGCATAATGGATCCGGGAGAAAAGTGGGCTACGGAAGCTTATCGTGAGCTACTATTCTCTTCATTTGCGTCCTTAGTCACTTAGCAATGTTACTTACATGGGTAACGTACATGATAAGCGAGCGACGCAGATAAGCGAGCGACGCACTTTCTACCACCCTACAGCAACTATCCTCAATTATAATACAACAACGCTAGCAACCAACTACAATTACATCAGAAATAGATGAATCAGATGATTCTACAGCCTCCTGGCAAGTGCGAGCATTATGGCCAGGCCTGCCGTATACCCTACAGCATCGAACCTTCGTACGAGCCCCCCCTGAACCGCTACCATCCGGCTGCGTTTCCTGCACTGCCTCCCCACCTACGGCGTTCTGATCTAGTAGATCCTTTGCATCTTGCATAGTAAGTGAACCTCCAAGCTGCATACGTGTTTTCTTGGCACGCCGGCGCTTGCTTAGTGCCTTATTGGCCTTGCGAAGCAAAGAGACCTCTGACCGAAGGAGGGCCACCTGGTGCATTATAGCTATCGTACCCTTGGCAAGCTGGTCTATAGCATCCAACATTGAAGTTAGGGAGCTATTTTAATGGTTCGTAATACGAGTCTTAATGAGCGTTGACTATATGTTGGCTTCTCGTAGGTTATATAGTGTCTGGAAGACCTAGGGTTGCGTAGTGCTAGGCCGTAAGGTTGGGGGTGTTGGTATACGAAGCTTTATATCTAGCTTAGAAAGCACCTGCTCTGGGTCGTATGGCATAAGGCCAGTCCCTATAAAGCCACCCTGTGCGTTCTTCTCTGTTATAGAAGCAAAGAAGGCTTCTCGGAAGGCATAGAGGAACTTAAGCTTGCTAATGTGGTTGATATGCATGCGTATTAAGCCCTCGATCTGGCGACCGTATGCCTGCTTGAGTGGCCTAAAGCAGCCAATATCGAGAGGCTGTGTGACGGTGCAATGCACCGACCATGATGATGATATCATTTGTATGTATAATGATTCATCATACCAAGTGATGATTCATTATGCATGTTCCATTACATCATGCATGCAAGCTCAGACCTACTCGCATCCTGTATTTAAAGCCTACCTTGCAGTCTCGAGGATTTCTTTCCTCCTGCAAGTTCAATATTCTTGCAATGCAGTCAGTTTACCACCAGAGGCTTGACCCTGGCCTTGAACGACGGCCCTCGTGACAATATTGAACTTCCTTTGGATTGCGTACCTAGCCAGGCAATTCATCGTAACGGCTACGACCTTCCGAACCGACCCGTGCCTAGTCGACCGAGCACGTAGTACATCGTCTTAGCGGAGGCCTGACTACGTATTCGAACAACTACGGAGCCTGCACCTAGAGCCCCCCGTCGGCACCCGGAATTTTTTCACCTTATTCATCACTTCGGGCCTTCCTTCCCTGGCACTAAAGGGTTACGGTGGTAATTGGAAGTGCCATTTCCTCAAGGGTCTTCGGTATTCATTGCAAGCGCGGCAGTTTCCGACCTTCTTCCCCTGCATATGGGTTGTGTGGTAATTAGAAGTGTGTGGACCGACCGGCTGGATCCCGAATTGCAAGAGCCCTCCTTTTTCTCGCATCTGTATTCAATAACGAACACGAACGACAACCGACCTGCAAGATGGACCCTATTCAGCACATGCAGCAGGTCATTCAGAACCACGAAGCCCAGATTCAAGCCTTATCAAAGGAGCTTACCGACTTGAGGACCAAGCCGGCCCGCAAGCCCAAGCCGAGTCTCCCCGATCCTGACAAGTTCTTCGGCACCTACCATTGGGATACCTGGTTTCCGGCCATTCAAGCCAAGCTCCGCATCGATAGTCAAGCCATTGGAGCTCCGGAAGCCCAGTTTTTCTATGTATATGGTCGTCTCGACAGCAAGGTTCAGGCACTCGTTACACCACAGTTAGCCGTTGCCGAAGACACAAAGCAGTACGACCCCCAGAACCTGCTTAATCAACTAGCCCGTTTGTTCGACGACCCCAACAAAGTGCGCGATGCCGAAGATAAACTACAAGCCTTGAAACAAGCCGACGACGACCCGCTCCCGGTCTTCCTAGCCCGGTTCGAACGGCTGCTTTACGCGGCTAAGGCGAACACATGGCCTGACAACACCAAGATCGCTATGCTTCGTCGTGGCTTGAACAAATCAGCCCGCTCCCGGCTCGATGCCCAGGTCATCGTACCCGACGATTACAACGGCTTTGTCGCAATGCTCCAGAAGCTCAACATACGTTACCACGGTTCCGGTAACCCCAAGCCCTTCAACGCCAATCACAACAAGGGCGAACCGATGGATTTGAACACGGTGGACATTGCAGCTATGGATATGCCGAAGTATAATATGGTCCCTGAGCTCCGGTCGATGAAGAAGGCTCTAGAGGAGGACTCTGGTGATGACGACGGCGACCTGTACGATTGATTGGGTGTGGTTTTGGTGGATTTTTTTCGAGCTGTATTGGAAGCCTCGAGGACGAGCCTTCTTTGGAGGGGGGGGTTGTGACGGTGCAATGCACCGACCATGATGATGATATCATTTGTATGTATAATGATTCATCATACCAAGTGATGATTCATTATGCATGTTCCATTACATCATGCATGCAAGCTCAGACCTACTCGCATCCTGTATTTAAAGCCTACCTTGCAGTCTCGAGGATTTCTTTCCTCCTGCAAGTTCAATATTCTTGCAATGCAGTCAGTTTACCACCAGAGGCTTGACCCTGGCCTTGAACGACGGCCCTCGTGACAGGCTGGAGCCTATGGGAAGAGTATGGAGGCATGTAGAGTGTGATAATGTTGTTCTGCTGGCAGTAGAGCTCGAATTCGGTTGAGTAGTAGCTCTCGTGGCCGTCGAGGATCAACAACCAGTATATGCCCTTTGTTCGAGGTGCCGTATGGTAATTGAAGTGCTTGATCCAATCCAGACCTACTATATTGGTAGTCCAGCCATTATCGGTGGTTGCAATACGCCAGGTAAGTGGTAGGTTACACTCCCGGTACTAGTTACTCTGGTGGTACTATGCGGCTAGGATGATGAATAGAGGGATAACCTAGCCAAGGGCGTTAACTCCCTAGATTATAGTCGCCTACTCCCGATTACTAGGCTAAGCTAGTTTTGCCTTGCCACGCCCATCCGAGGTTGTAACTACTATACCTGCAAAGATAACACCCATTATAAACCCAGTCTTATCAAAGTTGTAGATATCGTTAACGTACATGATAAGCGAGTGACCCAGACAAGCGAATGACCCACTTCCTACACGACGCGACATCTTTGCACTCAACAACAAAATTTCCTCTACCATCCAAAATGCCCTCTACTTCAAAAGAAGGCCAGATAATATTGGCTCTCCAAGCTCTTCAAAACGACAAGAATCTAAGCGAACGAGCCGCAGCTAAGATCTATGGGGTTGACCGTAGGACCCTGGGGCGCCGACGCGCCGGCAAGCCTGCACGATACGATCTTCCAGCCAACTCGCGCAAGCTCACAGATCTAGAAGAGAAGGCGATAGTTCAATATGTCAATGAGCTATCTGCACGTGCATTCCCGCCTAGGTTGTATGGTGTGGAAGATATGGCCAACCAACTACTGCGCGAACGCGACGCGCCCCCTGTTGGCAAACGCTGGGCTTACAACTTCGTTAAACGCCGGCCAGAGCTCCGTACGCGATATACACGTAGATACGACTACTAGAGGGCTAGATGCAAAGATCCAGACGTTATTCGCGAGTGGTTTAGGCTTGTGCAGAACACTAAGGCCAAGTATAGTATTGTGGATGACGATGTCTATAACTTTGACGAGACCGGGTTTATGATAGGCATTATCTTTACGGGTATGGTTGTTACGACCTCAGATGGCCGGAGCAAGGCTAAGCTGGCCCAGCCTGGCACTCGCGAGTGGGCAACAGTGATCCAAGGAGTCAATGCTCTCGGCTGGGCTATCCCTCCGTTCATCATCTTGGCCGCGCAATACCACCTCGTCAACTGGTATACCGAGTGCAACCTCCCGGCCGACTGGCGCATCGCAACCACCGAGAACGGCTGGACTACCAACGCAGTAGGCCTTGATTGGATCAAGCACTTCGACTACCATACAGCGCCTCGGACAAAGGGCAAATACCGGTTGTTGATCCTCGATGGCCACGAAAGCCACCACTCGACCGAGTTCGAGCTCTACTGCCAGCAGAACAACATTATCACGCTCTGCATGCCTCCACATTCCTCCCACCTCCTCCAGCCACTTGATGTTGGCTGCTTTGGGCCGTTGAAGCAGGCGTACGGTCGCCAGATCGAGGACTTGGTGCGCGCGCATATCAACCATATAAGCAAGCTCGAGTTTCTTTATGCCTTTCGCACGGCCTTCTTTGCCTCTATCACCAAGAGGAATATACAGGGCGGTTTTGCAGGGGCTGGCCTTGTGCCATACGATCCAGAGAGGGTGCTTTCGAAGCTAGATATCAAGCTTCGTACACCAACACCCCCAACCTCACGGCCGGGCACTGCACAATCTTGGGTCTTCCAGACACCACACAACCCTCGAGAAGCCGAGTCACAGTCAACGCTTATCAAGACTCGCATTGCCAACCATCAAAATAGCTCCCCGACTTCAATGTTGGCTGCTGTGGACCAGCTTACCAAGGGTACGATGGCTATAATGCACCAGGTGGCCCTCCTTCAGGCAGAGGTGTCTTCGCTCCGCAAGGCTAACGAGGCGCTAAGCAAGCGCCGGAGAGCCAAAAAAACACGTGTGCGGCTTGGAGGATCACTTACTGTGCAGGAGGCACAGGAGGTGGTAAGCCAGGGGGCTATAGGTGGGGAGGCAATGCAAGAAACACAGCTGGATGGTAGTGGTGCTGGTGGGGGTCGTACGAAGGTTTGGTGCTGTGGTGTATGCGGCAAGCCTGGTCATAATGCCCGCACTTGCCAGGAGGTTGCAGAAGCATCTGATTCAGCCGTTTCTGATGTAATTGTAGTTGGTTGATAGTTTTGTTGTTTTATAATTGAGGATAATGTTTGTAGGGTAGTGGAGAGTGGGTCATTCGCTTGTCTGGGTCACTCGCTTATCATGTACGTTATCGATAATCCTATATTTAGCCCTAGTATTCTATATAAGTATAAACCACTCGCTGATGACCTGTGGATCCTTGTATTTAGCCCTTTAGTAGTCATACTTGCGTATATACCACGTACGGAGCTCTGGCTGGCGTTTGACAAAGTTATAAGCCTAGCGTTTGCCGATAGGGGGCGTATCGCGTTCGCATAGTAGGTGGTTGGCTATATCTTCTATACCACTTAATCTAGGTAGGAATACGCGTATAGATAGCTCAGTTATATACTGAACTATTGACTTCTCTTCTAGATCCGTGAGCTTACGCGAGTTGGCTAGAACATCGCGTCTTGTAGCACATCCCTTGCGCCGGTGGCGAATCGTTGCTTCTGGAACGTTGTATAGCTTGGCTACCGCCCGGATACTGAGATTCTCGCTCTGTTGGATAGCTTCGAGGGCTAAAAGAAGCCTGGCTTCTTTTGAGGGGCTACGCATGGCTTGTTGCGGTGGTATTTGGTAGAAAAGTTTAGAGGAGGCGCGTCGCACTGAAAGTGCGTCGCTCGCTTATCTGCGTCGCTCGCTTATCATGTACGTTAGCAGAATATGGACGCACAATCTGAAGAACATTGTGTTCCGCCGTAACTTCGTTCCATAGGGCAACTGCTCCATGACTACCAATATCATATCGCAGATGGCGGTCACGCTCGGTGCTGGAATCCAAGATGGAGAACTTTTCGCGGCTGTGGCCAAGAACAACGCTATGGCTGTTGGGGGCACATCTATGGTAATCACTCTGTATCATGGACGGTTATCGGATCCCGCCTCGCTGACAACAATAATCACGACAGGATGTTGGTGTCGTTGGATGGGCAACCGGAGGTGGCCATGGCTCCTTGACTGCTCAATACAGTCAAGGGGCTGACAACATTATCCAAGCCGTCCTCGTTACCCCTACAGGTGAGGTGATCACTGCCAACGAATGCCAGAACGCAGACATATTCTGGGCCATTCGGGGCGGTGGTGGCAGTACATTCGGCGTGATTGTCAATATCACTATGAAGGCCTACCCGATGCCCAGTGTGCACATGATGGGCCTGACCATTACTGCCAAGAGCTTGACGACGGCCAAGCAGTGGTATAAGTTTGTCGCCGATGTCCACCGCTTGATACCAACGGCCCAGGACCAAGGGATGTCAGGCTACTGGACCATGGGCGGCGACCCCAGCTTGAGCATATGTCTTGCCTTCTTCCTCTACAACAAGTCCAACACAACCGCTCTGGCTGTGCAAAGGCCATTTGTCGATCTGATGCGCGCCTCAAACACGACGGTCACCTACGATATCAGCCGTATTTACGCATCTTCTTGGTATCAACTGTTCTCCAGCCTCCCAACGCCCGAGTCATCCGGGACCAGAAAGTCCATCACGGCGTCGCGGTTCATCACCAGGGATAGCGTCCTGAACAAAAGTGAGGCCTTTGCCAAGACCCTGGAGGAAGTTGGGCCAAGGGCACCGGGCACCTTGGTATGTAACAACACTACACCGCTCCTTTTGATTGAATACACACTATCCTTTCTCTTGTCGGTATAAGAACCAAGGTCTCCCTAGTATGCTGACCATCATGACGTAACTTGACTCACAAGAACAGAACGCCGAACTTCTCCATGTCAGGGACCATGACCGCCAGTAGGAAACCGGTCAACAACGCACTCAACCCAGCCTGGCGCGACACGGTCGTGCACGTCATCAGCTCTCGCTCATGGAACGACGCCATAGATCCGGCTAAGGCAGATGCCCTAGTGTGTAACATGACCTACGTCCCTCTAAATGCGCTGTGGGAGCTTGAGCCTGCGTCTGGATGCTACTTTAACGAGGTGGGCTTCCTTTCTTTTCCCTCTTTTCTTTCCTCTTCTCTTTCCTCTATTCTCTTTTCTCTCCTTTCTTCTCGTTTTCTCTTCATCTTTTCCTCTTTTTCTCTTCTAGCTAACATTGAGCTCTGCTTCTGCCAGGCAAATGCAATAGAGCCTGACTGGCAATGGTCTTTATTTGGTCCTAACTACGGCCTTCTGCGACAGATCAAGGGCAAATACGACCCTGACGGTATGCTATAGTGTCTGTAGTATGTTGGTAGTGAGGATTGGGTTCAAACACGCGATGGCCGGCTATGTAAGGCGTATAATCCATTGGAGAGCGGGCGCTAAGGAGATTTCAACTCTAGCCAGCTCGAAATCAATGGGCGGAACAACCGGCAATGGATCTTAAACTAGTAACGATAAGGGATATGAGCGATGTTAGTCTTTGTACTATTACCTGACTAGTAGACCTTTCCTCTTGCAAGCTCAATATTTTCGACAATACCGTCATTCTTCCACTACTCCTAGTAAGAGGCTTGAGTGTAGCCCAGGCGACTACTCCATCACAATACGCTTAAAATCCCGGAGGAACCACCGCCAATCCTTCCTGCGAAAGTCGTTGCTCCCCTCCCTTGTCTCCAACCACGAAACGCTCACTGTCATCTGGTCCCCATCCTACCGCCCCCGGCCCATATCCACTAAGATGCAAAACTGAGCCTCCTCTTCCCTATACAGCATCTTCCTATCTTCCACCCACTGGAACAGACACGACCCGCAGTCGCCTCTCACCCCAAACGTATTGAGCTCGACAAGCGAACAGGCATCCGTCTCCTCTTCATAAACAAATCAAACGCCTGCTCTAGCAACAACGTAATTTCCCCCCCCCCCCCCTCCCCTTTTCTTGTTCCTCCCTTAGCTACCTCCGCCAAAATCATGTCCCTGGCCTCTTCTGCCCCCTCCCTAGACTCTCCTGGCAATTTTCTTCTACTCCGCCTCTCCACCCCCCTGAAACCGCCAGGCTCGATACCAGCGGTACTGACTAATGGTATAAACCCTGCTATCTCCAGGCCGATAAAACACTCTATACTCCCTGTCCGCGGCCATTCGGTCATCAAACGGCAGGCAGAACAACTCAAACCCGTTCTCGTTCTCGTCGACAGAGTCAAGAAGGTGGACAAGCGCGTTCCGCGCCCGGACAGACGTGACTAGCTTGAGCAGCACGTCCTCGACATTGCGTAGCACCAGCGGCCCTGCGCCGTCGTTCGGCGAGCACTCGTCGAGTCGGAGAAAGAGGCCCTCCGCCGGGAAGGTCGGAGCCAAGACCGGCGCGAGCTCGTCGTGAGGTTCTCGCGGTATAATCGGTTGAGGTGCCCCGCCTGGAGGGAGGCTTCGGTTGCGTCCATGAGGAGTTTGGTTCGGGCTCTGGTGAGGCGGATGGTTTGGATTGCGGGGCAGCGTCGCGTTTGCGTTTGTCGTGTGGGTGAGGGAAATGGTTCGCTCGCGCGTGTGGAGAATCAGCGGGAGCCAGTGCTTGAAGAAGTATGGCTTTTCGGACGGGCGGGTGAGTTCTGGCGCGGAGGACTCGGGGTGGAATAACGTGTTGAAAGAGACTGGCGTGCCCGTTTCCTCGTGCTGCTGGAGGGCGGCCGCGATGAGCGCCGTGTTGAGCTTGACGAGCTTCATTGTGAACCAGAAGTTCCAGGTTGCCACTTGTACCTGCAGATGTGCAACTCGAAATTTGGTTCGAAGAAAAGCCTCCTATGGCCCGGGAATTGAACAGAGTGGGCAAGAAAATGAGTGCATTTGTGGTTGGTTGGTTGTGGTAATGGGATGGTTTTCAGACCTGACCAGTGCCTGCACAGTGCACAACCCGTTGACATAGCTTCCTTCGTAAGCTCCGACACAGCTTGTGGCGCAAGGGGCTTCGAGAGGATAACCATCTACTGTTCGACTGCAAATATCATCATGACACCTTAACACGTGATGGCGCAGCCAAATCCTAATCAACAGAAACGACCTGTTGGGCTGGCAAGGCTATACCCGGATAGTATACAAAAGGGCACTCCATATCTTTGTGTTCTCGATATCCTCCTCTCGGACTGCAGTACTGGCCAGATGTCATGAATGATCAAGATCCTGCACGACAGCTGTCTGGCGCCTCAGGGACGTCTCGCAAACCTCTTCTGCCGCCAGGCTCTCCCCATCCATTGACTCACCAAAACTGAGGCCGCGCAGGTGACGCTGACGAACAGTGAAAACATGGTGAAATACCAACCCCGACCCACAGCGTCGACAAGTGGTTGGATGACGGCTGCGGAGGCGGCACTCAGCCCGCACCTCATTAGCTGCCCGGAAGCATATGCGGAACTCGATGTGTTGGGGAAGATATCAACCAAGAGTGCGCTAGACGTGTGACTCAGCAGTGTCGACAGAGCGCAGGCGAAGAACTGCAGAGTGATGGGGACGGCGGGATGGACGCGGAAGCGCACAGCCCAGCCGTAGCCGACGACAAGCAGCGCCTCGACGAAGATGATGGCGAGACAGTGTCGATATCTGGCCGCCTCGATTGGAAACTCGGAGAGATCGTGCTTCTCCTTGTCCTTGAGCTCGAACCCATGCTTCCTTGCAGTGACGGCGTAGTTCCGGTCAACCAATTTGCCGGCAACGATGCCTCCAATGGTCATACCTGCCAGGCCCGGTAGAAAGACGAGCCCAATCTCCAGCTCGTTGTAGCCGTACACCTCATCGAAGACGACCGGAATGGCCACCTGGAAGGTGTAGTATATCGAGTAGGACGAGGCCACCATCCATAGCACGGCAAACGCGTCCTTATACAGGAGGATCCGAAATGAGGCAAAGGCATCCCGAAGACTCCAACCCCTGCGCTGTTCTGGACTAGTCTGCGATTCCGATGAATCCGTCTCCTTCTCCTCTCGAGACCTCCCCACCACGTGCTTCTCCCCTGTTGCGTGTAGCATCTTCCTTCCCCACGACCACCAGGTCACCCACACTCCGCCCACCTCCTTCTCCCCATTTCCAACCACCGCACGCGCCGTCTCGGGGAGCGTAAAGCCAGCCAGCAGCAACGAGACAGCCGCCACTACCAGCAGTGCCACAAACACCCACTCAGCCCCAGCCGTCGCCAGCGCCAGCGCGCCTCCCACGACAGGGCCGACGGCCGAGATGGCGTTGCACGTCGACAGCAGCGGGCCCAACATGGCACCCCTTTCGGCTACGGGCGCCACATCCGCGACGATGCCGTAGGCCAGGGCAGGGGTGGGCGACCCGCCGATGCTCTGCAGCACGCGCAGGGCGACGAGCCCGGCGTAGCTGGTCCGGTTGAGCGCCAGGCCCAGACTGGCTGCGGCGTACAAGAAAATGAGGAAGAGCAGCACAGGGCGACGGCCGAAGCGGTCTGCGAGCGACGCGAAGAGCGCCGGGGCGAGGGCTTGTGCGATCGCGTAGGCCGTCACCGTCAGGTTGACGGCTTGGATTGAGGTGTGGAATTGTGTGGCTAGGAGGGGGATGAGCGGGAAGTAGATTGTTGCGGTCAGCGTGGAGAGCGTGATGATGAAGCCTAGCAGGTAGGTCAAGTAGGTGCGTATCGCCGGGGAGAAGGCCGAGTAGGTGGCGGTTGGGGCCGCTGGGACCTCGGGGTTGGGTTTGTTTTCGTTGCCGACATTGTCGCTTTTGATGTTGTCCTGCGATTCTTCGGGTTTGCTTTCTGTTGGCAGTTGCGGAACGGTGGACGGCGGTATTTCCTCGTTCTTGGTCGGCATGTTTGACTTGCTGTCTCTTTCGGTGCTGGGTAGTGCAAAAAGTACAATCTGGCAGGTCCAAGTCGTCTCCGCGGTCTGTGTTGCATTAATTATGGGAGATTCTTGCAGTCCTTGTTTGTTCATTTAACGGCATTCAATCCACCCAGGCTCCACGTGATAACATCAAAGATAGAAAGGAAGTCGCTGCCAACAGAGATTTGCTAAGCGCTGGTTGCAACCTAAGTACGTGCAGTGGCACGGTGCGTCCCCTGGCACGTAACATGGATCAGGTACACTGTTTGGTCGCTCTTTTACGTTGGTTCGAACTTTCGACATGGGATGTTAGGGTCGCCGTTCTTACCTGACCACAGAACAATGTCGGAGTGTTGGTCACCATGCTGGCCTTGAGCAGGTCCCCGTATAGACGAGTCGGCGAAGTTGGACAGGAGGAGAGCGACTTGGCAACTCTTCCAGGAGCCTAGACTGCCGATCTCCAGACTGCACATTGCTAACTCTCACAATAAACCCCATATACTTCCTCAACACGCTTTGTTAACTCCGAGGGGAAGTAATTCTGCCAGGACTACTTCCGTAATTTAGAAGTCTGCACCGTCACCACGTCCCCGTTGCGGGAACACAACAATGTCCCGTCCGGTGTGACGCTACACAATCGGGTATCATTACCGGTCACCCAATCGCTCGGAAGGAAGTAATACCGCTCGATCCCCGTGGCCACGCCAGGTTGTGAAGTCCTCCTGGTCTGGAGCTGCGACGCTCCCCATGTTGTCGACGGCAACCTCCAAGTGCAAACCCAGCGGTCCACGTCGAGAAAAGCCAGCCTTCTTCGAGACAGGATCGCAAGAGGCTCACGAATACGCGACGACATCTCCGGATCCAGAACGCTGTAGGGCAGCATCTTGGGACTTCCCGCCGGGTCGTCCTCGCCTAGCTGTAGGTTTCCGATGTCGAACAAGAGATACTGGCTCTTGAACTGGCCTGACGGGGTGGGGGACGAGATCTCCAGCAGGATCTCCGGGGAGTCGGTATTGGTGATCAACCTCCCGAGTTTCTCGGTATCGTTCTGAACGCTCGGGGCGAGTGCGTAGGCGGCGGAGGAGATGGAGAGCGTAGACGACCTCCCGGCTCGGAGCGGGAAGTAGGTGTGCACTTCGGTCTGGCGGAGGTCGTTCCAGCTGAACACGTGCACCTTCGCGTTGCCGAAGCCGAGAAGCGTGTCGGATCTCGTCGGATGGCATGCCCACTTTACTTTGAGTGCGTGTTCTGATCCCGGTTCGAGAGGCGATTCCATTATAGTTCGGGACTGGATGTCGATGGAGAAGAGGTTCACCGGCGTCGCAGCAAAGATCTCGCTGCCGGTAGGGTGGAAAATTAACTGGCTGATAATGTTGCCGTCTTTGGGCGAGATCTTGACGCCGAATTCGTCCGAGGTCTCCCACATGCTTCGCTGCTGGCCGGACCGGGCTACCCGCTTGACTATGAGCTTTCCGGAGAGGTCGGAAAATGCCAAGAGCCTCCCGTCACCGCTCCAGACAATGTGTTTGATCTGCATGTAGCTGGAGACCCGCGCGAGTTCGCAGACCACGCCTCGCCCAGCTTCGCCGAGCGTCACCACGCCGCCCACCGTGCCGTAGCAGTAGAGAGGCCCAAAGGACTGGCCTGCCAGACAGATAACCCTGTCAACTCGGGCGGAGTGATGCTCCGCAAGGAGAGACACCTTGGCCAGGCTCTCGGTCTCGCTGTTGGTGTCGCTATTGTGGTCTGGGCAGTCGGCAAGCCGGACGAGCGTGTTGGGTTCCCACACACTGCCGTACAGCCCTCTCACGTCATATAGCCGCCGCGAATCGCTGCTGAAGGTCAGATAGAGCACCGGGTCCTTCGAAGACAGCTGGTAGAGCTTGGAGAAGTCGGCACTCGCGAAGATCTTGATCGTTCCCACTCCGTCGCCCGTCGCAACGAGAGAACCATCGCGGTTAATGGCGAGGCACTTTCCCCATGCCTCGACATCGGCGGCGGTATAGTCGTCGTCGGGATCCCATCGGAACAATAGGCCAACCTGGGTAAGGCCAAAGACCTCGTTGCTGAGGGGATGCCATGCCACCTGGAACACTTCTCCCCACACCTCCTGCTCCAACGCCATGTCCGCTTCGTCTGGGCGACCGTAGCAGAAGGCCATGCGCTCGGGTCCATTTTCCCCTTCCAGGTCCCAGACAGTGAGCGGGTGGTTGCGGTAGCCAAAGGCAACCTTGCTGCCGTCGGGGCTCAGAGCAGAGCAGATGGGGAAGTTGAGAATGGGATCATCGAGCACGCTCTGCTCCTCGATCTCCACGTGGACAGTCCACTCGGCCGAGTCATCGTCGAGCGTGAAACTCCTGATGCGCCTGTCTTCGCCACAGACAAGCACCATGTTCTGTCTCTCGGCGAAGATGATGCTGTGCGGTCGCTTGGCCGGACTCGGGACCGTCTTGAGGCAATCCCCGGATGACACGTCCCAAACCCTGGTGGTCTTGTAGCCGTAGCTGACAAGCATGTCGCCCAGCTTGTTGGCCTGGATCATCAGCACCCGCTCGGGATGCGAGAGCCGTCGCTGCTCCTCGAGCGTGGCCGAGTTGTAGATGATGATCTCGCTTGAGGTGCGGAACATGCTGAGGAGGGCGATACGGCCCCCTGCTGTGATGATCGAGGATGCCATTGATCCGGTGGGGAGGGAGAAGCGGGCAAGACAGTCGTCCCACGTGCTGCTGGTCAAGCCGGAGACGTGAAGCCTCCCCAGCCGGCTCTCCTTGCACCCGAATTGCCGGTACATCATGGACTCCTCAGGACAGAAAGGTGGGATGAGCTGGTAGATGGAGTCCGGTTTCGACCGCAGGTTGCTCCCAAACTTACCAACTATCTTCACGAGGTCTGTCGCCCAGCCGTCCACAACAGCTGCGGCCTGGCAATCCTCGAGCGACTCGTCCTCTCCCGTCCTCCTTCGCAGCTTGATCAAAATGTCAGCGAGGTGGCGAGAGGCGGCCACTAGGGCTCTCAGCTCCTTCGACCTGGCGGCGATCTCAATCCAGGTCAGGACGTCAGGACCTTTGAGGAAGGTTGCAACGGCGTCCAGGATTTCCGGATTTGTGAGAGCCGACGACAGCGTCAGATGGTGCGGCCAGGCAGTGGCAGCGTACTGCGTCAGCGCGGGCGCTCGGCCGTGCTTCACCTGACTTCGCAGCGAAGGGTGCGTCAGTTGTGCTAGACAGCGTTTAAGGAGTGCGTCGTTGGTAGGTCTGACGTCTATGACCAACGACCGCCCCTTTTCGGCTCCGCGTGTCAAGAATTCCCGTGCCGTCTGATGGATCATGGCCACCCGCCCCTCCTGGTCCACGGTGACGAAGCCGCCACACAGGTCTACGATGCTCCGGCGCATCTCGAGAAAGCCACTGGCTGTCTCCTTGAGCGCGTCCGCCAGCTCATCGACGGTCAGCAGCCGCTGCGCGCATGCGACCCAACCGATAATGGTCTGCCCCAGCTTCCGCTGTTCTCCCTTGCTCTTGTTAGACGCTGCCTCGACCGAGGCGGCCATCCTGTCGTACAGCGCCTCCATGCCGGACGGCAGCTCTGTCAGGGCCTTCTCAATCTCCGGCCGCGTGTGGCACGAGTTGATTTCCTGAACGGCCAGGTGCACCCAGAGGAAGTTCCCCTTTGCCCGGTCCAGCAGCTGGTTGGCCACGTGCTCCTTGTATTCGGCATCCCCGCCGAGCTCCATCTCTTGGTCGATGTATGTTCGGAAATCGACTGGGTTTCCGTCGATGCGAATCGTTTCCATGTCAATCTTATTTGCCAGCCTTTGAAAGGCCGATGAGAGTTCGTGTGTGCTCCGGCTGACCACCAGGATTCGGATGGGAAGCGAAGTCAGGTGCAGGTCCGCCATCAGTCTGATCACGGAGCCCGGTCGGTCTGCTTCGTCTAGGCCATCGATAATCAGGTAGAGCGGTCTGTCTAGGTGGTCTAATTGGAATAGAGCCCGCTGAAACAGCCACTGCCAGAGTTCGTGGTAGTCCTCCGTCTTGAGATCGGTTCCCGCCGCCTCCAGCTGCCGTATCCTCTCGGCGTATGCCGGTGTTGAGGTTGCCAGTTGGTATGCAACAGAGCGGAGCATCGTGCTGATGCCGCGTTTCTCGCGCGACGTGAAGCGGATGAAGAAGTAGTGGCAAGCCAGGCCGGACTCGACCATGTGGTTGATGACAAACGAGGATAGGACTGACTTCCCGCTAGCAGCAGTTCCATGGACCCAGAGTACTCGCGGCTTCGCCGTGGTATCGTCCATCCACCCTGTGAAAGTATCGTGGCTCAAAATCCAGGTACAAGTGCCGGGAGTGCGGCGGTTTCGGAAGAAGGTGAAGTCAGCGTCCGGTAACTCTGGGAGGGAAAGGTATTCTCTCAAGTCGGCGACAACGGATAGGGCCCCCGCTCCGGGTGGTGACGCGCCGGGGATTTCCTCGATTACCGTCTTCAAGGCGTTGCTCACAAGTCGGTAGGCTGGATCATCCGGACTCGCATATTTGCATACATTGTGATGGTCCGCGTTCAAGGGCTTTGTTTCCTCCCCGGTGTAGCCGAGAACAGACGAATCTCTATCCACCACCATCTAAGGCACCATCAGATACTACCAAACCGATACTAGCGGTGCATTATGGAGGGACGGGAGCATCTCACTTACCGTCTTAATCTTGCTAGATCCCACTAACGGTGTGGGCTGTGTCTCGTAGAAGGAATAAATATTCAACTTCGGGGCGATATGCCTGAAGTCCTCGTTCAAACTCCGAATGGTCTGAGATCCTGCCGAGAGCTCAGAGATGAACTGCATCGGACTAGCGGCAAAGGAGACTTGCAGTATGCGGTTGAGGGTTTCAGCGAGGTTGGTGCCGCGGTGCGGTGTTGAGAGGAAGATGATGGACACGATGGCCTTGATAATCGGGGCGTAGCCCGGGTCAATCTGGCCCCGGAGATAGGCCTGCAGCCATTGCAGAGATGACGGGTCAGCACCAGTATCTTGCATGACAGTTCCTGCCTAGGATGCTCAGATGCTGCCCAAGATACTCACCTCTTTCACAACGAGTCCGCCCATAGAGTGGGCAATGAAGATGATGGGACGCTGTCGTGCTCCATTTAGCAGAACATTTCCCGGAGAGCCACGGTCATGACTATCTCACCTCGCCCATTCGCAAGTTCCCGCCCACCGACTCGTCTCGGGCATACTTGAGCTCCCACAAGAGATCCTTGGCGAAATCCAAAATCGACATCTTGTTCCCGCCACTGCCGCTTCCGGGCCGGAAGTTGGCATTGTACCCGAAGGTCAGGATACGCGCTTCGTCTACGGGTGGATTGGACGGGAGAAACTTCAGGGGCCAGAAGAAAGTGGGATCGCGGTTGTACGACCACGTTCTCCGACTGCCTCCCCCTAGGCCGTGCACGAAGACAATATCCACTCTGCGTTGCCCGGCAGGCTGGTACACCACAGTCAGACCTAATGGGTCCTCTGCGGAGGAATCTGCTCCCCGGGTTGACGGTCGTGCTTGGAGGAACGAACTCCACGTTCCCTGCCTGGAGGCCGGAGCGGACGAGGTGAACTGTCTGTTGATAGAGTAGGCATCACTATTGGTGGAACTCGCACCCGGGGATGGCTCCCGGGAAATGGACGGACTCCTCGGGGCATCAGAGGAGAATGGCGACAGCGTCCTCTGAATGCCGAGATCCTCCTCGGCATTATCATCAGATGCCTTCCTTCGGAAGGTGAACTGTCTCCTAAACTATACATCGTGTTGTCAGATTATCGTTGTTAGTACGGCGTGTTTCAGAGCTACCCTGTGACGGGAAAGGCCTCGCCGTGACGCACCATGACGGCTCTCCGTGCAGGTCCCTGCAGAAGGGTACCGAGAACGTGAGAATCCTTCTGCGAGCTGTAAGGAGGATGCTGAGGTATGACTGAATACAGTAGGAAGTGGGCCGGCGAGTTTCGGTGCTCCCGAGATCCTGATAGCTCCTGTGGGTACAGCATGAAGGTGGGAACCCCTCCCGAGCGGCAGGCGTAATCAAGAAGAGCCTCAACTTCCCGGTTCTAGAGATATGCAGATAACACAGTTACACAGTAGCCCTGACACTGCAGACCCGCTCCTCGACACGATTGGTACGATATGGAATGCTGGGCGCGACCCACTCCAAGTGCAACTCTTCCTGCGATCTCCTCCTATCGTTAGCCGCCGGGGCTGATTCTGCGTTTCGACCACTGCAGCACGGCATCTGGGGCGTCTAGCAATCGGGCGGGGGCGGGGAACCAAGATCGGGCCGCTCGGATAGGGTTTAATTAGGCAGGGCTGAAAGGATCAAAAGAGAGGGACCAGGTCGGGATGTACCTTCATGCGTTCCCTGCCCGCACCGGGCTCAGATAATGTCAAAAGCCAAACTGAACTTCTTGTAACCACAACTAATTAGTGAACCGAAGCGCAAAGGGAGACATGGCACCCCCTCCCCCCAATTCCGGCGTTGTGGAGGCCGCTTTCGATGAATATAACGATATCGTCTCCCCAAGACAGGCCCACACAACAAATATCCGGGCTCGGGAAGCAAATTCGAGGCTCCCTCCACGACACTCTGGAACGCCGGAAACCGACAGCCCTGCCAGCAGTGTCAAGGTAGTTTTAATTATAGCTTGATAAACTTTTACATCAACACCTTCTGGGACTTCCGCCCACATACCAAGAGTTTCTTCCGCTTACTCCAGAGTTTCCTAGGCGTCCACCAATAGTCAACAGCTCCAGTCTGTGGAAGTCAGCTCCTTGACAGTGAAAGAGATCCTTGCCCTCCTCAATGGCGCCTTTCCCATGGATGAGGCCGTGATCAAGGGTCAGTTAGTGAGATAGCCCCCCGCCAGCTATTCCAAGCGACCACCCCTAACCTCCCTGAGAAACCTATCTAATCTTATCCTACACAGCCCTACCAGACGGAAGCACGTTTGCGTCGGTAGAACACTTTGGTACGAGCGCATGGACCATCACAGGCAAGATCACGGCCCAAGGTCTCGACGGATCCGACGAATACTATTTCGTGAAGATCGCGTACGGAGAGACGGGGAGGATCATGCTCGGGGGCGAATACGAGTCGTCCAAGGTCATCTATGAGACCACCCCAGACTTCATCCCCAAGCCCTTCGGATACGGAAGGTACCGGTGCCAGGAGCCGGAGACGTACTTCTACCTCTCCAAGTTTGTCGACATGGACGTACAGGCGGCGCCGGACCCGGCAGAATTCACCAGCAGGCTCGCCCGCTTGCATCATCTGAGCAAATCGCCGACGGGCAAGTTCGGCTTCCATGTCCCCACATGCGACGGTGATAGGGCACACGTTGTGGACTGGCAGGAGAGCTGGGCTGTGTTCTACCGGAACTTGTTCCTGGGCGTCTGTAAGCTCGACCTGAAGCGGAACGGCCCGTGGCCCGAGTACGAACGGGCCATCGACCAGGTGGCCTCAAAAGTCATTCCGCGTCTCCTCGAGCCGCTGCAGGCGGATGGGCGCGAGCTCAAGCCATGCATCATCCACGGCGACCTCTGGGAGGGCAACATGGGGATCAACCTAAACACCGGAGAGAGCATCCTCTTTGATGCCGGCTCGTACTTTGCGCACAATGAAATGGAACTCGGACATTGGTGAGTTGAGCTGTGCCACCCGTGTCAGATGGTCCTGGTCGATATTGCCCTGTGGTTTGGGCAATCCTTTCTCTGCTATCGCTGGGTCTCTTTGTTTTCGTCGGAACAGACACACGACGAAAGCTGCTAGATCTCGGTTGACTAATAGTATTTTTAATTCCCAACAGGAGGTGCGAATTCAGCTCGGTATTCTGGTTAGAGGAATACACCGGATGCTATCTGGAGCAATATCCTGCTGCCGAACCGGCCGAGGAGTTCGATGACCGCATTCGGCTGTACAGCTTGAAGGGTGCCATTAACTATGCTGCCGGCCACCCGCGAAGCCACTTGAGGAAGACGTAAGTTGACAGTTTTTTTTGCGTTTCCCCGTTCAAGATTCCGCTGACATCTGAGACGCACATAATCCAAGTGCGTATAACAACATGTGTTACCTCATCGAGAAGTATGCGCCCATCGACGGTATCGACAAGTACGACCCTTCGCTGGACCCTGTAGTCACCGGTGCGCGTATCGTGCCTCACCTGGAGTCGGGTCTCCTATGACGATTCGAAGAGCGGGATCTCATATAGCCTATTGTCTTCTTCCCGCTGTCTTCCTTTTCCCTCTCGTTAGAGCCACAAGCATTTTTTGAATGAGTATCACTATCACAACTGAATGTAAGGGACTGGATACTAGTATTGGACACATCGATCATTTCGCAAGCCCTCTTGGACACGATACGCATCTTCACCCCGGATGACGGCTCGCTTTAGCCAGACAGACAAAATCCAGGTGTATTCAAAGTACAACTACTACCACAAATCCCATATACCGCTAACCCACTCCTCACCGCCATCCCCTCCCCCTCCACTGCACAACCCCCCATCGGAATCATCGACACAGCAACGAGAATAGCGGCGGCAATCCCCGCGGTAGCCCCAAGCCCAACAGTAGCAATCAACTCCGGAAACCAGAAGGGCCCGATAAGCCCCCAGGTCTGGCGCACAAAGTTGATAAACACCCCGATGGACGCGGCCTCGTCGCGGTAGCAGTCGACGGCATAGGTGGTCATGACGGTGGTGACGATCTGGCTGCCCCCCGCCGCGATGCCCATACCCACGTCGGGCGTGACGTTCCATGTGTAGTCCGCGGCGCCGATTTGGACCAGGTAGACAACCACGCCGGGTATGGTGAGTAGGAAGCCTGGGTAGGCGAGCCAGTGGCGGAATTCGGGCTGCCGTGTTTTTCGATTCATTCCCTGGACCTGGTCTGTTGTCTCGTTGTCGCTACTACTAGTAGTACTACTATTGTTGTTGGTTCCCTGTTGGAGATGCTTCGCATGGCACCGCCACATCCACCAGTCGCTCAAAAACCCGCCGTTCTGCTTGCCGACTAGGGAGCCGACGATGATGGCGATGTTCTGCAGGCTGACCGCCTGCGGGTCGAGCCCGAAGTTCTCGGGGAAGAGGGATCCGGTCTTGACGGACATCATGATGTTGGCCCACAGGAACACCATAGCGTATGCCACCGTGGGTATCAGCACGCACGGCCGGCGGAAGAAGGTCAGGGGCTTGACGAAGTCCCAGACCCGGAGAGGGGTCGGGTCGAGACGGCGGAAGCAGAGCAGGCTGCGGCTGGGTTGGGATGAGGAAGGTGGTGGTGACATCGAGGGCGTCGGGCCGCGCAGGTATAGGGTTTCGCGGCCGAGGAGGAAGTAGAGGATGAATTGCACGCCGTTAATCTAGGTAGGGGGATGTCCATTCACGTTATGGCGAATCACGGAGAGGGAAAAAGGGAAACCGAGAGATAAAGACAGAAAGAAAAAAAAAGAGAAAGAAAAAAGAGAGAGAGTGTGTGTGTGAGTGAGAGAGAGAGAGAGAGAGAGAGAGAGAGAGAGAGAGAGAGATCCAGCGGTACCCGACCCGGACCGCCACGAGCCCAAAGATAAAGGGGGCCATGGGCACGCCCAGGGTGATCATGATGGTCCAGATGCCCATGTATTGGGCCCGCTCCTTCTTGAAGAAGGTCTCGGCCGTCCTGTACGCCCTCTAAATACAATACCGGCTCGGCTGGCTGCCACGTATTGCCGATATCAAAGCTTCGCGTTCGCACGATAGTATACGTCTTATTACCTAGATACTCCGAGAAGTACAGCTAGATCTCATTCCGCGGTCCGCCGAGGTATAAGAGAAAAGCATTCTATACTTTGTCATACAGGGCGGGTGTGACGGAAGCACAGGCAGTCCTGCCTCTGAGAGGGTTCGCCGGTCGAAGGTATCGCTGGTCGGACTGTAGGTCTCGGTGAAGCCAAAAGGTTCACAACAATGCAAGTCGCAATGTCTGCACAGTAGGTCAGGCTACTGATTGTTATTGCTCACTGGAGAACTTCCCGAGTCCTCCAGAACGAATGACTAGCTAACCTATATACTACAGGCTTCCCATGGATTACTGCTTGTCTCTGGCGATCCCTCATACTGGATCACCAAGCCTTCCCTATGCCAAGCGTGATCCTTTTCTGATTGGTCCGTTCCTGGACCGGAATGATTGGATGCGGGCGCCGCCCGCGGACTATGCAGGTCGGCCCCACCGGCCTCTGCAGGTTAATTCATGACAGCGGGGCCACGGTAAAGGACAGAAAGGTCCACTCTACGCCGCCGTCGGTAGACCGCCAGATGGCGATATAGTAACGAAAGGGGGGTCCGTATCATAGACCTTATAGGCAATGTAGTATATTCGTGGTTGCACAAGGGAAACAATGGTACAGGCCACTATGCACAGAGGAAATACCCTGCGCGGCATAGACTAGCCCTATAGGCCCGACCAGGGCTCTATGCCATGAATTACCTGCAGAGATCGGTGGGGGCCGACCTGATATGAAGTAGAATGGGCGATAATTTCCGGCCTCTATCGCCGGCGCTGTTTAGGGCCGTCACGGAGGCGGCCCCGGTCCGGGAATACGAACGCGTTCTTGACTGGTAGAACTTCGGGCGAGTACTGGCCCTGGGCCTACTAAGTCATTAATTGCTAGGGTGCGAAAGGCGAGATTTTGCTTCGTATTACCGCAGGAGCCGTTGGTGAGGCCCCTGTTAGAGTGCAGCTAGGCAACCTAGGCTTGGGCCAACAAAGGAGAAGCTGTGTGAGATCATCCTGCAGTTCAAGCACATGATTTCTATCCAGTCTAATGAATGCTATTTAATATCCTACGCCGATGTAGCTTTGTTGCGGATGCAAGAGAGGATGACTAAGAGAAAGGGGTGTGTTAACGGGCGCAATGTGCTCAGCGGCCGGACGGTTAACTCTCCCTTCGGGTCCCTTAGGGTAACCGTCTTCTGGCCACCTTTGGCCGATTTCCGGCATTCCACTTTGTGCACCATTATCTTCACCATCGTATGTACAGCATGCTGAAAAGTGTGTGCCACTGTGACGTACAGAAACATGTGTATTTCGGCGTGACGTATTGTACCAGTATCATCGGCCGGTTCCCAAGGCACCCGTTGACTTATCAGGTTGCGTCCGGAATGTACAAGAGTTTCCCCTTTGCTACACATGCACCGGCGCACTCTTCGTGAGTGGACAAGATCATTATGTACTTCTCTGTTGAGGGTTTTCCGTCAGGGGTGAACGAGAAGATGGGACCATGTTGGAACATGGTTAGGGTTTTGAAGATGATTGTATGCTGGCCCTTGGACCTTGAATCCCTGCTTCTCGATGCCAATATAGACCCGATTAATCTATCATTCACATTGTAAAGTAGCTCTGGAAATAGTCCAAGCTGGGAATGTTATCAAGAAGTTCTACCATGGCACATTCTTGTCCATGGCTTGACTAATGACCTTGCTGAATCGCAGCCTAAAATACACAAGAACCCCCGTTTTTACGATACACTTGCGTGTGCCGAGCCATGATTATTGAGCAAAAGGGTGTGGACGACGAGATCAAGTGTGGAAACAAGCGGCTTTGTAAGGCCATCCGATCTTCAAGACTTCAGGTGCCGCTTTGACAAATGGTTGTGGTGAATGCGAGGGAGAAGGGCTCGAAAGGGGTACCGTCATGATTGACCAGAGTTGAGGGAGTTAAGATAGACACAGGCGGCCGGAGGATGGCTACGAGGCAACACACCGCGACAGGGTTGCCACTCGCCAGCCACTGGGTTCCGCTGACTGAGTTATTTATCTGGGAGGATGCTCCAGCAAATGCAGAGAGTTGATGTTGCTGACTCTCTGTTGTCTGCGAGGGTAAGGTGAGGGACTACTAGTAGTACTTAGAGCAGCCCCTTCGCTCCAATTCCCTCCTTCCGCACCACGCTTCGGAACACCCATCTCAGCTGTTCTCTCTGTTTGGCCGTCGTCCTCCCGTTAATATTCTTGCGAGTGCCTTCAAAGCCAAGCATTCTTCTTCTCCGGCTGCGCAGCAGGTCTGAACAACGGGAAGGAGCTAACAAAGCTTCACATTAGACACTGCACTCCTAATCTCTCCTGTCGTGCGGGCCCTCACCTGCCCTCCCACCCATCCAGCCGCCATCACTGCCGTTTCCGCATTCCGCACTTGGCATTCATCATTACTACCTCCCTGACTCCTGCCAAACCAAAGTGCCCCCTCTCGGTTCTTCCAAACCACACCACCCCATACCACCACCGACCGTCCCACCAAAACGCAGACTCAACCCAGCTTTTCGCCTGCGTCTGCCCAACCAAGAAAAATCGAAAGATGCCCGCCCTCCCCACGGAGAGACAAGCCCAAACCGCCGGAACGCAACACCGTTCCCGTCTGCAGACGCGCTTCCCAGGCTTCCAGGTCCGGCCCGCGCGGCCCTCCGACTTCCGCGCCATGGCCCGCATGGCCACGGCCACCTTCCGGGACGAGCACGAGGTGTCCCACTTCACGCGGTACCGCCGGGCGCTGGACCCCGCGGCGGTGGCGCGCGCGAACAGGCTCGCGCTGGCCGAGTTCGCGTGGCGGCTGGCCACCATGCACGCAACCCGGCGCCTTCCCGGGCGGCACTTCCTCGTGGCCACCTACCTGCGCACGCCCGTCGAGTATCTTTCTACACTCAGGGGTGCGCACGAGACGAGGGAGGAGATCCTCGCGTGGGCGGAGTGGCAGGAGCCGGTGTGTGCTCTGGCGAGTGTCGGCCCGCGCAGGGAGAGTCTGTTCCCGCCCGACGACAGTCCGTTTGCGGGCTTAGGCAAGAGCCGTGGAGAGCAAGTGGACGTGCCGAGGTCTGCCCATGCTAAGCTCGAGGCCATCCTCCAGGGCATGCAGTCCAGGTGTGGCGAGTACACCGTGCTCGTTCCGCCCAACAGCGGCGCAGTGTATCGGCAGGTTGCCGTGGAAGGCTTTCACCGCGCCCGGCTGGACTTCCCTGAGGAATGGAGACGCTGGTCTCAAGAGTTCCTCCCCGCTTTCCTCGGGCCGGACGGAGATGCGCAGGGGCGGTACATGGGTATGTTTCAATTGTTTTCACAGTTTCCAATTCCCCCTTTTCCAAATCCCGTTGCTATGACAACCCACCAATACCCCACACGTACTCGCGCTAACCGTGTCCTCATCACAGCTCTCCGCGCTCTTGTCGTGAACACAAACCACTGGGGCAACGGCATCGAGCACGAGCTCCTCGACTGGGGCGTCCAAAAGGCCCGCGATCGTAGCTGGGACATCCTCACCGTGGTCCCGAGCGTCATGAACTCGTGGACGCTCGACTGCCTTCTCGACACGGGCTTCAAGGAGGTCGGCTCGCTGGAGATCTTCTGGGGTTCGCAGCACGCTCTGATGTGGGACCACTCTTCGACGGGATGTGGATACGGACAACAGAAACAGCAACAGGACAAGGACAAGATGGACGATCTCCTCCCGGCGGCTTCTTCTGAAGCCGTAATCTCGGTCCGCACGGGCGAGGAAGCAGTCGACAAGTCGGTCGCAAAGTCTACTCAAGCGGGGGCTTCTCGGTTGACTGGGACCAGACTTCGTCACGCTCGGGGGTAGTCGCTGAGAGCTTGACACCGACGCAGCAGATAAGGAGCTGAGGTGGAATTGAGGAAGTGGTTGATATGGCGGGCTTCTCCACAATACTATCGCTATGGGACCAATGGGTGGGTTGTCTGGAGGACGCAGGTGTTTCAGGATGTGTGGCGTCCGGTCAACATGGATTGATGAGCATTGTTATCATGGTATAGGTCTTCGGCGTTGGGGCTCAGTCGGTATGGTTGGATGGCCGCCGGTGTGGTGCGCACAGGGAGGGAAACGTGGTTAGCTGCAACATACCAAGTACTACTAATAGTAATTCCGAATACCAATCAGAGGAACTCTCATGCTTCTCTTATTAAGTTTGACATCCCTAGAACTCCTTGATCAAGGGGAATTAGGTCCGGCAAACCTTAGCTTGACCGGACCCTGATCCCTACACTTTCGTCGTGTTGTGAGAGGGTCTACGATGCTAGACCTAGCTGCCAAGTAACCATACATACCAATGGCCTCCTCCTACACCTCCCAGGCGCCCTAACAACAGTAGGTCAGCTTGACTGGCGGTCTCCGTATTGCCCAGCGCTGTCTCCCATGTGCTAGGTACATAGATAACACTAATGCCCACGCTAGAGACCCTGTTAGATTGTTCTAAATCCCGTATAACTAGATTCCGGAGGCGCGGAAGAAGGCCTTCAAACTAAAAGAAGTTAGGGAAAGGAGACGTCAGCTGTCTAGCACTACCCTCAACCTATCTAGCGGAGCGAACTGTGTTCGTGCGAAGAGAACCTGGGAATCCAAGCGCAGGATCCCACCTTTAGTCGGACCTGTCCCGTTTAAAGGATAGGCATTACTGCCACCTGGCACTGTGACACTGATAGAAAGCTGTACGTAGCCTGTATATATAGCATTTTGAGGCGGTCTAACAAGGCTTCGCGGAATGCTGGTCACTCAACACTTCGTCGCTGGATCTTTGTCATGCTGGGATACTTCCTTGTATTAATGAAGTCAAGTACCTATTCCTAGGGTTTTTTCTATCCCGCTATTCCATTCCAACCGTCCTCCGCGGCCGGGGTGCGCGGAGCGAATTCTCAGCATCGTTGTAGAGGATACGACACGTACCCTCGGTGGGTGAGACCGAACCTGGCGGGAAAAGAGGTTGGCGCCAGAGCGACTTGAAGGCGCGGGCGAGGCGCCGGAACTCAGGTTTCAGCTTGGCGTGGCCGGCCCGTTGTGTCGCCGTCTTTATCTTCCGGGGAGGGTGCTCCAGGACAGTGCCCTTGTCGTATGCGCAACCGATGCGTCGGATAGCCCGACGCAGATGGGGATGGCCTGTTTAGAGCTGCGGATCCTAACCTGATGTCTTGGTCGGTCAGAGAATAAAGAGGTTTGCAGATATCATTATATACGGTCTGGTCACTGTCGGCGTAGCCCGTTCCGGTATTCTCGTTTTTCTTTTCCTTTCCCTTTTTTTTTTTTTTTTTTTTTTTTTTTACGCTCCTGTTTCCTTTCTCTTTCCTTTTTCGGTCTGGTTGTCGTAACTAATCGGGTTTGCGGAACCCAATACCGAGATCCCCATCGCAACATCACCCATAACCTTTCTTTCAACAAACCACCATATAGGACTACCGTACAAAGGGATACCATACAAACATCACCATATAGATACCCCTACCATACATTTCCAACATCACCCTTCTGGACCATGCCGAACAAGGCCTCTTTTCCCACCCTCAATGTACTTGACGAACTGGCTCCGGTAGCGCTCCTCATCATCGTCGGCGAGCGTCTCTACGTGGCCACCGAGGATGTACTTCTTGAGAACCTCGGCATCGAGCTCCTCGGTCTCCATGTCGAAGGCAGGGAAGCGGTTCTCGGAGTGGGGGACCAGGATGCCACCCGCAACTCGAAGTCGAAGACTAAGCTAGGCACCTTGTGCTGAAGCCCTTGACCGTGTGTAACCTGGTATCTATGCCTTTTAGCCTTGCCGTTGATAATCAAATGCTGGTCGGTAGCTGGAAATCCCGTCGTTGAAAGCCAAGAAAGCCGACCCAAACAAAACCGTTTGTTTACTTACCCCTGAATATGGGACTCCTCAGCTGCTCTAGAGTGACCTTCTTCCTCCGGTTGTCTCGTCGAAATGGTGATGTCCCACCACGATGCGGCCCTCGTGATGCGGTTGTGATTGAGAAAAAAGCGAGGGGTAGTGGGGGATGCTCTGACGGGCCCGGCGGGTCCTCCGGAATCAGAACGATCTTCTTCCTTTGTACCACGCGGGTTCGCGGGGAATGAAACAGGTGAAGAGATGTCAGCCCGTCGTTATTAGTTCTGCTGCCACTGGAGGGCAGAGAACGATATGACGGACGCTGGGCCGTGAGTGCATACTCTTCACTCTGGTCTGAGAGGATGGGTATAGGACTCGGTCTCCCTTCTTGCTTGGAGCGGCGATACATGATGTTCTCTTTGCGTGGCTTGGCGCCGGCGCGAACGATAATATCCAGGTGGGGATGGAAAATGGAAGTAGTCTGTTTGTGGGAGCGTTAGTAGTCCGACTTCAGCATAGTACGTGTTAGTCGGAGGGAATGTCGGACCAGCAATACTTAACTACTTCTATCAGAGGAGAAGAACCGTGACACAGCTGGACCAGAGACAGGGGGATATTTTAATCTCGCTTTGGCTTGTAGGGAGCAGCGGTGGTTGGATTGCCGACCCTTGTTTACACCTCAAGCCGGGGAAGGAAATAAGAATGGAAATGCCACTTACTTGGTGGTCGCCGATAAAAAGGATAGTCTTGGTACCGCGATGGTCTAAATTGGGCCATGACCACCGCCGGACACACCAGGTCGGTGATGGTAAGAGAGAGGACAACTGAAGATGGAAGTATGAGGAGAAGGGAAGGAGGTGGGACTGGATGATGATGGTATAAGTCGGTCGCCCAGATACACAAAGGCGTGTTAATGATGAAGGAGGGGGTTGGAGAATGACAACCAAGGGGGGTGATGATGACGATAGAATACAAAGATACTGAAGAACAATGGTGATGGATAAACAAGAAAAGGAAGAAGGTGGTGATGGTCATGGTGCTAAGGAAGAAGAAAATGTCCCAGTGCTTTTGACCGATCACCACATGGACATGGTGGTGACGGGGTGGTCACACTGGTGTTGATCTTGACCCCCAAAGGCTGCACCCGGAAGACCAGGCTGGCACCGAGGGAAGTCTGTTGTCGTGTGGAAAGGAAGAGGAAGAGGGAAGAATCTGCGAGGAAGGGGGCCTTTAAATAGAGATCCCGGGCCGGTCTGTGCACACCTGCATTTTACGCTTCACGCTGCCTAGTTGCGTGCGCCAGTATGCGAATGAATGTGAGTTCTGTGGTGTTGTGTGCGGTTGGGTATGTGCGAGGGGCGGTCGCAGGCTCCATCGGCTTCTTCTGGCAGTCACGCGGGAGATCCAACACCAGCCCACCAAACGCCTCTGTGCCCGACCCTTGCCATGGACTTCAGAGGTTAGGGTGGGCTTACATTTCCCTGTTCCAATTCCGTTTCAATCACGCTTCAATCTTCCCTGCTTCAACTTGCTTCAAGATCCCTAGCTTCAACATCCCCACCTTCAACACCGTTTGAATCTTCCTTGCTTCAAGCGCATCAAGCTTCAACTGCCTCGACTGTCTCAACATCCCCTGCTTCAATACTCCCAGCTCCAATTCTGTTCCAAAACATTCCTGTTTGAAGTTCCCTTCATTCTCCTTGTTTCAATGTTTCAACAACATCGCACCGAACCGCGCTGGTCATACGGGAGAAGATTGCTTGCCTCTACCGACTTCTCCTGGCAGCCGCGCGGAGATCAAAAGCCCACTGGCCACCTCTGCTGCCCGACCCTTGCCGTGGGCTTCGGAGTGCCGTTGTGGGCGACATCCCCCTGCTTCAAAGTCCGCTTTAATCTTCCCGGCCCGACTGCTTCAACGGCTTCAACTGCTTCAACTGCTCCAACCGTTCCAACTGCCTCAGCCGCTTCAACATTGCCTGTTTCAACAATCTCCATATTCCAATCCCAACCACGCAGATCGCGCTGGTCAGTACGGAGAACATCGGCTACCTCCATCGAGTTCTTCTGGTAGCCGCGCGCGGAGATTAACATAGCCCACTGACCAGCTCTGGAGCCCGACCCTTGCCATGGGCTTCAGAGTTCAATGTTGGCTGACATTTCCCTGTGAGAAGTCCGCTCCAACACTGCCCGTTCCAGTCCCCGTTCCAATCCAGCTCCAAGTGTCCGTTTTAAATCTTCAAGTGTGTTCCAATATTGTCCTCTGTTTCAACTTCTGTTTCAATTCTCAAGCTTTAACTGCTTCAATATTTCCTGCTTCAACTCGTCTTCACTCCCCCCCTTTCCCCCCATGTATCTCTCCCTATTCCTTAAACACATCACACTCAACCGCGCTGGTCACCAGGAAGTAGATTGTCTACCTCTGTCGACTTCTTCCGGCAGCCGCGTGGAGATCAACAGTAGCACACTGACCGACTCTGAGCTCGACCCTTGCCATGGGCTCCGGGGCTTTCTGTGGGTTAACATTTCCCCCTTCCCCTTCCCCTTCATTTTCCCCTTTCCGTTCCCCTTCCCCTACCCGTTTTCTTTTCACTGTGTGCTCGGCGCTTGGTCGAGCCATGGAGAGGAGAACAGTCCTCCAAGCCAGGCACATGTTCCCTTTCCCCGTGAGATGCCGCAGTACCAGTAGTTACTAGTAATATAAGATACTCCGCCATGTGATACCATTCCTGTGTCAATACTCTCCTGTGAAGCAGCCAATGTAGGTGTTGCAGCGGGACTGTTCAGGTCAACGGGTCACAATTTTATTTGGCTGGATGTACTGGGATTACTAGGACTACTGGCTGGGCCTCCCAAAGCCGCCGAATCCAGCTCCCTCCCAAGGGAGTAAAGGTAGGGACCACAAGCCAAGACAGTTCGAGAGTGCCGGTACGATGGTCAAATGGGAAGTAGAATTGGTTCAGTGTATCTATGGAGCGAGCTGGCATGCCCACTAGAACAAAGCTTCCTCAAGCAAGACATTTAACTTGTGTGATGCCCATACTATAGTAGTAGTTCTTCAAGATGACGCTGATGGCACCGAGCAAACCTCTTTATCCTCGTGCACAAGAGGATAATGTTGAAATCCAGGCCAATAGTTTATGATTCCGTGAGGTGACAACAAGGGTCGTGTGAGTGCAGAGCGAGGCTACCCAGGAAGGTACTACCACCAGTAATAAGTGTAGTACCGATAGCTGCGCGCGTGAATGTAGGGGCACACAATCCTTCTCCGAAATCCACGACAGAACGTGCAAAATCCTGGGAGTCAAAATCAAAGATTCCGCGCCGCAACGCGACTTTCGAATTAAACACAATGTTCCTTGCAAGTCTTTGATTTTCTTAACCGATCCCGAATACTCCGGAGGAGCTCGGAAGCGAGAAATTACCTTCCTTCTAAGCATGTGCTGGAGCGACTGTACCGCATCACGGAATTTCACCATCTCGGTTCCCCTATACCTTCCCCAAAAAAGGTCCACCAGCTCTAAAGATGGCCTACGAGGCATCCAGCAGCGATGGTATGTCTATCAGCGCGGCAGACATCGATCGGATTGCATACGCAATCGGTGTCAATGTGCCCGGGCTATGGACTGAACTGGTAAGAGCTAATACTACTAGAAGTAATCTTCCATACCTTACCTACCGTACCTATGCATCTTCAGACTTAACAAGCTAACCAACTGGGTTTCAGCTTAGCATTACACTCTCAACCCAGACTACTATCAGCCGACTCCGAACGAACGCCAATGTCGGGTCTTCGTCATTCATTACAGGCACAACACCTGGATCCGTCACAACGCTCCCATTGAGCCGAGTCCTGTCTTTGACATCGACGGAATCATCGACGAGCTTCAGAGCATTCGGGCTTTAGCTATAGCTACAGCAGAGGATCTGGGGTGTTGCAGACACCTCTGGCACTGATGCTGGAATTACGCTCAGGACACCGACTCTGACGGATGGCCGGAGTACACCTATCAGCATGGCACCAGAGCCCGGGGCGGATATGTCAAACATTACGGCCCGCCTGCCCCCTTTCTTTCCTCTCCCCGCTGGCAAGCTGCCCGCTTCAGCACCAGAAGTCGGTCGCGACCACTTCCGGCTCCTCCCTTCACCTGCACCCCAGTGACAGGTTCAACACGGACGGAAAAGGCAGCGGAGCTGGGTCCGATGCTCAATACTTACCCCACCAACAAGACGGACTCGTCCGATGAATGGCAGGAGAGAGAAGAAGAGTTCGACGGAGTCGACGACACTCCCATGCCCGACATCGAAGCTCCCACCACTCCGCCCAGCTCCCGCAGACGGCACAGGCACATCCCCGTGGAGGAGTCTGACGATTCGAGGCCTTTGAGGGTATATACAACCTCGTGACCGAACGCTGTTAAACAGCCTACGGCAGATCAGAACCCTGCCTGGGTATTATTGTGTTTCGCACAAGAAATACGTCGCGCGAGTTCGGATAGCCCCCATGCTCTAGGCGACGGCGTTATCGGCCTAACGCCCTCAACCTCAGTGCCAAGCACGACTGCTGTGGGTAGAGCGAGTGCTTGAACTGCAACAGCGACGAAGAGGACTCCGATGACGAGGTCGACACATAGACTGGTACTGCGCATCGCTACGGAGGATACCGGGTATGGGATTAGGATTAAGGATTAGGCAAATTTGCCAGGCAGTTGATGGTCTTGGGCAGGGCGCGGCAGACGCTGTGAAGCACTGCGTGCCTTGTGTCCAGCGTCTGCTGCGCGGGGCGTTTTCGAAGTGTGAGCCAGACCTCGGCGATGCCTGGCAGGACTGTCACGACGCCCCTGAGCCCTGCGTTTGTTGACCATCAACTTACATATATCCAGCAACAAGAGTCACGACTACTACTGAGAACGGCAAATCACAACAACAACCTACGGGAACTCCATGGATACCGCGCTCTGAGACTTCCCGGGATTTGTGGCCCGCGAGTATGGCGGCCCTCTCCTTTCTACCTTTTTCCATGCCACCATCATCTGCTTTAGCCTAGAAGACAAGGAGGTACTCTCTTTGTGGCCCCGGTCAGTATAACACGGCCAGGTAATGCTCGTTAGGCCTCCTAAAAAGGTCGATCTAACCGCATGCAGGTGGACATAGCAACGGATATCAACTCGATGCTGGGCTCGATCGCGATTGGCAGTATGAGCATAGTCATGGTGGGGCAGGGGACCGAGAGAGATTATAAAATCGACCGTTTCATCAACAAGACCGTCGAGTAAGAAGACAACCCAAGCCCAAGCAGTCTTCTCATCGGATACGGATCAGACAACTAACGCCTATGACACAGCAAAATGGACTCTACCGTGAAGAGGCTGGTCAGGTAAGAAGATCCTGAAAACTCAAATCTCCTTCATAGTAGGTATGCGATACATAGCTGACGCGCTAATAATGCAGCGGCATCAAGAACGCCGAGGAACCTCGGTTCTATCCCCTCACCTCCGACGAGTCCCGCGAGTACTCGTCCCTCCAACGCCTTGAGAATACCAAGCGGACAAAGGAAAGACTGTCCGAATTCATTCGCAAGATCCTCTCCCAGAGAAAGCGGCAGGCGACTTCCAAAGACGCCAAGGAAGACGAAGACGAGTCTAGGGAGGAGTAAAAAGCAAAGTATGATATGCGGGGTGCGTTGTGCTTGGGGCAGGTGGCATGGCATGGCAAGAAGTCGGACCTGCTCCACGGCGTACTTGACTCTGGGCGCAATGGCAGCCCGAAGCCCGTGACCAGAAAGAGGCAGTGCGGCCTCCGGCAGCAAGGAAACCATCTCGGGCTTCCCCGAGCAGCAGCAGGAGGAGGAGGACCAGAAGAAGAAGAAGAAGGGCAAGGGCAAGGGCAAAGCGGTGGTGCGCGCTTGCGAACGCTGCAAGCGGCTTAAGGTCGCTTGCGTCCATCGCGAGTCGTGCGGTGCGCCAAGACGGGCATCGTTTGTGAGAAGGCCTAGGCCGGCCCGGTCGGATCGGCGAACGAGGAAGAGATGCCAGATGAAGCGGAGGACATAAAGCGAGAATTTGGGAGAGGCCATCAAGAACGCCGAGGCCACTAAGCAGAAGGTTGACCTCGAACTCAGGGACTTGGAGTAGACACTGAAGAACATCGAGTCGGCCCGGCCGTTCGATCAGCTCACTATCGACGACGTCGCCGCTGCCGAGCCGAGCATCGACGAGAAGACCACCCAGCTCGTCGCCAAGGGCCGCTGGTCCGTGCCAGGGTACAAGGTGCGTTCTCAGGTGCTATTTCCTCCGCAATGCCTGGGATTATGTGCTAACGACGCGAACAGGAGAAATTCGGCGACCTCTCTTTGCTATAAACAACTCGCTGCCCGATTCCCCTTTCCTTTTGTTGTCGGCTTTGAATCGTTCAATCGAGCGCAGTCGGGCTGTTTGTTCCATGTCGGAGTGTAGGGCAAACGCAGGGAGATTGAGGTTTTGCAAGAAGGGTGTCAGGCGGCGGACGGCCAACTGCCCAGGTGCGGTGATCGAGCTTTCACGTTTGGGCGACCGAGTTGTTGGCGGGGTCTCTCTCGGCGGGCCGGCAATGGAACAGTTGGACCTTCCAGGTTGACAAGCTCCTGGGCATCTACCGAGGACTGGTCCGCCGGGCGGAGAGGGAGGCCGCCGGCTACGTCGTCGCCCGGGAAGAAGGAGGCGAGGGGGAGCAGGTCGCCGTGGTGGCCCATAATGTGATTATGGGTCGGTCGTGGCTGCTGGTTGTTCCGCGGCGCGCGGCCGGCTGGGACGGCGTGGACATGAATGCCGCGGGCATGCTGGGCATGGTATGGGTGCACAGAGAGGAGAAGATGAAGCCTGGATGGAGCGCGGACCGGGAATGTGCTGGCGCGCCTTGGGATCCCGGCTGATGGAATTTGAGGCTTGGGTGTGAATGATGCTGAGGAAGATAGTAGTGATTGTGATAGAGTAATAGCTAGTCAACTTTAACTTAAGTTGGCGTCGTTCGAGTTGACATTTGACAACATTGGTGCCTGGCCCTGAAGTGGCTCGAGAGAGGGTCCTCATGCCCAACCCCAACCCTGAGGACTACGCGCATCTTTCCTCTAACAGGACGGCGATGGTGAGCGTGCCTTCGGTCTCACGGGGATATACTACATTACATACTACTGTATCTCAAGGGACTGGTGAAGGAAAGCCTCACATTGAGCTATAAAGAACACTTCAAGCCGAAACCAAACCCAGAGCTACCATACATGACCATAGGAACTCCATTCCCATTCCCAACCCGTGTCCCCGGCCCGACCACACGCCATACCGTTCGTGACCAAGCTCCGACCAGCATCTCCAAGAAAACCGACTTTTGCTGCACCTGATCTGTTGCCCCCACCTGAATCGGCGTTCATTTGCTTGTGCCTCCTCCGCCGAACCTGATCCCGTCCTGGCCCCGGGGGCTGTCCACCAAGTCCACTTCGGGCATCGACATCCTACTAGTAGGTACCCTCCTAACGACCCCGCTGCCCTGTATCCCTTCCTGACCCCAACGCTGCTGGCCTATCCCTCGCCTCAACGATGGCGGCGATGGAGTAGTCATTCTATATGCAGGCATATCGTTGCGGTGCGGCCGATACCGATAGCAAAGAATTAGACTTACACCGTCACCGGGGCGTCCCTCCGCCGAGTCCCCGGGCCGGTATAGTAGTGGCGTCCGTGGGTATACCAGAACCCAACAGCAAACATGACCACAGACACGAAGACGACGCTGGCATAGTTCATCTGTTTCACCCTGTCAGCATATCCATCCTCCCTCGGAAACGGAAGAAAAAAGGACAAAGAAAGAAGAAAAAAAGAAAACTCGCATTCTCCCTCGTAACTGGCAACCGCGTCGGCAGGAAGAAAATCACCGACACGAACCCATTCCACGCAATAGCAAGCACATTGGCCAGCAGACTCCACCGCCCCAAGTGCCACGGCCCGCGCTCGAACCGTCCATATAGCAGCTTGCACACGATGGGGAGCATATAGCTCACATTCAGCGCCGCCGTACAGACGTTGAACACCGCGCTGATGGCCGTCTCGCTCGTCAGACCCAACAGGTTCACCGCGATCTCCAGCGCAGCATACAACCACACCGCGGCCACGGGGGTGTGGCTCCGGCGCGAGATGCGCCGCCACACGCGCGAGAGCGGGATCAGGTCGTCGCGCGCAAAGGCGTAGATGGTGCGGCTGCCCGATTGCAGGCCGGGGATAGCGACGAGGTTCATGACGGCGAAGCCGGCCAGGGTGAAGAATAGGGCTGGAACGGGCCCGGCGGCGTTGTAGAAGAGCTGGGACACGGGCTGGCCGCTGGGGGTGGAGAGGAGGGAGGCCGGGTTGCCCATGCAGAGGACTAGGACGAGGTTGAAGACAAGGCCGGTGAGGAAGGTGAAGGTTGTTGCATTGGCGATGGCTTTGGGGACGACGCGGGCCGGGTCTTTGGCTTCTTCGGCGATTCTTTAACAATACTATGGGTCAGTGGATGGTTTTAAGGGATGACAAGGAGGTGGAGGAGGACATACCGCGCCGTGCTATCGGCGTTGGTCATGATCCAGGCCGGGGTGAGACAGCCAAACAGGAACGCAAACCCCGGTGGGGTCCAGCCCGAGGACGGCTGGAAGTCAGTGAACACATAGGCAAAGCTGTGCTTCTCCTTGGTCTGCACCAGCAGGCAGACGCAGGCACCGATCAACACGCTCATGTGAAACACGACGTAGCCGCTCGTCAGCCGGTTCAGCCAGCGGGTGGGCAGGCTGTTGATGGACGCGTGGACGACGGTCAGGAGGGCCATGACGCCCACGACATGGCCCGACGTGGGCCTGTAGGAGAAGTCGGTCGCAATAGAGACGGCAGCCAGCAACATCTGGCTCGTGGCATACTCGGTGCTAGCGCTGCCGGCGATGATTCCCGCGAGCGTGATGTAACCGGACATCCAGCTGAGGATGGGGACCTGGTCTGGAGGAGCCAGGTACCGCATGGCCGAGTACATGGCTCCGGCGCTGGGGTACGCCGACGACAGCTCGGCCAAGCTCATGGCCAGCGCCCATGCTCCGACGCCCCCTATGATCCAGCTCCACATAATGGCAGCCGCGCCGCCGGCTTGCAGGCCGTAGATCCACGTCGACATCAGCGAGGCATACACGCCGCCGATGCTCATGGCGAAGCTGAAGCTGGACCAGTTGGAGAACTCGCGTCGGAAGACCTGGCCGGAATTAGCATCTGCAGTCGTGGTAGACGTCTGGTAAGGGGATGTACTGGCGTGTAGCCCATGGCTTCCAGCTTTCTGTCGGCCTCGTCCATGCTCACGTCGCCGCTGGACGGAAAGATGGGCGTGACATCTCCGCTAGCCGCCCCGGATGGGAGCTGATTGACGGTGGGGAGTGCTCTCTTCTCCGTGCCATCGGTAGCATGGACAGCCATTGTGATAGTCCTGTTCCCAAGTGAAAGATCTGAGGAGGATACCACGCAAAGCGAAAGTGTGTGGTATCTTCCTTTGTGTAGTCTCTTAAAGGCGAGGGCTCCCACAACTAAAAGGCCTTCTTCTTCCTTGCGCTCCTCTCACCGCTCTCTGTCGGCTTTGTCGAGCTATTGAATCCGTCTGGGCCAGATCACGTCCCAAGCCCTTTCTGGCCAGGCATCTGATACATGCCATTTCCAGAGACGGCAGACCAAAAGTCTGGGGCCGGGGCGGTCGGGAGTGTCCTCAAGGGATGATGCACATAGTTGATGCAGCACTTGGAGACTGTGCCGACCACCCTTCTGCGGCCTGACGTGTCTCTGGTTTCAATGTGTCAGCTCCCGGGGCGGGATTGCCATCTGTGGCGGGCTTATCATGCTCCAGCACATGTCCATTCGCACTGGTCGTCCCGGTGGAGGGGGACCATCCGTTATCGGCGGTCAGGGGGGGCACCGATAGCCGTGTGTGGAGGGGCCGGGTCGGGGTCCCGGGAGGTGCGAGGAATGACTTGCACTTTTGGGACATTCCAGCCGCTCTCGTTTTCCTGGGATGCGGCTGGGTCGGGGAGGAGCCCGGCACTATTCCTTGCCTGGACCGGTCCGTCAGGTATGGAGTTGTATTCAGGGTCTAGATTCGGGCAGCAACAGCACATTGGCCTTGTGCAACGCGGTGAGGTAGCATCGTCTGCATCGTGGGTGACCGGTGGGGCAGAGGAACTAGAGTAGGAGTCAACTTTGCTGGACATACATCTCAGAACGCGAATTACACCGACGAAGGCTAAGATGGCAACCTGGATGGTACTAGTAGTAGTAGCATATTTTGAAGAGCGTTGCCGAGACATGTCACCAATCCGCAATGGAGGTGGACAATCTCGAAATTTCGGGAGATACTAATCCTCACGACAGCGATGTTGACGATGATCCGGAGAGACGTTCCCGACTTCGGGTGCCCGGATGCGCACGGCCTGGCCTGGAGCCCTGGACGGCTTCGCATCCCGGTGGCGAATGGCAAACAAACATTTCTCAGGAATTCGAAGAGCCAAGGCGAGCCGGAGGATGGAGAGGGGACGTCTGCCGGGCCCGCACGGTCTAGGCCCAGGCGTCGTCCTAAACTAGGGGGTTCAAACGTGCGGCCAGTCAAGTGTTCGATGTGGGTATATATTAAGTCGGGAAGCTTCCGCCTCCCACCCCGGTTCCGATCAGCAACCAAAAGTTGGTGTGACAGCGCATAAAAATTGGTTTGTCCTCGTGACGGGGCAGAACTCTCTCGGCGTCGCCGTCGTGCCTTCCTCGGAGGAGGCCAGCACTGTCTCGCTGCCCGAGGTTCATCAGAAGCCTATTATCCCCAGTAACATACATACTTGAACTTCTATCTGGATTCTGGCTAACGAAAGCATGAAGCAGATTATCAATGCAGCTGCATTTTGCAGACCGAAACTATGATATTTCCATGCCGTTGGGACTTGATGTGCCGGGTCTGCTGGGAACCAAGTCTCCCGAGGAGCCCAGAGCCGTTGGCAGTGGGCACTGTTTCCATAGCAACCTGGCGAGCCCGTGCACTCCCACGGTGGCACATGTTTTCCGTACACGTGTCTTATATCCCGCGACCGCGAGTCAGCGGAAGTTCAGCTGATGGCAACAGCACAGTCGCCAACCCTGCACTACCCAAGAACTATTACGATGCTGCAGGAACGAGGACCACCAATGCGTGAGCCGCCCTGATTCCTCCAGCCGATGGGAATGCGAATGGCGTACCATGCTGCTTCCCCCATAGCTGCTGCTGTTGCGCAGCATCGCTTGGAGTTGGTGATACTAGTAGCCATCCTTTGCGGTCCCCGCCTGGAGCTGGTGGAGGGCGAATTTGGCGACGTTCCACGCCTGCGTCACCAGACTCACCACAAACCCGACAAAAAGAACGAGCGTGGAGGAGAGAATATGTCCTGCTCTTTGTCCTACAGTGACTGTCAATGTCGTGCGCGAAGATCTCGAGTGTAGTGTGCCTATATGCCGGTGACTATCCGCGTCGTTGTAGGCATGCTTGGTCAGTCTAAGGAGAGGAATTTAACAGTTAAACGGTCATCCCGCTCCGAGTGTGGCACTCCCTCTCACTCAACGCAAGGCTGTCTAGGAACTTTCGAAGTCCTGAAGTGGAAAGTCGAGCACAATAGCGGCGCTGTTGCTCCCTATAGTTACACCTCAGCCTTCACCTACCAAAACCCATGCTATCCAACCAGCAAGGGAGCAGGTTACCCTCGCACCACGAGCCGTGCCGCCTGGCTACAATAAATCCCAAGCAGGCGGCCGGTGATTTCTATGTGATGCTATATCCAGAACGCTTCCGGAGAGTCCACGACATCTCCCGATGTGGGACCCTGTTGGGCTGGATCCTAGCGAACTGCTCTCAGATTGGGATGATTTGAACTTTGATTTGTTGGCAGTAAAGCAGCTGAATGGACTTCAATTCGGCAAACGATATCGCTACAAACGAACATAGTAGTATGCCATAAAAGAGACGCATCCTCCATCGACGACGACTGACTTAGCCACTAAACCTGCCAAACCATTCTCCCAACCGAGCACCATATCCATGCTTTGTATCAGCCTAGCCGCCCTTGATTCCCAAGGGAAAAAAGCAAACCGACACCATCCCAACCCAATTCATGTGAAAGAAATCATCTTCCGACCAACCACTTTCCCCATCCCTCCAACTACCCATGCAATGTTTTTTGTGTTCATCACTTCGAAGGACTCTTCCACTCGCCGGCATCCTTGACGCCCTGCGCGGCAGACCCCACACCGCGCTCGATGCCCGTGCCGACGTTGGCGACGCCGTCGCCCAGCGGCTTGCCGAGCCCACCCGTGGCCGCGTTGACGGTCTCGCCGACGCCGCGCGAGGCCGCGCCCAGCACGCCACCAACCGTGTTGGCCAGCCCGCCGACCGTGTTGCCGAGGGTCGAGGTGACCAGCTTGCCGGCGCCGGTGATGCCGGAGTCGTTGTTCTTGTTGTTGTTGTTCATTGTGTGGGCTTGTTCTGGTTGGGAAGTTTAAAAAGTTGAAGGCGCTTGATGGATGAGAAAGGCTTCGAGAAGCGCGGATTGGTGTGACTGTATGAGGTTGTATTTTGGATGGATTAGGTGATTTATGGGGAGGAAGAATCGCTTGACCCTATGGTAGCATGCGCTGACTTAAATACTTATTACCCCTACGACGAGTCCTATTCCTATCATTCCAAGATCGTCAGCCAGGAAGTTTCTGTACGTTGATCAGCTGCACCCCACACTACGTCATCTCGAGATTTAAGATTGGTAACTTGGACGGTCGGACCCACCCAATCTTCTTCTACTGTACACCAGCTACACCCCTGATTTCCACTAACTTTGCTTTATGCACACAACTCTCACGTCATAGTTGCAGGCTCGAAGTGGTGGCATCGCGAACTCGGTGGCGGGAGTATCTTGCGTAACTGCCTGAGGGAGAGAACTAAACTCATGACTTATGTGATACAGAACACCCACTGGTCCACCCCAAGTAAGCTTACACACGGTTTCATCTTGAATGCGAACACTGAAGACCTCTAAACTGCTGGTCCATGTTCGAAAGTGTATCATCGTCAAGGATTACAGAAAATCCCATACGGAAAGTCCCATACAGAAGATTCCATAGTGTACAGAATACCCGATGTCTCTCCAAGCAATTCCCAAAATGGTGCCCACAACCTGCACCACCTCCCCATCGGCGACTTTGCCGCCCTCCACCATGCGCTCGTCGTTCTCCACCTCGACAGGGGGAAGGACGATGCCGTACTTCCCGTACGGGAAATCCAACAGGGGGCCCGATGACATCTGGCAGGTCCTGCTTAACATGAAATACTCGCTCTGCCCGGCAACGGAATTCAAAGATCCCGATACAGAGATTCCCATACGGAGTTCCCCAAACAGGCGAACTCGGTATAGACATCCCCACACAGATACACTCAGACAAAGATACCCATACAAACACTCCCACACAGAGAAGACGACAGTGACCGCGACACTTTTTCCGTTGTATGAAGCGCGGAGCCGCTTTCCGGTCGTGGCGGACTCTCCAGTCTCAGCTGTCAGAACAGAAGAGAGCGACAGCTCCATAACATTTAAGAGACAGTGTCAAATCTCCGATTCCATGCAACTCCCTCAGCATCGATGACTGCGTAACTCTTAGCTCTACGACACTTTTCCGGGATCAAAGTCTTGGAATCATCTCTTTAAGGGACTCCCCGGATCCAGACACCAGGGCCATGCGTATCAACACCATCCTGATTGTTTCCGGTTGGGCAGCTGCACCTCTCACCTAGGTTGGATTTAAAGACGTCTGCTCCCGGCCCTAAGATCTTACGACATCGAGCATTCTTAATCCGAGGAACGAGGCGGTGGGGTTGACGCCCAAGTACGGCGCGGCAGTCCCCGCAACGCCGCACCCGATCGCAAACAGCACCGCCGCGCGGGTGCTCAGCAGCTTCCGCACCAGCGGGCGCGCCCTGGTGCGGCTCATCTTGGCGTCCGTGTCGGGCTCGTACAGCATGTTGAGCGCGTTGGCCGAGGGCGAGCACAGCGTGGTGCCCGTCGTGAGGAAGAGGAGGGTCAGCGGCGAGAGCGAGGGGATGTCGGCTGCCGAGGCGAGCGCTCTTCGATCTCCGTCAACGCCCAGAATGACGGCCATACCTACCTCAGATATTCGTACACTGCTGGACATGCTGTTCGGCCTTGTGGACTACGCCGACGCTGTGATCTGCTCGTCTTCCTCCTCTGCCACGTTCTCATACCCGTAGCTCGACGCTTTAGACTGCGCATTGGCAGTACCTGTTTGCCGAGAGGGCATCTCGACAAGGACACGCCCGCTCCGGCGGCCGAAGAAGTCCTCGGTCCTAATACCCCGGACGTGCTCGGGATTGACCTGGGACATGGAGAGCATCCGTCTCGATATCGTCCTCAATGTACTTGACGAACTGGCTCCGGTAGCGCTCCTCATCATCGTCGGCGAGCGTCTCCATGTACTCGGCGACGTGGCCACCGAAGATGTACTTCTTGAGAACCTCGGCATCGACCTCCTCGATCTCCATGTCGAAGCCAGGGAAGCCTTCCACTTGGCGCAATAGTCGGTCAGATTTGCTCCTTGATGGAACTAGTGGAACGGGTGGAATGGGGTAAAGATCATTGACCTACAAATTGGGAAATATCTTTGGATAATTCTAGGTCGGCCACCTAGAACCTTTTTCTTTCCTTTCCTTAGGCTTAGTTTAATGGAATTGAGTGTCACGAACAGCCGGCTTAACCCTGTTGAATACACTATACTGTCACACTATTAAACTATAGCCCGAGAAAGAAATATTTTATGTTTTTATTTAGTATTAGAGAATACTTAAAATATTAGTTATACTTTTTAATAACGTTAACGTATCTTATAAGCGAGCGAGACATATAAGCGAGCGAGACACTCTCCACCACTCTATAACAACTATCCTCAATTGCAACGCAATAACACTAGGAACCAACTACAATTACATCAGAGACAGCTGAATCAGACCCTTCTGCAACCTCCTGGCACGTACGGGCATTATGGCCAGGCTTGCCGCACACACCACAGCACCGAACCTTCGTACGAGCCCCCCCTGCACCACCACTATCCTGCTCCTTTTCTTGCGCCACCTCCCTAACCACGGCCTTCTGGTCCAGTTGATCCTTTGCATCTTATACTGCAAGCGATCCTCTAAGCTGTACGCGTGTTCTTTTGGCTCTCCGGCGCTTGCTTAGCGCCTCGTTAGCCTTGCGGAGCGAAGACACCTCTGCCTGAAGGAGGGCCACCTGGTGTATTATAGCCATTGTACCCTTGGTAAGCTGGTCTATAGCAGCCAACATCGAAGTTAGGGAGCTATTTTGATAGTTGGCAATACGAGTCTTGATAAGCATTGACTGCGAGTTGGCTTCTCGAGGGTTATATGGCGTCTGGAATACCCAAGGTTGTAGTATGCTGGCCCGCGAGTTCAGGGGCGTTGGTATACGGAGCTTTATATCCAGCTTAGATAGTACCTTCTCTTGATCGTACGGTACAAGGCCAGCACCTGCAAAGCTACCCTAGATATTCTTCCCCGTCATCGAGGCGAAGAAGGCCTCGCGGAAGCTGTAGAGGAACTCGAGCTTGCTCATATGGTTGATATACGCGCGCATCAAGTCCTCAACCTGGCGACCGTACGCCTGCTTCAGTGGCCCAAAGCAGCTAATATCGAGTGGCTAGAGGAGGTACGAGGAATGCGGAGGCATACAAAGCGTGATAATGTTGTTCTACTGGCAATAGAGCTCGAATTCGGTCGAGTAGTGGCTGTCGTGGCCGTCGAGGATCAACAGCCGGTACTTGCCTTTTGCCCGGGGCGCTGTATAGTAGTCGAAGTGCTTGATCCAATCCAGGCCTATAGTATTAGTCGTCCAGCCGTTGTCGGTAGTTATAATACGCCAGTCGGCTGGGAGGTTGTACTCGGTATACCAGTTAGCGAGGTGGTACTGTGCGGCCAAGATGATGAACGGAGGGATGGCCTAGCCAAGAGCATTGACTCCCTGGATCACCGTTGCCCACTTGCGGTTGCCAGGCTGGGCCAGCTTTACCTTGCTACGGCCATCAGAGGTTATAACCACCATGCCCGCGAAGATAATGCCCATTATAAACCCAGTCTCGTCGAAGTTATAGATATCGTCATCTACGATACTATACTTGGCCTTGGTGTTCTATACGAGTATAAACCACTTGCCAATGACCTCTGGATCCTCGTACTTAGCCCTCTGGTAGTCGTATCGACGCGACCAACGTATATAGAGGGCTGGCTGGCGTTTGACGAAGTTATGGGCCTAGAGCTTGCCGACAGGGAGCGCGTCGTATATATGTAGCAGTTGGTTGGCCATATCTTCTATACCACGGAGTCTTGGTGGAAAAGCTCGCTCGGATAACTCAATTATATACTGAATAAGAGCCTTCTCTTCTAGATCGGTGAGCTTCCGCGAGTTAGCTAGAAGATCGTGTCGTATAGCTCGGCCGGTACGTCGGTGGCCGAGAGTTGAAACTGGTACGTTATAGAGCTTGGCCGCGGCTCGGAGGCTCAGTTTCGTGTCATTTTGAAGAGCTTGAAGGGCCAAGATTACCCTAGCTTCCTTTGAAGCGGAAGACATTCTTGGTTATAGGAAAAACGCGCTGTTGGGGGTGGTTGAAGAAGGACGCGTCGTGCCAAGAACTTAGTGTCTCGCTCGCTTATATGTCTCGCTCGCTTATAAGATACGTTATAGTTAATATGGATCTTACAGGCCCTAGTAGATAGATGGCTGACAAACCTAATCTGGCTCCCCACTGGCTTCTCCCAGTATAGAGAGGGCGCGCTCGTTATGAGGGCTAGAGCCTATCTTGACGAGATTTTGATCAACCTATTAGAGATGAGCCCAAACCTGTCTATAGGTGACAAACGCTCTCATTTGCAGTAAGGATCCATCATTCATACGAACTCTATAGGCTGCGATCGGCTTGGTATGCCGCTTTTTTTTCCCGCTCAGAGTGCTAATGAGTCCGCGCTGACGCGAGCTCCATGCAGGCAAACAGGAAGCTTATCGAACAGTACGAGCAGCAGGTCAAGGATCTTCGGGAAAAGCTCGATAATCTGGAGGACATGCTGAAGAAGAAGGATGACGGACTTAATCGCGTGCTGGACGGCGAGCGCTCGAGAGCCGCTACGGCAGACTTGGAGAAGAAATAGTAGCTTTATAAGACCTTCGTTATTAACTGTCACGAGGGCCGTCGTTCAAGGCCAGGGTCAAGCCTCTGGTGGTAAACTGACTGCATTGCAAGAATATTGAACTTGCAGGAGGAAAGAAATCCTCGAGACTGCAAGGTAGGCTTTAAATACAGGATTGTCATGAACTAACCTGCAGAGGCCGGTGGGGGCCGACCTGCATGGTCGATGGGCGGCGCCCGTGTCCAATCATTACGAGTCAGAAAGGACCAATGAGGATTGGGGAGATCAGGAACAATGCCAAGAACGATTGTTCCTAGGGAACAACGCCAAGGGACGTTGTTCCAAATGTTCCAGAAATCTAGGTACGGGATACCTAGGGGAGGAAGCTGTATATAGTTCTACCATTCTGCCACTCATTCAGATAGCTAGCTTCCTCAGTGAGCAATTACAAGCAATAGCCTCTACCTATTGTGCAGACATTGCGGCCAGCATTGTTGTGAACCTTTTGGCTTCACCGAGACCTACAGTCCGACCAGCAGATACCTTCGACCGGCGAACCCTTTCAGAGGCAGGACTGCCTGTGGTTTCGTCACAAGGATGCGAGTAGGTCTGAGCTTGCATGCATGATGTAATGGAACATGCATAATGAATCATCACTTGGTATGATGAATCATTATACATACAAATGATATCATCATCATGGTCGGTGCGTTCCACTGTCACATTAACCTTATACTAGAGTAAGTCCTAATAAAACTATATAGTATAAGTAGCTACTAATTTTGTCTAATTTAGTATATAAGTTAACGTGGTTGATAAGCGAATGCTCCAGACAAGCGAATGCTCCACTTCACCGCGCCTACACAACGCCTTCTCCTCGCATACATTTTCTTTGCAACCCAATATGCATCCAAAAGACGACGAACGCCAGATAATCTTAGCCCTCCAAGCTCTTGAGAAAGACTCCACTTTGAGCCTAAGAGCTGCAGCTAAGATCTATGCGGTTTATCATACCAAGCTAAGCCGTCGTAGGCGTGGTATACAATCACGACGCGATATTCTAGCCAATTCGCGGAAGTTGACCAATTTGGAAGAATCGGTCATTGTTCAATATATCCTCGACCTGGATTCCAAAGGGTTTCCTCCCCGCTTGTCTGGTATAGAAGATATGGCAAATCGACTACTTGCCGAACGCGATATAGGACGCGTCGGTATGCGTTAGGTATATAACTTCGTCAAACGGAACCCCGAGCTCACTACGCGTTTCAATCGGAAATACGACTACTAGAGGGCCCAATGCGAAGACCCAGAAATTATTCGGGGCTGGTTTGCGCTTATACGGAACACGATCGCGAAGTACGGCATCTAGGAGGCAGACATCTACAACTTCGACGAGACTGGGTTTCTAATGGGCGTTATTGCAACCTCAATGGTTATTATAAGCTCCGAACGTCATGGCAGGGCAAAGTCAAAGCAGCCTGGCAATCGGGAGTGGGCAATAGTAATCCAGGGTATCAATACTACTAGCTAGGCGATCCCGCCGTTTATCATCGTCCAGGGCAAATATCACCTCTCCTCTTGGTATAAGGGCAGCCTATTGCCAAAGGAATGGGTTATCGCGACATCCGAAAACGGTTGGACTAGCAATAAGAGAGGTCTAGATTGGATCAAGCATTTTAACATATATACCAGAGCTCGAACAACTGGGGTTTATCGCCTTCTCGTCCTCGACGGCCATAATAGCCACCACTCGATCGACTTCGAGCTCTACTACAAGGAGAACAACATTATTACGCTCTATATACCTCCGCACTCATCTTACATCCTCCAGCCGCTCGATATTGGGTGTTTTAGCCCGCTCAAGACGGCATACGGCAAGCAGATCGAGGCAATAATGCGGGCAAGCATAACCCATATCACCAAGGAAGACTTCTTTCCCGTATTCCTCGCAGCTCACCAGGTAGCAATAACGCCCGGAAACATTCAGGGAGGTTTTAGAGGCGCTGGACTCGTTCCTTTTGATCCCGAGAAGGTGATCTCCCAGCTCGACATCCGTCTGAAGACACCAACACCCTCGAACTCCCGGCCTGGCAGTGCCCACACCTGGGTTTCCAAGACCCTGAACAACCCAGCCGAAGCCTCCTCGCAGTCCGCCCTTATCAAGAATCGAATTGCCCGGCATCAAAATAGCTCTCCAACCGAGATTTTAAGAGCAGTTGATATCCTTGCGAAAGGGACGTCTAAGGTTATACATCAATTGGCATTATTGAGAGCAGAGAACCAAAGCCTCCGAGCAGCAAATGAGGCACTAAGCAGGCGTCGGCGAGCTAAAAAACAACGGCTCCGACAAGGAGGATTGCTTACTGTACAAGATGCAAAGGACTTGCAGGGTCAGAGAGAGGTTGAGGTGCAGATAAAGGAGGAAACACGGGCGGGTAGTGGTCGGAAGCCGAGGGTCGAGACGCGCGCGCGGCGCTATGGCACCTACAGCGAACCTGGTCACAATGCGCGTACCTGTCAAATAGTTGTGGAAACGTCTGAGGAAGACGATTCCGAGTAGTTTCATTTGTTTGAAGCGGTTTTGGTGGGATTGATATACATTTTGTTATATAGGTGCAACTTTGTGGAGCATTCGCTTGTCTGGAGCATTCGCTTATCAACCACGTTACTCTTATAACGTACATGATAAGCGAGCGACGCAGATAAGCGAGCGACGCACTTTCAGTGCGACGCGCCTCCTCTAAACTTTTCCACCAAATACCACCGCAACAAGCCATGCGTAGCCCCTCAAAAGAAGCCAGGCTTCTTTTAGCCCTCGAAGCTATCAAACAGAGCGAGAATCTCAGTATCCGGGCGGTAGCCAAGCTATACAACGTTCCAGAAGCAACGATTCGCCACCGGCGCAAGGGACGTGCTGCAAGACGCAATATTCTAGCCAACTCGCGTAAGCTCACGGATCTAGAAGAGAAGTCAATAGTTCAGTATATAACTGAGCTATCTACACGCGCATTCCCACCTAGATTAAGTGGTGTGGAAGATATGGCCAACCACCTACTATGCGAACGCGACGCGCCCCCTATCGGCAAACGCTGGGCTCACAACTTTGTCAAACGCCAGCCAGAGCTCCGTACGCGGTATACACGCAAGTACAACTACCAGAGGGCTAAATGCGAGGATCCACAGGTCATCAGCGAGTGGTTTGCACTTATATGGAATACTAGGGCTAAATATAGGATTGTCGATGACGATGTCTACAACTTTGATGAGACTAGGTTTATGATAGGTGTTATCTTCGCGGGTATAGTGGTTACAACCTCGGATGGGCGTGGCAAGGCAAAACTAGCTCAGCCTAGTAATCGGGAGTGGGCGACTGTGATCCAGGGAGTCAACGCCCTTGGCTGGGTTATCCCTCCGTTCATCATCCTAGCCGCACAGTACCACTAGAGTAACTGGTACTGGGAGTGCAACCTACCACTTACCTGGCGCATTGCAACCACCGATAATGGCTGGACTACCAATGCAGTAGGTCTGGATTGGATCAAGCACTTCGATTACCATACGGCACCTCGAACAAAAGGCATATACCGGTTGTTGATCCTCGACGGCCACGAGAGCCACCACTCAACCGAATTCAAGCTCTACTGCAAGGAGAACAACATCGTCACACTCTGCATACCTCCACACTCTTCCTATAGGCTCCAGCCTCTCGATGTTGGCTGCTTTGGGCCACTTAAGCAGGCATACGGTCGCCAGATCGAGGGCTTAATGCGCATGCATATCAACCACATCAGCAAGCTTGAGTTCCTCTGTGCCTTCCGAGAAGCCTTCTTTGCTTCTATAACAGAGAAGAACGTACAGGGTAGCTTTGCAGGGACTGGCCTTATGCCATACGACCCAGAGCGGGTGCTTTCTAAGCTAGATATAAAGCTTCGTACGCCAACACCCCCAACCTCACGGCCCAGCACTGCATAACCCTGGGTCTTCCAGACACCACATAACCCACGAGAAGCCGACGCACAGTCAACGCTCATCAAGACTCGCATTGCGAACCATCAAAATAGCTCCCCAACTTCAATGTTGGATGCTATAGACTAGCTTGCCAAGGGTACGATGGCTGTAATGCACCAGGTGGCCCTCCTTCGGTCAGAGGTCTCTTCGCTTCGCAAGGCCAATAAGGCACTAAGCAAGCGCCGGCGTGCCAAGAAAACACATATGCAGCTTGGAGGTTCACTTACTGTGCAAGATGCAAAGGATCTACTAGATCAGAACGCCGTAGGTGGGGAGGCAGTGCAGGAAACGCAGCCGGATGGTAGCGGTTCAGGGGGGGCTCGTACGAAGGTTCGATGCTGTAGGGTATGCGGCAGGCCTGGCCATAATGCTCGCACTTGCCAGGAGGCTGTAGAATCATCTGATTCATCTATTTCTGATGTAATTGTAGTTGGTTGCTAGCGTTGTTGTATTATAATTGAGGATAGTTGCTGTAGGGTGGTAGAAAGTGCGTCGCTCGCTTATCTGCGTCGCTCGCTTATCATGTACGTTATATAAAACTTCTTATTATGATCTCTGAATACCTTCTAGATTTCTTACTTAAGCTTGTTATAGGCTTTTAGGCTAGTTAGTATCTTCTTTTAAATCTTCTAAGAATTTTCAGTCTATTGAAACATCTGATAGTAAAGGATCTATTTCCGGTACTAGCCTATACCATCTTATCTCTATCTTATTATGGGCATTGCTCAATCCTTGAGAAGAGAGGGCCGCTGGTTTTCCTGGAGTACACCGAGATCATGAGAACCCGCTGTGTCAATAAAAGGCCATGTAATCCTCGTCCGATGCCATGTCTGCTACCAGGCTTGTATTCTGTGTCGCCGCCGCAGTCAAGTTAGAGAACCAAGCTGTCTCGCCATAAGTATGGGCATGGTCGCGTTGCACGGCGCAAAGAACAGCCCGCCCGAGCTCAGGTACTGCCCTCGCGGGTCGGCTGAAGGTCAGGGTCTGCCTTGAGCGGTAGCTTACCGGTCCTT